GTTTCCCTTGTTCTTTTCCCCTTCGTCTGTTTTCTCAGCGATGTTCCAACCGGACGAAAGTATTTTGTAACAGACGGAACAGGCTGTGTTGCTGCTGCTGCTTCTGCTGCTTCTTCTGCGTCTGCTCTGCGTCTTCCCTTACATGGATGGATGACTTTAACATATGGCCCACCGCACATACGCTACCTTCCCTTTCTTCCTCACCTGTTCATTCCCTCACGCTTTTCGCGCATTCAAACCATCGCCATCTCCTCGTTCCTGAAGTCATCGCGACCATCAAAACACCTACAAGCTTCCTTACTAAATTCTCAATTTCCCGTGTTCTGCTTTGCTTTGTTCTGATCTGATCTGGTCTGGTCTGGTCTGGTCTCGTTTGGTTTGGTTTGTTAGTTGCTGCTGCTGCTGCTTTGCAGCGAAGTGTTTGCAGCTGTAATTATTACCCAGCGGCGTATTAGTTAGCAGCAACACATTCCAGGTCCACACCACACACAGCACACCGCCACGCCCTCACGCCCAGCCCTGTCCTGTCCTGTCCTGTTCTGTTCTGTTCCATCACCACTTGAATTGTACCGCCTGTTTTACCGTTCCAATCTTTGACCTGTCCCAAAAACCACATCCCCAAAACCAGATAAAGCTAACCGACCGCGCTCTGGCGCCTGACCAACCCCAGCTATGATGAACGGACTGGCCCACGCCCCGTCGTCATCGGCATCGGCATCGGCTCCCACGATAACCCCCGCTACCACTCTCACGTCCACTCCTGCTGCTTCCCTCATCTCCAGCACCACCACTACCGTCGCTAGCAGTAACGCTCCCATCGCGAATTCACCCTTCCAATCAGCTTCCTCGTCTTCCACCACTACTGTCAAGCAATCATCGTCGTCGGCTGCTTCTTCGTCCTACACCCACGGAAATACCAACAACATTGCCAACAATACACGGATAGATCCATTAACGACTTCGTTGCCATCTTCCGTCAACGGTGCCCTTCCGGTCCACCATGATACTACTTCAATCATTGGGAAGAGGAAACGCGCGGATAGCAGTCCTGTAAAGGAATCACAAAATGCGACAGCTGTATCACCGGCTCAGAGGCAGCAATTGCTAGCTGATATCAGGAATACCGTTCTCACTTCGCTGGCACAGTACGTTATACATCCCGAACTGGCCATATATTCATTCGTCTGTATCTCTTACTGACTTTGTAAACCCTTTTTTCTTTTTTCTTTTTTTGTAGCCTCGACGCTGGAATATCCTTATTGGACAAACCTGTATCACCAGAACCAAGCTCTCACGAGGCTAAAAAGGTCAAGTCGCCTAATCCTGATGGCCTGCAGACTCTCCGACAAAGGCTCTTGTCGGATTCCTTTTACCAATCGTTGGACGCCCTGAGTCAAGATGTCAACCGGGTCACCAACGAGGCCTTGGAAGCCTTGGGTGTCCGAACCGATATCGCGCCTGAGGACGAAATGATGGACGACGATGTACATGTTAAAAATGAGGCCGAGGATACACCTGGGAAAATCAAAAAATTTAGACAGGCTGCCCAGACCGTTATTGCTCAAACCTTGACCCACCATCCATATCTGAACATTCCTGACGACCAAAAATCCCCAGACGCGACCACCAATACGGCCGTGATCCCGGACGACATCTCCTTGGACCAGCCTTCACCTAAATTCAAATACGCTATCATCGTCAAAAATGGGAACAAGACTTATTACCAAATACTAAAAAAGCACCCGGAAACCAACACCCCTAGGAGAAGCCAGGATGAGATGGACGTCGATGAAGAATTAGACGAACTTCAGCAATCAGACCTCCCTCCCCAAGCTGAAATCGTTAGGATTTACGAGAACACACCACGTGAAACGACCCGAACTCTTAGGGACGCTTTCCCGAATATCGCGAAGATTCCAACTAGCCGTCAGGATAAGAAGCCGTCTGACCGGAAATACCAAGATAAGGGCATAGAAACCCCAGACTGGCTTGACTACGGTCCCTTCATGTCCTTCGCCCCGACCTACGACCAGGGCCGGTCTACCATGTCTGTTCACGCCAAGAATCAGTATTGGTTTGCATTGCACGGCGAGAAGGAGTTGAAAAGGATCCGAGCCGGTAGACAACCGGAACAGGATGCCCAAGATGAAGAACACCAGTTCAAAGACCTCGCCGAAAAATACGAACCGATACCAATTGATCCCGCTCTGTTCGAGGAAGAATCGGAGAACGACAAGACCCTCAGAGCAATCAGCGATCTTCTTGCTGAGCTGCGTTTGAAGCAAGAAACCCGTTTCGCTAAGCATAGCAATCCTAATGTTCCTTCCAAACCGGACGGTCCCGAAACCGAAATACATGGAAAGGCAATCGAACAGCTCGCGGAGCTGATTGGAAAGCTCGAGCCCGGGACTTGTGATGCGCTAGAAGAACTCATTGATTCGCTTCCTGAATCACTCCCTATAAGGCTCCATCCTGCGCCAGGGACGCTGTTGGATACCGCCAAAGTACCTCCCCCACCTACCCCTCAGCCTGCAGCTCCATACACTACGACCAGGGTCAGCTACCACCAACAGGATGCTGTTTTCTCACCATCAGCCCGTGTCGTGCCCAATCGTTCCCAAGGGCACAATCAATACACAAATCGAACGGGCAGCTTTAGCCAACAGAGTTACCCTCAAACACCAATCAACCGACAACCGTACGGACCAAATGCTGGGTTTTACCCTCCGCAACCCGCTTACACCCAACCACGGGGCCCGCCTATCCCCACCACCCCGCAACAATACCCAGCTGGAGGCTATACGAATAGCCCCTTCTCGAGAAACGCCACGGCAACCGTCCCTAGAATGGCATCGTCAGGCGCACACCCAGGTTTTGTTCAGCAGTCAAATCCTTCTACCCCATTCCAAGCCATCCGCCAGACTAGCTTCATCACCCAAGGAAACGGACCGGCTCAGGTTCAGACTGGAAGAAGGGTCTCGCTTGCCCCTCAACAGCCCCAACCTCAAGTTCGACCAGCATCAGGTCAAGGCCAGGCTTATAGCCCCTACACTCCTGGCCACAACCAGCACACTTTTACGGCACATCAAACTCAGCAGCAGATTCTTCGCGTTCAGCAACAGACGCAGCAACAGCCAGCACAATATACTCCTGGCCACCAGCCGCAGCCGCAGCAACAGCAGCAGCAGCAGTTTGCGTACAGTCAACAAGTTCGCCAGATGCAATCTAGTCAACAAAGGGCACCGTATCCTAATGGTAGCTACCCTCAAACCCCCCAGGTCCGGGTGATCCAAACACAACCTGGCCAACCTCCAACCCCAAGGTAGTGGCTTCAAGCTTTACGCGATATTTTTGAACGATATGGATATATCCTGCCAATCGTAAAATTGGCCTCGAGAGTTTCCTAAGGATATGTTGAAGTTCTGCATGTGAACCATGATTCTTCGTTCTGTCATTTTTCTTGGTATGCTCATTATTTTCGCATCGACTGCAGTTTACGTACTGCCGGGGCCGATGAACCGTGTTTTATTTTTCTTTTCCTGTCGTTTCTTGTTGCCGCTTTTTTCTTTTTTTCAAACTCGGAGTTTTGATAGGACAGCCAGGATTGATGTCCTTTTCTTACCCGCAACTATCAACGATGCACCTACTGATCCCCTTTGAACTTCCTAACATTCTCATGTCAAATATATGGTCCCGATAATAACTTTTTAGTACTTATATCTTTTTTTCTCTTTCCCCATCCTCCATCCACCACCGGACACGCACCCGTACCCCTATTTCTAAATCTTCAGAATGAAAAGAAGGGCCCTTCTGTTCAAAACCATGTTCAGTATCCCAAAAGTCTCTTGATTTCTCCCCCACTTTCGAATCCCTTAAAGTTTTTACGTTTCCGAAAATCCTTCAATTTAGATCTGGACTGGGTGAAAAGCGGAATCCATCATTCTTTGTATTATTTCTCTCCCGTATATCTATACCATTACATATACGTCGGATCGCGGGGTCTTCTAACGACGCAGCGGTGCCTAGTTTCTTTTCCCAAAGGCTCTGTACCTCTTAAATTCCCTCTTTGGTTTCTTTCTCTTCTTTTTTTGGTTTCTTTTCGTTTTCTTTTTTTTCTTTTCTCCTTTAATAAAATCGGATAGACTCCAGCTTTCTTGTGGATTAATAGGAGGAACAGCTGGCTGTAATTAATACAAAAACTACAAGCAATATTTTTGAGCTCGAGTTCCCTAGTCCTTTCTTTCTTGGTTTTATGTAAGCCGTAATATATTAATCAGGGTATCCATACGAACCGGTGATTCATGCGCCGAGATATATTGGCGCACTTCCATGGCCACGTTTTTAACGACCTTCTTCTTGGAGTTTTCCCTGTGCAGCTGATATAGCTCTATCGAATGTCCGCATGCATGGGGTGAGAATCGGGCGGCTCCGAGAATTCGAATATAAATGCCACTAAAATCGCAGCTTTATAAAAGATACCCCGGAAATTCCTCTCCAAACCAATTCTAGCCTTACAAACTTTACATCAAAAAAACCACAACGATATTAATACACCCATAATTTCCAAAACAATGTCGGAGAATGCAGATAAGACTATTCAGCAGCTGGTGAAGGAGTGGTTGGAGCTCGATCAGGTACGTCATCGATGCATCAATCATTGACAGTAGAAAGGTTTTTTTTTGTGAAAGCTAAGAAAGAACTATAGAATGAAGCTACGAGACAAGAAATAAAGGATCTATCGGATAAAAAGGATTACGATGAGCTCGAGAAGAGGCTACGAACCCGTAAGGCTGCTCTCCCGCGCGCGCAATGACGTCCTCTTCCGCCCACTAGCAGACCAGGTGCATGTTACAGTTCTGGAGGCATCAGGGTTGTGAAATACCACATTTTCAACACAGACTTTTGAGACTAAATTGGGTTCCCTTTTCGACGTTTAAAACTACTATGCAAGTTATTGTTCGTATAATAGTAAAATTCTAACCATGGGTTTATTCCACAGGAATCGCCTTCGGCACCGCCGGCCTCCGTTCCTCAATGCAAGCCGGTTTCGCCCACTTGAACCCTCTAACCATCATCCAAGCCTCCCAAGGCCTAGCCTCCTACCTCCTCGCCTCTATTCCACAAACCGTCACTCCATCCCCAAAACTAAGCGTAATAATCGGACACGACCACCGTCACAATTCCTCCCAATTCGCAAAACTAACAGCCACAGCATTTATCCTCAAGGGTATCAAAGTCTACTTTCTGGAAGATCTGGTACATACACCGTTAGTCCCCTTCGGACTAAACTTACTCGGTGCGAATGCTGGAGTTATGATTACGGCGTCGCATAATCCGGCAAGGGATAATGGGTATAAAGTTTATTGGGGTAATGGGTGTCAGATTATTCCTCCTGTTGATGCGGGAATCGCGGCTGCTATTTCGGAGAATTTGATACCGTTGGAAGGGGCGTGGGATACTAGTGTTTTGGATAAAGCGGTTGGATTGGTGGAGAATGTGAAAGGAAGAGTTGAGGAGGCTTATTTTGAGAAAGTAAAGGGATTGGTTGATGGGATGGCTGTTGAGGGAGCGGGGAAGGTAGGGTTTGTGTATACGCCTATGCATGGAGTTGGGTTGGAGGCTGCAAAGCAGGTGGTGAAGATTTTGGGAGTAGAAGAGGATTTTGTCGTTGTGGAGGAGCAGGCTAAGTTAGTTCCCCTTCAATAGGATAATATGGAGAAGCTGGTATGCTGACTAGATATGCGCGGAAGACCCGACCCTGATTTCCCAACTGTTAAGTTTCCGAATCCTGAAGAGAAGGGAGCTTTGGATCTTGCGATGGCTGCTGCGGATAAGCATGGAATTACTATTGTTCTTGCAAATGATCCCGATGCGGATAGATTTGCCGCAGCCGAAAAGGTCAAGTAAGTTTGATAACAATATCTTGACACTTAATGTCTTTAAATCAAGACGTCTAACTTGTTGGGGAAAAATGCAGCGGTAAATGGCAAATTCTCACTGGTAACCAACTGGGGGTCCTCTTCGCTTCCCATATGGTTTCAACGTCTTCCCTCCCAGCTTCCAAGGTCGCTCTCTTATCATCAGCAGTATCGACTCAAATGTTAGCAGCGATGGGTCAAATCGACGGCTTCCACCATGAGGAAACCCTTACAGGGTTCAAATGGCTCGGTAACGTCGCACAACAAATCACATCAAAGGGGACACATAAAGCAATCTACGCCTTCGAAGAAGCAATCGGGTACATGTTCTCAGACGTTGTCCACGATAAAGACGGAATTGCCGCATTAAGCGTCTTTGTCACTATGCTGAAAAAATGGTTATCAGAGGGAACTACCCCTGCCGGGAAACTTCAGGAGTTATATGAAAAATACGGATTCTTTGAGAGTTGCAATGGATATGTTGTTTCTCCGAGCCCTGATGTTACGAGGCAGGTGTTTGATGGGATTAGGAGGTTGGGAGATGAGAGTGGGAAGAAGTTTCCGGGAAGTTTGGGGGGCAGGGAGATTAACTATTGGAGGGATTTGACGGAAGGGTATGATAGTGCTACTATTAATGGGATACCGGTTTTGCCAGTGGATAGGAGTAGTCAGATGATTACGGTGGGGATGGATGGTGTTAGGTTTACGATCCGAGGGAGTGGTACAGAACCGAAGATTAAATGTGAGTTTTGAGTGTCTTCCCCACTCTCCTTCCTTTTTCGATTGATACTGATGGTAGTTGTATAGATTATGTTGAGGCTAAAGCTTCTGGGAAAGAGGAAGCTTCTGCTGCTGCGAAGGAAGTGGCGGATGCTATTGTTAGGGAGTGGTTCAAACCGGAAGTACATGGACTTATTGTTTCGTGAGAGACAAGTATATCAGGCTAGCGATATTTCCTTTAAAGGTCTAAGAGGATAGAAAAAACCCATCGAAATAGACTTTAATTAGATGCGGCAAGATTATGAAAATTTGGCGTATTTGTAACCTAGAAGCCTCAACCTGGCCCTGTGATTACATTTATATTTATATGGGTATATAAAAATCCGATAGTAAACGTAATTATCGTACAAACCACCCCCCCATAACCCGCCCACCAAAAGGCCTACCTTCCCTTAAACTCCGGCTTCCTCTTTTCCGCAAAAGCCTTAAGCGCCTCAAATTTATCCTGACTCTCAATAATCCCCCCATAAGCCAACCCTTCAACATCCAACCCCCCATCCAACCCAACTTTAACCGCCCTCTTCGCCGCCACAATCGCCAACGGTCCCCCCTCACATATCCTCTTCGCAAGCTCCACCCCTTCATCATTAACATCCTTCCCTTCCTCAACAACTCTATCCACAAGTCCCCAATTCAACGCTTCAACGGCACCAACCCTTCGTCCTGTGAGTATCATATCCAACGCGCGACTTCTGCTGATTATCTGAGAGATCCGACGGGTTCCACCGGCGCCTGGGATTATACCCAGACGGGTTTCGGGGAGGGAGAGTTGGGCTGATGGGTGTGTTATTCTTAGGTCGGTGGATAAAGCTAGTTCGAGGCCGCCGCCGTGGGCGTGGGTTGGGATGCAGGAGATGGTGGGGATTAGGAGGTTGGAGAGGGTTGTGAAGGTTGTGTTTAGAGAGTGGAGGAATGTGGTGGTTTGGGAAGGGGTGAAGGTTTTACGTTCCTGATTTTTTGATTGATTGATTGTTAGTTGGTTATTATTTTTGTCCAAAGTTTGGGGGAGTAGATTGGATATGTGTTGTAGACGTTGTATTTTTGAAGAGGGTTTGGAGATATAAAAACGGGATGGAACGGAAGTTTGTTGATAAGACAAGTCGAGGGCATTATAGGAAAAAGTAGAGGGAAGAAATACCTTCAAATCAGCCCCGGCGCAAAATACACCACCAACACCAGACTCACTGGACCCAATTACCAATGCTCTGGTCTCTCCTTTCCCAGCTTCGGATGCAATCGAATCGATTTCCTCACGGAAAGCCTTCAAAAGGTCCCAACTCAGGGCATTTTTGGCGATTGGTCGGTTAAGTAGTAAAACACGGATGGAGCCGAGGTGGGGTGCTGGGATTGATTGCGAGAGGATGAGCGGTGCGGAAGGAGGGGTTGTGGAGTAAAGACGGTATTGGATTTGGGACCTTAAAGGCCGTAGATGGGTGATTGTTGAGCGGAGGGATGACATGGTGGAATTGAGGGGGGGGTTTATTAGGGATCTAGGAGGTATGCATGAGGTTGGAGGTAATTAATTGGAGGAGAGGGTTTGGTGATCATTATAAGGTCTGGCTAGCTAGGCTGTCGCATCGATTCGCGCTAGAATCTGGGGAAGCTTTGAGGTTGCGGTCTCGTAGCGGCTTGCATCGGGTTATAGAAAACAACAGTTACAACACAGTTATCCAGCAAGTATTGTTCAATTGATAATCAAAATGGTGAAGTATCAGAGTATCTCGAAATACAGAATATATTTATGAACTGGGAGATAATAAGGAAATCTGGTTTACTTCAAAGTGGATTGAGAAAAAAAAGGCGATAAAAAATCCGAATCAGTATTCTTAAGACCAGTCCATCTATATATAGATCCATATGATACCTTAATCATGATAGACTAAAAAGATATGAGCTTCCTCATCATGGTAACGATCTGTAGGTATTGTGTATATTTAAATACAATGCCAGTTACTAACCCTCCAGATTGATAAACTCAATTACTCCCTTCCAAACGGAGAATGCGAAGAACGGTCCTAACTTCCCTCATAAAGACGCCTGCAAGTTGTGCCTTCATCGGACCTTGGAACCAAATCCCGATTCTGCAAGAACTTGCGGGGTAACCGTCAAAAATATTTTGATATTTCTCCAGAAACTCCGCTATGGCGACCTCTAGGCTCATTAGCCGTATATCAATCCCTTGGGTTATTACCGGCTTGTACGATAGGGTAGCATTGCCGAGAGAGTTCCGGGCCCTTTTTGTTTGAACGAAATCGAGCAGTTGGCAAGTAGCTTTCTGGATTTCGAAGAATTGTGGGAAGACATCTTTAAGATGGGTTTCCGCCTCCGGAGACCCGGCGAACACAGATAACTGAGCTTCGCCCCGAACACTGGCTTCGATCGCTTCGATCCTCGAGACTGCATTCTCAAAATGTAGATTCCGTCGAAGAAATGGTAGAAGGTCGGACGGTTCGTCGCCCAAATGGGCCTCGCAAGCACCGCTCTCGATATGTTGGAGCAATGCACTAAAGTGAGAAAAACTTATGGTATCTTTACACTCCCCCCAGCACTTAAAGACATTCCCGATTGTGTCTCTGCGACTAAGCAGTGCGAGTAGAGTCCGATGACAATCTTGGCGGACTATACTGTAGGCAATTGAATGTGAAGCCAGCACAGCATTGACATCTTTGGCGGTAATCATAGAAGGGCATCCACCATGTTCTAAGTGTATAAACATGGCAGATAATGTTCGGAATGTTTGGCTACATCCTTTCCCATAGCATTGGTGAATTGCTGGCTTGTGAGTGACTTCATGCTATATAAACAAAAAAACAAAGTTTCCACGTAATTAGCCCGGTTTTTTTTTTGGATAGGTAGAGGAGGGAATATATATGTATATATATACTTGTCTCGTATATCAAAAGCTCAAGTCACAACCTAGGAACTTACCATTTTTAGCTGATTGAGTGATCCAAAATGGATTTGGCAGGTATCACAGGCATTGTTCTTGGCAAGATGATCCTTGAATTCGCGGAATAGGATGTAACTATCGCAGCCTTCACAAAGTATCTTGCGAATGTGGCCGCTCTCAAGCCAATGCTTTTGCAAAGCTGCCACATTCGTCCCATCGAATTTACAATCAAGGCGACCACATGTGTGGTGATTCTGACTATGTTTAATGTGTTGTTCGCGGGCTTGAGAACTTTGGAACGCTCTCCCGCATCTTGAACACCACAAATCTAGGCATGAGTTTTCGAAGTGGAGGCGGGCTCGCTCATAGTCGGTAAAGTAGGTGCCTGGATGGTGAGCACAGCGTTGCCAGCTAGGTTATCCGTTCATTAGTTTTTGCATTAGAGGCTATATAGCGATAGTGCTCTAGCTCTAGATTTATATGTAGAGTAAAAGGTAGGGAAAGGATTGAAATACGCTTGGTCCCTGTTAAGTGCCATTGCACCACCTATAAATAGTAGCTACAATTCTGGTAAAATAACGAGCAGTTTGGATCCCGTATACGCGTTCGACGTTCGTCCACGACTATATAGAATTGTCGACACGGTTTGATTGAGGATGGCGGGTACTTACAGCAAGTGGGGAGGAATACTAGGTATAATATGTACAATATTCAGAGAGGAATTTGGAGTAACGGCTATAGCATGAGCTAAGATGCCTGTTGAGACGATCGAATCAATTGCCGAAATAAATTCCAGGCAGCCTTAGCTGCGAGACACGTCGACGTCAGTGATGGTTTGACTGGGGATATATGTAGCATGAACGCCACCTTGAAACCATATATTTTCCCAAAGCATTTACCTAAGTACATATTAAGTAACTTCGACCTAGTTAGCCTTGCGTGCCTTCCTTAGCCTTGCGCGCCTGTCTAAGCCAAGTTTGTACTCATGTTTATAGATTTGGCCGAATGTTCAATCTTTCTTGAACGTTACACACACCAACTTGTGGGGCTAAAATGACACACACACACCAACACACGATCTTAACTCTATTATTTGAATCATGGGTTAAGCCTGTTATATCGGTATCGGAATTTGTCTATGGAGCTAATACTAGCCACCTATGGATCTACGAAAAACGCCTTTCAAATCCTTTTGGAACGCCTTTAAATGCTTTAAACAACAAGAATAAGAAAGGAAAGGCTTGCTTGATCGGACGGACCTACGGGGCTAACGAGGCCTTATCAAGAAAATGCCGTCCAAACAGCCGCCCTCAACCTCTCTACACTTCCCTTACTCATACACACCAACCCGTCTCCGCCAAGCCAATCCACGAATGCGAACAGCAGCTTGACATTCCTCAGCCTGTCTGCATTGACTCCTGTCAAACTTGTCCTCTCCATCAATAATCTCGAATCAACCGTTGTATCCCGCATATTGGCATTCACCGGGCTAGCTACATCGTTGGGCAGCAACCACGCCTTTTCTGGTTGGTCAAGTGATATCAAAGGATCAAGTCCCAAAACCCATTCAAACCCTATCAAGGATGTGCTTTGGTACTCCTCCTCAAGTGCCGTAAAAGTAGCTCTATAGATCGAGTTAACCGCGAACTGTGGTGGTCTCGGCTGAACATATATGGTTTGTGTTTTTTGGAACGCTAGCAAATGTTCGGGATTATGGTCGAAATCAAGGACCGCTGGCCACCATCCAGGTTTCCCCGTTTTGACACCTGCAACGTTATCCAGATCCGGAAGGATGCACGGTGCATTGTGCTTCATTATCGTCCCGTCTTTCATCGTGACTTCGACAGGAATCGAAATCGGTCTATTAGTCTCTACTTCTCGTGGCACCAGGCATCTTGGCTCTGCCGCTAAGACCCAGAAATGACGGAAAGCTTGCAAGTGCGAACGGTTATCCAGGATGCTATTGGGGTAGAGCGGATAGAAGGCCAGGAGAAGCGAGCCAATGGCCAAATTCGACGTTCCAAATGTGAATGTACCCCCTGCGAGGAAGAGGACACCGATCGCTATATGGGTCGCAAGGTGACTTCCGAAAGGCATATCACCATCGATTTTACCATGCATCCGGCGGAGCCGGCGTAGAACAGGGATGTCCCCTGATCCAGCCATGATCGTAGCCGCCGAGAGAGCAATTACTGCTTGACAGTTTCTAGCTGTTGCCCTTGAGAGTTTCTGATCATAGTTTACCGCTAGCCAGCTTGTCAGCGATTTTAATCTAGAACGTTATTTGATTGGGAGTAATCTTACCCGAAAGTAGACACAGCCTAGTAAACTGGTCTAGGTAATATAGCAGTGTATCTCTTGCCTTTTCATTCATGGTACCAGCATACTTCAACCCTATTGCAAAACAAAGGCCACCGACAATGTTAAACAATGGCAAATGGGAGCTATCCAGATGCTTGATTGAATCTAGTTTACAGTGAGCCTTGAGGCAACCTGGGAAATTGTTGCTAATCCATTCCAGGGAAGGTTCTATGTTATCCCACATGATTAGATGCTTCGCGAGAGTTCTGAGGAGGAAAATATCAGGACGGACATAGTCCATCAAGGCGGTCGTTTCGGGAACATCAATCTTCTTCGCTAAGGCCTCATCATTGGTCTTCATATATATCAGCGCAAGAGCAATCGTAGCTGAAGCTGTTGACTTATCGAGTGAATGTATCATCTCGATATTTTTGCTTCCAACTGCGATGCCAAGAAGTCGAGTGACGATGTTGAGGTCCTGTAGGGATTTAAGATCATGCCCCTTCCCTAAATTGATGAAACCAAGGGCGAACCCGGCGGCAAGCCTGTAGCCTTCATCTCGGAGGTTGTCTGGTGGTGCCGACGGGTCTAAGTTTTCAACTTCTTCGATTTCAGAGAGAAGCATTTCACTCATTCTTCGGTGTTGGGTGTTGTAATATAGAAGTCCGACCCCCATGATACCTGCAGTCTGTGTCAATGGCGAAAGGTTGAGATCTGCAGAGCCATGGGGTAAAAGCCGGACCACATGCACTGATAGCAGCTTGGTAATCATATTATCCATAGTACCAAGGTACGATGCAGCCAAACCTAACAGTAGGCCAATGCAAGTCATTGTATGCTTCGGTGTAAGATAATTAAATGCATCCCATTTGGCAATCGACTTAAGGTGACCGTTCAATCCTAGTGCTAGGAGGAAGCCAGCATGACGGTTACTAAGCTCACTAGGCTTGTTGAAAACGATCCATGAGGTGTCGATATCATGCGCTTCTTTTGAAATACTAAGTCCTGCCGCAACGCCGGCATGAAAAAATGCCCAGCAGACCTTTTCTTCTGTGTAGTTTACTTTCTCGGCGCTAACAGTAAATCCACCAGGTTTCATGATGCTAGTCAAATTAAAGCCTGGCGTCGGAAACTTTTCGGTAAGGAGGGGTATTCGAGCGCTGTAGTAGAGGAGGCCTCGTCCGGAGGGGACTGCTAAGGTTCGCATTGCAGTAAACTGGGCGAGGGACTGCTGTCGTTCGATTTGCTCCTGCTCAGTCATGTTTTGGTCGGGAATGAATTTTACTGCACATGGTCTTGATGATTGCAAAAGCTTTACTGCTTCATTCCAACGACGATCGTCAGGCCAAATGAGTTTTGTGATATTGGTACGGTCCATCTCTGCGCTTCCGTCGAAAGCGCCAAGACTTTCTGGCTCAAGGGTGGTCGAACAAATGGTATGGGCATCTCGAAGACCTTCATGGAGCGGAGCCTACACCCGGGATTAGATAAATTCCAACAAACTTAAAGTATTGGTGTTGCTCACATTTGTCCATCTTGTGGCTTGATTTTTCCCTTTACCGCTCAGGACAAGCTTCAAATCTTTGCGAGATATAAGCTCAAGAGCAAATTCTCCCCAAGATGTTGGAGGGCTTTCTTGAACCCGAGCAATAGCTTCGATGAACGGTATAGCAACTCCCTCTGGCAGCTTTTCTAAGAAACCCCACGTAATACCCAACTTGATCATTTGCGCCACCGTGTTTTCGAAGTTTCTTCCTGAAATTCGAACTTGGGAGTAAAGTTCCGTCATTAATCGTGTTTTCGGCGTTATATGTGCACAGTGGTTACTAGTGTTTAGGAGCTCATTATTTTTGGGGACGACAATGTCGTGTAGCGTCATGAAGGGGATTTGCACAGCTCGAGATTGATCCTGGAAGCACTCGACGAGCCAATCGTAGATGGATGGCTGCTTGAAATGTGGTTCATTCACCGCAACCTCAGGAAAACGAGCTAAAGAGAATAATCAGTAAAAATGGGTCGGACTAGGCGGAGATGGGATCCTCACAATTATCGAATTCCCAGCTTTCCATTTCGATGTCATCTGCCATGTACCCACTCACCCAGCCAAACCATCCCATCCACGTGCACATTTGTACAAGTAGAGCCCCCATTTTTCGAACAGCCGGTTCCATAGAAAGGTCTAGTTTCCACTCTTCTCGGAGTATATGAAGCCCCACGATCAACATAGCGAAAGACGTCCTTCGTACCTCCGCTTCGTTGCTCTTGGTGAATAACTCCTTTTCGATTCCCTTTCCCTCTTTAGTTGTCAGGAACTCGCGAGCAGCGGTCATGCAATCTATGAAGTAATTGTTCTTCTTTGGTTTAGAGCTTGGACCCAAGCCACTGGAACCGAGTGAGGCTCGGGCCCCCTCAACCTTCTGTTCCTCGATTTCTGCCACCCATTCCCATGCTGTTGATCGAAGAAAATCGGCCTGAGGACCGATATCATAGTCATCAGTGAGCATATCTTCCCAAGTCGCAGAACTCGCGCTTGATATCCTCGCGAGCCCCGTCCGCCTCCTAGGCTTCCTGACAACTTGTGGGAGAGTTGAAACACCGAGCAACATAATGGTCATAACAAACCCCTTCCATTCTTCAAGCGTCGACCCTGGTTCCGCAAAAGCGAAGTTCTTGACACTTGACTTGGTTCGCATTATCTCCATCCAAGCAACGGAAATCGCTTCGCCACCTCTCGGCGCTGGAAGCACGTATCGTCCTGTCTCAAGAGCTTGTTTTACGAACTCATCTTTGGGACAAATCTGTATAGACAGCCTGTGGATTATGCTTTTTTCATCGATAAGGGATACTCTTCCGTGGGCTTCGGGGTATGTTAAACCTGTGATCTTGTTCAGTGGAAGAGACAAAGATCTTGCAAAATCTCGTTTTTGTTTTCTCATTTGTCCGGGTGTGTGCATGTTTGATCGGGCAAGGGTTGGCGGAATAGGGAGATTTAGTGGAGGGCACCAGGGAGCTCCAATTTCTATTTGACCATCTTCCTTGAGAACCAATAACTTTGTGATATTGTTATCTAAAATCTGCACAGCGTCTTTCCCCGACTTTTGCAGCACATCAATCAACGTAACCTTTCTAAGGGAACGTTTTCTGGAAGCATATGCGGGGAGTGGAGCAGGAAGTTGTAGAATAACTTGAAGGATTCTAGACTCAAAGTTATTAACAATGACTAGGATTGCCCTTTGCCCCTCATTCTCACTGGCTGTTGACATGCGAGGTGCGAGAACGGTGAATATGCGCGGGAGCTTTGCTAGCGGTAGTGAATCGGGACCGAGGCTGTAGGGAATAGTTTTAATTTTTGTAAATAATATCTCATTTCGAAGACTGTTGACTTCTGTCTGCCCAAGGGTCTCAAGGTTAATATTACTGTTAAGTTCGTCTAACAGAGCATCAATCGGTGGGACATCACGAAAAGATGAAGAGCCGGCTTTAGCCATATCGCTGAAAGATACCCTGTCAACAGAGCCTCCGAGATCCGCACGAGCCACAAGTGAGCTGACCCTTCGGTTTGAGGTCTTTTCTTTGTCGAAATCTAACCTTAGGCTTTGTTCAGGGCTTATCATGCTCGGGTTTGGTACGGCAGGTGTCGCAGCTCCAGTCCCGGCGCCAAAGGAGGATCTTCTCCTGGAGAGTGTTCCTCCTAGAGACGGCGTTCTTTTACCTGCTGCCCCAAGTTGGCCTTGCGGGATGTATTTTGCTTGCCATATTGTGATGTGACCGCGATGTATATTCCGAGTAACCGCAACAATGACTTCTGTAGCAGCCTTCGAGTGCATACTGGCACTCTTCTGTTGTATTCTTTCCATAAAAAGAATTTCTTCCCCAGGGTCCATCGCGCTACCACCATCTTGGTCAAGTACCATCCCAAGATCTGAGAGGGGGTCTTTAAGAATAAATAGTCTTGGTACGTCTGGTAAGCTGTATTTCCCTTGGAGCATGACCCCATTGGGAGCTGCAAGAGCGTATTGAACATCGCACGGTAGGTGAACGACATAGCTCGTCCCGGTAAGGAAGTAAATGAACGCCTCATTTTTAAGTAAAACGATTAGTGCCCTATTCCCTGATTCCTCGAATACTGAATCCTCATCCTCTGGGTTTTCTTCCTCATCAATATCCATAAATGCAACATCCTTCTGCTTCCTCTTCATCTTCGGAAAGCTCCCTAGCTGCGTGGCGTATGTTCTCGACTTAGAGTTCCATGTCGTCTTCTTTCTCGCTAGGTCGGAGTCCTGGTTTGCTTTCTTTCGCCTCTTGCCATCTTTCTTATCTGCGACGACATTTTCGTCATCGAAGAACCAGGCAAACAGTGCCTGTTGGACATTCTGTTTCTCTGCCCTGTATCGATATACTCGTTGGATAACACCTCCCTGCGACCATATCACGGTATCTTTGACAACCAGAAGTTCTTCGTCGGGAACGTGAGGTGATAGCGTCCATTGGTAGGAGTTCGGAGGTGGAGGGTCAGATAGGAGCTTTTCGGCAAAGCAGTAAGGTAGAGCTGAGGGTTTGTGTTCGCCAAGGGTAGTGATCTGGGCCATCGCGTGGGCAGGACTAAGCTCGAGAGCCCAAGTTGGTTCGTAACGAGGTGTAACACGAGGATATCGAAAGCATTCTTCACGAGCTTAGAGAATCGGTGAGTCGATAAATTCTCTCGGATGCAACGGCCAGGAGAATGATCCAACCGTTGCGATAAGTGATGTGTTTAGTGGGTATGGGACTCAGTCGGTCAAGATTGTTGAAGCAATCCCGAGCTTGAAAGTTGTTGCAATTGCGGGTCGAGAGTCAATATTGTGGTGTAGCTGTGGGCACGACGCCAAGTCCACGCCGCCCTAGGTACGGGTACGCATGGTCTCAGGAAAAGAGTATCCCGACGTCACGTGAATTTAAATGCTCAATCCCTTCGCGTCGTGGTAATTGGCGCTTCCACTACCTAACTAAGATACAGACTTCAGTCCCAGGGAAGATTGATTGATTGTATTAATTATATCACTTGAAAAGCGCTAATCGCTGGTATATACACAAAAGCAACCTACGATGGTATCTAACACCTCATGAAAAGTTATATAAAAAAAATGGAATGCGGCACATAAGCGAATAAAACATCTCAATGCGGCCCCTGAATGGTGGACCGACCCTTCAAAGAAGCATCGGCTTGACTTCCAAGGGACACCCGGCATCAATCTTTTGTCGAATTAATGCTGCCCTTGTAACCTTCTCCGCCACACTCATGACTGTCATGCCTCCATACCCTGGCTGGTCGTATGCCGCATCAGCCATTGCCTGATCAGCCCTAAAAATGATTTTCTCAATTTCGTCCTCCGCCTCTTCCTCTTCCTCCGCCTCCTCTTGCTCCTCATCGGACAGGTAGCCAGACAACCGCGCGTCAGGATTCTTCCTTAACCATTTCTGCTTTTTAAACAGACAACGGAGATGGAATACGTGCCCACAAGCAAAAGCAACCAGTGTCTCTGGCTCCCTGTGTTCGAAATCTCGCTTGCATATTCCGCAGCTAGAATTTTGAGCTGGCGCTGCTTCTTCCTCTTTTCCTTTCTCTTGTATCATTTCGTCCATGATAGCTGCAACCGCTGACTCTACCGCTTTAACATCAAACTTAACCCCTCTTCTACGCCCAGTTCTCAATTTCTCCATGCCAACATTCACTTCCCCGGAAAGACACCTTGCCACACCAGCGCTCAGACTCCATTGAATTTCGTGCTCTCGTAGAATCTTCGTCAGACCCTCCTTCAAGCCTGGAACCTCTAGTCCATTTGGAATTCTCTTGATCAATTCGATTGGGTTTAAACTTGTCCCCACATTTTCGAGCAGGCCAAGAATAAATTTGGGCTTGTCCATTCCGTACTCCAGGAGATCATTCCAAAGGTCAGGGTCGTCCCGGCTCTTCGCAAAATCGATTGCGGCTGCAACGTCGTTCTTTTCATTGATGATGAGGAAAAGTGCACGTTTCGTCTGGCCAGTAAGAGAATACAGATACACTAACTCGTCAATATACTTACGTTTCTCACAAATCTTCACCGCCTTTTCGAAGTCGTAGTCTTCGCTAGTTTGTAGGAATTCCATTAGTGCTTGTCGGTCATATTCCGCAAAAGAGACAACCATAAGGTCCCCAAATGGTTGGAGCCGCCCGCGTATGCCGATTCCAGTGAATGCAGCTTGCTTGTCTCTAAACCAGAGATCTTTAAGATAGAAGAATAACAACAAGGTTTCATCTGTTCGCTGTAATTCCCTGACCACATCTTCTAGAGTTATTCCAGCACCCTCATGGTCCCAACCTTCGTGCACGAGGAGCTGCACATTCTCTTTTGTCTCCTGTTCTAGCTGCTCCACGGTTGCAGAGTCCCGCGTTTTGTCATCAACACCTAACCAAAGCCATTCTGCGACATGGCCTTTGATTGCTCCACTAAGGATGTTGTACTCTTTAGCCAGTCGAATTGCCTCTTCAGCGTTCCTAAGCATAATATACTCCATCAACGCTTCGGTATGCCGCGCCGTACGGGTATATAGTATCGCAAGGCAATTGTGTAGCCTTCTCCATCCAACCTTGCCCTTCTGCAACCCAGATTCTCCTCGATCCTTTAGTTTCCTCTCCACAACTTTTGCGATTCCATTGCCGTCGTACAATTCACCCGGCCAAGTTTGAACCAGGGCCTCGAACATTGCCCAGTCTTCCTCAAGATAAGTATTGAGAATGAGCTCGTATATGGCAGTTGCGATTCGTGGCCGAAGTACTTTGATAGGAACGTGCGGAGTAATTTCTCGGACTTTACCAGCTTTTAAGAAGACCCAAATCCAGCTTTCCCAGCGAGGGCTGGTGTCCAGAACCTTCTCCGATACTTCAGCTGCTTCCTCCCATTTTTTATCCCGAACAAGTTCCGCAAGCCATAATTCTCCAATTCTCCTCTTCTCTTTGGCTGAAGCGGAGTAAAGGTTCTTATTATGTTCAGTGATGCTCATGTCATCCGTACCGCTACCCTCTTCGTCTGTATCATCCTCTATAGCAGATCCCTGAACTATATCGGGGAATTTATCGACGAGATTCCAAGACTCTGCAAACCGAGATTTGTCCAAGAGCCAGTTTAGCCTGTCCTTTTTTCCACGCTCCGTAGCGAATATACAATCGTAGGGTGATGATATATAAACCTTCCATCCGGGTACATCCTCTCTGCCATCCATTGGAGACTTGGGTTTAGCCTTTAAAAACAATCCTTTAAGGGATGATCTCGGAGTGTCCTCATCCCGCTTGCTGCTGCTAGCCCTCTCCGTGGAGAAACTGTCGGATCTTGACATAATACTCGCGCCTGAGCTAAAAAGAGTCGTCGCGTTAAGGCCAGCGGACCAAAGGCCTCCCCCAAATCCGGCCGCGCCTTCCGGTAGCTCCCCAGCCTTGGGTGTAACTGGTGTACCTGGTGCCGTAGGACCCCGTGTCCTAACCAAATGGGAAGTTGGGGGAACAAAAGAAAGGTGGTAGTCATTAGCTGATAGAGTTTCGTATCGAGACATCATCAAACTATCAGCACTGATCTCCGAAGCAGTAACTAGGTCAACTATCCTGATTTCTGGAGCCAGTGCATTCGCACGGTGCGGCAATCTTCTACGGGGAGCAGGTTCGGTTCCTTCTCCTGATGGTGCCTCCGACTCCTCCGACTCTTTTGGTTTCTCAGCAGTGAGGTAAGCAAGAAACAGGACTTGAGATGGATTGTAGAGTGTTAGGCCGGCAACTGTGCAATCGGTTTGTACGCTTCGAAATATTAGCAAAGATAAGCAACCCAGCCGGAGAAAAGAGTTCCTTACACGTGCACAATCTCCGCCCAGCCCCAAGCCCTGCCCTCGTTAGATTCAACGGCACCTTTACCTTTGGTCGCAGGTGCGGCTTGTATGACGAATCCGTCCCCACCATAAACATCGACAACCCATATAACTGGGCCCCATGACAGTAGCAGTCTTTCCTTCCCACCACCCCTAACGACCTTCTGGCCCACGACTTTCTTCTTCACCAAGTGACCCTTCCCCTTCCCCTCTTCGCTTTCAATTTCCTCTGCCCTTCTTTCGAGAGTCTCCAAATCAATCCATTCCATTCTCACTCTCCAATTGGCAGCCATCTCTTCAGGGACCTCCTCGGGTCGATCTATCGAGCTAATCTTTCTCCATTCCCCTGCCCGATCTATTCTGTCGCCTCTAAACGTGACGATATGGCTTCGCATGATCTTTATTCCGGACTCGTTAGCCCACGCAACGAATCTTGGTGAAACTCGACTCCAAGAAATAGTACTGATCGGCCCCTCTCCAGAGTACAACACGGTGTCTCGAGCTCCTCCGCCCCATGGCAACCAAGAGCCACTTCCTCCTGCCGCCGATGCTGCAGCTGAAGTGTTAGGGCTAGCTCGGGAAACGATCAAATTTCCGGCGCGACCACCTGAGAGAAATAATCTGTCATGTTTGAATGTTGGTGATAACGCAATAGCCGACACTGGCCGCGAAAAATTCCTTCGTGATACATCTTTCGAATCCTGGAGATGTGTGATGCAAGTATATCCATCGAGTGATGAAGTAGCTATATGTATTGAAGATGTGGATACTGCAGCAGAGTTATCTTGCCAATAAAGCGAGGAAGGTGGTGGTATCGGCGGTGAGACCGAAAGCGAAGTCACCGAGGCTGTATGGGCGTGATATACTCGTAGTGGATGAAGTGACGGCAGGGATAATATATGCTATCGCCAGTTCAGCAGGATATTCAGGTACAATAAACTATAAAGATATGCTTACTATGTTTCCGTTGTGTGTACCGATAATCTGTGCTTTCAAAGCCAATTAGCGAAACCGATGGCAATTGCGAAGTAAGGATACTTCTGGGGTTCTACCAGTTTATCACCAGCGACAATGGCGGTACTTGTCGCATCTCCATTTCGGTAGACGTTCCCCATAGAAGAAGTAAGCCGGACATATTTTAATTTCGGTTCTTCCTCCTCTCCTTCGTCGTCGTCCTCATCCCCGCCCCGTGAGTCCGTGGAAGCATGACCACCTTCATGGGTCAAAACGACTGTCGCTGTTGTCTCCTCATTCGCTTTCGGGGTTTCGTCTCCGTCGGTAGTATCCTTTAACTTCGCAGACGATAGGGGAATCGAAGGGATATCCTCTTCTTTTAGAGGACCCAGCGACGAGGATGATGATGGCTCCATTGCATCTCGGGTTGTATGAAGTCAGGATGAGGGACGTAGTTCCAAGCCAGAGTACTAGAGGTTGTAGGTTACTCGGGGCAGCTGCTCGATGACGAACATGGAACGCGACAGCTTAACCATCGGCAACCCTCAGGCCCAGTCCGGGGTAACCTTCAACACACTAGCTTTACTGCACTCTTGGCTTCGTATTTGGCGAGTCGACTCGATGTGTCATGATATGACATGACGCCGAAACCGAACGCGACGCGAGCATTTAAATTACTTTTAAGGCCCTTAATCTAGAGGCGTTGACTTCTACGAGCTTATCTATTCAACTGCAATTGAACTACACAGCCAACTGTACTTCAAGAGAGACCACGTCAAAGATGCCTCGAAGTAAGGATATGCATATGGACGAAGACGACGATGACAATGCATTCACAGATACCCGTAAAGTTACCCAAGAAAAGGAAGATGTGGATGCCAAATTTCCCAACCGTCCAAGGAACGAGAAACCGAGTCCACCCTTCAGTGTTCTGTATCGGGAATTATTCAACCCATTGATGCAGAACTTGAAGAATCCGGCAAAGACTCGAGGCAAGCGTTCAACACAGAAAGCGCCCCAAGAGAAACGTCGAGAAATCATAACAAGATTTATTGCACGATGGCGAAGAGATGTTGGAAACGACATTTGGCCCGCTTTCAGGCTTATAATGCCAGACAAGGATAGAGAAAGAAGTGTTTATGGGTTGAAAGAGAAAGCTCTGGGAACCGTCTTAATTAAAGTTCTCAGGATTTCGAGAGACTCTGATGATGCATATAACTTGCTGCATTGGAAACAACCTCGTATTGGTGGTGACTCGAAAGCTACCGGTGCGGGAGACTTCCCATCTAGATGCGAGACAGCCATTTCAAAAAGAGCTTTGAGAACAGATCCCGGTGATCTCACGATTGATGATGTCAACGAACTCCTCAACCGATTGGCTGAGGACTCAAAAAATCATACGCCGGTCATTCAAGAATTCTATAACCGAATGAATGCGGAAGAACTGACATGGCTTATCAAAATTATCCTGAAGCAAATGAAAGTTGGTGCTACAGAAAAAACATTCCTCGATTGCTGGCACCAAGACGCAGATGAGCTTTACAACGTCTCATCTTCTTTGAAACTTGTCTGTTGGGATTTATGGGACCCGGAATTCCGCCTCGATAGCAGCGACAAAGGAGTTAAACTCGGGCAAACGTTCCAGCCCCAGTTGGCCCAATTCCAACTTCGATCTTTTGAAGATGTCGTCAAAAAGATGCAACCGACTGAAGACGACAAGGTGTTCTGGATTGAAGAAAAATTGGATGGAGAGCGCATGCAATTACATCTACATGATGATGGGACATTCAAGTTCTATAGTAGAAAAGCAAAGGAGTACACGGATCACTACGGTTCGTCAGTTGATGATGAGAATGGGACCCTCACTCGATACCTTAAGAAGGCCTTCAAGCCGGGTGTCCGGAACATCATTCTCGACGGCGAAATGGTAACCTGGGATCCTATTGAAGACGCTATGGTCGCTTTTGGCACCCTCAAATCCGCTGTCATTGCTCAGAGGACAGACGATCCCTCCGCTCACCGTCCGTTTTTCCGAGTATTCGACATCTTATATCTGAATGACACTTCTCTGATCAAGTACACACTCAGAGATAGACGAAATGCCCTTATCAGCGCTGTGGAACCGGTTCATCGAAGGCTTGAGGTCCATACATACACCGAAGGCACGACAGTCGAGGATATTAAAGTAAAACTACGAGAAGTGGTTGCTGAGGCTTCTGAAGGCCTTGTTATCAAGAACCCCCGAAGCATGTATTGCCTTGGTGATAGAAACGATGATTGGCTGAAAGTAAAACCCGACTATGTGAAAGACCTTGGCGAGAACTTCGATCTTCTAGTAATAGGTGGATATTATGGCCAAGGCAGCCGTGGTGGAAGACTATCTAGCTTCATGTGCGGCTTGCGAGCTCCAAACGGCAAATACTACTCATTTACGAAAGTTGGTGGTGGATTTTCGGCTCAGGATTATAATTGGATTAGACACCAAACTGAAGGCAAATGGAATACTTGGAATACACGAAAACCACCCGCGGAATACATCGAACTAGCTGCTGGGCAAGCAGAACGTCCCGACGAATGGATCAAACCTGAGGATTCGATTGTCATATCAGTTAAGGGAGCCGCAGTTACGCCCAGTGATCAATTCAAGACGGGCCTAACGTTAAGATTTCCTCGTTTCACAAAACTGAGGGAGGATAGATCATGGAATTCAGCGCTATCGCTCAATGAATTTTTCCGCAGGAAGAGAGAATTGGACGAACAACAGCAGAAAGAAAATGAAATGCACATCGAGCAAAGGAGGGCTACGAAGAGAGTGCGAAAACAGTTCAAAATCGCTGGTGCGGATCAAATTGTGGAGCCCGTAGCAGTTAGCAATGATCATCTCTTCGAAGGAATGAACTTCTGTAAGCCTTTTTGACAACTTCGTCCGTTGGTACTCCTAATTTTCTAACATCACGCATAGGGATTATGACCGAATCATCAAAACCAAGGAAAAGTAAAGCTGAAATTGAAGGCATAGTCAAAGCCTGTGGGGGCAACATATTTCAGTCTGACGGCGGTGCACCAAATGTAAAATGCATTGCCGACAAATCCGTAGTAAAAGTTCTGACGCTAAAGAAGAAAAATGTCGAGGTTATTCGCCCACAATGGGTATTTGACTGTCAAGAGCTTGGGTGCATTTTACCGCTCGAAGCGGATAGACATATGCTTTTCATCCCTCCCGATTCGAAAGATAAATTCGAGGAGACAATTGACCCATATGGTGATAGTTACTACCGCGATACCACTGCTGAGGACCTTAGTAAGTTACTCAGAGACTGTGTAAAGTTGGAAAATGACGAAACCATCACTGAAGAGGCCGTATCTGAACTGAAAGACGAGCTCTCGCAAGTCGATCCGCCAATCGGCTGGATGTTCCAGCACATTGTGGCGTACCTTGACACTCCCCAGAATGCCCAGAAGAATCATATATCCGCAACCGCAGAAGATATTTTGAAAGCAAATGGCCAATCTCGTTCGCAACTCGATAAAATCGGTTTAAATTTGATGATGTGCCAGAATTTGCTCGAGTTTGGCGATGGGAAAATCGTTGACGATTTCGAAAACGAAGATATAACACATATCATAGTCGATTACCAGGATCTCACGAGAGTTAGGGCGATCCGAAGCCTCTTGAGTGCTAGAGATACGATCCCAAGAGTGACGCTAACTGATTGGATTGAAGAAAGTTGGCGGGATGAGACTCTGCTGGGTGTAGAAAGTAAGTTTACCAGGAACCCTAGAGAATTATATTATCAAAGGCGAGGCAGTATTAACAAAAATATGGAAAGATTTCCCAGTCGAAGTCTAAGTTCCGAGGTAGATCCTTACTTGAGACCCTAGATCAAGCAACTAAAATACCTTTATTAATATTACATCGGTCATTGAAATCTCGAATGTGAAAGGTGGCACCCCAATTTACAGCCCCCCCTTTCAAATACATGTCATCATACCATTCGACGATATACCTTCACCTTCATTTCCCAACCATTCTGATCATACGCAGAACCTTGCTACTCCACTCGTTTTCGAGGAATTACTTATCATCACTTGCTCAAAATATATATTGCAATGCCTCAAGCGAACTACTTCCTAGAGCATCAGTTTCTATACAGTAGAACCCCACCACCTGCCGCCGGAGAAACCATACTATTCACAAACCGTGTAGTATCTTCCTATTTACCAGAACCGCAATATCTGTCTAAGCTCCCGCAGCCATTTGATATTCCAACAGCAACTGGACCTTTTTATCATAAGGCCAGCTTGATCTATAGATACTCCCATTCTCCACCCGGGGAGGTTGTTGTATGGTGGGCAGCAAGACCCATCAATGAATTTGACTTGCCTCTCGAACATCCTTCATCCCGCCAGTAGATTTTGCCTCTCCCTCTAGAAGCACGGATCGAGGCTCTAGACGCACCTTTCCCAAATTATACGATTATATCCCCAGGTTTACCTAGTCCCCTCCCCCCAGCACCACCTTTAAACCCCATACCAACAACAGCCCAATACCCCCTTCCTCCGCCAGAGCCCCCAATTTTTTCGCCAACTTTTCCAACTGTGTCTGCAAACCCAATACAACCACCACCAACACCACCACCCCTAGATTTAAGCGGTGAGTCCGGCCATGACTGGGTTTCCAGTAAGCCATAAAACGCTCCAATTTATCTATATAGTATATAAATATTGACAGATACGCTAACCTAAACTATTGTTTATAGAAATGTGTGGCTGTGTGTGGTACGCCCAAGTACTTGCAGATGGTAGCAGGGTTCCATTTAGAAGCGTCTACTGTGAGGAACCTTGGTGTCGTTGGCCCGTCAAATACAATTTAGGGCCGTGGACTTATACACCTACGACACAAAGTTGGATTCGTGATATTTATCGCATCCGTACCTGGCCCCGATCGTGAGACGGGTGCCCAGAAAAGATTTTAGGGGTTAGTTGGGGGTACCATGTTGCAAATTGGAGTGTTTTTTTATGATGTGCATTTGCAGATGCCTGGGTACGAGTCTTCGCTACCAACGAGACTAGGTACGGGCGGTTTATAATGGTGTCCCTGGGATTAGCAGCGTTAGAGTTTGGTATTGTCTCATCGCCAGACCCGTCAACTGTGAGTTTGATAGGGAGTACCTAGGGCCTCTCGTTCTAGAATTGCTTTCTCTATTTTGTGTGTGGTGAGGTAGCTGTGTCATGGCATAATCTTTCTTCGGAATGTTTGATGAATCATGAATTGGTTGGGCTGCTACGCATACACGCATGTGATTATTATCAAGTTAAATGCGCAGAATTTCAATATGTATGCTACTTCTGCAACAGGATGTAGTCCCGTCATATGATATAGTGAAGCTTTGCTTTTGATTCAATCTTTCATAAAGCGAGTCACAAATAAGAAGCAACTCTGTAGAAACAGGGTAATAGGATAGCAACAATAACCGAATTAAGCAGAAACGGGATCAGCACCACAGGTGAAGATATAGAGAAACGTGGACCAAATGGACATCCTACAATGAGATATCTTGAACCCATAAAACTAAAAAAGAGTATAGAAGGAAAGGAGCAATAAAAATAGGCTGAAAAAAGCTCATATGAATAAGCAGCTACAATGAACCCCATCCAAAAACGCCATTGGAAAAAAAAAAAGAGCCGAAACAAGGTGTGCGGGCATGGAATCGAAAGACAAAAAAAACTCGATAGCTCATGGCCATCAATATAGGGCGGTAGAGAGTGCATTTGTGTAGTATCTGTGAGCTTGGCCGTCGCATTATCTAACGGCTAGAAACGATTCACTGTGGTTCGTTATCATCAATGAATTTCGTCAATCAGGTTAAAGGGGTTGGAGGGTATATCGATATCAAATCATAAAAAGAAAAACTCGTCGAAGGTTCAAGGGAAAAGGTGACAACTGAAAGGTGCGAAACCATACAAGAACCAAATGGGATACCAAGGCACATGCAAGACTTAGTAAGCCTCGTCTTCCCAATCATCGTCTTGTGAGACCTCTCGAACGCCAGGAACAATCCCGCGAACCTTCCTCGAGTGAAGACTGAAATTATCGAGATTTCTTCGGTCTTTCACAGCCTTTAGCTTGTCGAAATAATGCTTGCTAACATCTTGTTCGTAGTCGGAATCGTCTCCATAAGTTTCCCAATTCTCACTGCTTACGCCACTACCGACCGAAGCTAGGGTTGAGGCTTGTGATGTAAGCGATGGAACTCGGTTCATGTCGTCGTACGAAACAGCATGCTTAATTTCCTTCGATTCTTGAATAAAGCCCATTCTGTCGAAAGAATCCCCCCGTCTCGCCATCATATTCTCAAGCGGACTGCAGATGGTCGAGGCGGTACTCATATCCGATGGAATGTGCGCCATTATATTTCGAGCAACCGAATGTATTTGAGGATGAGGTGGCACATTCTCTTTAGTGAGAAGGTCGAATGACTTCATCCTGGGAGGCGGATGCCTAACTGAGTTAGCACTCGTCTGAGCGGCTTGTTGAGCCATATATGCAGGCATTCGTCGAATGCTTCCACCAGCACTACTTGGTGTTTTGGTCGGATTGTTGGATCTTCTCCCAAGGGTAGCCGGCGTCGTGCTACGGGCCGGGACCGGGGGTTTCCGCTCAGGTGAGCCCTGCAGATTACGGGCTAAATTAGACAGAGGCTGTCGATTGTATGGTGTTGGAGACTTTGTGGCAGCCCGCGATGGGGGCGCCTTGGAAGAGGCGACTGGAGTCCTAGCGGCTGAGCGCAGACCAGCAGCACTATTGGGTCTTGCGGGAGCCGGCTTAGGGGTCGCAGCAACCTTGGGGGTGGCCGCTCTCGGTCCAGCAGTCGATCTCAGAACAGAAGCCGCCGATTGTTGGGTCTTCGAATTGGGTCGTTGCTTCTCGAGAATAGTGTGGAGGAAAGGTTCACCGAGAACTATGAATGGCTCTCCATGTTCTGCCTCCCAACCCTCAAGAGCAACAACCAGGTCACTCTCAATCTTTGGAAGTTCCTTGGCAATCTTCTTCCTTGTCTTCTCCTCTCGCAGTAGCCTTGTGGGATCTCTAGGCCCTTTGGCTAGCAGACGGGATGGGTCCTGGGAAGAAGCGTCCAAGCTCGCCTTATCATTCACAAGTGTTTGATATCTTTCAACCAAGCTGAGTATAGGGCTGCGTTCATCGATAATCTTCTGAAGTCGCGCAATTTCCATTTCATGAGAACGGAGCACTGCTTCCGTATTTGATGAGGACCAAGCTGCTGTGAAATCATACATCTCATCCTCAGTGTAGTATAGAACATCCCACATCTCTTGAAGGGTTGTTCTAGCGTCTGAAATAAAGATATGCATGTGCTCTTTCTTAACTTCCAGCAACCTTTCGAGTTCGTTTTCCCACTAAAGCCCGAAAATTTAGCAAAGTTTAACCTAGCCGGCCTACTAGAGAAAGTTGACTTACATTTTGGATAACAGAAAGGCTGAACCCCCTGTTCTGTTGCAGGAACCTGTCCTCCTCCTGGTCATCTTGTTGGAATTTTTCCCAGAGAGGTTGGAGTTGCTGGTGAATGTCGTTGATTTTGCGTTCTCTGATAGTCCTCTCGTCCACCAGTTTTTGCTTCTTAGATCTCAAAGCAGTGATTGCATCTAGTTTGATATCAAAGCCATCGTAATTCTCTCTGCATGCATCTACAATCTTTCGATCAAGAAGGTGGGATGGCGTCCCAAGATCTGCCCATAAATTGACGATTTCAGCGCTTAGGGTTTTCACTGTCGCAATCCTACGCGTGAACTCCTCATAAACGCGGGCAAATTCAACTTCAAGTTTCTTCTTCGAAGCCCCGGTGATCTTGAAAGTGTAGGTCGGGTTGGTAAGATTTGGGAGCTGGAGACGGAGGAACCCATCTTCCAATTTGCAGACATAGGATTGGAGGGCTTGGACGAGTTCTAAGTTCAAAAATATGCTCAGCCAACTTTCTACAAACATCACGTAACCACACACAGGACAACTTACTTTTTATTCCTTCGAACTCCTGGTCATACTGGCTACGTAGCATATTATGCTTGTTTTTTAAGGTCTCCACGCAGACCCGGAGCGGAATTGTCACCACCAGGTCATCATACATATTTGCGCTTGCACCATCGTCCATTGCACGATGGATCTGTCGAATACCGGAGATCAATTTATTGGCCTCTTCAACCAGAGCATTCTTCTCGGCGTTGACCAGACGGAGATGGCTCTGCAGGGTTTCAGAAAGGGCGGCGAACAAGGCCGCTTCTTTGGATTCGCGATCATGATGTGGAACACCAATTTCGTCAAAAATTCCGTGAAGAGATTCGATTGCCGAGGTGACTTGGGATGTGAGGTATGAATTGTCCATCTTTTGTATCCGTCTCCTTTAGGAGAGGTAATCCAGGGATGTCAATACGACCGCTATAGGAAGGTATGGGCCTGGAATTTAACAAGGATAAGGCGGCGATGCTGATAACAATGCCACTATAAACCGTTTTTATGATAGTATGGACTGAAGCAAAACCCGTATGCTTAGCCAACGTGACCTAAGGAATGACCGGCGTGATGGGGAGCAACGCTTCCGTATGATCGCAAAATTGTCGATTCGACTTGAAGCAATTCAATTGCTACACCGCGACGATTTGTTAGTACCAAGGAAGAACCCTTCGATGGCTTATGAAAAGGGGTAATGCGAAGAGGATGGGGAGATGAAGATAGATTGATGTCGAATGTCAGAATGTCAGAAAGCCTCTATGGATGTGGCTTTCGGGCGAGCCTTTGTATATGAAGTTTTGGTGCTGCTTGGTTACCTAGGTAGGTAAACAAATTGGGTCACAAAGAAGATGCTGGTTGCTATGCGACACCATCCCATCCCAGGTGCACCCCGGCCAATCAGCGAACTGAAACATAACAACCACGCCCTCAACACTTCATGCCGGTCATGCATATGGTTATGATGTCCAGCATGCATGCGCTAGGTGCAAGGTCTCCTAAAACACGACACCCTCAACACATTTTATGCGAAAAGTAACCATTCATCATAGAACCACAAAGCAGCAGTTATACCATGGAGCCAGACTCTAAGGTCACCGACATCACAGACGAGGTAGAAATGGACGGCAATAGATTGAGTAATTTCGTTGTAGAACGGTTTGAAAAATAAGAACATCATGAGACCCGCCGACGTTACCAAATTTGAAGCTAGCTGGGATCAGAAAGTTTTCTGGCTATCTCACGAACCCTAACGTCACAGAGACTATCACACCTCCCTATTTACTTCAGCAATCATACTATTTCGAAGTAGTTTTAAATCTACCGTAGGGTATTGAAATTATGATGATCGCAGTCGTTAGTTCGTATGATTTTCTTGGAGTTAATGTTTGTATCTACACCCTCATTCGAATATGAGTGGTTATTAGGTCCACCGAGCCTGGTCGAGGAACTTAAAGGAGTCGATGAGCTCATATAAGTTGAACAACAATATATTGCAATAATTTTCGAGTAAATAAGATATCGAACTACGCCCAACAACTTAAAACTATGTTAGTATAACTCTCTCTGAAGCGTGCACTCAACTGGGCAGCTCAAACGTCTGGAGTTGGATTGCTAGCCTGCGAGCTAGCGCAGTGATCTAGAAACTCTAGCCAGTCAAGAGGCTCTATATGCCATCTCAGCCAACCAGACCTTAGTTGCTTGCTAAGCGACGTTACAAAGCCGTTCGAGCCGTCGCGCATCGGGATAGCTGAAGGCCCTGTGTGCCCGCCCCGTCACGGTCAGAATAGCTGGGTTCCCGAGTGCGTCGCAATCGGAACAGCTAAGTTCCTCTGAGTGATATTACATTATTTGATGAAAAATATCAGAGATATGCATCATGTTGGTTCGTAATACGTTACGAACTATTATATGCAAGAGCATTTCCTATGAATTTAAAATTAATTTTATTTATTAATATACAAAATTTTTTGATATTAAATAATATTTGTTAAAGTATTATATTTTATTAAATTTATTTTAAGAAAAGACATTTTGCTCTAAGGCTGTGCAATGTACACGGAAGCCAAGAGATACTAGCTATTCCTCAGTGCGCCGTAATGTTTCGAAAACTATAAGCGCATTGCGGAATAGCTGATACCCCCGCCACCCGAGTGCGACCGAGCTAATACAGGTGCGCCCCAAGAAAATTGTGCGTGGCTTGAGGAGCTCGAGAAGGACATCAAATCCGTTTTAGTATCTCTGTGACCATTATATTTGTATATAAGCACGTCCTACTCGGGATTTTTCCAAAACTGCATCACTTCAACATAAAAGAAACAACCGTCACCACAATATCATACAAAATCTGGGTAACTCTCCGCCCATCATGGTTTCTAAAGCCAAAGAGTTCGATACGCTACTGAAAGAGGCTGCGAGTACAGCATGCTCCGTCTTTCTCAGCGCGAATATGGCCACGGAAAAAAGAGCCCGCGAAGATGTTTTCCGTGATGCGTTTGTAGAGTACATAAACGTTAATGGGAATCAGAGTGTTAAGGCAGTAAGAGATCACCCGTTCCTACGGGTTACCTAACTAGGACTCTAACCGCTCCTCCGCTCCCCTTTCTAGATTGGGACGAATTACCCCCAAGAAGCAGATACAGGGGCGGATGTGATTATCACATTGCCAAATAAGTCTGAGTTGCGGGGAGGTAAAGATGTGATAGTATTCCTGCAAATAAAGAGGCTCTACATAGATTATAGAAGCTATTGCTCTGCAATAGCCTCGTACCGGGACAAGAAGGGTCAGCTAAACGAAACCAAATGGGTTGCACGGGAAACGGATTATAAGTCAACCATCGACTCGAAAGATGAGGTGGATTTCGAGAAGTGGAAAATGGCTTCACCTTTCTTCAATGCTACATACCAAAGTAAGCAATCAGGACAACACCAGGGTAAATTTCAAGTCGTAAGGATGGCAGAGAAGGTTAAGGAAATAGTAGGTTTGCAGTAACCCGCACGTAAATTTCGAACGCTGATCTGACAAAACCTCTTTTCTAGAACGTTAAGTGGCAAGTATGTCGCCTTGCCATCCATAAGAAATCGTATAACCCCAAGCTCACACGATAATTAGACAAAGGAAAAACCCGCGCCCGTTGCCACGGGAGGATTCCTTTTAATCCCATCCCCGTGGCGGTTAGAGACAGACCCCACTTCTCAGGAAGATGTGTGGACTAAGGAGCAAAATACAGATGTAAAGGTGGTATCTTTAGACAAGTGCGCGGAAGTGTCATGGCTGTCGGATTCTGCGTGGAAGGATTTGGATGGTCCCAAGCTGAACAAGATTTTGAAGTCAAGTGAAGGAATTGCAGAAGTGTGTCGCTGGGGTAATGAAGTAATGAATTGAAGGAGTCTAAATATAAAGAGTAGTTTGCAATTTGTAAGTCAAAAATGTTTGCGGTCCTAAAACTTTGGGATGAATTTAGTTACTAATTAAGCCAGGATAGACAGTATATGAATTAAATGTTGTCGACAGTCTATCAGTCGCGCAATTTAAGTGCTCAATCTAACCAACACCTATCACTCTATAAACGTCGTAAAACTATAAATTGATCTTAACTACTATAAATTTATATGGTAAGACGTCGACCGTGTTGTGGAACCGAAAGATGTTGTTGGTATTCTATCTCCTGCAGCTGGTGTTTCGGAGTTAAGCGCGGTCTCACTCCCAGCGCTAGCTACACAAAGACTTTAGCCAGGCCGATGAGACCGGGGTCGATACCGACACACTTTGTTTATTTGTGGTGATACCCAACTTATATCCACAGCAACAATCCATGCAATCATCCCGCCTTAACAACGATGCAGCATGCTGGCTCACAAGTACATACCGGGTCCAGGGCTGTTTAATTTGCCATCCTACCTGGCCGTCGATTCTCGCAAGATGAACAGCGCTGGCTAAAGTGTTATCGATGAATTCGGGAGTAACTGATTATGTTATTTCGAATCATATCTGAACGTTCACAGAAGAAACTTGCAGGATGTACATATTATATATAAACTCTTTATGTCTTTTCCGTTCGATAAAATTTAAATAAATGGGGTTGCTTATTTAAGGTTGGTGGCTTTTCCATATATGATTGTATGTATAACATGATAATTTGCCGGTAATTCTAACCTCACATATTTAGCCTCGAGACCTATATTTGATTTTAGGATTGCATGTATACTAGCAGCGGCAGCTTTCTTGGACCTATACTTTGGTTACAGTTGTTAGAAGGGTGCTGAACCCACCAAAAATTAAGCATCCACGATTAATTGATGCTTGGACCAGGGATTTTAAGCAGAGTACCATGATCAATATTGAATAATTCGAAGTCTCCGGGGTTATGAAAGAGCTTTCGTATAATAAATGACCACATACTATAACGATTTTAGAAGAAGCCACAGGCTCAATTTCGACACTCAATTCCCTCTAAAGAACATTCGATCCAACAGCACGGATAAAACACCTTGGAAGCAATATGACAAGGGATGCTCAACGCGATTGAAACCTTTAACCGAAGAACAAGAACGCCGCCGTTATATGAGTCCTTAATCCAGATATCAGGATGTAGGTTAAACACAGTTGCCATAGATCATAAATTAAGCATTCGTGGTGGGTTGCGGCTGCGGCGAATGATTATGTCCACATTTCCCGAGTTTCAACTTGCTAAAATCGAAAATTCTCTCCTTGACTACTGTTGAAAGCAGGCCGCAAATCTCTTCGTTTGCAATCTTGTTGCTGTCTCGAACGATTTTGCTCAACTGGTTATCTTTTCCTCCTTTGACGTCGCTCGAACCTCCAAAACCACCCCTGCCTCCCCCGCCAAACATGATTTTCGAATGCGAAAGCTGTGTCTCTGCTTTTTTGATTTTGCGAGAGATTTCTGCCATTTGCTTGGAAGAATACTCACGATTCTGAGACAATGATTGTTAGTATTTAGGCCAAAATAATATGTCTTGCTGCAGAATATACTTACTGTGAATAATGGGGACTGCGATAGAGTCGAAACCCAGTACTTATGCCATAAAAGTTCAAGGAGATGATTGTCTAGTGACGACTTATAATGTGTGATCTCCAACGGATAGTACTGGTTGCTGTGGGCGCCAAAGTCCTCAATCTTACTAAGTGGGATTGTCTGGTATTCGGCATCCTTTCCACCAGCTTGTTTGTGACCCTCCGGATAAGTCCTAAAAGCACCAATATCGACCTTGCCTGCACTGATAGTCCTGTCTGGATCGATAACAACAGCGAGGAAAGGATCCAACCACTGTTGTTGCATCATTTGTGTGTTGACATCAATACCAGATAGCCAGCACCCATAACCAGGATGTGAATGGTACCATCCGACGACGTTTTCCTTGCGGCCGATTTCTTTGGCTAATCGATCCGCCTCAGCCATGTATTCGTAGGCTTCGTTCTGTGCGTTGACACGAGTTTCGGTTCCTTCGACAGGTAGCGGGAAAGCGTCGCTGACGATAAATGATGTACCATGGACTCTGCCAACCATCAAACCCATGATTTCGATGCTCCCTCCGGATCTAGCGTGCATTGTCTAGAGTTGATAGCTATTAGCAAGGAGGATCATGTAGCCCCGCCATGACAGTGCAGTATCCAACCGTACCATTTTTAACAAAGCGACCGCCGATATCCTGACACTTTTGAAGTAATCTGGGCTATCTAAAGGTTAGAGATGTAATTACTTAGTTTTGTAGATCATGTGAACATACTTGGCTTTCCATGGCTTAGCATCTAGTGTTACTTTCTGTTCTTCCTCGTCGAAACCGTAGATAAAGTCCTTGACAGGATCAACAAGAGTGACCTTGTTCTCCAGCTCCCAAGTTTTGCGAGCCAAATCCGCCGACATCGTGAGGTATACCGTAGAGGGTTCTGGTGCGTGACGTGAGTTGAAGTGATGTTGAAGGAGGATCAAGTCAATATGACTGTATAGGTGGGGAGACGCGAGCTATGGAGCTTGCTTTGGCTCCCAAAGTGCAGTTGACACAGCCACACTAGAGCTTATCGGAGGCTCACAAAACTAGCCACATACCACTAGCCACAACTCCAGGAACCGAACTTTTTTGGCGCAAGAAAAAAAAATTATTCGAGATTTCGCTTCCACCATTCGATCCAACATACTCAAAGACACCGCATCGACGGCTCTGTAGTACACCACCATGGGTATCCAAAAGAAGGTACGGCTCCATACACTAGACTATCCATCGCTAGGCGATGCTAATTTCTGAACTTACAGCACGGAAAAGGTCGTCTCGACAAGTGGTACAAGCTTGCCAAAGAGAAGAACTATCGCGCCAGATCAGCCTTCAAGCTTATCCAACTTAACCAAAAATATGGATTCCTACAGAAATCTAGAGTCCTTATCGATCTTTGCGCCGCGCCAGGAGTATGTTTACTACTAAAAATTGGAGACAATACTCGGTGACTAACCACTACGCTGTTAGGGATGGCTCCAAGTGGCGGCGGAGAACATGCCAAATTCTAGTTTAATCGTCGGAGTGGATCTCTCACCGATAAAACCGATACCGAAGGTCATAACCTTTGTTTCCGATATCACAACGGATAAATGTCGGTCCACATTGCGACAGCACCTTAAAACGTGGAAAGCCGACACAGTTCTTCACGATGGTGCTCCGAACGTTGGTACAGCATGGGTTCAGGACGCTTTCACACAAGCGGAACTTGCACTTCAATCGCTCAAACTTGCGACCGAATTTCTGGCTGAAGGAGGAACTTTCGTCACCAAGATCTTCAGATCTAAGGACTACAACTCGTTATTGTGGGTGTTCAACCAGCTTTTCAAGAAGGTCGAGGCTACAAAGCCGCCCTCGTCTCGTAACGTTTCAGCCGAAATTTTCGTCGTTTGCAGAGGCTATCTTGCGCCAAAGCGTGTGGATCCAAAGTTCTTGGATCCGAAAACCGTCTTTGAGGAGTTGCCCGATGCGACGCCGAATAACGAGGCGAAGGTTTACAATCCAGAGAAGAAGAAGAGGAAGAGAGATGGTTACGAAGAGGGCGACAATCTGTTATATAAGGAGATACCGGTTAAGGAGTTCATCGAGACGACGGACCCAATTGCTTTGCTTGGTTCTATGAACAAATTTACATTCACAGATACGAATGACATCGCGACAGCCACGATAACGCGGCTCCCAGAGACAACTCCTGAAATACGGAAATGTTGCGACGACTTGAGGGTTCTGGGAAGGAGAGACTTTAAGATACTTCTGAAATGGCGTCTAGCTATCCGAGACAAATTTGGATGGTCAGCAAAGAAGAAGAAGGAAGAGGAAGAAGAAAAGAAGGCCGAAGAAACCGCAGAGATCACACCGATGGATGAGGAGCTCCAGCTAGAAGAAGATCTTAAAAATATGCACGAAAAGGAGACAAAAAAGAAGAGAAAAGAGAAAAGAAGGGATAATGAAAGAAAACAAAAAGAGATTGTCCGATTGCAAATGCATATGACTGCACCCATGGAACTTGGTCTGGAACAACAGGCAGGACCTGGAGATGACCAGACAATGTTCAAGTTAAAAACAGTTGATGCAGCAGGTGGTTTGAAAGAAGTCGTTAAAGGCAAGATGAATATGGTTGTAGATGAGGATGAGGCCAAAGCCCGAGCTGCTGCTGCTCAGAAAGATGAGGAAAGCGATGATGAGGAAAGCGATGATGCGGAAGATCAATTGGAAGACGAACTGGATAGGATGTATGAGCAGTATGTTGAGAAGAAAGCAGAGAGGGATGATAAGTTTAAAGCAAAGCGGGCGCGCAAACAGGGTAATGACGATGAATGGGACGGTATTGACGAGAACAAAAAGGATGATGTTACAAGCGATGAGGATGTGGTCGCAGAGGAGGATGACGATGATGACGATTCTTCTGAAGATGAAGACAACGAACCCGAGCAGCGCCTTGTTACTTCTCTTGATAGCGAACAAACTACTACAAGCGGCCTAAGCAAAAAAGCGGCTCTCTTCTTTGACCAAGATATCTTCAAGGAGTTCGGTGATATCGAAGAGGGCGGAAGCAGCGAGGAAGAAAGCGAGGAAGGGGCCGACGACAATAGTGGAGAGGAAGCGGAAGGGCTGGAGGATGAGGATGAGGCCGAAGATGAAACCTCTGAACACGAGTCTAGTTCCGAGACTATTGAAGATGCGGACGAGTGGTATGACACTAGGGAAACTGCAGAAAGCGACGAAGACGATGTGAGCGACAGTGGCATCGAAATCGTAAAATCAAACAAGAACGATATCTGGGATTCAAACGAAAAGGAACCAACAAAGAACGGAAAACCAGATATTGACATTATAACAGCTGAAGCCATGACCCTAGCCCAAGATATCGCTCTCGGGAAGAAATCTAAAGCTGACCTCATTGATGATGGTTTCAACAAATACTCCTTTAGATCAAAAGATGGATTGCCGGAATGGTTCCTCGAGGATGAAGCTAAACATAGCAAACCATTACGCCCTATTACGGCCGCTGGTTCCGCTGCTATCAAAGAGAAGCTGCGTGCTTTGAACGCACGCCCTATCAAGAAGGTTAAGGAAGCGAAGGACCGAAAGAAGTTTAAGGCTCACCAAAGACTCGAGAAGCTACGAAAGAAATCTGCTATGTTAATGGAGGAAGAGGGTATGACCGAGAAAGAAAAGGCGCAGAAGATCACCAGGATGATAAACCGAGCTACAAAGAAGAAACCAAAGCAGGCCGTAAGTGTGGTTGTTGCAAAGGGAGGGAACAGGGGTGTTCAGGGCCGGCCAAGAGGTGTGAAGGGGCGATACAAAGTTGTCGATCCTCGTATGAAAAAGTATGTTATCTCCCCCATCAAGAACCTAGAATTCCCTGGTACTAACTATACTGTCAATCAGGGACAAATCACGAGTGAAGAAAAAGAAATAATCGGGTCATTTGGCTGTGCATCGACACCTACTTCGACGCATTGTATATTAGAACACTGTGTATATATATCTACTAGCCTCTCACAAGGAGCCAATGTAGCTATTTTATGGGATAAAAACCTTTCATTCATATATATATTACAATACTGTGCTATGTACATTTTACAGAAGTCTTTCAATCTATAAATCGAGATTAAAGCACTATTCCATCGAGGAGAAAACGGGTAGTGCTAAAGAGGACATTAAGTTGTCCCCACCCACACAGGCCGGCTTCTAACCTACAAGGTTGCGCCTTTCCAGTCTTTAAGATGTTGCATTTTAGCAAGAATGAGTTGTCTCGTTTTTGTTGCCCTTACCAACCGCGCACCAACTCGTTCCTAATAAGGGAATGTCCATAATAGGAAACCACGCGAGTTTCACGCGCCCTAAATCAATCAACCATCCCAACACGGCTTCATAATTAATTTTTGATTATGATTTTATCTCCCTTTCCAACACTTTACAAATTTCCGAACCATTACCATCGTCACCACCTGCCTGTTAACATCGACATCGGTGCCACCATCATGTCCTCCTCCACTACTGCCGTCAAAAGCTCTCGAAAGCGTAAAGCTTCTAGTCTCAAGGAGGATATCCCTGCGAAGCTTCCTAAGTGCTCACCAAGAACATCTAAGATACGACGGGATGCCTTCTTTGCGGGAGCACATCGACAGAGTGAACGAACCCGTATGCGCAATCCGCTCGCTGAGGTCTCTTCAACAATTGTCAATGAAATTTCCACATCTCCGACAAATGTTCCTTCATCACCACTTCCACTCTTCTCCTCTTCGCCTCTCAAGACACAACTATTAACACCTGCCGCTACCCCTGACGTCACGTTTCTTAAGAAGTTACAGATCGCAAAAGGTGGTGATGAAAAGGATGGGTTCCGCTCCCGCTTGGTGGATGACTTTGAAGATATAAAAAAACCGAGAATACGAAAGCCGATGCCAACTTCCTTCAGCTTTAAAAACCTAAACCGGTCGTTGATTGGATACGAACCTGACGGTATTAATGGAATCCGGCTTGGGAGTATGCATCACCTAATCCCGAAATACGATATCTGCGGCCCCTACTAACGTCTTGTAGAGCGGTCATGGGTAACAGAAGGTTTCTACTCCGAAGAAAACGATACAAATCTATATACCGACGGTGCAGTCACACAAATGCCGTTTTGCCTAGCAACCTTTAACAGTGAGTATATGACCAGTACTGTATGAAAAGCCTGATCCTCGCTCACGACCCTTTCTTAGCATCACCCATGGTCGCCGTCGGATATGAATGCGGGGCTATTCGATTACTCGGTACCGGCCCCTGGGGTAAAGATTCGATCTTAGAAAAGGGTGGCTATACATATCGCGGGTTCAACCGAGAGTCCGCCTCAGTTATGGTTCATGACAACGCTATTTTCGATCTTTCTTTGTCTGCAGATGATCGATATATTGTAAGCCCCACCCGAGGCCTTTATTCTGATATCCACATATAATTAACCATTCCCGTAGGCATCAGCAAGCGGCGACCAAACATGCCGGGTAAATGACGTCGAAAAACAAACACCAGTCGCAGTTCTAACCGGCCATCATGGATCCGTCAAGCAAATTAATCATTCAATTGACAATCAGAATCTCTTACTCACCTCCTCTCGGGACTCAAACGTACACATATGGGACCTGCGAACTGCTGGGACATCTCTCGGAGATAACCAAGGCATCAGTTTAAAGCCAATCAATAGCATATTTGGCGGCCATAGGGCGGGTGACAAAGCCATATCAGTTACATCGGCAGTTTGGTCCACAAGAAATCCGTATCAGATTGCCACAGCCTCACACAACGATGCTGTCATCAAGGTTTGGGATATCAGAAAATCGCACTTCATCAAAAAATCGCCGAACTCGCAGCCACTCGTCGAATACGAGGCGCCAAAACCACGATTCCACGATTTTAAACCGCATAGAGATTACGGAATAACATCATTGACATTCGCACCCGACGGCTCAAGACTCTATGCGCTGTGCAAGGACGGAAATCTGTACGCTTATTCGACATCTCATCTTGACCGTGGTCCTATTCACTTTTATTCCAATTCGAAGTTAAAGACCAATTCATTTTATGTCAAAAGTTCGATATCGAGGGATGGGGCTATAATTGCGACGGGGAGCACAGACGGAACTCTAGTATTGTTCCCCACGGACGAAAAATACTTATCACCGGCTGAGGATGATGGATTGCCTGTTCCTCATGGTGCGCCAGCGAGCGTAACAGCGGCAAGGGAACTATACAACGGGACTGGAACTGCGTTGATCGAAGGGCATAACGGAAGGGAGGTGACTGGGGTGGCATGGGATATCAACAGAAATGTTATTTCGATTAGTGACGACTGTATGGCTAGGCTTTGGAGAGATGACGATAATGGTGTTAGAGCGGAGCAGCTAAGGAGCGAACTCGATTGGGCGAACGGCAACCGACATGGATGCGGATGGAGTGAAGGAGATTGAAATATACTAAACACGAAAAAACAGGTATCATAGGCGTTGGGCTTGATCATTGCTTTCTATTGATCTATTTTAAGCGGCAAGGAATTTTACTACCATATCGAAATGTACAATTAGGTCCACTTTTACCCAGGGTGTTTAGGGGATTGTTGGGTTTAACAATCGTGGTTTAAACAGGGCGAGGAATATATTCAAGATACAGTACGGGATTATATATACCTCTATACTTTGGATCCACTTCCTTTTCCAAGTAACCAATTTACAAAACTGTAGAGGTGGCAACCCTTATTTTTGGAGGCTGGCTTCGAGGCTGCGACCTCAGGTGTCCTCCCTCAAAATACAACATTTTACAACACATATGCATGTAACGCTCGAGATTGTTATATATGACGGCCCCCGCCCAGATATACTCTTCCGCCCGTCTATATGACATTTACTCTATCTCTAGATCTCCCTCTATCTCCTCCTCCTCCATCTTAACTTGGCCTTCTTCTATCTTAGTTTGTCCCTCTTCTGTCTTGACTTGCCTCTCTTCTGTCTTAACTTGCCCATCTTCTGTCTTAACCTGCCCATCTTCTTCCTTTTTCAGAATTTCTTCAAACTCCTGCATCCTTCGTATTTCATCCGGTCCCAACTGATCCGGTGCCGTCTGTTCGGACTCAAGCTCATATGTATACTGAGACCCAGAATCAGCCGCATTTCCGCCCAACGGTCTATCTCGCTCATCGCGTAATTTTGATAACCCTTGCTGCAAAGTAGCCGTCGCAGTGTCATGATCATAGCCAGCATCGGTCAACTCTCTTCTAACCCTCGTGAAGTACAAAAGGTCAACCAGCTGAATCGGTGGGAGTAAGGAGGTTTGGTCCATCTGGAGATCAGCCATTTGGTCTGCGGATAGTTGTTGAAACTCATAGCTGAGCTGATTCTTTGCCACCTGTGCCTGCCGTAGTAAGTGCGCTGCCCCGGATTCATATAAGCTAGTGATAAAACTTGAGGGTTCGACCACAGCGTCGCTTGCTGGTGGGATTGAAATTTGGTCAGTATCTCTACTATCGCCGCCTCCCGCTCTCCCCGGTAAATCGCTATTGGTATCAGCATCAGCGCCAGCGCCAGAATTTGCATTTAGGTCTGCGAGTTTTTTGGCGCGTGCAGCTGCCTTTATTTTCTGATTTTCTTTAGCGAACACAAGCGCGGCATCTTGATCCCTAATATAAGCACCAGAGCTCACAATCCGAACGCTTTCCCTCGACCGACGGTTTGCTTCCGACTTTGCCAGTTTCTCTTCCATCGTAGCCTTTTCACTGACACCCACTTCGTGTTGATGCTTCGGTACCGCAATGAGTCCGTTGTCAAACTCCGGGAGGGCGTAATCATGCAGGGACCCCGTACTCCAGGCGGTACCACGTGACGAGTCCTCTGTTACCCACGTTGTTTTGTCCTTTTCGGCCCCAATTCCCGGAATAGTTACGAAGTTTCCGACTTTGATCACGTTCGGTACTACTACGTATATCCCATATCTATCTCGACTCCGTAGAACCTTTGAGACTCGCCATGCCACACCCCCCTCTGGCACCCATGGAAACCGATCTGTTCCATCCTCCAAGGGTTGGACTTCACCCCATGACCACCATCCCATTTTTTCGAGGTCAAAGGGATGTTCATGTACTTTTATAGCTGTTTCGAGTATCGCAAAGTTGACATCTTGGAAAGCCCCCGGGTAGTCCTCCCAGAAGTGGATTATCGCCTGAGGAACTGATTCACAGTTTTTGTTTACCCAGAGAGCTATGTATTTAACTTCAGATAGTGGGGTTTTAGCTGCATTTCCTTGTCTGATCTGTATGCCTTGGAAGGAAACTACCCCCCCTTTTTTACCCCCGTCGTCAGCTTCGAAACCTGTGGTCTTGTCGAGTTTTGGGTTAAGACGCTTAGGTCCAACACTCATTTCGGTACAATCTTTAGGCTTCGTGGCGATATTTATATAATTCTTGGCGGGATAGGGTTCGGGAACTGCCCCGTTGGCTGGTAGTACGCCGATTATACGACCGATTTTCCAGGCGCTGGAAAGGCCGGGTGCGCATATCCCGATATAGAGGATCAAGGCTTTGTTAATGGCCTTCATCTTTTATACACTGGCCGACTCAACACCAGAGTTAGGTTTGATATAAAGTTGGAAGAAGCCCCTTTAACAATTGATATCGATGACCAGTGGAGAAACGCGGAACCACGAGGGTGATCAGATATAAAGCCATGTTTTCCGTCGTATGGCCAGATGGCGTAATTATAATATTTGAACAAAAACATGAGTAAATTTGCGTGGCCATACTCAACGTCCAAATTATTATACAGAGCTAGTTAAAATGAGTATATTTACAACAAACTGACGCTCCCCGGCTTCCCGTTTCAAGTCCATGAGGCGTCAGCTAGTCCAATGAAACGGCCCCGAAACTAAGCTGGTTCTTTCCAATGAACTTTTTTTTGACTACTAGGCAGCCCCAGGCGACAGAACAACCTTCTAACTGTAAATCCCCGCCTATATCTGACTGCTCTTCTTCAACAAATCGTTAATCTCCTCCTCATCCTCCTCATCCATCTTCTCCCGAGTTTCCTTCCAAGTCATAATAACTCTCCCCTTCTCATCCAACTGCCCCCGTTTGCCATACCACCTCACATTTTCTAGCCTCCGTATGACTTCTTCCTCCCCAAGTATCATCATGATTTTATGAATACCCGGTCCACCCTTACCTCCTGCAAGTGCATATCTCAAATTTCTCTGAACCATCTTCTTCGAATCTTCGTCTTGCCAGTTATCTCCCAGTATACGAGTGATATAATCATCATTCCACTCCAACATATCCGATGGCCGCTTCTTCATTGTATCTACGATAGTCGCCAATGCGTCTTTGCCCTTGATCACATCTTCACCTGTCATTTTTTCTCTATAAACGTTTGCTTCAATTGAATCCCAATCCGGGTTCGGTAGGAAAAAGTAATCATGGGATTCCACGAATTTGACGGGAGTAATGTAGTTTTTCATGTCAGATTCTAGGATTGCGGCGATATATTCTGGGTGTTGAAGCTCTTCGGGAACTTGTGGAAATCTAACTGCCACGGCGTTTTGAACTGCTTCGACAATCGAGGCCGCGAAGTTAGATGATTTGCTGGTGTCGCCGTCCTCTGGGACTGAGTATGCGGCTATAAAGGCTTTTTGGAGATAGTCTAGTTTTCCAAAGTTGACCTTGGTGTTGCCTTTTGTGAGATCTTTGACGGAAAACTACACAGATTGCCGGTTAGTACTGCACACTTGCATATGAAAGTTTTGAGGTCTCTAAGAATTGGAAGATTGTGTGACATACGTTCTCAACCAAAGCCTCTAATGGTAGAACATCGCTCTTCAACCGGTTATTCCACCCCAAGAGTGCCACAAAATTCAATAGAGCTTCCGACAAGTACCCCTTGTCTCTATACTCCGATATATGCACATCTCCCGTCCGTTTACTCAATTTATGTCCCTCCATATCCATCAACAGCCCAACATGGCAAAACACCGGGGGCTCCCATCCGAAAGCCTGGTACATAAAAACATGCTTGGGCGTAGAGGGTAGCCACTCAGCGCCTCGAATTACGTGTGTAATGTTCATTAAATGATCGTCTACAACGTTGGCAAGGTGATAAGTCGGTAATCCATCCTGTTTTAGCAGAATGGGATCTTCGAAAGCAGGTTCTCCATGACGAACAGTTGCACGGCCTGGTTTGATACGTCCGTGAACGGCATCGGTGAACATCGGATAGACATCCGGGACTTTAAGACGGACAACATAGGGTTCACCGGCTGCTGCGCGGGCAGCAGATTCGGTTGGGTCGAGGGATGCACATGTTCGGTCGTATTCAGAAGTTAAACCGAGGGCTCTTCGCTGTTCGGCGAGTGAACGGAGCCGCTCGATGCTGCAGAAACAGCGGTAACCATGTTTCGTCTACACGTATTTATGTGTTAGGAGGAAGTATATTATGTGTAAGGGAAATGGCGGACCTCGAGTAATTGTTCGGCATGTTCTTTATGGATGTGGGAGCGTTCAGACTAGAAATCATACGGTCGAGTTAGCCAGATACATTGCTTGGCCGGAGATTTCAAGATGCTTTTACCTGTCTATACGGCCCGTAATTTCCTCCAACCTGGGGACCTATCAGCTCATTAGCTACAGATGAGATATGCAATTCGTCCGATGAAACCCGCCTTCGTCCCATTGTAGTCCCGCCCATTTTAAGATATCATACAGAGCCTCTTCAGCTCCTTGTACTGTTCGTTTCTTGTCCAGTAAGCTTCATGTTTCCAACCAATTGAACATTGAACATCATTCCCAAACGCCCAACTCGACAGTTTCATACATAGAAGCAGAAGAGGATCCTAGCTAACCTCATCTGTATCTTCAATTCGTAACAAGAATTGCCCTCCCGTACGTTTTGCTAGAAGGTAGTTGAATAACGCGGTTCGAAGGGATCCGAGATGTAGATACCCTGTCGGCGAAGGTGCGAACCGCGTTCGCGCGGGGCTGGTGGGGTCAGCGATCTTAGCCCTTCCCGTCGAGAATGTGCGGCAGCTTTCACAGATCCATGAAGTTGTCAATGGACGACGGTGGAGTATACGACGGGCGATGAGCAATCCATTAGGACGAATCATGATGTAGGTTGGTTGTACATGTAGTGGCGGTAGAGGTGGTTTCTGGTGGGAGTCTAAGTGGTGGTGGTGGGGGAGCCGAATGGGGCTTGTTTGTGAAACGGCTACTGCCGAAAAGTTGATACGCAGAAATTTAAACTCTGCGAAACCTTTTTTTTGCTTTCTCTCCGTCGAAGCCACCTTTTCGATATCAACTTCGCACACTACATCGTACCTCAGGGAAGAAAAAAAATCCTCACAGTAGGCCATTACATACAATCGAGCTTCCAGCTTATCTCACTAATAGCTATTCTACTTAGAGAGTTTTATCTAAACTTGAGCAACGAAAGGTTCGATTGATAGCTGTTGATATCGCAAAGCTACCTCAGAGCTTCACCACCCCACTTCCACCAACATCCTGCGATATCTTGTCGCCCGAATTCAGCAACAAGTATGTCTCGATGCTGCCAATCCTGTCTTTATGCCGAATTATCCTAACATCCCTCCAGTGAATGCGACAGGTGAAACGATAGATCTCTACGAGGTTCTCGGTATCGAGAAGGGCGCCTCCAAAGCAGAAGTCAAGAAGGCATACCACAAGGTTAGCACTCATCGATTTACTGGAACTCCTGTTTCTATATCAAATTCTTATGTTCGATAAATCTAGGCTGCTCTCGCTCACCATCCCGATAAACAACCCGAACATCTCCGTGAGGAAGCCGAAATCAAATTCAAAGCTGTTAGCAGTGCCTACGAAATCCTTTATGATGACGACAAACGTGCCACCTACGATCAGTTTGGAATCGAAGGCATCAACAACCCCGGCATGGGAGGACCTGGTGGCATGGATTTTGAAGACTTTATCAATATGATGGGTGGGATGGGTATGGGCGGGATGCCCGGCATGCACTTTCATGGAATGCACGGAATGCCCGGCATGGGCGGCATGGGCGGCATGCGGGGAGACGGCCAAAAGCCTAGAGGAAGGGATGTGGTTCACCAATACGAAGTTACGTTGGAGGAGGTGTACAAGGGGAAGACTGTTAAGTTTGGATCCTCTAGAAATGCACTCTGTCCATCGTGCAAAGGGTAAGTTGGAAGCCCGCTAGAAATAATAAGGCGAGCAGCGTCATGCTAACGGGTCTGGAACTTTAGGTCTGGTGGTAAGGAAGGGGCGAAGCCAAAGGATTGCAGCAACTGCGAAGGCACAGGTTCTACGACATCCCTTCGACAAGTCGGTCGGAATATGGTCACAAGAGAGGAGGTTCCATGCCCGGTCTGCCATGGTAATGGAAAGATTTTCAAGGAGAAAGAAAAGTGCAAGAAGTGCAAGGGAGCCTGTGTCAAGGAAGAAAAGAAGGTCCTCGAGATATATATTCCCAGGGGTGCAAAGTAAGTTCGGTCCCGAGGACTTTTTTGGTAAGTGGGGGGGCGGGGTACTGACCTTCAAATCTAGGAATGGGGAGAAGATCGTTTTGGAAGGCGAAGCAGACGAAGTTGTAAGTCTTCCCATTTACGTCATTCCACTGAAGCTCAGATGCTAACAATTGGTAGCCTGGTTATACCACCGGCGACATAATATTCGTTATTAATGAAAAAGAACACGAATCATTCGCCCGCGCCAATTCAGACTTGACTCATGCCATCAAGATCACACTCAAGGAAGCCATTTGCGGTTTCTCCCGTGTCGTTTTACAGCACCTCGATGGGCGTGGTATCTCGATCGAACACAAGAAGGGCACGATGCTTCAACAGGGTCAAGTCCTGAAAATCGATGGAGAGGGAATGCCCCATAAACGAGGCGAAACCAGAGGAGACCTGTACCTGATCATTGACCTAGTCTGGCCAGATGAGGAGTGGTTGGCAGACGACAACAACATCGCAAAGGCCAAAGCTGTTTTGCCTGACAGCCACACCCCAGAGTTTAATGATGTGGAGCACGTAGATGAAGTTCAATTCGTCCTGACTGATCTCGACGTAAGTTAGAAAGTATGACGGCTCCTTGAAAGTGTGATGTTGACAAAGTTACGTTTTCAGGCCGATAATGAAGGCGGGCCAGGAGCAGGTGCTTGGGAGGATGAGGTAAGTTGTCTCCTACCGTACTCGATATCATTCTCAATGCTTATCTGTGATAATAATAGGACTCCGACAACGATGAAGAGGAAGGCGGAAACGTTCAATGCCAACAGCAGTAGTCTAACAAATTAACACAAACTCCTTCAATACCTCCTTATACGCCTCTTTACTCGCGAGGTTTGGTTGCCTTGCATGGCATCTACCCCCCTTAGCTTCTGTTGTCTTACATGAATTACGAAATACTGCATTTGCCCTTGAACTACCTCTAGACAGCTTGCATTTTATGAAAGTTAAATATTACAACATCTCAACTCATGTTCATATTTTGGCTTTCCCGTTTTTGATTGCATTGGATTGGCGTTCACGTTTCATTTCCCATGTTTCGTTATCCGTTGATGTCACCTTTTGTCACGTTTTGATGTTTCATTACTAACATTGGTCACAATGTGGGTTTTTTTTGGACCTTTTTGTTCCGGGGTGGAAGGAGCCGTAGTACCCTTGCCTCTTCCTTCGCTACGTTTGAGGTTGAAGCAGTTACCTTATACTTAGGTGTACTATATATGTATGTACAGACAAAAATTACTACTGCTTTTAGTTTTGCAGGTGGATCTTGAAAAAAAGATCGGAAATCTGGTTTCCAACTTTTGATCTTGCATTTTGGTTTCAGTTTTTTCTCACTAGTACTGTGCCTTAGTTGGGTTCGAGAAGGGAGTTAGAATGATCGGTTGGACGGCAAGGTGGAGGTGGTGAGGCGGCACAGCTTACTCTGCACAGAGTCCGTGCGCAGGGCCCAGGGTTCGATATCATATCCCCAGTGGCACTTACCAAAGACGGCTTTCCCCGCGTCATGAGAGGCTATCATTGAACTTCTAGATCTTCATGAGGGGCAATTGCCTTGCATACCAATGAGATGCAAACAAAACAAGAAGAGGAAGAGAGCAAGAGACATACATAGATCTTTGGTTGTCAAAAAAAGAAAATTAAATATACATCGATATGAAATAGATCTCTTTTTGTCGAAAGTGGTGTTATCATTTATTCTAGGCGCTCTAGGGTAACCTTAGAATAGAGAGAAGAAGAAGGAATAGGGAAGATCAAATGTTGAATCTAGAAGGACAGATCAGATGAGGATTAAGCGGTTTCTGATCAATTTTAACTTGGCTAGGACATGCATAACCGTCCGTACTAATGCATGAATTTCGAACGACTTCAGACTAGATCAATGTTAACGATTAAACTTGTTACGTAGTGTGGTCTTTCGACGTCGCCTCTTTACTTGTTTGGTAAAACTTCATACGACGTAGTGATGTAAATCCAACCATGTGCATACCTGATCGATTTCATGCAAATGCACGGGGTATCCCAAATCAAAAGTTAACGTTGTTTAGTCAAGTTAGTTGATCAAGTTGTCAACCTATTTTTTCGCATCGGCGCATCCTTGGATTCGGCCGCCGAAATAACAGCCCATTCGGGAAGCTCAATATCCCTCAAATACGAACTTAGGCATAACCCACCACCCACGATAAAAATGATATAGTATGATACGCTCACACATTGATTGGGGGGTCTCGTGCCCGATATGCCGCCCTGCATTTAAAATATTCAATTTATTTGATCTTATTTTAAGTTTTTCTTGGGAAATGCAAACATGTGCCCTCTGGCAACCGTGGAGGTGTGTGTGGTTTATTCCCAAGTCTAAGCGCTTTCCCGAAATCGCATTCGGACCTGCAGGTCCATCATTTTAACGGGCAGGCTTGCAGGGTTTTTCTATGTCAAAAAGCTGGATTCAAGGCTAGTGGAGATGGGCCCTGTAGTTATGGCCTGCATGCATGTATGCGGCAGCAGTAGCAACAGCCAGCGTTGGATAGTAAGTAACTAGACCCCTCGCACAGGCCTGCGCAGGCCGCAGGTTTCTCGCTCCAACAGCCGAGAAGAAACGTAGTCGATGGTAAAAGTCGCTATCCCTTATGCAGCCTAGGATGGGGTTTTATCCGGGATTTTTACTTTCTTGATGCTTGAAATCGAGGGCGGGATAGCATTCGAAAATGGATTTGGTGTTAAGTAACTGGTGGAGACGATAAGGAAAGCATATGAATAATGCAGGCCGGCGAACAGGCATTTCCCCAGATGGCACTTGGTTCGAGGCAGCCGTTTCCCTCCAGTTGATCCTGATGGATTGGATTCATTGAAAGTATTTAGCATTCTGACCACCCCTTAAGTCGGCTTGTATATTTTTTCTTTCTTTCTGTCACGTACATACATAGACCTTTCGACTGGTCTTCTTCTTCTTCTTCCTTTTATTGTTTTTTGTTCATTGCTTATAATTATAAGCAAGTAATTAAAGCAATCAGTCGAATTAGGCGTTTCCCTCCAAGAGAAGCCATTTAGAACCTGTCACTGTGTTCCCTCCATTCGGGTACGGGGGGCTTGAGCGGGCACAGCGAACAAATTGCGTGAGTTCCCAGGCACGTGCGGGTCCTTCGCACTAGTAAGCAAGTATTGCCTTGTTTCTCCGTTTTCCTTCTTTTGCGCCCGCGCGACCAGCGAACGAGCGAGTACGAGTGAGGTTCAAAATCCAAATTATAAAAAAGAAGTTGGAAGCTCGAGACGTTGAGGTGATTGGCTGAGAGCATTCCTTGCGGACATTTCTGTAACAGCCTGGCTATTAACAAGTATAGTAGCTCGTTCTGTGGTGTGTCCCCACCCCCTTCGAGTCAAGTTGGGGCTTCAGAAATCTGATACAACTTCTTGACCAGTACAAAACACTGCGCCTGCCTTTTGACCTTTTCTTTTCTTTTGCGGCTGTTTCGTTTCACTCGCCCCGAAGTATTCGTTAAAAAGACATCGACTCCCACTCCGAAGTCTGACTTCTCCTCTATCACATTCTTTTTGTACGGTTCCTTTTTGTATATTTCTTTTCGATACTTCCAAGATTCTTGACATTCATCCAACATCAACCCGAAAATCGTTTGAACCCGTCGAGTCCGACCAGAACAAGCCGACTAAGCCGTTCCCGACGATCAATTGCCACTTTAGCCATTCCCAAACAAGCAAACGCGCCCAAACCGGACGGTCACACAACAAACAACACATTTCCCGTTCTTCCTTGTTATCGTCACGATCCGCTCCACATTATAAGAACAAGGACAAAGGACATCTCCATTTGCATTTCACCAACCTCACTTCATCCAACTTGATCAATCAAACCTCCCTTGATATCATCCGATATAGATATATCTATCAAACCCCCACTATCCTATGCTATCGTCCTTATCGTTCTCATCGTTGCGACCGTCCTCCATACCGCCTTCAACGGCTCCACAACCTACAACAATGGCTTCTACCTCTCCGACACCTACATCGACAGATGACACTTGCCGCTGCAAGAACTGCGGTACACCTTTCACCGTTCTCTCCGAAGCCGATTATCCTCGAGAAGCCCGTCTGCGGATCGAGGAATTAGAGCAGCAAGTAAAAGAATTCAGTGTTCGCGCTGTCATGGCTGGTATGTACCCCTCCCTTTCCTTTCCTTACCCTTCCACAAACACAAAAAACCCTATCTAGATCTAGCACAGGTATTTTGAGTTTTCACTTTTCCGTACCTGAAGATGAATTCCCGTACTTGAAACTAGTCTTGGCTGTCAAAAAACCTGAAACCAATGATTATACATTCCTTAAAGTTACTTACTTATGTAATGATGTAACTAATGTTTATCTTTTCCCTCATTCCTATAGCCGAACGCCTCGCTCAAGCACAAAAGGAAGTCTACGACCTTCGTCGTAAATCCGAATCTAGCAATTCCACAACCGGTTCTATCGCCCCGATAAACACTGCCGCCGCCGCTGCAGCCCCCGTATCACAGAATACCCCCTTGTCCCCCCTAAAACGCTCAAACACCGTCACTACGACATTGCAAAATATGTCAAAAGTCAGCACCCAAAAGTTAAACTCATTCTTCTACCGTACCGCTCTTCCGCCTACGACCGAACTTCCACCACCGGTCGAAAGACCCCCAACACCGCCTGAACCACTCTCTCGCGCATCAATGGACAGCCAAGTCCTGGATGATCTCTCAAACGCCTTATGCTCCGAACGTCGAAGTCGAGAAGTTGCGGAAAAGCAACTAGCACAAGTTAAAAACGAAGTCGAAGAACTCTCGGCTTCGTTGTTCCAGCAGGCAAACAATATGGTAGCTGATGAAAGACGGTCGAGAGCAAAACTCGAGGAAAGGGTCAAGGTACTAGAAAAGCGAGACGCTGAGAAACGAGTACGATTGGAGAAGCTAGAGAAGGGAATAACCAGGATCATCAAAGCTAGAGATCTCATCAACAACAAAGACATCCCAGCCAAAGCTTAATCATAATAAACTCGCTACACATCACACAGAAACGAACGGTTACGAGAACACCACATCCAGCAGCGTTGAATCGCCAACTTTTTTTTTCTTTTCTTCTTTCTTTCTTTTTATAACGCCACAATTATTTACGATTCACAAGACAGAAAGATCGGTATTTTCATCCCAAGGAACAGCCACTTACGGGTCGAAAAAGCCACCCGATCGGTTTAACGTTTTTCTTTTCTCTCTTTTCTATTTTATTTTATATTCCAGATACCCCTTATATACTTTTCTTCCATCGCCGGGAGCGGGATCACTTTTTTTTACCCTGTTTTTTTATTTTTATGTTTCAAAGCCCTTTGATACCCAGTGGTTCGAGTCCGCTTGTACTATTACTACCACAACCATTACTTATCCCCTCGCATGGCAGCCTAGATTACACTTCGATGGAGAAAATCTTAGCTGATTGAATGTGCGGGACCTTTAACTTCTTAATGTATTTTAAATAATTACAATTTTTTCCTCGTTCAACTGTGCATCATCATAACAATGCTTTAATTATATATTGCCCCCCGAGTAGAAAGTGAATTAATAGTAGAACTTCCCCGTAGACACTCAAAATAAACTTCAACTCATCAAAATCGCAGGAGCAAGAAAGCAAAAAGAGGCATCGCCAAATGTTATACCCCCATTCCAAACCCCCCCAATATATACGAACAAATTCAACCAAACAAGCAATCCATTAAAACACAGGGACCAACGAAGAAACTTCAACATAAAAAAATACTAAAAAAAAAAAACGCCAACCGTTCATCCCGCATACTGAAATAATTCATACCCAATATTCCCTGCGTCCCATACCATCGTCAAGCATAAACCATCGCTGCAAAAGAATCAACGGCAAAGGACAAATGCATGAGCGGAAAGCAACAAGCAAAACATAAATGCAAACAGTAAATCCAGTATACATAGTAGTCCTGCCAGCGTATGTACTCTACTTACTTACTTAGCCACCTGTCTACCACCTTCCTCTCCAACTACTCTCCTCGTCCTACCTTCCTCCTTCAACCCCGGAATCTTCTTATCCACTGCCCTTCTAATCAACCGTTCAAACAGCATTATTTGACGTTTACTCTCACTTAACCCCTGGGCGTCCAATCCCTTTAACTCCAATTCCAGATCGGCAGTATTCCTAGTCGTGAACGTATCATCGGGACCAGCCCTATACCCTTCTTCATCTTCTTCATCATCATAATCATTTCTATATCTCTGAAGTCCACGTAAACTCCTCTTTGGTATTGGCGATCCCTCGGCCGTAACAGGTTGCATCGGTGGCATTTCCTCATCCCTTCGTTTCGCCCTCCACATCGACGCAGATGAATTTGGTGATATTGTCTCATAAGAAACCGTTGATTTTCCAGCGCTATTATTCCCATTATGCATAAATTCCGAAGGGATAGAGCTCCTCCGCCTCCCATGTCCTTGTACTATTTGTTTTCGAGATCCGTCTGATACAGGTGTCGTAGTATCGTCTCCTTCTTGTTGATGTTGAGGTTTGACGGGTGTCATAGCTGCCTCCTGTTCCATCTTGATGTCTTCGAGCGCCTCCAGTCGCTTCTGTCGAAGCTCTTTGATGCTAGCCGTATCGCTCCATTCCACTGAACTCACTGATAATGCAGAGGTAGCAATTGATGATGTCGGGGAATGAATCTCTGATGTATCATCGTCTTCTAGTCCACCCTCCTCCCATGAGCTATCACTTTCATGATGCCTTGCCGCATGACCTGATATTCTAATCGGCGAATTTGAAAACATTGCTTTCGATATGTCGATACCTAGCGCTCCAGATGTAGGGTCGGAAGATGCCCTGCGGAGAGGGAATGTTGGTCTTTGGGAAGTGCGACGGGGATTCCGGGAGGAGCTTGGCCGTTTCGTAGGGAAGTCATTGGATGGTGATTCTGGTAGCGGCGGAAGGATATTATGGTTAGGTGGCCGTTTTTCGGGTGTAGTTTGGTTGGAGCGGGGTTGATGACTTGATGTTGAAATCTCGGTGCCGGTGGTGTCCAACCAGGCTTTGAGGTAAGGCCCAGGTTCTGCAAGAGAAAGTTGGGGTCGATGTTTAGATGGAGTAGTTTGAACATTGTGGGCTCGATTATCGTAGGCTGGTAGATTTGGATCCTGAACGATAGTTGAGAGGGGTTTCCGAGGGGGGTGAGCGGACAAGCGCTCTAAGCTTCTGTCCGAAGGATAGCCATTACTACCGATAGTATTCAACCTGCTCCAGATATTGCTGATTCGCTCGTTGGAATTCTGAATAAAGTTCGAAGGGATCGAACTAGTTTCCGAGCGGGCAGGAAGAGGAGGGGCTTCGTTTTCGGTAATGGAGACCCGACGAGGCCTATATACCGAAGGTGTATAAGTGTCATTTGTAGAGGCTTTCGTCGAAGGTGTCCTTTTGATAGCTGTAATAGCCCTTCTGGGTGTAACGACCGGATTTTTGAGAATACTTTCGTGATGTTTATTTGGGAGACTGTCCTTTGTCGCACGAACAGTATGTTCCGAGCCATCCACTGAGCGCTCTCCCCCCTCTTCCTCTTCCTCTTCCTCTTCCTCTTCCTCTTCTACACCATGATCGCCTCCTGCCCATCTCACACCATTACCCCGTACCGTACTCGTCGCTCCGGCCACCTGCTGTTGTCGGTATCTCTCCCTCTTCTCAAGGTACGCCTTCCTAAGTTTCGTAACCCCGAGAAATATCCTCATGAAATCCCGTAAAGCCTTATCGTCGCCATTGATAATCTTATGAGGTTCCAAGAACGACAGATCCATCTTGAGGATATCGTGAGCGATATGACCGATCAAGATCCGGATGTTGCGCAATTGCGACTCCGGGGAGTGGTCTCGTGGGGTAGCATAGGGAAGTTTAAGATGGAAGAGAAGTTCGTAGAGGTCAAGGAGGAGAGATGGAGTTATGTCGGTGAGGTACCGGACGGGAGCGAGAGGTGTACCGGAGATGATGGCGTTGATCTGGAGGATGACATCTGAGGAGGGCGGAATGTCAGTGGTTGACCAGAAGATGTGATTCGAGGATGGCGCATTGTCACCAGAGTCGGGGACGAGAGACGGCATTCATGCTATTGTTATCGGAAGTCGGATTGACTAGTACTAGTTTTAGGCTGGTGTGTCCGATGTCCGATATGGACAGATTAGGTAGATTGTGGCTGATGGGGAAGTCGGTTGTGATGGTTGTGATAGTTGTAATAGTTGGAAGAAGGAAGAAAGAGAGAAGGGAAGTGTTGTTCGTGACGTTGCGATGATTGGGAAGAAGATGTGTTGGCCATCTGCAACGACACCTCAACACATTCGTAACGCATTCGCAGCGCATTCGCAACGCATTCGCAACACATTCACAGGACATGCCGCATTCATCCAACCTCGTTCAACCTCTTCTCGGAAACATTCCAACAATGGGATATAAACCTCATCTTCTCATCTCTCCTTCCGGTCCATCCTCCCTGTCTTCTCTTTTGTAGACATGATAATGGTATGTATGTATCAATGAATGGTGTCCGAAGACTCCCAGTATACTACTTGCTAATACTCTAGTCTCGTATAGTGTCACTACATACAAACTATAACCAAGTACGAGGTGTACCAGCGATTTGATGCCAGGGACATGACATGGCATGGCATGGGCATGAACAAACGTGAACGGTCAGGCCTTCACAGCCGCATTTTTCTCCTGCATTTGACAGACAGACACAGACAGACAGCCAGTCGGTCCAATCCTGTGCTGTCTTTCCCACTCGCTTGCTGAAATCCTCAAGTATAAATTTATAAATATAAATATAAACTCTGAATGCATGAGGTACTTACTTACCTAAGAGGTACTTATGTGAAGTGCTCGAGTAAGTGAAGTATTTCTTACTCTTTATTTCTTACTTCTTACTCTCCCTATTATAGCAGGCAACTATTCCTTCTTACCTAGGTATTTTCTGTATCTTTGCTTGCTTCCTCAATGCATTGCATCACTTACTTACTCACTCGGATTTATAAATCCAGGGAAGGGACTGACTGACTAACCGACCGACCGACCGACCGACCGCAGTCTGATGTTTGAAATATTAAGGATCCGTTAAAGCTGTGTTTGGCATCATCGACTCAACGCCACCAAACAGCGAATATGCCATATAATGTTCAATACTTTCGACTGGACCTTCCTCTTTCTTCCTTTCTTTCTTTCTTTCTCACCCTTCCCGTCCTTTCTCACCCTCCCTTCCACCCGTTCTGGAATTTCCCCTGGTTGAAAATACTCATATCATAAAAAAAGACTCTTCATCCGACTTTGAAGTTATCTTGCTCACAGCTTAGCTTTTTTCACCTAGCTTGTTCGTACCACGAGCTGGGGTGCCTTCCAAGGTTTAAGGCCAACCAGGCGAGGCGAAAACTCGAAAACCTTCTTTTGCTCAACTTTCATTCTCTCCCATCCCACCTCGTCTTGTCTTGTCTCGTTCCATTTCCCTCTTCCCTTCCTTCCCTTCCTTCCCTTCTCTTCGATACTCCTGTTCCTACCCCTCGTTCACCTTTCCTTTCCTAGCTATGCGATCTTCTCTAATATAATACTATCATATAATATCTCCACCATCAAGCGCAACTTCAGCCCAAGGAAAACCCCCCAGCCGTCCTCAATTTATCCCATTCCCTTACATCATCTCAACCTCGATTCGGTCACACTATCATTTTTTTTTTTAACCCATCAACAAACCGTTGGACCGTTTTTTTAGTACCTGTCAGTTTCTTTTCTTCTGCAGCATCCCGATAAGCCAACAGCGCATACCTACCCACTCGGCTCCCTCCCGTCCGATCTCTCTCTCTCTCTCTCATCTCCTCGTGCGCGTGCCTTAACTGTCACCCCTTTTTTCGTCCAATATTTTGTTTTTTGTTTGGCTGCCCGGCATGTCGTTCTTCAACCAGTTCCATAAAAAGGGCACCAATATCACCAAAGTCTCAGAAACCATAAAAGTCACCAGAACTATCGTGCCTGCATCGAAAACCGCGAAACCATCCCCTCCTCCTCCTCGCGAGCCACGTTACGTCAGTAGTAACGGCTCCGCCACTAACCTCACGAATAACTCCCAACCGTCCCGCAAGAGGAAGCTCCAATCATCGCGCGCCGATACTCCAAACTCCAGTGGTAGTGGTAGCAGCAGTGTTTACTTCCCCACTGATATCCGATCATCATCATCTACACCTATCAAGAAGCAGAAATCTAGGACTACTCTTGCTAAACGTACACCGGAACTTGAAAACCGCTTGTCAAGTAGTGAGGACGAGTCGGACAATAACTCTGAGATGTCGGATTTACGACGGAAGAGCCGGGCAAGTCGGTCGCTGGAGTCCGATGTCACGATATACTCCGGTGAAAAGAGGAACATGGTAAATCCGGACTCATTCACGGACCGTCCGCTCAGGATTGTGGATGCGCGGAGTATCGCCAATCTTAGCACCGGGGGGTATAAACTATGTACGTTCTCCCCTTGCATTATTTCAGATACGCCATAAGCAAGACATTTAGAGCTGGAGGTACTAATGCTCCACCTGTCCACAGACTTCCCGCAGGATCTAGGACTCCCCACCGATGTCTCAGTACACCACGTCGGTAGTCCCTTGACCGAGAAATACAGCCTCGTAATACCAGACGATCTCGACGAATTCAGACCTATTGATGATATCTCTTCCACAGTCGAAACAGTCGCCAAATGCCTTATGACGAATGATCAAGCGGAAGCTATTCTTAACGAGGAGAACGGTATCTTACGAAGACTCAACCGATTCAAGAATACGAAGAAGCAGAGGGACTACATGTGTGTTTTGAAGGAATATAATGTTTTGGTGAGGGATATGAGGAAGAACGGGATGATGAAGCAGAATATTGAGAATTTGGAAGCTTTGCCGAGTACCCTGGTAGATTACATCCTTACACAGTGTTATCAGAGAGTAGTCTCGAAAGAGGCTAAGTTAGTGAAGGAGGATGAGAGTATGTATCCCATTCATTCTCACAATGTCGGTGGAGATACGGATTCGCTAATATTCATTATTTTAACTTTTATAGAAGCATTTACGGATAACGTATACGGCGAACTCTTAGGACCTCTTCTACGACAGATGTTTCAGAAGGCTGGACTTCGGCCATCCTCAGTTTTTGTCGATTTAGGGTCCGGTGTTGGTAATGCGGTTCTCCATACTGCTCTCGAATACGGATGCGAAAGCTGGGGTGTCGAGATGATGGCTCGAGCGGCGAAAGTCGCTGAGAATCAGGCGAAGGAGTTTAAATATCGCACAAGACTCTGGGGTATTAACACTGGCAGTGTGACACTGAAGCATGCATCGTTCTTTAATTGCGACGAGATAGACGCAGCAATGAAGCGTGCTGACGTGCTGGTATGTTTCTCCCACAAACTGTTACCTACTTGTTTTACACATCTAACTGATACATTATTTACAGCTCGTCAATAACTTCGCCTTTCAAGCCAAGACCAACGATCAATTAGTTCTGAAGTTTCTCGATCTGAAAGACGGTGCAAAGATTATATCCCTCAAACCCTTCGTTGAAGCTGGAAGAGTTATAAATGATCGCAATTGCGGGGATCCACTGAATAATTTCCGTAGCGAAACGTTTGAGGCATTCGGTGGCGGTAACGTCAGTTGGACTGATAGTAGTCTGAAGTGGTATCTTACGACCGTTGATCGGGAACCAGTGAGGAGTTATTGGAAACAGGCCGAGAGACCTCGAAGAAGATGATAATAGTAATAATATCTTCTAAGACTTCGGGAGGGATCTCTCTCTCTCTTTCTTTGTTGCTTTACTGCCTTTTCAACATGGCGAAGCATGGGTTTGGAGGGCATGCATAGAGTGTGTCCAGTTTGGATTCCTTTCTTTTTCTTCTTTTCGGCAGCGATGGCAGGTTGTTTTCTTGGTTCGGCATCTTATATCTTTCTTTCTTTCTTTCTCTCTGCTTCTACCTCAGCTTCTTGGTAACCACCGTGTGGTACACCTTGTTTTTGGCGAAAGTTTCGAGTTTTCATCCTTTTAAGAAAAAGAGTGCATGGTTACCAGTGCGGTTTCGGGTTCCTCCTCACATCCCTTGACCCATTTTATTACCCATTATTTTTCGTTCAAACTGTCCATGGCTTGGTTCCTTGGTAGATCTTTCCTTTTTTTTTGCTGCCTCCTTTTGATATCCATCTCTTGTTATCGCTTGGGATTATCTTTGTAGAGTAGAATAGCGTGTTCGCTTTCTGGGGTTTTCTTCTGTTTTCGTGAAGGAGAGAGGAATGTTGAGAATCAGAGGGAGAGAAAGTTGATAGACGATCGAATGTCCCTCTTTCCATCGACTGCTGTGTAGTCATATATTGTTGATATCCGCATTGTATATGTTGGATAGATATCATGAATATTTTGAATTATTATTCATAGCCTCGGCTTCATCCTTCTTCAACGCCATCCACCTGGAAATTAACTCTTCGTTCTCTGATTTCAACCTCATCTTGGTCTGTTCGCCAATATTCAACTGGATATTCAATGCAATGATTTCATCTTGTAGGTTTTCGATCATTTTACGGTTTAGTTTTGAGTCGTCATCCTTTGACTTCACTTTTTGTTCGAGATGGTAACGTTCTACCTTGACCTTGTCGAGCTCGCGGAAGTTGGCAGACGAGGATTTTTGAAGGAGGGTTAGGGAGCTTGTGGCGGTTGTCAGTTGGGTTTGTAGGTTTGTTCGGTCTTTCTGGGAGGTTGCGAGGTCGGTACGGAGGGTCGCGATAGTCGCATACAGGGCTTGGATGTCGGAAGATATTTTGGAGGGTTCTTGGCCCGTGGAGGGAGTAGATGTAATTGGTGGGGATGTTAGGATTGCTGTGCGGTCTGCGAGGCGGGAGTCTGTGGTTGTGGGTTAATAAGTGGTTCGTAGCTAGCACCTGCTTGTCTCGGAGAGCTTTACATTCTAGGATTATGGAAGCTTGAGATTTCTCACGGATGTCCCGTTCGGCAAAGGCAGTGAGGAGGTCGGAGCGCCAAGCGACTGAAGTCATCATTGGCGACGATGGCGATGGCGATGGAGATGATGACGATGGTGGAAGTGATGGAGGTGATGGTGATGGTGATGGTGGTAGTGGTGGTGGAGAGATGTATGTGGTTAGGTTGAGGTTGAGGTTGTAGTTGCCGTGTTTGGGAGGGAACTCCGTCATCCAGGCATCATGTCATCTGATGTGATACCAGACGGGCTCTCTTCTTTTCTCTTTCATTCTTCAACCTCAACATCAGCATCAGCATCACTACTACCACTATATACTACTGTACTACCGTACTATACTACAATCACAGCAAGGCCCCGGGGAAAACAACATCATCATCTTATCTTCGCTTTTGAACTCGTCGTCAGCTTTGTCCTCGTGGTCTCTTTTAAGTTGTCGTTGGTTCTGGAACAAACATTGCTCGCATTCCCCAGCCACCTTTGCCTCCCTCTGACCCGCCAACAAGTCAAGTCAAGACAGGACAAGCAAGCAAGCAGGGCCATACGATAGCTCCTCTTCTTTTCGTCCGAACTCGAACCCTCGTCGCCGATATCCTCCTCCTCCTTCTTCCATCTTCATCTTCTGCCTCACCTTCTCCCAACGTCGTTTCTATTCTATCCTGAACCGGCAGACGGCCGAAAGACCGAACAAGTCCCCCCTTCACAGACTACCGATAAGGGAATCCCTCGTCCGCCCAAGATGTCCTCGAGAAAGAAGGTCTTACTCAAGGTATGCCCGTCCTTCGTTCGTCCCGCAGTCTCTCTCACCCGACCACGTTTATTCGAAAGTCCCCAGGATACATCCATAGCTCGTGCTTCTTCCTTTGTCTTTCCCTACCTCCTCCCTTCATTGCCTAAAAAAACATATAAGTTTTATATATAATATATACTCTCTGGAACGAAACGAATTTATGGAATCCTCGGCCACTCTCCTCTTTTTACCTTCCTCTCCTCCTCCTCTTCTTCTCCTTGTTAGCCGTCTTCTTCTTCAACTGGACTAACGTATTCACCAATCACGAATTCGTCTCCGTGCGAATTGCTTCTTGACATTTGTGACAACACCTACAGAACAAGAATTCTGACTACAAGTTGAAGGTCATCATTCTAGGCGATAGCGGTGTAGGGAAGACTTCATTGATGAATCAATATGTAAGAACTCTTTCTCATTATGCACCTATAGTGCTTATCTATAGGGCTTTATCTTTTATCTTTTTACGCAGAGAAGCCTTAAACCCGTCCGATTGCTGACTTTTTCTTTCTTTTCTTTTTCCTTTTCTCCTCTTTGATGGAATGCAGGTCAACAAGAAATTCAGCGCTTCTTACAAAGCCACCATTGGCGCAGATTTCCTCACAAAGGAAGTGCTGGTAGACGATAGGCTGGTCACCATGCAAGTTAGTACTCTCTCCCCTCCCTCACAAAATCAAACCCCAGGCTAAAACCTATTTTAAAAATCAGATCTGGGATACAGCGGGCCAGGAACGTTTCCAATCTCTCGGCGTAGCCTTCTATCGCGGTGCCGACTGTTGCGTCCTTGTCTACGACGTCAACAACCAAAAGTCGTTCGAAACACTCGATTCTTGGCGGGATGAGTTCTTAATACAAGCCTCTCCTAGAGATGCAGATTCATTCCCCTTTGTTGTAATTGGTAACAAAATCGATGTGGACGATGGAAAGAGGCAGGTGCCTCAGAAAAGGGCTATGGCGTTCTGTCAGAGTAAAGGCAATTTGCCATATTTTGAGACTAGTGCGAAGGAAGCGATTAATGTTGAACAGGCATTTGAAGGTATGTTGCAGCTTTCTTTAGTTTGATTCTTCATTAAAGACCTTGGTCTTTGGGATATTTTATTGATGCTAACGGTGGGGATCCTAATAGTGATTGCGAGGCATGCCTTGGCTCAGGAAGAGGCGGAGGAGTATACAGGCGATTTTGGAGCATCTACTATTGTTGATATCGGGGCTGATGCCGATAGAGATGGGTGCGCTTGTTAGAAACCGTGTTATATTTGGACCAAAATATGCGGATCTAGGCGTATGCCAATCCGATATCCAAACGAGAGGCTTTATAAGCTAGCGAATGGTAGACTGCTATATCTACTTGGAAGTGCACTTTCTCAGGAGTTGTAGAGATGGCTCCGGAGGAAACCCTGAAAGATTGGATGAAATAATGAATACTGGTGGTTTAAGCACGCTGTTTCTTTCCTTATTATCTCCTACTTTTTATCATTTTTTTGTTCGGTTTGCATTCAACTGCCTTTTTTTTCTTTCCGGTATATACCCTCGTCACCTGCAATGTTATCCTTTCTCTGTCGTTTCTTTTTTGTGGTTCCCCCTGCGACTGGTCATCTGGATGTTCTCTTCTTTTGCTTTTGAATACACTTTAAAATCTCAAGACTTAGGTTTTCTTAGTGTTAATGTTTTATATATACTACGACAACTTCTTACCAAATTATACATCGAATAACCCCCATGCTACTTTTTTTTTGCTTTGGTTTTATTCTTTTTTTGTTTTTTTTGTTTTTTTGTTTTTTTAATAAATGGTGGCGTCTACGAAGCTCTTGAGCTGTTACGTAAGAAGCTACCATATAGTACTAGTGATCGATTCGGCCGTGGGAGATGATTAAAAAGGGCTCTTGTGATATCCCATGGGTAAGCTAATATGGATCCTGGCTTGTCGACTAGCTCTAGGGTGTATAGCTAGCTCGAAGGACCTGCCGCCATGCCCTTACCGTGCCTATACATGTGCTTGACGTCGACGTGGGTGTTAGTCAGTTAATTTATATCCTCCGTTTATCCTTTGGCTCGAATGACGAGGTGTTATACGTTAGCTCCCTGGACTTTTTATTACACTTCTGTATTCTTAACTCTTGAGCTTAGCCGAATAGATGGGGTGTATCGTTATAATAACGTTGATACCACGCATTGCGGCCACGATAAGTTGTTGCACTTTGGTATTTTATGTACAAGCTAGAACAGATATATGCTTATCAACTGAAATTTTACTAGATGGCAAAAGAAAAGAGGAAGAAAAAAAAAGGATATTGGGTTTATAAAAAAAATAGAGGAATTGAGTATTATGGTTCAGGACGGATTCGAACCGTCGCCATTTGACACACATAGTCGGGCCTACCAATGCTGTACCTGTTGGATTTGAGGAACTTGAGGGGTGGTGGTGTAAAAGACGGAATGGGGATGTGGTTTATATATTGAAGATCTTTATTTTTGCGTCTTTGTAGTTATTAATTCTCAGAAGTCCGGTCTCGAAATTTATACCAACAACAGGTAGGCCTAGAATTGAGTAATCCTATAAACAAGAGGTATTGCAATATGCAATGTAGTAATGTATTGACGTTGCAGCGTAAGGTCTAAGGTCATTTATTCGTTACATGCTTACATGCTTACTTATAGCTTATAAGTCAAGATATCGATACCTACTAGTATTGATTTTAATAATTATTCTAAATCATGCATAAACTCCTTTGGTATGCAATCTTACTAGATAGAAACCATCCATATGTACATTAATTACTATTTATATGTCTAAAAATCGGCAAACGATTTACATTACTATAGCTAGTGGGTATATATCCGAAAACATGTCCGGCGGCATGCTAAAACCGGTACCTATTATACCTCTTGCGCCCTTATGTGTATATATCGATATCTATCATAGATAGAGCAGCGAAGAACATTAAAGATTAACAATTTTAGTCCCACCAGTTTGTTTGAATTCGATCAGATTGATCTTTCCAAGAACGTTCAAAGCCGTAGTATACCCTGATAATATTACGGATAGTCGTGTTGGCCGCGCGAGACAGCGGAGTCCCTCCTGCCCTATCCTTCAAGTCTAGCCTAGCGCCGTATTCAAGAAGTAGCTCTACAATAGCCTCATCACCCCTTTCCGCTGCCCGCGAAAGTGGCGTCTGTTTTAAAAGTTCTATTAGTTAGAATTAAGCTATAGCAAACGTATGAATGATAAGACATACTCTATATAATCGTGGATTGGGAATATCAGCATTGAATATCTAGATCAAAAGTAAGGATATACCGAGGTTAGCATTAAAAGCCAGGTAAATACTTGAATATCAATAGATCAAAGTGACTTACAAGGTTATAGTGAAAATCCGTTGTCACTTTCTGATCAAGTAAGAGCCGCACTATTGCCGCATTTCCATTCTCGATTGCTAGTGAAAGTGGTCTCCATCCGCTCCCTATTTCAAGGTCCGTTGCAGAGCCATTTTTAATAAGGAGCTTTACAACTCCTTCATAGCCTTGATCTGCTGCCCATACAATCGGGTCCAGTATCCGTACGCCGTCCTTTCGAAACCCCGAAACCATCGAGGAGTCAAGAACTCGTTCCAAAATCGCTAAACCAGATTCTTGTTCCCAGAGCCCTTTGGGCCAGACTCTAAAAAAATCCAGCTGAACACCATCTTCGAATAAAGATTCCACAACGCTTTCATTACCCTCCGATACTGCTTGGTAAAGCAGTATGAATCCGTCCATACCTTTCAAATTTAGTTGAGCGCCGGCCTTAACAAGTGAGTCCATAACTGCTTCACGATTATAAATTGTAGCCCACAGCAACGGCGTTAGATAGTGACTATCTTTTACATTTGAGTGGACAATCCCTGTTTCGAGTAGCAGCTCAACGACATCTCTATCGCCTTTCTTTGCACTAGCAAAAAGTAGTGTTTGGACTATGCTCTCCTTAGACTCGGTCTTGGATCCTCCCTTCAGAAGTAGGTTTGCTAGATCGTCATTCCCGCTACAGATGGCATAAGATAGCGGTGTCCCCCCGACATCGTCTTCTAGATCGACACGGGCTCCTGCATTGAGCAGTAGCTCAACGACGGGGATGTGCCTATTCCAAATAGCGTAAAACAATGGCGTTCTACCACTTCTGTCTATGGCGTCGATATCAGCCTTCCTAGACATCATGGTGCCCCACCAGGTATTGTTAATCGAGATCAGTCGATCGACGGTATGCGTAAACCCGTTTCCTGCAGCCCAAGATAGTGCAGTCCGCCGATAGGTACCATCACACTCATTGATGCGGGGGCCAGCCGCCTCAGGCAAGTATCCTATCGCAGTTGTAAATCCGAAATATGATATAATCAGAAAAGTGTCGAATTTTGTTGGGAAGACCATGTTTGTGCTCGTCCAGTAGAGCGTTAACCATGTTTGGCACCGCCTTGTCTTTGCGTCGCATAGCTTCAGAATAGATTTCGTCCGATCTTGCCCCCATTGTCTCTCCGTATTTTCCAGCCCAATCTGTGATTCGTGGATATGGGTGGCCCAGTTTTTAGCGGAATAGTCGAGAAACACATAGTTCTTAGCGTATCCAGACGGGTTTAACAGGTTTTTATCTTCGGGGTCGAGGTCGAATTCTGCAAATTGTAAATGCTGGATGCAGATCGAGGCAAGAATTGAGTGAGAATCGCGCGGGCGAAGCGAGTGTTTCCATTTATAACAGTATTTCATTTGATTGAGACTCCCGAGCTCTGCATCTCCCGAACGATGTGTGGCTGGAACTAAAAACTCTTTGACGGTTTGGTGGAGTAGGTATATCTTTGAGTTCACAATTGTCACAATAAGGCCACACAGGTCTCGTATTTCCTCACGAAATCGCTCCACTGGTTTGAGATCAACGTCGTCGTACGACTGGTGACCATCCCTGAGGGCTAACACCATGGCCAAGTTCATTTCTTCCAAAGTTAACGGTCGTTCTGCTGCAACTACTATTTGCAATAATTTTCTTGCTTCTTCTAGGTTGCGGCTTTTCGATAAAATCCTTTCATATGCCTCGTCGACGGTCGTCGGAAGATTGGATGTAATTTTGACTATTTTCGATTTATCGATGTTGACATCGCTTTCAATCAAATCCAGAGTAAGGCGAACCCATAAATATGTTCTATTGGGAACACGCATCAGTTCATGTAATAACAGGTCTTCCTCGTCATCTCCGAGCCTTAATTGCTTTCCAATATCTTTAACCTTAGCCTTAATGAAAATATCGATTTCGAGTGATATCTTTTTTATTTCATCCTCACTCTCGCCGCTCAAATGAATAATGGGCGACTCTGGAAGCTCTGAAGGCCAAAAGCCCTGCCGAATTTTGCCGTAAGGTCGACTAGTTAAGAGAAACTTCAAATTGGAGCATCTCTTGGTGCTTGTGCTATATAGCTCGCGCAGCGCTCGGGAGAGTCGGGATCTTCCATCATCTTCGCATTCATCGATTGCGTCGAGAACACACACAATTTCGCCGGCATTCTCATCCGCGGCGCAGAGAAGGGCGTCCCAAAGTTCACGAAATGAACGAGCGAACTCTTCCCCAGTGGCCTGAAACCGTTCGAATATTGCTTTGGAAAGCAGGGCTGGTTTCTGCGTAAAAAGTTGGTGTAAAATGCAGCACAAAGCAATAATGATACTCCTTTGATCCTCAAAATCATCTTTAAAGAAAAAGTAACAAGTGGTTCTGATATCAGTGCTTGGGAGAACGTGGTCGATTAGATACTTCGCAAGAACCGATTTGCCGCATCCAGGGTCTGCAGATATCCACAAGGTTCTTGTCGACTTTTTCTTCTGCCACTCTTTAAAAAGTTTGTGGCTAACAAACCACTCGCACGTCCCGCTTATTCGATCTAGATTTCGGTCTTTTTGGTCGAGGTACGGTGATCTGTAGAGAATCTTTAGAATTTCTATTTCTTTCGCCCTATGAGTTCGTTCTCCCTCCGACTCCTTGGTCCTAGCATCGGAAGATGGTGCTCTTGGGGTATCTGTGATACATCCATGAGTTCGAATGTCAGAGTTTATATATAGATAGATAGCTCGTTTCCATCTTAACATCGAGAGCGGAGAAGGAGGTAAATGTTTTGAGTTGCGTACACACCTGTACTCCAATGCTCCAAAAAGGATTTTGTAGCGGCGGCGGCGGCGGCTGCTGCATAATCTTGCCATTTTTTTATTTTATGGCTGTCTGCGTAGTCGCAGACGCCTTTGATCACCAACGAGTAAGGGAACTTCTCCCATACGCCCGCACCCTCCATTTCGAATGCAATGACACCATCTCGAGAAATAATGAAGTCCCGGTCTTCTTCAGATTTCATAACAGTGTCACCGGAAGCAATAAGTCCAAAATGGGTGGTAGGATTGGTCACACCCCCATTGGTGAAGAGTTCGTCTTCTATTGCTCCTGGGTGTGGTGCCGTCTCACTCAACTTCTGAGGTAAGACCTTCAAATGTTCAGATAATTTATTCTGAAGCCAGCAGAGACCTTGCTTGGTTTTCAATTTAGCCAAGATGGCACGAACTTTGGGTCTTGGTCTCGGTAAGTTATCGCGAGGTGTATCTTTTCGCATAAATATATTATTGGGGTATTGCCTCCCAAGATCGTACTGGATCAGACCTTCGCTGATGACAACATCACCGATATGGATGTCTTTCCCAGACTGTGGGTCGAATGGTGCGGCGCCGCAGATTCCAACAGTCAGAGCGAGCTGGATATTTTGAAAACTGGAGTGAAGGCAAGCCGCCGCAGTCGCAGCAGCGACTTTCCCCATATCCGGCATATGCACCAAAACAACATTATGATTTCCGATGACACCTGTGGAATAGGCATTGGAATCCCCTTGGGCCTTGCCATATGCCTGCTCATCGTATCGACGGTCAAACGATTCGCTGACAACGCTAGCCTCTAAGGGCAGTGCGCATATGATGGCGATCTCAAAATCGCTTCGATCTCTCGGTGGTGAGTTGTTCCATTGCAATCGAGAAGGTTGGCGTAGATCATGGGCGCTATCGGTATTGATAGCCTTGTTAGGTTCAATCCTGATCCTGGTCGACTCCCTAGATGCCAGCTCTTTATCGCTATTCATCTCTGATAGTTATGTATTTAATATTGGGGCTGATGGGTACTATACTGCTGAACCCTAAACAAACCATTGTAATTGAATTGAGTAGGCACTGGTGGTTCGTTATGAAAAAGCGACCCTTTGGTCTTCGAAGAGCCCGAGCCGAGCTATATAGAGGCACCAGCCCCAAAACACCACGTCTCTGACCTGTGGCTGTGTCCGTTCAGCTGTGGAGGCGCCATGCAGGTCAAGTACAAGTATAGCTATAGTATGTATGGCTCTATGAATCGAAGGGCGAGTAAAATGGACGGACCAAATAAGTGTACCCTATCTCGTACCTGTTCAGTTGAGTGTGACTAGTGGCATTTCCATTATACTTATGGTACGCACCGCTCTGATTGCAATCGTGATCAATTCGTTGTAGACTATCACTGCAGATCCACATGATATCGCGATCGATGGGCGATGGTTCGATTTGGGGCCGGGGACGATGTTAGTTTGAGAGGCCATGCATGCATGTTGATTCGTAAGCTGGTAGAATGTCGGTTTATATAAACTACTTAAGTACCTACCTGGTAAGTTAGGATATATCAATATCCTTATATAAACTGCATGTTCGCGGGCTAACTACTAGCTACTCCTTGTAATTATAAAGCGCGCTTCTAGCTAGAACTAGTCGGTCGAGCTGAACTAGTTGAACTTTAATTCAACATGTAATTTAACGGCGCGTGTAGTGTAATAATATATAAAAGAACAGGCAAGACGGAAGTGAGTTCTTGTAGGATAGCTGCAAATCATGCCTAGCCCTTGAGATCCGGAGATGTCTTAAAATCTTCTTCGATTGAAGCTATATAAGCTTGACTCACGACGTATACGTACCTACATGTACTTACCTGTTTGGAATGGAGATATGATATGATCTAGGAAAGGATCTAATTCAGAACTCTAGAACAAAATAAAAATAAAAATAAAAAAGATTCACCGTCGGGTACTTAGACAGATATAGTATCATTGTATGGACGCGGGCGGAATCGAACCGTCTTCCCTCAATTTGAAGTCGAGGGATCTGACCATCGCACGTCCGTTGTACCGAGCTGTCTTGACAATACTATACATCCTGAAGTACTTTACATCCATTACATGACCATTTCAGAGATAATATCGAGGCAAAAAGTAGAAGGGAAGGGAAGAGAAGGGAAGAAAGATTGTAAATAGGTCCTGTCCGGAATCGAACCGTCACTGCTGAATGATAAGTTCAACAGTCTAACCATCGCAGGACCTTTAATTTGATTCAACTTCAACATCATCTTCAACATCACCAGCTAGCCAGCTAGGTAAGTTCTAGGTTGCAACCCATCTCCACTTCAAGCTTATATACAGACTAAACCAACACTGGCATAGTATCAGATTATTTTTTAGTCAACCCGGATCGGGCAACCGTTCGATTCCGTGACATGGTATCCGAACAGAGAGGCTTGCAGAGCCGATTGTCAGAAGCTCTTATCGTGGTCTGGCTATAATCAGATTAATTAATTAATTGGCATGGCAAAAAGGGGTCTGTTCTTAGTGCCAATTACCAATTAGTTCCTGTCGGCTTGAATTGCCCAGCCACGGATCCAATATAACCAACTTTTGCATTACGACAACTTCATCTTCGTCTTCATCTTCATCTTCATCAACTTCGTTTCCATCTCCACCTTCAACTTCGACTTCATCCTCGTCCTCATCATCTTAATCAACCGATAATCAACATTTCGCAATAGGATAAACATTGCATTCTCCATCATCTCCGTCAAAAGGGAGCTAAAGAATACAGATCTGAACAAACCCCCCCGGTCAGATATCATATCAATGTTACATTGATAAGATATAGCACACACTCTCTACCAAGAAACCAAACCCAACCAAGATCTAGATCTAGCGATAGCTTGGACTCGAAATCGCAAAATACCTAGGCCGAGTAGGTGCCACAGAATTATTTCAAAGAGGTCATCCGCGAGATAAAAACTAGCGAACCAAACAAGACAGCAAGGGTCATCTGCATCCGCCATTCGACGCTGCTGCACATTCTTCCGTAGTCACTTTTTTCATGCACTAGAACTCCGAAGAGGTGGCATCTTTTTTATCATCGACATCTGTTCCCATTCCCGTCCGGTCTCGTGCGCATATCCATCTCAGACATCTCGAGATTAGGTTACCCGAACCTTGCTTTTCCCTGTCCCCCAAAAAACACTCGTTCGCTGTGACCTAGCCATACGACCAAACGGACCGTCGACAACATTATTATTACCTCTTCACCTTCTAATTCCTCTTCTTGGTATTCCCCACGCTATACCTATCCTACTGCTGCTCCATCGACGAGGGTGGGACGTGGTACTGATTTGATAAGAATATTTAATCCTGTTTTATCTGTACATGTACTTACTTCCACTCCCTTTCGACCAACCCCACCCGACACCGGCTGGTCCGCCATTCAAAGAGCTTAACACACCGCCCAGCTCGAACCCAAATGACCCACCCTGCGCTCTAATTCTAGATTAGGGAACATTAAGGTCATTTATTCCGATCCCGCCTCCTCTGACTTCCCAAACCATCTTCTTTATAAATTCAAATAAAGGTGGCTCCCTCACCCATCTCAACTTCTCCTTCCCCCTCGTCATCCTCCAACTACCGTTGGAAAGCTGTTCCGGACTCACCACCACCACCTCCACCACCCCCAAAGGACGACCCTCCCTCCAGACCGCCTGCTTTCGCTGGAGTAGTAGTTGGGAGTAGTGGTGCCAGGCCTGGTCACCAAAATAACTACGTCCGACCTCTCCCTCCTCCTCCTCCTCCTCCTAGAGACCATCATCGTCAGCAGCAACAAAATCCAACCCATATCTTCGGTTTCGCCCCACAGTCCCATGACAGGTACCGCGACGTCTCATACGACCGAAGACTCAGGCTCCCGCCCCCTCCGTCACAGATAACCGAAGAAGTCGAGCTAGAGTACATCAAGTACCATAAAACAAAACCTCGCAGTAACAATAATCATAATCTAGACGGACCCACAAACTCAGCTTCGACCATGGGCCGCTACGAAGAAGACGAAGAAAGCGCCGGCATGGATGAGCGAGAACGACTAGTCCGGGACGATCGATCGGTTGCTTCTGGCGAAGTCGTAGTCGAGGGTCCACGACGGTACTTCGGTGGACTCTCTAGGCGGGCGTTTGGGATTGCGTTATTGTTGCTGGTGGTTACGTTATGGGTCACCTCGAACTTTTTGGTTAGCGTGAGTAGACATGGATGACCTAACCTGCCTGATTTGGATGTTTTTTTTGAGGAGCGAGGGGGGGAGGAATGCTTGTTAAGCAAAGCTTCAGGGGAACTTCAAGCAAAATAGAGAGTATCAACTCAAAAGAGATGGATTATTGCTTAATTTTTATTTTATTTTTTTAAATTTCTGTGCTATTGCTCCAACAGAAGAAAATATTGATTGCTGATGGGAAATTAATCCTCAATAGCATATCTTTACAGACGACGCATACGTTAAGCCATACCTAGTGGTATACCTTAGTACGTCGTCGTTTACGGTTTATTTGATTCCGTGGGGTCTCAAGGAGTTATATAGAAACCCCAATGTGCGGAGATGGTTGAGACTTATGCCTCTAAGGGGTGGGAAGTCAAGGCTGGATACGAGGTATACGAGGTTGGATGATGATGAATACGACGACGAAGACGAAATAGACGACGGCCCGGGTGATGATAAGTTGAGCACCAGGGAAACGATGCGGTTGAGTGCTCAATTCTGCCTGCTTTGGTTTGTGGTATGCAACCCTAGACCCCTAGTCGATATATTGTTTGGTATATGATACTAAATTACCATTAATGATAGGCGAATTGGTTCGCTGGCGCATGTCTGGAATATACCAGCGTCGCGTCTACTACCATTCTCTCTGCCACCTCTTCAATCTTCACCTTAATTTTTGGTGCTTTATACCAGGTCGAACGGTTCTCATGGGCCAAACTCGCTTCTATCATTGTTTCCCTGAGTGGCGTTGTCTTAATCTCCAAGGCAGATGCTTCAAAAGGTGATGGAGCTTCTACGCCTGAAACCCCAAGTAATACAACAAAGTCTCATAGTGCTGCTCAAACTTTACTCGGGGACGGCATGGCACTATTTGGAGCCCTGGTCTACGGATTGTACACCGTCCTACTCAAGGTCAGAATTGGCCATGAGAGCAGAGTCAGCATGCAACTCTTCTTTGGGTTCGTGGGATTGTTTAATTTCATATGTCTCTGGCCTGGACTCGTAATCTTACACTTTACCGGCTACGAGAAATTCGAGCTTCCTCCAACGAACGGTGTCTATTGGATTCTCTTTGTGAGTAAAAATCATCTTACATCTTTCCGATCCAAAGCTTTGTTTCTTTACTAACTGAACTATCCATATAGATCAACTGCTGCATCACTGTCGTCTCAGACTTCTGCTGGGTCTTTGCGATGATGTATACGACCCCTGTAATCGTTACAGTCGGGTTAAGCTTGAGTATCCCCATGGCACTATTCGGTGATGTTCTCATCTCCAGTTTGAAATTGTCATGGTCCTATTGGATCGGTGCCGGTCTTGTGTTCGGTGCATTCTTTGTGGTCAACAATAGCGTGAAGGATGATGAGTTGTTAGAGGTTTCGGGTGTCGCGGCGGCAGCGGGAGCAGGCTCAGCGGCTGTTATGGATCCCGAAGAGAGTGACGAGGATCGACGACGGAGCAGGGTATTCGAGAGGGAGGCAACTGTCTATGGTGGAGGACGCATTTTTTAAAGTAGAGATGCTAGTAGCTCTACGCGTTCAAGTTTCTTTCTTTCTTCTTTCTTTCGTTTGAGTATTGATGGGAAATGGGATTATAAAAAAGAAAAAGACAGGAGTTTTGGGGATTATATTTTTCTTTCCTGGTTTTTGAATTTTAATGTTGGTTGTTTCTTTGGTTATCCGTCTGGGCCCCTTGCTTTCTTTCTGGTCATCATTATATACCCCCCTTCTTCTCCAAACATAAAACACTGGCATTCAGCAATAGCATAGCTAGCCAGTCGCGGCGCCCCGTCGAGCATTCGCACCTTCTCGTGTTATTGGTATGTATACCTTCATAGAGCGAGTAGATAGACTCAGCGTTCCTGTATTCATCAATTGTAAAGAGCATTAACATATACCTATATATCCTTACAAAAAAAAATCCTATGGACAAAATTAAAATGTCAAAAAATAAATTTCAATGTTTTACCTATTCAATAAGCAATGGAATAAAAAACTAACAAAGAGTTCAGAATCCGCCTAATACAATACTATGGTACACGTAAGATGCTTTTTTTCTCCTCACTCTCCTTTCATACCATGATCCAAATTACTTTTTTTTCTCCAAGGAAGTACTATACAAAAAATTCGCTAGAATGGTTAGCAAATAGATATATACGTCCAACCAACGACCACCCCAAGATTATTCTACTCAATAATCATCCTCATCCTCTTCTTCATCCTCTCCGGCCTCCGCCCTCGCCTCCTTCTCCTCCACCAACTTCTTCTTATACTCCACCGCCTGAGCAATCACATGATCCTTCCTCTTCTTATCACCCGGTGCGAATTTTTCTTCCAACTCCATCCACTTATTAAACACCCCATTAGCCTTCTTAGCATTCAACTTGCCCGTTGCCAAAACTCTAGGGAATAGTCGTCGGACCACATCGATACCTCCTTCCTGTTTAGCTTCGATATCGATGTATACGTTCCAAATATCCAATCGCTTGGGATAAGCCGACAACAATTTTTCAAACAACGTCCTCCCCTTTTCGATCTCACCGGATTTATATTCCAATTGTGCGAATTTCAGGGTTAAACCGGGATGAACCTTTGTATCTTGAATAGCCTGTAAAGCCCTCGATAACATGATTCTTGCGTCATCACCGCGGTTTTTTTCCATCATGTAGGTCATGTAGTTTATCCATATCTTTTCGTCCTGAGAGAATTTCTTGATCATGGATTGGAATAATTCATCCGCTTGTTCGTGTTTACCCGTTTGAATGTAGACGCTGACGAGACCTTGGTGGATTTTCTTGCCGTCGTTGTATTGACAGGCGGATTTGAAGGCTACTTCTAGGGTCTCGGGGGTACCGAATTCTAGTTCGAGGTTGAGTCTTGCGAGCCAGACGTTGAGTTTCGAGTCCTCTTTTCGGTGGTCGATTTTCTTCACAGCACGTTCGGAGATGGCGCGGGCGGTGACGATGTCCCCGTTGGCGACGAGGAAGGCCATGTATGACATCCAGAGGAGGGAGTCGTTAGGGTCGGCGAGGAGGAGACGTTCGTAGTCTGATGCGGATTGTGGTTGACGGGTGTCAAGGTCACCTGTGAGATCGACTTTGATGGCGTTTTTCTTTTTCTTTTGCTTCTTGGTGGAGTCCCCTTCGTCTTCGGAGTCTGAGGGGGCGTCATCGGGGAACAAGTCGTCCATGGCGGAGACCGCGGCGTCGGCGGTCCAGTTTGGTTTGTTGAATTTGGAAAAGAAAGAAGTAGAGGGGCGGTCGATGCCGGTGATTGTTACACCGTCTGCAGCGGTGGAGGCGCTGTCAAGCTTAACACCACCTTCTTCTTCTTCCTCTTCTTCCTCATCTTCCATTTCTTCGTCCTCGTCCGCTGAAATGATTAACTGTTCCTCCGTAGATTCCTTTGGAACAAGTTCTTCATCAGGCAGATTTCTGAAGTAGCTGGCTTTCAACCCGAATGAGATCCTTCCTTTTTTCCTGTCCACGCTCAAGATCTTTGCTTTGACCAAATCACCCTCCCCGAAGAGCTTCGACGGATCTACATCGGCCTTCTCATTTGACATCTGGGATTTGTGACATAACCCGCTGACGTTGTCCGATCCATCTATAACGATAAAACATCCGTATTCCGTAACCTTGCGAACATGTCCGTCCACAAATTCGCCATCCTTGTAGTCTGCAATCGTCTTCTTCGCCGTTCCTAAGAGGACCGACTTTTTCAAGTTGATGCTGATCTGGTTTGTGTCGAGATCAACAGACATGATTTTACCCTTAACCAACTGATGAACTGTAAAACCCTTCTTCCAGTCCTTGACGAACTCGTCGCTAAGATCAGATATCCTTGCACGGGCAACAGCGGTGCCACCAAGGTGGATGTAAACTCCATTATCCGCGACATTGGTAACAAACCCACGATACTTACCCCCAACCCTCAAATCCGCTGCAGACTTAACTTCCACATCACGAACCTTAGCTGAAGAATCAAGAATCCTAGAAGGACGAGTCGACAAACGAATCTTCTTATTCGAATGATCCACGCTCAAGACGCATACACGGACGATGCTATCCGTGTTGAAATTCTTGACATCGGCTTTATCGAAATCGTCGGCCATGTCCGCAAGACTAATAGATCCTAATATGGTTTCGCTGAGCTGTACGATAACCTTGCCTTCGGAGATTTTGGTGACTTTGGCGGGGATCATCATTCCTTCTTTGATGCTTGACCAATCGAGAGGTTTATTGCCACCCAGGTATCTTGCGGTGAGGTCTAGTTTTCCAGTATCGACGTTGACATCAAGGACAGAGACTCGAAGTGCAGTACCGACGGGGTAATGCTTTTCCAAGTCACTAAGGGCAGAGACATCCTCAGAGATTTCCAAAAGCTTGACTCGGCCGCGAACGGAAGGGGAGAGGTTCACCCAGAGATGATCCTGTTGGACATTATTGACGAATGCGAGGTATGTCTCTTCCTTCTTTAGATCGGAGTATTTAACCAAACTGTTTGCTTTGCCAGTGACCTGCTTGGCTGATAGCTCAAATGTCGGCAGCTTTCCGGAGACACGGTGGGAGATGGGGAGATATTTGTGGCTCTTGACATCATGGATTCCAATAACTTTGACGTCGATTTCCTGTCCAACAGCAAGGCCTTGTCGCAGAAGAGGGTGCTTCTTGTTTTTGATGGAATCCCAATCTTTGAAGAATTCAGAAACATCAACCCGCCCTTTGACATTATCGGCAAGATCAATGTTTATTTGGGTTGGTTTGATAGCTGTGATTCGGCCTTTAGTAATATCAGCTCTTTCTAAGTCTTCGATCGTCGAGATTCCGGTATCAACAGGGTTGACAAGGGCTGTAGAAATGGCAGTCTGCGACTTTTCGACTGGTTTTGGCTTTGGCTTTGGCGCTTCAACTGTAGGCTGTGGGCGCAGAGACAGTGTGAATTGTTCCCTAGAAGGAATTATGTCCGTTACATAGCATGTAATAGACTGCAGTCTGTGGTAGCCAAAATCCGGCAAATCCTCGACCTCCTTTGGTAGAGCCTATAGAATCGTTAGCTTTGAATCCTGGATAAAAAGGAAGTAATTTGATTTACCTTGCGTGGCAGCAGAGCAGTAATCCCATCGATAAAGGCGACGAAGACCCCGAAATGAGTTATCTCCTTAACAAACCCAGCAACGGCGCTTCCAATCTTAACATCCAAAAAGCTCTTGATCAAAGTATCAGATTTGGAAGCCTTGACCAAACTTGGCTTTGAAGATAAGTATACAATGTTTCTCATTTCATCCTTGCGGAGAACAACGAGGTCGACGAGTTTCTGGCCAGCTCTGAGTTTTTTGAATGTTGCTAGATTCTTCTCCTTGGAACCGTCGGTTAGTTGACCAAGGACGATCAAACCCTTGATACCATCTTGAAGACTCAAGACGACATCGTCGTTGGACTTTTCAATAATAGAACCTTCAACAATGCTTCCAAGAGCGATGTTCTGTAGCGCTTCTGCCTTCTCTTTGCTTGAATCGGCCTGGCTGCTTCGGCACGATAGTCGAACCTTCTTTTCCATTGGGTCGCTCGATATAACATGGACATTCAAGGTTTGTCCAACTTTGAAGTGTTCCATAGGATCCTTGATGAAAGCCTCGCTCATCTCAGAAACTGGTAGGAAACCTCTAACCTCGCCATAGAACTCAAGAATGGCACCAGTAGGCATCAACTTGACGATCGTGCCAGGGGTTTCCTCGTCCTCTTCAACATCGATGTAGTCCGCAAATACGGGGCCTTCCGAGTTGACAATCGCCTTCTTCAGCGTCATCTTGATCCTGCGCGAATCAGTATCAACGCGCAGAATCCTGCCTTTGACAGCTGCTCCTTCCCTGAACTTCTTTTCTGGGTGTTGAAGGACAATATCGGACATGTGCATTTCTGGTACATATGCTTCTAAGCCTTCTTCAACCTCGACCAACATACCACCTCCAACAAATCTAGAAATTTTCCCTTTTACCACATCGCCTGGCTTAACATCCTCCATCCTCAGATATCTTTGCGATAGGATTTTCGGCTCCATGGAAGCGAGCAGAAGCCCGTCCATACTGTTATAATCCAGAATTCGGATCGCGTGCTTGCTACCCACTTTGTAAGGGCCGGTTGTCAATATCGAATCGATCTTCTTGTCTGATATCCTCGAAATATGAACGAACACCATCGTATTTCCCAACCCGATGTTAAGAATCAACCCAACTCCAGGAATGATATGCTTCACAGCGGCATCCGATTTTATCGCGCCGATAGGGAGTTTCGATAGTGCCAATTTGCCAGATTGAGTTTGTGGTCCCATTTCCTTGACATGGGTTAAGAGCGAGCCAGCAAACTTCTTGTTATCTGATCCGGGGATTGAAGCCAAGAGACGGACAGTGAGATGATTTCCTGCTTTGTATTTGGTTTGGAGGACTTCACTAGAGAAGCAACCAGAATGGAAGAGGTCGACGGTTACATCGATTGATCCCATGACCGTACAGACGAGTCCGTTGTCTTGTACGTCTGTGACCAAAGCCTTAGAAGCCATGGTACCTGGCAGGAAACAATCAATTGTAGGTCCATCACCGACAGCTGCATCCTTTCCAGATTTTCCCTTGATACTCTTGTGGAAATCAGAGGCCAATTGTACAACCTTTCCACCGCTAGCTAGACCAAGGACATGACAGAGGAATGTTCGTCCAACTTTGATGGTGTTTGGAGGCGCACCACAGTCTGACTTGCCCATAAACCCTGACACAAAGTCCAACCCGAGGTCCATAATGAAACCATTGTCTTCAATACTTTTAACGGAAGCTTGGAGAGTGATTCCCTTGACAATCTCGGTCTTTGTGATCCCAGGATTCGTAAGAGTTGGGAGAAGACTAAGTTCGATATGTTTGCGCTGCTTCTTCTCACCGGAACCGGTGCCGCCAGTCGAGACGTTCATCACATAGGCTCTGACAGGTTGGTTTACTTCAAACAACATATCCAGTCCTGGGATTTCAGCCTCGGTTTCTTCGGCGTTGTCTTTATCAATATCCATCCCATCTTCATCTTGTTCTAGACTGGCTTGGAGCTGGTTGGTGTATTGCTCGGAAATGGATGTAAGAGGGGCGTATCCGACAAGATTGTTCGGTAGGGCGATCGCAACATCCTTCTTTGTAATTTTCGAGATAAACCCGAATACTAGCTGCCCTTGTACGAGTTTCTATCATCGCTATGTTAGTACAGCGAACATGCCCTCCAAAAAAAGCACATTTCGAATCACACCTTATAAGACAGCTGTTCGATCTTAATCTCTGGCTCTTCATCTTCGACTTCTCCCTTCTTATGTTTCTTCGAAGACGACCCCTTAGCTGCAGATGTGCGACGCTTCTTAGGCGACTTATCGGCCGCCGTTGGCGCCTTCTCCGCCTTTGTTTCAAATAAAGCTTCTCGAGTAGCTTCGTTAACTACTTCCTTATACTCCAAAGGCGTCAATGCCGATGCGCCACCACGTGGGAACGACGGTTCGTCCTTATTCGACTTGCGCAGCGAAGATTGCATTGTCGATGCTTCGGTAGGTTCTTGCTGTGCAGGGGTCTTGGAAGCAGTAGGTTCCTTAGGACCTGTCTTTTGGCGTTTTGTAAATTTTGGAATATCTGCTGCGCCTTTAGAAGGCGAGTCCTTCCGCTTGTTCGCCATGGTAGGCTTATGTGAAGCGTCGGTCGTGGGGAGGTTGGTAAGAATTGGTTGTTTATCGATCGACGGGCTAACAGAAGCAGAACATTGGAGACTTTTTTTTTTTTTCAAGTGGTCGCGAATTTTTCTTAGACAGTAAATGTGCCAAGACTCAAGCGTGGGCAGGGGTTGAACTAACGTGGTAATTTTGCGTGTGCAACCATCTGCAACACAGAATGGCTACATCGAGAGTTGCAGGGCTGTTTACAGTCGTAGCACTAGGTACTTAGCTAGGCTGGTTAATTAGTGTAAAAAGACTATGGATTTTGATTATATAGGCGGCCTCCTAGACCTCTCCACTAATATGAAACAAACTATCAAATTAAATTGCCGTGACATTATCAGCAAGACGTATTCGCACAAATACGTACTTAATTAAGTTAACATAAGGATGAATATTACTATAAACCCAGGAATTCTTTAGGTCCCAAACGCTATGTGTATATACAGCCTTATTTTATTCTAGATATAAGTTCTCCTCCCGTGATACCAAGGGCCCAGCCCACTGAGAATAAGCTTTATAACTTAAAGGCTGTGGCCAATTTAAGATTGTCTCGACCTCGATTCCCTCGGCTCTATATCTCAGAATGTATTTATGCTATTTATAATTTAGCAGGGCGGATAGGAGATAGCTAAATAAATCTAAACTGGGTATCTGGGATTCAGCAAGATTAACAGTTTCTATTTGTGATTACCTTATAAGACCAATGATTTAGGACCCATGTGGATCGATCGGCATACACGCCATTGTGCTTCTCGATGGTTTGAAATTTTTGATATCATTTTATGATTTTCTAACGTCGCCCCTAGTAGGAGAGCCGCATATATTAATATTTATAGCCTTCAAATACGGTGGCTCCACCTGATCCTTCGTTTACATGTCTTGATCGAATGGATCTATTAACGAGTACGCGAGTAGTCGACTATTAATATTATACATCGCGGGTATAATCCTCATCTAGAAGTATACTTAAGTACATATGTACATATGTACTTATCGAAAACTATACAATTCAACTTCTACTATAGGCCACAATTCAAATATAGCTAGGAGCGCGTACAGGCCTTCACACATATACTCAACCCTTATTACTCCATGGACCCATATATCCTCCGGCAGAGATTTCAGCATTTTTTGGCTTTTATAAACTCCAAGGTATCTACCGGGGATGCACAACTAATATCCTAAAACCTCGCATCGGCATCGCCCAGCCACACAATACCCTCAATTTAAACAGATATCAAAGAAATATTAATATCGCGGGTATGCACCTGTTAACGCTATGCTAATCGAAACCCTTGCATTCGGAAGCTACCATATTACTAGGAATCACCCGTAAAAAAGAGAATGTGGAGGATTCAAGGGATTTCCATAAGTTGGGAGGCAGCGAGGTACCAATCCAGTGAAGCCAGGCCGCAACAGTGATTCAAAGTAGGTACTAGTTTCTGCCTAGATATGACAGTCCATTAAATGGAGTTCCCGTTAATTTATGTGTTAAAGCGAGATTTATAATTTAGGTGTCTAACTTTATCTCTTCCCATGGCGCAAATTTGAATAAAGTATCAATGCTATATATATAGCTAGTAGATATGAAGTATTCTTCCATTATATAGGCTTAAAGTATGAGGTACATATCTACAGCTAACCATTAACTGAACCAATACGGTCGTCAATATATCATAGGCCTCCCTGCAAAAACTAGTTGTGAGCATGTACATCCGTTACGCCTCTAGTCGCACTGTATAATTCAATTTGTACTAGTCCCGTCCAGATTAGCGAGTTTTAAATGATAGGTAGTCGACTTTAGCTCCAAGTACATCAAGGATGGTTATCGTCTCCGTATGTTCTAGCCCGAAGACTAGACACTTGACCCCGAAGGTTGCCCGTGATTGATGACGTCGATTTATGAGCCCGCATGCATTGAGGCTGTCAGCTGCTCTTTCCATGGTATTAATATGCTATGTACCAATACACCAAAGGAATCTTTAATTCCAAAATGTGAGGGTCCTCTTGGGTAGTTTAATTCGGGGACCTATGGTCGGCCAGTTCCGATATCTTGAAATCATCCGTTTTCCGACAGGGCAATTCCGAGCTTATCAACCCAACCAAAAATATATAAAAATTACATAGTATCACTCCGATAACGCTCTTTTCAAATTTTCTTTGAAGTCTTCTAGAAATCCGAATTTGCGAGTCATGAAATCCTACACTAGGAGAACCCCGAACTAGTCGCCGGGGAACAGTTCGCCTTTGCGTTGGCGTGTGTGTGCGTGCCTCCGTCTACAACAGGCAGCTAACAACCTCATGCAAGAAATCCCCCAAGCGAAATCTACCCTATATAAACTCCCACACTTGTAAACCATCAATCAAACCACAAAGCACGAGACCCGGCCAATTGTACCGTCGACCCTCTTCCCGACCAAGCTTTAAAAAAAAAATGGCTCAGTACACCCTCCCGCAAATATCCTCCATCCCCTCGCTTTCCACAGACGAACGAGCCGAAGTTCTGTCCCACCTCTTTGAACCATGTGACGCCTTAAACACTTTAGTCGTCTCCCAACTTGGGAACACTACATTCACATCATACAGTGATTTGATATCACACGTTCATAATGAATTATTAAGACTCAAGGATTCCCCGTCAACATCGGATACGGAATGGCTCTTGAAGATTCTATCCGCTCATCCGCGCCTAGGTGCTAAGAAGGTTGACTCTGCACATTCAAGGAGTGAGCAGGCGAGCCTGGGCGGGCCGACGGAGGCAGCTGAACTCGAGAGGTTGAATAATGAATATGAAGAGAAGTTTCCAGGTACGCATGCGCAATACAACTACTTTTCCTTTTCTTGAAACTTTCTTTTTTTTTTTTTTGTCTTTAAGAGAAACCTCATGGTAGGCTGCATAAAGGTGCTTTCAACCTTGTGAATCTGTTGTCATTTGGAGGAAAATTATAGCTCTTTTCATTCCAGTCGTGAACAGTTATTGTTGCACATGTTACACATGGTTATTGCTGCAGTAGAGGGAATTGAGCTTTGAAATTACCCATCACGGCCAAAAGGCTCCCTTGCCTAAGAATCCCTCGCCTTCTAGCATTTAATGCAGTTGCAACTTTCCTTGTCTTGCTTTTCTATTAGCTGTGCATTGTTATAATATATTACACTTTGATATACCATGTTTCCCCATATTTTGTTGAAAGCCTGAAACTTCTGGGCATAGGGGCATGGTCTTATTATCCAATGTCCCGTACCATCGATATTTCTGCTTTCGAATCGCTGTTCCATCATGCTCGGTTATCAGAAGACAATCAACTAGGACAGGGCAGGCAAATGCAGTAGTATCCAAAAAACCCCAGATCTCCTTGACCTTTTTTTTTGTTACGTTGCGTGAATTTTCTGCTCTGCATGCCCTTTTTAACAACAGAGGAAAAGAGGCCTTGTGATGCTTCCAATTCTTCTTCTCGAATGAAAATAACTTAATTGCTAATTATTTCGCCTCCCCCCGAAAAAAAACAAACTGGGGGGATGTTCTGGGATACAGGGATGAGATTTGTGTAAGTTCGTTCCTTTTCCACGCATCCTAGCTGCCATCTTTTTTTTTTCCCTTCCTTCCCCCGCATTTTCGTCAGACGTTCCCGAACACACAGACCTACGATCTTGGATGATCAATCAAGTTTCTGTTCATGGATTAAGGACAAGAAATGGAAAAGGGAGGATCAGAGCAGCAGCAGCAGTCGCAGCAAACCATGCAAAAGAACTAGGGAATGTTGCATTTTTGTGCGCTGTCTTTCCCTTACCTACCTACCCTGCTCCACTACCTCACATATGAAAAGCTCAACCGACGAACGAGGGGACGAGGAAAATTTTTCCAGACAAAGCAAGCCTCCCTCGATTTTTTTCGGCGCGCGTGCCTCTTTCTATGTTTGTCTACGTCGGTGGAGTGGAGTCTGTGTGTGTGACATTCAAGGAAACTGGTCAAGCGACGCAAAAAAAAAAAAAAAAACACATAAGAAAACGAGTGGAAAAAAAGTGTGTAAAAATATCTTCAAGCTCATTGGAAGACTAATCTATTTTTCTTCGTAATATTTTCTGGATTCTATAGGGTATTCGTTGCCGGACGCAGCAGACAGGCCATTATGAACGATATGGAGACAAGAATTGCTCGAGGCGATATTGAGGCGGAGAAACTTGAGGCAATTAATGTGAGCTCCTCCTCCCTCTCCCTCCCTCTGTTCTTACATACGTCTATAGCTCCACTGGATCACTTTTTTTGTTGTTTGCCCATACATCTCTTTTCCATATTCTCGAAAGAAAGAAAGAAACAAAAAAATCAATAATTGTAGTAGTTTTAATTTTTCTTTTCCCTTCTCGCTTGTTAAAAGCGAGCCTTATATCTCTCTCTTTTTTTGTTGGTTATATATATACTTATACATACTGCCTAAATTGCGAAATGCAAGCCATGCTGACGAATTCCCTTTCCTTTGGGTGGGTGTTGAACACAGGCGATGGCAGCTATTGCCAATGATAGAGCAAAGAAGTTGATGCAGGTCGAGTAGGTTGTTGGATGTTAGCCGCCAGGTGAGAGGGGAGGCCCTTGGATAGAAGCTGGGGTGGCGAAGAGGGATCGGAACAGAAAATTGCAGAAAATTGAAAATATGGTATGATATCAGACAGGGCAAGTAGCAGCCGATTCCAATACAGATATAATAAACATAAAACAAGACATTAAAAGAGGCCGTTCGGGCCGCGGGTGAACCCGGGTGTAATATGGATTGTGAAAACAGTGTTCGTAAACATCATGATTCATGCAGAATATAGCGACAGTCCGTATGTGGGAAAAAAAAAAAAAAAAGGCCAAGTGGAGGATATGCAAATTCGAATAAGATATGGGATATAGGTGAAAAATAAAACAAGTTGAAGTAAAAATAGAGACAAAACAATCCCTGAACAAAGGCCGAAACTCCAGTGATGATGATGGGGGGTAGGAATTGCTGAAATGAAGGAACAAGCTTTTCCCTCGCCTGACGCTCGAATATAGCAAATGCATGGATTTTGGGTATCTTTTAATGGTATTTGTGTAGATGTGATGCGAGATCAACTTGCAGGTGGACGGGCGGCGAAAAGGTATTGTATTACTGGAAGAACTGCCATGGAAAATCCTCTTCCTCTTCGTACTGTTCTTCTTCGTATCTGGGGATGTCGTCGGCCTCCCACCGTTCCTCAAGTATTTCCGCGGAGGGGGGTGGGTTGTGAAGCGGGTCGGCATGATAACCTTCAAACTGCATACGATGTTGTCTGTTTACCCGTTAGGATTTATACTTGCATAACATGTCAAAACCGATACGTACCTTAGGATATCCTCCTTCTTGTCTTCGGCGGACTTCTGTAGCTCCTGGTCCCGAAACAAACCGTCCCGACGAATTTTATTCAATATCGCCGTTTTTCTGATTAAATCTCCCTTCATCTTTGGCAATTTACCCTTCCCTAGAACTTGAAACCCAGGTCGGCCGACAGCATTTTGCCGACTGGGAAACCCTTTCTTCGCAGGAGGGTATGAATATGGCGAACTTAGAGCTGAGAAGGCAACCTGGAGCCGTAACCGTCGTCGCTTTTCAGGTCGTTCGTAATCATCGTATTCAGAAAACGGACGACTCCTCTTCCTGCTACACCCCTCGAAGCCAGACGGCGGGGTTGTCGTTGTGCATTTTGGCACTATATTTGTGAAGTTGAAACGGTCGTGTGCCGGATATGTGAATTTGACAAAGACGTACGGCGTCTGAACCGACAAAAAGGGACGGGAAGAGTCTTCGTAGATATCCAGGATAACGTTCACTTCAGCCCCAACCACTTCGTCCACACACATTTACACTGATAGGATACAATGATGTATCGTCGTGAAAGGGTCGACCGACTTTCCAACTCCCAACTCGCAATAAGAGGTTGAAGAAGAAGAAAGAACGGGATTCGCAGGGACAGAAAATTTTTTTGTTGTGTTCAAGGGTCCAAGACGGAATTATATGTTTTATGAGAGGCTAAAAATAAGGCCGAAGTCATTTTCGAGGATTTTCTGGGGAAGAGATGGATGCATGACCATAACTGCGGAAAGGTGACAGGTCGTATTTAAAAAGGGAGCCGAAGGACGGGACGGTCTGGGGAAACCTTACGAATTCACCCTCGACTGAACCTCCCCACAGAGAGAAACTGGAACCTGGGACCTCTTGTCGCTCTCCTGGGGGGCAAGCCAAGATCCCAGCCAAAGCCCTCGTCAACTCTGCAGCGAGCAGCTTCTCCGCAAATTTTTCCTTTTGGGGTTCGTACACGAATGGGAAAGTATGGGGTAGGAATGCAAGTATTCGACCAGGGTGCACACTGGGGCACCTATAAATCGATACTTTTACAGCGCTGTAACACGGCGATATGCGGAAACTTCAAGTTTCTTCTTTCTTCGATGGGATTTACAGCTGGGTGGAACCCATAAAACCAAGCGTTTTAATCCCAGGGAGGACAAAGCTGCTAAGGGGACGAAGATCAAGAATGCACGGGCGTCCGGTGCACAAGACATACAGCGAGCTGCGGCGAACCTGTCCAACCGTCGTTCGGTCGAGGACCAATCAAAAAGCACCCGACCCATAGTTCATCATGCTTCTCGCATGCAGGCATGTGGCCCATCATCTCGCACATCGCGGCTTTTTTCCAAAAAAATCGAATGCATTGCGGTTGAAGAAAAGTGGAGAAGAGGGAAAAAGTACCTCAATAGTTAGTGGATGTATGTAATGTATGGCTTGCCACTGGCGCTGTGGACGAGGGATAAAATGACTTGGCAGCCTTATAAGATCGCATGTCCAGTTCGTTCTCTCGACTCTCGACTTTGCAGAGGGGGTTATCGATCCATCGATGGCTTGCTTGCCTGTAAAAGTTTATTTAAACTTGCAGCTTAGCTTTTCGAATTGGGTCCCGAGAGTTTGAAGTATACTGGACATTTTATGCGAGTGCATACATTACTTACTTACTTACTTACACACACCCAGACATACATACGTACTTATGTACATACATACATACATGCACTTGCATACACGCATCTTTGACGAAATGGTTGCCAATAAGTTGGTGTTCTTGCCAGGCTTCCTTGATTGATGCAGTCAGCCATGGTGCTAGGATATAGGGGTGAGGAGACCCGCGGGAAGACTATGAATGCGACTGTAAATGGTCCATAGGCTCCGGATGCCTCGTGAGCCACACGGGCGTAGCTAATAGGCGGGTTACATTTTGCGAGTGACATTTTTTATATCATATTTTGCACGAAATGGCCCCTTTCAAGGATAATCGGCTCCGTTTGGGGCTCTGCATAGCACTAGTTAAGTACTTAGTTAGTATATTACTAACGTCCCGAACGAAGAATGAATAGAACTAGTTAGTATCCAGCCACACTAACCGATTCTAGGCCACCAACGATGGTATGGATGTATAAAACATCAGAACTTTTAGGATGGGGGAGAGGCGCCTGGGCGTGGTCGTGGTCGTGGTCGTGGTCGTGGGAGGCCTCGAGGAGGAGGTTCTGGATCAAAAGAGCAATCCTTAAATCTTAAGAGCGACAACTATTGCATGCAGCGAACACCGCAGATTACATAACGAGGTCTCGATCGATCGACTTTTAACAAATAGAATTCTATCCTTTGGTTATCATACAGGAAAAAAACAGCCAACGGGTAACGGTATTTACCATGCCATCTTGATTGGATGCAAGATGGGTGGCTTTCCTTGGTAGCGTGCACCTCGATTTTGAGCTTCAAGAAGAGTCAAGACCCTCCAATAGCGAGTGCGGAAGGTATTCACATGTCCTTTACGGAACTAGTCGAATGCAGCATGTGGTAACGTTGTCAGTACACATGTATGTACATACAGTCCGTATACATCGATCTAGAAGTCCGTCGCATGAGGATTCCATAGTTAAGTACGAAGCTAAGTAAATATATTTATGGCTCGAGGTCAACGGTTTGGGAGCTGCTAGTTCGGGTTACAGCAGTCAAAAGCCGCAGCACGGACCGGGTCGACACACTAAGATGGGGATAGTTCAAGAATCAAATACTTTACTACTTCAGTACTTGCTTTAAATATCGGTTGAGGAATTCGAATAGATCTGAGAAAATAACCAATTCCCTGCAATTGTGAGCACCTCCTTACATTAGTTGGTATAAGTATTTATGTATTAGCTTAGGTCTTAGATATCGATAGGCCTGTAGGGCTGTCGCACAGACTATTAACAAGTAGCCAACGTTAATTCAACAGCCAACATTTATTAATTAATCAGTAGACTTGACTTAATATAAATAAAACGGTTGAGGAGGTTAAGTAAGTAGTTATAATTAGAGAAATAGTTAACTTAGCACCGATAGAGGATAGTGTCAATTAATTAGAAGCTGTTGAAAATTCCTCAGAACTACTCCGTAAGAAGCTTAAGATCAGGACCGGTTGCTGCAAACAAGCATTAATTTGCAGGTTGCAACCCAGCCAGGCCCAGCCCAGGCGATTACGGTCCGATATGCGATTCGCTTTGACGTCATCGGAAAAACCAATACCGTTTTCCTTCAAACGTTCATGCGCAGGTATGTTTTTACATATGATATGGGTCTTGAAGCAGTAAAATGGCAGTTGGAGATATTTTATTTTAATACGGGTGGCGAAGTTGATGCTGTTTGAGAAGCTTGTGACTTTGACTTGACTTGACTTGACTTGACTGTGCTCGTGAATGCAACTGCAGAAACTACTGGTTTGATAAATATCTGCCATGCCATGCCATGCTACGCCATGCTATGCTATGCCATGCCCATGCCATATGAGAGAGAAAGAAAAAAAAATCATGGGAAGAGGGATCATATTGCCTTTTCTAGAACTTCTATTCTGCAGAGAGAGAGAGTTCGAATTGATATTTTCTCTGAGTTCCAACTCAGCTCAACTTTCTTTGATCATACAAAACCTCCAAGATAATCATCATCGATCGATCAACCAACCATCAACCAACCAACCAATCTCACCTCAAACTCTTTCACGACCGCGAACCTGGGTGGTGTATGTATGTGCGTCCGTAGTAACCTGGGTATATCAGCCTGCATTAACCATCGGAGCTTGTCGATTCCGGAACAATTCCACGCTGTACATGTATGTACTTAGGTACTTACTTACCTGTCGTGTCCCATCTGGATTTTGCCAGCGAAACCTCGAATACGAAGGATTATTTTAGTTCATTGCCCCAACATCAACATTAACACTGTCAGTAATATTACTATCGCATCGACAACGGCACCAGCATGGTCCGGAGGAGGTCCCACATCCCACCATTGAAATCAAGCCCTTCGACCGATTGCGACTTTAATCCGTCTTTGAAGAAATTTTATCCGCTAGTTGTGAATTTCTATCCTTTTTGATTTAATTTTTTTTATTCCCTTTCTTTGATCAGTTATCATTTTTATTTTTTTCCCTTTCCAATTTCGGTGCCTTGGGACCATTCCTCGTGATTGTTTCGATTCGATCCATCGGAAACGTCTTGACGTATTTGACCATCTCGAAGGGAAATCTGCGACTGGCACTAACCATTTCGATAATTCACCACCAATGTCGATATCTATACCTAAAATTCGGGCGCGGAACCCAAGCGCAGATGCGCCAGACGACACTGACAGGCTTCAGGAAGACATTCGACCTACCCAGAGTGAATCCGACGCAGCCGAAGGTAAGGCAGCTGCCCCTCCACCAGGTCTCGTCTAAGCCTCTCGGCCAGTCGATTCCATGAATCCCAAGACTTTTTGCGATTTTATCCAGGCTTGACGGTGCGGGAAAGAAAGAAAGAAAGAAAGAAAGAAAGAAAGAAAGCCAGGCCTGAAGATCCACACGGGCGATATATATCGTATACGTATACGTGCTTTTTTGGCTAAGGTTGCTTATTTGTTATAATTTCTCCGGCATAACTGTGCTGTCTTTAGTTGAAGTCGAAGTACCGCCTGTCACATCCACACGCTCTGGTTCAGTTGTATCGCGTCCCACCCTCCAAACCAGTGATCTTTCACGCCAAACAACCGACTCTCTGAACTCGCCCAATTCGAATAGACTATCACCCAGACCTCAAGACAAGCCCTTCAACGATATCGCCATCGACCCTTTATCGCAGCATATCTTAAAAAGAACAGGGAGCCAGTTTACGTACCAACAGAGGTTACGACGTCAGGATACCAATGATAGCACCCATGGATCTCTTGGCGAGGACTCAGCGAACTCGTTCAAGGGTAGTGGGACAGCCACGCCTCCTGTTCGAAAGATGGACTTGAACTTACCATCTCTGCAAATGGGAAGCAAGGACAAGAAGTATGTTCCGTGCATAAGTGCATATTTCTGTCGTCGCACAGCATCCTTTCTTTCTTTCTTTTTTTGTTAATCCTCCTCGATAAGCTAACATCCATTTTCATTCACAGGAAAGGAGTATCGTTCCTCAGCCGTTTCATTGGAGGTGGCAAACGAAAAGAACCTACAGTCAACGAAGAAGATGATAGTGAATCAGTCATTGAGCAGCGAACTGAAGGGCTCGATGCAGCTGTATTTTCTCAACCTATCGGCTTCACACCGAAGTTCCCGCCTCCTCCAAAGTACATCCGTATACGCTCGCACAACAAGCATACCAAAGACTTTAATCACGTTTTCCTCGCACAGGAGTTGTTCAAGAACCCCAATCCGATAAAAGATGCAAGGAATGTCGTCGGGGAAGGGGAGAATGGATCGGCACCGACATTACCATCGATACCCATGGCGAAGCATAAGAGCGGTGCTATATGGTCCATGAAATTCAGTAAGGACGGAAAATACCTTGCAGTGGCCGGGCAGGATAAGATTGTAACTGTGTGGGAGGTTCTATGTTCCGAAGATGATCGTAGGGAACATGAAGAAGAGGAGAATACGCAGGGATTCGATGGGGGCAACAGTGGGGGTGTCCGCTTGAACGCCCCAGTCTTCCGCGCGGAGCCTCTGAGAGAATATACTGGCCATACAGCGGACATCCTTGACCTTAGCTGGAGTAAGAATAATTTCCTGCTGTCCTCGTCAATGGACAAGACTGTGCGGCTGTGGCACGTCAGCAGGGCGGAATGCCTATGCGCTTTCCAACACTCTGACTTTGTCACATCAATTCTGTTTCATCCAAAAGATGATAGGTTCTTCCTTGCAGGTTCATTGGATTCCAAATTACGATTGTGGAGTATTCCAGACAAGAGTGTGGCTTTCTCCGTGGAGCTGCCTGACCTGATTACTGCCGTAGCCTTTACACCCGATGGAAAGCACGCCATTGCGGGCTGTCTGTCTGGACTTTGTATATTCTACGAAACCGAAGGACTACGGTATCACACACAAGTTCACGTTCGTTCTTCACATGGAAGAAACGCCAGAGGTAGCAAGATCACAGGCATTGAAGCCCTCAATTACCCCCCAGATGATCCCAATGGCGGGGAGATCAAGCTTCTCATCACAAGCAACGATTCTCGAGTCCGAATGTATAACTTCCGCGACAAAAGCCTTGAAATCAAGTTCCGCGGAAATGAGAATACATGCAGCCAGATACATGCAACTTTCAGCGATGATATGAAGTATATTATTTGCGGCAGCGAAGACCGTAAAGTCTATATTTGGGACGTTCACGCTGGGATTGGCGAGAAAAAAACCAAGATCCCAGTCGAGTACTTCGAAGCACATAACTCGATCGTCACATGTGCCTTAATCGCACCTACGAAGACTCGTCAATTGCTCGGCCATTCTGGGGATCCAATCTATGATCTCTGCAACCCTCCTCCTGTCACATTAATCAGCCGTTCTGAATCATTCACTTCATCTATCAAATCACCAGTCAGAGCACCTGAAACCTCGGCGAAAATCGGGCGTGATCCCAACGCATACATATCCGAAAGAATAAAGGCCTCCAAGTCCAAACCAGCCGAGGAATCACCTGCATATGTCGCTCGTTCCCTCCACCTGGACGGAAATATTATCGTAACTGCAGACTACAATGGCAAGATTAAGGTTTTCAGGCAGGACTGTGCACATATCAAAAGAAAGAACGAGTCCTGGGAAACATCCTCGACCTTTTCGAAGAAAGTTCAGATGTTTGGTAGCGGAGGGAACAAACGTGTATCAGGTCAATTTTCAACCCATAACCCTCGTGATAGCATCCTATCATGGAGGAACAGCGTGCAGAGTCAGTATAGCTACGACTCAAGGATTGGAAGAACCTCAATGCAAGGCGGTCGGGAGTCTGCAGGTCGTGATTCCGCTGCCACAAGGGAGTCAACAGATGATAAGGATACCAGCGTCGTATCGTCCAGAAACAGAAGTTTATCACCGAAGAAAAGTATATCCACCATGTCAACCCAAAGTTTCGGTACTGCTTCCTCGAATGTTATACCCAAGATTGCTGTTTCGGAAGTAGTCTCTGGAAATGGAAATGGGCCTGTGGCGACAAGGTCACGAGCTACGTCGATTAACTCGATTTCAAGTAGTAATTTGAATATGCGCGGGAAGCTGGCCAAAGATCATTTGCCATCCATGACTAGCCCTTTGGCGAAAACAATCTCAAACGATCCCGCAGATTTAATGCTGCAGGAGAGTGGGAGATCGTTGGCGTTCTATAATTTGGCAGCGGCCCCGAGTACCTCCGTGGGATACCTGATGGCAGACGGATCAGACCGCCGGCCCTCTATTATCAGTTCGGCAGATAATACGGATGATGGATTCAGCAGTGAGAGTGATAATGACGAGGCGCTGAAGTGCAAGAGGTGAGGATCGATGTTTCTATCCGGAGTCCTGGGGGAAGTTCGGGGGTGGCTAACTAGGGGGAAATAGATGTGGAGGAACATCTTTCAGGGCGAAGAAGTCGAATCGACGGGGAGAAGCTAGACTTGTCTGCGCAAAGTAAGTGGTCTTCTGAGCATCTCCTCTCCTGCTTCTCGCTATTATCCAATCGCATCAAAGCTTCAACGATTGCGTGATACTAGCTGTTAATTGCGTGATCGTGGTCATTTTTCTGATATCAAACATTTAGTTGCAATACGCCATGCTAGAGTCATGACCTACATCCATTCGATGAGCCAATTCTGCAAGAAAATGTCCGGCCATATCCCTTTCTTTCCCAATGAACAGCTTCAACAAAAAGCAATGAAAACGATTTCACCGAGTTACCAGTTTGATTATGAATCAACAAAAGTTCTAGTCTCTTTAATATATCTTCGACAGGAATTAATGAAATGCAATGCATGATGCTTCTGTGGGCTGCAGGCTGAGTGGTTTTTTGTTCTGTCTGTTTTCTTTTCTTTTCTTCCTTGGAAATCTTGGCTTGCAGCTGGGAGCTTTTGGTATCGATAGATGCGAGGAAACGTCAAAGGCTTTTTTTTATGCAGGTTTCATCTCGCAGAGTCCTCCCTTTTTTTTTCTTCTTTTCTTTCCTTCTCCTTTCCTTTTGTAATTTCTTTTTTGTCAAGTGCGTATTAGCGACCTATATTCGAGATTTTTTGTTCGAAGATATCTTGTCAGTGGGTACGCATTACGGAATGTTCCCTTAGCTGTCGAGTATCGTCGTCTGGGGTTAATTATAATTTTTCGTATATATAATTCCCTTTTTTTTTAATTCACCTATGTTATGTCCCCCCCCCCCTTGTTTTCAGTTTTTATAGCATTTTTATTACCTAACGAAGCACGATTTGAAGGAGAGAGAGGCGTTAATTCAAGACGAGGGGGGTTTTCGGTAGTACCCTTTTTTTCTTTCTTTCTGAAGTCTTTTTTTTGGCTGGATCGTTTTATATGGCTTTTCGTATATACGCGTATGAGGAACGACAGTTTTTGGATATTGAACATGGCATATGTGTGTATGTATGTGTGTATGTACTGACCTACATACGGTCTGGGAGCATGTTATGATATCAAATTATAAAATTAATCATTATGGGATGGGGCTTGCAGGTTACCAGTTAACGTTAGCTAAGTAAGTAGCTAGTTTTGTTATCTTCTTTGATTCTGGGATATATGTGTGTACTTCCATCCTATATCTCTAATACTTCATGGAATAGTATAATAATTAATATAATACTTCATAGGTGGAATGTTACCTATCGTAGGCGTTGTAATCGAGAGGAAGAGTATGTTATCAAGTTCAATCACTTATGCATGCAGTGACTTCGAGTCTCACATACCCATTAAAGTTCCCCGATATCAATAGCTTTACGAAAGAAATATATATATTACATCAAGATGTATATTGTCTTTGGGGGGGTTAGTACTACCTGCCTACACAGATACTAGACCTAGTCTTATATTTTACAGTCGAGTATCTAGAATTCAACTCCCAGGATTCGATGTTTTATGATTTTGATAATATAATTAATTTCAGTTCTTTTATTTTTCCCTTTCAGCTCTTAGTTGGTTGGTTTTTTTCATGGTCTCGCAAGTTAAAACTAGGTCAACTGATTGTTCTGGCAGAACTCACACCCACGTTTGCCACATCCCACCGCCTTGATCTTTCCGAGTTATAGTAGAGTACTTCGAAAGAATCCGTATTGATAACGCCCAGGTAGTTGAATAATAATAAGTAAAACAAAGAAAGGAAAATAGAGGAGGAGGGGGGGAGAGGGAGGGGGAGAGAGAGAGATAACTAAGTGTGAGTAGGCCGCAATGCAACTGCTCACGATACAGGCCGTCTAGCCTTCAACCAAGCGTCCGCCTCTGCAAACTTCGGAGCGTCCTGAATCAAACCCTCAGGTGCAGCCTTAATGCCCGACATAATCTACCGAATCATAAGGGTTAGTTAAGATCCTCCATATTTTAACAAAATTAGGAATGGGGAAAAGAAACTTACAGCATCCCACAACCTAAACGCCTTACCAACATCCTCCATGACATCCACACTTTGTACGAACATCTGTGGAATCAATTGTTCCTTCTGGATCTTCAATCGTGTCTCGTAACTCGTCGGATCTTCCGTATTCGTCAATTCGTCCAGGTAAGTCTTAACTGCAATCCCCAGTCCAGCATTAACATCCTCCACAAATGGGATAGCCAGCCCGATCTGCTTCCAATCGCTTCTATCATTCCTATCAGCGTCCCCGTTCATCAATAGTGACGTTAGAACCATTTGCATCAAGTTCTCGAGGTTCTTGGACATCAGTCTGATTATTGAGTTATAGGTTAGGAGGGTTCTGCTCAATGGGCCGGTGTACCCGATGCTGTTGTGCCTCAGTTTTCCAAGGGAGGCGACGCGGGAGATCAAGCTGCAATATCGCCTATCCGCGTCACGGCCGGAGTATTGGTTAAGTGTATTCGGATCTGCGCGGAGCATCTTGGCTTTGAGTAACTCGATACCAAGGTAGCAAGCTTCTTCAAGCTCGTCGTTGTGATCAAGGGTACCCAGCGCTGCCGAAAGTACTTTACCCCATGGAGTAAGGAGGTGATCCTTGTCGATAAATTCACGAAGACGAAGGGTCCTCCAGAATACATTCAGAATCACCTCATTGGTTGTCTTTAGAAGATTCTCGTTTGACTTTGTGGTGTATGTTTTCGCAGCCAGATCTCTATTACTCAAGCCTGTAATAGCGAATCCTAGCAACGAATTTCCGGGGTTTGCGGCCAATGCAGATGCAAAGACGCTTTCCTTAACATTCCACGAGCTAGTAGATTCGTAAAGGCCGGCGCTGAGGTCCTTGTATTGTACTAGTCGGGGATTCGGCTTGTCGTACCAGTAGATAACAGAGATCTTTCTGCTGTTCCACCAGTGTTGGAGGGGTTGGGAAAGGAGGGCGAGGGATTGGGCGCGCACGGTTTGTAGGCCTTCTAGAAATACTCTGTAGGACTCATTTTCTCCGGCATCGAGAGGTGGGAGCTCATGCAGCTCGCCGCTAACGATCATATCGAGGACGGAAGACCCAATAACGCCACGGGAGAGGTAGAAGTAAACTTCTTCTGGGAGGCGGTTGCCCATGAATTCATGCATATCACCTGGAGCATCATCAATGCTCATCGGCTCAATGTAACCTTCATCAGTAAGAATGGGTTGGTGCTTGATAGCTAGCCTTGCTCGTCTATATTTGTCGAGGTAACCGGAGTCCTTGATCGCCGGCGATTCGCTGTACTGGTTTACTATACCAGTGGCGCTGCGGCATGTCTTAAGGAAATCCAGGCAAGTCTTGAACAAAGACGAGTTTTGCTTCTCGAGGATGGGTAGTGTGGGACAGAAATCGAACCCGGAGAGGATGCAGGCATCGATGAATTGTTCGTGATTGAGTCCTCCTAGGTCCTGCATGATGGCCTTTTTGTTGAGACACGAAAATGAGTTACGCGCGAAGCTAAATCCCGTGATGACCTTATCGACATCGTAGAAGAATACTTCAGCAGGGCCGAAGATGGCATCGATGAATTGCTTTGGGTGGCGTTCGAGATACACAAGTTGCGCCCAAGCAGCATAAGGCGCGACCTGGAATTCTACATTATTCTCGACGAGGATCTGCCTTAGGAACCTATATACCTCGACGGGTTGTAGAGAACCAGAGTCGCCAAACGCCTCAACGGCCTGAGTCGCGTGTCCAATATCATAAAGCTGCCAGGCCACGCTGCGGTTCTTAGCAGCTACCTCGGATGTCGACGATGCCTTGTCGGTTCTGAGGAATTGGATGCCACTGAAAACAAATAATGGTTTGATACCGGCCTGGTGCCATTGTGAGAGGTCATCTTCGATTTTGTTTTTAAGACTGAATGGAAACCCGCCGAGGGCCGGAACGAGGGGTTCTTTCGTGCCGGGGCCATCAATTATCTTCTTTAAATAGTTTCCAGCGTCGATTCCGACGACTGCATCTTTGAGGACGGATATTGGGAGGGTTTGGAGGCGGTTACTAGACCAGGCATCGAAGTTTCGGACTGTAAAGGAGGGGGGAAGAAGTTAGATATGTCATTGGGGGGTATGGCTTTTAGAAGCTCTATTTGAAGATGTGCTTACTTGATCCACCTATCGAAAGGGGAGTTACGGTCCTTGGTGGTCCCGGCGCAGGCATTTTTGTGGTTGTTGAAGCGGTTGAGGGAGGGCGCTGTTTAAGTTTAAAGACGAAGCTAGCACGTCGCTATGGTATATAAGGTGGTTAGTATTACAGGAAGGGATAGAAACAAGAAAGAGAAAAAATAAGGCTATTAGGAAGATTGGAAGAAACAGTAAACCCCCGGATGGTGCCGATGATGCCGATGATGATGGGTAGTCGATAGGATGTCTTCGAGGAAGGTGGAGGTTGAAGGTTGAAGGTTGAAGGTGAATGTCGAATGAAGGTCACAACATCCCCACAGACAGACCAGACGGATGGCAGCCCAGCTTCGGTCAATGCCAATCCGCCACAAATTGGTACTTACAACCTGCAAACCACACAACGTGCACGTTTCAACACGATAAACTGCAACGTTCCTCCTATTTTTAGTGCCTCCCGTATAGGACACTCATAAAGTTTAGCTAAGCTAAGGTAGCGAATAGCGAATAGCAGGGATATCGATATGTCGATATCATTGCATTGGGCATGCGCATCTTGATTCGATTATGGATAGCTCTCTAGTATACATGTATATGTATCGGGTACCGGGTGTATCAATATCAAGTTAATCGTATAAACTGTCTTACAACCTTCCCAATCCATTAATCTCCTTGATATCGAATCCCGGTTCTAGCGCTGTATTTTCACCGATAAGGTCGTATGTGCCTATAAAATAACCTTCAATCTGTATCGTATTGCCCTACAAACAAACGAAATCATCTATACTATAGCTATAATACCTTGTCTCAAACTATGTCTACCGCAGAACCAACTCCAGCGACAGCTCAAATCCCCGTCATCAATGTTTCCCAAATCGACATTGAAACGGCAGACCGCCTAGTTGATGCGGCAGCCACGTTCGGGTTCATCTTTGTCGAGCTCGAAAGCACGAACATCGATTACAACAGTGTGCAACACATGTTCCAGTTGGTATGATCATATAATATCAAATCTCTCTCCATTGCATAGTGGCAAAACTTGTAAAATGCATTACTCTTTTCGAAGCATTCCAGGGAACCGGTTTTAATAGTGGTGTTTAATATATTTTTAGTCGAAGAAGTTCTTTAGTTCTCCAAGAGCGGAGAAGGAGAAGTGCGCGATATCGGAAAACGTATGTTAAACATCCTTCTCCCCCGTCCAGCAACATAATATGCATGTCTGTCTCGAAACTAGAGTTGTAATTAAAGGTATGAAATGGAATATGTATAGAATAAAGGATGGAGTTCTATGCTCTCCGAGACTTTAGATCCGGAGAACCAATCAGTAAGTTGTTTTGTTCTATCTAATCGTCTAGATTGCGCGGTAACTAGCATGCGATACTAACATCACTCCATAGCGAGGAGACTTCAAAGAGTACGGCCGTCCATCGATATCCCATCTAACCCTCAAAATATCGAATTGGATATTTGGCTAAATAACTTATATAACATGTAGAGCTCTTAATTTTGGCGAATTCAAAGATGGTCACGCCCAACAACCTCTCCCAGATTCTCTAGTCGCAGATGAATCAACCCTTAACGATTTCTTCACATCATGCCATAACCTATGCGTCCGCCTCCTTCAGCTATTCGCCATGGGTTTAAAAATAGATGAAGAAGCAGGCGGTAAAGACTGGTTCTCATCACGACATGATCAATCTGGTCCTTCTGGGAGCATATTACGATTATTACACGTTTGTGCTTCCCATTCCTTTGGTTAGTTTTATTTGATATATATTGACCGGCAAGTGGCGGCGATGTTAGTACCCCATCATCCCCTCCGACGCAAATTACGTCCCAGGAAAAGATATCCGAGCAGGTGCCCATTCAGACTATGGAAGTATAACACTTCTTTTCCAAAGACCAGGGCAGGAAGGATTGGAGATTCTATCGAAAGGATGGCAACCAGTTCCGGTTCATCCAGAGTCCGTGGATACGTCCCGTCCACCACCGATTTTGGTTAACATCGGTGATTTATTGTGTACGTTCCTCTTTGAACATTCTTCGATCATTAATATAGAGCTAACTGGTTGCAACCTAGCATACTGGACCGGTGGGTATCTCAGGAGTACAGTTCACCGGGTAGTAGTACCACCCACCGCAAGCATTAGCGGAGAAGATAGGTACTCGATGGCATTCTTCTGTCATCCCGTTGATACGGCGCTTCTTGTGCCGGTACCCAGTACATTCCTTCAAGAGAGAGGTAAAAAACGAGGTGCAATGGAAGCAGAATCCCAAGGGAAAATAATCACAGCTGCAGAACATCTCAAGGGTAGATTGGCAGCTACATATGGTTGGAAAAAGTAAACCATTCTATTTCTATTGTCTAATAGTGAATATACTAGTACTCTTCGGCCAAGAAAAAAAACCGATGCCTGGGGATAACTCTGAGCCGGAGGCATCATGGAGCTCCTAAACATAAAGGAGACTCAATGCTAGTTTAATTTCCACCGTAAAATATTAAACCCCATCGCTTTCACTCCGAATCAAAAAACTTTACCGGTTAAAGTATCAGACTTCGGATCATTTATTTACAGGTAGATACCAGTAATAATATGTACTCTCTGGAAATAAAACCCCGAAATTAAAAAGTAGCTTCCCAAGCTTAAAAAAAAAGTATATGAAGACTTTGGTCATTATAATACCCTCCTCTCGATAGACTCGATAAGCTTGTTAGTTTGCTCTGCTAACGACAAGGTCAGGACCGTATGCGGTAATATCCTGGCCAAATGAGCCGTGACACCCTGTAATTATAACATGTTAGCTAATAAGTCCATATATCGTTCAGTAATACGGCAACATACCTTGTAAAGTGCAAACACTCCCTCAGTCTTAATAGTCTTGACAAAACAATCCGCCAAACTCGAGTACAAATTCCCATTCTGGTTATACATCCTCGACATGACGGTATCCGGCGGATGCATAACGATACAAACCGCCACGCCACTACAACTACTAGCGGCAATATGTTTCAGCGGCCCTTCTTCTAGTAACCCATACTTTTCTATCTGTCTTTTCGCGAAAAAGTATGTAGGCAATTGAACACTGCTCCCGGCACCAGTCCTGACAATGGCACTGGTGACACCACGGTATAATCCTTTAAACCCTTCGGCAGAATATATTGTTCTACCTGCTTCAACGAAGTTTTTGTAAGGGTGCTGAGTACCGACTGGGAAGGCGGGAGAGTAGGATTGTAAACGGGTTTTGAAGAGGAAAAACGGAGATCCCGCGATTCCACCGATTATACCGGATGTTGCACCAGCGAAAACATTGATATAAGGGATTTGGTGCCTGGAGTCGCCGGTGAAGAGGCGTGTGGCCGTGGAGCGGATTGGTTCGTAGAAACCGAGACGGCAGCCTATATGGTGTTCTAAGTCAGCACTTGATGTTCCAATAACATATAACGGGATGACAATATTGTGCACATCGTCGGAGGCGTACCGTTGAGGAGAATCTGGTAGATATACTACAATTCCAATTAGAAAACTTCTTCTCCTTCTATTTTATATATTTTATGGTGGGGGCGGGGAGGCATACAGCACAACCGAGTCCCTTCTGAGTGCCCCGCACCCCCTCAGTCTTATAGATAAGATGAAGTGCCTGAAAGATACCGGTGTAGATCTTCTTAACGTGTGCTCTCGATGCTAGTTCGCCCTGAAGCTGTAACCTTTAGATACGATTGATGCCGAGCTGTCAGCGAACCGCAACGGCAATATACTGTGGAAATTTGCGAACTAAACAGTACTATATTCCATCCGGATCTCTGGAGGATTGTTGGAGGAATATGCGCATTACGAATCGAAGGAAGAAGAAAAAAGGATTCTACCTTGTCTTGACGACCTCGAAGGGATTTGTAACCGTAACGGCACCACAGGCAGCCAGCCCGCCGGCAATGAATCCACCAATTGTCGTCTGCGGCATGGCGACAGTGCAACCCCTCGAAGCCTACTAACGATATCCCTCTTGCGACCGCGATTGTGGCAGCGATATGTCGGTAATGAAGATAGAGGAGAGGATGAAGAGGATGAAGAAAAAATCTTTTGGGTTTGCCCTGTTGTCAATATTATTTTTGTCTTGAGTTAGAAGGTAGAAAGTGTTTATATATAAGGACACTGTCGCCGCTGAGTATTTTAAGAGCTGTCGCAGATTTGGAGCATTTTTGAGCTCGCTAAGTCACAAAGGAAAAGGAAAAGGAAACTTCGAGGTCATAGTTTAAAGCCAGCCAATCTGCATCATCGTCATGAGCACCGCGGTTCCGAGGAAGATTACATTACATCAATATTCCGCAGGAACGAAATAAAGTGGTTGAACTAAACAGTCCAAAGGTTTTACAAATTTGGCCGAACCGGACACGACCTCTTTGAAGGAGTAGCACGGGTAAATGCGGGTACCTTTACTCGAAACTAAACCAGAATCTTCTCTCGTTTTAATTTAAGCAGGGAAAAACCGACCGGGCAGGTACCCCTGCGGCAAGCGGTACGAGCTTAACTTGCTCCGGGTTCGATGAGACTTCGCTATTCCGAATTTTCGGTGGAATATGCGATGGCGATGCTCAAGAAGGTTGCGAGATGCGATAGATCTCCATTCCGCGGTGGGGTTATCGTTAAATCGATATCCGAGTCTATCCTATACTCTTCATTCAAGGTAGCAATCGAATCCGAGATCGGAATGAAGAAGAAAGTGATTCGAACATACTAGCACAAACTTATGTATGTAAGTACATACTTCCATACACAGACTGTAGCTCTATAATCACCAATCAAAACCCCCCGATATCATACCTGTGGGGCATATTCTTGAGCCTTGAGCAGCTGAGTAATTGGGGGTTCGAGATGTACCGATGTCCTGCATGGAAGGTGGATGTGCTTGGGATGCTTGGGATGCTTGGTGCTGGGGATGCTTGGAGCGCTGCTTGGCGTGGAGGTTGTCTGGATTGCAATACAAACTCGAAGCGTCGGAATTGCAAGTTAGCGCGACATCCAAAGAAACCCAGACATGTATTCCTCCACCGCTCAACCCTCTGCAAAACGCCTCGCCGACGTGATCCAGTCCTATCGTCCTGCAAAGTCTCTTCGTAATTCTTCTCCGAACTCTGTCATCACATCACTCGACTTCGACGATACGGGAGAGTGGTTGCTGGCTGCCTGTGATGATGAGTCCATCCAGCTGTACGATTGCAAGCTAGGGAAACACTCAAAGGAACTCTTCAGCAAGAAGTACGGCGTCCACCTCGCCAAGTTCACCCATAATCACACAAATTGCATCTATGCCAGTACCAAGCAGGATGGTATGCCTTTTGTATATCTCTTCTTGTCTTTGTTATTTCTTTCTTTCTTCCTTTTTGAGATTCGGTTGGAAATAGGCTGATTAATGGTGGTGACGATGATGATGATACAGACACAATACGCTACCTTTCCCTGCATGACAATTCTTTCATCCGATATTTCAGAGGTCACAAGCAGCCTGTCAATAACCTTGAGATCTCGCCCTTAAATGACCTCTTTCTCTCTTCATCGCTCGATAACACCGTTCGCTTCTGGGACCTGCGATCCTCAAACTGTGCCGGTTGCCTCAACATCGATGCTCCTGCCCAGATCGCCCATGACCCAACCGGCGTCTCATTCGCTGTCGCCTCGCACCACCATTCCCATCTCTTCCTCTACGATATCCGAATGTTCGATAAAGAACCTTTCGCCATGTTTCCAATCTTAGACGACGAATACCTCAAGCAATTCAGCTACCCTCCCATGATGCCTGAATGGACGAAGGTCGAATTTAGTAACGACGGCCGTCTAATCATGATCGGTACTAACGCCAAGGTCCACTACATCATTGACAGTTTCAAAGGTGAAATAAAGTGTAGACTCCAACGGAAGGGTCCGACACCTGTAGGCAGAGATGGGAAGTGGGATATGTTGAAGGCGAGCGGAGACGTTTGTTTTTCGCCCGATGCTGGATTCGTCGTCGGTGGCCAGGATAAGGGACTGGCCATGTGGGATTTGAGCATGAGAAAACTGGATAAGGATAGGAATTTGATGCCATTCATGGAGTTGGAGAGTCCGAAAGGACCGGCTAGTGTAGTGGCCTTCAATCCGAGAAATCATATCTTTGCGACGGCGCACAAGGAAGTCGTGAGTTCATCCTACTGGTATCCTTATTCTCTTGATATTTTTATAGCTAACCAACTACTCCTATAGTCCTTTTGGCTTCCAGACCAGCACGTGTCGTTGCCATCCCCGTCGAGAGATTAGATACTCACATACTTACCTATATTAATTTTGATATATTATGTACATGCAGGGGTTCTACGATCGTTCCAATAGACACTTTTGATACACAATCACTTTTTTTTTTTTTTTTGGTTCCCCTCATATACTTTTACAGCCAGTATACCACTGAATTTGACAGAATCCAAAGACAATGATGCTTAACTCGAATACCCTCATTGAATGTGTAAATAAATTGTGAATTCATTTGAGGCCATGGTGCCCATGCAGCCAATCGGTTGAAACCCTGCAGCTCGTATGATGTAAACTTTCGGCTATCGTCGTTTCACACCAAAATTCCGCTTCTAGAACTTCAACCTTTCCAACCCTCAACCTCGGATCCCCCACCAAAGCCCGCCCCACACCATCCACCCGCTCCAATTGTACATACACCACCCCTTCCCACGCACTCTCCCTTCTACCAATCCCTAACCTTCCAAGCCGGCTACTGGATCCTTTTCAAAAAAAAAAAAAAATAAAAACCGGGCATGGTCCTACGACAGTTCTGCACGGCACGCACCGCAAGCCGGGCTCTATCAATTTCTTCGCACGCGAGATCGACGATTGCGATGCCCCTCCGCGCGAGAATCGGAGTGAATGCTATGGCGCAGGTATTTCTACTTCAATATCCTCTGACCTTGCGGTCCGAAATACTAAGTGCTTTGGTGTTCAAAATCACAGACTTCCCGTTCCCAATCGACGGCTGCCACTGCTACAGCTCCTGCTGAAACAGAGAATACAGAAGACGATGTCCTCTTCGATTCCATAAAGGGTGTTAGAACAATCACTCTCAATAGACCCCAGAAGCTCAATGCTCTTAGTGCATCCATGGCTGGCAAGATACTGCCTAGATTACTCGTACGGCACCTCTTCACCTTCACCATCCCAAATCCCCCATTTCATTTTTACCCAGCTAACCTCAATGATGATATTGAATAAAACAGGAATGGCAAAAATCTCAAATGGCAAACGTAGTAGTCATCAAAGGCACCGGAGACCGTGCATTCTGCGCCGGCGGTGACGTCGCCGTCCTCGCCGAACAAAATCGTATGGGACCCGCAGGTCAACAAGCTTCAATCGACTACTTCGCCCTAGAATACAAACTCGACAACCTCATCGCCAAATACACAAAACCCTACGTCGCCTTCATGGACGGCATAACCATGGGTGGTGGTGTCGGTCTCTCCCTCCACGGCCACTTCAGAATCGCAACAGAACGTACACTATTCTCCATGCCGGAAACCACCATCGGTTTCTTCCCGGACGTCGGTGCTAGTTTTTTCCTCCCTCGTCTTGATGGATATCTAGGTACCTATTTGGCATTGACCAGCGAACGACTTAAGGGCGTACAAGCCTATTGGGCCGGTGTGGCGACGCATTATATCCATTCCTCGAGTTTGCAGGATTTACAGGACAGACTTGCGGAATTGGAGTTCAACGACCATGATGATTTACAATGGAGGTTGGAGCATATAAATTCTACGATCGAGGAGTATACGACCGGATTACCGCATAACGAGCCATTCAAACTTGCTGGAGAGACGAGGGAGGCTATTGATCGGTATGCCACTCCCCTCCATATGATTTTACCTTGTATAAAAAAAGGGTGTATAAAAAGGCTAACACCTGGGAAATATAAAGATGCTTCCGTTACAACACCATCGATGAAATAATGCAAGCCCTTAGAGATGAAGACTCAGAATGGGCGAACAGAACAATCAACACCCTCCGCAGCCGTTCCCCCATAGCCCTCCGCGTAACCCTCCTCGAAATGCGTTACGGTGCAGCCTGGACTATCAACACAGCCTTCATGCGAGAATTCCACATGGCCCGAAAGTTCATGAACCACGGCCTCCACCCTGACTTTGTCGAAGGTGTAGAAAAGCAACTAGCAAAACCTGTAGAAGGGTTTAAGCAACCCCCTGTTTGGAGACCAGCTAGTATTGAGGAGTCAACGGATGCGATGGCTCTGAAGTACCTTGAGATCGAGGATGGAGCTCCAGCACTAGATTTGGTTACGGTTCATAGAGAAACCGATTTTTCGAATTATCCGCATGCATGGTTGGGTTTGCCGTCGGAGGATGCGGTTAAGGTCATGTTGGGTAAAGGGGAGAGGAAGACGGCCGGGGAGTTGGAGAAGGCGGTCTTGAAACAATGGGATGATAAGTTGGGTGTGAAAGAGAAGTTGAAGGATGTATTCCAGAGGAAGATTCAAGAGGGCGCTGATGGGATTGTGGAGTGGAAGGTTGAGGCGTAGTAGAGGTCAGATATAGATGTGGAGGGAGGTACCTACTTTTGTTATATGTCGATAGGGTTTGTATATATACAAGCACTGGGGTTGTAGATGTTATGATCAGTTCGATGTACGATTATATACAATATGATGTTTACTGGCGAATGAGCTATAGCTTTCCTCTACACGATTGAGTTTGCATAATAAATATCGAGATTGTATGAAATGCATAAATATCTGTACCACCCGACTATCACGATATAAAATAATCCACACGGACAGACAGATGCCAATTGATAAATATTGATAAATACAATTGATGATATACCTAACATTCAATGATATTTACATAAAATCACATCTTCACTACTCGCAGCCAAGCTTAGTAAGTATGACCCATGCACAGCCGTGCAAAGCTTAAGAAGGATCGGAGAACACCTCCGTTCAATGATGAGCTAGAGATCACTAGTGTTATCTCGGGGTTTTCCATCGATTTTAACCACCATACGCATCATATACATGCATCAGCTGCTTAACCTAGCCGGCCGGCCGTCTACCCAGACCCAGAACCGGTCCAGAGATCTAGAAAGGAAAAAAAAGTCAAAATGTATGAAAGTGCTAGCGTTTCGTGATCCTGTACAAGCAAGGAAAAAAAAGCTTATCAGACTTCCTTTTTTCCCTTTTTGCCCCGAGTATTCTCCCACCAAAAAAGAGCTTGGAACCTAGCTAGCTAAGTAGGTAAGTAGGTATAGCTAGGTCTGGCCTTACCAAAGCCGCGTCAACGGGGGCTTTTGAGCTTGCCATCGACTATGACTAGTGATCTTCAGCCACATGCACACGAAAATTAAATTTTCGTTAAAACGGTAACCGGGGATATATGTTTCGGATAAAGAGGGATGACAGGTTTGCGCTTTCCAAGGAAAAACGAAATATATACATGCATGTATACACTGAATAGATATAGAAAAAAGTAATTCGAAAGGTACTAGATACTAATCGAATACATCTCTCAAAAACCTACCGAGTATCTTAGTTATAGCTAGCTTCCAGGTCTGGGTGCGGGACAAGCTAGTTAGTAAGTTTTTCTTTTCAAAAAAAAAAAAAAGTTATAAAGATAACGTTCACGTGCACATGCATACTGGTAGTAGAGAGAAAAGTAAAAAGTAATGAAGTATGAAAATATCTTTGTAAGTTTCATTTTTTTGAGTTAATCCACATTTGTTTTGCTAAAGCTATCCCTCTATAATCTTTCTTTTCCCTTTGAAATTCCTGTTTTTTATCTTTTTTTCATTTTTTTCATCATCCCCTTTCACATGGTCCCAGACTTTTTGTTCTAATTCTCCTGGGGTTCATCTCATGTCGTAAAAAAAAAAAAAAATTTAAGATAAAAAAAATTATACAAAAAAAAAGAGAACATCGTTCATAATCCATCGTAAATCATCGTCAAAATGTGTGTACTAGAAAGGAAAGTAAGGAACCGAACCAGAAAGGATTCCGATCGCCGCATAAAAAGGCTTCCAAAGCATTCACTGCAGGCAGGAAATGAAAAAAAAAAAAAAAGAATAAAACGTGAATTCAAGAAAAGAAAAAGAATAAGAAGAGGGGAATCAGTAGTTAATGTGGTTATCTCCGTATATTCGTTTGTTTTTTCTGCCAAAGATCCAATTGCAATAGAGAAATTGTCGACCAAAGTGTTTCGTCCAATACCCCATTTATCGAGGTGTGATTGATTTTCAAGTGTTTTTGAATGAAGCTTCGACCTATCCCTCCCCCCCGTCTTTAGGGGAAGAGATAGACAAGCGTACCAGTTGGGGGGTGGCGAGTGTGATAAAAATGAAACAAATGCAAAGGCAACTGCATAAAAACAGAAAGGAAGGAGACAGTAGTAAAGAAGTAACAGCCAAATGGTATCTCCGGGTGTGGAACTCCCGAGTTTTTCCTGCCAACAAAAGAGAAGAAGAAGAAGAAGGTGTCCGTTAAGTAGAAATACAAAGTTTTTTAACACACCGAAAAAGAAAACTCCCAGATATCGATACCGCCAGCGCCAAAAAAACAAAAAACAAGATATACTAGACTGAATAAGAAGGGAGGAAAGAACACACCAAGCCACCCATGAGTTTTCGATAAAGCAGATAAGAACATGGATAAATCAACCAAAGGGCTTTTTTCTGTCTTTCAGCCAAATAAATCATCACTAAAATTTTATAACGACCAAATGTATTTTGGAGAAGTGAAGCGAGGAGGGGAGAGAAGGGGAAAAAAAAAAAAAGAAATTTGCGAGGTGGAAGAAAAAGAAAAAAAAGAGGAAAACGAAGAAGAAAAACCTGTCAACTAAATGTTAAACTTCCTTAATATCCGAGAGGCGTTTGTCCAATCAATATGCAAGAAGGGTGATGGTGTCGACCAATGCATGGTTGGTCTTATGGTGTAGGAGGGGCATGTCGATACGAGCGAGCGACTTTGCGTTGATGTGGTAGAGGTAGCTAGGCGACTGAGTGCGGGGTAGATCTCTCTGCCGTGTTTAGCCCCACCAAGGACCTTGTCCAATACCACATAGCGTGATGGTGGTACCTGAAAACAGCCTGGAAGTTAAACCAAACTAGTCGTAAGCAGGTGGAGATGCCGCGAAGTCGTCGTGAAGGACGGTGAGCTGGTCACCAAGAAGGAGCTTCTGGAAGTCATCGTCGTTGAAGTCGAGGAGCTGTGACTGTTTCAGGACCTCCGATTCGACTTCCTGGAAGCTGTGGAACTCGTTGAGCCAGGCAGAGCTGCTACTACCCATGTTTGTATGGAAGCTCTCATCCGTTTTAACGATTCCGTTGATTCCGGCGGATTTCGCAAGGCTATTGGCTAGGCGAGCATCCTCCCTCTTCTTGGCGGCTTCTTCGCTGTCTGCTACCAGGTACTTTTCTGATTCATGTTGCAGATATTGCTCAATTGCTGGGTTCCCGCATCCGTGGTGGGTCAGTACCATTTGCTTGAGTCTTAGGACGTCGCCACGCAACTTCACAAGAGTAGCATTCAAAAATCGGTTCTGTTGGACTAGAAGTCGACTCTTCTCCTCCAAACGCTGGTTCATGATCTTCTTCTTCTTTCGGCACTTGCTGGCAGCAATTCGGTTGCGCTCTAAGAAGCGCGCTCGCTTGTCTGATTCATTGAGTCTGCCATCAAGATCATCATCGCCGTCGTCTTCGACTTCTACGGATGACTTCTTCCTCTTTCGGCCAGCTGTAGAGTTGAGTAATTGAAAGTTAGGCGTTGTAGGACTAGTAGGCTCTGCCTTGATCTCAGCCGATGGGATATTTTCAGTAACAAAGATTCCATCCATTCGTGAAAACGGTGTAGTGGCTGGTGTATCCGAGAGCAATCTCTGCCTCGACCTAGTGGCGGGCTTCGCTAAGCATTCGACACCTCGGGGAAGGGTTTGTCTCCTTGTTCTTATACTCTCTGTTCTTTGTTCAGTGATTGGGACTCCCATAGTATTCGAATTCCAAGTCTGAGGCAAGGACAGATTTCTTTTCAAATTGGTCTGTGAGTTATCAAGGTTTTGAATATTCGAGTTCTTCCGAGTAGCCACATGTTCGGCAGGTGTCGAAATGATGAACTGTTCCCTCGCCATGATGGTGTTCGGTGTTAGTTCTTCCGGACTAGTGATGGGTGTTATCGATGAAACAGGACTATCAGGAAATGTAGTTGCAATCGAGTCGAAAGCGAACGGACTCGGACTACGAGATAGTCTTAGATGTGAGAGAAGTGAAGAGCCTGTAGCATTTAAAGATTTTGGTGACTGTTCGGGTGTAAGAGTTTGATCGAGTTTAGTATTTATCGCAGGCAGAGTTTCGTCCCTGATGAGTCTGGGCTTGTCGGGATGAAGATGTTCTTTCCGCGTAGATGCAGATAGAGCGGCAAGGTTACCTGGAGTAGGTGAGCCGGCAAAGAATTCATCAAACGGATTCATGCCGTCATTGAAAATTGAGTTAAAAAAGTTAGGAGTGAGCGTGCTGGAAGGGAGGGCTTCCACGGTGAGGGCACCGCCTGCAATTGTCGGTTGTTTTGCAACGGCAGCCATTTTGAATGGAATTGTACTGTAGGAGCAACTGGAAATATAAAAAGAAACAAAAAGGAATTGTGATATATCGATATTAAATACGTCAGTCGGTCGAGCAGATTCGGGGCTTCCCGGCTCGAGATCTTAGGAGGATCTGATTATATATCTTATATTGGATTCTTCCTTCTCCAGGACGAGGGAGTATTATTTATTGACGTGGTTGCGTTGCCGAAGATGTTTTCAGGCAGTTATAAGATGGTATCGGGAGAGGGGCTGTATGTCGATAGCTTGTTAGCTCTGTAACAGCTTAAGGGATTTAAATCAAATCAAATCAAATCAAATCAAAATCAAGTCGGTTAAACAGGTCAGGTATTTAAATTGAAGAAACGATCGGAAGATAAGAAAGCAACATGCCATGGAGCAGCTGCAGACAGGTCCCATATAAAGTCGGGCATTTCACGGAACAAGCAGTACCAGGTGGGATTAGTGAACTAAAGCAGACAGGGCGATATCAATTGACAGCAACGAAACCAAACTAGCCAGCTTGGGGGTGGGACGCGGGTCTAGATGCGGTTCAGGAATGTCGACGTGCGCAAAAGTAGCTTCGTCGTACAGAGCCGGACCCAAAATTCACACTGTAGCTAGCGGCATTTTTCAGAATGGCTTGGTTGCAAGCCATTTTTAGGTCTGCTATCTCTAAACTCGACAAGGAAATTCCATATTCGAGAAGGATGAAAACCCCCCTTCTGATTGGCATTGAAGTGCAGGCAGGCAGGCAAGCAGGCAGGCATTGGTGGGGAATCGGGAAATACAGTCTCGAAAACCTAACTGACAGGGGAGCGTGGACTTACGTTGGATTCGGGTTGGTCAACTTGCAATTGAGAGCGAATTTTTCTTTTGGAATTAACTCTCAAGCCATCGATGGATGTCTTCGCTGGCGGGTAGACCCAAGTTCCGGCGGCACTGTGGATACCGTCACGAAAAAAACGGGTACTTGGTGATGAATATTAGTTGACGTTAGATGACCGATGCAACGGTGTGGATCGGATCAGGTCTAAGCTGCTAGGCAGCCCGCCTTTGAGTCTTCTTTTGTTTAAACACTCTTAAAAAATATCAATAACGGACTTCGAAAGAGACCGTCGACTGTTTTACTGTCTTCGTACGGCTTGTTCCGGGGTGGAATGAAAATGTAATTCGCAAACGTCCAAATAGCTTCCGCTACTTCCTCTTTTCGAACAAACCCTTCTAATCGGCTTTGTTTGTCGGAGTTAACAACTTGGAATAAAGTGTCTTCCTTTTATTCTTTTTTTTATATTTTATTTTTGAAACCCGCCTTTTTCTCTCGATTTGATTTGGATGAATGAAGTTCTTTGTTAGAACAAGAGTCGTCTGGAATAAATTGATGAATGTTGATGGATCCGGCTGGTATAAATACGTCTGTGAGAACACCCCGGCGCGAAATACTGGCGATCGAGGCACAAACAAACGTCAGGATCTTCAGTGAACAAGGTAAGTATTGCCTGTTGGAGTCTATTGTCGGCAACCGGCAAGCCTTTTGTAGTTAGAGATAGATATGATGCTGTTCTCAGACGATATGGCCTTGATATCTATTCCGACGTTGGCAAGGCGCTGTGGTGTATCAATTCCGAAACGACGTGAACGTTGAGCAAGCAAGTAAAGCAAGCAAGCAAGCGAGCGAGCGCAGATTGAGGGTTGATTGATTGATTGATTGGTTGATTGATTGCCTTATCGAAACCTTTCTTTCTTTCTTTCTTTCTTTCTTTCTTCCCTTTGAGTCTTCTATTCCTTTCTCTGCAGACTTGAGGTGGATAGTTAAGAATTAAAAATGCACGGCATACAGAGTTTATATATACAAAATGAACCAGCAAGTAGCACACACGCGCATAGGAAACAAATAGAAAGCACAGACGGAGACCTTTGAGGGCGTTACATATGGTTGTTTCCTTGGATATTTGGCCGGGATCGAAAAGATCGAAAGATCGAGCGCTGGCGTGGTGGGAAAAAGAAAATCTCATGCGAAAATCTGCCCAAAAAGCAATGACCATGCGAAATTCCCCCCAATTGCGAGTGGGAAACCACTTTCAAGGTTTTTCCATCACAGTCCCGTCGATAGCCCGAAGTAAAACTAAAACCTGTTGAGTTCCAGAGCTAATGTGGCTGGAGGTTGGATTTGATTGGGCAGGCGAGATGATCCGGGAAACGGGCCTTGATGGCTGCTTGCGTGGTTTGAAAGCAATTTAGACCTCGCGCGAGAAGATGGTCGTACCAAGGTGTGGCTACACATTTGCCAGAAGTCGCACCGGTATCCGGTCAGGAGGCTTCCCTGACATCATTGATATTCCAATCATTTGGGCGTCTGGCTGAATATGGAACGGTTCCTGTCAAGCATGGAATTTCCGGTCTACATACGGCCATATCTAGGCTGATTGAGTCCAGGCCATGTATTGGTTGGATGGGATGGATGGATGTACTTCCACAGTCACAGTCAGAAGTAGGTATGTACATAGTAGTGTATTGAGAAGGTATGGATGGATGTCTGGATGATGGATGTCTGGATGGATGTTGAGCACACGCACAGAGGGTACATGCATTTAGTCAATATGCTGGTAGATTTCAGAAGTACTGGCAGGGGTCACCCCATCGGCTATGACGCGGGGCATCGGCCAGTGCTCTCGCTTATAAGAACTGGCACCTCGCCTGGTGGAAAACAGGATCTGGGTTTTCAACGCTGATCGAACATTCAATTGTATTTTGCCTCTGCACTAGAAGGAATTCTGCCTGCCTCCAAGGGTACTCCTACTTTGTATGTACATCCGCACATACATCGCTAGTATACACAGTATCATCCTCTTCTTCTTCTTGCTGCTACCCACGGATTTACTAACATAGCCACAGTCCCCCCCAAGATTCCTTGCTTTGACCGCTTGCATCCACTTGTGAATCCGCTGTAAATACGATGCATGTCTACACGACTCTCAAGCTCGATCGAGTCGGCTTGGGCTGGCATCTGGTATCTTGAAACCCTCGAAATCCCGCGGCACTGGAAGACCTTTCTCCTTCCTTCCTAAGCTTCCTCGAACCTTCTTTCCTTTTTTTTTTTTCCCTTCCCTTTTTGCCACACCTTGACCAACCAAGCTCGGGGCTTTCCGATAATCTTTTCTCATCTCTGGTCTTTCTGGGCCATGATCTTTGACGCAATATCACCTGGCCCCATAATAGCCTTTTTAATATATCCCGTCAACCGGCCGTTATATGGAAAAGAGGGCTCGCATTAATGCAATTCTCATTAGGGCTGACGAATGAGATCAAACAATATCCTCTTTCCCATGTGCGATACCTGGTTCCAACAAACTAGGAATTCAACCTACAGCGTCATACGCTCCACTTTGCACCCACCCTTTGGGCAGGAGACGAAACAAATCGCCAGCGGGATGCTGTCATAGCCCTCAGTGCTTCTTTTTTCGTTTTGTTACGGATAGAGCATTGACCCGGAAAAATACTTCCCCCCAGGCTTCCAGCCCCCAGACCCAACCGATTTGATTTCTGCTGACATATGTACTTTTTTAACCTATCCTTGATCGACACATTAACCTTACTTTGCATAAGCCCCCTCCCTAGACTCAGAAGATATTTTCGAATCTTCTCGAGGGGGACGCTCACCTCTGCCTTGGCGAAAGATTGATTCATGTCCTTCATTCTCGTAAGATCCCGTTTTCATCGGTATCCTTTCGATCCCTCATGCCAGCGCACCCTTTAAATTTGTCTGCCAATCACCTCACCCCGTCACCCGGCTTCCTTCTTCCGAGGCGGCACCTGGAATGCTTTACATGCCATGCTCGGTTTCGTCCTTGCTTTGTCGGAAACAATGTTGGGAACCATATGGCGAGAAGTCTAACTATAGAGGCTTGAACTTTAATCTATTTGCTATCGCCTGCCGTCTTGCGCAATTTCACGATCGCGAGAGGGTTTTTTCCCTTGAACTTGGCTAGGTCCCTTTCTTATGTGCCTTGAACGTCCTGCATAAGCAACTTAGGAGGAAACGGCCATCCACCTGTAAGGGCTGGGACGGGAAGTCTTTCGGGACCCGGCTTTGGATGGTCATAATATGTGCAGAGCTGCCGTTTTTCACACAAAAAAGCAGCTACTTAATTATATCAAATTCTAGGAACAAATTATTTTATTTTAATCATTCAAAAATACCCCCTTTATGAATACCATGAATGTGTCATATATTTTTAGTTCCAAATATTTTACCATAAGTTGCGGGAATGATATCTTTATCTCGCCCGGAGTACATATGTTAACATCATGAAGATTTTGATATTTGATAATGCGTTGATTTCGTCTTAAGATCTTATGGCATGTGGGCCTGCCGCATTACTAGCATCCAGTTTTGGTTACGGAACTGACACGCTCGGTTCGATTGAGTCAGAATCAACATTCTGTTCCCCCCCCCCCCCCCTTCGCACAGGCTTAGTCTAGGATCTGACGGTTGTCTGTCAAGAGACTGAGAGTTTCTGCCCGCTCGCAGGAGATATTCCCCAGCTGGCCAGTTAGAGGTCTGCCTTCGCCTGCGCGGCCTGTTCATCTGTTCCGCTTCCCAAGCTCCGCTCGTGCACCTTGCATGATATCTATGTACCCAATATGCACCATGCAACGTGAGGGGAATCCGAACTTAAAGTCAAGAAACAGTTTTTTTCTTCTTTCGTATTTCCTCTACTAGCGATCGATATATATAGAACCGATCTGTGAGATTTAACGACCAGAAACCAATCGCTCATTCGGGACACCCTCTTGAGCCGAGGTTTGGTATGGTGTTATTTTACTATACGTCCATGCATACATTCCTCGGTATGTCGAGATGGATATCATGGAGATCGGAGATCGGGGTGAGTAGCCAGGGAGAGCGTAGTTTACCTAGAAGTCAGATTAGACGTTTACTCTTTGAAACCCTGCGGGCCTGCAGCGTACGGAATGCATTATCAGATGTTGCGTGATTGGCTTATATACCTTTATCAGTTTCAGTTCATCGGCTCATGGATCTCCTCGATGCGATGCCGTGCAACTGTGGCGCTCGCGCCGGCCGGGGCCATCACATAGTATATTATATCATTTCGATACGGGATATATATCCTACATACCATGTGGGTGCTGGTGTACATAGATTGTATTAGCTAACTTTAATACTTATGTAGTATGGTCTGGCGGTAACTTAAGACGGTGCGAGTTCAATACTAGTATACTAGCCTAGCAGCTGGCCAGGTCTTGTATTAAAACGCTTTGAAATTTACTTAGTGATACAGCATCCCAATTGCAACATATGTCAACATTATATTATGCCCTTTTTAATTAAAATTAAACTAAAGAGGTGGAACTGGGGAACTATTGAATTCATGAATGTCTGGTATCTTTGTTTTAGTTTATTTCTACCGTGAAGACCAGTATGCTTCGGATTTTATTAAGATATACGGGAACGTGGTGTCACGTGATAATTATCGGCGTTGTGGTACAAACCTCGCACTATCAAAATCTCGCCTATGAAATTTTTCCATGACCCCAAAATAAGAGCCGCAAACGCCGTTCTCCTTCGACCTCACCTCGTATTGTTTTTTTTTCCTTTCCCTTCAAAACTTGTTACCCAATTCTTCCCCCCGACACTCACGGCTGGGCTTCACATCCTTTGTAATCTATTGAGTAGTTAGCAAAGACCAAAAAAAGGAAATCTCCCCTCTTTTTTTCCTCTTCCAATGGCCTCGTGGAAACTCGCCGGCGCTGTCCTTCGAGGACTCCGTCAGTCCGCACAGTCTTCGATTCGACAGAATGGAGCCACACTATCGCCATTCATTACTAGCGCTGTGAGGCCCGGAAGGGGTAGCAGTGGTGTTCAGAATGTTTATGGGAATATCAGACAGATGGCTACTTTCGAGAGAAAGAAGCCGCACGTTAACATCGGTGGGTGTTGAATTTTTTTTCTCTCTTCGTAACATCGCGGGGCACTTGGTGGGGGTTGGTTTCTAACCATGATTTTTCAACATAGGTACCATTGGACACGTCGATCACGGAAAGGTAAACTTCGAGAATCTTATAGGATATATTATTTTCTGGGAACTTTCATAACTTATTATTTTATATGGAAATTTAGACAACTTTGACAGCTGCCATCACAAAAGTTCAGGCCAGCAAAGGTCTCGCCAATTTCTTGGATTATGCCTCGATCGATAAAGCACCCGAAGAAAAGGCCCGTGGTATCACAATCTCGACTGCACATTTGGAATACGAAACTCCTTCTCGCCATTACTCCCACGTCGACTGTCCCGGTCACGCCGATTACATCAAGAACATGATTACTGGTGCCGCGAGTATGGATGGTGCTATTATTGTCGTTGCCGCTTCCGATGGTCAGATGTATGTGATTGAAAACAACATACCCTTCAGGAGGAAAAAAGATATGCATCTGTCGGGTTTATACTAACATGGGATTCTTTGCCTTTCCCTCTTAGGCCTCAAACCCGAGAACATCTTCTCCTCGCCCGTCAAGTTGGTGTCCAAAAGATCGTCGTCTTCGTCAACAAAATCGATGCCGTAGAAGACCCCGAAATGTTGGAACTCGTCGAAATGGAAATGCGTGAACTCCTCGGTACTTACGGTTTTGACGGCGATGAGACTCCTATCATCATGGGTTCCGCTCTCTGCGCTCTCAACGGTACAAAGCCCGATATTGGTGAATCCAGAATCGGTCAATTGATGGAAGCCGTTGACACCTGGATCCCAACTCCCGAACGTGACCTCGACAAGCCTTTCCTTCTTTCCGTTGAAGATGTTTTCTCCATTTCTGGACGTGGAACTGTGGCTACCGGAAGAGTTGACCGTGGTCAGTTGAAGAAGGGAGAGGAAGTCGAACTTGTCGGTATGCAGAAGGAACCTATCAAGACTACTGTTACCGGTATGGAGACTTTCAAGAAGGAGTTGGATTCTGCACAAGCTGGTGATAACTCTGGATTGTTGCTCCGTGGTGTTAAGAGGGAGGATGTCAAGAGGGGGATGGTTATTGCTAAGCCAGGAACTATCAAGGCAGCCAACAAGTTCATGTGCTCGATGTACGTTTTGAGCAAGGAGGAAGGTGGACGACACACTGGATTCGGAAATCACTACAGGCCGCAGATGTACATCCGAACTGCTGGTAAGTTTTATACGTCTTTCCTAGCAGAATTATTGGGTTGTGGTAAGCGAAAAGACTAATGTTGTAACTTTTTCCGCAGATGTTGCTGTCGGTCTTCAGTTCCCTCCTGGAACCGAGGACGCCGATGGAAAGATGGTCATGCCTGGTGACAATATTGAGATGGTTGCTGATTTGCACGTTCCAATGGCCATTGAGCCTGGTCTTCGTTTCAACATCCGTGAGTAACCCAACTTCATCTATATATAACAATCTGAGTCATCGGAACAACAACAGCGAACTAACTAAATCTATAGGTGAGGGTGGAAGGACAGTCGCCACAGGTCTGGTTACCCAGATCTTGTAAAGCGATTAGCTATTTATGAAAATAGAGGAAGAATAGGGAAAGAGGAATCTCCACTAGTTTTCATTGTGAATATTTGAGTGCGGGAAGGAAACCCACCCCATCTACCCATAACGACCAAAAGCTTTCGAAGAAAAAAGAGAGAAAAATGAATGAGAAGGGGGGCGAGAAGGATGAAGAGGAAGGAGTCTATCGCCGCACCTACAGTATCGATTGAGAAACTCTCTACTTTAACTCATGATAACTCTCTCCCTTTCCCTTTTTTCTTCTTTCAATTGTGCATATAGATACTCTCTTTTTATAACCTTTACTATTTTATATTTCTTGTGTATAGTAGTTACTTTATATCCCCCTCAGCTTAAACAATGAAACAGAATGTACAAAGGAGAATATCTCTTCTACCCTCTATCACTTGGGTTGGTGACATAGAATCCAATTGGTGGTCATGCTATGGATCTTTCAATGACAAATACCGTTGTCAATTGTAGTTCGGACGATAAATCGAAATGCCTCAATCGCACTTGCACTTTTGTATTGCCATCAGCTTTCGCTTATCCCCGGAAGCCATTTGATCAAATTTGACGTTAACGCGCATAATGAACCTGTTCCAGGTAGATTCTAGAGACTATCCCCAGTTCAGGGACCATGCATATTTCCCAAAAGCTGATCCTTCACATTAAATAATACACACGATTTGAAGCTAGGTAGTTAGAAGAAACCTAATGATTATGGTACCGGTAGTATAGTAGTGGTGTTGAAGTCAGCTGTTGGATGTTAACGTAAACGGGCTGGCCCCCATGCCCCAAATTGTGTTGGGCACCCGCTACGCCTGGAAATCGATGACCGTATCAGATGAGTCAAGCAAACGGAGCAGACCAGTCAGCCAGAGCTTGTTCCCCAGCTGTTGCTGCTGCTCCCTGTGCCCATAAAAACCCCATTCTCGTCACCTCCACCTCCCCCCATTGCATTGCAATTCACAACGACATCACAGCTTGGGTATATGTACTACTTATATAAGTATATATCTTAAGTTCTTGCCTATATACGCTCATAGCTATAGCTGTTGCTTCCAACATTCGCTGATTGACATTGGTATTCCTCTCTAACTCCCCATTGCATTTGTCCCGGAATATATCCAGCTAACAAAGCTCTTTCCTCGAGCTAGCTTCAAGTCAGCCTAATTCATTGTGGGTCTAGCATTGCATTGGAAACCGGCCAATGAATCGTCTCCTGCTGGTTTCCCGTCACGATTTTAACACGTCGAACCGGCACCGATTAAAACGTTGAGGCTTTCGCATTGCGCTTTTAACCAGCGAGCTAGCATATATTACTTTTCTACAAAAACAACCTACTCTGTCCACAAAGAAGCCATCACGCTCACTGCTGAACTGTCTCTGTCAACAAAAAACAACCTACTCAGTTATCTATTTATCTATTTATCAAGCAAAAAATCCCACGGAAACTGCTCTCGGGAGCTTGCGAACAGGAAGAATCCGCTTTCTAAAAGAGACACGAGGAAGTAGCCACAGATGTCAGGCCCATCTCGCGGCGCTGCCGGCAACGCCCTTAGCGACTTTGTCGAGCACGTCGCCAATCAAGCAGCAGCCCGACATCGCACCCGAGCCGGCTCAACTTCCAAACCCGCTGGAACTGCCCCACCGAAGCTCACTTCCACGGGTACAAACAAGTCACTAGAGGAAGCGGTTGACGAATTAAGTTTCATCGATGACCTAGGTCTTAACACTGACGACGGTCCTAGAGTGAAGCTTCGAGATCAGCTGTTGGGGAACGAACCAGGACTTGATGGTTTGTTAAGAAGACGATTGGAGGAAGGAAGGGGAGAGGCGTTGTTTGAAGTTGGATATGAGGATAATGGAGATTCAATGGGGTTTTCGAAGGAAGAGTATGAGAAAGCCTATGAGAATGTTGTAGGGTGTTTGGGAGGACTGAGCGCCCAGTGTGCGGTTTTGCAGACAGCAAATGTTGATGAGAAGGCTGAGGAGGTTCCAGGTGATGGGAAGGGAGCTAGGAGTAAATTGATGGTCAGAATTGTTCCGAAAAGTATGGAAGAGCTGTTGGAGATTAGAGTGGCTGTTGTTGGGAATGGTGAGTGGATTTTTTTGATTTTGGAAAAATATCTAGTGGACTTGGGCAGAGGTTTCTGACTGGTGGTTGTCTAGTCGATGCTGGAAAATCCACAATGTTGGGTGTTCTGGTCAAGGGACAGCTTGATGATGGACGTGGGAAGGCTCGAGTTAACCTGTTCCGACACAAGCACGAAATCGAGAGCGGAAGAACTTCCAGTGTTGGAATGGAGATTATGGGATTCGATTCTCAGTCTCAGATTGTAACAAGTCAGGCTGGCAGGAAGTTGACTTGGGAAGAAATAGGAAAGAAATCCGTATGGATCTCAGACCGGTTGTTTAGATATGGCGGATGAGAAGGCTAATTACTTACACAGGCCAAAGTCATCGCCTTCACCGATCTTGCTGGACACGAGAAGTACCTACGAACTACAGTCTTCGGTCTTCTAGGAACCTCCCCGGACTACTGCTTGCTCATGGTGGCAGCCAATAACGGTTTGATCGGAATGAGTAAAGAGCACTTGGGTATCGCCGTCGCTTTGAACGTCCCCATCATGGTAGTCATCACCAAAATTGACATGACTCCACCAAACATTCTCGCCCAGACCGTCAACCAGATCACTAAAATCCTCAAGTCCGGCGGTGCCCGTAAAATCCCCATCTTCATCAAGTCGAAAGATGAGGCTATCTCTACCGCTACTCACTTCGTCAGCGATAGGATTTGCCCTATCTTCCAAGTTTCGAACGTCACGGGTGAAGGATTGGATTTTGTCAGAACTTTTTTGAATATCCTCCCCTACCACGGACAATTCGACCAAAACGCACCATTCGAGTTCTACGTTAATGACACTTTCTCAGTGCCGTTCGTTGGAACCGTCGTGTCTGGTGTCGTCAAAAGCGGCATTATTCATACCGGGGATCCTATTTTGATTGGACCAGACAGCCTAGGGAATTTCATCTCGACACAAATTCGATCTATCGAGAGGAAACGAATAAGTGTTCCACTTGTCACGGCTGGACAGAGTGCTTCATTCGCTTTGAGGCGGGTACGACGACGTGATGTCAGGAAAGGCATGGTGGTCCTCCCGAAGACGGATGACCCACCACCAAAAGCTTCTAGACAGTTTGTCGCTGAGGTGATGATCTTAAGTCACGCTACGACTATCAGGAAACGCTACCAGGCCATGTTGCATGTTGGGCCGGTTTCGCAGACTTGTAGTATCATTGACCTCGATCGTGGTATGTATCAAATTACATGTGTGCGTCCCCTAAAGAAAGCAAGCTAATGATATTTGATAGAAACCGTGCGAACTGGTGATCGAGCATTAGTTGCATTTAAGTTCGTCCAGAGACCGTAAGTTTTTTAACCATCTTCTTTCCTCACTCTTAGTTCCTGATCTTTGGCTGACCGGTCATATAGGGAATATATCCTTCCAGGTGACAAACTTCTATTCCGAGAAGGCCGAACAAAAGGTTTGGGTGTCGTCAAAGAAATCGACTATGACGAGAACAAGCCCCTCAACCCGGGCTTGAAAGTTGATGAAATGACAATAGAGGACGGATCAGATGACGAGAAGTTGACGAAGGAGCAGAAGGCGGATTTGCACGGGAAGAGTGAGAAGATGAAGTATCAGACTGCCACGCCGAGTTCACCTCCGACAACGAGGAAGTAAGGACTCATGGTGATGTATTCTTTGCACATACTTTCACTCATTACGCGCACGCACATATATTAATGGATTATGGGAGCGAGCACTGAAATCAGTGCTTCATATTTTGCTTTCGTTTTTTTTTTTTCTTTCTTTCTTTTTGTTTTTCCACTAGTCTGTTTTATTTTAATTGCATGTGCGGTTTTTTATTATCTCATATTTTGTTAGGTTTCATAATTCTTTTTTTAATTCTGTCTATAGGTATTGTAAAAGCGATTGATTCGATTTTTTTGTTTTGGTGGAAGGGGGTGTGTTCGGACAAGGTGGAATTTATCATGGCGTTAAAAGTCGAGGGGTCAATTACAATGCTACTTTTGGACAGGAACTGAAAATTTTTCCCTTACCACCACATCGTAATCTCAAGCTACGCTATTAAATTTTTGGAAATCCAATTGATATTATGATATCAATCCCGGGCCCCGTAACTGCAGCTTTGGAGTTTTGAGGTAGGGTTGCTGCTGCTCATTCTAACCGGCTCATACGGTTATATATATAATTGCGCAATTTGAACTCCACCGAATCGAATACCAAGCTTTACAATAGATAAGTTAGTATCCTTACCGTATGGCTAAGAAGGAGTTTACAGGCTTATAATTAAACGACCCACAATCAAAAAGGCCCAAACAAGTATTGGCTTAAGAGCTGAATCGGTACTAGGTGAGTGGCCGATATAGTATCGGGGTTAACCCCTCTTGGACCCATGGAATCGAACATAGTAAATATATATACGCACATGCATACTACCTAAGTAGGTAATTACAGCGTTAATTGACCCTGGGCGGGCCCGTGATATCGATCGATTCGGATGTCAATATTGTAATCAAGACGCCTGCTTGAAGAAATAAACTGAGGCTATAATACACCTATCATTGCCATCAGAAACTACACTTCAGTAAGTGCTTAAAAGGGGCACTGCATTTTCAGAGCGAAATGTCTATCAGGAATGCTTTCTGAGGTTTATATTTGTTCTTATTAGGTTTATGGCGCAGGCCGATCTCGTAATATATGATATTGCCCAAGATGCGTTGCGGCTGTTGGATATTTCTAACATAAAGAGAATCCAGGGGCGGTGTGGCTGGGGAAAGTGGCTGGAGTAAACCTGTGTATAAACGGATTGAAGTACTTAACTGTATAAACGGCATCCTTTTAGGACCATGTATGTGAAAGGTATGTAGTTCAATCTAGGGCGTTATATCGCAAGAACCTGGATACCCAGTTGATTTCACCTGCCTTGTGGGTAGGCTCCCAAGTTCGCTGTGCTAATGAATAATTCACAAGTCTATCTTTTAGTTGAGCTCATAGACCATTGCATCTTTCCACTGTATATTATGAAGGTGTATCCTAATATCATTCATTGGTCAGGTGATAAGCTATGTCTCCCTCCATACGACACGTTGACGTCCCTAAGCAAGAGCCATAGCTGCGGAAGGCCGGCAGCATATAGGGCCTTATAATAGACAAGCAGCCGCAGATAGGTAATCGAAAATGAAGATAAATCTTAACTGGGGGTTATATGTCACAAAGGGACCAGGTCCGGATCACAAGCCGCCTTTCAATTTCTTCTCAATTGATTGAGAGCAGTCACGTCACGAGAAGTTGTATGGAATCACGAAAAGGGTCGATCACGTGACCGAGGTGGAAGAAGGTCATTCCACACCTCGAGCGGATCGGATCACTGTTTTTTTCCTCCCTGACAAACTGTTAGTAATCGTTACCAAGAGTTACTTAAGAAACTTTGCGTGGACGCGGTGTTTATTGTAGTATCAGTCGCGTAAAGTGAATTTAGGGGGTCCATGCAGCGTGTTTGATTGGCAGGTCCAGTTGCCCCTTGCAGGTGCGTGATCTGATAAGATTTATCTGATCTGATGAGTCGTACGCTAACAAACTCCAACCAATCCGAGTGGCAACTGGGCGCTGGGGCCTGCCCTTTTTATGTACTCCACTGTGTGATGGCGTCAGCCCCCTGTTGAATAGCTCACTAACACCACAAAGAACTCCGGTCGCGATGGCAGCAGCCCCATTCAATTTCCGTTGTGACGCGTCTTCAAGGAAGGGATTCCAACCATTCGCGTTGCCCCAAGTCGCGTCTTCCCAGCCTGGTTGACATGGTTTTTGAAGCTAAAACTCAGTCCAACGCAGACTTTTTCGTGAACGAAAACAAATAGCTTTGGCAGAGCTTTTGATACATAAAAGAGACTTCATCCTCTCGACTTCTGTTCACGAAATTTCTTTCTCTTCTCTCATCATCAGCAGACCTCAAGCATCAATCACATCTCCATTAACGGAAACCATATTGATTAATTCTTATCATCACCCACTATCATCATCAGTTCTTGCATCTTATCAGCATTATCATCATCATCACCACTTCATACCTCTCCTTGTTGATCAAGCTTTTTCTATAACTTCACATCATTCACAATGTCTGACTTCATGACCGAAACACGAAAGGCCATCGCCGCCTTCAATAACCTCAAGATGAAAGAGGGTGTCGAGAACATCAAGCCTGTTGAAGCTAAGGCCGTCGTCAAGGTTGAACCAACACCTGATGCTCCAGCCTTCAACAACCTCAAGCCAGAGGAAGCCGACGAACCTCTCCTCGTCGAGAACAAGAAGAGATTTGTCCTCTTCCCTATTAACTACCATGAGGTTAGTCCCAAAATCCAATCACACTTCCTAATCCGGAATACTAATTGAATTTTCCATATAGGTCTGGCAAATGTACAAGAAGGCTGAGGCTTCCTTCTGGACCGCTGAGGAAATCGATCTCAGCAAGGACCTTCACGACTGGCACAACCGTCTCAACGACGATGAGCGTTACTTCATCTCCCACGTTCTCGCCTTCTTCGCTGCTTCCGACGGTATTGTCAACGAAAACCTTGTCCAGCGATTCAGCAATGAGGTTCAGATCCCAGAAGCTCGATGCTTCTACGGTTTCCAGATCATGATGGAGAACATCCACTCCGAGACTTACTCTCTCCTTATCGACACCTACATCAAAGATAGCAGCCAGCGAACTTACCTCTTTGACGCCATCGATACCATCCCATGCATCAAGAAGAAGGCCGACTGGGCTATCCGATGGATCGAAGACGAACAGTCCACATTCGCCCAGCGTCTTGTCGCCTTCGCCGCCGTTGAGGGTATCTTCTTCTCTGGTTCCTTTGCCGCCATCTTCTGGCTCAAGAAGCGTGGTCTCATGCCCGGTCTCACTTTCTCCAACGAACTCATCTCCCGTGATGAGGGTCTCCACACCGACTTTGCTTGCCTCTTGTTCAGCCACTTGAACAACCGACCATCCAAGGCCGATGTTGAAGCTGTAATCACCGAAGCTGTTACCATTGAGCAAGAATTCTTGACCGAAGCTCTTCCTTGCCCACTTCTTGGTATCAATGCTAAGTTGATGAAGCAATATATTGAGTTCGTCGCCGACAGACTTCTTATCGCTCTTGGTAACCCCAAGGTCTACCACTCCACCAACCCCTTCGACTTCATGGAGACCATCTCCCTTGCTGGCAAGACCAACTTCTTCGAGAAGCGTGTCAGCGACTACCAGAAGGCCGGTGTCATGGCCAAGACTCAGCAGAAGGCTGAAACCACATCTCCACTCTCCTCATCTGCCTCTCCCAATACTGCTAGCGAGCCACAGAATACCAACATGGCTGGTATCTCCTTCGACGATGACTTCTAATCGTTTCTACTCTGTACGGCGCTGTGCTTTCCCCTCGGGATTTGAATAAAATAAGGGTAATGTTTTGATTTTGAGCGAATTGCTTTGGTTGAATAAATAAATGGCAAGATAAACGGGGCTGGCTTTTTCTATGCCACGGTAAATATTAATGTTTTGTATGTCGCTATGGCTATGGTGGTAAGGAGTGCATTGGCGTTTGTTTTTACTGTCTGTTTCTTTGGAGTCTTTTTTCTTACTTTTTACATTATAAAGGCGTGCTAATAGGCACGCTTTTGAAAGATGGGATACAAGTCCCCACAGCTATTGTATAACATAATTCATGCATGGCACATTGTACTTTCGTTATCGAAGAACTCTCTCCACACCGGTGCGAGAAAAATATACTACTAGGATAGTTACAAAAAAAAGAAAAGAATAGTTCATATTCATATTCCATATTAACAAGATTTTGAAAGTCAATTTTGACATTTGATTATTTCGTAATTGTGCCTTCGACATTGAATTTATTAAATACTGTTGACCCAAATAGATGTCTAGGAAGGGAATTCCATCTTTAGTTCGGTGAACCTCATTGAACTCAAAGCTAGAGGCCATTGATGGTAGGTGCGTGACATGAGCTTGATATATTCTACAACAGGCAATAACACCTGTTCCAAGATTGCTAGCAGTAATGATATCAATTCATATATTATCTTACCTCTATCATCCACCCTATATACATACATACATGTAAGCCCCACAATACCCCCACCCCGAGCTATACATCCCTTCATTTCTTCTTCTTATTCTTCTTCTTTCCACCTTTCGACCCTCCAGCCGCAGCCTCTCCACCCTCGGTCGCTGCAACTGCACCCGCAACCGCATCTTTAGTCACACTCGGACCTGCCGTTTCTGCCGTACCTCCAGCCGTAGCAGCAGCAGCAGTGACTTCACCGCTTCCCAAATCTTTCAACCCAGCCATAGACCTAGCCAGCCTATGTAAACCCGTAACAATTCTTCCAACATCTGCGATTTTGTCGGTACGGAGTTTTATAAGGGAGCCGGAGATTGGGTCGTAAGTTTTCAGAGTTAATGTCCCGCGGGGGAGTTTTGGTTTTTCTTCTGTTTGTGTGGCGGTGGTGGTGGTGGATTTAGATGATGTGGGTTTTGGACGGCGGGAGGGGGTTGTCGGGGCTGGTGAGATGTTGTAGGTTGTTGTTATTCTTGTCTGTGGTATTGGTTAGCAAAGCGGTGCTATAGCAATGGTAGGCGGGGGGGGTATATACGGTAGCTGGATGTGCCTGTAACAGCTGGACCGAACGCTCGATGAAGTCGAGGGGGGTTTTGACGAGGACCATTGTGGCCACGTCGGCGCTCTAGACGCGATTTGAGTATCTCTGGATGGGTCGGGATAGTGGTTGAGAGCAGGGAGGGAGGCGCACTGGCGGGGTATCGATGAGGTTGGTTGCTATTTGGAATAATCCGAAGGTGGTAGTTAGGTGATTGTGGGTTCGGGGGGGAGATGGGAAGTCGAGCGAGTAGCTACTTAGTTGAGCCGAGAACAGATATAAAATGCCGTTTGGCAGATCCTTCATACACCTACCATCTTCCCTGCACCTCCACGCTCTCTCGCCGTTATATTTAAATTGCACGCTCTGCTAAAAATATAAGGGAGGTTATTTTATATAAATAAGGAGCTTCCATCTAGCTCTCTGTCTTTCCCTCTTTTCTATTTATCTATCTATAATAGCTACTTGTCTACATATTATCATCCAATTGGTAGATAAAGTATTTTTTTATCATCGAAAAAGATGGAGGTATGTCATTGACCGCTCAACCCTGGTCCCGCACGCCAGCAAGCTAACCGAAAAAATACCACACAGGTCAACACCACAGCCATTCCCAAAATCATATCTTGTGATGACATCCCGTCCTCGCCTTCTTCGCCATCATCTCCAACTTCAAATTCAGCCTCAAAAATCCCAAATCCGCTAGCAGATGAGCTATTAACCCGCTGTCTAAAAGTCTCGGATGAGATAACACTTCTGGAAAAGAAGTTGCTCCAAAGACTTCCGCCAAAGCAACGTTCGAAGAAGGGTAATCTACCCATCGAACTTCGTCATTTTAAAAATGCCATCCTGGTTGAGCAGAGACTTTTGGAGAATGTATGTTTTCCTTTCCTTTTGCTCTTTTATCTTCTTCTTTTTCCACTTATAAATAAATACATACTAATACGTCGATATTTTGTATATGTAATAGCTATCATATTCTCCTCCAACCCCAAAAACCCAGCATTCCCTTCGCTCTTCCAACCTAAAATTCCTAGAATCAGTCTGGTCCATCGCAAAGACGTGTAGCGGGCTACAAGTAATCTTCCGGACTGTCCAGCTTTTCGACCATCCAACTGATAATGCTGCAAAACTCCGTGGTAAAGAAAAGAAGGAATTGAAAAGGAAGAAAACTCCAGTGCAGGTTGATATTATTGCACAAAACGGATTGGAATGGATCAAAGTCGCAGGTCTGTCGGAGAAAAGATTGGAGACAGAATTTGCGAAGGCGAGGTGGGAGGCCGAAGGTTTTAAAGATGAAGACGACGACGAAGATGGGCAATCTGAAAATGGTGATAAGCTCGATCACGAAGAGAATGGAGGAAAAGATATTAACCAAACCATCCTCGAGTTCCAACACGATTCAGACGCCTTCTCACTCGTCAAATCCGCCAGATCAATGGTTCTTGCGGCTCAGCAGACAAGAGTCCAATACCTCCATCCAGAAATCACCATCGTCCTCCCAAACATCCATTACGATCCTCAGAACCCTCAACTGGGATCAGCCATCCACACCCTAATAACTGCAATCCTCTCAACGGGCGCTAGGGTTCAGACTTCAAATAGTAATATTATCAGCCCTACACCTCCTCCAGGAGACGAATCAACTTTGACAGATAACTACGGAAACACAATAACAAACCGCTCTCAATCTCTCCATCCGAACCACCCACCACTTGCCTCTTCTTCTTCATCCACACAAACATCACCAGAGTCCGTCGCAGAGGCGGCATTAACAAGTCTCTCCATAACCTCCGATCCGATAACCCTCATCACACCCAAGATCCTTCTGGATTGTACAATCCTACTAGCATTAGTTTCAGATCTCTCTCATGAGTCGGTAGCTGAACAACCAATCTTTCACCGTCATATCCTCCAACAAGTTCGTGCGGAAAACGAAGAACCGTTGTTGCCGCATTGGATTTTTCCTAGTATCGAGGGGAGGGAGATGGTTTGTACTTTTGATGCTTATAAACGGTTTAAAGAGATCGTAGACATTGTGGGGAGCGAGAATGAGAAAGTGAGGGCCAATGCATTGGTTTGGGGTGGTACTGGGAGGGATTGGAGACATCCTTTGCCTTCGAAGTCGCCTTCGAAGTCGGGTCCTAATATCACCAACGGTGGTAATAAGGATACAGGTATCACTTTCACTGAGGAAGGTGAACCTGTCCTCCCCGACGGCCGCACCCGTACCTCCCTCATTTCGACTCTTCAATCTCTCTCCAGACACCAAGTTCCAAGAACTCTAAACCTTCCGATCACAGTAGTCGATTCCCTGGAATCTCAAATCATGTCTCATAACCCCGTTGCCGCAAAGATTGGGCCGGAGTTGTCGGTTGTGAACAGGAGTTCGTTGTTTACGGCTTGGGAGATGGGGATTACTATTGTGACTACCAATGGTAGTGTGGTGAAGAGATTGGAATGGCTCGTGGAGGAGAATAGAATCAGAGACGATGATGCGGGGCCAAAGGTACATTTGTTGGCTATTGCTAGGAGTCTGGTTGGAAAGATGAAGAAGGGGACGGATATTTTGGTGGAGGGGTGAAATGACTGTTATTAATAGGTGGCGATAGTTCACTTTTAGTTTTTAATATATTGAATACGTTCGGTTTATTCCAAACACTAGTCTTGTATTGCAGTAACCACTCAGGATGCATTATAGACCTGCTATTGAACACAATCGCAACAAAATAAGGGTAGCAATGCGCCGGGGCATACGAAACTGTGATAAAAGAAAAGTACAGATAGGTCTGGGCCCAGCTGACGACCAATGGAACACTGTTAGCTGATAATATAATATTAAACAAGGGATGGTGGTTGAGCATCTGGGTATTTTTTCTTCAAAAAACAGACAAATAGCAAGCCTAAATGAAAGGAAGGAAGAAACAAAGGATGTGAGTGACGGAAAACTAAGATAAATTTCGTTAGAGATGCCAGCCATCAACGGTACCGGGTTTTGTCTATTCCACCCAACAAAGCCTTTATCTTCTTGTGTGTATTGTCGATATCTCCTGGACCGAGAAATTGCGTAGTGTCAACAAGGTCGAACTTGTATACAATAGCTCTCAAAAAAAACAGGAAACAGTGAAAAGTATCTAAGTAACATTGTAGAGGAGGAAGTATAGATATGTAATTATGTAATATTATATACTATGGCGACAAGATTAAGAGAACGTTGGTAAGATATATTAGAATGGAATGTAGGCAATGTCGTAGATTTGAAGCTAAGAGAGAAGGGACAGTAATGGGAATTATATAAATAATTCAAATCTAAGGGGGGGGTGGATCAATGTAATCATCCAAGTGCTTTGCAATCCTCCTCCATCCGGTCTTTTTGAGGGCTGTCCACCAGCTCACCGTACCGATTGGTCATGCAAGTAAAAAAAAAAGGGTGGTGTATGTGTTGCTTCGTGTGTTCTTTTCGTGCATTGGTCCGATCGAGCTAAAAGGTGGTCGATCAGAGCTGCAGGGTTGTCTCGTCCTACCAGCGCTTACGTCAAAACCATCATCCAGAAATTGCATATCGAGTCCTCGTTTTTCATTATTTTGTACGCATACCTAAAATACATGCTCATCGCCAAAAAAAAAAAAAAGTTTTTCGGAATCCAAACGTGAGTAAAACATAAAGAAGTGGAGAAGAACAAAGAGATCCCCATACAAGATATCCATAAGGAAATGCACACCCCCCCCCAAAATGATATACGAAAGTCGCAAACTTCTCCCACCAGCATCGCATAGTCATCCATCCATCACTGCAAGCCAGCCGAATAGAAGAAACAAGCGTAAGCCCTCAAAAAAAAAATTTGAACGAAAAGAGAAACCGAAGAGAAACCAAAGAGAAACCCCGCATGAAATGATGTCTATGAATTAGGTATTTTGTCGAAAATAACCAGTTTCTTTTTTTTTGTCATACCTCCTGCCGGTACCACCCTCTTCGATAAAAGATATCAAACAGCATTACTTTCCAAAAGTTCTTCCTTTATTTCTTTTTCATGGAGCTAGATCATTTATCTTTACCTTTACCCTTGGCGAGCTTCTTGCTTTCTCCGTCTTCGGAACTCCTCGACTCGTCATCCGACCACTTATCCAAATCATCCCCTACCGAGAAGATCGCCTCCCCTTCTCCGGAATGTCTAGGTTGGTCGAAGGAGTCCCTTGGCAACGGCTGGTGAGTATGCGGTGGTGGTTCATTGCCAATATGTTCCTCCTCGTCGGATCCTGCAAGGGATGCAATCTCAAATCCGTCGTCGTCTTGGGCAATCTATATAGCAAAAAAAATAATATTTCGTTAGAATTCTTGAACAACGATCCAAATGATACCCTGCGCGGTTCTGAAATTGGGTATTAGAGCTAGCATTACTGCCATCTCTTTCACCCTTGCAAATAGTGCAACTAACCTCATCAGACATTGCAAAGCGTCTGTTATTCAATGTCGGCCTCCACAAGAACGCAATAACAGCCAAATCAACAAGATAAACCAAATTTAACCATCCATCAAGCACGAACCAACGTGTTTGCCAGTGAGTCGGAACAAAGTCTGGGGATCCGGTGCCAGCGAACGTCAACGAATTGATGAAGAAGAATCCAAAGATGACAATGATGCTGCCGAGAAGAACCCACCAGAGGCGGCGGTACATCAGGGCTTTGACGTTTTGCTTGCGGTCGAGAAGTTCTTTCATCGTCAAGTTGAGGGAATTGAGGGTCCAGACGTAGAAGGCGGTAAGAGTAGCTGCGAGGGGGAGGATGACGAAGAGGACGAGAGGGCCGGCGGTTTCGGGGCTGACAATGGCAAGGGAGGCGACGGAGTAGATGACACCAAAGATGAAGTGAGCTAGAGCAAGGGCTCTGCAGTACCACATGAGGCTGCCGAGTGATGGCTTGACGACACCATACCCCATGCACACAATCAACAGCAAGAAGAAAGAAAAGGAGTTTCTTCCAGCATTGAGGACCGCCACGATGACCATGAACACCTTTGAGACAATGTTAGAGCCGTGAATGTTCATGTAATCTATAAAAAAAATAATTAATAAAAGCTCGATGTGCAATAGAATTGCCGTTCGTACCATAGAATCCCCAGGTCATCAACATCTCGATTATCAGGAAGATGATGATCGCCGTAATGTAGTTTTGAACCGGCACTGTTCACACCCAATTAGTACATCATCGACATCCAATCCAGCCAACCCAACCCTGATTGCGAGTGCTTACAGATATCCCTCCTATGCTGCACGTACAAAAATCCCCAAAATACTCCAATCAGCGCATAGATAATAGTAATCCCTCCGTAGAATGGTAGTTTGGGGATCTGCGATGCTGGCAACTCTCCGTAGGCATTCCTAAATTCCACGACTCCAGTGTAATGTCTCGCAGCATAACCCCAAGTAGCTACACAGTAGAACCCGGTCTTTTTGATATCGTACTTTATCGGCTGGCCACCCTTGAGCTTAACAGTGGTGGTGAGCATCTGGGTCTGGGCGGTCTTGTTGGCTTTAGGGTCGAGAATGAATTGGCCGAGCTGGGATTGCTTGCAGTATTTGTTTTTGATAGCTTCATCGGAGCAGGTTACAATAGGCTAGAAGGGAACATCGTGTTAGCTAGCCTGAAATATTACGAGCAGGCTATCGGGGGGTGCTTTGACTTACAGTTACTTCTCCTTTCTCATCGCGGCCTTCCACACCGATCAGGTGCTCATCCTTATATTCAAATATTAAAAGACCTATAAACTCCGAGTCAATAAAACGCGTTCTAACTCTTGCGGCATCCCTTCTCTCTTTTGAGTCTGGTAATAAACATACTAACTGCCCAGTCCTCGAAATCCTTCTCTTCTTCTGGTGTTTCCGGTTTATCTCCAACGAACTTGACTAGGATATACGGCGCCACCTTCCCACCCCAAGCACCAGGTCCGTACATTCCCGAACATCGCTGTCGGTCGTCGTCGGTATTATGCTATTGAATAGAACAATTGGATTAGATATAGTCCTGAGAACACGATGCGACAGCGGTTGGGGATGCGCTGGAGCAGGTAAAACAGAGCTTACGAAGCCTCGGAGGGAGGACATACGAGGGCATATTCGGCAGCTCTAACTAGCGCCGCGAATAACAGCAGGACTGTTAATATTATTGAATTTGAAGACCTCATCGTGGTATGAGATCAGGAGGAAAAGGTAGAGAGGTAGGAGGGAAGGGTTTGAGGGATGATATATGGCCGGTGCGAGGGTTTTTCGGACCAGCTGCGGGAGCTAGGAGGGATTTGGAGAGGTGACGTTGACCGTTGATAGAACTCGACAGGACCCGCGCTTTTTGGAGAAGGCGAAATGCGTAACGTAAAAACCCCGATTTTAGCACAGCTAAGCTCAAAAAAACATCCAAATAAATTAAATTAAAATAAAATAAGCACCAGAATAAAACGAAAGCCTTTTGTTTATCGCTTCAAAGGAACTTTTTTTTTAAAGGAAAAAAGATCGAGAGAATTAAATTTAATTAATCGATGGCGATGAGATGAGACCACAGTTCGAGTGTTGGGGGTCAAAGACAGGAGAGCTGAGATACTCCGACCAACCGTATCATGCGATCTGGCCCGACATATAAAAATCACTTGGCTGTCATGTTGGTAGTAACATTGACAAGAACTTCAAATTCAATCAAGACAAGACAAGAATAGCTCACGTACTTACTTACTTACATGTACGGTCCATTCGGGCAAACAAAGACAAGGCAAGACAAGCCCGCAAGGAAGGTAGGTACCCGGCAGCCTTCCGGTTTACGTATACACCGAATGTTAACCCATCCTTAGCTCTTGGCCTTTCCTTAATCCGAAGAAAGCAAACTACACAAAATCCAACATCTCGACTTTTTTCTTATTTACATTCAACAAAACCCACTCTGTTTCGAAACCATCTTGATACACTCCCGTCACAAAAGAGCAATCTAGCTCGCGTGCGTGTGAGTGCGTGTGAGTGGCGCAATGATAGGCGGTAATTTGTCCGCCACATTTAACGCCCTACGGGTCCTTTATGATCCATCATTATGTTTACCTCATATGGTCATCCCGACTTTTGCACATTTACCTGTGCCCTTGAGGTTTCCCGGGCAAAAGTCGGAAATCAGAGCTGTGATATTGGATAAAGATAATTGCATATCCGAGAATTATGCACTAGAGGTTTACGGGCCTTACAAGGTTCGATTTCCATTTCGATTATGTGACTTTCTGAATTCATATAAGTTTATAAAATCTATGCATTTGATACCATGGTTGTGATCAAGGATATTAACATATTGCTTCACAAACAATCAGGACAAATTCGAAGCCCTCAAAGCAGCCTACCCAGGGAACCGTCTCCTGATAGTCTCCAATTCCTCGGGCACCCAGGACGACAAAGACGGTAAAGAGGTAAAAGAGCCCTTTATAATCAACATTTTCACAACCCTTCCCAACTTTTCTAACAAACAAAAATATCACTTATAACTAACATCAACGCCACAACTCTGATACAAATAAATATATGCTTATATGAGAAAAAAAGGCGGCTCTTCTATCACAAACTCTTTCAATACCAGTTCTCCGCCACAATGTTAAAAAGCCAGGTTGTCTGGACGAAATCCTAGCATATCTGCGCGCCTGTCCAGACGTTCAACTAGAATCACCTTCCCAAATCGCCGTTGTTGGAGATCGTTTGTTCACCGATGTCATGATGGCCAACATGATGGGCGCTTGGGGTGTGTGGGTTCGAGATGGCGTAGATGTCAAGTATTCTAGTGCTGTAAGTGTCCCCTTTGTAATCCCTTTTCTCTTATGCTTTAAATTATTGTATTCTTCTCCGATGTTTTCTCAGCTGCTGCAAGGTGATTTTTCTTTTGTTTTTGATTTTTATGTGAAGCCCGTTATTATTTCGGGGGGCTGGCGGTAATTTTATAATGTGATGAATACAAGATGGCTGATATCTGAATTTCAATGTTATACAGTTCTCGGGTTTCGAGAAAGGTCTTCATGATTTTCTTGTGAAACGGGGGTACCAACCGCCGTCGCCGCTATCGAAATCATGATGTGTACATTATAGGAGGAGCAGGGACGATTATACTCTAGTAGCACCCGTGCTTGTACTCATCATAGATAAACACCCAACCAGTAGTATATACATACAGTAATAATAACGACGAATATAAAAATGGCGACGATCCAGAAAAGGGTGGGGGCCAAAGAGTGATCAGCACATACGTTCAGCAATTGAGTCAGTCAGTAAATAGAATCTAACGTTTATAACTGAGGCTGGGGGAATTCCCGGGAAATTTACCAACATGGGAAGGCAAGGGGGCTGGAAAATATATACTTGGGTATCCACGGATACCAGCATATAGTGTCTCCGTCCTTTCGTCTGTGCACCCGTTCGGAACTCTCCAGAATAACTAGCCCGTATCGATCCCTCCTAGACACCAGCTTAGAGGCGTTCGACTTCGAGAGGGTTTATCGACCGGTTTTCCAACCGATCATTTTCTTTTGCCCCGTCGCGCGGGTCGTAACGAACTTACATATTGCAGGAACCGTGTAACCGTTGAATCACATTACACCGGGGATTTCCATAAAACATTACCTTTGTTCTTATTTTTCCGTTGCCATGCATTATATATTATTTTACTTGAGAGAAGAAGAAAAAAAGAAAGAGAAGGAAGCATATCACAAATTTACAGTTTGCACAACCTTGGTTTTAAGGCGAAAGGTTTTTCATTAATTAAAAAAACAATAATAATAAGTAAAAAGATCTCTGGACTAAATATTATTACTACATGAAAGTAAAAGGAAAAAAGAAAAAAAAAGGCGGAAAACTCGCTGGCGAGTTCCGTACACGAACTTTCGGAATAAAGAAAATAATAGAAAATTAACAAAAAGACAGATATGACAATATAAGGAAATGTGTGATGGTCTGTCGGGTGGGAGTTTGTAGGGGGGTCATTAGCTGTGATACTTCCAAAAAGAAAAGGTAATTATATTAAAAGATAACTACGGGGGCATTACAATGAACAAGAAGAGGAGGAGGAGGAGGAGGAGGCATGCTTTGGAGTTTTTTGGTTTTTTATTTCCCTTTGTAGCTATCTTTTCTACCTAGCTATTTTCTGTTTTGATATCTGACAAGGGAGATAAGAGAGATGAGGCGGGCAATTGATATTTGCGCTTTGCTAGGAAAGGGGGCTGTTCTCTTCTATTTTATCCATTTCGAAAGGGATAATTCGGCCTCGGGGCGACGTTGATGGTGGAGATGTAAGTAAGGAAAAGTTGAAGCAATAAACGAAGGCCATTACGATGATGAGTGAGTGAGTGAGTGATGTAAAAACACAATGCGAGTGAGAGAGAAAGAATACAATATGCTTTACATGACTTTCTTTCAGAAAAAAGCGCGGACAAAAAGATTTCAGATCCCAAGAACGAATGCATGATGATAAAAAAAACAAGTTATACCCAAACTATTAAAAACTTCAAATGATTTGCAGCTTGCAATAAAAAATGAAAGGAACAAAAAAAGATAGAGAATGATAAAAGAAAAAAAAGACGTTTTGTTACCACACCAAGTGAATTCGATTTCGCTAGACATCATGATCGGAGAGATTGTTTGGACCCATTAAGTTTGTTATGTTGTTATGCATGCAGATAGATGACTGATATGACTAAAAGAGAGATAAAGGTGTTGAAAATAGAGATATCAAAGAGAAACTTAAGTTTTTTTTCTGGAGACGCTAGCATCATTACAGAGGGTGTTGCTGGGCGTGCGGATGCGGTGTCGAATGATGTTCCGGAGAGAGTGTGACATGGTGACCCATTGGGCTCAAGTTGTACGGCGAGAGATGGCTGTCAACTTCTTCAATGTCCTCAAGGGCTGGCGGGCTCTGGTGCATTCCTAGCGATTGTTTGGCGTACAGGTCTGTCAATTCATCGTTGCCGTAGAGGGCTTGTTCATGGCTGAGCGGGAACAGCTCGGCTGATCCGGTTCGGTCAATGAATGGAGGCGATCCGGATGCGATGATTGGGTCACCATTGCTCAGCGCCGACAGAGGGGACACAGACTGTGGAATCAAGCCATTGGGGTGGATCATTGGGGACAACCATGGCTGGTCCAAGAAGGGGGAATGGAGGCCCGGTGTCATGGCTAGTTCACCTGGCATACCGGGGCTGGCAGCATATTCAGAAACTGTGGTAGCTGCAGAGAGAGGATAAGCCGGTCTGTAATCCAAGAAGCCTGGTGCAGAGGTATCGATTCTGAGGTTGTTCGACATGGCATGGGGATGCTGGGGAGCTGGAGCGAACAAATGGTTGTTGGAGTTTTCCTCCATCTTGAGCTTGGGGCTGACAGAAGTGCCAAGGAAGAAGGAGTCTTCGTTCTCTGGTTCGATGATAACATCGTCGAACTGGAATGAAGGCATGGGACCAAAGTTTGCGAAGTCGTTAATGTTGGGGACGGAACGACTCCTCTGCCTCTTGTGTCTGTATGGGTTGGCAATGTGTCCTCTAGCTTCCTGCTGGACAAGTGATGGTGGGGCCATCATTCCAGAAGCAGACGAAGGACGCATTGGAGGGGATGGTGGGCTAGCGAATGTGGCTTCGAACATGAATGGCTGTGGTTGTCTGTGTCGGTTTTGGAAAACATCGAGGTTCAAAAGTTTGGCAAGCTGACCCTGCAGAGACTTAGCATTGCCTCCGAGTGTGTGAGTGAAGATCTGGGTAGCCTGTTGGTCTTCAGTGAAGTCGCCACATTGGACGAAGCCACCAGAGCCCGATGTATCCATGAAGAAGTGTGGGGGCTTGAGCAATTGAATGACAAGCTGACCCTGCATCTGTCCACCGTGCGTGCTTGGTGGAGCCATTGGAACGTTCAAAGTCTCGAGTTCAATGCTCTTGATATTCCTGAATGGATATTCAATCTTGTAACCTGCAGAGTCGTTGTTGATGTAGTATGTGATGCAAGCCTTCTCGGGCGAGTAGAAAACCACGAGATCCATAGCATTCTGTCCGATACGTCTCCATGTACCAATGTTCAACGAACGGCATGTGAAGTGGTGGATGACAATCTTTCCTGTAGAAGCTTCACCAGGAGCCGAGAAGCCGCCTCCAAAGCCATTCAATGCACCACTTGTGCCGTAAGCAAGAGCCTTCATCTCAGGGTTCTGGTTTGCAAGGTATAGTCTGACACTCTCTGGTATCGAGTCGATATCCTCGCCACCATTCTCCAAAGACTTCTTTGCAATCAACTTGATCTTCGCACGTCTATTTATATATAGTGTTAGTTAAGCTTTACTTAATTCCCGGAACATAAGATTATATCGCACCTGTTCTGGAACCAAATCTGAACAGATCTCTCTGTCATATTGATTTCCTGAGCTATTCTATCCCTGACAACAGCAGTTGGAGTGGGGTTCTTGCTGAACTCGCGCTCTAGTGTGACTAGCTGATCCTGAGTAGCTCGCTGACGCTTCTGGTTCTTCTGTTGTTGCGTCAGGGTGCTCTTCCTTGGAGGCCGTCGGACAGCTCCCGACGAGGTATTGGAGCCGCCATGTTGTTGGGGTTGAAGTGGGGGTGAACTCGAGGCAGCAGACGACACCGAGGCGAATGACAGCCTGTGGTCTCCAGACTGGAACATCTGGGACGCTATTTAAGATTATATAATTTTAGTACATGTCTAACCCGTCAAGATACCTCATATCAAATCAAATCACATCGAGGTAGAGCAGGGTATATGTTGTTTTGACAAACCTTCCAGTAGCTCTTGATGAGGTGTAGCAAACATTACTGAATATTATATATTTTTATATCTCGATCAGATGAGAGTGGATATCTTCTTCGGGACTTATTGGTCCGCGCAACGTGGTCTATCAACCAACTTCCTCTCTCAAGGCGCAGATGCACTCTGATTGATATGGGGTCTCGGCGTATGATGTCGTTAAAATTGCAAAGTGCAAGTGTAGTAATAAAACGTATTCTTTTTTGGGCTGGGTTATTGAAGCAAGCAGTAGTAGTTGGGTTAAGTGGATCGATCAATTATTCGTAATGAGAATCTGAACGCGTTGAATCTTGAGGCCTTGTGTATTACTTTCCACCTTGAATAATAATTTCCCTTGTAGAGTAGTAGTAGCAGTAGTAGCGTAGTGTAAGCCCGTCGTCCGATTAAAGGCCTTTCGATAAGATAAAATAAAATAACGAAGCGAAATTCAATATTAAAATAAGGAGCGTGATGGGATCAGCCGAATGAGTGAGGCTATATCCTAGGGTTTTTTTGGCAAAAAATCAAGAATGAACGAATGAGTGTTATGTCTCTTCGAGGTTTGATTACGAGGAGAAATTGGGGGAGATGAAAGGGAATTAAAAGGAAAACAGAAGGAGGGAGGGAAAGGGAAGGAATAATTGTAGGAAGAGAGCGAGCGGATGTACGCCAGGAAAAAGTAACGACAGGTCCCACGGGAGGAGGGAAGGGGCCTTGTCGAGGCTGGCTTCTTTCGTGCAGAGGAGGGAACGACTCCACCAAACGAGCCCTTCGCCATGACTGGGCAAAAAGGGGGATCCAAAACAGACCGACAGATTCTACACACGCTAACGAGAGACCCTCCCACACACATCCCATCGACTCCGACATCTTTTTGGGCAAGGTGGTACAGCTCGCTCCATGCAAAAATCCTCCCTTTCGCTGACCTGCGTTAAGTTACCCCTGTCGGAATCTTTGGAGGACTGCGAAGAATTGGGCAGGCGTGGGGACGCCTGTTTTTGTTGCCCATGTTTTCTTCTTTCTGGCCTGTCTCTTCCGGAGGGCCTTTCCCCCAATGGTGATAGCCGGGCGAGGTGGGTTTTCTTTTGAGTTCTTGTGTACCGCGTGTGATCTCTTCCTCTCCGGTCATTGAGCCTTGCAGATTTTCAATATTACGAGCCGGTTGCTTCGCCTGGTTGGTTCGAGATTCGTGTTCACGCTCACCGAGAAACACACAATGATGAGAAGAGAAACAGACAACCGTTCTCATGCATGCGGTTGTTCGTAACGCCGTCATGGCGCAATCCTCTTGGAGATACTTCAATACTCTGAAGCAGAGAAACATGCCTAACAGCCGCTGGAATTAAGCAACCCAGGGATCCTGTACCTGTTGCATTTCTTCGACTGTTGATTGTTGTTTGTTGCGACTTTTTTGACAGAGCGCGTGCGCTCCTAACAAGGTTGCCTGCCTGTTTGCAGCTCCCCCGCTAAACATCGGGATAGGTTGTAGTGAAATTTTTGTAATATGTGTGTGTGTGTGTGCATCCTTATTGTTGATGGTTCCTCTGCTTTGTTCACACGAAGAATTCATTCCCATTAGTCATAGCCAACGGCGCGGAAGAAAGAGGGAAAGAACAAAAAAAAGTCCCTCGATGTGCAGCCATATTGAGCGTAGTAACATATCCCAAACGCTGCCATTTACTTCTAGCATCGTTGAAGAGGTCTAAAACTTCCTCATGCCAGAAATGTCGTCACTAAAGGCATGGTGGAAAAATGCTATACTCTCCTTGGGGAGAAATCAAGAGGTGCCATTCCAGCCCAAGCTGCGTCGCAGTTCAAAGGGACGAATAGCAATCTGTTCATTCAACGGAGTTTTCCCTCGAGGGTTTGTGTGAAAGCCGCAGGATAAGGAGGACCGGGTTCGTGATTGGCAGACGCCGGATCATGATGGTCCAGGCTCTCCGGCTGGGCAAGGGCGGTGGTCCAACCAAACCGTCCCCACGCAGGTTCAGCCAATCAGGCCATCGATCGAACAGACCTGGTCCTTCACCGATGGCAAACTTTTCTTTTGCATGAGGTGAAAGTCTTGTCGGCATTAAGCAAGACGGCCGGGGGAAGAAGCCCATGGCCGAGTTGGTTTTGGCTCTTGTGTGTTCGTTCACGAATTCGGCGGCGCTTGACCCAATCGAGGATTTAAAGGGGGTCGATAGACGTATGTCCCATATCATCCTTGCGCCGAAACATCATGTAGGAGAGTCGGGTCAGACAGAGGGAAAGCGTCCTCTAGCTCTCGTGAATAATTATAATCCGGCAATCAGAGGCGCTTCCGTCGATAGCGATGAGGCTTGTAAGCGGAACGAGCGAGTTCACCAGCTTTGGATGGATACCATTCGCGCTGGCAAGTTAAATCTTAACATCTGCAGGTCAGCAATTAGCCTCAATACTACATACTACGTACATACTTCATACATCGTAGGATGTAAGTAAGTAAGTAAGTGGCTCTCTTAGGTTTCCCTCTGCTGTGAGACTTGCTTATCCCCCCACAAATTAAACTCACGAAAACGAGCGAGTTCCACTTTGGCTTTACTTTTCTCCAACCCGTCTCGTTCTTCTAAAAATACACAAACGAAGCCTGCAATCGCACGTGGTTTTCCTCTCAACTATTATTTCGTGCATCCGAAGCTGGCTGGCTGTGACATTAATACGTTATAGTAGCGGGTTAACCTTGTCCTGATATCGTCTTGATGTCTCCCTCCAAAACACCCTCACCGTTCCCAGGAACATCCAAAACAACCGTTTCCAAACAATGCATCGCGCCCCCTTGACTTGTGACAAAGAAGGTTCGATGCAGGAACCTGCACCCATTCAGCTCTCTCACAATTACTTACATACTACACATACTTACATATGTACATATGGACTTACATAGAGAGGGAAAGCCCTTGCTGTACATTGGCCTTTCCCATTCTGTCCCCATCAATGCCAGAGGTCGACTCGCGTCCCCTTTCCGTCCCCGAGACCCGGTGTCGGAAAAGCTGTGCCTCGACAGTGACGCTAATGTTTGTCCATATGTATGTATGTCTAGATACGTACAGAACAGAGCTGGGCATCCTGCGAGTCCCTTTCTCCTTGCATTGACATCTCTTGTGCCCTAATCCGCTTGTGACTCGATCGGTACCTTTTTGTGCCTGTTTTTGTCTACACCGATTCTTGCTTTTTTTTAAATATTTTTTATCCATAGTGATGGTGATAGTACACATGTACTCCGTACCGTCTTCTCTTTTTTCCCTCCCCTTCCTCTTCCAAATTTCCGTTGACCAAAGGGAAAATGTTCGCGGAAGGGAAATTCTTGTCGAGCATTTTTCTTCTTCCCTTTGTTTCGATTTTACATCCTTGATCGATTCGGGATAATCAGCATGCTATCGAATGTGAAGTCTTTTCTCCATACCTTTCGAACTTCTCGAACCATTCTTAAGATCCCTCTGATATGTTCTTACCGGTACCTGAAACGACGGGTAACATGTCATGTGTAATGCAATGGATCTGAATTCAAAGGAAGGAAGATCCAAATATTCCCATGTCTTCTCCTGGCAGTTTACTGTGTAAACCGCAATCCTGGCCTGCTGCAGGGCGACATTCCAGCCCATCGATATCAAACATACATATTTACTTACTTACTTCCTCATGTATGGGAGTAAGTACCCAAAATATGGAAATACCACATGCCTGTGACAGCGTATATCTCGATTCTGATAAATAATCTACCGACCCGTCTCGGTAACTGGTTTCTTCGTCAGCATCGGTATACCTGATACATGGACACCCTACCACACACATACCCCAGCCCATCGGAATTCTAAGAATAGGTAATGGCGGACCGCTAGCCACGGTACTATAGTTATGATTGATATCAAAAAGTCTTAAACCAGGAGATGTAAATTTGTAAAGAGAGAAAAAAAAAGATACCACTGCCAAGCCAGCCCGTATCCTAGAACCACTCAGTCGATGTCGATATACACACACACACACACACACACACACCCCGCGTAGTTTATCGGTTAGTTAGCTAGCGGCCTGACATGACATATGCACAGTTTATTTTTATTTTATCCTTTTCGGATGATTATATGTATGTACTTACATGTACATATATGTATGTCTGTATGTATGTACATGTATATCCATGTATGTATACTACTGTAGCATAAGCAAAAAGGGACGATGCGATACAAAAGATTCAAGTTATATGAGTTAAGGAGCATGCTCGATCGTTTTCAATCCTCGACATGCATATTATCTAATTCTTCCACCTGCCCTTCCATTCCTCGCCACGACTATCCATCGTCCGATATGACGAGCTCAATCAAGTTGACACGGGCTTTGCAAGGCGCTCTCCAGCTATTTTTTCTTCTCTAGTTTTTTTTTTTTTTAAAAAAAACTCTCCTCTGTATTTATTTCAGATCTGACGCCGGAATAAGCCTAACCATCCCATAGCAGAACAGCCGCCCCCATGTCTAATGCATGTGGACTGGAATAGAAAGTATATTCTGTTTCGATTATTCTTCTTTCCTGTCTGATACCGTCTAGGAAATATATATTTTTGTGATCATACAGTAATAGCTGCGAAGCTCGTTAGAGAAACAGACAGACAGCGAAAAGGAGTAGAGACAGTAAACCCGCTCGTTCTTTTGGACCCGATCGAAGAGAAGCGATAAAAAATAAAAATAAACAAATAAGCAAGAAGAAAAAATAGAACATCGAAAGAGAAGCCTGGATATAATAAAAGAAGCGGTGTGATAATATAAAAAAAGGTAGTAAGACCTAATAATGCATACAAGAATTTGAAAAAGAATTGGTTTGTAAAAACTATATTCAAGACCGCCTAAACCATGAATTGCGTTCGGCCCTTCCTGACTCCCGGTCTGGGTATGAGACTGCCTCCGGTTCCTCTTGTTCCGGATACCCGTTTTCTTCGTCCCCCCTCGCCCTCCTATTCTCAAGCTCATAACTATCATTACCATTATCATTTTCTTCCCTTATGGTCTCTCCCATCTTCCGGGTCTTTCGGCTTCCCAGCCGTACGTACGCAAACCTCGACTCTCGTCTTCTCTGGATAATCTCCTTCAATACCTCCCCATTATTATTACCCTCCAGAGCTGAAGAATTTAGTTCTTCAAAGAAATTAACGTTTTGCGTGTACGCTGCGTACTCCAGTTTCTTCTTCAATATAGGATCCTTCTGAATAGCTTGGAAGTGATCCACTTCATTAGGGAAGAAACTGGTTTTGATGGATTTGACGGAGACCTCGAAGACGATACAGCACCCGAGAACCAAAAGGACCACCGTCCACCACAATAAATCTCGGCCAATGTGCAGCACGAATTCCCGTGGAAGAAAATAAATCGTCCATGTGTGGAACCCGAACCCAAGAATTACAACGTTCCAAAGGAACCAGCCACCCACGGATATAACAAATACAATGAGTGCTACTATTGTCTTGTTGTGCTGTTCTAAAAATCTATATGAGGTAAAAAGCGAAACAGTTAGATTGGAACCTCCATGCTATGCGCAAAATCGAGTTTAGGTTGGACTTACTGAAGTTTCGTATTGACAAATATCACAACAATAGTGTAAACCAAGGCGCCAATTGAGTAGAGTCCCTGGTTTGGCACTATAGTAATAGTGTTATACAGTGCGTTTACGGTATACCAGATCATAGCAGCCTCTCCAACAGCGAGGACGATCCAAGCGAGGTAGGAATACATGTTGAAGATGGTTCGCTTGTTGTAGACGTAAAGCTCAGGGACGGCAAGAAGGGTCTCCTGCTCAAGGTCCTTTTCCATGATACCGAGGAAGATGATGGCGAGTGAGGTGAAGAAAACGTTGTACAGAGCCAAACTCCACTCTTCGTAAAGAGAAGTCCCGCTGAAGCCGTTATTTGGTTGGTACATGGCTTGGATAATAAAGAACATCATTTCCTATGATACTCATGTTAGAATGATCCGGTATTGATAACGGCGCCGATCCTAAGACTTACCTTCCAAAAGGTTCCGAGGATATATTTGCAAGTCCGGACATAATTCCATCTTCCATGGCAAAGCAAGAGCTTCAACAAGAACCTGAACTGGGCAATCGAATAATCGGAACTTCTAGCGGCGGCCAAACCCTCTTTGCCAGTAATACCCACACCAACCTGGGCCTCCTGAATCATGGCAATATCGTTGGCACCATCACCGATAGCGAGGGTAACAGCCTTTTTAACCCTTTTTCTAATTGATCGCACAAGACCGGCTTTCTGGTTAGGGCTCGCTCTGCAGCAAACGACTGAGTCGACAATGATCGTAAACTCGAAGAATAAATTGCTAAGAGTCTCATCATCCTCAATTGCACTTAGAGTACTCCCATCAACGACACCTACTGAGTGCGCCAGGTTATGTTTCTTGAGTATATCAATGTAATCCCGAATCTGTGATCCAAGATCACCGGCGTCTTGATCAACAATCATAACCTCAGAGACATCCGTGATGAGACGACAAGAATATCCAATATTGATAGCTGTTTCCTTCTTGTCGCCAGTAAGCATCCACATCTTGATACCTGCCCTTCGTAGCCTATCAATAGCATCTGGGACACCATCTTGCAATTTATCCTCAATTGCAGTTGCACCGGCAAATTCGAAGTCCCGCTCGATCTCATCAGCTGCCTTATCAATCATAGCCTGCCGATCTACAAGACTAGTTGTGGCTTCGTTATATGTTCTAGCCCACTCTCGATAATGCCGTTCATCAAGGAATCGGTAGCCGTAAATAAGAGTTCGCAATCCTTCAACTGCAAAGTCGTGAATCTGGCTGTAAGACTGATCAAATACAAAGCCGTCATTAGTGACAGCGCTTTCGTTGATGTATGTGTCAAGCCTCCGTGGCCGGCTTGGGGTATCAGTACGTGGTAATTCGAATGAGTGGCCTGGGTTCTTCTCCGCGGCCGGTGAGTGCGTATCGGTTCCAAAGCTCCGCCGGCCAGTATAGCTTTTTCGGGGAGCCGTCCAGCTGTGTCTGGGGCTACTCATGCTAAATCGATTGTGTGTGGGGCTCTGAGGAGGCATACTAGTTCTGCGTACAAATTCAAATACTTCCTGGCTTTTTCGTTCGCGATTCCGCTTTTCGACGTCTTTTGAAGATCGAAGTGCCATTTCCTTGAGTCGGAGGAGTTCGGTCATGGTGGAATCTGCGCCTTTCGAGAATAGGCATATTCTACCATCGGGACATCTAAGGATGATAGACATACGTTTCCGCTTGCTGGTGAACTCGAGGACCTCCAGGATTTCGTACCTCTCGGTCACGGGGCGGGTCCCCGAACCATTCGGGTACGTATTTACCGTAACACTCCCAACCTGGCGGTCGACGTTCACGTATCCGAGTTCCTGGGCAGCTTGGACCAAAGCAACTTCATCAGGCGATGATGCCTGATAAGTAATCTTCCCGTTCTCATCAGTTTCTGGGAGACAAGTATGGCAAAGAGCTAGACAGAGGAGGAACATTTTCGCTCTTTGAGAGTATGCTGTCTCAGGATGCATTTGGATATAGGTCAGTAGGTCTTCTGTCGATAATTCGCCCTCGCTAAGGACCATAGAAGCTCTTCTTCCTGGCTCCGAGGGTCGTGCATGTGGCCATTGTCCATCTCCAATAGTGTGGTTCTTGATGCCTGAAGCAACCGAGCGTAGTGATGCGTAATCGGCAGGTAGCCATGATTTCGGACGAGGCGCCTTGCTCTTTCCCTTTTCCTGGTCCTCGTTGTCAGTGGTTTTGGGTTCGCCGGCGTGAGCCTCTTGCTCCTTCTCGGCCTTAGTAACGTGAGTCCATGGATACCCAGCGACTGTCATCTTGCGAAATATCATAGTATTATCGGTAAGCGTTCCAGTTTTGTCGGAAAAGATGAATCCAATTTGTCCCAATTCTTCGTTGATAGTCGTAGTACGGGCCTCCATGGGGGTATCGCTCTTTTCATCATACATATCTCGGTCGAGAAAGAGAATATGCTGCCCAATTTTGATGATTTCCAAACTGACATATAGGGATAGTGGAATCAGGGTATTGAACATGATGATAAATGAGGCTAAGATCGGGAAAGTCCCGACTGCCAAACCTTCGAGGTACCAAGAATTTCGCTCAGTGGATCGCTGCCACAATTTGTACCCGAGAAGTGAGATCCCAGAGATGAATATGACGACGCACATAATAAACACGATGATGTAGTTGACGGATGTCTGAAGAGTGGGCGTTTTAGCACGGGGTCTCTTGTTGGCACTATATTTCAATTAGCATTGAACGTGGATATTTTGAAGTTTAATATTCCGGGCGTACTTCATACGGATCTTTGTCTCTTCTCCAGTGAAAATGACAAGACCAAGCGCACCTGGAGTATTTCTTAGAACACTCCCACGATATAAAATCTGAGAGTTGGTCAAAGGTTTAATCTCGCCTCCAATCTGAATCTTTCCTTCAAAATTGTAAAGATCGGAATTCGGATCTTCAACAGTTGCTAGCTCATCCTTCGCTTCCGCAAATCGTCCGTAGAAGTGATCGGTAACATTCGGCAGAGCTTGCTTGCCCTTGAGGTTGGTTTCACCATCCAAAGCTGCGGTCTCCACATAGGCGATTCCCGTTTCTGATTGTGCATGAATGAGCAAAATATCAGCTGGAACCATATCGTCTCTTTCAAGTTTGACGATATCTCCAACTCGCACATTCTCCCACTCGATTTCCTCATAATCTTCTCGGGCATCAGGACCGGATCCTGATAATGACAAAACCTTTACTTTTCGCCTGTTCTCTTTTCTATCCTGCCTATATCTGCGAAAATCATCGAAACCTTCCTTTGCCATAGAAAATGCGACGAACAGCGACAATGGAACGATTGTGGTCAATCGACCAGTTGTACTGAGCGAGGGAATTAATTGTAATATAGCAATTATCAGAAAGTAAAAATTGGCGAGTTTGCTGAATTGGTATATCAGCTGTTTGGGTAAGAAACTCCATATGGAATATCGGCTCGATCGGATGGTATTGTCGATGTAGTGTTTGTTCCCGCGACGCTCGTCCGTCAGTTTGTTGGATTTTCGGTTTTTGTAGACGGTAAAGGGGATCTTTCGGCCGTCCTTCGAAGGTGGCAAGTCTTGCATCCGCAGCACGAACTTCATGGCATTGATGAAGGGTTCCCTTACTCTATCCATATTCGACATGTGCTGTTTCTTGTAGTCGTAGTTTTTCCGTCGAGGTTTCCCATCGCGTGTTCCTAGTGTTTTCCTCATATCGTCGTTTGATGAGTTCTCCTGCCATCCTGCTGTACTACCAACTCCATTCTCAGCTCCAACATCAGCGTTCCCATACTGCATCCCATTCCTTTCATCGCCCATATCAAATCCTGTTACCGGCGGTCCTGAAGCATGGTGGTTTCTCCCCGTCATCTCTCAACCCCGGACAATGTGCGGAGAAACCAAAAGAAAGGCCCAGTTGAAAAAAAGTGCGAAAAGAAAGAAGTGACGTCGTTATATTCCAGCTTGTCGCCGACAGGCCGGGGAAGGGGGGAAAACGAAGAGCTGTTAACAGTTCAAAAACAAAAAAAATTAAAACAACCTAAAACGTCGCGGCTCATCGGGACCTAATAAGTTTCGACATCATTCGAGAGAAGAAGCTAAAGAAGAAGGAAGACAGATTCGACAACGGAAATTAGATGAGCAGTTGGAAAGCTAGCATGTGGTCTCGCATTTCGGGCTGTTTCGGTGAGATATAATGCTGCGCCTCCCCTACCACGCATCCCAAATAACAACCAAACTGGGCGACTGCGAATGCGCGAGAATTTGAGTTCGTTCGTGCGTTTTCAAACTTCCATTCGTTCGCTCGTTCACATAGGAAGTTCAGAACAAGGTCATTCCATGAAAGGGGATATTTCCCAATTCTTGGTTGCATTGGAACCGAGAATCGCACGGCAGTTTGGTGTGAATTAGATTATCTCGAGACTACTGCAGGCCCACATGATACCAATATCGCCGCGACCCAAACGCCCATTTCGGTGCCTTGGGTTTGAAATCATCGTGCAGGGTACTGCTTGGCACGAGGTCGGCCCAATAAGGCCGTCGGGCTTGTCCACACCTTGCCCCTTATGTACCGCGTTTGCGAAGCTGGCTCAGAGCTGGCTAGCCTTGGTTACACATCTATCATTCAATGATGACGACAAAGAAAAACCGTTTGGACGATTGCGAAGCCTCAATCGATATCTATCGATCCCGACGAGGCCCGGGCGATCTGATATAAACTGGTTTTCCACCAGATTCTAGAGCATTTGCAAGTATCATTGCATGCTTGGACCGAACGAAATTCCAGCTGGTGCCGTGGATACCACGCGGCCACGGCGTTCATAATCTCCGACCGACCACGAAATAAAATAAGTTTATACAACATAGTCTGTTCACACCACAATGATGTGAATACGACGACTATGTGGCACGAGTTAAATGCAGTGCCTTCTACTAGGCGTATAGGCCTGCAGAATCGAGCGCTAGGGATTACGTGGGACCGTATTGCCTCCCTCTTATATATCACCGCCTCCCTCTTACGGCAATGCACATCTCCGCATCTTGTCTTAAAGTTGTTGCAGTTTTACTTTTAGCCCTCGCCCCGTTGGAATGAAATCGATCGAATTAACTTCCTGTAGCTATATTGGTATCTACGGCTGAGAAAGCCAAGTCGCTCCTTTCCCATATTTCATTTCAAACCTCCTTCCGCTATCTGGTTTATCGCCCATCTCCGCATTCCTATCACATCCAGCCGTCCCGGATCTTCAACCAACTGGACAGATCTCGGTCGGCAATGCTTGGTCAAGCGAGAGAGTGTTGCACGAAGAGCGTAGGTTTGAGGGGAAGGGCGGGAGGGAGGAAGGGACTGGTCATGAGCCACCGCTGATCCGATCGATTTTAAGATCTCTTCAACCTCCATTCCGACGCAGCACTCTGACTTCGACCCTCCGAGCCGCTGATGTTATCATTCTTTTCACTCTTCCAGGTGGGGCCTCAAAATGCCGAGTGGAATAACCGCTGGAATCGATTATCACCGTCTACGGCGTAGACACCTAGAAAATCCCTTTGCTTTCGTAGGAGCTTCGTCAGACTGTAGTCACCACGCAACAAATCCAACAACCCCATAGCTCGTAATGATGCAACAACCCTTACCAAATCGGCAGGCTCGAGCATACTTATGCATACGGAATACAGCATATCAATATCAGATGCACCATGACGACAGCCTGGAATTCGATCTGTGTTGTCCCTGGCCGCATATGGCGGTTTTGGTCAGGAACGTTAACTACACCCGGCGGCAGCTTCGAAGCTGTCAGATATTCTAGAGCATAGCTGGAATTAACAGTCAGCCGCAGATGGTTTAGTTTTCAAGATGGCCGATATCAATTCGTCTATCGATCGGTTAGACGACCTAGCTAATCTCTGAACACATCGGTCCGATCCGGCTTTACAAAAGCCACTTCCTCTAAAAGATTGGGAAAATTACCCATATTATCCAGCTGAGTAACCCTTCCTGGTTGCTCTTTTTTTGAATGCGTGGAATTAAAATTCTCCCGTTTCGACCTTCATCCGCGGTGGGTTAAAGAGGAGGCTTTCTTTGGAATGCTGTCCACATGTTCACAAGGCGTATAAGTGTACCTTTGGTTAAACCTATTTTTGGCTTCCTCCGCATGATTAATGATATACGTTTTTAAGGTATGTCAGAGGTATGTACGATACTACAACCATTGGTTATTTCCCTTCTTCTCCTTCTAGGTCTGGGCCCGATGTACCAGCTGTAGACATAGATCATCAACTCTGGGCCGGGTCTTGCATTCCCATGCTCTGTTATTTGCTTTGTCGTTCGCATTTCTCCAAAGAATCTATGTAGTACACCCTATAGGCATCGGCATCTGTGGCTTATTATGGATATGCATATGAGCGTACTTGCATTATGCGAGGAATGTGTTATACGATAGCGACATAGAAAGTCATAGTTAAGGTCTTTGGGAAGCAATCGACGATCGATTGTCGTGAATATGTCAGATCGGTTCGGATACTCCATTTCTAGGGTCCAACTGAACCCAGCTGAGACCAAACCTTGGGCTTACAAACACCCATCAGCGCATATTCAGGTCATATAGTCGGAATCAAAGTCATGCGAGTAATAGTCGAAGCCTGACTTCGTCAACGCATATGCGCATGTTTACCTGTCTTGCGGAGGTTGCGTCCGAGGCGGCTACTTTATGCGCTCCATTTGTGGCAGTCGCCATCCAATCGATGCCTTGTAGCCGTTCGGATCTTTTTATTTTTTATTTTTATTTTTTATTCAGCTCGCGTGCACTTTGATGATACCAACGCTCCTTTCGCTTACCAGGATATAAAATCCAAGGATAAGTTCATATATTATGTAAAAAACCCTCCCCGAATTTCCTAGCCGACCACACTTGATATGAGTGAAAAGCAAGGGCAAAGGCGAAAAGTAAAAGCAAAAGTAAAAGCGAAAGTCATAGCAAAAGGCGAGGGACCAAATTCAAAATTATTCCCTCGGTTCGATATGCTCCGCCGTTGGTTTATTGACTGCTAGCAGCCACGTTTCTGCGTTCCTCTCCGCATTCCACTCGCTTGTTCGGGGAATAATCAGGACAAGTTTTGTATGCTCCATGCCTCAGCTCGTATATGGGGGTTAAGGACCCTTATTTTCTGACCTTTGGGTCTATTTGGAGTCTTGAGGGTATGACGAGCCGTGTACGGGTGCTTTTTTGGCTTTAACATTCCATTCTGATAGCTCAATTCTAAGCCCGCATACCTTGCTATAGACTACCGGTATATAAAGGCTTAGCCGATGATAACTTTAGTAGTCAATACGGAGCAAAGTCGATAGGGAAAGATGAGCTAGGGGAGTTCGGGGTGGTCGGGATAGTTAAAGAACCAAGGCTTCGGTTTGAAGTTGTAAAAGGAAATAAAATAAGGTCATGCATAGTTCGAAAATGCCGCGTGCGCTTTTGATAATATTACATAGACGGAATGAGGTGACCATCACGACCCAAAACCGTAGCATCTAACGAGCATCCCGTTTCCTTGTCCATAGAACACAGACAGATCTGCAGTCAGAGCATTGTCAAAGCAGCAGTGGCGACGGGACTAGTCAATTGTGCGATATCAGGCAAACAGATCCGCCTTCCAGCTAAAGGTTGCCTATCACTGTCAAGCGAAGAGGCGACGGATTGCATATGGCGAGCATTAGCTTTAGCTAAAGGAGAAAATGTTTGTTAGTTAGTGAATGTTAGGGAAGGAACTCTTGGGTTTCCGCTTTCACATCGAGGGGAGTGCACTGAATGGTGCGGAATTGCCGATGCTGGAGTTCCTTTAGACATTAGTACCATCCCCATTCAGCTGAAATTCCAGTCACCACCGCCACACCGAACTAGCTGGAGTAGACCTTTTTGTTCCGCTCCGGCGTTCATGACATCGATATCTAAACCCGTTCCGTTGCGCTGGGGCTTCAGGCATCACCCCTTTCCTTGCGGAAAACCTCGATTCCGGAATAACCATATGCCTGCCATCAGTGTGAGATAGAAAGCAAGTTGTATAGGCGCATCCATAATTAGTTTGTTTTTGTGAAGGTGGAAGGAAGGGCCTGCATGCCAGCGACGACTTTTTTTCTTGGGAGGGCCATTCTGTCATTCTTTACGAGACATTCATTCTGGCCATCCCCGAGTGGTTTTTTCCCTTGGGCGTCTTAACTCGGAAAGCGGCAGAGAGGTGTTTAATGTTTAAACGTTCACCCACGTTGAAAAGCTTAAAGCTGGGTCGGAGTGCATGAGCCAGGCTTGCTTGCCCACCCCTTCTTTTGACAGCTGCACACTCAAAAGGCTTGCTTTGCATACTCGAGGCTGTAATATATAAAAACGATCTTCAGCATCGGTTTCCCGGATTGCATTTCCTTCGGTCGGCAGGCAGGCTTTTAGATCGATAACCACCCAAGCCAACCATTACTTTTTGATATCAAAGTATAAAGTAATTATAGGTTACTAGACCGAATCAACATCGACCGTATCATCAGCTTCGAAAGCCACCGGCACACATGTCATCCCGCTAAGACAACAAGGAGAAGGTACGTACCTGCACAGCGGTGTATTATGAAACCTGTTTAGCGGGAAAATCACGCATTGGAACAGCTGATGCAGGGAGTTTCGCCATCGTCCCAGCAGAGGGCCATTATGAAAATGAAGAAACAATCCACCCCAGGGCCAAGGTCTTCGTCTACGAGTCGAATCTAATTAGTCTCTGCTCTGCATTGATGTATATTGTCAGCTGTACAATATCCGAGCCCCTCCCTCCTCCTCTTCCTCCTCCTCCTTCATTCACTCTTTCTGTCGAATCTGCTGGGAAAGAGGTATAACAGATATAGAGATAAATAGACGTACCCGTTATCTATCGGCTCTATCCCTCTCCCTGATAAATTAATTTCGAAAGAGGCCCGCTCGCTCGTTTATATCCGGCGGGTGTCTGTCTGTGGTGTCTGTCTGGGCAGCTAGGTCTGGGTCTTACTGTCATTGGCGGTTTGGCGTCTGGCAAGATTGGATTGGACTGGATTGGATTGGATTGATTATTTTATTTCCCATTGCAGCCATCCGTCGTCCAGCCCAGCCAGTTCTCTCATTAGCAGTTAACAGCACCTTAATTTCTGCCCCGGTCTGTTCTTTATTCGTACCGCCGCTTGGTCCAGCCATATTGCTTCCTTTTTTTTTTTTTTGGGTTCATTTCAACCTCTTCCTCCCTTAAGTACTTTCTTCGGTCGAAGTACTTGGTGGACTATAACCACTCACTCGCACACTCACACACTCCCCCATCATACCATCATCATCATCACCACCATCTTCTTCTTTTATTCCTTCTCTCTTCCATCTCCGTCTCCATTTCCAACCTTCATCTGTCGTTTTCATTACCAACATCGCTGGCATCAAACTTGGTCTGTCCTTCTGACTTTGCTTGTTTGTCTGTTAGCTCGCAGCATTGACTCCATTGTACCGAGTCGAGGTTAGTTCAATCACTGGTCCACCACCTCCTACCTCCCTACATACCCCCTCCCCGAGAGAAGAAGAAAAAAGAAAGAAAAAACTCTGCTGGTGCTGCTGTGCCTGCTGGTCTTGCCTCTCCGTTTTTCCTTCTTTCTGTTAACATTCTGCTTCTTTTGCCCGAACTTCCAGAACCAACCTGTCTCGACTTACTCATCCTTCATTTTCAACTGTCATCCTCTCCTTAGTTAATATCATTCTTAGCCCCCTAAGTACAAGCTGCCTTTGCTTGCGTTTGTACTTACTTGCTTTACTTCGCTATCGTCCTTATTATTGTCACCAGCTTCCTTCTGAACCAGATAATCTCGTCCGTCCTCGCCTATCTTTTATTTTATTTTATTTTACTTTATTTTATTTATTTTTTTCCCTCTTTGCTGTTGCTTGCTTCGCTTTCCTATTTGATTGTTTCGCTATCAGTCAGCATCAAGTCAAACAACATCACCTGCTGCCACGAGGCAGGAAGAAAGCGGGAAAATCCTAACTCGGTAGCTTCTCAACAGGACCCTTTCCATTAAATCCATTCGACCAATCCTCAACGATACTTCTTCAAATTTAGGAATACCTCCAGATTATCTTCGCATCCTTTCGAATCGATTTCCCCCCCCCTTCTCGTTTTCGCTGTTGTTGGATGTCGACGTTGATATTCCATCTTTTTGAAAGCCCCCGGAAGTAGACGAGCAAGATCAGACACTACTCATCTCGCTCCCTCGTTGTCCCGGCTTCTCCGTCCGATAAAACTCTCAACTTCTTCGCCTCACCAACCTCGTCTTTACCCATCATCTCCACCAAGCCTATTAAATCATGAGAGAGGTCAATTTTAGCATTCCAAATGTCAACAAGGCCTCCGTTGGAATCACCACTGCCCTTTACGATCGCCGGGCATTGGACTGCACCTCCACTTTACCCCTAATCAACTCATTAAACCACCTCGCATACCTCACTACATCCTCTGCTCGTATTCGTGACATCCTCACCGTCGATGGAGGTGTCGAACGGCTGGTCTGCATCCTCAAAGAGGGTCGCAGCAAAGATTTGATGAACATGTGGAAATGGAATCTTGCGTTTCAATGCGTCGTTAATATCGGCGTTCGGGGATCGGAAGATGTTAGGAAGCGTGTAGTTGAAGCGGATATGGTCCCCGTGATCGCGACCATCCTAGACAACTACATCCAGGTCATGGAGCGGTACCGGATGAGAAATGAATCTGGAGTTAGGAGAGGTCTGGGTGCCGGACACAACCATAATACAGCACCCTCGCTGAGACCACGGGAAGCCAGAGCATCCTCTGCTTCTTACTTCGAGCGTACTAACGAGCGCGCTGGTTCTACATCCACAGAGCGAGCGGCTCGTAGACAGCCTCCTCCTCCATCTATTGAAATCCCAGTGCCTTTCCCCAACGCTCTTCCTAATGATCATGCCACACTGAACTCCGACTCCTCAGTACCTCTCACTGCACCAGCTATAACAGCCGACCGACCGCTCCGACCACATCACCACAGGAGCGTCTCCGAACTTCGATACCATGCAAATTTCCCACAAATTACCTCTATCGCACCAACACCAGCACAGGGTTTCCCTAGCAGCAGTAACGCATCGCAAGTTGCTGATATGTCAGAGACCTTCGGGTTCCGTCCGGTTAGAGATGCGGATAGACTCCCATCAATGCTATTTGGTCAAGGAACAGCCTCACAGCCAGAGTCGCCAACAACCCCGAATCCTCTTTCTACAGGTGTCTCTGCCCCTATCTCCACAGGTGGAACTAGAATGTCCAGATCTACCAATCGACCCTCCATTAGACATACCCGGTCGATGTCGGATGAATCTGACGAGATCGAGGCAAATTCGGACGAGGTTTCGTCCAACATCTCTGGTGGCATAGAGAGTGGAAACGAACCGATAGTAGGCCTCCAATCCGGCGTCACCGTCTCCATCCGCTCCACCGAAATGCTTGTCGAGACAGATGATACTCCCATGACCATGGATACACAAGCCGGTGCCGACGGACCAGATGCCGAAACATTCAACATTACACATAGATCGCCAATTGACGGCAGTATCATGGATCCTTCCAATGACGCCACTGAAACACCCGGATTCTCCCAGCTCATCAACCGTACCAGTCCAAACCCGATGACCATCCAACCACCGACTCAGCTCGCCGGGCTTGTTCCAAATAACCCATCCTCTCAACAAATCGTCCTCCCGTCTATGCCACGTGAGGATGATGTTCTTATGTCGCTTCAGCTGCTTGCGTATGTCTCGAAGTATACGTATCTTCGCACTTACTTCCAGAAATCGCATCTCGTGCCAAATCTTTCTATCAACTCGGAAATTCACCTTCTCGACGAAGCCGATGGGAAGACTCCTATCCGAGCTCCTGAACCGCCAATGGAAGAATATCTGGTCCCAGATGATTTTAATATCTTCCCACTCGTCGAGAAATTCACCGTTCGTCACCACCCACAGGATATGCAATACTGGGCCGGCGTCGTCATGAGGAATCTCTGTAGGAAAGACGATTCCCGTGGTGGCATCCGGCAGTGTGCTTATTTCCAGTGTGGAAAATGGGAGGAATTCACACGACAATTCGCGAAGTGCAGGCGCTGCCGACGAACCAAGTACTGCAGCAAGGATTGTCAAAAGAATGCTTGGGTGTATCACAGGCACTGGTGCGTCGTGGCTGCCCAGCAGTAGCTCGAATTTGTTTGATCTTCATTCTCTTTTGAATGTGTGTACTATGATACGACGATTACGAACTTTTGTCTTGTTTATATTTCTTTTCAGCGCATGTTCCTTTCCACAGCACTTGGGGCATCTGGTGTTTCTACTTCCTGGCGAACAAAAACCATGCACAGCATTTACCGGTCAGTGGCCGCGGTCAACACTCCGCTACACCGTTTCTCGAAATCGATTTTAATGAAAGCTCCCATCACCCCCATCCCCACCCCACCTCTTCTCTTGTCTCTTATCTAGCATTTTGGCTTCCTGTCATAAAGCAACCGATGTACCTTCTTATTCTTTTCTTGTCTCTCGTTTAGCGAGTGTTATTCATGTAGGTTGACTTATAAGTCAATCCCGCGCTCTACCGGAAATTCTATGTCTTCTTTATCATATCATTCAGATCCATATTCTATGTTAAACTGCATCATATATCCCCCCCTCACTTCCATCTCATATTCCACGGCATCTCTCTTAAACCACCAAGCAACTTTTCGAGCACTCAAAACAAAAACCAAAAGGGCATCATCTTTGGAGTACTGGGCAAGAATCCTGATTGTATCTTTGTAGCTTTTCCAATCTATCCTGTCATCTTTTTTGGCTCTATTTTTTTGTTATCCGGCACCACAGTAATATATTATACCAATTTGCTTTTTTTCCCTCCTTTGATCTATTGCATCCCATCCCATCTACCTGACCATGTACTTGAATACCGGAACTTCTCTCTATACCACGGGGGTAAGGTTGATGGATTCTGTAATATACTACTAGCATTTTGGGAACATGTTTCCTTCCTTTTCTCCTTTCAGTGTCCGGCCCTTCTGCAATGGAAACTTTTTGCGATTTGAACTTGCACGCAATTGATTTTTGGTCTTCTCTTTTTTTTGCATTTCGTTACTGGATGATATCCCCCTCCTCGCGAGGTAGCTGGCGGACAATTTGATACTCAATCGCGAATATACAGATACATACCTACATACATACGTACAATTCTATCGCTTCCCTAACCATATATATCAGATGCATTGTATAAAACTTTAAATTTATAATTACTTGTAGAAATGGGATTCGAATTCGGCTCTCGACCAAAGAAACGTAGACATGTAGACATGTCATAATGCAAACTGATTTTCTAGATAACATGGGAATTTATGTGAACCCGACAGCCAGGTCTGGGCGGCTGCTGGCGTGTGGCAGGTTTCCGGGGCTGCAGCGACCCTGCATGAAATAGGATGGTCAAAAATAGACCAACCTCGATAATTCGCTCGTCGCTGAACAGGTCTGGTCCTTGCAATTGGCTACATAGGTTTTATATTTGCTACCAGGACCACATACACACGTACATGTACATGTATATGAGGAGGTACTTTAGTGTGTACTTACTTATATACATATGTACGTGTTATTTGGTGTATCTCAGTGTCCTCGTGATTTTAGTCAGGCCTGAGCCAGGTTAGGCTGTTGTACTGCATGTGGTCGGGCTTAGAGAGGGCCTGAATCCTTGTGCTGGAATTAGTTAAATCTTTGGTGTTGCAGCCGCGTGCCGTCGCGCATAAACACGAACAAGAACTTCTTCGATTTCCCATCAACCTCAACCTCTTCACGATCAAGAACCTCCATCACCAACCATCACGACATCACCCTTCTGACGTTCTATCCACCCCCATACCGTACTATCCCGCCACGATGTCGTCTCTCAACTCCCAGCTGAAGGGCTTCAAGTCCGGCGTTGTCAACCAAGGCAACTTCGTCCAAGCTCGTCGCCACATTGCTTCACCCGCTCCAGCCGCCCAGGTCTCTCCAGCTTCAACGCCAGGAGCAAGTGGCAGCGGTGGGAACTCCTCTTCAAATGCAGCAGCCATCGCCAAACGAAAGAAGCCGGTCAAGAACAATGTGGTCTACTCTCAACCGGCCGATACTGGGATGGGTCTATACATCATGACTCAGGTTCTTCACCTCGTTGAACACCTGAAGGAAGTTGAAAAGCCTCTCACCAGAGCAGACCTTGAGAGGTTCCTCGCCAAGCCTCTCGATTCTACTATGATCGAGATCCTTAGGTCGCATGATAAGCTGGTTTTTGATCATGTCACGGATACATATGCTTTCAAGCCGTTGCACAATATTCGTAGTGCTCAACAGCTTCTTACCCACCTCCAAGCGTCTACCACCGCCCAGGGGTTGAGCGTCAAGGAACTGAAGGATGGATGGTCTGGCGCTCTCGCCACCATTGATGAGTTGGAGGCCGATGGGTCGATTTTGGTCACTAGAACCAAGAAGGATGGACAGGCTCGAATGGTCTGGATTAACGATAAGAGTTTGAACGTTACTATTGATGACGGTAGGTTATTCTCTAGAAAGGTGATCATGTCTAATTCGGTTTACTAATATAATTCGTTCGATGCGTACAGAATTCAAAACGATCTGGGAGAAAATCGTGATCCCACCGGCTGCCGAACTGCCCGGCGAACTTGAGCGCGCTGGTCTAAAACCTACTAGTGTGGATCCAGCCACGATCAAGAAAGCCATGCAGAAGGACCAAGGCAAGAAACAGAAGAAGCCAAGGAGGGGTAGAATAACAAACACCCATCTTGCTGGCATGCTTCGCGATTACAATTGATCGCCTGGCTTTCTAGCTTTGCGTCCTTTTGTAGGTAGTTCTCCAGCGGTGAAGGGGGATACGAGGTGGAGATGCTATTGAAACGCTACCATCTATCGTCTCTCCCCTTCCACGACAGAGCTTCTTTACAAGAACCACAATTTCTCACGTTATAATGACCTGCGCATAATACATAGAGGGGTTCATCCCTCATGCGAGCAAAAAGACTTCCGTTTTCTCTTTCATTTTACATCTCTGGCTATTCTGCAATGCTTTCAAAATCCTTTAGCATATAGCGAGGCGTTTACGGTGGCCGGTTCTTGCTTTTTGATCATTCACATCACATCTTCTACTTCCCTACACTTATTACTATCTCAAGCTCGCGTAGACGGAATCTGTACGATAAAATCACTCATGTTGTTTTCGATAGACTTTTCTTTTTTTTTCCCTTGCTGTTTGGTATTTTCCCTCTTCTTTTTTTTCTTTCCCCCAAGCATAATAAACTTTTATCACATGGCTTCCGGAAACTTTCGAATTGTGCAAAAGAAAATCACATTAAAATAGCTATATAGGGTTTTTTTTAGGTCGTCAAATCTGCTCAAGTTAGGACGATTATCCGGTGAGGTCGTTTAGGTTTTTTTTTTTTGGCCATGAATAGCTCACGCGTGCGCGAGAGGCAAAATGGAAGAAGGGGATCGTCGAGGAGGCTTCGAGGAGATCTTGAGAGGGGACTCTAGAGGCCCAATTACCTCAATCTCATAACTAAAAAGGGCGAGTTCCGGCCGGGTTAATTAGAAATCATTCATCTACATTATATATACATGTTACACCTATTCACTAACTTTTATATGAATTACACATTCTCTCTACGCTATATATAACCTTCAATATTCGAATCAAGATATATACTTTAAGCTTACATATCGTAATTCACAATGGCCGAATCCCAACGTCCATATCCCTCCATAAAACTCCCACCGCCCTTAACATCCGAAGAAGTCATCGAAGCACTAAAAAACGAAATCAGATTCCCACGGGGGATAGGTCGCTCCGAAACGAATCTACACGGATTTTCAACGGCGGATGGGTATATATCCAATAATTATAACGATTTTCCTTCCAGATCCAGATCCAGAACACCCGGTACTAGTCCACTTAATAACAGCAGCAGCATTATTAGTAGTAGTAGTAATAATACTAGTAGTAATCCTAATATCGATGCGAACCAGTTTTACAAACTAGTTTCGGGAAAAACGTCGGATCCTAATGATACTCGTTATAAGGAATCTGCTTGGGATCGACGGGTAACAAGGTCGGGTTTTAGGACTGATGATAATAATAATGGATTAGATAGGGATTTTGCAAAGCTTCGGGTGGAAGATCATCCTCCTCCTCATCTTCATCATCCTCATCATCCTCATTGTATTAAAAGTCAAAAAGCAGCAGAAAAAGAAGAATTCGCGGAAAAAAGACGTCAAGAATGTTATCTACCTTCCAGCCTAACATTCGGAATGCACGCACCGAGTGTAGAACATACCAGCCAAAATTCAGCGTCAATATTAACAACGACATCAGCTAACCTACTCCCGGATGCATCCCTCTCCTTATTATTCAACGAAATCACTTTTATTCATGAGAATTTTCGTATCCACCCTATGTCGCCGCTTACTCGTCAGATGTTCGAGGGGAGGGGGTATAAACCTACCAGTGAGTTTATAGTTGAGGATGATGCTGAACTTGTACAGGTCATCAGGACTGAGAATGGTTGGTGGTCGTGGGATTTGAAGGGGGAGTATGTATGTTTTGTGACTGGCGACGATGTAAGGTTTGCTCGCCTTTTGAGGGATAAGGGAAAGAGGTGGGCGGAGGGCGTTGAAGGGGCGTGGAGGGGGTCGTGATCATTTATATTGTTATATAAGTACACTCGGATATACTTGGTGCACAGTTGTTGTTAATGTGGTATTTTTTTTACTTGGATGCTGGATATATTGGTATTGAAGACGTTAATTTAGATAACTTTGATAATGGATCCAGCTTCTGGAAAATAGTATATTTACAATTCAGTACTCTCTCTATATTTACAATATCGTTATCTTAAGAAGCCGGTGCGGTGGCAGTGGTAGAACTAGTTGGTGGCGCAGATGTGACTTCCGATGCCGTTTGAGAATCGGATTCTGGGGATGCTTCGGCCTCGGCTTCAGTCGATGATTCTGCAGCAAGAGCCTCAACAGCTGCCTCAGCTTCAGAAGCAGTAGCAACAGCTGCAATAGCCGCAGCATCACCTTCCTCTACCACCGCTGCTGCTGCCTCACTCTCTCCTTCGACTACAGCCCCCTTCTTCCCCTTCTTCGACTTCTTCACCCTCGGCGGGAACGAAACCCCATGTCTCTCACCCAACCACTCCAGCGCATGCTGTTCAATCACAATCCTGCCAGTCTCCAACAGATCCTTCACATCCACATCTTGCACCTTCATCGCCCTGCCATGCTGACCCAACATATTCAACCCACACCAAAGGTTGTTCCTCCTAGTCATAGTGATAAACAACGTCTTCCCATTCGGCGCACCCCATTTGTTCAACAACATGATCTGTCTCATATATCTCGTCTTCGAATGTTGAGGATGTATAGCCTCTCCAATAACGATCAGCTGCCCTTGTCGATACCTATAACTCAACGCCGTTCTAAACGCCAGGTCGTAGATTTTCTTCGGTAGGTCGGTTCTAAAGTCCCTGGGTTTGGGACCGTGGGCTTTCGCACCTCCTCGGAGCATGGGGGATGATACGTCGCCTAGACGGGCACGACCTGTACCTTTCTGCGGACGGAGTTTCTTGTTGGAACCGACGATTTCGGAACGGTATTTGGTCTTTGCTCGGCCGAGACGGTGGGCGTTACCTTCGTAGACTATGGCTCGGTGGAGGATGTCGCGACGGAGAGGTAAGTGGAGGAATTTGGCGTCGTATTTGACGAATTGAATGGGTTCGAGGGTGGGGAATTTGTAGAGGGTTGTGGTTACTGGGGAGGCTGTATATCGGATAGAACGTATTCAATTAGCTATATTCTTTAATATACGTATTTACCATATATACTATATAAGGAGTATTGAAGGAATAACATACGATCTAGTAGAATCTGCTGTCTGGTCCTTGCAGGTCGTAATCTGCTCTCGAAGACTTTGACGCAGGAATCGGATTCATTGGTCGATTCTGTAGGGATTGTGGCTTCTGTGGCCATGAACCGTCGCGAGAGGACATTGTAGCTCTAGAATTAACACCTGTTTTAGTCTTCTGGATCGGTGTATATGATATAATAACCGATCGAATGGCTCTCGTACCGTCGGTATACTCCCATCCGTCCTGCTCCAAGCCCGCTGGAACGAAGCACCCGACCTGCGCAACAACCTCGCCGACGAACTCGAACTCGACGCCATTGTTTCCCTACAACTTCAAAAAAAAAAAAAAAAAGTCGGTGTATGCCCACCCCCCTCTTTCCTTTCCTTCTCTTCCGTTTCGATTATAACCCGATTGTGGTCGTAAGCCGGATTGGCGTTCGTGGTGGGGGTTAAGTTGGTTGTCGCGGGGTACTTTTTTTTGAAGAGTTGACGTTGAAAGCAATCGTCGTCGTTTGTTAAGTTAAAGAAGCGAAAAAAGATTTATCTTATCAACGCAAATAAAGCAACATCCTCCTCTCTCCAAAATTTTACACTGCACTCTTGAGACCTCTTAACTTACCTTTCTTTTTATATCCCAGGCGCGGATTCGATAAACTTCACGACCAAGAAAAAAAAAGGAAGGGGATCAATTGAAGGAGAAGGAGGAGGAGACGAAGGAAAGAAAGATAGTTCGACCGGCCTTGATACACCTGAGATGAGGTAGCTGGCTATAATTTGTCCCGAATATAAAAAAAAATAAAAATAAGTTTCAACAATGTCGCTCTGCTCTCGCGCCGTCCTGCAGGCAGGTAGACCTCGAGCCGTCTCCAAACCCGCCTTACTCTACCTCAGACGTCAATTATCCACCGAAGTCCAATCCCCTACTCCGCCGTTCCACGAATCACCATCTTCCCCGCCTCCTCCAGTAGATACCGCCTCATCATCATCTACACCACAAGATGCGCCGGCACAATCTACTAGCCGGAGAAAAATCAAATCAAAGCATGAAGATGGTCTCCTCCACACGTTGGAGACGATGCCGTATAAATGCTACCAAGAGGCGTTAAAGATTCTTCGTGAAGACCGAGAGGAGAAGTTGGTAAAGATCGCGGAGCAGGAGAAGTCCATCGCGGGGTTGAAGAAGCTGCATAATCTTACGGATAGTAGTCCGAGGATTGTGAAGATGCAGGAGTATATTGACGAATTGAAGCTTAATATGGATAAGAATAATCCGAGGATAAAGTATACTTATGAAAATAAGCTTAAGAGTATGTTTCTATACCTACCTATATATGTTATAGTGAGTAGAATGCTAATATCAACGGTGGTGGGGAATAGTCGACCCGTACAAGAAAATCTACCAACACTGGGATGACCAAAAATGGCGATCTCTAAAGCGAAAGCTTTTGATGCAAAGAGTCGAACAGATGAATGTCGTGCCGGATATTCTACCTTCAATCGACCCGATCGTCGACGTTTCGTTGCGGTTCAGACGGAAGAATGTTCCGCACGGAGCTAAAGTCCTGGCGAAGAATGCGACGAGATATCCATCCGTCCAAGTCAAGCAATTCGATTCGAAAAAGAGATTGGTTACGGTGCTAGTTGTCGATCCGGGTAGGTCTTAATCTTTATATATATATATATATATATATCTAAATAATATCCGGAGAACGTTGAAGCTAATGTGGTGTTCTTTCATGGGAACTAGACAAGCCAAATCTGGAGAAGAACGGATTTGATTACTACCTTCAGTGGATGGTCACAAACTGTGACATATCCATCGAGAACCCTATGGTCGTCGGTGTGAGCACCTCACATAACGCCCGAGATGAGGTCGCGCCGTATGAAGTACCATACGTCCATAAGGGAGAGGGCTACCACAGATACTGTCTGTTCATCCTCGAACAGAACGGCACGATAGAAATCCCAGGAAAGCCGGAGCGACCCATGAATTTCAAGAAGGCTGAAACCAAGGAAGGAGAAACACCCGAAGCTAAGGAAGGAGAGGCAGCACCAGTCGAGACTCCGAAGACAGAGGAAACCGTCTCGACGACATCACCAGCTGTGAAATCAAAAGAATCACGGGTTCAAAGACTGGGCTTCAACCTCCGCTCCTTCATTGCCAAGCACGACCTAAAGGTCATCGGAGCAGACATCTGGCGTGTCGAGTTCGATAACACCATGATCGATGTCATGAAGCAGCTCGGAAGAACTGACTGGGATATGAAGTACCTAAAACACCCAGAGCATATCTAAAGTAGAATCTGTCAAGCATAATACTTCCTCTTTTTTTGTATATATTAGTTGTATACCTATCTACCTGGGAGTTTTGTTATATGTACATATCGAATACAAAGAATAAGAAAGCTGCACTAGCTTCTCAAAAAAAAAAGAATATAAAAAAAATACTCCCAATACTATATCACGCCTCTAGAAAGAGTTCACTCGTCCTTCGAAACCTCAGTAAAAGGTCCCGAAAACCACCTCCTACCCCCCGCAACCTGTGCCACCACTTTCCCCATAACCAACGCCAACGGCACAGGTCCATAAAACCTCGAATCAATCGAATGGGACAAATTATCCCCAGCAATCCAGCAATGTCCCTCAGGGACCTTAACCATCATAGTCTCCTCCCCGCTCCCAGCAGCCATAGGATCGGTAACTACATAATCCCCAGGCATACCGATAACCCTCTTCAATAGCATAACATCCATATCATCTGGCCTGTGAGCTGCAATCAAGTCACCGACTTTGATACATCTTCCTCTAGAATGTAGGTTGTTCACGATGACGGAGCCAGAGGTTGGTAAGGTCGGTAGCATGGAGGGACCTTCGCACTGGCTGATTATGAAGACTTTGGAGACTACCAGGTGGGTGAATGCTAGGAGCTTTATACCGATTATGAGGGAGGTTAGAGCTCGGCGCCAGCGGGGGTGGTACCATGGGAGGTCGTCTTCTGGGGTAGCTCCTCCACTTCCTCCACTGCCTTCTCCTCCTCCTCCTCCTCCTGTGGTTCCTCCATTTGGAGATGCTGCTACTGTGCCATTGCGACGGACTTGAAGCTTAAGCTGCGGGTTGGAATGAAGTATTGACGTCGTCTGCGACGGTAGGATATAACCACGGGATATCAATGGCAACATACGGCCATGATGACGATGGTGGTGGCGTGAGAGGAGGCGGTACATGACCGTTATATGCCGTCGTGCATATCTCTTCGTTTCTCTTTCCTTCTAACCCCTGCACCCGTCCTCCGTCCGGTCCTGACTGACGAATGTCTGGTCCTGTAGCTATAGAACGGCCCTCCTATAGCAGAAAGGATTAAACGTAAATAGCCAATGGATGGCCGTTTCGGTTGTGATTGCTTGCCTTTTGCTTGCCGAAGATCAATCCGTTTGGCTGGGAAGAAGAACAAAACAAAAAGGAAAGAAGGAAAGAAAGAAGGAAGGAAGGAAGAAGTAGAAGAAGAAACGGATCGATTGGGATTAATTCAGACCAGGAAATATCTCGATTGATAACAAATACCCAATTACTCGCGACCACCCCCCCTTCCCTTCCCTCCCTTTCTCTCCGCGTGTATTTTATTTTTTTCAATTGGATCATATCAGCCATGAAGAAAATATACTAAGCCATTATAAAGAAAGAGCGGGATATTATATAACCACCAAAAAGAGGGATTTGGGTTAAAAATGGAATGTCCAAGCTGGTTCTTGTTAGCTTCTTCACATTTATTCATTTCATCTGCACTATACATAATACTCTTATACAAATTTAAATATCATGACCGTATGATATCGATATGATATATACCTGATCAAGTATCAAATGTAGAAGACCTCAAAAGATGGGCCGCATCAGTCGCCTCTTCTCCTTCAAACCACCCAAGTTCTCAATCGATATCCCATCAACATTCACCACAATAATATCCGGTCCCAAATTGAAGATCAAAAAAAAGTTATCCATCTCCCTCCCACAGCTCGATCCAATCTACCACCCTTACCGCGACTTCTCAAACACGGTTACAGGTACAGGTACAACAGGTACAACAGGTACGACAACCAATGGGGGTTTTTACGACCAAATCTCAATCCACGGATACGCCGTCCCCGCCCGTTTCATCGCCGCCGAACATATTGCCATATTCCTCGACACACTCCCCATCGGCGACTTCAAGCGTCTGGGACAGTTGGTCATAACCGCCAGTGTGGGAAGACTAGGTCATCTATCATTACTGCCGGATAGCGACCATCTTATCATGGTCGCTGTGACGAAGTTGAAGGGGATTAGTAGGGATAGTTATGATATGGATAACGAGCTGAGGTTGAGGTTGATATACTTCTTGGTGAATAGGTATGGAGCGTATTTCAGGTGTTTGAATCAGTTGTACCCGGGGGAGCTGGAATCCCTGGTTGGAGGGTCGCATCGCTGTCATCCTTTGGCGGTTTTGTAAGATACTTTTTTATTATCCATGTGTGTATATTGAAGGGGGTTTTTTTTTATGAATATATGTATGTATGATGGTGGTTATGATTATGATGGTGATGATGACAATATGATATTTGATGATGGATGTTCAATTCAATCTTTGTATCAATATATTATCGTTGTAGCTAAGCTATAAGTTATAAGACATTCTCACGCGCCCAGTTGCCGACTTTTTTTTCTCCATTAAACGAATATCGAATGGGAGCAAGTCGCGTCTTCCCAGGTTGTTAATTGCTTGTGCAGGCAAGCTACAGCTACAACTATCAGCTCCCCACCACCACATTCACTTCACCACACTTCACTACATTACACTACCTTACATTATACACCATCCTCAAAGACAGATAGATACACAGACACCACAATGTCCGACCACCAAACCCCGCGCGTGAACGCCAGTTACGTATCAAACTTCACCGGTCAAAACGTCCGTATCGCCGGAAAGGTCCTCCAAATCCACGGCAACTCTGCTACAATCGATGCACAGGGAACAGTAGCTATCCAACTGGACGCCGTAAGTCAACATCCCCTTATATACCAAGTACTCTTATATACCACCAAAATCCATATATAATACTTACCTATCTACTTAAATAACTTACTCAAACCAAAAATAATAATATAATGGATACTTACTTACTTAACTATGTATACAGGGCACACACATCAAAACAGTCGGAAACGTCGTCGAAGTCATCGGTAAAGTAAATGGCGACCAATCCATAAAAGAATTATTTTCTTCGGACTTCGGTCCTAATGTCGGTATGTTTTTCGTCATATAATATAATATATACTAAGTACTTCTATATATACTAACAAACCCTTCCAGAACTAAGTGCAATCGAAGCCGTCGTTCAAGCTACCCACACATATCGAGAGCTATTCTATGATGCAAAACAATAATCTATAGCCTCTTTCTTTGTTTCCCTTTTTTTTTATTCTGAAGTTTTTGGCATAAATTTCTGGATAGCCTTGTTTTTTTGTATTATGATTATTACTATACACGAATTGGAATAAAACGTGGGCATGCAAGGCGGAGAGGGGAATCGCACAATCGTGGATACCAGGCATCTTTTCCCTTGACTCTCAAACAATATAATATATTTCTTTTACTTTTTTTTTTTTTTCTCTCATTAGAATTCTCTCAATTGCAACCGGACCCTTCCTATCGAAGGCCGGTTTTTTTAGTAAGTTGTATAGAAGGAAGACTATTTCTCCCAACCTGAAAGAGTAAAGTAATAATATACATGCAATATAACCGTTTCGACTGCCCCGATGTAGCCCTTCCCTTTGGACTTGAAGTTTAAAACCCATCATTAAAAAAAAAAAAAAAAGGGCAGAAAACGAAAGAAAGCTGAAAGAGGAGGGAAAATAGAATGGTGCAACAGACCCTTCAGCTGGACTGTACTGCCGCTATAGTACATGATTCTTGCGTAGTTAACGAAGAAAGGAAAAAGAAGAATAAAACAAGAAAGGAAAAAAAAGAAGAGGATAAAGTCTATGCCTGCGTGAATGCGTAAAAAAAACATAAAAAAATATGTAGAGGAATAAAGAAGCAGTACACGCTTTTATTTAGTACATGGAAAAGAAAAGTGAAGAGGGAAAAGAAGAAAGAAGAATGGGTATTCGCAATACATGGTGAATCACAGGCTTAAAATGAATCTGACCAAAGAGAAACCACCGTCATAAACGCCATGACAATCAAGAAAGGGAGAAGAAGAAAAAAGGAGGAATGGATGTGGAGCCTATGATCTTGAGAGTGAAAATTGTGGTCTCAGCTGCCCCCCTTCTTCAACTAGGGTATACAAGAAACCGAGATGAATAGATATACGTATGCGTGGGTAGGAACGTGGGCTTGCGAAGTAGCTACTTGCCTTCACTAGACGAACTATCGTCCTCTGAAGACTCCTTCTTTTCGCTAGCAACTATTGCACCACCTTCCGTGCCACCTGCGGCTGCATTGGCGCTCGTAATAGCGGCGACCTTCGCAGCTGCTCCGCTGGCGACCAAGTCCGAAAAGTCAACAACAAGCGCAGAATCAAAGTCGAAATTCAAATCGATAGCCTCAAGGTTATCCTTATCGGCAACTTCCTTATCTGCAGGCGCGTCTCCGACATCCAGAGTATATGTTGTTGCGTTCCCCGGGCTTGTCGGCAAAACATCGCTGAGAAGACTCGAACTGATTCCATCGGCCAGCGAAGCTGGCTCTTCATCGTAAAGGTTGAACATTGCCGGTGGGCTACTTGGCATGGCATTCCCTTCGGACGTCAACCCTAATTCCTGCTCAACCGCTTGCAAATTGACCTCCGAGAAAAATACATCGTCATTATCATCTTCTGCTCCGTTAGCAGGGGTCGGGGACATAGCTCTCATGGCTTCTTCGGTTTTATTCCATTCGTTGAGGAACTCGAGCATAATCTCCCCGGTAGCTGGGCTGACGATGTTCATATTCATATTCATTAAAAGTTTGCTGGGTGTAGGCGTCGGATGTCCGCTAACGAGCTTACCAGAAGGCGTTGCGACTCCTAACATCCCAGACTTCCAGAACGACGGGCTATCAACGTTAATGCTCGCGAGGAGCGGCGTGAGCCTGATTGGTGTCTTAAAATCAGGGTTAGCCGGTGTCATCTGGCTAACAGGTGTTCGTGGTCTTGGTGTTTGTGCGTCATCATCGTCGGGGCTCTGAGTCCCGACGTCCTCGGTCTCTTCATTAGGCGTATCTTGTGTTTCCGACTCCACTTCCGCGTTCACCTCCATCAATGTCCTCTCGAGCTCCCGTTCCCAGTCAAGTTCCATGAGGGCGTTATCAACTGGAGGTGGATTGTTCTCCTTCTCCATCTCAGGACTGCCGACGGGTTCTTCTGGTGAGACCGGGGACATAGACTCGTTTTTGGGGTCTCGCATCTCACTTCCTGCTTCAGTCCCAGGGGTCAGCACCCCATCGAGCCCAGTAGGCGACTTCTTCGCTTCCGGGAAGAGTTTCCTCCGCGTCTTCTGGTCGGGGCTGAGTAAGCTGATGGGTTCTGAAATTGTTCCAAGTCCGCAGGGACTTGACTGAATCCGTCTAAGATTCTTATTGACAACTTGGTCCCATTCTCCATCCCTATCTGGACCGGGAGGGCTTGTCGCCCTGTGGCCTCCGATATTCCGAGCCGGTGGCGACGACGGACACGGATGATGGCGTGCTACAACCATCCCGCTCCCGACTGTTGACCCTTCGGGGGCCAAGCAAACTCTTTTCTTCTGTTTCTTTTTCTTCGGCTTCGGAGGTTTGTCGTCCCCTTCCTTCTTATCCCAGTACTGGTCGGGTCGCATGGTCCCATGATTGTGATGCCATAGTCCGCAGGGATTGCACAATGTGACTTCCCTCTCGACCTCGGCGCCGGAGTCAGGATCTGTCATGATAACCTTCGCCTTCCTCCATGTTGGCGTTTCAATGGCTCCGCAGTGCATACAGTATGTAGGCATCTCACCAGCGGCAATCTTCTCAAGCATTTGACGTTCGATCCGTGCACGGACTAGAGCAGTAGTCGAGCCTCGTTTCGCGGGGGCGACATCATTATCAGAACCAGCATCGCTAGCTCTTCGTTTTCGCGAATTCTCATTCTCTTTCGGCAGGGGTGTTGGGAGAATTAACCCTGACGGCAGGTTCGTTGTAGGTACAACTAACATGGGCACTGATGACGATTTCTTCGATTTCGACTTGTTTTCCAGTTTCTGCTCCACAGGTGAAGTTGGGATCGGACCATCGGATGGTAAAGGATCTGTCTTGAGTACAGATTTCTTTTCCTTCTGTTTCTTCGATGGGTCGGCTTTGAGATCGGGATTCTTTGGTGGCCGTCCTCGCTTCCTTGGTAGAACCGTTTGCGATGTCGAAGACGCCGACTCGTCGATATCCTTGGGAGAATCCTTGGGAGAATCCTTGGGAGAATCCTTGGGGGAATCCTTGGGGGAATCCTTGGGCGACTCCACTTTCTCAGGTGGCGAACTCTTATCTCGTTCCTGCTTGTCAGATGCTTTGATAGTTGGGAACAAAAGCCCACCACCGGATGGAAGGGCTAGCTCGTCCTCGGAAGCTTCATCACGACCAAGGGCCTCTTGGAGGGCGAAACTCGATTGGCGTGGCTGACTAGGGAAGAAACCCTTGCTAGGTTGTCGAGGGAGAACTGGTGAAGTTTCTAGGGCTGGTGACGTTTCATTGTTTTCTGCGGATTCAGAGTGAGAGGGTGGTGGCGAAGATCCAATGAAGAGTGAATCAACATCACTGTCACGTGGTGACTCTGCGATCTCAGTATCAGCATCATTATAAACATCTTGTGTCATTTCAATATCCTCATTGAGTGGTGACATGGTTGTAAGTCGTGCCGTCATATCGCCAGCTTCGGAGACGGCAGTGACAAGCGTAGCTGGTGAAGGTGCTGCTGACGAAAGAGGTGGCAGGGGTGTAGCTTGAGACAAAGAAGGATGAGGAGAACCAGCATTAGAGTCTGGAGGTAATGTGTTAGGTCCAGAAGTGAGATTAAGGTTGGATGTGGAAACGGAAGTTAGACTAGGAGAGGGTGCAACCGAGGAAGGGGTGGGCGCCTGTTTTATAGCTACTGGTGCAGCATCGGCTGCAGCTGGATCCTGCGGAAGCCCCTCCCGAGACGGGGGTTGAACATCGGTGTTTGACTTTTTTATGTCCGTTAGCCTGGGGCGCCCCCTGGGCTTGCCTGTGGGTTTCTTGGTGGAAACTCGGCGCTTCTTTGCTGCGGGTTGGGTGGAGTCGGTGTTTGGCTCGGCCTTTTGCTGTTCCCCGCTGCCAATGGCTAGTGCAGGGCTATCTAGAGCCTGTGGGACCTGTGATGATGATGGCGCCGGTGATTGTCCTTCAGCAATTGAAGGTGCTACCGGAGCTCCACCCTCTGGTGTATCAGTCTGCTGGGTGCCCTGGGGTTGGGTATTCGCCGGGCTGGGGGCCTGCGTCCCGTGAGATTGTTGAAGAGGTGCGGAGGGTTGGTTCTGGTAAGGTTGCTGGAGGGTTTGAGGATATGGTTGGGGGTACCCTTGGGGGGGTTGGCTTATATGGCCGGGTGGGGGTTGCTGGAACTGCCCCATTGGCTGGTATGAGCCTACCCCCTGGGGTACATACGGGTATGGCATACCCCCGGGCACCCCGTGCTGTTGCTGCTGAGCATATTGGCCACCTATCCCATTCTGTCCCATGGCATTCGTCCATACACTTGCCGGGTCAACACCAGGCGGGATATTCTGAGCCAGCTGTGAATACTGGTTCATGTGATTGATGTAATCCACCTGTCGAAGCGTGGGCACCCTACACAGCCTCATCCTAACCTCCAGAGTCTCCCTAACATCTCCAGCATATATCCCCAGCAAATTCTTCTGAACCCGTCCAGTAACTAACCGATTCGCCTGCGCAGGATCGATGGCATCGGGATCTGGTTGTTGTCCATTGAGTGTCGGTAACGAAAGAACCCAGGAGAGAAGGCCTAATCCTGTCATGGGGGTATCCGGCTCCGAGTAGTCGTATGTATAGACAGAGTAGTCGCAACCTTGGTGATGCATAATCTCGGGACTGTATTATTCAGACATCGAAAGAAAAAGTAAGACGATTAGGTTCTTATAATTCACATCCTTGATCCGGTCTCAAAAAAAGTTATGGCACAAACCTCGAATAAACGATATTGAGGACGCAGGTCTTGAGGTCCACGAATCCAATTGGGGTGTTCTCGTCGAGATGGGCGACACGGACGTGGACGACATCTTTCGCTCGGGCGAGACAGTTGGGTAACAGGTCGTCAATGCTATATAGTACTTTCACTGGTTGATCACACAATGGAAATTAATAAGGCAATTCTAGATCTTGACAACGGGTGCTCAGGTTCTCCTCACATCGCATAGGCATTAGGGCAGGGTGCCCATTTCGTCCAGAAGTATCATGGCTTTCGGGCGGGTTTATGCTGGGTGTTGCAGCTGAGACGGGGTCTGCTTCTGAGTCCGGGCCAGCCTGCACCGATATTTTTGAAGATTTCTTAGCCATGGCCTCTTGTGAGGCCAGCCGTATTCGCCGAGTTCAGTGCCGTTTTGTGAGAATTCCCTCTTCTATATATCTATAAAGTATTTATATATTCTTGACGGTCGAAAAGTATCGAAAAGATCGAAGTTGCCGATGTTACTGCACGAGAAAGGAGGTACTTGTTTCCGGTTTGTGTTGTATGAGAGAATATCGAGGAGGGATCAAGGAACACCACTGAAAGTCCAAGTTATCCGTATTCCTTTTTGGATCGATGTCAGACGGGTTGAAAAGCGTGAGGATATCGACGGGTGATGTGTCCGTAGCGGTCTCTTTTTTTCCTATGGGCAAGAATCGCAATGAAGCGGTCCAGTTACAGGGCAGAAGTCTTTGTCGTGTCTATCTTGGATGATGATCGATCGGATAGAACCCTTCTACCAACTTATTCCCAGGAGTCCAAGCTGACTAGCAGTCCAGAGCTACAGAGCCTTCCTTCTTCTTTCCTTCTTCTTCTTCTGCTGACAATAAAGATAGTCGAGAGCAAGCAATCCAGTCGTCAAGGAGCGTCGGTCGGAGAGGCAGGCGATGTTTTGGTCGTCGTCGTCTATCACTGTCATATGGAACGTGAACCAGGAACGCTGAAAGAACACCACCCACCCAGTTAAAAGGCACAGGAAGGGCACAGGAAGGCACAGACACAGGCACAGGCACAGAGAGACACACACAAAGTAAACACACGTAGAGAATGCTGAAATGAGAGTGAAGAATGGATGTAACAGAACTTTTTGTTGTAATTCTCTTTGGGACGGGGCTAGAAAGACAGAAAGAAAAAAAAGACGACGACGAAGGGATAATTAGAGAAAGTAAGGTAAAGAGTCAAGGAATTTTTAATTTTTAATTTTTTTCTTCGGTGGGCTTGTTGGTTGTTAGTCAAGGCTGGTCCATTACATGGCTATTTGGGGAAGTTTATTTGGAGATGGGCTTGAACGGGAATCGTGATTGAAAGAAGAGAGGTTGGGAGGTTAACCAACGATACCATCAATCAATTAAGTATGGGCTGCTGCTAGCATGCTTAGCTCCTTGCTTGGACGGTCCAATCAGAGCTGCTGAAGACGTGACGCTGACTTGAATGGGATGCATGCATATATGCTTTCGGCTAATAAACAGCGAATGGACCTGCCAATATCTCACAGACGGACATAGGACGAGGGTCTGCAACGGTGGTGCGGGTGGTGGTCGTGGTGGTCGGGATGGATGTGGAGTTCTGAAGGCCTGGTCGGAGTCGGACAGGTTCGAAGTGCACGATACCTTTGTTCGATGCGTTGTTTTGACGTTGGATGTCTCACATCGCGTGTTGGTTCTCCCGATCAGGAATGTTTGTCGCTATTACCCCATTAGGACTAATGTATCAAACAGGGATAAGATCTAATCTTGATAAGATCGGGAATTGTACAACAGCAAAGCTTCTCTTTAGCAAACGCGACTCACTGCAAGAAAGCAGCTTCATTGCATCGACACCTCTTCTTCCTCTCTTATACCCCGACGATTCCCCACCACCATCACCACCAACCACCACCTACTAACCACCATTGCCATGGCGTGAGTACGCATTGTCTTATTGATCATTTATAACAAATACTAACAATGCGAACAGTGAACTCCTAAACAAACCCCGATCCGAACTCACGTACGTGCCATTCCACGCATTCTTTTTCCACATACACACCCTCCTTCCTTCCCTCTGATCAACATTTACTAACCTCTTCCTTAGCGAGTACGAGATCGCTCAGCTCGAAGAATACGAGTTCGCCAATGGGCCCCTCTCAATTCTACAGACTGCCGTCAGAACACACAATCAAGTTCTGATCTCGTGTCGAAACAACCGAAAACTCCTCGCCAGAGTTAAAGCCTTCGATAGACACAGCAATATGGTGCTCGAGAACGTAAAGGAGATGTGGACTGAAACACCCAGAAACGCACAGGGCAAGAAGGGACGGCCGGTGAACAAGGATCGATTTATCAGTAAGATGTATGTGAACGATAGGATTGGCCCAATTGAGTCCGGTATAGTAGTAGTGGAAGGGGAGGTTAACTTATTTTTGTGAATTGCTTTATAGGTTCCTACGAGGTGATTCTGTGATCCTTGTGCTTCTTAGTTAGATTTCCCGAAGCGATTATTTGCCTTTTTGCCTGCCCTTGACTATGCATATTGGAAGTAATGCAAGGTTCAACAATCAAATATCGACCATGGCGTTTGGATCCTTTCAGATAGATGAACGACGCGGAGAAAAGGAAGAAAACTACGCACAAATATATACCACGTTTATTTTTTCGCGTCTTCAGAACGACTGTATACTAGGAGAGGGGAATTTAATGACGAAAAAGAACAAAAATGGCCGGCACGGTTGCCATTACTCATAATATACAATGCTCGTATGATGAGCCTTTAAATTTTCCAAATCCCACAATTATAATGAGTTTGCCTATATACAAAAGTTTCTCACTTAAGAAACCTCCCCTCTCGCCTGCCACGCTGGAACATGTTTCTTCTCCCCCGTCCCTTCTTGAACCCGTCCACCCTGTTCGATTTCAATCCTCTCCTGCCTCTCCTTCTGCAGCTTCTCAAACTCCACCTCGTCAATCGGCTCATCCTCTTTTACCTCCTTCTTCGGTCTCGGCGGCGGCAGCACCCAATCATCGGGCCTCTGAACCACCATAGTAAGCTGCGTACCAACCTCCCCACTCCGTTTCTTCAAATCCACCCCACCATTATAATACATAAACTCCTCAATAATCTCCATCATCTCATCCAACTTCGCCTGTGGAGGTTTAGCCTGTTTCTTCTTCCTAGCAATCATAACCTCCACCGTATTCCCCTTTTCCAAAAACTTCCCAATCTTCTTTAAATGCGTATTTAGATCATTCTTATCTATCCCCCAAGATATCTGTACTTCCTTAGTAATATCCTTCCCCGACTTCTTCTTCTTCTTTTTAAACCCAGGAAGGTCTGCATCCTCCGCATTGGAAGCTTCACGTTCGGCACGTCGTTCCGCTTCAAGTCGTTCAAGTAATAAACTCTTTGGGAAAAGTCGAACGATATGTCCCTCGCTTTCGTCGGTTAATCGGTCGACACCAGAGATATGGATTAGATGATATTTATTCCGATCGTAAGCACGGAGGATTTGATCGATTGGATAGACCCCCACTAACGCCCCGGTTTCGTCGATATACGTGGGATTGTAAGCTGTAATTTCATCGTCGTAGGGGAATCTAACCCGGGCTTCGTTGATGAATTGAGGTCCTAGATTTGGCGCTACGGGGAAACGGGCGTTGGTTACGGCGTTTCGACGTTGGATTGTTGTTGTGCATGTGGTGGGGTGGAGTCCATGGCTGTGGGAGGACGGGAGGAGGAAGGATGGTGGGGTGGAGGCGGGGGTTTGGGTGTAGATCGAGAGGAGGGAGAGGGTTGGCCGGTTAAGATGGCGACATGTGGCTCTGGTTATTTGTCGGAGAGCCATTGCGGTGGAGCAAGCTTAGGAGGAGGGCCGAAGGTTAACTAAGTAAGTAATGAGGTGGGGTGAGGTTGGAGATGTTGTCGCCCAAGATACCTTATATAAAGTATCTTAAAGTCGGGTTCGGATGACAGCCGAAATTTCTGGCAAGGGCTCAAAGCATCAACCTGCATATTCAGAGTGGAGAGGCATTATTCATATCTATATATATTACAAAAAGCATTTTCTAGCCATCTAGGTTTAGGTTGATCCGAGACTGGCTCAATTGGACGGATTCTGGTAAGTTGTAAATACACACTCATAAAGAGAAAGAAAAAGGCAAAATATCTATCCATGAAAAAACTGCAGCATTTCCTCCACATCTCGTTCCGGCAGTCTGCAGCCCAAGAAGCTTTGAAGAAGAAAAAAGTATGCATCAAAAGTCATCGCCGACATATAGTTCGGACCCGACAAAAAAAAAAGGTTATTGAATAAAGGGAGGAAAGTAATACGCGAGTCGTGCTAACATAAAAGGTGGAGAGGGATGGCTAGATTTTGGGGGTTAGGGGGCCGTGGAAATTTATCATAAAGACGCAATAAACTCATTGCTCATACTTTGAAAAGGGAAAACAAGAAAAGGGCAAGAAAGGAGATGCTTTTACGAGGGTATGGTTGGAATGGGGAGGGAAACGGGGCTTTGAAAACGAGAGAGCCGCTTGAATGAATTATAAAAGTACTCCAACCATCCCAAATTCATTTTTTACAGTTGAATAGAATAAGAAGAAGAAAAAGAAAAAGAAGAAAAAGGGAATCGTATCTTGAAATCTGCCATTACCTGAGATTCATCATCCTCCTCTTTCTCGTGCTTGCTGTGGCATTAAGTAAACATCCTAATGGTTAGAAGCAGCTTCCAAGTCATACCGACGAACAACGCCTGCGTGCTCGCGAGATTCACGCAAAAGGTTTCCGAAGTATTTGACGGCAACTTCACATTCACCCTTCCTCTTCGTAGCTTCCTCCTTCTTAACCTTAAGACCCTCGATGTTCTTCTGGAACCCGCTTCGGAGTTCCTCAGCAGGGAACCGAAGCACCTTGCGCACTTCCTTAGAGATACGCTCGGAGTTCTGGTGGACATAATCCATCTCCGCTAACTCTCTCTTGATCTTCTTAGCCAATTTCTTAGGAATGGCACGCTGAACATCGCTAATGATCCAGTAAGCCGCAGCACCGACACCAGCGATGATAGCCGGGATAATAAGGCGCTTGGCGTTACGAATACCAACGATATTTGTAGCCTGGACGACACCGTCAACCCAAGAGCTAATGTTGAACATGCGAGAGCCAGCGACGGAAAGGACCGTAAGGGACATGCTCATACCCGCAACCTTCTCCTGACGGTCGAAATCGAAGAAGTCGAAGGCATCGAGCTGGGTCTTGATGTTACGTCCGAGAGCGTCTCTCTTCTTTTTGAACATAAAGTCAGGACGGAAAGTCTTTTCCACATATTCCTGATTCAGGTGCAAGACTCCCAAGGCGTTTATAGCTCCTACACCAGAAACTGTAGATCTGCGAGCGCCATTTTCAGCTTCAACAACCGCTCGGGTAATGCTCTCCAACATGGCGCGACGGGTTTCTTCCGCGAACTTGAAGGAGTTGAAGACGCCGCGCCAAGGAATTTGGTGTGCCTTATCAACATCTTCAATTGTTCGAGAGATCTCACGGCGGGAGTTACGGTAGACAGCATTGCAGGTATCTTCGATTTGTCGGTCGCATTCATCAGAGACAGCGATTCTAGCCTTCACAGATTCGTCATACTTGGGCATGAGACGAGCAAGGTCAGATCTCAAAGAATCCAACTCTCTACCAGCAATATTGTTGTTGATAAGAGCAAGTTGCTCAATATCCTGGAGCAAGTTGAGCAGGTAGCTCTTGGCTGGGCCGAGCTTGGAACGCGCACGCTTATCTAGGACAAAGCCTCGAAGGGAGTTTTCAAGGTTATCAAAGTCGTGACTCTTGTCCGGGTCCTTTCCATCAATCACCGCATTGGAGGAGACGAAATGTACGAGATCCTGGCTGTCGTTGAAAGTTTGTGGGGAGATGTTGGCGATCTGCTCCAAGATCATACGCTGGCATCGCACCTTGTCGCGGATATTATCGAAACGATTGACGACAATGAATAGGTACGCCTTCTCGTTCGCAGCATTCCACAAGAACTCCTTGGCCGAAAGAGTGAAGTGATTTTCCGCACTAACAACGAAAACAACAACGTCGATTTCTTCCTGCCGAGCAAAGACAGCCGTAGTCTGAACGGAATCCATGTTGAGACCAGGAGCATCGATGAGAGCAATATCAACGACGCCATTTCTAAGAAGGCTTTGTTCGATTGGTCGAGAATCTTCGACGTAAACCTTGGCCTGTGAATATTTGTCGACCATAATAACAATATCCTCCAAATCCTTCAAAGGTCGGGCTTCGAAAGTTCGTTCATCCATTCGATCGTATGTTGCTCCCTTAAAAATAGCGTGAACTTCCTCGACTCCATTGTTGATACGGCAATCCAAGACCTCGCAGAAAATTTCGGTGCACGGTTGTTGGTCCTCAGGCAATATTTTCTTCCTTAGCAGGGCATTACAGAACGTTGATTTTCCAGCGTTGAGATCACCAGTAACAAGGACCTTGGATGCAGTATCTTCAATACGGTCGCGGAGGGAGCGTAAATGCTTGATGGCCTGTGTTAATTTATTGTCCAAAAGAGACGCTATAGACTCCTTCTCGAGGGAGTGAACTAGTTCGCTTTGAGACAACGAGCCTATTCGGAGGTCGAGTTTAAGAATATTGAACTCTTGAGAGATCTGTGGGGACATCAATCGAGGTTCCGGTGTTCCAGATCTGCTGTTCCGGGTTGGTTGACGATCGAAGCTAGTAAGGGCCCTTCGAGGTGGTGCGAATCGTTCCCTCGAGGGTGAGCCGGTAGTATCAGGTGTAAAGAAATCATCTGTCACTGAGGTCTTGCGCTGCATTGGAGACGATTCGGTTCTTTGGACAGCGGGATAGTGAATCGGCCATGTTTGGTTCATATTTTGAAGACCCTGTTGACAAAAAAAAATCAGTCATCTTTCATAACTGTATATATTTGATATTATAGAACAATAAAATTCATACCTCTAGAGTATCGATCGTTCTGTAGATAGATCGGCTTAGAGCAACTCTGTTTTGGTTACTGCAGTATTTTTATTAGTTCTCGGAAACACGGAAGCATCATGAAAGCATCACGGAAGCATCTTACTAGTGCATTTGCTGGACATGCATCTGATGCTGACGTCGGTCGCCATCAGCTAGAGGTAAGAAAGGTCAGTAGGTTGATCCGGTTGTATGTATGGGAGATATGGTTGACATACTAGCATCTGCTCCTAGTGCAGGCAAAGATATCCTAGGTGGCATCGGCATATCTTCATTGAGTTCGGAAAGCTCACTGAGATCGAAGTTTCGAACATCTTCAGAGATAGAACCTCCATAACCAGAATCCGAGAAGGCCGGCTCGGAGGGTGTCGATGGAGTGGTGGCAGCTCTGCCAAAGGGTCTTCGAGCCCCCCTTGAGGAGCTTTCTGCTGGATAGTATCGCTGCGACATTTTGGTGGGTTGTCGGCGGTGCTACGACCGCAAAAAGACGGAAAGGACGGTTATCGGAAAGGACTAGCTCGGCCTGGCAGAGCAAAAGAAGAGAGCGTCTGGCGATTGGAGGGGCAGACGACCGAGTGGGTGGAGGTAATTGGGGGGGGGGGGGATATACGAGGTTTATGAAGTTTAATTGTGAGAGTTGTGGTGGAGGAGAGGGAGAAGTGGAGGGAGAAATCAAAAAAATTATCAACAACGTCAGTACGGGCAATTTTACTGGGCGACTGACAGGTCTGGACGGACAGACTTATTAATTGGTTAGTTACTTCACTGCAAAAAATAATAATAAAAATTTGCACACCCTTCCTCGGAACTAGAACTGGAGCTAGTGCAACCCAGCACGTACTAACTACTGTAGATAAACGAGGCAGAGGCAGAGGAGGGGGGCAAAGAAAGCGAGTGAGGGTGATTGATATCACAGATTGGCTTTAGAGCAGACAGACATACAGACTGACAAAAAGAGGAGGAGGGGAACTGTGATGATGGCGCCACAGCAATGCTCTTCGATGTTTCTGGCGAGGTCAGCCCGTCTGGACTAAAGCAGAATCTCGTCGGTTCATATGATCTCTTTTTTTCCTGTCGACTTCATGCACATACAACTGGCGGTCGCTGATTTGATCTCTGATTTGACGTTCCGGGGAGCTAGTTCGGAGTCTGAGCTCTGGGCCTTGTTTTGCCATGGCTGAGGTTTGGTCTGAGGTGTACGCCCGAGGACAACGCATATACGAGTATTCATGTGAAAGCATTCCAGCCTCGTATCAGATGTCCCAGGGCTCCCCTGTTGTACGATGTATATCCATCGTGCCACCATGCTGTTCCTGTTCTTGGTAGTATATCGGTAGTGTAGCGTGGGTATTCATAGTTTAGTGTAAGTGTAAGTGAGTTAGTTGATCTTGAGAGTGGTGGTGGTGGCATGCCAAACGCGACCAAGCCTGTTCGGATGACGATGCTCTTCCGCTAGCTTCGTCTTTGTCACAGTCCCCATCATTCTTTACCTAAAACCCCATTCCATCGCTGTCCAATACCATCCCGTCACACAACTTCCGCCGGTCATCGGTACTCAATAACTGCTCTATAGCAATCTTGGTTACTACCTTTCTTGCCATCATGAATATCGGTATGCTCGACATAGTACAAGCTGTTGGATCCTTGGAGGTATGCTGACTAGGTTATGGTAGTGGAATGGGCATTCGGGAAACGCCTGACGCCGGCTGGTAGGCCACCCCTCTCTCCTTAGAGGCTTCTAAATTGCAATGAACATATAACTAACCTAGTTATGAATTAGAGCGTCTGCGAAAAGTAAGGCATCCGACATTTCCGTTGTAGCCAGTGCCTCGAGATTGTGATGATTGGACTGACATTGTACCCTTCAGAACCAACGGGCGCTTGAGAAGGCGCAGAGGGAGCTGGACCGGGAGAGAACCAAACTAGAACAGCAAGAGAAAAAGTTGATCCAAGATATCAAAAAATCTGCGAAAAATAACCAGATGGGAGCTGCTAAGATCCAGGTACGGCAGTACTCTACATCCCCAGAAACCTCCACAAAAAATACTAATGAATGCATTCCCGCAGGCGAAAGATCTTGTCCGAACTCGAGGGTATGGGATTTCTCTGTGACCGATTACCTAGGACGGAATGATTCAAGTACTTACACCTATTATAGCTACATCACACGGTTCTACAGAATGCGCACCGAACTCCAGGCGATATCCCTCCGAATCCAAACCGTCCGGTCCAACCAACAGATGATGGAATCCATGAAAGGAGCTACCGGCCTGCTAAGGACAATGAATGCTACGACTAACCTACCTGCCCTGCAAAAGATAATGATGGATTTCCAAAAGGAAAGCGACATGATGGAGTTCCGGGAAGAGGTTATGTCGGAAGCTATCGACGATGTTAATGGACTAGAAGACGAGGAAGAGACAGACGAAGTACTAAACCAAGTTTTAGACGAAATTGGTGTCGATAGAGAAATGGCGGTAGGTTTACGATGCTTATATATCATTGCTCTACCAGATACTAACTCGGTACCCATAGCTCGGGACTACACCGCTAGGCCTAGGGGAGCCGGAGGGTCAGAAAGAAGACCGAGTCGCACAGGCCATCGGAGGCGGCGATGATGATCTCCAAGCCAGGTTCAATAACTTGGGGAGATAGTCTGTCTCTCTTTCAGCATGGCATGTAATAATTCCGAGGCTGCATATAGTAATAGGCATATGGATTTTGATTTGGTTCTTGTTTGGGCGAGAGTACTACAAGTTATACTAAATGTACTAGCGGGCTGGAGTTCCGGTTTGCTTTTCCTGTTGTATTGGTGATCGATTGGGCTGTCATATAGTTGATACTGTAACTTTACTCGTATGCTTGAGGATCTCTATATCTAGACCCGAGTCTTTGTAATTCATGATCATCACCTTCAGATGCAAGTCCATACTTTATACCAATACCTTATATATATACTAAGTACTCTACTTACTTATACTTCAGTATAAGGTATATCGATATATCAACATCAATCTACCAAATCAGGTCAAAGGCCTAGTTACTGGGTAATGCTTGTGTAACTAAGCGAAACGAACGTCATCCTGCGTTCCCGCAACACCTTGCGCGATCTCATCTCTCCGCTCCCGCCATCCCGTAATCTTGCGACACTTCTGTATGGCCAATTACACATAAAAAAAGGAATCACATTCCCGCACCAGCGGTCGCTCAATGCGATGTCTACATCGACTACCGGCGCAAGGCTCAACATTCCCGATGGTCATCTCAGAACTAGCAGCGGCACTGCGACTCCCGTTCGGGCGACACGCGAACGCCCGCTACTTTCGCCAAACGTAAGTGGCCCACGAAGCCATGCATAAACCCCACATACATACCGTACATACCATACACTATAGTAAACAAAAACTAAATATCCTGAGTGTAGGGCCGTCATTTACGCCATCTTAAGGGAATCGCTGTTCGAAATATATCTTCGAAACCGGCCAGGGTGCATCGACGGTCTAACGATGACGAAAATCTACTTACCACTTGGAGGTCACCTGGGAAGCTCGCTGTGCATCAGGAGGAACGAACCCTAACACACTCCCGGTCTGCTATTGATTTGTCGACATTAGCGGCGGAGAGTTCTACTGCTGTTGGTGCTTCGAGTAGTAAACACCACCTTCCCGATGATAGTGTTAGTGAGGGTGGACGACCAATACCGATTAGACGGCGGAATACTCGGTCGAACTCGATACTAGCGGGGACGATATTCGAAAATGCGACAACGAGGCAAAGGAAATTGGTTGATGCAACGCTAGGGAAATTAGTCGATACTTTCTTCACTTTACATCATGACTCCGTTGGGGGTGCGTCATTCGGTGTGTGCACTATTGGGGAATAGAGTTGGGGCTGACGACGTTATCAGATGACCCGTTTTATATCAGCGAAACAGTACCGTCGTCTATCGTATGCTGTACCCTGCCAACTATCCCTTTTTTCGGATTTGTTTCTGACGATATCTAGAACCCTACATTCCAAAGTTTCGAGTTGGGGGAGTGCGGTCCTGCGATAACACGACTAGATTCCCTTATAATACGGATTTGGGCACGGAAAGAACAAAGCAGTGATTTTGGTTTACTGGTAGAGCTAAACATAGGATTATCTTATCTTCAGTTTATTGGGCGGAGTGTCCGTATTCCATTATCCCCAAATATTTTGCTTCTTGCTAATGTTCAGTATAGCTCGAAAACTTCAACTTCACGTTCCCGGAGAACTGTGTCGTCATAATCCTTTCAGACGGTTGTTATACAGTCTTTAGCGAACTGGATCCCAAAATAATCAAGAAGTATGTTGCGCCACGGCCCACCAAGAGGGTGTTGGCAGAGGCGGCAGAATCATGCTCCTTCGATGCAATACTAAAGTTGAAGAACCTGGAGGAATGCATTTATGATGCTATGGAGACACAGGCGCATGTGGAACAGCAAATGGATTCGATAGCGTCCTCGAAAGCAGAGTACTTGTCCCACGTTAGAGCTTTAGATGAGGAGAACCTAGAACTCAAGGATGCACGGAAAATCGTTTCACGAGAGAGGAAGCGATTGGAGGCTTTGAGAAAGCATCGTGATTCCCTCAAGCAAAGTATCAGTGGTAGGAAGGCCGCTATTGATGCCGGTATTGAGAACCGCGCAGTTGCCAAGCTGCATTTGCAAAATGCTAAACAACTGCTCCATCAACGCGCTGTCGAGGCGGGCAACACTGTGACTGCGATGGCGACACGGAAGAAGGTTATTTTGGATTATCTAACAAAGATATACCCCATCGAACATGTGAGTTGCCCTTATACGCAGTGTGGGAGGTATTTGTACTTACCTCAGTCTTCGGTCAGATTCCTGAACAGCCTCTAAACTTCACAATATGCAACCTCCACTTGCCTAACGAGCCTCCAGAGGGCCATAACGAGGATGTGATTGCTGCTGCCCTTGGTTACACAGCGCACCTCGTCTATATGCTATCATTCTACCTTAGTGTCTATCTTAGATACCCTGTTATTCCCAAAGGCAGTTCGTCGATGGTTCAGGATCCCATCAGCGTCATCCAGGGTTCACGATAGTAAGCTTATAAGTTCAACTTTCTTCTTCCGGGCAACCAGATCCTAACTTAGTTAGTTTCCCGTTGTGGGCAAAGGGCGTCCCATATTTCCGTTTCGAATACGCAATATTTTTATTAAACAAGAATATCGAGCAGGTAAATTTCCCTACTCCCATCTATCATTTTATCGTCACTGACAAATAATATCCTTAGTTAATGGAATCCCAAAAATGCATCGTTCTAGATATCCGACAGACACTCCCAAACCTCAAGTATCTCCTCTACGTAACAACGGCGAGCCAAACTCCAATGTCGTACCCCCCATCTATCCACCCTTGCGGCCCACATGTTGTCACAGATTTAAACCTCTGTTTTGCTGATGCCACTAGTCCAGCGTCAACATCACCATCATTACCTATTCCCATCATACTAACACCTCATTGCTCAATTCAGAATCGACGAGAGGCCCTCGAGACCATTCAATTTCCCAAGAAGTCGGAGAGCAGCTGCTGCGCTAGCTGATGGCAACGCTAATGGTGCGCACGGCGGGAGTGGGAGTCCTGGAAGTGGCGAAAATGCCAATGGGAAGAGCTCGTCGTCATTGCTGTCTAAGTCACTGCCGAAGACCACGAAGAACTTTACGGCGACGATCAGTCCTAATGGGACTATTTCGCGATCCACGATTTCATTCAAGCGTGATTTTCGGAAGACTCAGGATGTGCTGTGATACTCATTCCATCCTCCATCCTTTTATTCTTCTTTTTCCATTTTTCCTTTTCACTTTTTGAGCGGTAAAGCACGTTTTTCGAACACGGTTTTGGGTGGGCATTGTATATAGAGCCTTTTCCATTCAAATTCCACGTTTCTTCTAATCGGTCTGGGCGTTGCGGCGCTTAGCATTTTGTATTCAAGTCTCAAGGTTTCTGTCGAGCCCTAGTATTAATTAATGGTACCTGCCAGAGATGAGATGGTAATAAATCTTATCAAAAAGTGCAACTAAATACATAAATTATAAAATAATGAAAGGAAAACATAGCCGCTGAACCCCGAGAAACCGACATGATAAGGGAAAACCTGTTCCAAATAATATATGCCCATGATATCCAAGATTCCATCTATCCTACATTTGCCTGCCTGCCTACCCTTTGCTAGTCTCGCGACTGAAGCCGACTTTCCTTAACCAGTCCTTATTCCTCATTATCCTTTCTCATCCCCTTCTTAAGTCCTTGTCTGCCTCCAGACGTGCTGTACGCTCAAAATACCAGCCGCGGTACCCAATGCTCCAGTCGTAAACCCATCTAGCAACCCGCCATTCTCTATACTCCAATGAATCGTCAACGGCGCCCAGCACAGATTACTACTAATCTGTCTCCACCACTCATGATCCTCGGCATCCGTCACACCCTTATAATTATGCCGTAACATCCTAATCCTCCACAACCTACAAAAGTCTAATGCCACATGAGCCGCCCAAAACCTACAGCTCCATGCCCAAAGTTTGTTCTGCGTGGCATTGGAATACCGTAAGATCTTATGTTGGGATAAATAGGCAACATTCTCGAGGGATTGGTAGATAATGTTTACGCAGACTTGAGCGTAGGCTATTTGCCGGAGTTGTTGGTCCTTTGGAGGGGCTTCGTAGACTTGGACGGCCCATTCGGCGATTCCGAAGAGACCCCAGAGACGGGAGAAAATACGGAAGTCGGAGATTATGCCGGATAGAGCTCTTAGACGGACTTCTAGGGAACGGATTGCTGGGAAGGCGGGGAGGGGAAAGGTTGTTGCGGCTTTGAGGAGGTCGACGCCGGCTGGTATGGGACCGTTTACGCGTTCAAGGGCAGCAGTCAGGGCCATTAAGGTGTAACCTGCCAGCATAAGGAGTTTGTCTGTGCCTGATGTTGTAGAGAGGATTCTATAGGTAATATTGTTATTAGCATTTTTCTTTTTCCTTTCCTTTTTGTTCTTTTTCTGAAGCTTTCGCTCTCTGGAATGTTTACAGCTGTTTATAACGGATAGCTGTTTAGGGTAACCATACCTATTGATATGCGCCAGGTTATCGCGACCCCTTCGGTGCTTGATTATGAATTGGAGCCATCTCGATATATGACCCGCGGTGGTCGGCCTAGGTCTTGTATAGTTTGCGGCGCCGTATGGTGCTATCGGCTTATACGAGCCTTCGGCATTGTTTTGGTTACCGTAGGGGTCCGGTCCTTGCATGGGAACACCCTCGAAACCGGGTCCGCCGTCTGCCATGGTTGGAAATGCTGGAGGTGTCTGAGTAGTTGGGATTTAGAATCTAGGGGTTCAATTTGTATATAAAGCGCTTTTTATGTGCTCTAGGACAGCATTGCAGGTTGGTATTTCCAGTCGGCGATATTGGAGTGATGGAGATGATGGTTGTGATGGTTTGAAGGTGTGTGCGTCTAATGTAAGGCTTGGGAAATATGGAGAGGCGCACGAACAACACAACTGACTTTTGGGGGACCAGTCAGAGTGAACGTGAATGCCGTCGCCGTTCAGCCGAGGTACAAAAAAAAAGTTACACTGACGGCTACAGGATATTTATCGATAGGGCAGTTCGCAGGGGGAGGATTTGTATTAGAAAGGGTTTAGGATAAGTTCAGGCTGAGATAAATTTCTTGAGAAAAAAGTAGATACGGAATAATATGATATAGATCCCGAGATAAAGGGCTTCTTTGAGATAAGTATGGGATTCTCTAGGCTGGGGAAGTAGACCAAATTGCTTGCAGGCGATGTGAAGCAAAGCAAGAGATATTCAGCATGTATGACCTAACACTATAATCTAGCACCAGATTCTTATAATCCACGATAACAAACCCGCCTAATTAGTGCGGGGGTGGCTTTTGATTCACCCCTCATGCAATCCTGCCATCCGTATCACCGTATCCTCAGCTTCCCGTCGTCCAGATTCCCACAGGCTGCTGAACTGGAAAGTGTTGAACTGTTGCATATTCTGCGTTGTGTCACCACAGAAGATCACAGTTTCACGTGATCTCCAACATCATTCGCAACACATCTCGAGACGAGATTCGATCTTTTATCGCCCGAAACCTTTCCCTCCGTTCGAGCTCGAGTGACCACCCCCCCAAGCAACCTCCCCGCCGCCGCCGCCGCCGTCACAATGCGTACCCAAATAGCATTGTGGGCGAGATTCGTCCCCCTACCCAAAGTCATCACTGCCGAATCTCTCGTCCTCACAGTCCCCGACAAAACGAAACGGAAAACGAAGGAACCATTTCGTCGTGAGAAACCTGTTCAAGATGATGTAGGGGATATGTCCCGTGAGGCCAATCCGCTGGGGAGCCATATATACTTCTACACACATATCACGAGCAAGAGAGTTATTTACTCGCTTTACCAGAATTTATACGTACGTTCCATTGCCCTCTCTCCGTCCGCCACAACAACCTTGTCATGTATTGGAAAGGGCTAACGGGTAGGATAATGAGATATAGAACAACAAGGCCATGAAACAAGTAACGTTCATGGGCAAAAAATCCGTCCCGGAAGCCCTCCGTAAAGACCACTGGACTCCCTTCCTCACCGCCTCCTTCACAAACCCATCGACAGGCCTAAAAGCTTTCCAACATCTTCGCGAACTCCGAAAACTCCACGAAACCCAATGGGATGTCGAATTGAAATCTAAAAAGATGAAGGAGAGGAGTAAGATCTTACAAGATCAACGGGGGAACTCAATTGCGGATTTGGCAGCGATAATCAAGAGGGATGTTAAAGAGAAGGAGAAGGTTAGGGTTAGGTGGATGAATATTTATGATGCCGAGTATGCGAAGGAATGGCCGGATTGTGTAGTACACGATGTGGAGACACAAAAGGGAATTAGGTTCCATGCTAGGAGGATGGGGAAATTTATGGGCGATGAGAAGGAGGCACAGATAACAGCTTCGGAAGCAGTACCGCAGGTTGAAGAAGGCGTTAAGGCTGAAGCTCAGATCGAAGCGCCTAAGGTTGAGAGCATACCAGAAGCTAAGCCTGAAGCTGTGCCAGAGGAGCCAAAGAAATCTGGTTTCGCTTTCTGGCGGTAGGTTGGTGGATTTTTGAAAGCGGAGGCTCCTCGGATGAGGGACTCTCTTTAAAATCATTTTATGTACATTATATCTGCCATCTGTATATATCCCTGGTCTAGCAATGACAGGCTGTTAATAAGACCACATCTACCTTGTCTAAATGGTTCTAGTATGATATATATCCCATCCAAATTCTACGGACATAACTATACAGATGCCTGGACAGTTCACTAAATCTTAAATATATCTTGGTCCTGTTCAAGGTAACCCTAAGAATTAGAAAAGTGATATGACTCCTTTAGCCAGTCTGGGCCCGTAGTTTGTTGTTATAAAGGTCAAGCCCCTTTTCTCCCCGGTAAATATATACTTAAGTATATATCGGTGTAGCGTCACTCAGATACTGACCGTTACGGGATAGAGTACATCTATGTATGGTGTTGGGTGTTGTAATTTCTAAACCGAACCGGTCGTATACGCTAGCAGCATGACCAGTCTCGTAGCCAAACCGTGCAGGCTGAGTTGCCTCTCAAGTCGAGGCTGCACGCACGGTTAGGTCTATAATTTATGGGATACTAACTATAGGTACGTATGGCAATTTAGGGGGTTGCGCGTGGCCGATAGATTTAAAGCTTGTCGAAATTATTGATAGCGCGTAAACCTTAACCGACAATATTAATATAATGTATAGAAACAACAGGCTTCGAAGATTGGTATAGATCTTTCTATGAACTCACACCAGACTACTACAGGAAAGCAATGATGCTGGCAAACAGGCTGAGGGCAATCAAAACATTGGCCTGGCAAGCCGATCCGGGGCCATGTTCAGATAAATTACAGTCGTACAAAGATCCTGTATTAATACATTCAGGTGGTAAAGGAATCTTGGTAGCCTTACGATATACTCGATTGATCCACGTTGCGTTCTGGATCCTTATATATAAGCTTAGATGCCCCGAGTCCTCTTTCATCAATACTCATACCGATTATATTATATAGATCACAACATCGATAAAAAATACTCGTCCCATACCTGAGAGATAAAGAAAATACTCATAATCTTACCTATCCGTATGGTATTAGGTTCTTGGCACCTCATAGAGAATTAGCTTGTATAACCACGGTTGAGGAGTCTGGCGATGAAACAAGACATAGCCTTCCGCTACGCACTTATATAGCACCGAAACCCAGAAGCAATCGAAATGGCTTTCGTGGGTCTTCCTCTCCCCCCAGAATTAGTCGAAATGGTGGTAGGATTTGTAAGTTCACTCTCAAATCGATATCAGTTGACTAGAATTCCCTAGTATCTCTCCTGCGGACACTCTAACTTTCCAAACATATTCATAGCTACCTAGGCGCCGCGATCTCTGGTCATCAAGTCTCACCTGCAGACAGCTGAATTTGATATCAACGCCCTCCCTTTACAAAACTATAATCCTCGAGTTACAAGATGACATATTGATAGCCCCAAGCCCGGCAAAGACACGGTACCTACTGTTAAATCCCCAGCATCCCAAGGCCCATCTCGTTAAGGAGTTGGGAATCGTTGCGAAATTTGACTCGGTTGAACAGGAGAGCCGACTTTTTAGGAATTGGAGGACCGAGTCTGCCTCTATGGCGAATGAGATGCTCATTTTCTTTATTCGACATCTTAAAATCGGTCAGCTACGGACCTTTGTGTAAGTACATACTTACATACCTACTTAACCTCCTACTCTCGGATCCCACGTCCGTATACAAATGTTAAGTGTGGCTAGGGTTCCCATATAAGGCCAAACCCAGTGGTGGTATCACTAAACATATAAAACGCAAATAATCTAACTTCGGATACTCAATAACTATTAATAGATGGCGGTGCAATTTTGATATGGACCCAGTGCTTCTTAGCCTCCTGGCCATTTATCACCCCTCGATCCAAAATCTCTACATTCAAAGGATAAGCCAAAAAAACGAGCTAAAAAACTGGACCAAGAGCGTATTCAGCATGTTTTCTTCCTTAAAGGGTTTCTCCTGGCACGGAATTCGTGATACCGATGAGGTAGATATGGCGTTTAACATTCTGCGAGCCTCTGCGGCGACTTTGGAAACCTTCAGCGTCAGTATAGATGATAAACCTACCAGGACCTACCGTTATGCAAATGCGTACGGCTTATACATTGGAGAGAGCTCCGTTCCCGAAATCACAAAGAAATTCAAGCAATTAGATCACTCATTGGGACTTGAAGGGGTTAAACTAGCCTCTCTTGCCGAGTATCAAGCGCCAGGAACACAAATGTTCCTACATAAATCGCTACCATTCTCACAAATCCAGCGACTCTACCTAACTGAAGTGGTCGACGAAAGGGTTTTAGAAGACCTACTTCTGTCTTTCGAAGGTCTCGTGGAGATCAATGTCATATACCGGACCAACATCCCTTCAATTAAGGCTATCACACGCCATGGGGAGACTCTTAAAGTATTGTCCGTATGTGATAGCTGCAAGGGACGAGATCTCCCAGAGACATGGTCGACAGCGAACCTCGCGGAACTAGGTTCCAAATGCCCCAACCTTGTAGAGCTTGGGATGTGTCAATCATACTACGGCAGAGATCATAGGAACTTTATCAATAAAGATATAACGCGGGGCGGAAGCCGGGAAGCGGCGCTCCATGGACTCATATACCCCATCACTACGCCCATGGTGTTCCCTAGACATTTATTCCTCAATCTCGAACTGCTTTACATCTCGCTCCCGGATCCCAAAGATCATAATGGTAATAATATTCGAAGAGACAATTTGACCGAGCCGCCCTTTAAAAAGCGTGTTTTACGTGATATTGTGGAATGTCTTAACGGGTATGGGTTCTGCGGACAGTACGCGGGCGGACCGGCGCCATCCAAAAAACTAAAGGTTGTCACACTTGGGATTGGGAAACTGGAGGCGGATGCTGACTTTCCTCTGGATCCCATGATTCTAAAAACCGTATATCCCTTCCCAACGGGAGAAGTCATGACATTGTCGCCGTCTGATATACGGACCATACACTTTGATGGTGATTTAGCTAGGTGGAAGCTTTTAAGACGGTATCCCTTGATGATACCAACTGAAGGACTGTAGGTACCACCCACCTTAGGAGCATCCTATACCCCAAGTACTGACCGGAGTCCCTACGTAGGAGTCATATATCGAGATAATTTTAATATTGTATGTTCGGTTACGTTACCATTACGCGATTGTATAATTGTACGCAACCAAGTTACAAATAATTGTCTAATCAAATTGCAAAAGACATGTATATTATTCTGATGTTATATTGTCCTACTATCGATCGTGTTTGGATCTCCTTGTATCTACTGGAGCTGCAGAGATTTTCTAGTGCCATAATTATTAATTATTCATAGATAGAAATTTATCATTATTAATCCTAAATAGTTCGAAAGATCATGCATGAATCATGGCCATGGATTGAGGCCTAAGTTTGTTGTAATATATGTGTTGACGAAGCTAATCCTCTCGAACTAAAATATTCCCGTCCCTGTATGCAAGGTTCGTCGTGTCAAGACATCTTCCATATCTTCGTCAGACTGATTCAGAGTAGGTAATCTCCAACTCCGTGAGTCACCAGACTCGGAAGTTCTTTACCTTAAATTCAACTAGAATTCTCTCAGTTTATTTTTTTTTTAATCTTCGGTCATCCGTTACCTTCTCAACGACAAGTCTTTTTTTGGGTTCCTCAGTGATAAGTTTTTCAGCGCGCGACATTGATACAAAACCGCAGTAATGCCGGTGATATCCTCACAGCAGCTGATTGCTCTTCAGAGCGACAGCGAGTTCGTACGAAATGTAAGAATTATGCCATCAGATCTCACTTACTTAAAGTAGTAGCATAAGTAGCTAACCAAGTATTACTTTTTAGATTTGTATATTAGCTCACGTCGTAAGCATCTCCACCACCAAACTACTACCCCGCCATCCCATCTACCCCTCCATGAATACCCCACCGCATCGCATCGCACCCACTCCCAAAAATATCTAAGTTACCCTCTATAACTCTCGGAATAACGGAGCTTAATTAGGACCACGGAAAAACTAGTCTTAGCGATTGTCTCCTCTCGTCAAATGGCATCATCAGTCCTAAACTCGCGGGCAAAGTCCGCTTCCTCGATTCCCGGCCCGATGAACAGATCCGCGGTATCACAATGGAATCTTCGGCCATATCGCTTTACTTCCAAAGTTTGAAACCACCGGTACCACCGAGTACGACGCCTTCGTTACAGGATTACCTCATCAATTTGATCGATTCGCCTGGACATATTGATTTCTCGTCTGAAGTATCGACGGCATCGAGATTGTGCGATGGAGCTTTGGTGTTGGTTGATGCGGTGGAAGGAGTGTGTTCGCAGACTGTGACGGTGTTGAGACAGACGTGGCTTGAGCATTTAAGACCGGTTTTGGTGATTAATAAGATCGATAGGTTGATTACGGAGTGGAAGATGTCGCCGACAGAGGCGAATGTGCATTTGGGGAAGTTGTTGGAGCAGGTCAATGCGGTTATGGGGAGTTTCTTTGCTGGTGAGAGGATGGAGGATGATTTGAAATGGAGGGAACAGATGGAATTAAGGCAGAGGCAGAGAGCGGCGAGGAGGGAGTCTGCATCAAAAACGGCAGAAGAAGCGGAAGCGGAGAAGTTAGGCCTAGAAGACGGTTATGAAGAGAAGGACGATGAGGACTTATATTTCTCGCCGGAGAAGTTTAATGTCATCTTTGCAAGCGCGATAGACGGTTGGGCGTTTACGGTCAAGGATTTTGCAGCGATTCACGAAAAGAAACTCGGAGTCAAGAGATCGGTTCTAGAGAAGATCTTATGGGGCGATTTCTATCTGGATCCGAAGACGAAGAGGGTGCTAAAAAAGAGACATCTCAAGGGACGAAATCTGAAGCCGATGTTTGTACAATTTGCACTCGACAATATTTGGGCAATCTACGACAATATACTCAGGAAGGACCGGGATCAAGAGAAGGTAGAGAAGATTGTGCAGACTCTCGGGATCAAAGTACTCCCCAGAGACTTGAAATCAAAGGATTCTCGAGCATTACTATCAACAATACTTATGCAATGGTTGCCTTTGTCGCGGGCCGTTCTTGGGACTGTGGTCAGCCAACTGCCCTCGCCGCCAGCCGCTCAGAAACAGAGGGTAACGAATTTAATCGAAAACAGTCCCGGTGGTGCGGAATTGATTGCTCCCGAGATAAAGAATGCAATGGAGAACCTGAACGTAAACGAGGAAGCGATTGTCGCCTATGTCAGCAAGATGATATCGGTTCCTGAGAAAGATCTGCCTAGGAACCAACGGGAGAAACTAACGGCGGAACAACTACGAGAATTAGGACGAATCAAGCGACAGGAAATGGCAAGAGCCCTCGCGGCAGCGGCAGCTAGTGAGACTGCCTCTCTTGGTGGGCAGTCTACAGCAGATTCCGATCTCGAACAGGTTGTTTTAGATATGGGTAATTCCAATCTCGAGACAACAGATACCGACGGCAAAACTGCAGCGCCTGTGGACCCCGACAAGGAGAACCTTATAGGGTTTGCGAGATTGTACAGCGGCACAATATCCGTTGGTCAGACCCTTCACGTCCTAGGACCGAAATACGACCCTCGACAACCAGACCAGCATGTTTCATCAATCACAGTCACAGATCTTTACCTAATGATGGGCAGAGAGCTTGTTTCGTTGGAAAAGGTCCCTGCTGGCAATGTCTTCGGAATAGGTGGACTGGAAGGGAAAGTCTTAAAAAATGCAACGCTGTGTTCGACTGTAACTGGCGGAGTCAATCTTGCGAGTGTAGCTAGTATGGGGGCTGCTCCAATTGTCAGGGTTGCTTTGGAACCAAAAAATCCAGGTCAATTACAGCAGATGATCAGAGGTTTGAAGCTCTTGGAACAGTCAGATCCATGTATGGAGTACCTCGTTCAGTCGAATGGAGAGCATGTAATCTTGACGGCGGGAGAATTGCATCTTGAGGTGAGATTCTTAGACACACACTCTCAAATTACTAATTACTAACGTATTTTTTTAGAGGTGCCTGAAAGATCTTCGAGAACGGTTTGCAAAAATCGAAATTGAGGCATCCAAACCCATTGTGCCATACCGAGAGACAATACTTTCCGTGCCTGAAATGCCGCCACCGAAGAATCAGAATTTGCCCCGAGGTACCGTTGTCATAAGCACGCCCGGCAAACATGTGACATTTAAATTACGGGTACGACCGTTGCCATCAAAAGCAGTTGAATATCTGGAAGAAAATGTTGGGACTCTTAAGAAGTTCTTCGCTGAAAAACAAACTGAACGCGACGCGGACGATTTAATGTTATTGACAGCTGGCGCAGATGCAAAGGACTGTCTTCCTATCGAAGAATTCGAGAAAGGCTTCCAGGCGGTACTGATAGCCGGGGCAACAAAGGATACCAAAAATGTATGGACAGATGTCGTCAGCAAGATATCCTCGTTCGGACCACGAAGAGCAGGGCCAAATATTCTGATTGATAATGCCAATATCCTGCGTAGGATATTGCGGGAGAATGATGAGTCGGAAACGCCTCAGAATGACGGTAATGCAGACGAAGGCCACGAATCGGCGTCGTTACAGATCACAATCAAGGACTTTCGTGACAAGATTATAACAGCATTCCAGAATGCAACATTTCAGGGTCCGCTATGCAACGAACCCATGCAGGGTGTCGCAGTTTTCCTGGACGAAGTAAAAGTGGAGATTGCGGACGAGGAAGTCGAGGCTCTGCGAATGAAGATAGGGCAACTAATTGGTGAAGTCATCACGGGCATGACATCTGCCATACGACAAGGCTTTCTAGACTGGTCACCCAGACTGTTATTGGCCATGTATTCGTGTGAAATCCAAGCATCCAGTAAGCACAAGACAACACATTCCTACATTATCCCCCAGATCCCAAAGTGACAGGGATGTTTGCAAGCCAGGTATTTTGTATTTTGGCTAACTTTTGTGCGATTGCGACAATACGAATTGTAGGTGAGGTACTAGGCAAGGTTTACGGCGTCATCACGCGTCGACGCGGGCGCATAGTAGCTGAAGAAATGAAGGAGGGGACTCCGTTTTACACGATAAATTCACTGTTACCCGTGGTGGAGTCATTCGGGTTTGCAGATGAGATTAGGACGAAAACGTCGGGAGCGGCGTCACCGCAATTGATCTTTAGCGGGTTTGAAAATATCCTCGACGAGGATCCGTTTTGGGTCCCGCACACAGAGGATGAGCTTGAAGATTTAGGAGAGCTAGCAGATCGGGAGAATGTTGCGAAGAGATACATGGACGGGGTGAGGGTGAGGAAAGGGCTATTTGTGGCGAAGAAGATGCTGGCTGGTGCGGAGAAGCAGAGCACGAGGAAGAAGTAGACGGTATCGGATAGTATGGTTAAGCTAAGCTAACGTGCAGACGGACATGGACAATGCATACATGTTTATCACATTCGCGGAGGAAAAAAGAGTAGATGTCTGGGACGGAGAATCGGGTAGTTGCAACCAATGGGGGAATGGAGGTGGTCGAGTTGGTCCGGCAGGCGGCGGACTTGGAGCATGGCAGCTCCACCTTTTCGAGCCCACGAAGGACGACAGAAAGACGTAAGTAGTTTTTAGTCCAGGACTAAAGTATGTAAGACAGAGATTTTAGCCTTTTAGATAGCATAGCTTCTGGAAAAGGAATTAAAACAGATCGGAATCATAAGCTGTTGAAGTCAAACAGGGAAATTTCGAGACAGCCAGCGCCATGGCCCCCCGAAGATTTAAATTAATGCCCTCGGTAAAAGGTCGAAGGTATGGAAGGAACATGGCGGCACGGCGGTACCGACCGAGGTTCAAATTGAAAATTGCATTTCCATGCCCCATCCCATAGCCCATAGCCCATAGCCCATAGCCATCCATACCTGGGTACTTACTTACTTGCTTTACTGTGTAGGTAGTTTCGTATGTAAGATCGAAGAGTGGTGGGGATCCGGACTTCCCTTATTTGTTTACGCTCGCATTGGCAGCCAATGACTGGTCAGAACGAACGAACAGCCAGCCAGCCCGACAGAGAGAAAGCGAGCAACCAGCCAGCCAGCCTGGATCAGACAGAGAGCAGCAACCTGACCTTGAACCTGAACCTGCACCTGAATCTGAACCTGAACCCGAACGCACAAGCAAAGTAGAGCAGGGCGTCCCCCCAGCCTCCCTTCTTTCCTCTCAAGACCGACCGTCGTTTCACACTCTCACTTTCCCTTCCCTTTCCCTTCTCATCCATTTCCACCCTCCACCGCCGTCATCACATCTCATCCTGTCCTGTCCTATCCTATCCTCTCCACGATAACAAAACCACTCGACCTCTGTTGAAGTCTTGACGATTTCACGCCCTCTCGACCCCGCGATTTTTTACTTTGCTAAGAAATCGCCTGCTCGAGTTCATTGTCGACCTTTTCCCGACAACAATCTTCTTGCTCCTACCACAACGCGTCAACACACACACCTCTCTGACTTCTGGAGGGTTCTTGTCGCGCTGCTCTAGGAACTTTGTTAGATAATACATATCCTTGGTCCGTAGTCCTTTTCTGCCGTATCCGACTCTTCCGTTCCAAGTCCCTTTTTTATTTTTTGTTTTATGCCGAATATTCAATCGGTGAAAAGTATTTGTTTCAATACTTTCTTGTCCTGTTTTGGTTGAGGGACTCTGTCTGTGTGTGTGTGTCGCTTTTGAATTCTCATCTATTCATTGTCGCTGCCGGCGACTCCACCAGGTTCTAAATTCCAATCACATTACTATTATTTGTTTTTATTCTTGTTACTTTGCATCACTATCTTCTTCTACTTCTTCTTCTTCTTCTTTTACTTCTACTATTACTATTGCTCTTATTGTTACGACGGTGAAACTAACCTGCAGTTTAAACACATTACAGATTTAAGAAGAATATCAAATTAAATCGCCCATCATGCCTGTCAAAGGAAAGACCCCCGGACAGACGTACATTCAGTCGTACCTGTCGTTGCTCCAGACGAACCCTCTGTACGGAAACCCCATCAGATATCCCCCTCGAAATACCGTTGATGATACTAACAATGTATACCCGAATCGCACAGTCAGACGAAGATGGTAACGTCTGGTACCCTGTCTGCTCTTCAGGAACTTCTTGCATCGCTCATTGCTGGCGACAAGAAGCATGGCAGCTATTTGACCCCACGTGTGCCGATGATGGCCATCTACGGCGCCTTCATCTCGGCCCCACTCGGTCACTTGCTCATCAATGTTCTTCAGCGCGCTTTCCGAAATCGCTCTTCCACCCGTGCCAAGATCCTCCAAATTTTGGTCAGCAACTTCATTGTTGCTCCAATCCAGAATGTTGTCTATCTTGCCAGCATGGCCATCATTGCCGGTGCTAGGAAGAAGGAGAATGTCAAGGCTATGGTCAGGACGGGTTTCTTCCCCGTCATGAAGGTCAGCTGGATTACCAGCCCGTTGGCTTTGGCCTTCGCCCAGAAGTTCTTGCCTGAGCACGCTTGGGGTATGTTATCCCCTATTTTCGTCTTAAACTAAACAATTAGAACACCGCTGACAAGAGTATCAAATAGTTCCATTCTTCAACCTCATCGGTTTCATTATTGGAACCTATGTTAATGCTCTCACCAAGAAGAAAAGGATGGCCGCTCTCGAGAAGAAGAAGGTAAGTTGATCCTAAACCCCGGGTGTCTATAGCCTGACGGGAAATCCCCACATCTATACCACCCCTCCAAGTGTACTTGATTCGTCTAACATTTCGCCTGAAATACAGAACTCACAATATGGTAAGGAGCACCACAAGGACTCCTACTACTCCAAGAGTGACTACCGTTGAATCACTCCACTGTGGTTCAAAGTATAAAAAACGTCCTCGCTGTACACCTGCCCACTTCGTACCTCCAACTGGAAAAGAAAATGTGATCCCAAAGGCAAACCCTTGATGATAATTTACTTTGATGTCCAGCCCTTTTTTAATGTTGAAAAGAAGCGGATGTCATCTTTTTGTAAACCCAACGCCCCCTACTGAATTTTTTGAAGCGCTTTTTACCAATTCATGCGAACGATCCCCATATGTTGACTACAAGAGCGTGTTTCAATGTCACATTTTACCCCTCCTCGAAATCGAAGGTGCAAGAGCAGCATTGGCCGTTTTTGCCTGCGTCCCTCTTATGAGCATTACATCTTGGTCTACCACTAATCGGCATAATACCACAATTATTATACACACACACATATACACAAAAACACCCTTAACAGGATATTTTGGTCTCGGTTTCCGTTCCCCTTTTCATTATACTGTCATGATACGCAATGGTCTTTTTTTTTTTCTTTTTGCGGAACAACAACCCCTCCCCTTTGGAATAATGTCATTTTTATTCTCTTCATGTATGTTTTACTGTTTCCAGCTGGATCTTAATGGGAAGCGCTTTTTTTCGGTACCTTACTACCACCTACCCTTTTATGCGAAATTTGTTTACCTATCGAGCGGTGACTGGGGATGAAAGAAGAGGACTTTTTTTTTATCGGGAGGAAAAAGATTGACACTTTTATTTTTTGTTTTTTTTTATTCGTGGTGAGAGTGATCGAATTGCTTGAAATAGAGATACATGTCCCCCTACTCTTGTGTCCATGTCCCCTTCTTTTTAGCATTGAATCGCGATATACATCGAATCATTGCAGATTGATAGTAGATAGAAATGTGAAAAACTCTACTTAGCGAATTTACCTACCTACCTACCTACCGGCTTCCGACATTCTTTATTTTTCGGTTCGGGTAATGGGCTTGTGTAGCTCGATTTGACAGCTAAACAGCACTTTCAAACCGGATTTGGTAGTATAAAAAGTTGTCAGGAATTGAATATTTATATCTCCCGAGTATAAGGGTTTTTTCTAATGAGGTTTAGAGGTCGTTTAAAAGCAATCTTTGTGTAACGAAAAGATAATGTATCCTGACGTTTTTGCGCCCCTTACTTTTCGGCTCTCTCTATCTCTCTCTCTTTTTTTGTCTCTCTTCGTTTCTTTTTTCTCCTATCTTCCTGGTATATTCGGTTTTGGTTGTTGGTGTTGTTGCAAGAGTTTATTATTATCAAGAAAACCGGCGTGCAAGAAGGTTATAACACGTGATCACTTTTGATTTCAAAATCTATGGGATTTTTTTGAGACTGGTACACTAAATGTAGATATTCATGCGGCTGTTCGATTGAGACTAAAATTAAGACTTTTGGTAAAGAATTGAGGTCGGTGGAAGGATGAGAAGTTTTGGATGGTTGTTGTTGCGATGGGGAAAAAGTCTGGTTACGAGACTTGCGATGGGAGTGGTTTTTTGTGTTGCTTGTCATGTCAACTGTCAGTTTTTCTCCCCTACATGCAAGGCTTCGAGATCGACTTGTTTAAGACCTGGCGAGGCTGGGGAAAGACCGGACGTCGTGGACCCACTGGGTTCTACAGGTATGATATCAGGCCATGCGACCCTCCAGATGTCTGGTTAAAAAACGTGGGGTTTCCAGAACTCCACGGAATGGAAAAATAAAGATCATAAGAATACCTTTATAAATGACAGGAATCAGAAACTCCAATGTTAAGAGCTCTCTCTCTTCCTTATTTTACAGGGAAAAGAGTCTCACAGCCTCGAGGTATACACTAGGTAAGAGGTACGTAGGTATACTATAATTTAATTCGGTGTTTTTGTATTCTTTTTTTGAAATCAATTCTTTCTTTATATGGTATCCTCATGCCACTATCGTACAAAAAAAAAAAACAATGATGTCCTTCAGGGGGAAAAAAAAAAAATGTTTCCCAGAAGAGATAGAACCGCCCGCAAGTTGATATCAAACTTTGGAAAAGAAAGATTTGAAGTACTGAAGTAAATAAAGGATCATGAAATAATAACCAGACAACTCGGTTAACGGCGAGATCCGCTTTCTGCAAGAAGACGAAAAAGAGGAAGAAGAGAAAGAAAGATTGCAGCGAAATCAAATCGAGAAAAGAAAGAGAAGAAAAATATCCCACAATATCAAAAACTCCGTTATTTTTTCCCCCCTCCCATACCCTAAAAAAGCTGTGGAAAAGAAATATTAAGCATGAAGCAGGAATAGAGATTAATGGGATATGCTTTTTTTTTGGAGGAAAGAAAAATAAGAACGCCGGTTGGAGATAAAAAGAATAGCAGCTTGGAGAGTTGTCATCAACATCAAAGAAAAAAAAGGATGAACTGCAAATAATGGACTGGGGAATCTGGAACACGCAAGGAAAGCAAAAATCGATGCGCAGAAATGATGCCGAAATCAATAAATCCTTCCCATTTATTTTTGAATGTTAAAGTGAGAAAGTATTGTGAAGCCGAAGAAAGGGAAACCAGATGCTATGATGAAAGGTTGTATAAATATCTTTCAACTGCATGATTTCAAAGGCGAGAATCAAAAATGAATGAATGGCAGGTGTGCCATTCAAAAAAAAACGAATGCAAAATCGAAGAAAAGACAAGACAAGACAAAAATCATGCTGTGTGTTCCCGGAAACCCAAAAAGAAAAAAAATGATAAAGCGAAAGAGGTATGGCGGATGATAAAGAGTGGATGGTTTAGAAGTTGAATCCACCAAGTCCATGAAGCCATCGGCTCTCGAGAACTCGAGTGATGTCCCATCTGCGATGAATATTCATGTCGAGACACCCCTCAACAACCTCAATAAGCTCAGGCCCGGCGCCTTTGGCTCGTAGAAGCTCTCTATCGTAGTCTCCCTTGGTGATCAATTCTTGAATCATGGCTGACATGCTGTGATGGAAGGGAAGTGAACCAGTTGTCATCGTGTAGATTGTGACACCAAGAGCCCACATGTCAACATGGGTCTGAATGACAGGGACGTCGGACTGAAGAAGCTCCGGAGCGGCGTATTGGAGAGATCCTGTGACTGGAGATTCAGAAGTGGCGGCAATGGCGGTAGAAGAGCCGGCTGGGCCATGACGTTGGATTGGTGGTCGGTTGCGGTGATTGTCGAACCCGTCGTCATCACTATCGCCGTCCGGGTTAAAACTTTGGAGAAACTCGGCCATTCCAAAGTCGCAAAGAAGGATATGGCCAGAAGGATCCTCTTCAGTGTTAACAAGGATGTTTTCAAGTTTGACATCACGGTGGACAACCCTCATATCTTGGTGAAGGTATCGGAGAGCAGATGAAATCTGAAAGGCGTATTTGCGGACGAGATCGAGCTTCAGTCCACCTCTGTTCTTCTTAACTAGGTCGAAGAGAGTACCGCCAATGTTGTAGCGGGTGATACAGAAGAAAGCAAAGGGGGTATCGTAGACACCCAAGAGACCAAGGATATGATGGTGAGCGAGATGGCGCCAAAGATTGACTTCATGCTCGAATTCGGCCTGGATGGCATCGTTCTCGGTTTCCGAATCTCTAACTTTCTTCTTGACAATCTTGACGGCACGAACGACCTTCTTTCCTTCTTCGAGGGTGTGTGCTTCTTTAACAACGCTGTAACCACCAAACCCAATGGTCTTTCCAATAATGTAATCGCCGATCGACTGACCTTCATCGTCAGGTTGTGGTTTTTTGGTTTGCTTCCAGCCCCTGAGGAACTGTGAAGCTGGAGAGTTTGTAGTTGGACAGGAAGCTTTCCGTTGAGCTCTAGTGGTCCTCGGCTTGTCGACAGAGAAGCTCTTAGATCTCTGAACATTCCCGGAATTCATCCATGGCCAAGGAGAGAGCGTAGACTCGTCCTGTAAGGACGAGGGGCTTCGGTTATGACGGTTCATTGGAGAGAGGTAGGAGTCGATGGTATTTGGAGGTGTTTTGACTTCATCGAGAAGAGGTGATGCAGTGCTTGCTGATGTCAGAGATCCAATTCGATCTTTTTCATATAGTCTATCGCTCATTCCATCAACACTATCCTCACGAATCGGTGAGCCAACAGAAGACCCATATCCGCCCCTCGAAGACTGGCTATCATCCCCATCTTCAGACCTAGTGTCATACAGGTCAAAAGTCGGCCCTCGTCGCATTTCGGTTAAAGAAAATTTGCGAGAACCATTTGGCGGAGATGATCCATAAATCTGTAAAGATATTGGGCTTTCCGAAATAGCACACTCTTCTTCTTCATCAGCTTTGATCCGAGGTAGCGGCTGCTGCAAAGGCAGCGACTGTCCCGAATCTAGTCTGACATTTGGGGCAAAAGTTATCGACTTTCTCCTCACACCCATACCGTTCTTAGTACCATTAACACCATTAACACTTTTCTTCGGCTCAGCCTGGCCTGCCGACCGGCCAAACGCACCATGCACGCTCACATCTGTCCTTGATACTGTTGCACTGCTCGTCGGCGTAACGGAAATCGGAGGGGTTGACGCATTCTCGGAAATCGGAGGGGTCGAAGAGATCCTCCGCTGTAGCGATTGAGCGGCAAGCCCCTCTGAAAGTCGAGATGTCTGAGGAGGAGTAGCTGGAGTTGCGATCCTGAGATTGTGGAATCGTCGTTGTCCGAGATCTACAGTATCCATTGGACGTAATTCGTCCTGTTAATAGTGGAACAAGTGGGCGCGGTTTGGAGATAGCGGAAGGTAGGTTTATATATGGAATCCTGTGGTTTCCTTCGGTATTTATATTGAGTTTCGGCTGATGATATATTATATATATAGTTACGTCGACCGTTCTAATCCGCCTAGCTGTATCATGCGAGAAGTGCGAGTGCGAGTAGGAGATATATCCTTCGCAAAAAGGCTCGCCTCCGCGGAATTCGACGGTATGAAGTTGAGAAGAGAAAAAAATATATATTTCTTCCTCCAAACGGTTGTCTCTTATCTTTTAGGGTAATGTTTCGGGTTTGATCACCAGTACAGGCGGAATAAAGTTTGACTCAATGAGAAGAGTTTGTCGGCCAGCACCGTGACTCTGGGATATCAGCTGAGAGGCAGATTGCTTCTAGGCAAGAACGGGCTGATAGTCGAAATCGCCGTTTCTGGAAATTCTCAGTGGGGGCGACAATGAAGTCTGACGACAGAGTACCTTCGCTTCTTAGAGTTCGAAATACTTTGTAAGAGAAAGGCGTATTGGTATGTGAATTCTGATCCAAAGAAAGTTCGAAATCCTCCCTTTAAGTTTGGTGTTTTACACTTTTCTAATATTCTGGAGATGTTGAGACAGCGGGGAGAAAAAAGAGAGGATGGAAGATGGATATAATATATGCAAGCAAAATATTGGAAATCACAAAAATGCGTCAAATGGTGGGGAGCCCTGCTGCTATTATACACACCAGGAGATTTGCCGACAACCTTAATGCAAGGACTAGTGGAACACCACCCCGGCGAGCGTGTCTGTAAAACAAGCTGATCAGGCTGTGGTGTTGATGATTATGGGTACCGGGTGCACACGAAAATGCCACGGAACAGAACTGTAGTGGTGTGCAGGGTTGGCAGGAGCTGCAGTGTGGGGGATATCCCTTCCTATTCCCCTCTCGAAAACCCTGGCTGCCCGATCGTGGTCTGCGGCGAGGGGGTATTACTAGCTTCGTCAATTCATGAAATTTCCCACCGAACCGGTGACTTGGGTAAGATTTCAACCTCCTCTCTTCGACGGGCTGAAGCCTGATTCCGTTTTGTTTATCTTCCCATCTAATCCGGTCTACTTACAACCTGCTCTAAGGCGTAAAATCGGGACTAGCTAATGAATATCACAAGGAAATTTTAGAAGCCACATTCTTCACCGCTAAGGAAATCTGATAGAAAATAGCTTTTAGACTGCGGTGCCCCTACATGACGCTATTGCGCCGGAATAACCGTTTTTCGTACGTAAGATTTTTCACTTATTCGTCGAAATCCAGACCAATCCATGCCATTTGAAACGGGGAAACAACAAAGTCGAGGTTAAGCTGCTGCTTGACAGGAAATATCCCTGGCCCAGTTGCATCGTCGGAACAGAATTGAGGCTTGACCCAGCGATCAACATGGCTGAAGGGTCCGTGGAGAAATCCTATTTCGGGAAAACAACCACGCATTCCTTTGAAATGACGGCCTGCGTCATATTCAGACGAACAACATTTTGATTGCACTGGCAACTGTTATTGACCAACGTTACTCAGAAACAAGACTAAAAGGCGAGGAACGGCAAATCGTAGCCTGCCGGCCGCGAGGCTTAATGCAAATTGACCTTCCCATGTCCTACCCCAGAAACAACAGGTCAATCTGGGGTAAAGGCAGGAGGCATTGCCGTCCAATTGCAGTCCCATTGCAGATCAAGGACTTGCCCTTGACGAAAGGACATCTTTTAGGGATGTCGTCTGACATGAGGAATTTGCCGGTCCGGTATCTGAACCGTTCGGAGTCACGATCATGGCATTGCGCATCCAGCGGGAGCACTTCAGCCAAGATGTGGGGAAATAAACCCCGTATCCACACAATGAAGCGAAATGGAAAAGAAGAAAAGAAAAAGCCCATCTTTTTTTTTTATTCCGCTTTCGAATATATGCAGGTATGATTTTCTTAGATGCTGCATCGACGGTGGAACGGATGACTCGAGACTGGCGAAGTCGCCGTCTATTAGCCAACAGAAATGGTTGTTTGCACACCGGCCTGGGCAGCCAACAAGAACACGGGTCTCCTTCACCCATTCCACCAACTGAAGCTTAAGGGCCACTTCGTCATATTTTTTCTCTTTCATTTTGATTCCCATGATATGCTGCATTATTGCCTTGATGCATTAGAAACATCATCGTGCTAGGTTTGACACCAGCTTACCTTCGGCATAGAGAAGGTCATAAATTCTTGGTATCGGGCGATTACGGAACTCAAAAGTCTCAAGCTGAAGATTTTCCCTTGTAAACTGATCTGGCAGCAGGGACAGGCACTACCAGGCGTCTGGGCTTCAAACCCCAAACTTGGACGGACTTATTCTGCGGAGAAGCTTTAGACGCTTTAGCATCAACCCCGGGCTTCGGCACGAAGCAAAAGGGTAGCAAGCTAAAACGAAAAAGAAACTACAACCCCCGAAGAGAAAACACCAAATCAAGGAACTGGAAGAGCTCTTACTTGGAAAAATTTTGGAAGGAAAAAAAAAAGAATCAATCTTGGGACCTCGCTTTTTAGTTTTTTTTGTTTCTTTCCTTCTAATTCATTCATCCACACCACCATCGATTGGATACGGCGAATCTGGCCACTGGCCACTGGCGGTTACATATGCTTTCAGCCTGGATCAGAAGATCAGTACTTGTTAACCCCATCAAAAAATCTGAAGCAGAATTCTCAAACGGAGTGTGGCCGACAAGGCTCTTATGAATCTCGTGGTGAAGCGAGGAGGAGGCCACGGTGGTTTGCCTGCGAACTTGGATTTCGATGTCTCTTTGATCATATGACATCGTCGTGCTTGCGTATTTCGTCACGGTGCGTCCACCTGAAATGCGGCTACTAACGATTCGTGAGGCACAAATGCGGCGGGTGGGTTCTTTCATTGAAGATAATTCGAGAAAACGTTTAACCATATTTGTTTTCTAAAAATTAATCTGTTCTGGTGTATATTCTCACGGTTGTTCTCTTTTCCAATGATTTTGATGGAAGACTTCATAGTATCGCGGCGGGGTGAGTCGCTAAGCTTTGTGACAATTTTATATTATGCATCTCGGTAATAGATCCGAGTAATCCAGTACCAAATAAAAATACACGAATCTTTCTCGTAAAGATAGTAGGTAACAATGACAAAAAGCCTTATCGCAGTTTCTTTCATTCTTTTGGGAGGGTTGCGATTGGTTGGTGAATTCTTTTACAACTTTTGAGTTTGAGGTTAGAGGGTGCGGCTAGTCGATGGAATTACGTAAATCAAGACCTCTTGGGAGGTAGGGGTCCTTGTTGGGAAGCGTACGGACAGATGGAGTTTGATATTATTGATTCATCGTGATGGTCGCAGATTAATTGAGTTTCGGAGGGGTTTGCATTTTAGCTAGTTGTCTCGTTGAATTTATGAACGAGCTAGGTGATCATTCATTGAGGACAAGCTCCTGTCGGTAAACCCGTAAGGTTTTGCAGGAATCTCAGATATCGTGGAATACAGTTACGTATAACTATACAGTATTTACTTAGGTAAGTAAGTCGCTCTTAATCAGTTTGTATGACCTCGACTGATTCATATTTATCCAACTTTTATAGATATAAATACATGCATCTCATGTCCCCCTATGCTAAGGTCCTAGCGGGCCGAAATTGGATATTTTAATATATATTTCAATCCAACTAGGGTACGTGAGCAACTTTGTTCGAATACCCATAACCCGAAAGCCCTTTAAGAATTGGATCCAGTCGACGGTGATATAAAAAGTATACACCGGCAAACACGTCACATATCGGCCATGAAATTCCATTTTATTCATGTTTCTACAGCCTAATCAGACTAGTGATATCATCGTGCGAATCGAAGCGGTATTAGTAGACGGCATGATCTGAGGGGCTAGTCCGTGATACGACGTTTGCAATTGTGTTCACGACGGGCTAAGAGATATGGGTGTGATTATATATATTTATATATGAGCCTCTAGTTGTCAACTTCAGGTTAACGGTTGGATAAGACACGCTAATGGAAGAGTTCGGATCATAATTATTTGGGGTAACTAGAGCGGGAGGGGTGTCATTGATGATGCCTGGTTCTAACCACGCGGGCTTCTAGGTAGCTCGAAGGTCTTGAACTTAGATACTTAGTATGGTGTGTCGACGGTTTTGGTTTGGTTACACGACATTATTGACAGCAGAGTCCTGCTTATATATAATAACTTGTAGATCTAGAATACTTATATGTGTGTGTACTTAGGTACCTAAGTACCTGGTGTACCCCTCCTACCAGTATGTACATTACATACACGTACGAAGCATACCTAGATGTATGTTCTCCTATATCAGTCTATTTTTAAGATCTTAAGAATACGGTATTATGCATATTCGTATTGTTCTGAGCGGGGTCTGTGCCCCACTGCGGATATAAACGTGCTTACTTAAGCTTCAAGTATAGCATATAAACGTTATGAATCTTCATATCATATGATTGTACATATTATATCGTACACTCGAAATTATATACTAGGTGGGTACCTAATGTACTACCTAGGTAAATACTCTAGATCTACTTATCGGCCCTAATCCCGAAACTATTCTCGTACTCGTAACTAATCCCCGAATCGACCGTCTACCATGCGATTATCTCGCCACTAAGGTAGGCGATTCCCGCAGCACAACATCTTAGACAGCTGCCTTTTCGAGACATGGAAGGATTATATTCGCTGGGATTTAAGGTTATCTAGGGTCCTAGATCATGGTAATAGCATCGATCATGGATTGAGGGATCGTATTCGCTCCCAAGATTTAGGCCTTGTCTAGTATTCTGTAGGCCTTGCCATGTCGGCGAGGTAAGCCTGCACCCGAAGGAGGTGGGAGTTGATCTTGTTCCGATATGTTAGGTCAGGAATCGTTCCAAGATGATACTATAATACTACCCGTCAATTCGAGTCGTATGCCTAGGCAGTTAAGGTTCTGTCTGTTCTCTTAGTGTATATATTCCTCTTCAATTGGTTGTAAATTAGTCGTAGTTCTAGTGAAAGTATGTAAGCTATCTCGAAATCTTGTAGATATAGCGAGTCACGGGGTGTTAAAAAGGGGACCAAGTACCCCGTAGGCGCACGGAAACATCGATAGCGCATAATGATGACGTTTCTTAGCTGGGGAATAGAATCCAACTGGAATTTCGACTCGGGTCTCGACTTTAGGTAACCGACCTAGAATAGCTGAGAAACCAAGCGTTTAAAAAACTGGAATTCTTTCGAGGTGGCTGTTTATTCGTTCGAATGGCTGCTGAGCCACATTTGTATGTCTTAGAGTCGTCTGCGGTTGGATAATAAAGGCTGGGGTTGGTTCGCGTGCGCCGGCAGGCATCATGCAGAAAATGCGGACGGCCATGCTGCCAAAATAGGAGACGTCTTCGATGTAAGTGCCTATCTGCAGGTCTGATTCGTTCTGGTGGAGTCGGTGCGAAGTCTTGATTTCACAGTTGAACCTGGTCGATTGTCGACTCCCCCCCACCCAAATATAGCCATAGTATGTTGGTGATCAGGTAAATCGCTCGGCCTCTTGTTTGATTGGGGTATATTAATTAATACAATTCGATATCGTGATCGTGATCGTACTATACTAGTACTCTGCACGTTCAATGGACAGGTGTGGAGAATGCTAGTGCATTCTCCGCCTTAGCTCGCGATTCTAGTTTATGATTCAACAGATTGATCAAATTCAAGGCTAGCCTCAGGCACAAAGTGAGTACATAGTACGTACTTACATGTACATACCTACCTACTTGGCCTGTGCATTTGCATTAGATATATCTTTCTTATGCACAGCGATAGCACGGAGTAGCTGAGGTTTTAAGGTCGGTTTTGCCCCTTTCGCACGACTTCCGTCTAACATCGCACCGAAAAAGGACTCAAGACCGTCTGTGGTCTGGATATCTCGATCTCCACCGATCTATCCTCCGTCTGTTACCGCATCTTCACAAGCAAGAAGGGAAATAAACCACCAAAGAATTGTTCTGCACTGGCTTCCGGAAGCCTTAGTCACAAACTTTCATACACAGGACTGCGGGTATTTTGGCATCTACGCCACCCGGATTGAAGACTCGAACCCCCCCGGCCTGACCCAACTGTTTCCATTGGCTGGTCTGGGTCTTCAACCTCTTGTTTCAGCTTATTACACAGGGTTTAGGGTGCCTAAGCACTACCAGGGCAATCAGAAGAATCGCGATAGAAGGTAAGAAGGTAATATGTGCGTACGGAGTCTCTAATTTCTCCTTTACACTGCCAAAACAATCGTAGCACAGCTGCACAGGCAGTTCGTTCCTGTCTGCAGCGCTGCCTCCCCCCACCATCACAACCACCGTTATCACCACTCCCCAACCTTCCCTTCCTTCCTTTCTTCCTTCCTGGTAACTTTCTAAGAGGAGACCGGTGGCGGAAAAGAAATCCCATGACTTCCTATTTTCTCAATTATCAGACAGTGCCTTAAACGTGTTTTGTGGTGTTATTAATATTAATCCCATACTTCGATCAAGATCAATACCAATACTTATTATCCTTCTCAACTATACCCGGCCTTCACAGGTATTTTGCTTCTTCCAAACCAACCACTCCGATCACCCGTCAAATTCAGCAATCACCAGCAATTAGACGACCGCATCATTTTTGCGCGATTCCTCTCAGCTCTGAACCAGAAGAGAGAAAGAAAGAAAAAAAAGACAATCCAACGTCATCCCTTTTTTCAAACAAAGGGCAAAAAAACCGTTCGCTAGATAGCCGCCCAAGAGTTTGGACAGGTTCACAGAAACCGTTGGTGCTTCCGTTTGTGGCATTGCATCGAGTTATTCTCCATCCAGGAGGACGCACATACAGACATATCCTAGCTCCAATTGGGACTGTTACATACGGACATTACTTGCACTACGGACCTCCTCAACAATGCCTGGACTGACGCTCACCATCAACCATTGTCTGTAACTGGGTCCCTCACCTCGGGGTTTTCGTCATATCATTTTCATCCCTCTTGCGACCTGACGGGACTCGTTTTTTGACTTTCTATCCTTTTTTTTACGTCAACCTACCCAGGATCTTTCTCCCAAATATTGGCATTCCGCGACCATCGATTTCAGATCCTCAGAGAGTTCGTTCGTCCGGTCCCTTGTTTTATCGGTCTTACATCCATACGTCCATACGTCCAGTCAATAAGGTACCTGCATTGCCGAAACAGCATTTTCGATCTTTCCCCAATTCCCCAACTTTCTACCCAATCCTCTTAATTACCTAGTCAAGAGGTATGCCTCGGCCTCAGATAATTCGAGCTGGTAGGTCCAAAATCAAGCTGATATCTTCAAACCCCTCCATTTGTCGCACAAACCCGTTCGCACTAGTTGTCCCCATTGTTTCTCTGCCTTTTTTTTCCCCTTCAGCCAGTTCTTTTTTAGTCGTTTGAGAGGACTGTTAGAGCGCCTTTCGGCTGGATGATGCTTGTTCTGTGAGAGAATCTGTGGGTGGTGTGGCTGTCCTCGTCTCGAAATTGGTTGTCCCCTTTTTTCGAGCACCAGTCAAGAAAGTTGTCCTGAAACGACAGACCCTTATTTCCGCAAACGTGGTTCAGCTTTTCTCGATCTTCTTCATTATCCATATTTTACATTCCTCGGCCCCCCCCCTTCGATAGATCACTGTCGTTTTGTTGTTTCTTTAACTTTATTTTTCTTCGATTTTATTTTATTTTCTTCGATTTTATTTTAGTTTGTTTCCGTTCTCACCTCTCTGTCGTGTTTCTAAACTTGGGTGGATTTGGAATTCTTTTTTTTTCTTCTTGTTGTTGAGGCCTAGTCTAGTCTGAGGGGACTAGGCACCTGCACCTTCGCCGCTACATACCACTTTACTACTGTCGTTGTTTGGATCTCGACTAACATCGCCTGTTTCTCTTCTTCTTCCATTGTTCTTCACACAGATACGATCGATCTCCAACACGACCAAGATCATCCGTCAGCCAAGGATCATTCGTCAAACGGGTTCGCGACAAAGGCAGGCTCCATTGCACCCTCGCAGGCGAACGCGCTCATGAACGTTGCTCAGGAGCAAATTCATGACCAGCACGACTTGATGACGGTCAACAACAGCAGAATTCACGGGGGGGACTTGAATGGGGAGCCGTACATCCCAGACTCGATAAGCCCTTACAATCACGACCCTCACTATGCAAATGGTCATGACGATGATATGAACGATGAGGATGAAATGGATGAGGAGATGTTGGACAGGATGTCCTCGAGTCCCTCGATCTCGGACGAGGATATAGATTTCGAATTTGTCTACGCGCTACATACTTTTATCGCTACCGTCGAAGGCCAGGCGAATGCTACGAAAGGCGATACCATGGTTCTGCTCGACGATTCGAATTCGTATTGGTGGCTGGTTCGTGTTGTGAAGGACTCCTCAATTGGTACGCAACTCCGGGTATCAGCATATCTTAAGGGAAGTTGTTAACTGACATTCGATCAAAACAGGTTATCTTCCTGCCGAACATATTGAAACCCCATCCGAAAGGCTAGCTCGGTTGAACAAACATCGGAACGTAGACGTACGAATACCCCTACGAGACTTTAGGTTTTCTGCGCCCGCTAACAAGTCTTTTTTTTATCTATTTTTAGTTGTCTACACCGATGCTTGGTGATAATCAGGAGAAGTCCAAGAATATTCTCAAGAAGGCGATTCGCAGACGAGCGGCAAAAACGGTTCAGTTCGCACCTCCAACCTATTACGAGGCTTCGGATCACGAGTATAGTTCAGACGAGGAAGATCCAGATGGCGAATACTATAGCAACGATGATGAGGGCGCAGCGATGGACGAAGATACCGCGGAGGCCGACTCAAAGCCAATCGGTGGATTAGCTGGCGAAGACGATGAGATAACACCGATCGACGCACCGGATACAGTAGATAGGCCCAAAGCGCTGGAGGAAAAACCAAAGGACAAGAAGGACGAAAAGCCGCAGCAGCAGCAGCAGCCGCAACAGCAGCAACAGCCTGCCTCCAAACCATCTACCAAGCCAGAAAGCCGGGGTAGTGACGAATTATTCGACTCAAAGGGTAAATTAGAATCGCATGCGCCTAACACCAACCAAGCTAATGACCCTACTATAGTCGATGGAAGCTCAGAGCCGAAGCCCAAACCCGTTAGGAACACGGATTCTGTTTTGTTTGGCGACCCGGATTCAGAACCCAGGCGTATTACCCTGACACCCAAACTTGCCCGAGACGACGATATCACTTCTCCCCCGGGAGTAGTACCGGTAAAACCGAAAACATCCTTCGATCGAATCGGAAAGAGGGAAGAAACATTGTCCCCGCCACCCACCACCGGTAAGAACGACAAAGCCAAGAAGGAGAAGAAATCGATATTGGGAAGTTTGTTCAAGAAACGGAAGAACAACTCTAAGGATGAAGAGATCGAGGAATTTCTGCACTCAAGCGAGAAGAAGTCAAATGAGTCGCTTCGAGACGACTCGAGTTCAGGTCGACCTGGTAGTAGCAGGGGCGGGAACTCCTTCGAGCAATCGTCTCCACAACTTCAACAGCAGCAAAATGCTCGCGCACAACAGCAACAGCAAAACGAAAAGTTGCTGCAAAATCCAGCGAACCAGCAACCAAAGAAAGGGCCCGAAATCACAAAACTCGTAAAAACACCAATCCGGAAGATAGAATCAGTTCGAGAGGTAGACGAAGAGGAAGAGGAGCAACCATTTGGGATGAGATTTGCCACGAGGATTCTTCCCATCGACAAGCAGCAATCCACAGTTATCCCTGCATCTGCAGAAATGGTTTCTAAGCAGGAGCAGGAGTCATATGAATCAGCTCCAGTGGTGCAGCAAATTACACCTATGGAGGCATCTCCGGTTTCAATTCAAACCTCTATATCAACTTCTGGCCCGGCTACCGAAGAACCTACGCCAGTGATCACTCAAACGGATGCAGTGGATGGAAGAGCTGATGGGTATTACTCGGACACTCCTGATGATCTCACCCCGCATGAACTACCCTCGCTTATACCTGACAATGGTAGTGGATCCGAGGATAACAATCCTCACGATACTTCCCCGACTGAGGCTACATACCCCGATACGCCTGTTGCTCAACCCGGCTCCCCAGGAGAGCTTATATGGTCTGAAGCCGCCCTCAGAACCTATCTAGACGACGATAATCAGGACATCAGGGACTTCTTGGTTGTAGTTAGACATCGGACCGAAGTTTCGACTGTCAAATCGCATCCGCGGATTACCCCCTTGTTTGCAGATGCAAACTCGAAACTTCAGGACATGAATACGGTAAGTCACACCTTGCATCATATTGTTCCACGTATTTCGTTCTAATATAGCTCCCTTAGCGCCTCGATTCAATTCTTGAACGGTACATGAAGTCGCGACGGTAGACACGCCGGCCTCCGGAAATTACCCTTCATACTAGGCGTTCTGAACCGAAGTTCTCTGAAAAAACAAAGCTCCCGTTCTCACCGCGTCCTCTACAGAGATACCGCTCGCTCGTTATCCCCAAAAAACCATCTCGGCTAACGATATGACGGTCTTCTCATACGAATACCGATCTCTTTGGCCCTACAGGCCCCTCGGGCTTGTCGAGTCGTCGAAGCTCGGTCTCCCTCTCTCCTTTTTTATTTTATATACACAAAGATATCTTCTATTCGTAATTTCCCTACATCCTTCTCTCACTGTTTCCTTGGGAGTCACTTCGGCCGGGTCGATTGCAATATGGGACCATCTCGCTGGCGTTTTTGGCAATGTTGATTCGCATTTGTGCCCTTTTTACTCGAGTCTTCTTTTCTTTCAGTTTTCCTTGTGTGTCGTCTGTTTCCCCCTTATAATTCTGTATACTAGCATCATGACTTACGATCTGCCTCGCTCTCTGCACTTTACTTTGTTGACCGAAAAAAATTTCTCCTTTTCCCTTTTCCATTTTCCATTTCCTTCTTCCCTTTGTCTTCTCTGGTACGGAGTCATTGCGGGCTTTCTATTGGCACCTTCGTATATGCTAGCGGCGGTGCCTTCTCTAGTGTCTTATTTTCTTCATTTTTGTTTCTTCCTTTTCATTAATTTTCTAAACCTTGGATACCCCGACCTTCCCTCGAAAACCTTTTTTTTTGATTGTCTTGCAAGTTGCTTTTATTTTATTTACAAATATATGTACATGCATGCGTACTCTCTTACCCGGTCTCCCCCTTCTCTTTGCCTTCGATTTTGAATTGTATTAATAACATACAATTACCATAAAAGAATTGCGATTATCTTTCAATCTCTTTTGATATATATAATTATGAGACTTAGAATTGCCGTCTGGCATTGGCGATGTAAGCCTTCCACGGTAACCTCCACTCTCTACGTTGCAAAGAAGAGTCAAAGACGTCGAAGTCAACCTTTTCTAGACGGCCGAGATATAACGAAGTTGGTACCTAAGTTGGGGGTGTTAGTTGGTGAAATCCACTTTTACTACCCTTTGAATGATGGTTTTGCTAACTTACCGCATGTAGGAATGTCGTAAATGCCGGCCCTTTACCTTCTTCGCCAGCTCTGTTCAACATCTCCCGAGCAGTGATCATATGATCATTTGCTCTTGTTGCGATTTCAAAAACCGCGTCTTTTAGTCCCTGGGCGCTCCCTCCGTGTCTTATAACATCTTCCTGACGAAGACCGTGTTTAGCGCACATATCTACCGGTAACAGCACTGCTGCTTGAGTACTATTCGGTCCCGGGGCGGCCATCAACGGAGTTCCCCTCAAGACGGCGGTTATACCGGAAGCCTTCCCGATATGCGAAGCCACATGATCAAGATTCGTGGATTTATAGTTCAAAGCCTCGAGCGAGAGATAATGTAATGAGGAATAAGTAGCTTCAGAGTATGCCTCCAAAGCATCTAACGTCGTATACGACTGATTGGCCAAATACTGTTCCCTCGCGCCGATGACTTTCATCCAGAACGATTTTGTGAAAGGTATTCGGTCTTCATGAAGGACCTTCGAGAGAAGTAGTGCGACGGGTTCCTGGGGTGGGTGACCATTATATGTCTTTTCGATTACATCGCGCCAGAATTGCATTCGCATACGGCCGACGGTGAGGTTTGAGACTTGATCTGCTATTCGGGCGATGTCGACGTTGAATGCGCGGATGACGAGTTGGGCGTCTCGGAGGGGTGGCGGGTGGAAGGTTGAGAGGATGTAGGATGGGTAATCGTGGGTTCTGAGCTGACCGGGAAGAATTACTGTGTCAGCGAGCGCCCTCGGTGTAATTATACAGTGCGGTTGTGATGATTGATTTGGCGAAGTAGATTCCTCACCTGAGAAGTTCACGGCAGTAGGATCGGACGGCCTCGAGATTGGCGCCTGTGGGGGTATGATGGTGATGGTGATGGTTATGGGTATGGGTATGGTTATGGTGATGTGCGTGCGTCGAGTGGGTTCGGATTGATCGGGCCGTAGACTGCATTGTCGGCTGCAGCCATCGACCCCGTTGTTGGCGGAGTACTATCCGGGCCGTAGACATTGTCGTTACCGGGTGTAACCTATGTTACCTTTGGAATCGAGAAGTTGAAAATAAAAATAGTAAGATAAATGTTAACGTTAGTATTAACGAACATCTTTTTCTCAACACAAAGAGATGTCTCGCAACCGTGGATCATAACCCATTTTGGAACACCCAGTTTAGTACTGAGTTACGGGGTATATTCGCTCGTTGGGAAGCTGGCATGTCGCTCCGAGTCTGCTAATATGTAAATTTAAAGCATGGATCTGAAGATGTCGCCTTTTATGGTACTGGATGCGCTTATATTTAATATTTACTTAAGTATTCAAGCAGATAAGTAGAGGTAAGTAGTTACCTATATACCTACTATTGGATGTGTCTATATATGTCGTGACCTTGCATATAGCCACAGCTTAGGATTGCTGGAGCTGTATTGGGAAAGGTGGGCTGGTATAAAGTAAAGGAAAAGGCCGACCCGCTTGGGGCTGCCCCTCCTTGTTGGAATTAACGTTCAGTTGATTCCGACTCAACCTAAACCCATAAACCCCCCACTTGACGTTAGTCCGCTTCCCGCGACCAAAATCGCATGACTGTCCTGTTATCTTTTTTTATTTTTTATTTTTTATATCTTATATAAAGAAATAAAAAGCAGAATAGTAGAAAAGGAGTCCACTGACTACCTACCTACCTATCTTCTGTCATCGTCATCGTCATCTTTCCCCCCCTTTCATTTCTATTCGCATCGTTTGCATTCTTATTTCCCCGCGCATCAGTTTGTCGTGCTTTCAAGTTGCACCCCGCAGAAACCTTTTAGATATTGGGACGGACCAGGGCTAGCTGTCAGGTATGGTTAAGGATCCGGGTCCCTACCTACCTATCTATACCAGAGCTAACGACTTGGCTTTATATTACTTTCGACACTTCCAGACCCTGCTGCGAATAGCTAGTACATTCATTCGACGTCGTCTGCTTCGGACCCGATCGATTCGATAAGCTAGCACATACATACACTTTCTCTTTCTCTCCCTCCGCACACAACTTGGAAACGTGGTCACTTACCCGGGGGGACTATTGGCATGGTACGATCTCCAACATCGATACGAGGCACATGAGGGGGATGGGGGAGAATCTCGATTGCCATCTTGCCAACCTACCCTAACTACGAACTGGACAACTGAGGGGCTGACTATAATACCACGTCGGATGCATTAATAGAGTAGCTCATCTTCCCAGCGCGCTGCGCTCACGCAGTTTATGCAATTCACACAGACACCCGAAAGAACAGCAAAGAAGGTGCGTGCGTGCGGGCGGGCGGGCGTGTCAAGAATCAAGCCATAAATATAAATACGGCAACTGCTGACCGGATTCCGTTTCCCTATAGATCCTCCAGGCGAATAATTGGAACCTGGAACTTGCCATTGACTCGTATGTTCCCATTTCCTCCCCTTCCCTTCCCTTCATATCATAAACTCTACTACAATTGTCACCTATTATCACCGTCACCGTCATCATCCTTATCACCATAAACATCACCTTCGTCGTTATTATTGTCTCTTTTTTCCCCCTTTTACTTCCTTGGTCAAGTCCTATACATATGTTTATATCTATATAAACATCCCAATCGCCTGCAATGTTTAACAATGAGGGGGACCAACCTGATCAAAACTCGAGCACATCGAGCGGGTCTACCCCTCGCCCTCGTGGAAGACCAGTGCAAGGGGCCAGCACAGAAGGTGGTAGTTCCCACCAAACACATCAACAGTTTCAAAGCTTGAATCTGGATTATAACCAACCTACCTACTTGCCTTATCAAAATCCGCGTCCACAATTGCCTTCTGAACACAGCTTCGAAGATCGTCAAGCGCTTCGAATGCAGACCCCTTATCCGTTTTATCAATCACAAAATCCCTTGCAAGATTATTTTCAATATCCCTACCAAACGCAAGAGCAGGGTACCCAGACGCACCGTCAAGAGCAAGGCCAGAATACTCTGCCGCAGTATCAAGAGCAGGGTACCCAGACGCACCGTCAAGATCAAGGCCAGAATACTCTGCCGCAGTACCAAGATCCGGCGCAAAGTTCTCAGGCGCAGTATCAAACACAGGCGCAGTATCAAGGGCAGACACAGAGCTCTCAGGTACAGCACCAAGATCAGGCGCAGGGTCCTCAGGCGCAGCATCGAGCGCAGACGCAAAGTCCTCAGCAGCATTATCCAGGGCCGAGTGGTCAACCATCTTCTCAAGCGCGTTATGCTCCGCAGCGGAATTATGCACAGAATCAACGGGCGCAAGCGCAGGGTACCTATCCGTACTATCAAGGCTATGGCGTTCCACAGCACCAGCAAGCGCAGGGTTCTTACCCGTATTATCAAGCACAGGTTCCCTATTCATATTATCAAGCGCAAGTTCCCGGTTATAATCCAATGCAAGGTTTTCAATTTCACACCCCTCAAGGATACCACCAGGTGCCGCCGAGTTCTCAATTATATAATTATTACCAAGCGCGAGCACAGTTTCTTCCGCTGAAGGTTGAACTGCCAAACCTTCGGCTACCATCCCGTTATCAAGCACAAAATCCTCTTACGCAGTTTCAAAGTCCGCAGACGAATAACATGCCTATGGCTTCTTCTTCTTTCAATAGTTACTATCAGAATCCAAGCACACCTTCGGCATCGGGTCCAACAAACCAAAATGCGATCAATTCTGTCTTCGATCAATTTAGACGTACGTTCAAATCATAGATTCTATAAGGAAAAATAAAAATCAAGAAACAAAATGGGGCACTAAATTTGGACAACCTCCTTTCTTTCTTTCTTACAGAGCCTAGTGATCCTCTCGATGAGTTCTCGATAGATGCGACGATGGCCTATTTTGACGCACTGGGACTGCAACTCGATGATGTTACCCTCGTTCCACTCAGTAAAGTACTGGGTTCCGAATCTATGGGAGAGATCAGCCGGAAGGGGTTTACAGATGGGTGGATGCAGCTAGGGTACTCTATACTAATCCTTTGGAATGGTTCATCCGATTCCGATATGTAGCTGACGTTCTATATCTTTATATAGCGCCGATTCCTTGCCTAAGATGCAGGAGAAGCTTCAAGAACTCAGACAATCTTTAGATACTAATGAAGAATACTTCAAGGAAGTCTACAAGTGGGCATTTGGCTGGGCGAAGCCAGCGGGGTCGAAGGCCTTGCCGCTCGATAGTGCGACAGAGTGGTGGAGACTTCTTTTGCAGAGCAGGTTTGGAGACAACGGGCACTTGGAAAGATGGTTGGAATTCTTGAATGAAAAGTGGAAGAAGAGTATTCCAAAGGATACTTGGAATATGTTCTACGAGTTCATTTTATCTGCGAAAGCCGATCCAACTTTGACGGGATACGATGAAAATGGTAAGGAGAAGGCCACTTGGTTGATATTTACTGTTGAACACTTGAGGAGACTAATATTGTGTTTGAAATTAGGATCATATCCTTCCATCATCGATGCTTACGTTGACTATTATCGGAACCTGGAGCAATGAGTAAAGGGTACTACATTAGCTGAGGTTCGTAATATTGCACATCTAGGTTGATGGCTTGAAACTGGATAGGGGAACGATATCCAAAGCCCCCCCCCCCCCATTCACACACACCCCCCTTCCACTCATACTCCCGTTTTTTTATTTTTGTTACTGCACTGCAGATAGGTTTCTTTTTTCTTTCTGGGGTTCATCCTGTCATGAGATCGGCTTCTCACAAATGTCACCTTAGCGGCTTCATTTCTTGCTACGATACAAATCTAGCGCTCTTATGACATCGGTACGGGATAGAAAGTAGGCGGCTATTGTTAACTGTAGATTGATCGATCGAAACATAAATCTCAAATTACAGAGCCCTCTTTAAGCTAAAGGGTCTTGCTAGATCTAGATCCCTTAAACAGCGTTAAGAGGCATATGTCACCTTCGTGAGCCGGTCCATTGTCGACTAGTCGTTAAATTTGCGTAGTATATATACAAGTACTTCTGTACATTACACCCGGATATCCCACCATTTAGGGAAGAGTAGGTTGCATCCTAGATAACGGTATCGAGATATGATTTTCGGTAGGAAGCGACAAGGCTGCAGGGCTGAACATGTGCCGGTAATAGGCAGCAGAGATGCATTAGTATTACAAGAGTGACATTTGCCATTATTCTTCCAATCGGGTTGTTGTCGAAATCGATCTTGACCTGTCATTAGAATATGATAGTATTGGCACTCTAACTATATTTTCCCATGCACGAGGCAGCGAAGTTTGGCGAGATTAAAGCTTTGTCTATCAAATTCGAGAGCCTCTTTAATTAAGTTTTTTAAGTTAGCGAGCGACCTTGTGTATGTGTATGTGTGCCAAGTTTAGCGAACCGCACCTTTCTTCAACTTCAAACTTGCGACACTAGCTTCTTAACATCATCCAAGCAGACCTTTTCTGCCCAACGAGCGGAATCCGAGAAAGGTCCCAACTTTTTTCTTCGGGAAACTTGGGGGGAGAATCACGGGAAACGAATCAAAATATTGGGACGGATGCTGGGATTAGGCATACATCGCACATCGGTCAAGAGGCAACAGCAGCCTTGTTCCCACACTCCCTGCCTTAAACCTTTCGATCTAGATCTGACGATGTAGCACACTTCTACTACTACACGAGTGCATACACACACACACACACACACACACACACACATACACATATCCGCGCACATACGACAGCGATCACAATTACAATATTTGATCCCAATGACGCGATGATGAGTGGACCAACAATCAGCAGTAGCGGCAATACTGGTAGCAAGCAGCTACCCCGAAAGACCAGGCAACGAGCTCGATCTCTCCGAAAATCACTGCTTACATTCGCATCTTCTTCCTCGTCCTTCACAAAATCAGCCGTCAAGAATAACGGCTCAACTCTAAATGTTACGGATATAGCTGCTACTACCGCCGGCGGCAGCAACAGCAATGGCAATGGTAGTGGTGGTAGTAGTAATGGTCGAAATCCCGGACTCGCGGGTGTAAACGGCGGCGGCGCGTCTTCCAGCTTGAATAACTCCGAAGACGACGATCATCTATCACCCCCTCCCCTGATGATGAGGGATGCATCGGTGGCATCCCGCAGTTCTTCGAGGATATCACGGTCCTTCCGACGGACGAGTTCGTCGCGTCATGTGGATTATGCGGATACGGTGTGGTGGGGGTGGGTGATGCTTATAACTACTTGGGTGGTATTCGTGGTGGGGATGGGGAGTGTACTTGGGATATGGGATTGGGCGTGGTATGGATCTGCTACCAATGCTACTACGGGAGGAGGGTTATGGGGAGAGGACTATGATCCTGATGATGATTTACCTATTCCTGGGTATTATCCGGCGTTGGTGATATTGACGTGGGTGGTTGCGTGGGTTTGGGTGATTATTGCTTGGGTTGGGATGAAGTATTTTAGACATGCGAGGGTTGCGCCGGCGAATTAGAAGATTTTTTTCTTCTTCTTCTTTTCTTTCATGTTGGCTATTAGAAGGTGGGGATTTGACTTCTATTCAATATCCATTCGATTTGTATAAAATTTCGACCCGGACTTCTCTTTCTTTTTGGTTAAAAGCTCACCGGGTGGGGTACATGCATAATTGGGTTTTTCGTCATGGACCAGAGGCCCCCCCTTCTCTCTTTTGAGATCTGATGCCGTGGTACATCCTCGAGACTAGCTACCTAAGCACATAGGTGTACATATATCTTACGTCCCATTTTTTTTTAACCCCCCCCCTCCATCGAATGCAATGAATGGAATGGAATGAACGGAAGGCACTCGTGACGAGCGGGAGACAAGAGAGACCCTAGCTAGAAAGTTGGTAACACGGGATATATCCAACTGAAACCAACCCGAACGTATCCTCCCGTCTCTCCTCCCTGGTTCCTTTTTCATGTATGTGCGTGTACGACCAAAGATCTATATATACCTGTATACGGGTATGTATGTATGTATGTACTCCGTACTTCATACTCCGTACAAGCCTGTTGCTTTTCCGTTAGATTGGTATGATTCGCTAGCTTACTACCCCGTTAGATATCAAGTATTTTTGCCACCACTTCCAACCCCCCTGTGGAGCTCAAAACTTCAGGTTGGTTGGCTAGTGGCTGTGGCAAAAGACAAAGGGTATTTCTGTTATTTTGTCTTAGCAGAAAGAAAAGAAAGAAAAGGGAAAAAAGAGGGATCCCGGTAACAGTTTTGTTATCTGAGCACAAACAGGGACGTCCTGAAGTGGGTATTGAGTATGTTAGTACGTTAGCTAGAAAGACCATCTATCCGAAATTAAGTGAAACGTTCTGTTAGCTTGCTTGTTTTTCGGTTGCTTCCGTGGCTTGGTTTATTATTATTTGTAACTCTGAGACCCTTAGTTAGGTTTTCTTTGGGAAGGCTGCAGGGTTGATACATAATAAAGGGTTCTTCTGTACGGGATTGGACCGGCGGGGAAGGGTTTGGGATCTGATATTGATATTGATATGTGTATACAACTGTGTATCGAAGTATAAGCTTCTTTTATGAATAACCTCCATGGATCCAGCTGGTCAGAATGAGCTTGGAGATAGCTAGGCAACTATACTACACATATAATGAATGCTACATGGTCCCTGTATTAAATAAAGAAAGAAAAGAACCAAGAAGTTCCGAAGCACTCAAGCATCTCTACTTGCATAGACCTTGCCGCTTTGTCAGTTGCAACCCTGAAAATCATCGCCAGACTGGTTCATAGCCTTGTTAGATTGAAACCCGAATTAAGGCACTTTATTGAGCCTTTGCGATCGGCTTACCGAACAAATCCGCGTCGGGGACATAATATTATTATTATGATCGATGGGTTTGGGGGGAATTGGTTAACTATGAAGTCATATGTATGAAGTATACTGTAGGCGGCCTGCTTCCCGGAGTGCTCTATGGATTTAGAGCTAAAAGAGTCTAGAATTAGACCCACTCCTCAAAAATCTCTGCGCTTTTGCACTTGTATGCGTACACGGATTGTCAAGGAATCTTCAGGTCAAAAGTCGACGGGTTGATCCTTGTGCTTTGTTTGCAGCGTCGATGGCTGTGCATACAGGTGTATCGACGGCTCGATTTTGATGGATCTTGATGTGGGGCTCTCCCGCTTTCCCTCGACATCCTATTCAGATCTACTGATACAGTATACAGAAGTATACTTCAAGCTACAATACCTAACCTACCTACCGAGTCCCCTCCTATTAGCTATAGGGGAAGGGTTTGACAAATCTTGTTGAGCGACCAAAACAGTTCTACCGGTACCACAGCTATCGATCGTACCATGCAGCAAAAAAAGTCCCGTGGAAGGTGGTTCCTTGCAGCTTGTCCTTAGCCATGCAGCTAGTTTTAACATGCAGCAGTCCACCTGGTCCGTCAGCGGTTCCCTCGCACTCCTCGGGGCAGATCTCCGATACGCCACTACATCTATCTGGACCCAGTCACCCCATGAAGACGAAAAAAAAAAAAAAAAAGTTACCTTCGGGTACAAAATCAAGTGTTACCGATGTTGCATGGATTGAAGATGCTTGCGAGAGCTAGGGGGAGTTCAATTGGTCACGTTCTCCATGTCGTCGCCTAGTTCGGGATGCGAAAGTGCGCAACTATGATGGAATTAATATTTTTTTGGTCCTATTTATTTACTTATTATCTTAACAGAAAAGTTTGCCTAGCCCTCGAAGTCGATGATGCTAATATGAATTAATATTGATAGGTACCTACCAGTGGGTGCTGGTATTGGGGAACCCGTCGGAGCCTACCTAGCTGGATCAACGTCGGGATAATTTTATGCAAGATGCAAGATTCTCAGCACACTTCTAGACTGCTGCTGTATTGGCTGTCACAAAGCCGCAAGCGAGCGAGCTGACAATGGGGAAATTGACATTGACGAATTCGAATATCGGAGACATATCATTCAAAGAGGGAAAAGGGTGGCTTTCCGCATGCATCTACCAGCCCAGGTCGAGATGCAATGCATGCATTGCAATGGCACACGTCGATATATATATATACTGCGTATTGAAGTATATATCACCCATTGTACCTTTTTGCGATCTGACCACGAACACTCTTTTCCAACCGATGGTCCCTTTCTCTGAGAGGCACTCCTCTCAACGGAACGTAACGATACGCCACTTTAATATTACACCGCACGTATCGTTTGCAAAACGAAGCGTGTGGGTGCCAGGTGGGGAAACGGCCGCTGTTTCCCCCAAATCCATGCAATTGGACGTCGGGAGGATGGATCATTGGCCGGTTGACAGGTGGGAAATGGGATCGTTGCTTTTCCTCTCCTGAAGCTTGGCCTGCAGGGGACCCGGATCTCCCACCCTGGTGCATGGGTTCATCGCATGGGTGGGCCGGATAGGAAAACATCTGAACATCCCACACACCATCAAATCACCTTCGACCGGGTTTCTCTGCTGTTCCGTGCGACTGAAACTGGGGGGTTTTACAGTTCAAGATGCACAACAGCGAGTTAACGGCAGTACCTTGGGGGCCAGGAGGGAGGACAGGTTCCTGTGGAGGGATATTTGCAGGCTAGACTTTGCCAGTCCCACGGACTTCCAAGGATTATTCGACCTGACTGCCTTGCCTTACCTTGCAAAATGCTCCAATGGGGTAACGAAAGACTTCACCATAGGCTTAACCAGCTTGAGCCGTTGAGAGGGTATTAAAACTCTCGATATGCCCCCCTCTTCGACACTCCATACACTTTTGGGCACCCCGACGTTCGTTTTCCCCCCCTTCCAAGCCCAGTCTTGCCTTTTTTCACAAATTCGAAATCCGGGCTTGCCAAAAAAATCTGATATTTGATATCCTAGCGTAATATTAAGCCGCAATATCAGTATCAGCTCACCACTCTCGCTGGCCTATCACCATTCAAGATGCCGTCCTGGCCCTGGAGTCCTCGACTTTCTCGATCCCTTGAGTCGTCTCGATCTCCTTCAGCAGAACCCCAAACCCCTACTACACCTGGTTCAGCATCCCTTTCGCCTTGGGTTGAACCCGACTCCGACCAAGATGGTGATAATGATGATGATGATGAAATCGTAAACTCTGCTATTAAAGAAAAGAGCGGGAAGGCTCTCAAACATAATTCATACGACTCCAACTCTCAGCGGCAGAATAAACTAAAGTCAGCCACTCGTAGTAAAACCCTGCGCAGACCTATCCCTTCATTTGATGAATTTGCAAATTCGATTCCAGAGGAGGCTACCCCAGGATTGGTAGTGTATGAGAACGGTGCCGCGGCGGCTTCGACTTCCTCCACAACGGCCGCCGCCACCACCAAATCCACAACCACCAGTATTACCACCGGGTTTGATGAGAAACCCTCTCAGGAGATTCTGTTCCCCGGTAACCCAGAAGATTTCCATCCGATTGAAGAAGTCAGAAAAACAATGCCTCCAGTTCTTCCTCCTCCTCCCCCTCGAAGATCCAGTTCTCGAGCATCATCCCGCACCACACTTAACACACCGACAAAGGAAAGAAAAGGCAAAGAGAGAGAAAAGGGGAAAGAAAAACAGCACATCGACACCGACCTACCGCTCTTAAATCGAGAACTCTGTGATATCGAAATGTCGCCGAAAAATATGCCCTCCGAATCGAAGAGTGGCCTGTTAAAGGAGGAGTCGACGGATGCTGAGGTTATACGGCTTCGAAAGGTACGAGAGAGAAAGAAAAACATGATCTTTAAAAAATGGCGCGGGTTCAAACGGTGGGATATATAGGAGAGATTGCTAATAGATTTCTGTAGATGTGTGAAGTTCTACAGGAGAAAATCATACAAATGAGCCAGCATACACCACCGGCCCCAACGTCGAATTCGAGGCGTTCTTCTTTAATCATCGGTGATAGGTTATCGAGGGCGAAATTCAAAGACATCCCATCCGAAGAGCTGGCCACCGAGGTATTCAACCATTTACCCAAACAAACCCCCCTCGTGGGTTTTTTTTGTTTACACCCAAATTAACCCTCCGAGAATTTAGGGCCACCGAGTTGCACATGTCATGCGGGTCATGAATGAACAACTCCAGAAGAAACTTGAACTCCGCGAGAAACTTTTATTCCAAAGAAACTCCCACATAAGTCAACTCGAACAGACGCATGCCACACAGATCGAAGAATTCCATGCCGCTACCAAAACTGATATACAGAAGATGGTTACGGCCTATCAGAAGGAGATTTCTGAAATGCATCAGAGGAATCTTTTGCAGATAACAAATCTTCGAAATGAACTGGAGGGGAAGATGAAGATCAAAGAGATGCAAAGCCACCACGAGAAGTCAAAGTTACTGTCGGAAATCGACATTCTAAAACGAAGGGAGGCGGATCTAATTGCATCCCATGAAATCGGGATGCAGGAGAGGGAGGAATTGTTTGAGAAAGATCTCGCATCTCTGAGAGAAAGTATTGTTGCAACTGAGGCCGAGTTTCGAAAGAATTACGAGGCAAAGTTGGAAACTCTACGGGAGGAACATGAGAAGGAAATCGCAGAACTCAAAAAATCCATCATCACACGACCTCTCGATTTATCCGACGATGTCGACAGAGATATTGTCGCGCAGAAGATCGCCGATCTTGAAAGTTCGCTATCGGAGCATATCGAGGAACTAACGGCCGAAAGAGAACGTTCTTTGGAATTGCAAGTTGCACTCGATGCCTCCGAATTCTCCCGTCAGACCGAGAAAGAGAAACTCGAACATGCCGTTCAGGAAGAATCCGCCAAGCGGGAAGACTTTCAGAAACACGAACAGCGAATCCGAGCCCAACTATTAGCCGCCTCTGATGAAAAACGCAAGGAGTGTTTAAAACACGAACGAGCGCGGTACGAACGTCTAGTTCGTGAAGAAAACATCCGACGAAAAGCGGCTTCCGACAGATACGAGTCCGAATTAAAGGAACTCAAGCAGAAGAATGCGGAACAAGTAGAACTTTTCCGTCTGCAAAAGGAGTCGATCTTTGAGTTACACGAAAGGGATCTTCAGGAAATGGAAAAAAGGATTGTAGCTGAACAAGCCAAGATGGCAGAGTACGACACATTGCTAGAAACTGTGAAGTCCTCTAGGAAAGAAGATCGCAAGCGGTTCGAATGCGAGAAAGCGGATATTATAGCCGCTCATGACAGGGAGAAGGAGGCATTTGCGCAGGAAAGGCTTATTCTAGTAGCCGCACAGACGAGGGATAAAAAACTCGCCAATGCTGAGAAGGAGGCCCTTGAGACCGACTTGAAGAGAATGTCGAACAACTGCGAGGAGCTTCTACACCGTAGGGTGAGGGATAGCATTGGTAGTGCCAGTACTCGATCTCGCCGGAGCTACACCATTAGCGAATCCGGTGCCCCGGTTTCTGAAGAAGATGAGGCTGAGAAGCGGATTGCGGCAGAGGTTGCAAAAGTCACCGCTTATTCCGAGTCCCAGCAGAAGGACTCGACAGAAAAATATGAACGACAGACAGCAATACTAAAGGCTGAACTTCAAGCCATCCAAAAGCTTCAGACTAAGATCAATGCCCAGGTCGCGGAGGACGAGAAGAAGATCGCAGAATTGACCACAGAGCTTGGTTCTAAGAATGCAGAGATTGAACGCCAAGCCGGGATCATTGCTGACCTTGAACTTCAACTCGAGTCCGAAAAAGGCAAATTCAAGGATATCCTCGAACGCAATGTTTCACTTGAAAAAAATCTATGGGAGCAGAAGGAGGCCGCAAGTGAAGCCACCAAAGATTTCCAATCCCAAATCAAAACCCTGAATGATGAAAAACAATCCCTGCTAGCCACCATTGCCACTGCTGGCGTTGAAGACAAAGAATCCGCTGGCGAGAAACTCAAGCAAGCGATTTCACTTGGCTATGAAGCCGAGCTACAGGAACTCGAAGCCCGCCATAAGGAGGTCATCCAAACCAACATCAATGCTCTCTTCAAACTAGAAAACCTTGTTCGCCATTTTGTCAACATGTCTGGGGAACCACCGCGCTCGCCATCATTCATTGGTACCCCGCGCACCCCGTGCTTCCTTGGAGATGTGTCTACGCCTATCACAGATGTTTCGCCGAGTTTAACAACCGCGCGATCGGCTTCGTCTGGTGGCAGCATCAGGTCAATGCCTCTTCATGAACCCAGCTTTGAGCCGACCTTCGAGCCAACATTTGAGCCTTCTACTGCAAAGGAAGGTTCTATGGCCGAAGCCGATTACGTTGAAGCTTTGAAGAAGGCAGAGGCCGCGTATACCAGCACTACCAAGTCTTCAGAAGATCGCGGCGAAGTCCTACTCGACATACAGACCCAGATTCGCTCGTTCAAGCTCCAGCAATTGAGTTTCCCGGCCTCGATCGCCGCTGCTTAGCGGTCTTCGAATAATAATAAAAAAATAAATGCAAAAACTATAAAAAATATAATTTTCTTTTCTTACGCTCCTTTCATGTCCGTCATGAATATGTGGTTTATTTAGCGATAGTCACTTTCCTTGATTCAAAGTCACACTCCTTTCATACTTGAACTTTTCCTTGCAATGTTTATTTCCTTTTTTTTTTTTTTTTTTTTTCTTTTCGTTTCACATCACTTTGTATTATTAATATCATTCCCGTCTGTGTTTTCCTTTGAATTCTGTTTGTAGTCTTGGGTTTTTCGATTTTCTGATAACAAACCTATACCCCGTCCCCTTTCCCAAGTTACCTTTTGCTCTTTTGATGACGTTGCAAGTGGAGTTATAATTATTAGAGGAATATTTTTCATTTTTATCCTAGCTTTGCTTCCCGCTCAGAGCCCAACCTGTTGTCTCCTCCCGTCGTATTTCACATCTACAAAGACCCATACGCCGACCCAAAAAAAAAAGTCCTTTAATTCCAAATGTCTTTGCTGTCTAAAGCAGATATTATAACTCGAGTACGTACTCGTATAATTATCTTTTTCTTTCTTTTCAAGCTGGGGTAAAGCTTGCATTGGAGAAGGCAACCCCGATATCATGTATAATAGAAAGTCTTATCTTGATAATTGATAAAATTACATTGTGACTAGTATTATATCACAAAATACATATCTCCCATCTAACTTTAAATCCAGATTCGAGTTTCCCAACCGCGTTCGAATGTAACATATAAAATACGTGAACTAGTAGCTAGTCGGCTGCACATGATCACTGTCAATCAAATCTTCAGGGTATATTAAGAATAATATATAATATCACCCCTAAACCTTCCCTTTTTCTTTCAGCGTACAGAGTATGTAATATATCTGTAACCAAGGGTATCCATGGGACGAGACAACGAGCGGGATGGATGTTTTGATGCAAACATTCGTATCGCTTGACACACTCTGGTAATGGATTAAAAACTTATCTAAAACCCCGAGGTTAGATTGTTTCTACTGCATTCTACTACTACTAACTAGTAATAGTGGCTCCACGCAATGCTTTGACCCCTTCCGTTCGGTTTATTTTTTTTTTTTTCGCGCCCCCTTGCATTGGCTAAAGTCGCTTGTCAAAGAGAGGTAATGTGGTTTGTGTATTATAATTGTAGGGCATGTATGATATAGTCCGGGATGCCGATATCGCGGAGGGATTGTATATTGATTTATGATCATCAGGTGATGTATTGATTTCCGTTCTTTCTTTATATTCATTTCATTGATATCATAGCGTTTGAATTGGATATCTATATATGCATGTGCTCAAGTAGGAGTATCTTGATATTCCTTTTCCGTATACCAGCTATATGACTTTCGATGTATCGAACGCAGACGGGCGACCGAGGTAGTCATCGTGCGTGATATCGCCTTACTTGCAGTATTGACAGCGACATCGCCCCACAATGGTCTGGAAGAAATAGCAGCCTAAACGGCACTCTCGGATGGAGAATTTTAATTCTTCTTCTTTTTCTTCTTTTTTTTTGCCCTTGAAGCTTTTTTTCCTTTCAGGCGAATTTCGGACTTTCGATAATTGATACAGTTATATTAAAGTTTCAGAGACTGCGTGGCGTTCTTTTTCCCCCCTTCCCTGAAGCTAGTTAGTAGTTAAAGTCAAAAAGTCGCCCGGGACGAACTGACTCTGTTCGAGGTTCGCGCCCCGAAGCAAGGGCCACACCGTCCCGAAACTGGCCGCCCCGAGGTCTCGAAACGGACGATAAGAAGGAGTTAAACGTTCTGGACACCCATAGACTCAACACTTTTTTTCCTTTTAGATATCTTGAATTCTTTTTGGCTTCCTTGGAAGTCTTCATGTGAATGGCGGCGGTGCACGGATCCGGGCGTTAGAACGCCATCTTGTCGTATGTACTGTGTATGTATGCACTCACGAAGGGTTGAAGTTCAACAATTCATGCAGTTGTTACTTCTTCAGCAACCCGATTCCCTTTTTTTTCTAAAAATGGTTGCCGCCACTATGTACTATGTGGTTTTCTTTCTTTTTGATTGCGATGTTGGATTTGAGTGGATGTGCGCGTGTGTGCATGTGTGGAAATAACGTGAGAAGCACTAATATGTAGAACTCTCTCTCCTCCCACGCGATATCCCAAGATTTTAGCACACTTATCTCGGCCAGGGCTGATATTTCCTCTCAAAGGCGCCGTTTTTGTGGCTTTCTTTTTTCTTTTCTTTTCTTTTCTTTCTTTTTCTTCTTCTTCTTCTTCTAGTGTGCATATATACTAGTATGTATATGTAGTATGTGGCGGGCCGAGATTGCATTGGCTATCTATATGCAATGCATGTTTTGAGATCCAACATTCTTCACGACATCACAGCAGGATCAGTAGAAGTAGAAGTAATTTCCTCCGATTTGCGAGATTAAGTCATAATATCAGGCGAATTTAAATTGATCCTTTATGGCTTATATAACTAAATCCTCACATCCATCTAGATATCTTGTGTGAACGGGTCTAGTTTACTAGATATATATAGATGGGCTTGAGAGGCTTCAATCCCGGCAAAGAAAAAGAATCTCGCTCATACTTATTTTAACTAGTCGCTTAAGATATGTCTTCTCTTTCTTTTTTCCCGTCCGGAAATCAATCCTATAGGGTCGTTTGGATGACTCCATAAAGATTCGATGGCGACATTTAATCAAGATCGATCTTGGAGGATCTTAAGCTTGCGGTATGTGGTAGGTGAATACTTACATACTTCCTCGCCCAGCTATGGGATGTGATATTAGATCATCCATTCCACCTAGGAACTTTCTTTACGATCGAGGTCGATGGGCTGATATCATGATGGGAACTTCCACGGGGTCGATCAGCTAGATATTGCAGTGCCATCCTCTTTTTTTATCGGCCTTTTCTATTCCTTCTAAGGGTGTAATAATCATGATGGCACGATATAGTGCCGGTACCTCCAGCTAGGCTTGTTACTATAATTCTTGCTGCATTCTCATTCTCATTCTTAATCTTACTTATTTAGCATTTGTATCCTTATTTTTATCTTGAAGTATCAGGACCCCGTAGTCGATCGAGCTTGCATATTTGGTATCTTGATACAAATAGCTAAAGACAAACCAAGTTGATCGACCGGGTCACGGAGCATCTATAAATCAATAGCTCCGGATTGGCCAGCCGCAATATATATCGGACCCGAACCGAAAGATGTTCTCAGATTTTTTTTTTTTTGGATACTAACGTCATATCGATGTCATAGGAAGAAACGAAAGGGGTTGGACTCGTAACTTTTCCAGCAATTACTTAGTATGTAGTTCAGTGGTTTTAGATTTCTGGGGATACTATAGCTACTAGTTAAATACCTATATATACTATGATGCGATGCAAGCTAATGACAGATCATCGATCTTATACAGAATTAGCTAGAAAGGGAGTTATAAAGATCGATAATATTGCGCACATGAATTAGAAAAGAAAGAAGAAAAAATCTAGATTCGTTAATAGGGATTCTAGTAGAAATTCATGACCGGCAGATACCCGAACTGCTGACTGCTCCTTTACAGGCGTCGACGCTAAATTTCATTCGACGAATTAGAATCTCTTGATGTAAGTAATAGTGGACCTGCACTGTCGTTATCATATATAAAAGGTCCGTACTTGGCTTAGATTCGATTCACGATCGAACAGGATGTAATCTGCAGGCTTATAATATAAAGGAAGGCGTTAATAAGCATAAATTTCTTCCAAAGTGTTAAAAATAAGAAGTATGTATGTACATGTATAGATCATGGATCTAAAGGTCGACTACCGACATAATGATGAGCAAACCATATACACGAAGATTTCAGGTATATATATAGGTATAGAACTAAAGATAGCTTCCGGATGCTCCCATCTCTGACGTATTTGCATCCACCCCTCATTTTAATATTTTGACCAAGTACTGATAAAACAGTTGGCTACAAGTGAATCCGATGAAATAGTGAAATGTGCTTCCAATAAGACCGTAGAAGTACAATCGCCAAACACGAAAAGGCCTGCGTTTTCCGCTCATCGAGTAAATATGTCCTCCTCAACAGGAAAAAAACAAAAACAAAAAACAAAGGAAACCAGTCGCTGTTATTTGAAGTCGAGTCGGTAATGCCACTAACAGGAAACAAAAAAAAAGTGGTTTGAATGCTCAGTGTGTAGTAGTACAGGGGTTCCCATCCATACCCAGGTTCGACCGGCGGGAAGCGTTAGGGAAAGAAGGTCGTAGCCGACGCTAGAAAGGGAATGGAAGGAACAGAAACAAAAATGAGGAAAGAGGTTGCGATTAAGAAAGTCGATGCCCCTCGCACGGGAGTAAAATAAACCAGTGAAGAAAAAATTACCAAAACCCCGCTCATGTTGATTCGTGATAGTCGTCTGAAGAAAAAAAAGAGATAAAAAGGCTCATGGGAAAGCAGAGTTAGGAAGGCGGCCGTATGTCATGTATCGTAGTGAATGTCGTTATGAAAAAAAAAGCAGTTTTCGTGAATTACTAATAGAAAAGAGGCTTCCCGTAGAATTTTGTAACATAAAAAGAAAACACCTAGTAGAGAAGGAGAAAATGAAATAAAAGGAACCGAAAGAAACCCGTGCTATTACCGCCGGCTCTTTGAAAGTGTACTCTTAATTGCGCCGAGCCACTTTGTGAGACCCTCGTCGTTTCCAGCAGCAAATCGATATGATTTATTTTCTAATATCAATTGCATGCAGTGTTTCTTGCTTTTCGAAACCGGGTCAATTTCGACAGCATCGACAACTGTCTCGAGAGGGATCAACTTGAGGGCTCGGTATTCGTCATCGTTTTTATAGAATGTGATATTTCGCGGTCGAAGGACAACCCATATTTTCTTCCATTGTCGAATTCCCGACTTGGATTTTAGGACGTACAGATACCCGTGCCAGACAACCCTAGATTCATTTAATTGTCCTTCTAAGTTGGAAAGTTCCGATTCTTGGCGTTTGAAGCCGGTTGTTGACGGGGCGTTTTGATGGTCATTTGTTGAGATAGGGGAAACCATTGAGGCTCCAGTTGCACCGCTGGCAGCAGTTGTTGGTGGTGATGTTGGTCTCAATGCAGACGTACTGGGTTCACCTGTGGGAATTGCAAGTGATGTCTGCGATATTACTCCACCGAGTTCAGAGGTTGATGACATGGAGGCACCAGAATAGTCGAGGGTAAATGAACCAACATGGCCATCTTGTGGTCTAGCGGTAGGACTCGATGGACCGAGAGGTTGTGAAGCCCTTCTGGGGATTATGATCGGATGTGACTCTGAGATCGGGCTCATAACCAACGGCTCATCTGATTCCTCCAATGCCGTCATTTCACGAACTAGTTTGACCCATTCGTTCATTTCTACATCGCTTGAAGCTTGCAAATGGAAGTTTCTGGTAGGTGAAAATAAACCAAATATGTGAGGACGTTTGTCGTTTTTGAGTGGAGCACATGCTGTGAGGTCGCTGAGTTGAATCTGGCGGTGCAGTTTCTTTTCATTGTCGTCTTTGTAGATGCTAATAGCTGATCCCCTGAGCACGTACCAACGGCGTTTCCAGTTCTAGCAACGAAAAAAAAAGAGGATATTAGCAACGGTATTTACAAATGTTAGATATCGAAAGTGATAACATACCTTTGTCTTTCGCGTCCTTTGATGCAACCAACCTTCTTTGAAGATTTTGTCGTGCATGAAGGCACCTCTTTCGTCGACAGGGGAGAATGCTGTCGCGATATCGATGGAGAGGGAACGGTTTTCGGTTCGCATGCCGTTGGTTGTAGAGACGGAAGGGATAGGAGAAAGTACTTGAGCCATGTTTGCAAGAGTAGGAAAAACCCAATTGGGGTCTTGTAGAGCCTGGAGTATTATTTCGGAGAAGGCCTCTGTGATTGATATGAGGAGGAAGAGGAGAAGTCCTATTAGTGGGCGTCCAGGGGTAGATGGTTTGTCGAAGATATTGATATGGTCGAAAGGGAGGAAGAGATATCGATAATCGGGAGGTTGATGAGATGGGGTTTAATTATGCGGGAGGAATGAGCATTGGAAATCAGAGGGCGCGCTAGAGATGAGCTGGGAAACGTGGTTGGCGGGGAGAAGACCAGACCCAAGACCTCTCACTCCGCTTGCGATGGCGACGACGTCGATTGATATAAAATTGCGTAGAAGTCTGTGTCGGGTCAACCAACCAACTGTTTCGTATTATAATTATATTGGGGTTATTCTTTGAGGTTTGTATAGAATCGTTACTGGAAGCTGGAAGTTCGGAGAGACTCGATCGGACAGATGGGACTCAGAAGCTGTTGAGGACACATAAAAATAATATTATACTGGACTAGTCGATGCTGAATTATTTAATAGTCGAAGAAATTGCGGAACCGAAAAAAAAAAAAAAAAGTGATGGGAAATTATTATTATTAATAATAGTGAGGAGGCAGGAAGATGCCAACAGTCAGTTACTTAATTAACCAAGTGGTTAGTCAAGTAAAAAGTATGTAAGTAGCCAACTCCAAAGACCCGAGCCAAAAATGGACCCAACCCGATGAAGAACCAGATCAGAGAAATTTAACGGGAAGCTTGTTACAAGAACCCCGGCCAAGTGGGATGGCAGGCGAACGATTGGGTGTTTCGTGCTCTGTTGGCTCGAATAAAACAGGATGGCGCATAAACTACCGACCGAGGTTTTTATATATAGGTCGACATCCCCAACATTGTCAGTCTGTCAAAGACAAGAAGGCGGCAAACGAAAAAGAAGCTAGAGCTTAATTAAGCGTGACGGGACGGACACAGGAGAGCTCGTACAGACTCAAGATCAAAACAAGCTTCTTAGTTCGACAAATTGGTTAAGGATTACGCAGGTTGACCGTTTCTTACTCGATCATTATTCGATCCTTTCGAGTAATCCTTGTCATGTGCACTAGTCTTTGCAGACTTTATGCAAACGGGAAAGCCTAACAGAATGGACAGCCTGTACGTCGACGGAACTTCCTTAGCTACGTTTTATGACAGATATCGATCCAGATCAGAACAGAGTGAACGAACGCCTTCGAGGATTCGAGAAGGATGGTACCTGCGCCACCGAGCTGCGAAAGGAAAATGCATTAATGGCTAGCAACCGCCTTGCAGCCCAGCTTGGCGTTATAAAGTGTGAACGAGCATGGCAGAGTTGACACCGCTGTGGTACGTACCACCGTTGGGCTACCTGACTAGTCAACAATCCGTGCTACGTTGTCGTCGAAGCGAGGGGCACGCACTTTAAAGCATCTTGACTAATAATGGGCACGACGTGGACCGGTCCGGCTGATATTCTACGTGCGCACCGATTCTGTACAAAAATAATGACGCTGTCGTGAACGCGTGGGCTTCCAACAACATACGAATGCCCGGAGTACCTTGTGAGCTCGAAAGCAAAGCCTCAAAAAGTTAATGTTTAACTGGCTTATTTCATGCGATATTATCGAACCACTTTGTCTCAACAGCCGATGTGGAAGAGAATGCAACCTTCCTCTTATGCTTCCGAATTGTGATCAATCAGTGGATACCGTGGGTTTTTGAATTAACAAGCTGGAGCCGATGCTTGGCGTAAGTCCAAACCTTTTTCCATTTCCCAAGAGCAAAATCTAGATCCAGATTTTCTACCTTGGATGTCTAGCAAGTCTTTACTGGACACAATGATCTGCATACAAGCTGGGTTTGAAGGGGCCGCCAATCGCTAGTTCGGAAGCTTCCTCAAACGTTGCAAACCAGGCGCTAGTTTGATGGTACCATCCCATAAAACTATTGAGGACCTCTCATCCGAATTCTTTTTGGAAACACGCGCGGATCAGCCAAAATTTTGTGATTGGCTTCCTCTTAACTTAGGTTGAGAACTTAGGACCTGGAGCCTTTCAAGATGCAAAGGATACCCCAACGCCTCGAACTATATGATACCAGTCGACTCTGAATTCATGAAGTTGGATCGACCAATCATGTCCCATGGTAACGGGATGGTAGTATAGCTGGTATGGGAGGGTTGGCCTCTCACCCAGCCCGAACAAATACAACATATTGACTTCATTTGCAACGCGAAGGGTGGATATGATATTTCAAGCCTTCCATCAAAAGGGGCTCGGCTTAGGCGGGAAATAAATTGGCTATGGAGATTAATGACCTCCATAATTCCGATACTGTCGTAGGAGGCCTGTAGTATAAATCAGAGCAATATTATGGTTCTGTACACAGGTCTGGGAAATGCATGTTAGTCGGTCGTGTCCAACTGGGTAGGGGCAATTGTTCTTAGATTTGCGGGTAGTGGGAAGTGTGACAACGGAGAGATGCCCTTGAAATTCCAATAATACATATATTGGCGTCCCTCTTTGTTCTGTACTCCGTTCGGGTCAATTATAAAATTCAATTTTTGGATGAACGTCTTCTAGGTCTAGATACGAGACAAGATGAACGTGAATTATCATGTTCTTTTGGGGATTACCCCGACCCTCCGTTCTGAGTCAACCATATGAGACAATAAGACTTGCAATTGCGAGAATAATACCACGCCGCGCGGGAATCGTCATTATGTCTGTATGTTATTTGTCAGAAAGTTCTTCAGTCTTCATTCCAGCCTGCCCCCAGCTGGTAGGAAAAGGCCACCAGTTCGCTTTATCTATCGCTCCTACTATAGACACCCTCGCGCAATCGGTCAAATCAAAGATGGGGTTCGGTATTCTCGAAAAGTTCCACCCAAACGCTGGGCTGCGGCAATATGCTCGGTCACGAACCTTCGCTGGCACCTCTAAACCTCATAGCCTCTATATATGTGGATTCCGCCGCAAAAACTTTTACAAATTAATGGCCCTTCTGTTCTTGGTTGTATTGGGCATCGCTCTAGGCATCGGAATCGGTGTTTCAAAACGAGTTAGACGTATTCGCGCTCAAAGAAATGGAGTCGTCGGTGCCAATGGGTCTCGACCGGGTATCACTCTTGCCGGAGGCAAGATCTTTGTCCCTACTACCACTCGCACCATTACAGAAATTACTCGAGTCGGTGATCGAGTTTTTACTATTCAATACGAGCAGCCGGAAGGTATCACGTATCAGCTCTCGAGAGGCTCTATTATACCTGCCACTTCTTATTTACCTCTGAGTACTGTTGGTCCGGCAACTTTTACATTCGGTCGTGTCATTACTACAGTCGAGGGAGGAACCACGTCGGTTACCGGTGGGACTACGTCCGTCGTTAGTCCTACGGCTACTGTAACTTCGCGCGGGCGAGTAGTCACTCTGGGTTCTTTGACAACTGTCGTTGGGGCTTCAACAAGGATTTCTGGCGGGAGTACTCGTACAACTTATACGAGTGTTCCGTATACAGTCACAAATACGGCTTCGTCTGGTGCTCCAAGTTCCTCTGTGAGAGTGTTAATCTATAACGACCCCGGTGGAGGTGTAATTGTTGTTCCGGCTGAGCAAAGGTAAGTTCATGTGAAAAACTTAAGGGTAACAATGACCATAGATAATATATATGCATACTTATTTTTGGTATTTTGAACAGTTCATCTTCTCGGAGAATCATTACTTTATCCAGTACATCCTCTACACAAGCATCCACCTCGTCAAGCTCTGCTAGCGCTGAAAGCAGCCAAGTTGCTAGTTCACGCTCTGAGAGTTCCACTCCGGCAAGCTCACGTTCGTCAGCTCCTGCACCAACATCAAGCAGTGGAGGCGGTGGGGGAGGCAGGGGCGGAGGCAGCGGACAGACTTACTCTGGTGATGCAACTTACTATGACCCAGGGCTGGGTTCCTGTGGGATTACGAATTCAGCTTCCGATCTCATTGCAGCAATCGGACATGCTTTGTTTGATTCGATGGCAACTGCCAACAGCAACAACAATCCGTTCTGCGGACGACAGATAGTTGTGCGGCCAAAGGGAGGCTTCAGTCGACGCTCCAATACTGGAACTCTAAGCCGAAGATGGACTGAACTCAATGACACTCGCCCTATAAATGATCCTGTTACGACGTTTGCAACAAGAACAAGGACGAGGGCTGGCGTTTTGGAAGCTACAACTTCTTCCAATAGCACACGGGGCGTGAAAATCCATAATTATCCAGGCGAAGTTCCTTTGTAGCGCAGAGGAAAACTGGCTGTTCGGGATGAATATGATCACGCCTTGAAAAAGCGGCAGGAGGTCGTCATTACTGTTGTTGACAGGTGTGGAGGGTGTGCCGAGTATGATCTAGATTTATCACCAGCGGCGTTTAACATGATTGCGGATCCTGCGAAGGGCCGAGTCCCTATTGATTGGCGTTTTGCATGAAACATTGCGCTTTGGGGTATCTTCTCTTTCTTTCGTTTTTGTCAGAAGCTAGAATTCGAAGGCCAGGGGCTTTTCTTTGAAAGGGTTACAAAGGATAGCTGGTTTATCCTCGACAGAGTGATAACTTGCTAAGACTCTCGTTTCCTTATTTTTTTTTTTCTTTTCTTTCATTCTTGTCAGCCGCTACTATCATGTCAAAACCCTACTTATACCCTCAAGCCTAAGTAACATTATGCATTACTTTGGAGAAGGCCGAAGGTTGTCCCTACGTTACACAGAAGATGATTGCATGAATGCCATGCGTAGAGGCTACATATTGGATTTCACGTGGTTGTCGAGCCGCTGTCGTTTCGGCTTGAGGCGTATGATAGGGGGCAAAAAATGCAACAAATATCAACACGGGCTAGGTGTGCCACTGCCATGCAAGAGCTGCAGCACTAACCACGTGTATTTACGGGCACTTTGAGGCTGCTTCTCAAAGAATGCGCAAGGTAAATATTCCGTCGGGTAGTTGCATTTTCAAAATGCTCGATATCTTTGGATTCGCTTGAACAACTCCTGTTTTCGTCCACGAGGAATGCTCTTTCCATGCTCTGGCCCTTTCCATTATCAATTATATCAATAGCTCGGGATCGCGGGTTTCGGTTTGATAATTTCGCCACCACAAAAGTGGAAAGCAGATCAAGTTTGAGGCCAGGAAATTAATCCTAAGCTAAGAACGAAGCCGCTTAAGCTACCTATAAAAAATTGCGAGCAAAGCTTGCTGTGCCAGATCCTTTTGTTGGCCTATTCAAAAAAAACATTAAACTTTTTGGGTCTGTGACAAAATGCAAGACTGCATTCAACCCCCCACGGATATGCTTCCAGATGGCTCCTTCCGATATCTTTTACCCACTTTCGGTTGGGTCTAGACGAACCCGGGTCTCGAGACGAAATATATTGGCGCCCAGTATTATTCTTTTAGGCGTTTTTGCGGGGAAGCCACGGCTTAAAAGGGCATCAAGAGATCCACATATGCCCCTCAACAGTGTCGCACTCTGAGTATTTCCCGACTCAAAACCAATTAAGAATGTAGTGAGCACACTAATAAAGCATGTAAAAGCAAGATGATGACCCGCTCCGTGCGTTTCCATGTTCCATACCCTCGGTTCTTCGTGCTTATATATTCTACGCTTCCTCCTCCTCACTCCGTGTCGTCGGTATCGGTTCTTGTTAATATCCGGCTTCATTTATTATATATATCTTGAATCCTGGGGTATCTAGCTAGGCCTATAACTTCGTCTCAATATACTTTTTTTTACCTTGATAAAACCTGCGTATAAGAGTAGCCTCTTTTATATATAGAAAAGATGCCATTCGATTCACCATTTCCAGAAATTAACATTCCAGAAGTAGACCTTCTCACCTGGCTCTTCGGGTCGCCTGATGCGCCGCTCTCCAAAGAGCCAATATACCTAGACTCCATCAACCCCGAGGAGAAACATATCTCCCTCCACGAATACCGATCATTGGCTCGCCGAGTCGCTAGCGGCATCCAGACTAAACTCCGGTTACAGCCGCAAGACAAACTTCTCGTCTTCTCGAGCAATAACATATATTTCCCCGTTTTGCTCATGGGAATCGTGGGCTCTGAATGTGTATTCACAGGCGCAAATCCCACATTCACAGCTAGAGAACTGGCGTACCAAATCAAAGACGCTCACGCAAAAGTACTTTTCGTGGCGCCAGATGCAGTACCTACAGCGTTAGAAGCAGCGAAGGTAACCGGATTAGATACGAGGAAGATATTTGTCTTTGACGATAACATCAAGAACCCCAATCGTTCCGCTTGGGCTCAATACCCCATTGGAGGATATTGGACAGATATTCTCTCCGACAGAGAAGATTTCAGATGGCGACAGTTAAGCAAGGATGAATTAAATACTACCGTTGCTATTAATTATTCCAGCGGTACAACGGGTATGCCGAAGGGAGTGGAGATTACGCATAAGAATTTTGTATCGAATACTACGCAATCGATCACTATGGATGAGGATGTGCCAGATTATACACCCGTGAATCTGGCGGCGATTCCGATGTACCATGCGTATGGTATGGCGGCCTTTGTGCTCCAGTCTGCGAAACAGGGGACTAAGGTTTATGTTATGCCGAAGTTTGACTTTGTGGAGTATTTAAAGTATGTGGTTCCTCCCCCCTTTTTTATGCTCTAATTCTCCGTTAAATGGGGAAACGTGTGGATTTAGGTGGGCGATTTTATGCTAATATAATGAGGTGAAAATGTGTATAGATGCATCGAGAAGTATGGAGTTACGTCGATTGCCGCTGTACCGCCTATTATCGTGGCATTCGCGAAGCATCCAGCTGTCGATAAGACGGATTTATCATCCGTTAAGTCTATTGGCTGTGGTGCTGCGCCTCTGAGTGCAGAGACAGCTATCGCCGCCGAAGCCAAATTCAACAATGTGAGGATTCTCCAAGGTGAGTTTTAAATTTCCATAAACTTTCGACATTCAAAAACTCTATGTCAAAGGGGAAAACTAAGCTAAAAATGTACGATTTTTAAAAAATTTCGGAAAAAAGGATACGGATTGAGCGAAGTAACCTGTGCGGTTATTGTGCAAAGAGAGAACAAGTTAAATGTTAATCCCAAACGAGGGACCGTTGGCCACATTGCACCAAACTGTCGAGCAAAACTCGTCGATGCAGATGGGAAAGAACTAGGAAGGAACCAACCAGGAGAACTATGGGTTCGCGGACCCAATGTTATGAAGGGGTATTATAACAAGCCGGAAGCGACAGCGGATACAATTACTCCAGACGGGTGGTTGAAGACTGGTGATGTTGCATACGTCGATGACGAAGGCCTATGGTATATTGTAGATAGGAAGAAGGTAAAGAGATTTCTTGCGTTTACTTTGTTTTGGAAGGTTGTATATGCTAATTGGGTTACGGTACAGGAACTCATCAAGTCTTCAGGTTATCAAGTAGCACCAGCTGAACTGGAAGCAGTACTCCTGGAGCACCCAGATGTCGCAGATGTCGGCGTCATCGGCATCAAATGGGCGGATAACGAACGTCCTAGAGCCTACATTGTTAGAAATGCGGGTTCTAAAGTAACAAGCGAAGACATAAAGAAATATATGTCAAAGGTCGTTTCGAGCTATAAGCAGCTTACCGGGGGTATCGTTTGGGTAGATGAAATTCCGAAGAATCCATCGGGTAAGATCTTAAGGAAATTGCTGAGGGAGAGAGCAGCAAAGGAAGTAACAGACACCGGAGATCACAAGGCGAAGCTCTAAACACAAGTATTTTGAAGATCATGGAATCGGCTTTTTGGTGCTCTGGGTATCTGATTTATTGTACACATATATACTACAGGAGCTCAAGTTTATAGAGTAAATATATACCTGAGTACCTTGGGTTCTAATCAACCCACTTTCCAAACTTATTCCAATCCTCGTACAAAGCCTTGAATACTACCCTCCCTGGATTGTCCAGGCTCATATTCAAAGATCTCAGGGTAGACTCTTGCATAACGTCAAACATAGCATACAAGCCTGGCGTCAAAGCTGCCCTGACATCTGGCGTTAAATGGTGTGTAAGATTCAAGTTGATATATCGTTTCAATATCCCAGGGACATGCGGCTCTACCGCTTTCCTTGCTGCCACTGTGGCTGAGGAAAGATTATCAGATTTGCGATTCATCCTAACGCTTGAAGTAGACGGATCGCAAAGCATCGTTAGTAGTCGACAGTATGAGACTGCGGCTTCCTTGGTTACCGTCCAGCTCTTGGCGTTGGCTAGCCAAGGGGGGTGGATTTCGGTATCTGACTTCTTCCTGCCCGTAACTCGTGGAATGAAGAGGAGACTCATGAGGGCTTCTAGAGTGGCAGTAACAAGACCATGTCGGTTTTTGATTCTAAATCTTTGGCCGCTGAGAATGCTTGCCATAATACCACAAGTGGGAATGAAGATTTGGTCCGTGCTAGCCATGGTGCAAGTGAATTGCGGGCCGTGTGATGAAACCGTGATAGAAATACTTGCAAGAGTTTCCTCTATATTTAATTGTGAGATTGAGAGCCCCTAGAGAAACTGTTAGATTCGGAGATTTCTCAATGGGGTAAGAGGAACTCACCTTGTCTTTAATGAGTATACTGGTGGTATTTAGAAGGACACGTAGACTTTCAAAATCATCGCAAGCAGGACCTGCTAATGCCAACTGAGAGAAAATGAACGAGATTTGAGAGTCAAGTTGTGCGTCACTGGATTTTTTGGCTTCAGGGGAAATGTTAGCCATGCTCCTTGGTATCGCAAGATTTGATGTTTTTCGAAAACTCACCGACTGCAATACCCAATATATCCTGTAAAATCAGATAGAAGGAGGACGGTATTTGTGAAGATGCTGGGAAAACAGCATCGCTGGCATATTTGAGGAGATCAAATATGGCTAAGGGCTCTAGTCTGGAGATGGTGGACGTATAACTGGAGCGGAAGGGTTCATACAAGCCTACACCAAATATGAATGTTAGATTTTATGTCTCGGGTCCCCCAAAGTATAGTGAGGAACTGACCTTTATGAGCGAGTAGGAACGCTATATCGGTAGCCTGCCTCCCATCATCGCTCGCAATTGTCGAAATGGCACGGGCATAAAATATTAAAGACTGATCCGAAGAAGATTTTCTATGACCCAAAAGCATGGAATCGAATCGGGACCGAAGCCCTGCGACCTTATTCGCCGGTACAAAGTCAGTTATACCCTTTTCACCACGGTTCTTGACCAGGAGAACCAAAGGCTCCAAAAACTCTAGATCTAGGCTCCGTTGTTGTAAACCGCCCTCAGTCTCCGAATCCTTCGCCGGGTCCGTGATCAGCCGTATCAAGATTGCGGATAGTTTGTCTATCAACGAGTATATCTTTTCCTTGACGGCATCTTCCTTGTCATCATTTGCAATATGTATGACTCCTTGCACGACCGCATGCGACCAAGCGCGAATTCTAATATCAGCTGCCCCAGTTTTATCTAGCATGGTATCGGCAAGAACGATCGCTTCTAACAGCTGCGTCTCTGCCTTCTCATGATGTCGAGATTCTGCAAGATGTCTAGTATCCAGTTAGAATCTCTGATAACGCCCACACTAAAGATAACATGCATACCTTATCACCGTCTTAGCAAGGTCAGTAATAGCATTGAGGTTTGTATCACTAGCTATAAATAGCCCATAGAGTCCGTCTGGACTACCTATTGATGTTGCTAGAGCTGAAGAGTTGGTCGATAACCGAGCTAGCCGAACCATAACCTCCAGAACCTTTCGCCGCTCCTCAGGGTCTATCGTTTGCTTTATGACCAAGAATAATTCGTCAATAATACCTTCTCGTTGCGATTTCCTGAGTGTAGCTAGGGGGCATTCAGTGAAAACATCGAGGATAGCGGAAAGCTGGCGGCCCGAAGGCTTTTCCACCCGTAGAACTTCTAGTATCGCTGTGAAGAATACATCTAGTTCCGGTGATTAGTATTCAAAATGTGGCTTCTAGTATCAAGTTCCATTGATTACCTTTGACCTTTACGTCCTCATAGACTTTCGAGTCTCCTCTAACAAAAGAACTCCAAGCCGATTTTAGGCTCACGACATTGCTTTCGACGGTTGCCTCGGAAGATTTCCTTAAGAAAGACAAGAAGAATTCCCGCAAGAGATTATCATCTAACTGTCTGCTGCTAGTTAGAGTTTAAGTAGTATCGAGGAAAACACAGGGGGTGTTACCTTAGCAAAGTCACGAACCGAGACGTTATTGTATGGACAAAAGACACAGCAACATCAGGGAAGCTAGATATTTTGTCAAAGTTGCCATCCCACGAAACCTTTTTGGTTGATTTGATTCGGGGTGTGATTCCTTTTAGGACCCCTTCGAGCTCCTCAACGTCTATATACTCGTGCTCTCGGAATACCAAGACAAGCGTAAGGAGAATTGATAGTTCTTTAGCCATGTCTGTTTTAAGCTTGGGTCCAGATAAGAGTGTCGTTGTACGTTTAATCAATATATCTTTGATTTCTCCAATCTTGCTGGAGAACTCTAGCCCTGGCCACATATCTAATACTCTTAGTAGCACCCTCCAATATTGCCATTGACTTTTACTCTCATCAATTTTCGGTGGAATAATGCTGAGATCGTTGAATAATGATATAACCAACCCTTCGGACCCGAGTTTATCAATCGTCTCTATCCGAGTGACCCCCCGTAGAATACTATCAACTATCGGCAAAGAAATCTTGATAGTTTCAGACGACGAGTACTTCTTGAAGACGTTCTGGATCTGGCTCTGTGTCAAACCGATTTCTACATTAGATGCCATAAGCAATTGAAACCGATCATACCGCCAGACTGTCGTTTGATTTTCTGCATCCCGGCCAAGTAATGTGAACCATCTCTCGAAAAGGCTCTCTAGGTCTCGGGCTTCCACCGAAACAGTGACGATTTGTTGGATAAATCGCCAAACACCCTCTCCATAGACTTTCGTATCTATCCCTGAGATCATATCAAATACCGTATCCCCTTCCGTAGACAGTAGGACGTCTAAATCGATCTTAGCAACTGCTTGTAGAACCGCCCAATCCACATTAGAGGGTTGTCGTAATGCCAACTTGATTGAATTCTTCAATGCTGCTTCCTCCACGGTGACCTTATTTCTGATGGCGATATCCAAAATTTCGGTATGAACCGTCAGATGGTTTTTCGTGGTGGATAGCATCCAGGACAACAAGATACTGACGAATCCATCAGCATGCCGCCGTTGCTTAACCGAATAGTCCCTATCTGCCTTCTCAATTGCCAATTCCAAAATGACAGGCAGCGACAAAGCGATAGATTCCGGGATTGACGCAGATTTTTGGTCTGCAAATGCATCTGCAAGAGGTTTAAAAGTATTAAGAAATTCAGATCGTTTCTCTTTCGGTGCTGAGATAGGTTGGAAGATGTAGTTGCTTAGAAACCCGGCGATTATTTCTCTGATATCGTGAGGCAAGGAGGGTACACTGAGGATCATGGACATAGGCTGTAGTAGTTTTCCTGATACGAGAGACGCGAGCTATATTCCTTATTAGCATTATATCTTTTTTTTTATAAAAAAAATCGAAAGTGTTTGATATTACCTTAGAGGTATCAGACACCCCATAGGAGCACGACTTCCAGATCATTTGACACAAAACCGTCCAGTTGACCACACCATCGACCCAACCAAGGCCTTGGACCACGATAAATAGTAGCTTGAAGTACGATTCACAGAGCTCAGCGGCTGTCTCTGGCGAAAACTTGAAAATCGGTGTCGTCAAATCCAGTCTTCTTCTTTTCGGATTCGTCTGATCTCGACCCGACCCTCCTTCGAACCGTACTTTCAGGTATTCCACAACTCTAAACATAGCAGAAAGTAAGACCTCAACTTGCTGACCTCGCCTTGTCCATTCTCGTTTTATCCTATGACGATTGGCGCGGGCATATGTCGTGCGAAGGAGGGGACTTCCAGGTTCGGTAGCTGACGAGCTTGTCGAAGACGCAGAATCTCGCATTTCGATGTCTTCAGCGTCATTGTTGCTTGATATCGGTTCTTCTTCTTCACTTGAGTATGTCGCGACAGCATCTAACAAAGTTTTCGCTATTATTCCGGCGAACTTGTGCTTTCGCAGTGTCGTGGAAGCAGCAGTCAGGCTTAGGTCTGGGGTGTTCAATAGGTCGTAGAGGGTATTCCAGGCATCTGGGGATAATCGACCACTACGAAACACCACAATGGGTTAGCATTCTCATATTCTTATCAACAGTGTCATTTTGAAAGAATGTAGAGTGAAAAAGACATACTCCGACGATGTCCCATCCTCCAACCGCTCAACCAGCCATTCCACCAGCCATTCTTCCTTCCCAGGAAAAAATAAAGCAACCTCGCCCCTACAAACCGATTGCGCAGTAGGTAATAACCCCAATAACGGTTTTGACTTGTCGCGAAGGGATTTCGTGAAATTTGCCGTTGAAAGCACCATGGTGCCGAGCTGCGCGATAGAATTCGATGTTTTTTGTTCGTCCTGTTGTAGTTCGTATTTTTTTTACAGGACGGGTTTTTCTTTGGGATGAGTTGCCAATGCGGGTTCCAAGTCTGGCCGCAGGCGAAAAATAAAAAATTAGACACACTGCAGCGTCCAGTTCGGCTCGGAGACAGAGATTATTAAATCACGCTCGTGCTAAACCTCAAAATCCGTTCTTTCGAACCTCAACCGCTCCCACCATCCCACCTTTTTCCGACCTCAGAGCCACCTAAGCGCCGAGAACAGGCCAGAACCTAATCGATTGTCGAAACATTCTCGAACAATTGATCCTCGAACTCTTCACGAACTCCCGTTAATCCGATATCATATCCCTTCGTAAAACCCCTCCGAAAATAATCTAATCCGCCACAATGACGACAACCACAGGCACATCCGAGACTTCCACACCATCGACTTCCTCATCGCAGGTCGTCAGCCGAGTATCTGCTCCTGTCTCAGAGACTCTTCTCAATGATAAGGTTCGTTAGACCCAATTGGCATTGATGAATGCACCCGGTGGATTATTACATAACAGGAGCTAGAAGAAAGAAAAAAACAGAAGGCTAATATGCTTAAAATTCTTCGGTATAGTGGGATCTCTGCCTCTCCAACGCCATCATAAAATCCGGCCTCGGCCTCGGATTCGGCATCGTTTTCTCGGTCCTTTTGTTCAAGCGAAGAGCATTCCCTGCATGGATCGGTCTTGGATTCGGTGCTGGTAGGGGATATGCGGAGTGTGATGCCAGCTTCAAGAGTGCTGCTGGTTCGAGGAGTGTTCGGGCATAAGGGGACTTCAAAAATTTTCCGTCTCTCGCTTCCACTATGCCCGCGAGCATACACACACACACGTAGCCAGACATACCACGAATAATTCTCGATAATCCCACACACTTTTTTTTTATCGTATTGTAAGCTAGGAGGGGGGTGGGGGTTACAGTATATAATTTAGGGGGTGAGATTCTCAGAGGATTTTTAATAAAAGTGGCTTTAGAAGGTTGAATTCTTCACTTTGATGAAAAATACTACGTCATACTACTATTACTACTTGTCAATATTACTCTTTGAAAAGCGCTGCACTTCTGTATATATTTCTTGCTGCAATCTCTAAATCATCATTAAGTTCAACTTCTATCTAGAATTAGGGTAGTATTTAGAACTCAATAATCTCAGACATTATTAACACCGTGTCGCGGCTGTACATCCCTAGATAGTCTTTGAATACCAAAGTTAGCTTCAATCCAAATATAGGAGTGTGTATTTATAACATTGGTAAATGTAACAGGCTTGCTTGTTTGAAATCAGATAGGAGCGAAAGATGGATAATTTTGCTTCGTTCATTAGGCTTTGGGCCCTCAGGTGAACTATGCATTGAAAATTTTGAATCATCATGAAATTGGCAAGCAAGAGGAGAGACGGGTAGGCAGAATAAAGGTCATGGAGCTTTGAGGTGCTTACCGAAGTATTCTACATTTCCAAGTTGTCGTCGCTGACTGGAATGAAATAGCTGCTTAGCGCGTCGATGTCAATTAGCGCCGGAATTGGCGACATGGTGAAGGGTGATGACAGGGTATTTTCTTGTGCAGGAGCTGTCAGTGGAGCGGCTTGCTGGGTTCTGAACGGTACCCTGGACAACTTATGTGGCCGATACTGGTCATTCGAATCCTCGGCCTGGTCTAGCACTCTAACGCCTCCGTTCGTTCTCACGAAAAGGGCCCGAGAGCCTTCTGGTTGAAAGCGTTCCGGGCATTGGTCAATGGAATGGTCAACCTGGCCCTCTAGAAGGCAGACCCCACAGCCATTGACAGTGCCCTGAAGCTCACGAAAAAGAGCTACGTTGTCTGACAGCGGAAGACATGGTACACATTCTTCTCCTGTAAGCTGTCTAAAGCCCTCTGCCATAAATTCCCAGGGTTGGAACATCACCAAGTCAACACCTTCCACGGACACGAATCCGTGTAAAACTGCACCAAGTACAGGAATCTGACTGACAAGCACCTCCGGGCCATGCCGTTCTCCGGAAACTTGGGGCTCTGAGAGAACCCAGGCACCGCTGTCGCCGGGGCCTGCGAAGATATTGTCTTCTGGAGTACAACGGCTTGAAGTTATGCACCAATTTTTGATGATCCGAGGCTCAACAGATGCTGTAACACCACTCCATATTACCGTTACTAGCTCAGTCTCAAAGTACCCAACGACAGCCAACTCTGACAAAATATTGCCATGTGTCAAACCCGTCGATCCTAGCTGCCCCTGTTAGTCTGGCGGAATCGCAGGGGAATTCGGATCGACGGGCTAAGACTTACGTCCGTTCTTGACGACACGTTCGCCATGGAGGGGACTCCGAGCCGCATTAACCTCATATACTGCAGAAGAACCGTTCCACAAAGTACACGGAACCGTGTTAAACCCTGTTCGCAGCCCGTGGCATTCCACGAGGGCGAGATCCAAGTAACTCTTGATTGTCGTGCCTTCGTGTGACACATATAACGCTCCTTGACTTTTTTTGTGAACGGTACCGAACTCACAGACAGTTCCGGTAGCCTTGCCGGCATCCGCGAAGACAAGTAGTTCTTCCTGCGCTATTTCCCACTTCCGACGGGAATCGAAAGTTTCTTTGCAGTTTGGGCCGATGCTCCTGAGGTGGAACTCCAATTCCTGCAATGCCAGCTGTTCTTTGGCAGAAGCCTGCATATAACAGGTATCAAGATCTACAGTCGACGGTGAAACAACTGCCTCGTGCTGATCTCCAACGGTGTGACTTGCTGTCACGGCGTAAACTTTCCCGGATTGGGTCGTCACATAGCCGCCAATTGTACCACTTAGATCTGCGCCCGGGGGTCCTATAGAGGAGCCCATTGGCGGTCGAACATGGTAATCAATGTTTTTGGGCAAACATCGTCCTCGTTGTGATTCTAGAAGTCGTGGCCGCTCATCACTCAACATACCGTGCTGAGATATTTCTTGGATAATAACGTGCAGAGGATATGCTGGGCCTTTGCAGCGTATCAGGTCTATCACTAGCTTGCGGAGTGCTTCCACGGAATTCCATGACTCCTGCGATGGCACCGTTACCATCAAGTAGAGACAATGTCCATGTTGAAAGTTACGTCTGTGACTCGTAAACTCGTAGCAACTGAACACCATAGCAAAAGGCCATAGACAATGGAAATCTTGCTTCTGGAGCAAGTCAATGACTTGATACTCCACTTGTTTGTAGACGCTCCGCGCCACATTTTCCTCGCCAGGATGCCTCGTAAGGTATTCTTCCCTGTCTCTCAAGAGCCGCCGATTAAGTTCGCCACCTTCCTTGGATAACCGAAGTGCTTCGGTTACGGCAGGATCTACGCCCACGCAAAGCTTAATTTGGTTGCCGGCAAAGATTTCCTTCGAATGTAAAGTTTCAGCAGCATCGAATTGCCCATCATTGTAGACTTCGAAGTCTCTTCTTGATCGAGGCCCTGCTGCCGGTAGATCCAAGTACGCGCTCAGAAGTTTGGACGGACCGATCTTGGCTGATGGGTCGGGCATGTTGTCATGCTGAGGGAATATTGGTCGAAGAACTCTGTTGCCATCCTGACTTGGCCTCAACGGAGAGGGCCTTGCGAAGGGTGGAAGAGAACTTTGATGATACATTGCAAAAGATAGCTTTCTGATGACCAAGATACTTCCAGAAGCATCGTCAACATCATATATCTGATTTTTGCGGCTCCCAAAAGATTGAGTTATGGCAATTCGGACCGGCGACGTTTTATTCATTTAAGATTCAAAACATTGCCAATCGACATTGCATGCTGATTGAAAGGTCTTAGACAATTCATATTGCCACAGTCGTGCCACGTTTTTCTTTGATCAGTGCGGTGGCTGAAACTGTTTTTTGTTTTCCCTTATGTCGTCCATCATGTCCATCGGCTTTGTTTAGGATGAATCATCAATGTTCAAAGAACAATCGAAACATCATCGTGACATATCCTCGTGACCTGCGGCGAGTCAACATCTATTTGTGTCTCGGTCAAGATTTTTTGACCTTCATGATCTGAAGTCGCGTGCAAGGCAGGAACGGAAACGTCCCGCTGCTTGCTGAATATGAGGAGAGAGTAGCATTTTATGATATATTTTGATTTTGGAAAGATAGAAGCGCGTAGAAGAGAGAATATAAAAAAAAGACAGAATTAACAACAGAATATGACTGTGAGGTGAATGGTGATATGTATTTTTACGAAGTGTGGTTATTTATTTCTGTAAAAAAAAATATTATTTCTTTGTGGTGGGATTCCTTGGCGGAGTTATCGATAAAACGGCGTGGCGGAAACGCAGGAAAGTTCCGTTTAGCCAGCTTTGGAAGCTAAGCTTGGCCAAGCTCGAGGAGGGCTGGCTGCACCCGGCCACAATTACCAATACCAACGGGATCATCTTGATATCTCCTGATATTGGATCCATCGAGAGGTCCAGTAATAGCGGTTGGATTACATCTTTACAACAGCTCCTTATATAAGAAGTATACGAGAGATCCTATGAGAGCAAGGAAATATGTCATCAAAGCGAACCAAAGCAAGAATCCGATAGTTAGGTAGTAAGTATACGTGTATACAAGCAGTCGGACGGCACTGAATGGTACTGATTATATTAATTGGCTAATTAGGATGCGAATACTTGCAGAAATAGCCTCATGTGCCCGCGCTATAACTTATAATTAGCCCAGCCACGACAAATCCGTTGAGATCTGTCTAGATCGATGAATGGTATTGATCTAGATATCTCGGGTCTAGTATAGTAAGTAAGTACACTTTCCTACACAGCTACACCACACACCACACAACAGAACATTCTAGTACTCTAGTACTAGCATCATCTACCTCCCTCTCTCTTTTTTCTGTGTGTGTGTCTCTCTGTTTCTCACTAAAGACACAAAAGATGGCGCTTTGCAAGGCACTTCGAACTATCCATGTTGTCCAGTTCAAATAGCGTTCAGAGTGGTTCAGATTATTTTTTTAATATCTGCCAAGCCACCGTCAATAGGCGGGTGATGTTTCAGAGCCCTTCCAAACACCCGACGACTCTGCAACTTGCAGTGCAGTGTTTGTATACGCAAATACGTTCACTCTGACGATGCCTCTTTTGAATTAACTTTTAATCTTTTTCGCATAGATTGATTGATTGATATATAAGACTGTCATCGTCGCTGAGAGGGGCGGGATGGCCAGACAATCGCAGGATAAATAAACAGTGCCCCCCCACGGCTGGTTCCCACCAACTGGCTATAGTATACAACAGCGGTATACTCGATCATTGGCAGTGAAATACATCCATCGCATCCGACGAGGCTCTTCCCTCCCAGGACCAGCCTAGACATCCGATTCCCGGTACCAGCATCTGCTAGACGCAAGGGCTGAACAATCCTAGACGCTAGACTGCATATGTATATTTGCTGCTCACTTCACTGCACTTTCCATCTGACCTAACCGTGGCCCTTCCGAAAATACCACTTGGTGTTTTTCTTTTTCCTTTTTTTTTCTTACTTGCTTTCTTTCTTAAGTTTCTTTCTCTCCAATTATATCTGCGACTCCAAAGATCGATCCCCTCAGCCAGAATACAACCTATCTCGAGAGCTTCCTAGAAGTACATTGATCCCTCGAACAGATCGACATCGGGGCCGAGTGATAGGGCGGCTTCAAGCTCACGCTACAGTATAGCTAATACCTCGTCGTGTTATATTTAACAACCACTCTGCTCGAACTAACGCTCTCGACTTCACTCCTTCTGCCGCTTACCCCTCCCCCAAATCTTGAGCCTGGACCGCCTGTGATTGGTCCAATTGGGAGCAGGTTTCTCTTGCGCCAAGCTCACCAACCTGTCAACCTGCTCAGTCGCCAGAGCACTTTTTCTCCTACTTTTCTTCTCATCCAGACCCCGTTTGCCTCGTAGCATTTCGGACACTCGACGATCTCGCTGCTGCTGACTCCGGCGGCGTGTAACAACCCTCGTGGGAGCCTCGCGCCGAACAAACGCCTCGTAGCGCAGTAGAAACATTCTCTTAACCAGCTCAATTTACTGTCTCATCGACTTTTCCCTACGTCTAGTCGGTAGCTTTATATATATCACGAAATCGACGCACCGATCCTCCTTTGACCTCCGGGGCGTTGTGATCGGCCTGTCCGATTACCGTTACTGGTTTTCTCTGATCGCCCAGCAATCACAATTGAGTTCATTGCATTGCAATATTGAATATTGCTTTATCCAGTTACATCGTTCTATTTTTATAAAGCCACACACCCGCTTTATTTGGCATCATTTATTCTTCTTGTTCTCTTTATAGAACTATTTAGAACCACGAACACGGTACTCCGTACCGTTCAAGTTCGCCCATTCTATACCGGAATCAACCTCTAGCCTCTGCGAGGTCCACTCCCTACCCCACGATACAAGCCTTCGGGCTTGTATACTACCGGCTAATCATATATATATATATATATATATACGTATATAGTTGTAGCCTGTATAAACAGTCTCTATTCAGAAATGCCTATCTTAAATGGTGTCAAATTTGCCTGGTACGTGCCCTCCCTCTTTGTTCTTCATCAATTATTCGAACGAAATCATATAAAAAGCATAGATACTAAATTGGCTGTGACACAATCTAGTGAGCCGTGCATGAGGGGCCACAGATCGTCAAAATGTACCCATTCGGACCGAATTTTAATAAAAGTCCGCAAACCGGGCCGACCATTATCCTCATGTCCGCATGAGGCCGGCACCTGCAGTTGCGAAATTGCCAGTGTGGCTATTCCGAAATCATCAAATAGTTGTCCTTGTGGAACACCTGACGGAAGAGTAAAAAAAGAGGACAAAGGCCCGAAGGTGAGGGGTGTTTCACACCTCTCATCCATTCCCTCTACGCCGGTCCAGCAGGCTCCTATGGCCCCAAGCTTTGGTTTCCCGGGTGGTTTTTTATCGCCCGGCATCGAAAACCCGAACGATTTTATGTCTGGTATAGATCCTCAGATGTGGCCACCGGGAGGTTTTAATGGCATGAACCCTCTAGACCCTTTTGCAGCACCATTAGACCTCGGTACCCCGCAATTCTTCCCACCCGGCCCACCACAACCAACTGGTCTTCCGTCAGTTCCCATCGTCAAGGCCCCATCATCGAAAAAGAGTTGTTGCAAGCCTGAACCTGGGAGTATGGATCCACAGAGCTTCATGGACGCCGCAGCGGCCGGATTTCCTGGTCTTCAACCTACGCAGTTACCTCCAAATAATCAATATGGGGATTTCCAAATACCAAAAGAGCAAAAGACCCGTCGCCATACTACTGAAATGTACCCTCGTAAACGAGCATCCGTTGGAACATACCCCGACGGCGATATGAGGCAGTTTGGGCCCCACGGGCCGGATGGACGCAGTACTAGTGTTCCAAATGTCCCTTTAATGGGCGCTCAGATGGTCCCCGGTATGCAGTACGGACCACAACAAGGTGATCCCATATCACTTGACACTCAGGACCCGGATTACACGATTTACTCGACTCGCCGATTCAATCAACGACAAGTTAATTATATGAACGCTATAAGGGAGGCGCATGAAAGGCAACTACAGGAGGAGGCAGACAATGCTCGAAGAGCCAGTCAGGCTAGTGAGCATGCAAGGAAGATAAGCGGGGGTTGCTGCGCTCCCCCTGATCCCGCAATGCCATACGCTCTACCTCATGGTCAAGACTGTGGTTGTGGTCCCAATTGCAGCTGCGTCATGTGTATCACGCATCCGTATAATAACGCCACTGTCGAGTATATTAGAAATATACATCAAACCATGCAAACACCGGAGCAAAGCTCAGAAGAGCATTCTCCTTCTACCATAGGGTTTTCGCACTCCGTTTCCGGGGCCGAGTTCCCATCTACTGGAGGTGTCGGCATGTTTGGTGATGCTGTGCTAGATAATATATTGGATGACAAAGATATGCTAAGCATGCAGGGGAACCAGCTCTCACCTTCTGCATTTATTCAACTTGATTACAACCTAGGAAATTGCTCTCAGCACAACGGAGGGTGCATGTGCGGCGACGGCTGTCAGTGTATCGGCTGCCTGACTCACGGAGGACATAACGGCGTCCCCTTCCATAGCGACCCAGACGGAAGTCTACTCACACAATCTCTATCTGAACACCCTCTTGAAGAAGCCCAAGCGAACGTCCAAAACGATAATTTATCACTCGATGAGCAAAAAATAAACGACAATTCCGATGGAAGCATTTGGAAGACGGAAGACTCATCTAGCAGTTCTGGGATCCGACAGGCAAACCGTAAAACAACCGGGAGTTAACAAAAATGAAGTGGCCCTGCAGTGGACTCTTTCAGATCATTTTGCGGGGCCTTTTTTTTTTTTTTTTTTTTTTTTTTTTTGGATATTTCTCCATTTTTAAATCGTGGCTCGGGATCTTCGCCAGCTCATTAGCGGGTTTGGCAGCAGGCCGCTTGGGGGATAGAACGTACAGATACTATACTTCATAGGAGCTCGTTCCATCTATCCCCCCCGCCTGGGAGCCGGTATTATATAACACACGCACAGTCACCCACTATCACGATCACATCACAACTTTACCTGGCGTTTGGGTCAGGATCGGGTTTAGAGTACTTTGGGGAAAACACGGTGTTGGCACAGCGATTTTATGGCGTCTGTTTTTTTGAGTGATTGGCAATTCAGATGAAGGGATGAAAAAAAAAGGGGTGGAATGGGGTCGTAGTACGTTTTCGACTCCAACGTGGGGATGGGTGATAGCTTGTTAGTTGTTAGAAGGTTGAGGGTTTATCGTTGCCATTGAGTATTCTAGCATAACTAAAAGCAATGCATGCATCACCATTAAAAGTCGCGGGCGTTGGAAATCGGGGAAGATAAAAAAAAAGAGATTTGCATAGCTAGCTGCGGTGGTGGCGAACAAAACGGTTTCATGAAGCAAAAGCTCGCTTTAGATATCTAGAGTTTTTCAAAGAAAAATTTTCATTCTTGAAAAACGAAGGAAAACAAGAAGAAAGAGAGAGAAAATTATCCCGAAGATAAGTTTGATCATACGATCAACGTAAGAGTTCACGGGATTAAATGAGATGGCGATTATCTAGCCTGGAAGTTTTTTTTTCTCTTTCTCGGTTTCGGGGTCCTGGTGGCTTTCGGGATCCCGAGAAACTTCTAGAGCTCGAGGAAGGCTGAACCGCTTCCGATCGCGACCCCGGTATGCGCGCGGGTTTATGGATGGAATGTAAGGTGATGAGGTTTTATACTTACACACTACATATCTACTCGGGAGCTCCGCGTGGCTTGACGTATTTCACAAAGATGACATGATTGGGAAAGCCAAAAAAAGAGGGTCCCCGAGGAACCCTGGCCTGGCAGCTGGTGAAAATATGTGATGTGAGGTGAACCAAGCTGAAAGCTGAGACCCGCACGTCTGTACGCAGTAGGGGTCCCGCAAAGTTTAAACCCTTTTTGGGATCTTTTGGACCGTTGTATTCGGTTCCGTAGCGACAGCCATTGCGAAGTGCGAGATTATAGACCCTGTGAGGTTTTCCTGCGTGCATACATAGGCGCTGTAACATGACAGCAGCAGCTGGGTAATTGCCTTGATTAGCTGTGGCTTTGTTTTCCGGTCGGTCGGCTGGAAAGGTTGTTAGTTTTTGATCGTTTTTTTTTTTTTTTTTTGGTTAATGGCCTCGGGTAAATTGAAGCGACGGTAGCGTTTTTTGATGATTATTTTTTTTCTTTCTTTGCAGCTTCGGTTTGAAGTAGGAATAAATGTGGATTTGATGGGAATGGAGGGGGAATAAGAAAAGATGGGCTGTAAGGCTAACTGCGAGCTGATCTAAATTTGCAACATTTCTTATTTTTTTTTAAATTTTTTAAATTTTTATTTTTTTTGATAAGGAAGAATTGAAGAAGAAGAAGAGACAGAATGTCATGTTAATTGATCGTGAATACAACATTTTGGCGGGTTAGTTATGTGGTGTGACAGGTGTTGGGCCTAGATTGTTCCGGGAACCGTTTTGGTTCGGAGGGGTCTTGAATACAAAGTTGCAATCGGCTTTAATCTTTTCTTTTATTTTTATTTCTATTTCTTTTTGAAATAAAAAAAAAAAAAAAAAAGAGAGAGAGAAAAGAAGAAAAAAGATTTATGTTTCAGGTAACCATATCTGAGGTCCCGGGCGGAATGAATTTTAGAATTGGGAATTAATCTTGGAAGTAAATCAAAACTGTGGTAAATTTGGTGGTAGAACTGCAGGGACGGCAATTGTGATACACCAGAAATATATTGAACACCTTAAAATTTAAGATGTATTATCATTTATCATTAAAAATTAACATTAACATTAACATTAGGCACAGCACGGATTGTCTGTGCAATCTGGCAGACGATGATTTGCGGGAAGTAAGGGCGTTGATTGGGGAAGATGGTTTGTGGAGACACACACGCACCCCCTTCGAGGGTTAACTTGCCGTGCGGGCTCCAGGCAATCACATGCGGCATGATACATATGCGGGAGAAGTCTAATTATTATTCGTGTCTTGTGTGATCGTGATATTATTCTTATTTTTTGGGAGAAAAAAAAAAACATACCCAGTGACAATGAAGTGAATTAGTCTTAGTGAATATATAAGTATAGAAGCATAAGATTATTTTTTCCGAAGCGATTGGGCTTTTCCCGACGCGATCGCGGTGATCGAAAGGATATACGTATACTGTGATAGTGACGATATGATAGACTGATGATGTTAATGTTGCCGCTCGATTCCGATGCTAGTAGAGATTAAAATATTTAGTATCTTAAAGAATCTGTGAGGGCCGTGGGCAAATATCGTGACGATGCCGCTGGGACCCACGGCCAGAGCTAGAGGGAATCGATGATCGATATGATGATATTGAAGTGATGGCATCCAAGCAATCTTTGGCAGCAATCCCTGCCGCTACCGATCTTACAGCTGCCTGACCGTCGGGAACCCAGCTCGAACAAGAACCCGAATTCGAACCTTACCTGATGCAGACAGCGCTGCCTGGATCCCGTCATCGAGGAAGGCTACCCAAACACATGTACCCTCACGGTACCCTCACGAGAGAGGGCAGACGCAGACAAGAAAAGAACATTTTGCATGTTAACACCGACGACGACCGCTTCAAGGCTAGAATGCTCCAGGTTGTGGAGGATCCGTTCCGCATTCGAAGAGTTTAAGCTTGAACCCTTTTTTTTGTTTAGACGTTATCGGGTCTCGCTTATCATCAAATTACAGGATTACCCTCAGGGTACTTTTGGTATTTTTGTCTTTGGTTGACGGACGGCAAGGGTCTACTTACTTTCTTTTCTTTTCGAAAGGCTCAAGCTTTTTCTTTTCTTTTCTTCTTCTTCTTCTTCTTTTTTTAAGAATGCTGGGGCAAGCAAGGTATCACCTGGTTGCAGTGCAGGGTAAAATGACTGTTGGATTTTTTGTAAGAAAGAAAAGGACAGAAAAAAAAACGGGGGAAAAAAGGGATCAATCAAAACATTCCAGGACTGACTTTACCCATACGTACAAACATACATAGTACAATCCCCAACGGCCGGAGCTAACGAAATAAATGAATGAATGGATGAATGAATGAACGAGAATGGGAATGGCGAAACTGGCTGAATGCATAGCTTTACAATCAGACTCTGCGTCTGCAGCCACCGCATCCAGATACTAATGTGGGCACTATCGACGACGGTGGAACCGACGGCGCTGTGACCATTGTGGATCCGGTCATTTCGCCAGAATAACTACTTCTTAGTATCGTCGAACACCGATGGTCTCTACTCCAAAAGCCGTAATGGCAAAAATTATTCGTCCATCGGCCGTCTGGCGGTCCGCACCCTTGTCCGTCAGACAGAATAGATGCATCATGCTATCAGTGAGTCCCTTGGTTCCGTACTCTACCTATGTAAGTACTTACATACGTTCCCAATTGCTTGATTGCTTGCATCCCATCCTTGCCGTCGTTTCCATTTTCATCGCCCACCGCGGGACATCCCACCATGTCCCATGCCCACCCATGCGCACACAGGAGTCCTGTTCTGTCCGAGTTCAGGTTGCCATTGATCACGTCGACATTGCAATTACATGCACGCATGTACCGCTTGTTTTGACCCTGGATGCATGCACTGCTCTGCACTGTGCAACAACCCCGGCTCGGACTGATTGGTCAACCTGTTGCTTAATCCAACACGCAACTTCTTGACATCCCCCAACATCGGATTGGGATATGTAAGAGAAAGAGAAAAGAGAAAACCCTCCTCCTCCTGTTCTGCAGTCGGGGCACAGCCAAAAAAAAAATTTAACAGAATCCGGGACAGGAGGAGAGAGAGAAGAAAAAAGTTATGCAGGAAAAGCCTAAAAAATAAAACATAAAAATCTGAAATAATCGGTAAAAGGAAAGGGAAAAAGAAAAAGAAAAGAAAGAAAAGAACGAGAATTCTCAGGAAGAAGGTAAATGCAAGGTTCCGTCTCTTCACGGTGCCCTCCAGCTGACCATAACCTTAAAATTGGGGGTCTTTTAAGGTGTATAGCCTGAACTAGATTTCGACGAAAAGAGGCTGACCCGTATATCCATATGGCGTGGTCCGGGCCCCAAGGTATAATGCTAATAGGATATCATAATACTTTTACTACGCTCTCTGTTTCACCGTGGCTCGTCCTACTCCGACCACTAATGCACACCAGAACGAAGGACCCACGGTAGTTGTTTATATTAGACATCCATACCCTCCCCGCCATTGTCGATTAGTCTCTGATTCGGTCTGCCCGTTACTTTACTATACATACAATTGTTCCATCCGGAAAATATCTGTTCACTTGGGATCTCTTTCTTCTTTATATAAAGCAAGCCCACCCGGCTCTTCCATATCCTTTTTTCTTTTCTCTTGTATCGATATCTTTATATATTATTATTGTTATTATTGTTATTATTATCCCCAGTGGTGGACTTGAAGGGATCAGATTTCGATTTATATTAGTCGATATTGGCATACATATACATAATACGACAAGATGGTATCTTGGGAAAACTACATGCCTGCAAAGGTGAAGAATCGTAAGTGGATCCCACCCCTAGTTATATTACATAACTTGGAGTAGACATATTCTAACAAGGGTTTCTGTTTCTTTGTAGATCTGGTAGCTGCTGTGAGTACCCTCGATATCAAACCAACCCCTTCGTCACATGTTCGGCTTTATCAATCGTTTTGTTTGGACCGATATCTAACGGAAATCTCCTATGTCTTAAGACCGGTGAATTTGTCGGTACGAAATTCCCCTTATGGATACCATGCTTGCATGATCGGACATATCGCTAATCTTATTGCGCAACTAGGAACCTTTTTATTTCTTTTCATGGCCTTTAGTAAGAATACCCATCCCAAATATAGGCCCCATGCCATACGTACTCGGATAGCCACTTTTTCTAGAATACCACTTCTAACACTAAAGCTTAGGTGTTGTATCGGTTACTGGTCACCGAGCTCTATATACTCAAGAAGGAGCCTCACCAGCTGGTGGATCCGACCCCGCCTTGATAGTATATATCGCCCTTGGGTTTGCTGTCAGTTTGGGAGTTAATGTTTGGATCTTCTATCGGGTCAGCGGTGGAATGTTCAACCCTGCTGTATGTTTCACCTTTAAATTCCCCCACATTCCTACAACCCTCTCCCTTGCCCAAGCTCTAAATGAATGATAAAAAAAAAGACACATGATACTGACTTTAGAGATAGGTTACACTTGCTCTGGTGTTGGGTAACGGCATGCCCATTCCAAGGTTAGTTTCCTAAAACGGCCAACAACAAATTCCCAAAAGTGCCCCGCCATTCTAACTAGCGGTTTTTTTTCTTCTTAGGGCCTTATTTTGCTTTTTGGCACAGATTTTGGGTGGCATTGCGGCCGCTGGAGTAGCTGAAGGTCTTTTCCCGGGCCCGTTGAACGCTCAAACCACTGTTGAACGTATGTCGCTGCTTACCCGTTGGAATGCTTTTATACGCCGAATAAGAAAAAAAACTAACCGAACCAATGTTCTAGACGGGATGTCAAACGTCGAAGGCATGTTCCTTGAGATGTTTTTGACCGCTCAGCTCATCATAACCATTTTCATGCTAGCCGTTGAGGTAAGAAACCGAATCATCGGCCCCTTACCGAACATTTACGGAGCATTCCTAACCTTATTCCCACGACCGCAGAAAACCAAGGCTACATTCCTCGCGCCGTTGGGTATTGGCGCTGCTTTGTTTGTTGGGCATCTTGTCGGAATCTACTATACCGGTGCATCATTGAACCCGGCCAGATCTTTCGGACCCGCCGTTGCTGCTGGTCAATTTTATAGCGATCAGTGGGTTTACTGTAAGTTGATAGCTTCGCCAAGGAATTCTTGGGTCTAAAACGGTATTCTAACGATATACTAGGGGCTGGTCCATTTTTGGGCTCCTTCCTCGCGGCCGGCTTCTACAGACTCCTCAAGTTCTTGCAGTATGAGGGTGCCAATCCAGACCAGGATGTCGATCTTAGCTGCTCGGCTCAAGAGGACTCGAGCCGTATCGCTTGCACCGCTCAGCGAATGGGACTTGAGGGCAAGGAGATTCCTCGTCCTACTTGGTCGAGGTCGAAAGAATCGGATGTCGAGATGGGTTCCTCCATCCCACCGAAAAGCCCACCAATGCCAATCGTTGCAATGCACACCAACTCGACCGATAATTCATCGAGCCATGCATAAATTTTCACTGAGCGAACGCTTTGTTTGATGAAGTTTCTAGCGTGCAGAGCTATTCTTTTCTCTCATTATTTGTATTACTTATTATTTAATCTTTTACATTCCTTTTGGGTTACGGACTAGGGGGGGTTTTCAATGGATTTTTGGGTACCAGGTTGGATTTGGGATATGGAATGGGTAAATTAATGGAGGGTTTTATGGATATCATTTGGGATGGGAAGGGTTGGGTACACAATACCATCGGCTAGTATACTGTTTGATTGCTCTTTTTCTTGGATATTATTCGGAAAAACTGTGTACGAGAAGATATCATTGAGTCAATCGGACAATACACAAAAAGTTCCTTGCTGCATCAATATTACGCGTAATTTGACTTCCCGTCAGGTCTGGATTTTTCTATTTTCTATTGCCATTTCTGAAGAAGGTGAGGGGGTAGAGGGAGAGAGGGAGAGAGGGAGAGAGGGAGAGAGAGAGAGAGCTCCGTCGTGAAAATTAGACAGCCACCGCACGGCCCAGGAAAAGTAAACATGGTCGCACAAAGCCAAATTTGCAAAGTTGTACAGATCTACAAAATTACAGCATCTCCCGCTGCTCTGCATCCCACGAGGCCCAACCCTTCCGTTCCCCAGATGCCCTGCTGTCCTCGGCACACCACGCCATCCCGTGGGCCCTGACCGCCTCGTCTATACCCGCCCCGATATGCACCCTTTGCGCCTTTCCCACGTCCCAACCATGAACCTTGACAGCTTCCACGGCGCTAACAAACGCCTTAGCCAGGCCTGTATCACCACCGCCGTGACCGCTAAATCTGTCGGCTTCATCCGGTGTGTGGGATACCCATTGGGCATATGGATCTGTAAATGAGATCGAGTGGAGTGATGTTTGTGGCTGTCCCATTGGGCGTTTTGTTTGGCTGGCGGGGGCGGCGGGCCAAGAGGTGTCCGAGTGGAGTTCACCTTTGGTGCCATAAATTACTGTTTTTCTTTGACAGATCGCGTGTGTAAACTATGGTTTTTGTTAGTTAATTGCGATCGTATCAGACAAAAAAAAGGAAGTTAAGGAGACATACTGCTGTCATTGTGAGAGTAGCTGTTTTTGGACCTCTTCCTGAGTCTTTAGTATCATTGTCGTCTCCATCCCAACTCATTACTACCACTTGATTGTCTACCACGTCATTATGTCCGTCGTATACACATCTGCCATATGGGCCTTCTTCCAATCTCTTCAGCAGGTTATTTGTTTTCGTCTCGAAATTCCCCGGATCATCTTCTATCTCTGGATACACTATATCGACGGGCCACCCGGTATTAAATCCTCCCCTTAGACCAGATGGGTTTTCATAGTATATCTTTTTGGCAGAATACATGCACGCCCTTTCGACACTTTCCGGGCAGGTAATGCAGTTGTCTGTCGCATTTTGCGGTTTGTTTCTCTTGTGGAAATATGTTAGTTTACCCGTCGAATAGACATTACTCGGCTCATCTGGCCTAGTAGTTGTATCATCTGGATCAAATGGCTGAGGAGAACATAGAAACCATAGTAGGATATCTAAATCATGGCAGCACTTTGTAAGAATAGATGGACCGGATTCGGATTCCTTGTGCCAGTTCCCTCTGACGTATGAATGAGAGAAGTGGTACCATCCTATTGGCTCTTTATGTTCTATTGCCACTATTTCGCCGACTATTTTGTCTTGTGTTAGAAGACGGTGAAGAAGTCGATTGTGAGGGGAATAGCGAAGAACATGGCCAATTGCAAAGACTACATTAGTAGATTGAATTGCAGACTGAATTTTCAGACAATCGAGGTAAGTAGTGGCAAGGGGTTTTTCGATCAAGACATGCCAACCGAATGGAATCAACGCTGTTGCGATTTCAGCGTGAGTTTGGTCCAGAGTACAAATTAAGACGCCGTCTATGCCACCCGAGGACTTGATAATTTCTTGAGATTCGGGTTTCAAAATGTCACGCCAATCCGAGAAGCATAGGTTCTCGGGGATCCCGTAGCGTTCTGCGAGGGATTCTCGTTTGTAAGTGTGGATGTCTGCGACTGCTGCGACGATTCCGTTGGTTGAGGATTTTATGGCACGGGCGTAGGCGTTTCCGCGGTGGCCGGCTCCTATGATTAGAAAGCGAGGGCGGAGGGAGGGGTCGTAAGGGGGTTCTTCTGATACTGGTTGCTGTGTGGGTTGGGTTGTCGGTGTTGCATTTTGAGGGGCGGGTTCTGCCGTGCTGTTGCTGCTGCTATTGCTGCTGCTGTCGGTTGCAGAGGGGCTCTTATTGAACAGTTTTTTGAGCTTTGAAGCCATAATATTTTTGGATCCTTTCGATCTGCAGGGGGGGTACTTGTTCTTATGTATCGATGTATATAGATATTACATGTGCATGTATGAGCGGGATAAGTATGTTATGGAGGTGGAAATATCCATTTACTTTTTCAGCCTCTCTTACGTTTTACTCTGTTCTACTACATAAGACTCTCTGGCCTTAATGCGGAGAGTCAATTTAGGTCAACGAGCTGAAGCTTTCCCACGTGCGGAGTATGGGGCATCCGATCATTTCAAGGCATGTTTGATGGCATATTCCGATCTCAGATCACGTTTTTCTTTCGTTTTTGGGTGTGTGTTACGCTATGTTTAGGAAGGTCTTGGGAAGACGAGGGGGCTGACGAATTAATGGATGCTCATTCGTTCGTTGCAGAAATGCAACATCCAACACGTTTAACACATATGAGGGGGGATTAGTCTGGCTTCAAGACTACGTACTTACTGTAGTAGTTATGTACTAGCAAGGGGTTGGTGCATTTGAGAGTGTTGGTTAGCCGATATAATACTTGTTTCGCCATTTGAGGGGGGAAAGTCTTGAAGCACGCTATGATGTTTGTTAGGCAATGCTGGCATGTTTGGCACGCGACAATCGATTGTTATTTTTTGTTTTTGTTTTTTTATCTCTTATCGATTGTGGTTATCCACTTACATATCTGTAGGCATGTAAGCTTTCATATCGAGGCTTTGTTGGATATTTTTGGGACATTCCGATCCGATAGCTTGGTGGTGTAGGTATTTGTTATGTTGGGTATTACTAATAGGAGGCTCTAGCTCCTGCGCTGCGGCTGCACATACAAGCTCTCCAAGCTGTGAGAGTAAGAGCTAGTTGGGATTTTACCGGGGAGGTCCCACGCAGGTGACCACGGTATTTGCATTTTGATCGAAGGATCTTCTTTGTTAATTAATGTGATTGTTCGTGCGCTGCGAACGTGAGATGCTCAAATTTAGACACAGTTGGTTCTTGATTTGATTCTGAAGTCAACAACGTTTGTGGCGATAATGTGGCATGTTGTTCGCGTGTGTCTGTGTTGTGTCGGGGCTTCAACCTTCAAAATCAACCTCGGAGCTCCATGGATCCATAGGCTCCACTTGATCAAATTTAATCCAAAGTTAAGTTAACGTTAGCCACTTCCGTCTAGACATGTGTTAATGCTTCTAAATTTTGACCTTGAGATTGTTCCAACCTCGTCGAATTTACCGCCAGCTGGCTGTGCCTCAGTCCGAATTCGCGATGGCGGGAATGTGGTAGTGGCCATGATGGTCGGCACTTAAGCACTTTTGTAGTAGACATCTGTGCGACTGTGCCAGCTTACTACATCAACTTCGCAAACTGCGAATTACGCTTTTCCGCCAATGACCTTCTATCCTTCTTTTGAACAAGTGCGAAATATCGAAATAGGAGGGGCCTGAAAATAGAAGTACCTGTTGGAAGGTTCCATTGATTGGTACGCTAGCCCATCGCTCCACCTGCACTGCACCGCGCCCCCTCAAGCCTTTTGCCCTGTTTCAAGGGCAGCGAAGTAAAAAAACCAGGGCCGTTGAGTCCATCTTCCGGCTAGGCTTCCCGCAAGCGGTTCCCCTGTCTCACGTTCTGGAGGCGATATGGTGCATACATACAATACATATCTTGGTGGACGCGAAGAGATTTTCTCTGCGGCATATACATGAAAGGCTACATTGTTTCAACACTGTTATCTAAGTATGTATATGATCGGTTGGAAATACCTTTGATTGTCCTATATTATATGGGAAGTTAAGAGGCATGCGCTAAACAGTTAAGCCTTCACTCCCGTTTTCTGACGGCACCTCCTGCGGGAACTAACTTTCTTACTGGCTTGCAGGGTGCTTGTTCTCGAAATTGTGAGAATTGACAAAAGCAGGCCAGACCGTCCGCATTAGCCAAGATTCTTGGACACTTATGAACCGCCCAGCAAGGTTTCATTGGGATGGCCTTCCATTGAAACGATGGGTCAAAGACTGCGAAACAGGGGGATCTACCAGTTCGGGAGCAAGTGCTTACCGTAGCCAAGTTCTTAGCGCAATTTTATGCTCACAAAAGCAACGAAAACCAGTTAACTGGACTTCGCAAGCCCACTCCACTAATACATATGCAAGCAAAGTTTGCATGAGGCTTTACTGTTCACGATGCCGCCAGGTAGTTCGATTTTTAGGAATCGGTGGACACGTCAAAAGAGAACCCGTCCTTTTAGTGTATGGTAATAGCGTCGCAGCAGAAAGCTAAAAGGCTTTTTAACCTTCGAGGATTTGCTTTTCCTCATTGTATGTACACGGACTAAACGAGCGGGTCCTCTTCCTCCCATGCACGTCAGCCCATGACTATTACTTCTCCCTGAAATAAATTTGGAACCTTGTTTGCGAATCTCAGTTTTTCTGGGGGGAGCGGATACTTGCCCAATGTATATATATATCCCCAATAGAGCTCATAAAACCAGTGCTCTCGCATCATCTTTTTTCTCCGTTAACCCTTTCCTCCTCCTCCTAATCAACATTCTTTTTGGGCCGGCCCATTGTAGTCGTAATAATCATTCATACTCTTTGAGCATTGAGTGAAAGCCTTTTCTCTTTGCTTTGTCGATTGGCCTCCAATACACTGAACGACATTATCGATATACCCAGTGCATGGTACTTCCGAAGTAAATATTTACCCGCCAGATAATTCAAAGAACGAATATATAATCCATAATCAATTCCGACAAAATGGCGGGCAGCACCGCTCGAGAGAGCTTCTTTGATGATTTGAGCAGTGATCTAGATAGTTATTTCGTAAGTATTATATTTTACTGCATATATATCCCGCAGATGGCAGTTTGCTGACGGCACATATATAATAGACTGGTCCTATCGATGCCACCAAATCTTCCAAGCTTCCATACTTTATGCGTGTTCGCGGTTCGGTTCTTCCGGGACTGATTCTACCTATGCTCTTCGTGGCAGCATGGTGTGTTTGGATTACATGCGTTCACAAGCTCGTCCGTCCGTTGGCTATCGACTCCCTCCTGCTTACGGTTTTGGGTTTCCTGGTCGGTTTGGCACTGTCTTTCAGATCATCGACAGCATATGAGCGATACAACGACGGTAGAAAATGCTGGGCCAATCTTACATTGAACGTTCGGTGAGTAGCGCGCTTTTTTGACTCAGATGTGAATGATCACTAATCAAGTATTTTTCTTTTCTAATAACAGAAACATCGCTCGTCTTATCTGGATTCATGTCCGCGAACGTGACGACTCTAAAGAAGATGACGTTCTCGCCAAATTGACCGCTATGAACTTGCTATTGGCCTTCTGCGTCGCCCTCAAGCATAAGCTCCGCCACCAGCCTGAGTACGACTACAAGGATCTCCAAGGTCTCATTGTCAACATTCAAAGTTTCGCCAAGCAAGCTCATCGGGACGGTGATATCCCACCACGCAAGGCTCTTACCACCCCACAGAGAATCTCAGCCTACCTCGGAATCACCTTTTTCGAGAAGAACCCCATCAGACGTTACAAGGCCTATAAGAAGGCTGGAAAGAACCATGGAAATTTGCCACTTGAGATTATGACTTATTTGAGCTCTTACCTTGATTCAGCTGTCCAGGGCGAGCAGCTTAAGGTTCCCGCTTACCAGAGCATGGCTATGACTTATCTCGGTGGAATGATGGACTCCCTCACCAACTGCGAACGTATCTCTCAGACTCCTCTCCCACTTGCTTACAACATTGTGATCAGTCAAATCACTTGGCTCTACGTATGTGCTCACCTCAAAAACCTTAAATATGAAACATGTTCACAAACTAACCTCGGATTTTTTCTCTCTCGAAACAGGTTCTCTTCTTGCCATTCCAGCTCGTTTCCAAGTTGGGCTGGGTTTCCATCCCTGGTACCTTGATCGGTGCTTACATCATTCTCGGATTCGCTGCCATCGGTCGTGAAATCGAAGACCCCTTCGGTGATGATGTTAACGATTTGAACCTTGACCGTTATTGCGACTCTATCGCCCTCGAACTCGATATGATCCTCTCTGTTGCTCCACCAAAGCCTTCGGACTTCATTCAGCGTGATGACAACTACGTCATGTTCCCCAACATGAACGAGGGTTACAAGGCATGGAAGGCCAAGGGTATCGAGAAGATTCGCTCAGAACTTAAGCAGAAGCCACTTCGTCATGCCAACCCAGCTTTGGCACGTGAGATCCGTCAATCGGAGCTGAGAGATCGAGACCATGACCTCGATAAGAGGCAGAGAGAAGAAGATGAACGTGAGGAAGCAGCAGCAAAGGGAGAGCAGCAGAAGAAGAAGAATGAGCAAGCACAAGTACCCGCTGACGACGCTGTGTGAAAAGCACTTGGGGGGGTAATAAGATTGAAATAAAGCAAGCGAGTTTTTTTAATGACCTCCTGATACAGTTGCATGTGTCGGGGTTGAGTATGCTCTTTTTTTTTTAACGGACCCTTTTGCATATTTCCGAGCGTTTTGATATTTCGGATTTACGATTTTCTTAATTTTGCCTCCGAGTCATCGTTCTATACAGGATGCAACAGAGGATATTTAACATGGTTTTTTTTGGTGGTTTTTTTAGATTTCGTTCTTTGGGATTTGCCCTCTGAAAAAAAAGTTTTATACCTGGGGGTACCTGGGAAAGAAAATAGTATTTAGTGTTTCTTCTTCTACTATACTCTCTGTGTGACAAAGCAGATTTGGCGGGATCTAATCGTCCTATCTTTCTATATCTATATCACTATCGATATAGAGTCGATCTGCTTGTGTAACGAGAGTCGGTTATTATTTAGTATGTCTTATAATATACAACTTTTGATTCATGAATTTATCAACTAGCATTGTAATGGTAAAAAAGACTGTAGATCGATAGACCAATGATCCACAAGCCCTCGCCTGCATGGTTAGGCATGTGCACACGCTAGCGGCATCGGGTACCTTATCTGTGATGTCGCTGATGTGCATCATGTGTGCGCCACCTTGGCGTGAAGGGCGTCCTCGCGTTGGAGGACCGCCCAACAAGGCTTAAGGTTTGCATGGCTAAAATATGCAACAAGCAACAACAATTTGAAGCCGGGATTCGAGATGAATTGGCTGGAAAATGTTATCAAGATGAGAAACAAGGGAGGTTTAAAGCGGGATTTGGGTGTATACACTGTTATAATTCCTTAGTAATAGAAATTTAGGAATGCGGTGTATGATGGATAATAGTGATTTTTATGCTACAAATATAATACCACATCACAACTAAGCTAAGAGACCTCCAGCAATCAAGAATGGCTGCATTACCTTCTTTGCTAAAGATATCTAAGATAACCTGCAAGTAATGCCTAATATCACCACCCTTTGCCATTGATAGATTGTGGTTTCTCAGCCATAGAGCCACATTGTAGAAGTGCTAATATACGCTCCTATAGCTCATAAGACATGCAGGGGCTATGTCCTAGTCCTTATGACGACCGCGTTGAACAGTAGACGCTCCGTCTCCAAGCCCTAAATACGTCCATAATTACACCTTAGGTCATCAGGCAGTTACTAAGCGACTGTCGAGTTGATTATTTAACCCACATTCCCTGAGGCCTCTCGATAATTTCCTTTCTTGTCTCTTCCCTCCTCTATCTCTTTACCACCTTCTCCGAATCCCCTCCTTCACCTATCATCTCCCCATCCCAAGTCATCATCTACCATCACCGTTCTCTCATCAATTACCCTGCTACCTCTTTCTCTCGTCTAATCCGACCGCAAGGGTACTTCGGTGCTCCTCTGCTCTGGTCAATTGCTCCAGTTGCTCCCATCTATTCTCAATTCCTTAAAACCTCTCTTCTAGCTACTCTACGTAAGTTGTTTCCATCATTTCTTTCCAGTTGCCTGGGTGTGGGTAGCATCTTGTACTCTTTTTTACTTCCCATCTCGGCTCGGAGGAGCTGCAGGTAGCTTGTATACCCCCAATTCTTTCTAGGTGTTCCGTTTGGAGCTTCTCTAGATGGTTTGATGGGCTTCAGAGCAACCTGCCGGGAAACGAACCCTACGTAAAAATCATCAGCATTAGCTTGATGCTATCTCAAATTCTCCGATAGTTTTACTCTTACCGTTATTTGATCTTACCCTCCTCCTCCTCATACTGTCCTTCGTGTATAGTTGTCTTGGTTACATTTCGAATTTTCTCGATACTAACGTTGATGGTGCTTGATTGATGCTAGGTTGTATCTCTTAGTATATATATGATAGGTAATATCAAAGATTACCAAACTTACTTTGCCCTAACTTGAAGCAAGGTACGTTTCTGCGAGTTCTTACATAATCCAATCTCTCTTCATTCAATTGATTCCGTCTCTTCTGCTTCTCAACTAATCCCAACCCAACACCACCATTGAAATTCCAAGTTGCACCCTTCTTTTCTAATTTTCTCTTAAATGCGAACCTTGCTTCATAAACCCAAGATTTCTAAACAAGTTACTGACTTTAAATCAATAGTAATGGATGATTCTGACCGTTCAAGAAAGGCCCAACGCCCCGAAGATCTAGATACATTGCTTGCTCGGCTCGAGGTTCAAGAGCAAATCATCCAGGAACAAAAAGTGGAACTCGCCTCCAAACAAAAAGAGGTTACTGATCTCCGATCCGTTGGTGATAAATCAAGTACTATTCAATCAGGCTCTGTCAATATGAATCGCGATTATTCGTCGGCCTTCGACGGACGTCACGGAGGCATGAACAGCTCTCCAGGAAACCGTGTTGGTTTGTATGAGTCGGGTGATGACGACTTCATTCAGGAACAGGTCAATAAGCATACCTTTGCCCAAGCAGTTGATGCCGATTTCTACAATGATGAAGGAGTCTCCCTTCAGTTACCAAATGATGGAGGTAATAATGCCCCGAATTTCTTCCGCCACTCTCCCCTCCCCCGTGGTCAAGGTTACTCTAGCTCTCCTATGTGGGACCAAAAGCCAAAATCTGTTCCGACAGGATCAAACGGGCTTCTTGCTCCTCCATACTGGCAACCGAACCCCGGCCAGGGTTATAACCGACCAGCTCCAGAACAAGATCCTGTTCAAGACTGGAAGGCTGGTAGTAACGACTATCGTCGAGGTCCTTCTGGACCACCCAGCGGTTTCCATACCACGCCCGTCCGTCAAGGGTTCTCTCCGAGTCCTCTTTCCCCGCCGTTTGTTCCGAATGGCTCAGCCGCGACCTGGAACTCGGCCCCTGGCCCAAACACTCCATCCAGCTCGATGAACAGTATCTCCTTGTCCAGTGGCTATGGAGGATCAATGCCATATACCGGTGGGTATCCCCAGCCCAGCCACGGAGATTATTCGTCCGGGTTCAGAGGAAACCACAATAACTGGTCGAAGTCTTCCAATTCATCGCCGGTAGGCTCCATAGTTCTCTTGAATGTTCTTCCCACATTTTCAAAGCTAACAAGCATATAGACCCAACCATTAGGTGCTAATCTGTACGGAAACTCTACGGAGTCTCCTAACTGGAAGAGATTGATGGAACGAGGCGTGGCCTGCGATTGGGGCTATCTTGTCGACAGGGTCGTCATGCAGAATGACCAAGGAGCATCCGTGTTCCTTCAACATAAGCTTAAAGATTTTGATCACCCTGAACACAAAATTGAAATCATCAACGCTATTGTTGACAAGGCATTTCCCCTCATGACCAACCGTTTTGGTAACTTCCTTGTTCAACGTTGTTTTGAATACGGCGAACCTTATCATGTTGAGGCCATGATGAAACTGATAAAGAACCGAGTCGTTCAACTAAGCATGGATGCTTTCGGATGCCATGTGATCCAGCGTGCTTTGGACACTGTCCCAGAACCTTTCAAAGTTATGATCATCCAGGAGCTCTTGCATCGCATCCCCGAGACTGTCATGCATCGATGTAAGTTACCAATTCCCTGGTCTGCCATCATAGGCCTGGAGCTAATATAGTCGACCTAGATGCCTGCCACGTCTGGCAAAAGCTGTTCGAGGTTCGATGGGTTGGAAACCCACCCCAAGTCATGAAATTCATGAACGAAGCTTTGGCAGGTATGTGGCCTGAGATCGCTATGGGTGAAACCGGTAGCTTGGTGGTCCAGAACATTTTCGAGAACTGCCTAGAAGAGGACAAGGTACTTTAATACTCTATCTCGTTTTCTGCTTTAGGAGCCCTAGGTGGGTGTGCCCCACTAACACTACTATCTTAGCGACCTTGTGTCAATGAAGTTCTCGCCAACCTTGACATGATCGCCCGAGGACAATTTGGAAACTGGTGTATTCAGCACATATGGTAAGGTCCATCATACTCTTTCTTCACCCCTCAGTCACCGATGCTAAGTATCTGTAATAGCGAGCACGGTGCCCCAAGGGATCAAAGCCTTGCTCTCGATATGGTTCTTCACAATGCTGTCGAATATAGCATGGACCAATACGCCAGTAAGGTCGTTGAGAAGTGCCTGAAGTCTAGTGTCGCTCCAGGGTTCCTTGAACGTTATCTCGAGCGTGTTTGTGAGGGACGCCCTGATCGCCCACGCCTTCCTATCATCGATAGTATGTCTTACTGCCTTCTAGCTATATGCATTTGTTGGATTCTGGCAACAGGCTTGTGTTGCTAACAGGGATCTCTTTAGTCGCTAGCGATCAATATGGCAACTACCTGATTCAGTTGATCCTTGGAACGGCTCCAATGCATCAGAGAGAGTTCGTAGCCGGCCATATTCGAAAGCACATGGTGTCTCTTCGCGGGAGCAAATTCGGATCCCGTGTCGGAATGCTCTGCATCAACAACAACTTTGCCAACTTCTCCAGCCAACCAAGCCCCAATCCCAACCGCAGTGGGGCTGGTCATGGAGGTCATATGCACTCTGGCGGCGGTGGTCATCGGAGCCATTGGAAAGGGTATCGTTAAATTACTTTTCGTTGTGCTGCTATTAACCTAGTATAATGTTTCTGATAAGGGAGCGTCGCATACGTTTATTCTTTACTCATGCTGGGATTCTTATATCCAACTATACCGCATTTTTCATCCATCGACTCCAGCGACTTTTTCACTCTGCTTTACACACAAGCCTAACCAGCACCTATTTCGTTTCTGTTGTTTCTTTTCGCGGCTATCACCACTATCCACGAATATGCTGGATATCCAACCATATACGGTTTTGTTCTTCTGCGACTACCTTACCTGTTTTCCTGTATCTCAGCCCTGTCTGCCCATCGCACCCCTCAACATCCTCTGAATGCTCTGTTATTATGTTTTTTTTTACCTTTACCAAAAGGCGAGGCCAATTCGACATAATCGTCGACATGTCTTTTAGCTTATGGAATACAACAAATGGAATGGGATACACCATAGATGCGTTTAGTTTGAAGATATATCCTGTAGTCGATTAGGTAAATACTCGTAGAAATTGTATCAGTCTAAATTCGTAAGTGGGCAAGGTGGGTCTAATATGTCTGAAATCTGGGTTCGTAAAACATAGCCATAACAAAATCCTGTCGTAATTCTACCGGAACGCCATAATATGCAACTCCTCCGTATGCTACGCAATCTGCCATGGCATATTACTATTCATTGCTTTTGCCTTCGGTTGTATCATATATAGATATGAGATGCCGTGATATTGATGAAGATGGGCAAATTTTAGTTTTCGACCTCCATCGACGAGCCCGGCGCAATCTTTGAATTTTCCAACATCTTCGTAGCTTCGGCCACTTGTGTCCTCATACTCGATGATGTCGGCTCACCGGCCGCATCCGCAGTTCCATCTCCAATACTCGGCGGCCACATATTCGCACGGGCTTTTACCCTTTCCTCGGAGAGGGACTGGCAGCCGGGACAGTTATGTAATGATTCGTGAGTGAAGATGTCGCAGTCGATACAAAAGTGGGTTTTACAGTCTGTGCAGGCGTAGCGTTGGGTTGGCGGTTGGGGCGGTTGTTGTTGTTGTTGTTGATGATCGTTTTTTGGGGCGGTGGAGGTAGTAGTAGCGCCGTTTGATCTACTTGCTGTTGCGGTGGCGGCGGTGGTACTTGGGTTTCTGATTTTTATTTTTATGGATGAAGTTTGGGATTGGTTTGTTGGGAATGGGGATTGGCAGGACCAGCAGTGGGTTGATGTGTGTGCTCTGTTTTCGGGGTTACGTTTTATTAGTTTTGGATTCGGTTTTTTTTAAAAAAAAAAAATAAGGGCGGCAGAGGGATATGGTACTAGGTGAATATGTGGAAGAGGGATTGGTACGTACTCTGACCAGGGGACCTCTACCCAATTCTTTAGTGGGAATAGGTGGTGATAAGATCTTGCCAGATGTGTGGATAAGATCAAAGTCAACCCGCAGCAAGGACATTCCGTGGGTAAGAAGCAGACTTTTGCGGTACATCTAGGACAGATGTAGCCGCCTTTTGTGAGGTTTGAGTGGCTGGTTAGGGACAATTTTTTTAAGTTAGTGATGTTTATTTTATGTAAAGTGATAGATGGATAGATGGATGATTTCTTCATACCACGAGCAAAGCGATTCATGTTTTTCAACCGTTCTTGATGGGAACCCCATCATGAGGAGACTTGGAACGCTTTTTTCCTCGGTTTTTGTTACCGGTGGGGTTGTAGCTGCCATCATGAGTTCGCGGTAGTGACCTTCGTCGAGGATGACACCGTAGGCGGCTGTATTTCATTGCATTATCTTTTTGTTAGAAAAAAAATATCGACAAATTCTTTTGACAACAACAGATGTATGAAAAGTAGAGGATAAATGGGGGGAAGGTTGCTTACAGTCATCTCCATCGTTAGTTTTCATTACTAGTTCCCTGCATACTGCGACTTGTGCGGCCAATCCTACGATTCGTACTTGGATCCTGTCTTCTATGAGAGAGTTTATTGTGTCGTGGATATCACCGGGGTCGGATGATGATAATGCACCAAAGATTAGAAGGATTTCACGGGTTCCGTGGGTTGGTGTGTGGCTATATTGATCCCCATGAGGGATCTTATGGTTAGCCCCTTCTTCCAAGCCATCATATGTGAAGACCTCCATGGTCATGAAGGTATTGAGGGAGAAGAAAGAAACCTACAATAACTCCGCCCTCCCCATCTCCAATGCATTCTGCAAACTACTCGCCCCCTTCGGTTCAACCGTAAACGCCTTCTCCTGCAACGCCGTCAAATGATCCGCAGGGTTTCCACCCATATCGCTGATTCTTAATGCCAACCCATCGTGCATGCCAATAATACTCAATTGACTTATAGGGTTTTGCTCAAAGTATTCTGTTACGAAGTCGCGAGCGTAACGAAGGGTTAAGAGGAACCTAGTCGGTCTGAGATCCTTTTCTAACATGGCGGAGGAGAGGTCGAGGATTAAGACCAGATGACGGATTATTCCGCGCTGGATTGGAGTTGTGTCTCTTAAGAGTCTTTTTGTTTATAACATGTAGATGTGGATATCATAGAGAGGTTGAAAGTTAGTCAAGGTAGTTTTTTTTTTTTTTTTAATACATATGGGATCTTTTTCATGCATATGGAACTGCACAAAGAGAGAGAGAGAGAAAGAGAGAGAAAGCATACCTCTTCCGTTTCGTAGCCTCGAGTAATCCAATAACCGTACCGGCAATACTCCCATCGGCACCTTCAACAACATTATCCCAAGATCTTTGGATATCCTCCCACTTCTCACGTTTAGTCGCGCCAGGTGCCGGTGCACCGTCTGCTCTTTTCGACTTACGCGTCGAGCGACGGGAGGAACCTGCCGCACCACCACCACCACCACCACCTCCCCCTGCTCCTCTAGCTTTTGGCCGGTCATCACCAGAGCTTGAGAGGACGAAGTCCTCGTCTGAGTCGGCCATTGTTTCTTCTTCTGCTTCTTCCCTTTTCTCCCCTTCCTCCTTTCTTTGTGGAGTTTCTTTTTATTTTATTTTTTATTTTTATTTTTGTGGGCACGTGTGGTGGGGGGGTTATGTTATCTTAAGAGAGAGAGAAAGAAAGGTTGGAATTCGTTGGCGGGTTTTTGGTGTTGTTTTATGCCACAGGTGAGGTTGAATGGTTGGTGGCTGTGAATGTCGAATCATCTTCAAGATAGACCGGGTGAGGCGCAAAAAGGATCTGTCGTGTATCTGTGGAACAACAACGAGATTCATTTCATTTCATTTCACATGGGGGGTTTCGTCAACATGCACCGCATTACAACCATGTGATTGATTGGCACCAAAATTTATTAAGATGAAATGGGTTCGGTTAATTCAAGTAGTAAGTAAGTAATTAAAGATGTTCTTGATAATAGTAGATTACTGATATATAAACACTATGTATATGTACATACTCTGTATGAGCCAACAGCTATCTTATACCGATGCTTCAAAAAATAAAAAATAAAAAAAACGGGAACGGGAATAAAATGCGAATATTTCATTAACATTATCAATTCGTCTGAGCCCACCTCTGCTCCTTCTTTCTCTTATTTCCTATGCTATTTCTTCTTCTTCTTTTTCTTTTGGATGCTCAACGCTGGTGTTTGACGCTGATGAGGGCAGTAGGATATATATATCTACCCGTAAAGCTAGTGTGATTTTTGACTGTTGTGTAGAAATGAGTGTATGGGTCGGTGAGTAGAAGTAAGTGAGTGTCAGAGAGGCGGAAGTTATTTTCGAAAACATATGATCCTGGAATCTGGTGTATAAAATAAGAAAAAAACCCAGGTCTATTCTCGCATCCGTCATCTAGATAGAGGCGAATCCGAATATCCTTCGTGAAAGGAAAGGATCCCGAATCAAAGGTAAAATAGAAAAAGGGGGAAGGAAGAAAAAGAAAAGAGAAAGAAAAAAAACACGGGTAATGCTTCATTTGCAAAATTGCAAAGGAAACGATGCAGAAGAGCCCGCGATGAGAAAAGGAAAAGGGAACAAACAATAGGGGTATATGTAAATGAGAGTCAGAAAGATGATACAATTAATAAACAAGAATTCATAAGGAAGCGCAATCATGCCATATCAATTACAAGCGCGCACTTTTAGGTTGGTTTCTCAGGCGTATTGAGAATCGAATCGCCCGGAGCGATGTGTGCTGTAATCTGCATCTGACATCGATGGATTTAGGGGTTCGTCTACCCATGTGTCTTCTGTAATGCTCGACCAGAAAGCCCACAGTGTGATCACTGCCAATAATGTGAATAGGGTTTCGAATAGGGCACCGTCGATTCTTCCGTCTGCGGCATTGCAGAGGTGCACGCTGATGACGAATGTGAAAACTTGTCCGATGGCGAAGAGTACGGCCGCCCCTCCTAGTAGCACTATTGTATAAGTTAGTATTGAACATCATATTGTTGCTTTCAAGGGGAACATACGCATGGGCCGAGTTTCACCCAAGACTCTGAGAACGAGTATGCTCTCGAGAATAAAGTAGCCGGCTAAGCAGACGATCGGGAAGAGTAGATACAGGACATAGAGTCCATAGTTTTTGTAGTCGGCATCGGGTTTAAATGTGTCGGTGTAGCCGAATCCAGTATCGAGAGCAATATAGCCTAGGTTAAAATTGTGAGTATCGACCTTTGATTTATATATATATATACTATATATAAGTATCTAAAAGAAAAGACCGAACATACCTGTGCCAATGAATATCATGGCCCCCGAAACGAAGAAAAGACTCAGTGATAATATAGTTCCATCATCTAGAAGCTGGTATCCAACGATTGCATTCAAGAGAAGTATCCAGCACGTGGTTGCGATCGCTGCGATATGTATTGACGAAAACCACTAGAGGCAAAGGAGAGAGAAAAAATTAGCAATATGACTAAAAAAAAGACCTAAGGTTGTTGGCAGCATACTTTCAGAACTGTAGCATTGTTCAAAAATCCTCCCACAGAGAATATTTCAGCAAGCGAAACGATCCCGTACATCAACAGGAAAGTTTGCATTTCTCGCCGACCGACGGCAGCTTGTTTTCTCTCCGATCTCCATACTAAGTAGACAACAGCAACGAGTGCGAAGCCGCACAATATTATCGAACCAAGGTTTCTTAAAGGTTCACCATTGGCTATGAAGCCCCTCAGCTCGCAGCTACGGTCGATGGGCCCGGCAGTGCTGTTGTCGCTAGTCAAGAAGAATAACTATAAAATGTATAGATTAGCTAATGTCCGGACGGGTAGGGAGATTTGTTCCGTGTCTGAGATGTTGGCTTACATTACACACCTAGAAACACAACAGTTAGTGATTGTCGCAGATTAAACAAAAAAACAAAGGAATACTTTAAATTTACTTACTGGTAGTGTTGAATCGCGACAAAAATCCTATGGAGGAAAAAAAAAGAGATGATTGTTAGTAATGTTCGGCGATTGCGATAGAGACAGCAATAGCAACAGTAATGGAATGGAATGCAGTGGAATGCAGTGAAGGGCATCGGGCTACGTACATGGAACTTTCCGAATTGGGACATTGTACCTTCGCCGGCCCGATCGAGGACTCCAGCGGAAGCTCAGACGAACAATGGACCTTTTTGATAAAATGTCGGGATGAAAAGGTAATTTGCAGGGTGGCAGGAGTAAGGTCGGAACACTATAATGATGATGATGATGCTGCTTCTGCTGCTGCTGCTGCTGACAGAGGGTATTTGAGAGAGCAGAGATGGTGTTGGGAATTAAATTATATTCGAAGAAGAAAATTGGGCGAATAATTTTCGAGCTGGTTTTGGCTGGTGGAAGGCGAAGAGGAAGGAGCGAAGAGGCTGTACTGTGCAACTGTCAGATGTCTTACTGGCGCTGATATGATATTAACAATTTGGACACCAAAAGCGAAATAAAATACAATAATAATATCAAAATGCAATGCACTAATGGGAAAAGAGAAATGATTCTCAAACAGATGGGAGCAATAGATATAAAGTAACAATGGCGATGCGATGCGGAGAAAGAGGGCGGGAGGCAGCAGGGGAAAAGCGAGGAGGTGGTAAAAATTCGCTCTTTTGAATCGGGAGCGCTGGGATTGATGGATGGTTTCCACGTTGTCGGCCAGCCTCAACAGTCTGGCAAAGAGCTAAACTGTCTCCACGTGAGTGAGAGAGTGTGTGAGAGTGAGGGATCTTGAGAAACAGGTTGACGCGTGTGATATGATATGATATGATAAGATGATACCAAGTCGTTGTAGATGTAGATGTAGTTGTAGTTGTTAATATAATATAGAGTGTGTGGTTGCTCTGCGCTGTCAATCTGGTTCATCACAGTCGCTTCCACTTCGAGTTCCTGTTCGAATAACGAGAGATGTCTACGAACGACGAACGACAGAACGACAGACACCAAACGGCAAATGCAAGAACGAGAACAAGAAAAAAAACTCTCTATATTAATAGAAACAGCTTCCCGGGATCAAGCTAGAAGACTGGCTGTGATATCCAGATCCACCGCCACAGGAATAGGTGTATAGGTATAATGTAGGTACTCGATGTACCAAGATCAGAAAGAAAAATACCTTCTTGTTCTTCTTCTGCTTCTTCTTCAAGCTTCTTCTATTTCTTCTCAACGTCGATGATGGGGTCGTGTCTACGTCGGCCCTGTCGGACGTATGCAAGGTTTGTCCCGAGTTTTCGACTTAAGGGGCGAAAACAGGTACGGTGCAGACAGCACAGGACCAACAGCGATGCAATGACCGGTGCTGGAAAAGCGAGGCGGTGACCCGTAGTCCACGAAAATCTGCGATCTCCACCAATTGGATCAAGAAGAGCGAACTTCTCGAAAAGAGTCGGAAACTGTGAAGAAACTCTAAAGGTGTGGGGAGGAGGGGAAAGAGAAAAAAGAGAAAAGAGGAGAGAGAGGAGTGTGAGAGAGGGAAGAGATGCAAGCAGCAGCACTTACTGTCAGTCTGCAATGGTGAGACGAACCTGATGCGACCGTTTGTCGGCTGGCACAATTACTCTTAACTAACTGCAGCGCTGAACTGAACTAACGTGCAAGTGCGAGTGCAAGTGCGGGTGCAAGAACAAACGAACAAACGAACGGGAATATTCGAAGGGCTGGGGATTTTGATCGATTTCAACAATACGATAACGGAATTTGTTTTTTTTGGAAGAGAAGATCAACCACAAGGACTCGACTCTTCTCCGTACCCACGGTATGTTTGTCTGTATATGTATGTATATGCGATCGATTTATATTATACTTACTCTCTTTTGATCAAATAGAAAACAGTCGTATGGGTGGCCGTCAAGGCAATAGGTATCGTGCAAGATCGAAAGGAATGGACTCGAAGGGCGCTCCAATTAAAAATCGACCTGACACACCGGTTGTGCTGCGTCCAACGGCTCGCGGAGACTATTCAATAGCACAAACCGAGGAATTTCTGACCCTGAAGGACGGAGTAGTATTGTAATAGTTGGTATTTTGTTATCCAGCAATCTTTCAAAGATCGATAATATACGGCTGCTAAAGAAACGAACGGGTGGGAATTTGGGGAATTTGGGGAATTTCGAATGAGAGGTTTAATAATTAATGAGTGGACGCCCACATGTGCGGACAGGTTGAATTCGATTCAATCCAATTCAAGACTTCGAGTCAATACCTATTAACATTATCGGGAAATGGGGTCATTATTATCCATATCGTGAAATTAACCATGGTCAAAAGACCAGATGAAGCAGATTCACAGGTTCGAGCGGTCATCAGGCATATCTCACGACTCCCGCACGGGAAATGAGGACGGAGGGGGCGGCTTTGTTTGAAGCGAACAAGAACCCTGCTCAGTATCACGAACAGATGCCCAGGCAGCACACCGCACCGTTGGATTGTGGCAGAAATACGCATAACCGTGGCCAAGTACTTTCCTCTTACCTAGGTACTGACATACAAGAGAAGGGTACCCGAGTAAGTACATATGTAATATAGTGGACGAGCAGGGGAGAACGGGCCTGGCGCTCGAAAGCCGCAGGATGACAACGTCTATTGTTCCGGTATTATAAAACAAAATACTTCCACTGCAGGCTAGAATTGCACATGGATGAAGTACTGTACACGTCCAATACATTGCAATCTAACACAAGACGTCTAGAATCAATCCTTTTTTCCCTTCTGTCGGGAATCGTTCCCTCACGGACGCCCAAATATAGGTTCATTGGGCGGGTGAGTTTGTTACAAGTATACAACTCGCAGGGATGAGGCCATTTGAATTTTTTGCATTTTGCATCTCTTCGTATATTAATTACTCCTATATCAGCAAGTTTTATAGTATTGTATTATACTACTGCGTATTGAATCCCTTCCTCGGGTAGCGGGGAGGTATGAAAGGAGGGAGAAGGGGGAAAAAAACAATAAAAAAAAGTCGCCTGGGCTTGTAGTATGAATTATAAGCGCTTGTGAAGAGATAGCGGTTTCAACCCGTCGGCGAGACCTTGGAGCTGTGGTATCTGAGTGGTTGCTCACCATTCCTCGCGGAGATATGTGGCTAGTGATGGTGTGGGTGTTATGTATGTGGCTTGATGGTTCACCAGCCACAGTCACGATGGTCAGGGTCCGAGCTGCTCCTGTGCACTGGCGTGGACGAGCTCTGCACAATTACGTAGGAGGATGTTCGTCCCGTCGCGCGTCAAATTAACGACCATCCCATTTTCTCGTTAACCATCAATACCGAGATATCATAGTCGAGAAACAAAATGCATAACATACATAAAACCATGCATCATGAGTCGTCTTTGTCGAGATCTTGGCTCTTTAATAAGTAGCACTTGACATTGCATTAGTGGAGCCCGAGCATTGTCCCGAGTGGATTCCGATCTACACAAGCTGTTGATACATCTGATCAAGACATGCGCCCATCTCTGCCGAACCCGAGAGAATCAAACAAATACAATACTCACTAGTAGTAAGAGACAAGGACAACTAAGACAAACTTAAAGACATTCCTCGGAATACTCGCCGCCTCGGTCAGGTGTACGTATACATGTATGTACTTACATGACTGTTGTCCAACGGAACTTAACTATACACTATCAAGGTAGACTATACTCCTCCAGAGAGACACAACAATATAAATACACATACAAACCCACTCGCGCAGGAACCCTCCCTCGGCTTTCTAAATTTTTGCACTACATCGACAAAAACGTGGCTGCAGCTTGCCACATAATCAGGGCGGTCAATTTGTTCGGAGGACATCTCTTCCCCTGGCCGAGAAAGGGGTGGGATCCAGCTTAGAGCTATAGAGTTCCCGTCGAAAAAGGACCTCATCGACCACATAACACTCTCATCCGGTAACGCTCCGGCGATCAGATTATATATACCCTCACCACCCTTTAACTTTCCACAACCGACAAGATTGCGTCCTCACGTAACCCCCCGTCTACCATCCCCCTCCAACAACTCTCAACAAGTGGTTTATCCAGAAGTCAAGCTGGCGACAAACACGCCGAAGCTCGTGAGCAGGAGACTTCGTTACTTGGCCGGTCGTCTGTCGCCGGAGGAGGCAGTCAGTACCGCCACGGCGACCGAGACTCAGAATACACAGCTGAATCCAATGATTCGGATTCTTGGAGTGATACCGGTGACATAGCGGATCAAGCGCCAGACGACGAGGATCCGGTCAAGCAGCATCTCACAAAGGACGGAAAGTCGAAGAAAACTAAAAAGGTCAGGTACGCCGACGACGGCGGCGACGACGGCAACAGCGAAGAGCACACAGAGAGCCGGAGGAAACGAATTCGAAGGAAGGACATACCGATCCCTGAACCGGAACCGAGGAGGCCTACGGCTATTGGAAGATTAATATCATTTTCCTTAACTGGAGGGAGGCAATCCGACAAAATGTATGGGTTAACGGGGAAACCGCTTCTATACTTCACAAGTATATTTGTGAGTCTAGGGGTATTTCTCTTTGGATATGATCAAGGAGTTATGAGCGGTCTCCTAACGTAGGTCACGCGACGTCTACGTCTCCATATTCTAGTGCTGATATGTCTATCCAGTGGAGAAAATTTCAAGGCATACTTTAACTACCCCACGGCCGCCCAAATCGGGACTATGGTCGCAATTCTTGAGGTAAAAATCCAACAATATTAGCTAGATTTATTTATCTACTTTTGCTTACTTGCTACTTAGGTTGGCGCATTCTTTTCATCCCTGTTGGTTGGAAAAATTGGAGATATCATCGGAAGAAGACGAACGATCTTATATGGTGCTATAATATTCGTCATCGGAGGCGCTTTCCAAACCTTCTCGATCGGTATCGGCACGATGATTATCGGAAGAATCATAGCTGGTGTTGGTGTTGGTCTGCTATCAACTATCGTCCCCGTCTACCAATCTGAGATATCACCGTCGCACAATAGAGGCCTACTTGCTTGTATCGAATTCACAGGCAACATTGTTGGTTATTGTTCGAGCGTGTGGATGGATTACTTCTGTTACTCGATTCCGAACGACTGGTCTTGGAGATTACCACTCTCGATGCAAATTGCCATGGGCACGTTACTAGCCGTTGGCTCTTTGGCCATATGCGAATCGCCGAGGTAAGACAGGCAAAATATATGATTTCGACTAGCTTTAACATTTTGATTGTAGATGGCTGTTGGACAACGACCACGACGAAGATGGTCTCACGGTGCTAGCTAATCTCCACGGCGGTGGTGACGTCTATAACGAGCGGGTGCGAGATGAGTTCAGAGACATCAAAGAATCGGTTATCATCCAACGACAAGAAGGAGAACGATCGTACAAGGATATGTTCGCCCGTTACCGTCGAAGGGTATTCATCGCCATGTCGGCCCAAGCATTCGCCCAACTAAACGGCATCAATGTTATCTCATACTATGCCCCGCTAGTATTCGAACAAGCTGGCTGGGAAGGGAAAGACGCCCTCCTAATGACGGGCATCAACGCGCTAGTATACGTGGCTGCCTCGATACCACCGTGGGTCCTTGTAGATCGATGGGGAAGACGAAAAATTCTCCTCTCCGGAGCAATCATTATGGCGATATCCCTTTCGCTCATATCGTACTTCATGTACCTTCGTATTCCGTCGACTCCAACGCTGGTAGTGGTCTTCGTGGTCATTTACAATGCGTTCTTTGGGTACTCATGGGGTCCCATCCCATGGCTGTACCCACCAGAGATCCTGCCGCTATCGATTAGAGCCAAGGGAGCATCGTTGTCAACTGCTACTAACTGGGCGTTTAATTGGTTGGTTGGGGAGTTGACTCCCATCCTCCAGGAAGTGGTGGAGTGGCGATTATACCTTATTCATGCATTTTTCTGCGTTTGCAGTTTTATTTTAGGTTGGTCTAAAAACGATTTTTAGTTCCTTGGATTTTCTGTACTAACTCGGTTTGATAGTTTACTTTTTCTACCCTGAGACTAAGGGTCTTACACTAGAAGATATGGGAGTATTGTTTAACGATGGATCGGCTGCCCCGACTCCTTCGGGACGATCGTTGTTGAATACTGAGGGTAGGACGAGCCCGGTGCCTACTCTGGATATCAACAACCCGTTCCCGCATAACGGGAAGAATAGGGATGAGGAGTCCGGTATATTTGGGTGGGTTAAGGGAATATTTAGAAGGGAAGAACGGCGTTCAAGTGATTATAGACCATTGATTACCGGTGAGGATTAAATAAAGGAAGATACATTCATGAGCCTAAGAGGAGGGTCGTAAATGGAGTGTATGAGATATTAGAGACTCAAAAATGGCTTGGGCGGTGGCATTTTGGATGGTTTGGACTTGATTCTGGAGGATGTATTAATATTGGCATTTTCTTTCATTTCACTTTATCATTTTGCAGAAATTAGTTACGAATAGACTCAGTCGACGTTTGCATGATTATTCGATTAATTATCGTAGCTCTACCGATCTGGGTCCAAAAAGTAGAAGAAAAAAAACCTGTCTATTCCTGAACAGCAACCAACTACCTTGCATAATCAAGGGACCCTACGAGTTAAGGCCTTATAAGTGACGCTCTAAGCTTCAACCCCAATACAATAACAATATTATCTTATTCCTTATACTCCTTGTTCCAAAAAACCCTATGCCTCTTCTCCTTCCCCACAGTTCTAATCTTCTCCACATCTTCATCCTCAAGTTTGAACTCCGTGATCGCAAGCGCTTCCTTCATTCTCCATTCCTTCGAGGAGGTAGTGATGACTACATTCCCATCATCGACAGCCCAGCGCAGAAGTATCTGTGTCGCTGATTTATTATACTTCTTGCTGAGATCCTCGATAACACTATCCAAAGGACCCGGTGCACCCTTCGTAATCGGGATCAGAGGGCCGTAGGCTGCCGTTACTATTCCATGTTTGTTATGGTATTCCTTAAGTTCTGGGTTTTGTAGACTATATTTTTTGTTACACGGACAATATATCATTAGCAAGGAACGCCAGTAGTGTATATATTTATAAAGGTGAGGGGGGGGAATACATACTAAGGATGATACTCCACCTGATTAACCGCCGGCAGCACCCTAGCAACCTTTCTAATCCTCTCCAACTCCTCGACTCCAAAATTACTAACCCCGATAGCCTTCACCAATCCTTTCTCGTACAATCCTTCCAATTCCCCCCAAGCTTGTTCGATTGTTATACCCTTTTCCTTTTCATCCCAAAATGGCGCGTGGATTAGGTATAAATCTACGTAATCGACTCCTAGCTTTTTGAGAGATGTGGAGAGAGCTTCCGAGGGGGAGGAGATGGATTTGTAGAGTTTTGTGGTGATGAAGAGGGATGAACGTGGGGTTTTTGGAGAGGAAGAGGAAGAAGAGAGGGCGAGGCCGAGTTCGGGTTCGTTGCCGTAGGCTTCGGCGCCGTCGAGGTGGGTGAAACCGACGGTTAAGGCGGTTTGGGTGGCAGTGGTGATGGCTGGGTCTAAGGTTTCGTCGCCGGCTCTTTTGAAGTCTGGTTTTGTTATGAATAGGGTTTATATTAATATTTTTTGAAGATACTTATATATATGTATTTTGGAGGGTAGAGTAGGTAGGTACTTACGAGCGGTTCCGAGGCCGTATCCGATAACTGGGATTTCAACCCCGCCATGGTTCAATTTGATAGTTGGAACGGTTGCCATTTTTTTTCTTTCTTTCTCCGCTAGTAGATGAATTGGTTATTTCTTTGAAGGAATATTCGAGTTTTGTATTTAAATATCCAATTCCTTTTGTGTTAAATTTGAAGATTGTCAGAACGTGAGAAGTGGGAGAGCTTGTAGAAATATATGTTGTAGATTCGTAGTTCGTCTCAACAACAACAACAACAACAACAAAAAAAAGGGCTGGAAGACACAGAAATAATAGTTAGCGGGAACGCCTTAAACTTCTATATCCGTCTTCTCAAGCACAGCCTAGATCTCGATTTTGAAGCGCCAATGTCAAACCAAGCACGGACGAAGAAAAACTTGGGAGAATCTAGATCTTTTTTTGAATGGTCTGTAGAGAGAGAGAGAGAAAAAGCTGAATCCTAGAGGTCTGGCAGTGTTCTTTTATATGCAAGTTAATCTTCCAATACATTAATGCAACAACAGACTTTCGAATGCGGTTCGGCTGTGGGCTTGCTAGCTATAGCTAGTAGCTAAGCTGGAAACTAGCTATCACGTCACTTGTCCGGAGATTCGCGTTTGACCTTGTAATTACTAATCTACTTTTTAAAAAAATGATAGGGCTTTGCCGAGGCCGAGTTTCGATGCCGATTGCCGAACGTGAGTAAGTAAATAGTAAGTAAGTGTCAACAGATTGAATCAAGAAGGTGCTTTGTATCGATTTCAAACAAAATGCAATCGATTGAGTCGAGTCGAGTTTGGAACTCGAAAATATCCAACAAGTTAAACGTGTTGCGCGGATGTTCGATACATTCATTCATAAATTAATTAATTCTACGTTCAATCCTAGCCTATTATATACGGGTATGCTTAAGCTCTGTAAAGACTGGGTGTCAGTATGTTAACGTTGTATTCCCAGTCACATAAGTTGAATATTATATTGGGAGACACACAGGAGAGAAGGGCTAGATAGATCAAGTGTATATATTAATTATATCATCTAGTAAGGATTGTATTGTGAATAAATAATATAATTCCAAAGAGATTCAATCGAGTCTTGCAAACGAACATGCATTATAATATTAACGATACTTTCATTCATGAATCAAACATATGACTAAACAATCAATATTACTGCAAGCGGGTTAATTAAAATGGTGAATAAAAGAGCAATCGAAAACCATATCCACGAATATATCGAATTGAACCTCTGACCGATTCGAAGCTTCGAAGTTAAACTAAACGGTCCCATCCACACTGGTCCGCCCGGACACCCCTCCCATCTCCACCTCTCCCAACTTAACCTCTCGCACCCGTCTCTCCTCCTCTCTCCTCTTCTCAGCCGCCCTATTCCTCCTCCTATTCACAATCCAATACCCCGTCCCAGCCGCAACCAACAATCCCACCCCGGCCAAAATCGCCGCCACCGCAGCCTTCGAATTCTCCCAATTAAGCCCTACATTCGTATCATAATCCGGCAAAGTAGGCGGATTCGCACCGGCGCCCATAATCGCAAACGGTTGGGAGTAACTATAATTCCCCATCCAAGAATCATAACTCATCTCGATGACATATGTTTCTTTATCGGCAAGAGACCCCGGTACCATCCATCTGTAACTTCCCGTGTTTTCGACGGTGGCTATTCGACGAGCCCGGCTTAGGTCTGAGGGTCTTTTGGCGGCGGGGTTGAGGGAGTTTAGGAGGTAGATGGTGACTTGAGGGGTGGTGGGGGGACCGGTTATGTTGGTCCAGGTTATGAGGAAGGGTTTGCCGACTGTGAGGGTCGTGGAGGGGTTTGGAGAGGTGACTTTGTTGCCTTGGAAGGTGGTGAAGGTGGGCATTTCCATATTGTATTATATACTAAGTAAGTACTTAAGTAAGTACTCAAGTAAGTAGGTATATCAGAGTGGGATTCCTAAGTGGATGGATATGCAAGAGTTCATAAGATGCATCAAATTGAGGCTCTAGACTGATGGGAGGTATTATAGTAATGAAGATGGTATGTTGAAGGCTCAAAGGCTGGCTTTATATAAACATTTGGATTCTCAACATGATATATGATATCGACATTGCATTAAAGACCACTGAAAGAGAAGTCGGGGGGAATTAATGTCGGAAGCTAAGCGTTAACAGACGCCGACACTCCTCTATGCATGGTCCTCGGATTTGGTATGCCAACAAGTTCGTGCATGAAAACTGCATGTCATATGATTATCCATCCCGCCTCTCATAGGCGATAGATCTATAGAGTAACTTGCGGCTAATTAGATAGGCAGCTACTCTGTCGGTACCCGGCAAGGATAAATCAAATCGCAAGTACAGATTCAACCTTGTTAAGTTTTTTTGTAGCGAGGATTGAATCAAGTCGTCTGATACGATGTACTCGAGCTCTCTTTCGCCTGCGTCTGCGCCACCCATGCACTCACCCATGCATTATATTAGCTTAGACACCGGCGCGCGGAAGTTAAGTTAACGTCATTACCAAACCCGCCTTGGCGAGAACCGACAGCTTATAAACCCGCAAACCTATCCGATGCATGCTATAAAGTGAACCTGCGCCTGACATATGATATCCTGCAGCTTTCCCCCCTTCCAAAATCGCACATGCATAATAACCCCCCCCCTCCCTTCCAACCAATCCCATAGTGTCTTAATCTAGTCTTTTGAACAAGAGCAGGAACAAAATAGTTAAATCGGAGCTTCACAATCCCGAAACTGCGGACACGAAAAGAAGAAAAAAAAAAAGCTGCATGTTCCCGCCGCAGCAGATATTCCAACAGGCAGCAACACATTCGAACAGGGGGGTTCTTCGGGCTTTACCGCGGTTATTATTACTTTCTAGGAATTTCTCGAGTTTGATGGATATCAATACTGGGTATTCGGGTATGAGTTCTAAGGGTGGAGTTACATTAGATGAACTTCCAAAGTCACATGTTTTCACTGATAAATTACCTCGTAAGTGTCCCCATCCCATTATATATATATTTTAAAAAAACCTATTTTGGTAATGATGTTTTATGTTTACTTGTTATGATAATACAGCGGACCCGAACGTACCAACCCCACAAGTCGCGGATTCGAACCAGCGCCCCAAACCGGGATTGGTAAAAAATGCAGCGTTCACATGGATTAAACCCGAAGAAACGCCGGATTATGAATTACTCGCGGTTAGTCCTGCTGCATTTGACAGTATTGGATTGAAGAGAGGGGAGGAAAAAGAAGAAGGGTTTGGGAAGTTGGTTAGTGGGAATAAAATCTTTGAGGAACATTATCCTTGGGCTCAGTGTTATGGGGGTATGTTTTCTCTTTCATATAATTCTTGTTGGTATGGTATGGCGAGGGAGTTTGATTGTTGATAGGCTTTTATTAGGGTATCAATTGTACGATTTCTTCCTTTTCGTGAGGGAATGAAGGGTGCTTCTTTTCTTAGGGGACTGATAGCTAATGGGATACTTATTCTTAGTGGCCACTGGGCAGGCCAACTTGGTGATGGGGTATGTCTCTTTCCCAATACTAGCTAATACATAGTATATGAGCTAACAGAAATAACAGAGAGCAATAAGCCTCTTCGAGAGTACAAACCCTTCCACCGGTGTACGATATGAATGGCAGCTCAAAGGTGCCGGAACAACCCCCTATTCTCGATTTGCGTAGGTTTCTTTCACATACTCTTCCTTCTGAAGTTAAAAAGACTTTATATTGATAAATACATATACAGAGACGGCAAAGCAGTTCTCCGCTCTTCAATCCGCGAATTCATAGTCTCCGAAGCCCTCCACGGTCTAAAAATCCCCACCACTAGAGCACTCTCCTTAACCCTCCTACCCAAAAAGAAGGCACAAAGGGAAACCATCGAGTCCTGCGCCATAGTAACTCGTTTCGCACAATCATGGCTAAGAGTCGGAACTTTTGATTTACCTTATAGTAGGAACGACAGAAACCTCACTAGAAAACTTGCTGATTACGCTATTGAAGAAGTCTATGGTGGGGTTAAGAATTTGGGAGGTCCTAGGGAGGAAAGCGACGGTGGAGAACCGGATGGAGAACCTAATAGATATGAACTGTTTTATAGAGAAGTGGTGAGGAGGAATGCAAGGACGGTGGCGTATTGGCAGGCGTATGGGTTTATGAACGGGGTTTTGAATACAGATAACACGAGTATCTTGGGATTGAGTCTGGATTTCGGACCGTTCAGTTTTATGGATGTGAGATTCCTTTTTTTCTCTTTCAAATCTATATTATAAGGGTAAAATAATCAACTAACAATATCAAAAATCATCCAGAACTTCGACCCAAGTTTCACCCCAAACCACGACGACTCCTCCCTCCGCTACTCCTACCGCAACCAACCCACAATAATCTGGTGGAACATGGTCCGACTCGGCGAATCCCTCGCCGAACTCTTCGGCTTAGGTTCTCTCGTCGACTCCCCGCAATACCTCTCCTCGGGCCTACAACCCTCGCAAGTCGAACCCCTAACGAAACGCGCAGAATCCATAATCGACCGCGCGGGTATAGAATACAAAACAACCTTCATATCAACCTACCAAACCCTCATGTCCCAACGTCTGGGATTCCAAACTAACAAAGAAATCGACATGGAAAATCATTTTACTACCGCCTTGGATTTGATGGAGAAGTTGGGGTTGGATTTTAATCATTTCTTTAGGAGGTTGGCGGATTTACCTATCAGTCATATGGGAGATGAAGATAGTAGGGTTATGGCTGCTGAACATTTTTTTAATGAGAATTCGGCGGTTAATATGCCGGGTCTGGCGGCGAGGGATAAGCTTAAGGAGAAGGAGAAGGCGAAGAAGGAGATTGCGGAGTGGTTGGGGAAGTGGAGGGAGAGACTTGCGGAGGAGGATGGGGGGTTGGATGATGAACGGAGGCAGAGGGAGATGAAGAAGGTTAATCCTAGGTTTTTGCCAAAGAATTGGGTGTTGGATGGTATGGAACCCCACTGCGCTTCTTCTTCTTCTACTTATTCTGCTTACTTGAGTTACTGTGAATTCATACATACATTTCCAGAAGATCATACTAACGAAAAGGTCAAACGATAGAATTAATCAACCGCGTCCAAAGAAACGGAGAAAGAGATATTCTGCATAAAATCCTAGATATGTCGTTACGTCCCTTTGAAGACCACTGGGGGCCCGAGAGTGAATGGGCAGAAGAGGATAGACTTTGTGGGGATGTACCACCTCAAGATGCTGGGATGCAATGTTCTTGTAGTTCTTGATTTCTTTTTTTTTTTCCACTTTATATTATATATTGTTAAACAGAGGGAGGTTTCATCGTTAAGAGCATAATAAATAAATAAATGGAGGTTGAATGTCTATAAAAATAACTTTCGTTCGACAGAATATTAAGATTATCGATAGTATTACTTTTGGATTGGATATAGAAAAATTAAAAAGTCCTCTATTTTCTCTCATCCTTAAGGCCTTTTGAATTCATTTTCATCCCGATCATACACTTGCCATCCTATATAATAAATCCCCATCCCACTAAAAGCAAAAAAAACAGAAAAGAGAAAAGAAGTATTTAAATACCTACAATGAAAGTTGTAATTACGAAAGGGGTTTTTGTGTTTTTTTTTTTTCCTTCTCTCTTTCAAAGAAACTTTTTTCGTTGTTCATTTTCTGTGTCTTCAGATATTTCATTTTTTTCATTCCGCCATCCTCACACACAAAAAAGAGGAATAAAAACACCAAGGATGAGAAAGGTTGTTCTTGAGAATTTAGGATAATGATACTCTCCGTCGTAAAAGAGACGTTTTTGGTGGTGGTGGTGGTTGGAAGTTTGCCACATGGCATTCCCGTCTCCGAGTTATGTTCTTAACAATTCCAGGAACCAAACTATCCCGCCCACTTAAACTGGAAGCTCAAACTTCCTTCCCTGTAGAACCCTACACCCCCCAACCATTAGCACCTCCCAACAAAAAAAAAGTAACCCAAATAGTCTGCCAACATGCGAATGAAACAGTTTTAAAAGGGGAGGAAAGTAACTTACTTGGTATAATAAATGTAAAAGAAATCAGAATATAGAATCGTCTGAATAACACCTGCAATAACCGACAATGGATCCCAAAAGGTCGAGGTCAAGTATCTATAAATCCAATTGGGGATGTACAAAGCTCTGTACGCTCCCAAGGCAAAGATATAGTGGGTAGTGATAGTTTCGGCAGCTCCGGTCCGTTGTACCATAAACAACTGTGGCAGGATGGCGACACTTTCAAGCCAGATGCTGAAAGTCCAGAGAACCTAATTCACGGAGAGACGCCGCGTAAAGAACATTAGAAACCGGTCGACTTTTAAATTATTTAGAAAGAAAACGGGGAGAGGGGCAAGGGTATGAAGTACCTCAGCAGGAGTCCACTTATAAGGGAACAACAATGCCAGAAGCGCAGCACCTCCAATCAGGTACCGGACCTTGAAAGTGTCGATGTTAGGATCATGAGTGGGCTTGAAGGGACCAGTCATAAGATGAAGGACATAGGCCGATGAACCAATGAATATGATCTTCATAGTGGAGTTGTATAAGGCGAAAGTCCAGAAGAGATCTGTATGATGACGCAATTTATGAGTTTCTTCCAGGGGTAAGCTATAAGAGGATGATAAGTAGGTACCTAAATATCTTGTGACGTATACTAGAAGGTACAGAGCTTGTGATTTGAAGGATATGCCTGCGCAGCTCTGAGAGGCGAGTTAGTTATTGGGATCATTTCCGCAGGGAGTCGAGAGGGCGTGAAGCTACCTTGCTCGTCGACATCTTGTGGATAAGTATGAAGATACTTATCAGGTGAAATAGATCACCTAACGATTGAAACCCGTCAGCATGAGCCTCTCATCTAGAGCCTGAAAAAGTCGAATAGGATGAATAACCCACCAGCAAGTCGGAAGATATTCATCTTGAACGAGATTCAGCCCGAGAAAGGCGACAGATTCCCTCCTAATGTTCGATAATATCCCTTCCTCCTGGATTCCCCTTGTTGTGGACAAAAGAAACCCACACCGATCGTGATGGTAGAGCTTCGAGGTGTAGATGATATAGATGATGTCGTTCAATGGATGAACTTGAAGGTTGCACGCGATCAGAGCCAAAAACGTTACTTTCGAGGGGGTAGTCGGTTTCCTTGCGACCTGGTTCGTTGGGAGGCGGAATCTTTTTTCTCTAGATTGTCGAATGGGTAAGCTGTGTGCCTATCTCCTGTCGCGCAGAAAACGAATTGAAAGGTCGACGGATTGCTGGCTGGCAATTACGGCAGATTCGACATGGACAGACTGTAAAACCGAACGGAGGTTATTCGATTACCGCTACGGCCTGGAGAGGGTTTTAAAGGGTCATGAAGGAGCTCGATTTGGTGGATTGAAGGAGAGGAAGAAAGGGACGGGAGGTAATATCATTCAATCTGCAATGAGGACACGTTTTGGGACAGCCAAGCTTCATCTTCATTACCTGGCCGGTACATCAATTGCAGGTAACTAAGTAGGAACTATACCCTCGCTCACGCAACGCACGGAAACTCCCTCGTGGAATGTTGCATACTTCGACTATTGCTAAGTACTACCTAAGTATTCATGCAGAGAATTAAGGAGGTTTCGAGTTCTCGATCAGGTATTTAAGCAAATAGCTTACAGTTTAGTTTGGTTTGGTTTGGTTTGAGTCTAGTCTAATCGACGGCTTCTATTTTCTTATCATTATAACGAATTATAATGAATAACAATCATTACGCTGGGGGGATGGGAGAGGGGGATTCATGCATGTACAGAGGATAAAAATAATAAGATATAAAAAAAAAGGATACAATACTTGCAGTTCGGTATCAACAGAGGGACTGTGGATTTCGAATTTCAATTCGCAAATTCGAAGACTTTGAGGTGAAATTTTAAATTTAAAAGAAGGGGAGAAAAAGAATATATCAATATGTGAGTGAAGGTATGCAAGTGATATTACAAGCGCTGGCATCCACAACGACTATTCTCCAGGAACAGCCCTTTCAAAGGTGACCAGTCGCTTCTGATTAAAAAAAAAAAAAAAAAAAAAAAAATCTTTCGAAAAACCACAGGCCCAATGATGTGTAATAGAGAAGTAACAGCAAAATTTATCAAATGGAAATAATAGTGGATGAAAAAATACAATTACCTTTTGGGCGGAAAGACTGGTGTGACGCCGTCGGGATATGCTCCCTTTCCAAGAATAGGTCCCTCTCTATCATTGCATAGAAACTTTTTTAAGCCTTCCAAATTCCTGAAACCGTTCCAAATATATAAAAAAATCCGAAAGAAAAAGTTCAAAAAGAAAAGATATGGGTTGCATGGGAGTGTAAACGCCAATTTTCGTTTACCTTATCCTTCATGCCCATCGGTGCTATGTCCCTGACGCGGGTCGGATGGTCGTTGGTACCTGCAGGAGCTGTCGCCAATCGAAATCCTTCTTGCGTCGGTCTCTTGCAGCATTGAAACCCCATACAAAATGATCGCTCCAAAAATAAAACCAGATTCGTGAAGTGTAAAACAGAAACAAAGAAAGAGAAGATACCGTAGAACTCAGAAGAAAATAACATCAGAAAAAGGGGTCGTAAACTCTATATTCGTTAGTTGGGGTATTTGTCGTGCGGGTAGATAACAAGATCTGGGAAAAGAAACTTTTTTGGGAATCTAGGGCGGGTGCGAAAAGCAGTAGTATATATCAGGCCAAAGAAAAGATATGAAGAAATGTTATAAAAAAAAGGAAAAAATAAAAAGGATGAAGGTGGAAAGAATAGAAAAAGAATAGATGGCATGCTGGAAAGCTGGGCGAGGCAAAAAATGGAAAGGATGGCATCAACGTCTCAGTTGTAGTCGGAGTCGGTCTTCGAGAGAGCAATGTCGCGTAGCTCCCAAGACCGATTGGGATCTCGGGCGTCATTAGAGGATATCCAGCCACTAACTTTCCTTCGCCATCGCTGCTCTTCCTCCCTCTGTCTTCTAGTAAACTCCGGTCCGACATCAAACTCCTCCGCCGTCATTAGATCGTTAAGAGATGCGCCATGTGCACTATCTCGGGTGCTTCTTTCAGTCATAGAGTTCGTATCCTTCAGATCGTCGATGTCGGCTAAAGCGTTGGCTTCGTCGTCCGAACCGGTGTCATCCACCTTGAGCCAGCACATATGATTGGGATCAAACACCATCTTCCCAACAACCTGGATGTTTTTAGATGACTTGACGCTGGAGATGAGAGCTGGGCGTGGGAGAGCGGTGGGGAGAAATTCTTCTTTTTCAAATCCGCGGACTGCGTGTTCGTTTCCTTCCCATCGGAAGGTTGTTGGATTGTAAACCATATCGTTGACGGCTATAAATACCAAACATTAGTTTAAGCAAGCAGAACATTAAACAAGACTTCTACCTACCCTTTGCTTGATTTGGTAAGGTTGCGGCGGTAATGAGCTGTGGTCTTTGTGGCATATCATGATTAAGGCGCTTAGGAGCTTTGGTTCGCCAGGATGGCCTCTTCTGCTCGATTTCGCCTACGAGCGGAAGGGCTCCTCGCTGTGCTGAAGGGGGAGTTATTAGGCCTAGTATTTAGTTAGCACCAAGCCGAACCCTAGAGAATTTAGGCAGGGATAAAAGGGTAAAAAAAGAAAAGAAAAGAAAAAAAACTTACGACGGTTGGAGCGCGGTAGCTTAGTTTCCTTGACGGGTAGAGTTCCCTCAGGAGGAGCAACGGTGTTGAGAGTTGCCCTTTTGGTGGACCTTAGGGCTCGCGGAGCTCCTTGACCAACAGGTTTCACAGTGAATTTGCTTTCGAGTTTGAGGCTTGTCGGAAGATCATCGAAAGCATCGAGCTCGTTACCAATGCCGTAGTGCCGTTTTTTTACTGGTGCTAGCATGAAATTTGTTGAGGCAGCTTCCTTTCGGAGAGGTTCCGGTGCTATAACTCCGGATGCAGATGAGGGTGAAGCTGTAACTGCCACCGGTTGAGCATTACGAAGCGGGGAACGTTCCCTAATCCTTGACGACCTACTTGGAGGACGGGAATCTTGGGCGGACGGAGGCCGTAGGGCTTTTGCAGACGACTTTCGCTGGAGTTTACTGAGAACATGTTGTGATTGCGACTGAGACGCGCCTGCTGGAAGGAACGGTGGCCTTTGTGAGGGTGTTGATGGTCGGCCTGGAGACTTGGAACGACTACCAATGCTAGCGCGGGAAGAAGGTCGGGACGTATTCATGTATCTGTTTATCGAATGACTATGCTCCGCGGATGGTGATTTCGGAGGCGGTCCGCGAGACTCTGACCGATTGCTTGATCTAGACGCAGCGCGACTGTTGTTTCGGGACGGTGGCCGGTTGGGCATAGTACGGGAAGGAGGTCTATTAATTGGTAAACCCTTGTATCCTGCTCGAACTGGTAGCATTGTCGGTATGGTAGGGATTGTGTCATTCTCGGTGAAGAAACTTCGAGGGATTGGGGGCACGGGAGGAGGAAGCGCCTGGGGGAGTTTCATAGGGGCCGAGTTCTGGGCTTTGAGGTTGGGTGTTGATCTCTGGGGTCGAAGAAGTCGTGATTGCTTGCTGGGATCGGTACGCTTGAGAGTGGGTTGGGGCCGTTTTTGGTTATCTCCTTTCTGGGATTCGATGCTAATTTCCAGGGAAGCTGGGCGGCCCGGTGTGCCCTCGTCAACCGATTCTAGCGTGCTATGATTGGAGCTGATGGAGAGCCTCCGCGCGTGGGATTTCTTCATTTTCTGTTCCCCAATTCTCGTAAACGTTAACGTGACAGCGCTCCTCCTTGGACTCGTGGGAGTGGCTTTTAAGAGAATATTTTTGTTGCGGTTGATTTTTGAACTCAGAAGACCACCTTCTCCGATTTCAATGTCATCTAAGAAATCATCTTTGGATTGTTCGCCAGCATTTCGAAGGTCGGATGCGGTTCTAGCGAGCAATCTGGATTTCCGTTTTTCCTCAAGCGCGTATTGGAAATCGAAATCGGCTTGGGGCAGCTCGATGCAGTTGAAACTCTCGTCTTCGCTTTCTACTGTAAAAGTGCTTGCCAAACTCGGACTCATTGTGGACATGATGGAGTTGGATCGGTATCTTCCACCGTGCCTGGTACCCAAGCTGCCCTCTGCCAGTTCATCGGTATCGCTATCCATGAAATTTGAGAGATTTGCTTGAATTTCGGACTTCCTTTCGCTACTTGGAACAACCGGTAGATCGGTCGGGAGGTCGTCAATAGCATCGAAGGCATCGAAAGGATCGGTGGGAGGCGGCAACTTAGCGGCGAGTTCCTGTTCAGACGGGATTTCGGGAGTTGGTAATCTGAAAGCATCGATGAGGGGACTTCTCCTAGGGGATCTTTTGTGGGCCCTGATAGTTGGAATGTCATCTTCGTCATGGAATTGGCTCCTTTCATCCTCAGAGGAGGTTTGGAAGGCGTCAAGAGGAAACTCGCTGCTTCGAACCTTTTTGACGGTTAAAAACTTGGGAACAGAAGTGTCGATTTCCAGATCCTCGGTCCAGTCGACCTTGACTACGCGCTTAGAGGAAGCACCAATTTTTCTGATAGAACCCCCGGTGAGAGCTGAAGCAGGAATATCCTTAGGCAAGGGGATGCCGGCTTTGTTGGCAGAACGGATGGCATCCTCAGGTGAGATTATAGACGCCAAATGAGGCAATACAAAGTCCTTCTCCATATCATCCATGAATGCGAGGTCGTGGAGAGTATCGCTGGCGACCGAGAGACGGGAAGGAGTCGAGCCACGGTCGCTGAAGCGAGAGGAAGGTTTCGACATGCGAAGGTCGCCGACATCTTTGAAGTCATCGTCATCGTCCCATGATTCGATAGCGAAGCTCGGAGAAGCACCTTTTTTCTTCAGAGGTGATGTTTCCATCCCTCGGGAGAGTGAATTGTCCGGGGCAGCTTGGCGGTTAGGTTCGTGGAAAATGGTCCTTCAAGCTGGTAAAAAATTCGACAAAGTCTCCCTTTCTCCGAATTTTGTCTTTTGTATTTCTCGCTTTTTAGTAATTAAATAGTTGGTCGGTGGATGCCAGATCCAGGAGAAGCTGAAACTGAAGCTATATTCGGAGTTGAAGTCGAGATTGGTACAAATGTTGAAGGTGAAATGGAAAGGCCAGAATGGTATTAGTCGGAGTTAATATATTCTGTGCCTGGTATTTAATTTTTGATACCGCTAGACGATGGAGGAGAATGTCGGAGTTTGAAAAAGCAAGAGTATTATTAGTGGTAGTATGGTCGTGATTATAATGGTCGATTATCGTCTGAGCATAAAACGTCGAAATTGAAGTTGAAGTTGATGAAGCCGGTGATGATGATGTCGATGGTGATGATGATGGTGATGATGATGTTGAGGAGAAGGAAGAGGGAAGAAGGAGAAGAAGGAAGAGAGAAGAGAAGAGAGAAGAATGTGCAGTAGTTGCAGTAACGTGCAGTGCAGCCCAGTTGCTAGCTTGTTGACCGAACAGGACAGGACAGGACAGCATCCACCCACCGGAGGGAGGGACTCTGTCTCTATGTGTGAGAGAATGGGCCCCTTTCCCTGCAGACGACGGGCACTTCTTCCTCTCTCCTCCTCTCTCTTTTTTCTCTTTCTCTCTCTCTTCTTTTTTTTTTTTTAACTTCCAAAGGTTGCATGAATAAAAACCCAGCAGCTTGGGCTTGGGCTGAATCCGAGCTTCAACCGAAGGGAGAAAAAAAAAAAACACCTGCAGAGAAGGCCGCTAGAAGGAACTGACTGCCACTTTGGCCTGGCCGGTTTGGTGTTGACCTGTACTAGTGTCTGATTCGATGGCCATCTCATGGTATATGCACTGCACTTCCATGCCCATGACTCTACCCTATTATTATTATCATTATATTATAAAATACCGATTTGTACAAATATATATAAACCGCATCGCCAGATTCCGTTCTACTCAATTACTATCGAAGGGATGGTAGTGTAAAGAAAATGCGTCCGTCAAAGATCCTCCGTGTCGCCCGGTCCGATGAGAAGGAAGAATCAGCCGTAATTCTCCACGTCCAGCCAACAGCTGCCACCATTCCCCTCAATGTCTCCATAACCGCCACCGACGGCTCCGAAGGTTATGGTTTGACGCGTATGTTTCCCCATCTATTATTTACTTTTACTTTACTTACTTACTCAGGTAAGTACATACTATTTTTTAGATGAAGCTAATTTTTTCTATGAGGATATAGTAAAGGACAGCAAGACGAAGGCACTCAAGGACCCTTCGTCTGAACAAAGCGACGATGATTGGAAAGCTGTTCTTAGAGCTGTTCTGCTAGCTGATGCTCCTCTAGAAGAGCTCCATCTGCTCAATAACATTCAACTCTCGGCTCTCGTCAAGAAGGACTCCATATCTGTATGTCTCTCTCCACCCCGTACCAATTAAAAAGAGAGTTGAAAATGTGCTAAGCTATTCGATTTATTTTTTTATTATTTAATTTAGGTCAGCGTGAGGGAAGATGTCGGAGGCATCCGAGTATGTTTTATCTCCTGCATAATGATCTTTATATATATACGTTTCCTTTCTAACAAAAAAGCTGTGCAGAGGAGACTGGGTGTCCTCCAATTTACACCCCAGGATGTGGAAATCGAGCTCTGGGATTGGCTGGATGCTGTTTGTAAAGAGAAGGATGACGCCCTCGTATGTTTTATACCCACGTTTTTATACCCACTCTCGAAAGAGGACTGGATTGAACACTAATTGATATTAATATTAATTTTGATTTTTAAAAAATACTAGGTGAGATCAGCCAAGGCAGAGAAAGAAGCCACAGAAGCTCGGGCCAAGTTGGAAAAGCTAGAGAGGCAGATCCAGGATTTGTCTTCGGCGAAGAAGAAGCACGAGGATACTCTTATCCTGCAGTTTCAACGCCTGCTAAATGAGAAAAAGAAGAAAATCAGAGAATTGTCACAGGGTAAAATTTCCCTTCTCTCTTTCTTTCTGCTCTATTCGATTGTGCAACTCTGACGTCTAATATGCACATATAGGCCAACGTAGCGTTGCAGCAACAGCAGTACCGGGAGCGCATGTTTCAGATGAAGAAGCGGAGGAAGATGAACCTATGGAATCGAATCCGAAACCCAGGCTGGCGGAATCGAAACCAAAGAAGAAGGCAACAGTGTCAAAAACAATCACTGGGAGGAAAAGAAAGCAACCCGAGGAAAAGCCCCCATCTGAGGAGGGCGACGACGACAACGACGACGATGCTACTGGGGACGAAATGGTTATTGACCGGGATAGTCTTGAGGAGGATAGCCTCAAATATAAATATTCAGGTGGTGGATTTGATGCAGAGGCGGAGGACCGCCAGACCACGGACGAAGACACTCTAGGCGGCACGACCGATGATGACGACGAAGAGTTATAATTACTCAGTGTATGTATGTACTTACCTAAGTAATCACTTATCATACGTGCTCCTCCAGTGTTAAAGTAGAGTAGAGTAAAGTATTATCTATCGTAGAATGAGAATTAGAATGAAAATGGACTAGCCAGGGCAGCATAGCATACATACTAAGTACCTACATAGCATGGGGGATACCGGTAATGCCACACAACACAAGGCCCCCCTTCCCCACCGCTGGCACCAGCACCCAAACATCGCATCTCCACCAGCCAATCACCCACCTCACCCATACACTGCCATCATCAACCAACCAACCAAACATCATTCCTTTCTTCCTTCCTTCCATTAGATTATATTATATTATACCACTACCAACCAGCCGACCAACCATCGTCAACCATCATCATCAACCATCGCCAACCATCAACATCCTCCGCTTTTCTCCCTCTTCTGCCACCCTCCAACTTATCCTTCACCAATCCTCATCAGTGTCTCCGACTGGTCTCGCCTCACTCCTATCCTTCCCTTTTTCGCGGTCTAAGTCCTCAACCATCGGCGCTCCTTCCGACCCAAACACAGAGTGCCTCTCACGATTCGAGTCGAACTCGCACAATATCGCCCCTCTCGTCACACCCTCTCTCCCACCTCCACCTCCACCTCCACCTCCACCGCTAACATCACCCCCTTCCTACGGCGCCGGCCGTCCCACTATCCTTCCCTTCCATCCCTTCCTCCATTCGGCCCGTTTCCTCTTTTTTTTTTTTTTTTTTTCTCGCCTCTCTCGTGAATCCACTCTGGCGCCCTCTTCTTCCTCCGTTTAAAGCTCTCCCCTGCCGATTCTGTTTGGGATTCGTTCCCTACACAACGGCCGCCGCTTAGCAGCGTAATGGCGCATGCTACAACCGCGTCGGCCTCCTCACAAACTCACTCCGCTGTCGACACTCGCCTCAAAGAACTCAAACAAAAATTCCTTCCAGATTATCCCCTCCGTCTCACCCAGGCAAACGAAAACACGGATGCTAGAAGACACCAGGGTACCTGTAAATATTGCTATCAAAACAAAGACACCTGCTTTTGTTATGCCCACCACACGTTCTTATCACGAGAGGAGATGACAACCTACCCGGACAGGGCCACGAGCTTGGACAATGCCCTTCCTTCTAAATCAACTTCCTCCAAGCAAGGAGCCGCTCCCGCTTCGTTACTGGGCGCCACACCAGCGTCGCGTACCGGAAAAAAGCTCACCTTGAGCGAATATAAGAATAAAAAGCGAATGCAAGATGGGGCCCCCGGTGCCGGCCATTCTTCGACGCCCAAAGATGCTCCATCACCGGCCGAAGCTACCATGTACGAGATATTCCTCCAAATGTCACTTCCCCATAGTAGTGTATTGACCTGTTCTTTTTTTTTTCGTGACAGATCCAAAGACCAATCCGCCAAATCCAAACCTACTCAATCCAACACTCATACCCTCTCTGACTCTCTAGGTGGCCACCCTGACAATGACAGACCGACCAAGAAGCTAAAAACTTCAAATAACGCCGATTCGCCAGCCTTGAACGTATCTTCCAAAAACACACACCCTCGATCTCCGTCGAAGCGACCACCGACGAATGACGAACCTGTACCAAATCCCGAGAAAAAAACCTCGAAAACACAAGCACTCAAAAGGGAAGCTGCAAATCCCCGCCATAAATCCCCTCCGGTAACCTCCAAAGACAATGTCAAGCATCGACGTTCACCGAGCCCCCCAGATAGGCCTCGTGGAAGGCCGACTAAGAAAGAGGAGCGTGAATCACGGAAACCCGAACGGCATGCCGCTAAAGACAATCCTCGGCCACCCGTACTACCAAAGATGCTTAGCCCTCTCCCCGAAGAGATCAATCGGCTTGTTGACGAGTGGGAGCAGGAAAGGAAGAAGGACACAGACTGGAATTCCATGGACGACGAACCGCCGAAGCATTCGAAAAAGGGTCTGGAGAAGTCGCTTTCACATGCCTCATCAAAAAGCTCCAAGCTGGATAGTGATAGCCGACCTTCAAAGGCCGACCGTAGGGTGGACAGACTAGAACCGAGTGAACGGGATACAGAAACTCGAAGTCGGTCCCCGAGAATTGGTTTCAAGGTCCCAGCAAAACGTCCCCCGGCAGACATGGTGCTACCAAAACCTAAACGGCATGTGGTCCGTCTTCAATACGGTGTTCATAATGTGGACAGGGTTACGGATATACTGGAATCAGATGTCGACCAAGGGAGAGGCTCCAAGTACGTGAGGGAAGACAGCTATCTTACGGACCAAACATCAGAGAGGGGGACAGCTAGGGACAGATCGCCCCACCTCCCGACACGGGTATCCATCAATAATCTGAAATCGGCACCCGGTGTTAAGAACGCTGTGAATGGAAAGATCGCGACCCCGACTAGACGACTTGCTTCATCTTCTGAACGACCAAGGTCCACCGAACGGGAACCAAAACCCCGGCAGTCAGTAGAATCGCCCGAAGGCCCAGAATCTGGTGGATCTGGTGATTATGACGTGCTCAAGAAAGAGGCCGCCAGATTTTTGGACCTTGGTATCAAACTCAAACACAAAGCGGATGGCGCCCTCGGAGTTAAAACTTCCAGTGAAGAGCAGAATCTTAGAAATGCATCAATATACGCATGCCATTCTGTAATGTAAGTTTGCGCCATCTGTTAGCAGTGGACAATTATAACTAATCAATGATATTTTGCAGTGCATACTTTCTTTCGTTCGGACTCGAGGACGAAGCTCGGAGGAGAGACAACCGTTCCAGTACATCCGAGGGCTGGAGGGGGGTACTAGCCTACATAGAATTTCTCCTTAACAGCAGGCTCAGGGCTAATACGGAACTACATGCGCTACTGTACGAGACTCCCGAATTACCCATATTAAAGTATTACTCTAACCAGCATATAGTTATCAAATGGGTGGCGTCTGCAGTGAACGAGTATCGGCGTATGAACAACAGCGTTTTATGTCAATATCGCTTGCAGACCCAACACGTCTGACTGACGGCAACAGAAAGGAATTCTTAGACTCTATCAAACGGAGCAGGAACGGCCTTATTCAGATTCTACAAAAAAACCAGGATTGGTGGAAACTAGGTCATCAACGACTACCCTGGTCCAAAATCGAAGCGGATTACAGGAAGACATGGTCCAAACGCTCGCCGCGTGTTCCCGGGAGTAAATCGTTGGTTCCTAGTCACTACTTGACACCATATTATTTACCCTTATACTCCGGCAGCTCTGCTTTTGAGGCAGCTAGCTTTGCTTGGATGGTTACCCAGGAGTGGGCATATAAGGCGGACTTCTCGCTTGACACTGGGCTCGCTCTTACTTGGCCAAAGAAGGACAGCCGTAACGCATAATCAATTCTAGTCAAAAATGGGGCGATAGTCTTGCTTTTCCATGATCATGTTTTTACTGATCATTTACGACAGAACGGCGGCGTATTAACAATTGATTTTTGTTGTCTTTTAACATGCTCTAAAAATTTTCTTGCATAAACGGCTGTCGCATAGTACGCCCTGTTTCTCTGCCTTTCCTCACTTTATAGCTATGGGTTTCAGCGATTCTATCAAGGGTAATATGTTTTTTTTATTTACGATATCAGTCTTTTTTCTCTGATTTCTTCTGATTTATTTCTATTAAAGTTTTTTTTTTTTCTCCGTCTATAACGGCTTGCTTGCCAATCCTGTTTTCTTTTTTTATCTTTTCTACTAATATCAGCGCTAATGCCTTACTTAACCTGCATTTGTTTTCCTTCATATATTTACCTTTTTCTTCTTCTCTTCTTCTCGTTGTCTTCCTAAATCAAAAATACTCAGCCTGAATCTTGTACCACAGGTTGGGATGGTTTCTATTTCTTTTCCTCTCTATCTTATCCCTTCTTTGAATCTGGTTTACGAGATAACTTCGAATGTCCCTTTCTTTACTATTATTATTATTATTATTATTTTATCGTGCCACCCCCCCTTCTTTTTTTTATTATCGTCTTTACTAAAGGGTATGCACGTGAGGGATCTATTTTTGATATAAATATAACTTAATGCGAACCAAAATATCTTTTCTTTTCTTTTCATTCATTTTTTTTTACACCGTTAGTAACTCAGCCCTTTGAAGTCTTTCGTAGATACTTAGGTACTTAGGCAACTTAGGCAGCTTTAAGCATATTATCTACCCGTATATGCATATCTAAATTTAGAATGTACTTACCTGTATTTTACGCAGTACTGGTACATCGGATTCAGGTATAATTAACAATATAAGGGGGGTGTTCTATCATCTAGACCCGCACATGCACAGGTTATGTTATAATTTAACTATGTATATAAGCGGGAACAGATATCTATACCCAATTATTCTAAATTATCTGAACAATCCGAGTACTTTATATATATTAAGTCAGATATTTTTTGTTATTTGGCCCCAAAAAATCATGAAGTTCTATTAGAGGTTTTTTTTTTTGTGGTGGTAAGTTAGCTAGTACACAGGAATAGTAAAAACTGAATAAATACAACCCAGAGACAGAGAAGGAGGGCGGAGAGAAAAAGGAAACTATAATACGGTATCGTGTGTATTTTTTTTTGGTATTTTTTCGGCATTTTTTTTCGTCTTCGTTATGGGGGAAAATATGATATCGTGCATCTCTACAATACAGCCTGCCAGGAGAGGAATGGGAAGAAGGGGTATAAGTAGGTATGTCACAGTAGTGCTTACAGAAGAAAGGTGGGTCTGTGTCACGGAGGGGAGTAGGAAAAGGGAAGAAAGAGAAAAAAGAAAGGGAGAAGTAATATAAAAGAAGACTACTACACCATTGTTAGAGAATAAAGAAAAAATGTAAGCATGGCAAGAAAAAGATATAGTACAGGAAGGGAACCCCGAAACTAAACAAAAGTGAAAGAGAGAAAAACGAAACAGCAGAGCAAGAAAGTGGAGAAACCCACATAAAAGGCAGAGTACAAATAAGAAGAGGGGAAAGAAGGAAAGAAGGAAAGAAAGGTATAACCATGAAGCTTGCAGCGTGAAAGGGGAGGTACTAAGAGTTACAGGTTTCGTAGGGCCGAACATGATAACATTATTTGTAAAGCATCCGGCGAGCACAGAAAAATCAAGGAGGGATTAATGTTAAACACAGAAGAAAGAAGAAGAATAAAAAGTCATTTACATGCAGCATGCGAACATGGAGTAAGAATAATGCGCGAAGGAGCTAGGGTAGTGCACCCGAGTAGGTGATTAGGAGTGTAGACACTGAAGGGTCCTCGTCGACCGAGATCCCAATGGGGTAGTAATGGTTTTTTCATAATACATGCTTTGTGGGGTTAGTGTATTGGGGATATCAAGACGAACGATAGCAAAACAGAGACGAGGACTGCGATCTAGGGGTAGTCGGTTTGCTCTACATGTGGATATGGGAATGGGAAAGGAAGTGCCAAATGAGCAATGCGATCATCCAACAAACAGGCAGAGTGATTTGATACATTGGAATGAAAGAGAAGGAAGGGAAAGGGAAAGACAAAGACAACCCAGCTGTATGCAATGAAGAGCGAGAAGTAGATGGAGATGCGAATACCGAAATTGAACCATGAGACCCGACTTGAAAAACGAAAAACCCATCCAGGAAAAGAACGATAGAGAATTGGGAAAGAGAAAGGAAAAGACAAAATACGATGAACACCCTGACCCGCATAACCAACTCCTTTTGCTTCTATAAATACATTTTGCTTCGAGGAAAGTTGACAATGCTGTGAAATCTACCGATTAAATCGTGTCCCACAAATGGTTCTAGAACACTAGGGGAAGGCGATGAGGGGTTGTGGGTCCCGAAAAGGATATATCTCGGACCGAACATTGGCGGAGTGTAGATTTAGAGAATGAAATTGTTAGAAACCATATCAGGTTGGTAGGCGATCGGGAAACCGCTTTGATTTGGGATGTTGTGGGAGCGGGAAACCTGGGGGGTGTAGTGCCCATAGGTGGCGGATGGCATGCGTGGTTGCGTTTGGAGGGGTGGAATGGGTCCCAAACGATAACTTGTCTCGAAAACGGCACCAAGCCCGTCAGGTGACATACCCGAGAGAGCCTGAATTTTCGATTGAATTCGGCGGCCGTATGGCGTCATGCGGATAGATGGCATAATGGGTCGAAGGTTATCCACTAGCATCGTCCTGCTGTCCGCTTCTGCGTAGTCCAACTGGAAGAGGGTAAATTAGTTGTGAGCTTGGGGGGCAGGATGGAAACTTATGACATACAGCAGTTTGGATAACATAGTTGGCATATGAATCTCGGATCAACTTTTCGAGTTCTGGAGGATTGACTATTTCTTTCACCATCAAAGCTCTAGTCTCCTTTGAAGAGACACGAATACACTGTGCCAAAGTTAGACCTGAAGGAATCGGCCGTTGAATTTGGAAGGGACAAACCTTTTCGATGACATTAGAACTGAACTTTTGCATAGAGAGTTCAATGATGCGGCCCAAAAACTTATGAATCATAGGCTCCGCAAGCTCAGGCTCTCCAAGGTCCACTAAAAAAGCTCGTTAGATAGGGAGTATAGAATAAGGGTCTGTGAAAATCTTACAGATATATTGAACAACGTAGTTCCCGAAGGGATCTCGAACTAAAGCAAAAGCATTTTCTGTGATATGGGCGATTAACTGAGCACGCTGGGGGGTCGAAGCATGGTCAATGCATCTCTGGAGCACACAGCAGCCATGGCGATGGGTTCCAACGGTGACACTATTTTTGCCAACAGCATCGAAGATAAACTAGCGAGCCGGTTAATGATATGGAATCTCAATTGCAATGTCTGGAGTATTACCTGGGCATCTTCTGGCTTTAGGCGGTTCAGGCACTTCTGAATGACGTGGTTACCATTCAAGTCCTGGATGAGCTCTACTACTTTGCCTCGGAGCGCATTGATGACTGTTTGAATCTGCACATCATTATTAGCAAAGGAATAAACATATTTGGAGTGTAAAATACATACTTGATCAGGAGTCGAAAGAAATTCGATCATCTTCTGCAAGGCTCGGGTACCATGCTGATTGAGAGCAATTTCAACGAGGTGCGGCGCGGCATTATTTACGAGCTTCGATCGCTGTTCATTGTTGGTATGCTCAAGGAGTTTTTGGCAAAGATAATTACCAAAGGGATCTGTCATGAGTTCAACGATGAATGCCTGCGTCTCCCGGAATATTATTTCGATATCCTTGGGATTTTGCTCTTCCAGCTTTCGCTGTAGGAAACGGCACCCGTGCTGGTCCTTGCACAGAAGATAAATCTCGTTGCCCAAAGCCTCAATGTCGAGGTTTGAGAAGCGATTTCCTATGAATGAGTTAGATTAAAAGGAACCTGTAGGATATGTGTTTTTTATAGTAGTTACCGTCAGATTCAAACCCACGACGCGAGTGTCCTCGGCCAGGAGAGGTGGGATGAAAAAAGTCAGTCGTCTTCGCCGGTGCACTTACTTGTCCTAGACCATGGAACTGGTTGGTCGGGACAGCATAGATTTTGTTGGCGATGCTCATTTGGTTGTAGGTAGGAAACCTAGGGGATGGGAGAGGCGACATCCCAACGGGAGATATTGGCGAATGAGAATGGCCAACATTGTACAATGGAGGCCCAAATGGAGTTCCCGTAACCTATTTAATTAGGCACTTAGTTAATGGTAATTTTTCATAATAAGATGGTTTGGAAGCCATACGCCGAAGTCAGTCGCCGAGTCACGGCGTCCTGCCCCGCCAAGGACGGGTTTCCCAGCGTTTGGTGAAGCAGCGTTGAAGTTAAAGGTTCGAACGGTTGGAATATCGGAAGTCGAAAGCGAAGATTGAAGTTTTGGCGCCATGCTATTCAATCCGTGGGTCGATGCCGCTAAGGAGGACAAGTTCCCAAAGCCTTCATCTTCCAAAGTGGCAACCGCCTTCTTTTGGGCAAGAAACAAATCATCTTGATGATAAGTCCCGACAGACTCGGCTGGACCAACCTGATACTTTGAAGAGAAAGTGCTGGAAGGATTGAAAGGTAGAGTATTGGCTGGGAGGCTTTGTTGTCCTGGTCTATGGCGAGGGAAACTTGGCCAGCCCTGGCTATCTTCTGAAGTCTTGATTCCGGAGCCATGAATGGCCTCCATAGCCTTTGAGGAGGAAACGGTTCGCTATGAGAATAAGTACAACATCATCTTAGAAAATTCCATCAATGGGAGTACTAACCTTAGAAGCCAAGTCATCACGACGAAGAAGGACAGGGAAGTCATCCGTAGCCGTGTTCATTTGGAAAACTTGGGTAGAATCCGATGGGGATGATGCCAAAGCATCACGAGATGGCAAAGGCCCAGGAGTTGACTCGAAACCAAAGCTCCCTTGGTTTAGAGCTCCTAGGTTCGAGAAACCCTTTCGGTCGGATACTCCTAAGATAGGAGAACTATCAAGGAACGGCAGGACACCCCTAATTTTTCATTTAATAAGTGTTATGAGTTAGGGCGCTTTAGAGGAGAAGGGGGATAAGGATGAAAGTATACCTTTGTTTAGCAGAGCCACCCCAATGAGATGATCGCTTCCCATCTTCCGTGTCTCGCCTCTGATCGGATACATTACGAGATGAGGACATAGACGGGATAATATCATCAGCAGGAGGAGTCATCAGTTGATAGTTCGCTCCAGTTTTCCCATCGCCCGATTTGAAGGATCCACCGTTGGCTTTATTCCCATACCCACTTCCATACATATAGTCATGTTCTGGAGGGGTTGTAGGCTCTCCAAAGTTTCGAGCACCCTGGAACACAGATCCTGTGGAATCTTGAATACTCAGGCCTCTCAAAGCTAGCTCATTCTGCTGTGAGAGAAGCTGTAGCTTTTGGATTTGATGTGCGAGGTCCCGCTGTTCATTTTGGAGTTGACGGTGCTTTTCGTCCTAAATACTAGAATTTAGCAATGATACCATAGTTTGAATTATTGGGAGTAGATAGACTGACATTCGAAATGGATCTTACGTCGGTTGGCACATTATAAGGAATCGGGTTTCCAAGCGTTGGAGGTAGAATAGAAGCCGGCACCAAAGTTGGAGGCCCCAAAGTTTGAGGGACCATAGGAGCTTGAGGGTATGTCGGACGTATGGTTTCACTGGTAAAACGACGGTGGAGGGTCGTTCTCGCAGCACCGGGCGATGTAATAGGGGACGAGTCGGCAGATGTGGGGGCTTCGTGGCCATAGTGGCCGAACTTGGGGTCATTCATTGCTGGACCAAAGAGTTTCCTCTCAGATTGAATATATCCAGAAGTCGGAGACAATGTCATCCAAGCCGGTTTTGTGGGTCTTTAGAGAATGAAGATAAAAAATAAAAAATATTAGTCCAGACGTTTTACTAAATGTGGATGGTAGATGTCGGATAACTTGCATCCACAAATGCAAGATGCAAGATGTTGTGCGAAGTGGTGTGTTGCTCTTGTTTGATCAGAAGCGAGGGTTTCCAAGCTGCTATTCAAAGATATGCCACCTGCAGGCAAAGTGGGGTACGGATCAGAGAAACGATGAGACCATCCCAACGATCGGGGTGAGGCAGTGGAGCGAGTTCTGATTTACAGGGTAATCGGGATCAAAAAATGGAAAAATGACAAAAAAAAAGAGAAGAAAAATGAAGGAGAAGAGCAGATATCAAAGAGATATAAGAAAGGCAAAGACAGGAATAAAGAGGAGGTGTAAGTAAGTAGGCAAGTAGTCAGGAGGGCCAAACCCACAGCGTGGAACGCGGGATGACGGGGCGGATGATTATTTCGCTCGCTCACTGGACTACGGCAGCGGGGTACACTTGCACGCCCAAGGAAAGCAGGAGACAACTTACCAAAAGGCGGATGACAGTTGTTGTAATTTGGAGAAAGAGCGAGAGTTATGGATGCTGTTGGCGTGATCCTTCTTGAAAAATGCCAGTTATATCTAATACAGTATAGAGTATAAAACGAATAGCTTGAGGATATGAGCCTCTGCCAGCTAGGACTTGAATGGTGTCGGATGGCCGGGTTGAATAACGAGGAGAGCGGGATATCGATGCTGTCGACCCTCAAGCAGGCTAGGCTGTTGGTGATAGTGACCGCAGTGGCGAGGCAGCGACGGCAGAGACAATGGAGATATAGTAGAGAGAGATGCTGGAGAAGACGAAGGATTAGGTTGAGGATGGGGGGAGGAGAGGGTGATGGTGAGAGGGGAGAGGGGAGAGGGGAGAGGGGAGAGGATGTTGAGGATAAGGCGACGATGGCGGAGGGGTTAACTTGGTGATGGCGGCGGAGAGGCTCGACACTCCAGAACAGTACGGTACGGTACAGTACGGCGAGCGGGGTGGAGGGGAGACGCAACAACGCACAGCTACCACATCATCAGCATCACCAATTTCAGTCTATCTTTGGCGGGATAGCATTGGGCTTTCGTGCATGTTATCGGTATCGAACGACAGCGGGATACAGGCGCTAGCAGCGGCTTATTCTCCTGGCAGCATTTCCCGGGCACTCCACTGGCTCGGTAAGACCAGAGTATTTCACTCAATTAAGGTCGTCATTGCGAGCTATTCACTCGGATGGTGCCTGGTGGTGCAGTCAGGTGTGGGGACCACCAGACAAGATGTGTTGCGGGTGGTGTTGTTTCCCCCGAAAAGGAAATTGTCTCAGATGCAAACCTTGTCAAATCGCGTCGCACCGAAAGCTGCGTCCTCAAGCGAACCACCTAAGTAGCGAATTTTTTTATTGGAGACAGACCTTCCGCTCTGCTATGACTAAAGCTAAAACAAAACTCGACATCAAGACTCGTCTGCGGCAGAACATGTGTCGCTCATCCTTAGAACATTCTCGGTAGCTTTGATCTACCTTTCATTCCTAATACCCTGCCGAATATATCCTAAGTGATATTAAGTCGGAAGACAGCGGTAGTCAACCAATTAAGCAATGGCTGTAACAGTATGCCTATGTTCTCGATTGAAGCCTTCGTTCATGATCATTGCATCGTCCAATCTAACCCATATATTCAATTATGAAATCTAGGAGAGTGCGAAGTCCTCTCACCACCATCATTCAGCACAGGATGAGGTATAATCATCATTCGCTATTTACTCTCAATAGGACAGCATCTTACGTTAATGCTCTTCCAGGCTTTCGCAAAGCTCCTCGAACCGATCTATCAAGGCAAAAAGTTGACAGACCCGATCACAACTGCTAAAGTGCGTTCTCCGGTTATAATTATCGTCACCGGCCCTTGACACCTCATCTAATGGATCTTTTCTTTTACCAAGGATAAATGGGCTCTTCTACCGGCTTTCCTCAAGGTCAAGGGACTCGTAAAACAGCATCTCGACTCGTTTAATTACTTCTGCGATGTCGAACTCAAACAAATCATCAAGGCGAACGAGATGGTGGTTAGCGAGGTGGACCCGAATTTCTTTCTCAGGTACTACGAAGAACTATTTTACATTCTAAGAAGGATGGCATGGACGGAACAGCAGGACTAAGGCTACTATACGTCTTCTAGATATGTGGACATCCGAGTTGGGCTACCCGAGAGGCAGGACAGCGACAGCGACGCAGACATTACCCCCAACGAATGCCGTCTCCGCGATATGACATACGCTGCTCCGGTTTTCGTCGATATTCAATATGTTCGAGGGAAAGCTGTAATCGCAAGAAATGGTGTTAACATTGGTCGCTTGCCGATTATGTTGAGGAGCAACAAGTGCGTGCTCACAAATAAAAGCGAACATGAGATGGCAGTCTTAAAAGAATGTCCACTAGACCCCGGTGGCTATTTCATTATCAACGGGACAGAGAAGGTTATCTTAGTTCAAGAGCAGCTAAGCAAGAATCGTATAATCGTTGAGGCGGATACAAAGAAACAGATTGTTCAGGCATCAGTCACCAGGTAAGTTTGGGATCGAGCTACTCCTCCGGTATATGCGTCTAACTACTTGTGTGGACAGTTCTACACATGAGCGCAAATCAAATACCTACGTTCTCAGTAAAAAGGGTGCTATATATCTGCGACACAACTCTGTTTCTGAAGACGTTCCTATCGTGCTAGTATTGAAGGCCCTTGGTATCCAATCTGACCACGAGATCCTCCTGATGGTAGCTGGAACAGATAGCGTTTATCAAGACACATTTTCTGTCAATTTTGAAGAGTGCTCGAAACTTGGTGTTTTTACTCAACAGCAAGCTCTAGATTACTTTGGAGCTAGGGTAAGAACTAGTCGAAAGATCCTCACAACCCGGAAATCATATGCCCATGAAGCCCTTGAAGCGTTGGCAACTATCGTTTTGGCTCATGTACCCGTGAAAAATCTGAACTTCAGACCAAAGGCTCTGTATATCGCGGTGATGACAAGGAGAATTCTCATGGCTATGGCGAATCCGCAACTTGTTGACGATAGGGATTACGTCGGCAATAAGCGTCTGGAATTGTAAGTAGTAGCTTGATGTTAAATTATGCATAGACATTGTTGCTAACAACTTATTAGAGCTGGCCAATTACTCTCTTTACTGTTTGAGGACTTATTTAAAAGATTCAACGGCGAATTGAAAATGAACATTGATAAGATCCTTAAGAAGCCCAACAGGACAGAAGAGTTTGATGCATACAATATCTTGAGTGGTCACGGCCATACCATAACGCAGGGAATGAACCGTGCTATATCGACAGGAAACTGGTCCCTCAAGCGTTTTAAGATGGAGAGAGCTGGTGTCACTCACGTTCTTAGCCGGCTTAGTTATATAAGCGCTCTCGGAATGATGACTAGAATATCCAGTCAGTTTGAAAAGACAAGAAAAGTCAGCGGTCCTAGAGCGCTTCAGGTGAGTTTAAACTGCCCTGCCTCGTTAATATGAACGCGCTGATTAATTCATAACTTCCTAGCCCTCCCAATTTGGCATGCGTAAGTTCCACGATGGCTCTTCTCACCGAGATGTTCTTACTCATCATCGATAATTATTATAGTTTGTCCGTCCGACACGCCCGAAGGTGAAGCTTGCGGTCTTGTCAAGAATTTAGCTCTTATGACCCACATTACAACCGATGACGATGAAGAACATGTTATTAGGCTTGCGATGGTGCTCGGGGCGGAAGGTACTTGTTATTCCACGGTGTATTTTTTGAATCATATGCTAACACCGGTATAGATGTCCTCGCGGTCAGCGGGCAGGAGCTATACGCACCGGGTGCTTATGTCATTTTTATGAATGGTACACCTTTCGGAATAACGAGGTATCCCGCAAGATTCCTTACAAGATTTCGTAAAATGAGAAGAATGGGCAAAATTAGCGAGTTTGTTAGTATATTCATCAATCATCACCAGGGCGGTGTACATATTGCGACCGATGGTGGAAGAATTTGCAGACCTTTGATTATTGTTGAAAATAAGAAATCGAAGGTCACACTCAGACATATCAAGGTAATACTCTCACAAAGCGCTGATAGGGTGTGGCTAAGCAATCTAACTCTTCTAAATAGTCATTAAAAGCTGGCAAGATGACCTTCGAGGACTTTTTGAAGAAAGGGTTAGTAGAGTATGTCGATGTGAACGAGGAGAATGATGCCCACATCGCGATATATGAACATGAAATATCAGCCTCAACGACACATCTTGAAATTGAACCGTTTACAATCCTCGGAGCTGTCGCCGGATTAATTCCCTTCCCCCACCATAACCAATCCCCTCGAAACACCTATCAATGTGCTATGGGTAAGCAAGCAATTGGAGCTATTGCATATAACCAATTCTTGCGCATCGACACCCTATTGTACTTGATGGTATACCCTCAACAACCAATGGTTAAAACAAGAACAATTGAACTTATCAAATACGATAAGGTAAGAGATACCCATTACTAGATTTACAATACATTCTTACACCAAATATAGCTTCCAGCAGGACAGAATGCGGTTGTAGCTGTCATGAGTTATTCTGGGTACGATATTGAGGACGCTTTAGTTCTGAACAAATCATCCGTGGATCGTGGGTTCGGAAGATGCCAAGTTCTACGTAAATATGTCACCACGCTCAAAAAGCATCCTAACCAAACGTGAGTACGTCCTATCAAATCGACTGAGAATGTTGCATTAACAACTTTAAAGAATGGATCGGATCGGAGACCGTAAGTCGGACGAAGAGGGCAATCCCATTAAGAAGCATCGCATCATCGAAGGCGACGGTTTAGCTGCAGTTGGTGAACGAATAGAACAAGGCGAATCCTATATTCTCAAACAGGTCCCCACCCATACCGCGAATAATCCTGCCGAAGGCCCACAAAATCGCCTCGGCGACTATAAAGATGCTGCAATGAACTACAAGCTCACCGACCCTGCATATATCGACAAAGTCATGATATCATGCTCGGAGTCTGAACAAACAATCATCAAAGTTTTGACACGTCAGACGAGGCGACCTGAACTTGGTGACAAGTTCTCGTCCCGTCACGGACAGAAGGGTGTCTGCGGTATCATTGTGCAACAGGAGGACATGCCTTTTAATGATTTTGGCACTTGTCCCGATATTATCATGAACCCGCATGGTTTCCCCTCTCGAATGACGGTTGGCAAAATGATTGAATTGTTAGCGGGTAAAGCGGGTGTCCTAAGCGGAAATTTGCAATATGGAACTGCATTCGGTGGCAGCAAAGTACAAGACATGAGCGAAATATTGATATCCCACGGGTTCAACTACTCTGGGAAAGATTTTGTCACGTCAGGGATTACAGGAGAGTCGCTACAGGCGTACATATTCTTTGGGCCAATTTATTACCAGAAGTTGAAGCATATGGTCCAAGACAAAATGCACAGCAGAGCAAGGGGTCCGAGAGCTGTAAGTGGCGTCTAGCGTATATATGTTTGTGTGATTTCCATGCCATTATACTAATGATGCTGCACCTACAGGTTTTGACTCGACAGCCGACGGAAGGTAGATCTCGTGATGGTGGTCTGAGATTGGGAGAGATGGAGAGAGATTGTTTAATTGCATACGGAGGTAAATTCCCCACAGAGCTCACCACCATAAGTGGCAAAAGAAAAACGCTAACACTTCATAACCGCCTAGCTTCTCAATTATTGTTGGAGCGTCTAATGTTGTCGTCGGATGTCCACGAAATAGATCTTTGCGAAAACTGTGGACTGATGGGGTATTCAAGTTGGTGTACGACTTGCGAAAGCAGCAAGTTTGTAACAAGGATGAAGATTCCTTATGCCGCAAAACTGCTGCTACAAGAACTATTGTCTATGAACGTGCTTGCGAGAATTGTTTTGGAGGATGAGTTTCCGAATAAGCTCCAGTAACTCCAGTATTGGTCATTGTATTATCTCTGAGTGTATGATAGCGAGCGATGGCGAACCTGGTTCACGAAACTAGACGAATCTAAAAAAAATTTGGGGATCGGAATCAGTAGAAACCGATGAAAATTCATGCTGTGTAGATCTATCATATAGGGTATTCGGATTATTTGAGGGGTATCGCCGTATCATACACATCACTCTTCAAGATGAGTCTCAAGATCAAATTTTACGCTTCTTCCAACAACCTTCACATATTCGTACCCAACATTAACCCGCCACTTTGATGATGCGTCGGTTGCAGAAGCAACGTTGGAAACCTTACGGATGAGTCGTAAGGAATTCAGTGTCGCAATCTAAATATCCGGAAGGGTTAATGAATTTATCAGAACTAGGAAAGAGGATACTACCAACCTGGCTCCCGATGTCCACCGATGAAAGGACAGACGAGGGTAGTATGGACTGGAAGATAGCCATCATACGCTCTAGCTGGAAGGGTCGGGGACCAAGGTGTTTGCGATTCAACTTTGGAGCAAATTATTATGTTTAGTTTTGGGTTAAGTTCGAACCAGATTCATTCTATACCACGTACCTGGCGGGATGTATTTTTCTTCTTTCTTCCACGCTTTCGCTTGCTCAGACCCTCAGCAAGCTTTGAAAAATATCTTGCATCATAACGTGCAGTATTGAAAGATGCCAAGTAAGCTGCGCAAAGTAAATACTTCGAGAAATATGGAAGATCATGGGCACCTACTCGACTCATTAATATCTAGGCTCACTTGCTCGAGTATCTTCAATTCAAATAGTCATTTGGAACTTACGATTTGGTACTAAGGGTGTCGCGTCGGTAGCTGTGTCTACGGGCGCCCTCGTAATTTGCATGCTAACATATGACTCCTCGCTATTCCGTAGCTTCTCATTCTTCAACCTGTTAAATAGCTTTGGGAAATCGCGGGTCCCGTATTCATTGTCCACGATCGGCTGGATCAAAGAAGGCCATAGTTCATCCACTACATCCTTCAATGCATTCAAATTTCTGGCTGCGTATTTGCCCATGATATCCCATACGGCGGAGCAGCACTGCGCCCATAACCATCGGTCTTCTTGCTCCATTTCTTCGGAGTATTCGTCTTCTTCGTCCACTTCGAAGATGGATTTCGGGTTGAGGGAGAGGATCTTGACGCATTCCTCCTTATTGTAAGCTGGGAAGTAGATTGATGGAGGTTCTGAGATGTTCAACAGACGGGTACTGGACACGGTAACAATCATGATGACAGTAAGGTTTCTAATCTATAGGAGAATCAGTATCATTGCAGAGTTGGGTGTCGCTATGCAAAGGGACAACCTACGACTTCCCCTATCCTTGCTAATCCCGACAGCATTGTCGGTGTCACCTCCCTCTGTTTATCAATAGCATCAAGTACTAGTACGATTTTTCCAGAGCTGGGTATTAACTTTTGAAGCTGGCCTGCTAAGGCATTTACCGAATCTGGCCGAATTTGTCTCCCCTTTTCCTCGCCATTGGAGATTAGAGCATCGCAGCTCGTATACGCCTTTTCGAAAACATGTCGAGCAGTAATGCACTCCTTGCATGATACGTATGCATATGGAATTTCGAATTCTTCTAGGACTGCTTTGACGATTGTTGATTTTCCAGTGGCTTCCGTGCCATATAACACTAGTACTGGGGGCGCCGGGATGTCATCCTAGCTACCGCGAAAACATGTAAGTAACGATATAATGATCTAATATTGCTACTTCTTCGAGAAAATGTTTATAAGTCCATACCTGGCCAAGAAGAGCAGCAAGGCCGTCTATCTGACGCTCACGGCAGGGAAAACGGGCGTTGAGGGACTCTAGAGGTCCGGTCATCGCGTCGGTGTGCGGTGAACATTTAGCATCCGCGTGGGTGTGGGTTTAAACCAGGTTTTGGGTTTCCGGGTAACGTGCGGAAGTTCGGCCGAAAAGTAGCACGCGATATGGAATTAGGTGGATTTGTAAGAAGCTTCCCTGCTTGCCGAATTTAAGCTCCTTCGCCCGGCTTGGTCTATGAGCTCTCAGATAGGACGGGTTTTGTAGATTATATAGATTACTTAGTCAGCTTGATCTTGGATTTGATGCTCTTAACTGCCTCGGAAGTTAATTTCGCCGCCATGGCAGGTTAATTAAATAACCACATCTAGGCACTTTGTATGTCTATGAACGATCAATTTAAACCTCAATACCCCTCCCCCAGCTTTTAATGCAGTTTCTTCAAACATAAATTTATAACTGGTAGTTTCAAATTACAATTCTCGAAAGGTTCATGCTAGGAATCCCGACACTCAGAATGGCGAAATTCTCCATTGATATTGTTTCCGACACTGTTTGCCCATGGTTAGTACAGAAAAACTAGCCACACGCCTACAACCAGACTAGATGAATGTCAGAGCTGCGAACTAATAATTGAAAATCGATACAATGATACAGGTGCTATGTAGGCTTCAAAAGACTAAATAAAGCCATTGCCATTTTCAAGCAGAGGCATTCCGATGCTACATTCGAGATAAAATGGCATCCATACTACCTCAATCCTAGCGCTCCCAAAGTTAGTGTGGACAAACAAAAGGTCTATGAAGAAAAGTTTGGACGTGATCGAGTCGCTATGATGCAGAGGCGCCTTGCAGCGGTTGGTCTTCAAGATGGAATCAAGTTCGCATTCGGAGGTGAGTTCGATTTATTTCTCTAATATTACATATACTAATCTGACAGAATCATGGACGTCTACTAACAATTAATGTAACTTTTTAGGAAAAACTGGAAATACCAGAAAGTCTCATAGAATCATACACCTCGCTGGCGAGAAGGGTGTGCAGAATGAGGTTGTGGAACAGCTCTTTATTTCATACTTTGAGGATGAAAAGGATATTACCGATGACACAGTTCTCAAGGAAGCAGCCGTCAAGGGAGGCCTTAAACCAGAGGATGTTGACAATTATCTGACAAGTGATTTGGGAGGACCTCAAGTCGACAAAGAAGTTGCGGATGCACAGCTGCGATTCATTCAAGGAGTTCCTCACTTCACAATCAATGGGAAACATGAGTTGGGGGGCGCGCAGGAGCCGGATTCATTCGTTGAAATTTTCGAATCATACAATAAATGAGAGCCGAAAACTGGGTCAGGATCGATGGAGCAGCTTTGTACTTTCCTTTGGCTTGCTTTTTTCTTTTTCAGGGTATGCTAGGAGTCTGTACCACCAAGTTTTTAAATACCACTTCGCTTTTTCGGCAATATCGCCCAATCGCTCATACAGGCAGTCTTTCTATCTGTTACAGGTATACATATACATGTACACCCAAGAGAATCCATAGAGTAGGTCTTCCCGAGTTGCTGGAGGTTTAACAAACATCTTTGATAGGATGTACTTTATCCTCATACTCTCCAAGATCCAATTTCAATTTCCGATTGAACAGCTCCGAGAGGAGTTCAAAGCAGTACTTGGTTGTCGCAGCATCATATCGTCCCTTGCTACTCTCATCGCGGATAAATGCGTGGGCTGCCCCAGAGATTTCTAAGAAAGTGAAATCGACACCAGCATCATGTAGTGTTTTGCGAATCAAGTCCTAGATTCGAACCCAGTTAATATTTGATACGCTCAATTCTATTCGCTTGTGTCGAAAGTATACATACCCTGCCTTCCGGACTAACGTGGTTATCCTTCTTTCCGAAAATAAGGATAACTTCACCTTTAATAGTCGTCATGACGGAAAGGGAGTTATCGTTCTTACCCAACCCCAACGACGAAGAATGGATATCAGTGGGGAAATAGCAAACGCTAGCGGTTACTCTCGTGTCGAATGCGCAACGTAGCGCGAGGTGACCACCCAAGCACATACTTTAAACTATTAGCTAAATTCTGGAGTTATATTTTCCTGCAGGTCGCATTTCCATGAAGCTTACCCAGTCGCCCCAACCTTGCCGTTCGAATTCTTCTTTGACAAGAGGAGGTCGACGCACAGCCGGGCGTCTTCATCATAGCTTTCCACTGTTTTCGTGATTTTCAATTTGTTGCCTAGGTCTGTTCCAGGCTCATCATAGGGGAACTAAAATATTTAGTGCCTATCTATGAAAAGACGGTACTAGTTGTACTTGTTTGTGGAACGTACAGGCTCTGGCCCCTCGAAATCATGGTAGGACGATGGGGCTGCGCACACATAGCTAGTGGTTAAGCACCGTTAGTATGAACTATACTGTCGATGTAGGACATTTTTAGTACGAACCCTTGGCTACATATCTGCCTTGCAAACCGTGCGACCGGTCCGGTTACTACCACGTTGTAGCAGATTTAGTACAACGGACATAGAAGCGTCATTAATATAACGCCATTGGAATGTTAATGAATACTACCTTGATAAATTTCGGAAAAAACAACAACCCCTACCATATGCTTCATTAGTCTCGTATTTTCTGACAATCCTGTACATGTATGACTGGGAGCCTATGGTGACAGGGAAGCTAGCTACCCACCTGGGAATTTCGCATTTGGGTAATTGGGGATCGAGGGCTCGAAGAGAAACACTCCTATGCAATATGGATTAATTTCTTGCCTATATGAGGAGCAGGATAGTTTTTTTCCGTATCGATGTCCACTCCATATATATAGTGGGGCTATAACTTACTCATGGAGGTGCCTCCGGAGGTCTTGACATCCTCGAAAGACTCTTTGATCAACATTTTGGATATAGAAACCGGTCACGGATATCGGCGAAGTCAATTCAGTCGAATGGAAGATATATATATTATAGAAATAATGAACGAGTTAAAGTAATGAAGTCCGATTTAAGACCGGTAAAAGCGGAATAAGTAATCATGAATTCGAAGGCCCTGCAATGCAGCCCTGACCTAGCAGACTAGGAAAAAGCGAGACCGGGGCAGCAACACAGACAGCTTCAATAATGCAACAATTCCGATGACATACCCCTGTCGCCCTGTCAAGGGTGCAGATACCAACCGATGCAGTGCGATAAGACAAAGCAAAGCACAACTTGGATTACGAGATGTTCAAGACATCGGAACTTTCGTGACACTCCAGGACGCGCCCAGGTGATAGTATCTCGGGCCTTTTAACTTGCATTACCATAAAGCACCTCCATCTCGTATGAATTCTCATGTCCAGATGATAAGCTCCGATGTGGCCACACGTGCCTGTTTTTAGCTGTGTGGACTAGTGCGACGTGACTGACTTCGCTAATGGCGCTGACGACAAACAAGCTCCAGACACTATTAGCCCAGTTCGGACTATCATTCCTAAACATTCATCCTATCCTCTATAGCTCCCAACCACCGTCTGTATTCCCGAAATTAGCACCGAGTAACTTGGATCGATAAGGAATTATACACTCCAGCTACACGATACCCGATAGACCCGAAATTACGTTCTGTTTGCACCTTCGATGAGCTTGTATTTGTGACTGGCCTCTGGTGCAGAGCAATATGGCTAGTAACCTAGTCAGTCGCTTCTTCGGAGGACAGAGCATCTATGAAAGCCTCCGGCAGCACGACCGAAGATCTGATGACGGTTACAACGATGAAGCTGAGCCCTTCGAAGATGAGGCCGACTTTCACGCAAACCTAGAAGCCGGTAGAGGCGGGATCTCCCGCGGCGATACAACTGGTACCCAGCCGTATGGCCTCGGTAGTGGATTTGGACTTCGAAAACCTTCAGCTAGTGATCACGATGCTGTTAGGACGAGTGAGGAGTCTGATGGCCCTACCCGAGCCTTTCTTTCCCCGAGGGACCGAAATGATAGCGATGTTCCTGAGTCCTTAATTATCGAAGGCAACCGTCACGAGAGAATGGTCGGAACGGGTAGTTCGGATATTTCAAGCCCCCCTCCTCCAGAATTCTCTCGCTTTCATGACCAGCCGACTACTTTTGACCAGCAACTCGGGAATCTCCCACCACCTCCATCAAGAGTGCTAGAAGAACGCTGGGCTGCAGTTCAAAACAATATAGCTCCACAAGTTGAATCAAGGCCACCACCGGCCGCCCAAAGGCTCCCGCCTGGGTTTATTGACCCCAAGCAGCGCGCTATGTATAAATGGGCGAATGTTGAGGATTTGGATTGTTTTCTCCACAGGGTATGGGGCGTTCGTAGTTTCATGTGTTGGGTGTGGTTTGGATGCTAACCAGTATTCAGGTCTATGAGTACTATCTTGGAAAGGGGATATATTGTATCTGCCTGGAAAGGTTCATCGGGTTGCTGTAAGATCAGTGAATCCGCCGTCCAAAGCCTTGCTAGCATATACTGACTGTTCTTGGTCTAGGACTGTTGCCTTTGTCGTTGGGTTTTCGACATATATTTTCAACTGTATTGATTTTACTAAGTTAAGGACCAGTAAAGCGCTTGGTGAAATTACTATTGGGCACTGCATGGCGAAGTAATACACCCCTAAACTCCGATCGTTCTATATAAGTTTAGAGGTTAGGGCTAGAGCTAACATATCGTTAGAATGTCTCTCGGGTCAACATTGATTTTGTGGATCTTCTGCCTGGTATGGATGATAAAGCTGGTATCATACGTTTATGATATATGGAGACTGTGGGAAATCCACCAATTCTACCATTATCTATTAGATATCCCAGATGTAAGACCCCGTCTCCGGTGGGCCCTGTTTATATTATCTAATTTTATCGAAATTATAGCTGGATATGCAAACTATCCAATGGCAAGACGTTGTTCAAAAATTGATGGCTTTGCGAGACTCGAATCCCGTCACTTCTTTAGCCACCACGAGAAAATACATTCGGAATCATAGCTCCAAACAGCGCATGGATGCCCACGACATCGCAAATCGATTGATGAGAAAAGAAAATTATCTTATCGCTTTGTTCAACAAGGATATTCTCGATCTATCAATCCCGCTACCATTCCTGAGGGACCATCAATTATTAACGAAAACTGTGGAGTGGAACCTTGGGCTAGCCATATTAGATTTTGTCTTCCATGATGGCGATAATTTCAACCCTGTTTTTCTTAAAGAGTCGTCTCGGAAAGGCCTCTCACAAGCGTATGAACTAATACCCCTACACGTATATTATGCTCAAAGGCTGACCGTTAACTCCAGGTTACGAACACGATTTGTCGTTTTCGGGTTCTTCAATCTCCTATTTGCCCCATTCATTGTCGCCTATCTTGTGATCCACTATTTCTTCCAATATTTCAATGTAGGGTTCTTTCTAAACCGTCTAGGCGCACTGGATACTAATCTCTTGAAACCAGGAATACCAAACAAACCCAAGCGCAATTGGCTCTCGTCGATACACTCCCCTCGCAGAGTGGAAGTTCCGAGAGTTCAATGAGCTAGTTCATCTTTTCCATCGCAGAATGAATATAAGCTATCCATTTGCGGTTAAGTACCTCGAGCAGTTCCCGAAGGAAAAGTTCGTTCAGGCAGCTAAGTAAGTTGGCTTGAGTTGAATGTTCTCTTCCAGAAGTAGCAGTGACGCTAATATACTTGCCGGATATCCATAGGTTTGTTACATTCATCTTTGGATCCTTTGCCGCAGTTCTAGCAATTGCATCTCTGCTCGACACAGAGCTACTCCAGTTCGAAATCACAAAGGATCGAACTGTCCTATTCTATATTACTTTATTCGGATCCATCACTGCGGTAGCAAGAGGAATCATTCCCGCAGAAACAGACGTCTTCGACCCTACATACGAACTTTCCTGGGTTATGTACCACACACGCTACAGCCCGCCAGAATGGAAAGGTCGCTTACACTCTGACGAAGTCAAGAAGGAATTCTCGAAACTTTATGAACTTAAGATAGTAATCTTTTTCTGGGAAGTTGCGAGTATCATCTTGACGCCGTTTGTAATGTGGTTTTCTCTGCCGAAGTGTAGTGACCGGATCATTGATTTCTTTCGTGAGTTTACGGTACATGTTGATGGGATCGGGTACGTCTGTAGCTTTGCAGAATTTGATTTCAATATGACTGGACCTAAGAAGGTGAGACGTGTAATCCCATTTCTTCCTAGAATTGTTGGGTGCGGAAGGGATATCCTTGCTAACTAGAAAATCAAGTCTACGAGTATTACCGGCCGCGAGGAATACTACGATTCACGAGATAACAAGATGAAAGCCTCTATGATGGGATTTCTCGACAGTTATGGAAATCGACAAGCTGGTACCGCCTCGCGAATCGCATATGCACCGGGCTACACAAATCCTCTAGCATCACCAGTCGCAGCACCAGAGAACATGACCGGCACAATAACCCAACGCCGAAATAGAACCAACCCTGGAGTCCAACAATCTCAACAAATCAGCCATTCGATGTACCGTGGACAGGCATCTGGCCTCCTAGACCGCCATCACCACCCTGCACCCTCACACGCAAGAACACTTCGTCAATCGGTATACCATAATCCGGGATTCCCTCGTCAAGAAAGTATTCTACGAGAAGAGGAAGATGAGGTAGATAGTCCGGACGGACGGTATATCAGTAACTTGGGCGAATCGTTTGTATCAACCACCCTTGAGAACGACAATTTACAAATCGAACGAATAGACGATGAAGATGATTTACAAGGTGGAGGTGTGATTGATCTGCTACGACAGTTTCAACGAGCACATGCGGATAATCATGGAAGGGCTGGCGTTAATTTGATTTAAAACATGATCATAAGTACGGATTAAGGGCATCAACTGAAATGTTGAATAGGTGTATTATCATTATCCGTTTTTTCTTTGGTTGCTTTTCGTCCTTTAGCTAGCTGGAACTCGATCGCCTTGTTTTTTTTTTTTGGTTTCTGTCGAGATCGATCGGATTAGGACTTTCGGAGTCAATGGGACTAGGGTTGTCTCGTATGGTAGTTCTTTTGGGAGGGCGTTTATGTCTTATAGCTGCTATTCTACCAGAGGGGCATTCGTTTGTATCCACCTTAGGCCACAGATGAATGAGTGAACCACAGGCGGAATACCCATGCTGCCGGTAACGTGTACCAATAATTTTCTAGAATCACAGATCGTTTTGAAACCTCCATTATCAAAGTAGGTTTAAACCGGAGTATATTGATAGATACCTACTTGAGCATGACTTTGTTAGGTCGATTCATCAGGCGACTTCTGTATTCTTATATCGGTGAATCTCAAGCTCGACCATGATATCCATATCACCTAGAATGGCTCACCGATACTCATATGTATAGAAAACACATTTCATCGTATATTATCCTTATCGATAACATTTAGCACCTGTACGGGTCCACAAAAAATTTACTCAATGATTTTTTATATATTTTTTATTTTAAAAAAAAGAAAATACATGCATCTCGGTTGTAGACTCTCCAATCCACAATTTCACGGTGTTAGGACCATAAAATCATTTATATTTAAGCTTTGATGTCGAATTGATCGACTTTTTTCAAATCAAAAATTTGTTGGTGACGATAATTTCGTTCACCAACCATATATAGCTAGCCAAGGCTAGTATATGATTTCTTTTTATAGCGAGCTCTCTTCATCCACGCTGCTATAACGGGCCCGGGTCTCTTGAGGATCAATCTGCCGTAAACGGCGATATTCTGGTTCGAAAGGTGATCGGGTTGGATATAGGTACTCGGGATGGGGTGGGACAGACCCAATTTAATGGTGTGTATAGTATGTGTGATAGTGCTTGGAGCACCACTGGCCGTTGGAGGCGCGATCGTTTGTTCATGTTGATCGCATAGTGACTAAGATGTCACAAGTTGCAAAGTTGGTTTATTGCGACACAGGTCCAGGAGGCCTCGGGTGCAGGTGTTAATTAGCCCCGCCCAGGCAGCGCGTTGGGCACTGTGGGTCAGAATGGTAGGGCACCTGCACCCTCCTGGACGCTGCGGTAGTTGATATGGTCCCCCCCTCCCTCGTAAGTTCACCCCCTTCTCCCACCTTGTGTCTCACCTCCCCTTCCCCTCCCCCTCCCCCTTCCCCTGGCCTCCGGCCCCTCCCCTCACCTGGCCCGCAGGCCCCCGGCCCGAAGGCCTCACTCCCCGACCCGTGGTAGGGCCTCTCTCTTCCCCCGCCCGAAGGCCACCCCCTAACCCGGCCCGAAGGCCTTACCAATCCTCCGCTGCCCGAAGGCTACCTAAACCGGCCCGCGGCCTCACCAATCCCCCACTGCCCAAGGGTGACCTCGATAACCATGGATACCAGTTGCCGAAAAACTAGTGTTGGACATCCAGGTTCAACTCGTTCGCGTTCGGGTGACTAACCATAGATACTAGTGTCGCCAAACTAGTGCCGAACATCTAGGTAGTCTCGGTTCGGTCGGGTGACTTGCCATAGATACCAGGGCCGGCAAGCTGGTGTCGAACATCCAGACAGTCATCGGGAAAATCTAGCTAGGCACCGTCATTAGTTTCGTTAGCATCCCACAATTATCATAGTTACCTCGAATTGGTGGATTTTGATGTCGAAAATTATCACGTGGTATACGTTTGTTCGTTCGTCCGTCCGCTACCTCTTTGGTAGGATGCTCTTGTTCGTACACTACCCCTTTGGTAGGATGTGTTGCGCACCACCTCTTTGGTGGACAAATTTCTCGTTGCTGCGTATGCATGCTCGGCACATAAATCGATCTCTAAGGTCTCTAAGTATCAATTAGCGAGTGTCAAAAATAAAAAGAAGCGGTCCATTGCCATTGATGAGTATAGAAAGGTCTGGGTCCTCGATGATGAGCCGACGAAGCCGAAGCTTGATACCATCTCGTACGGTAACTGTTGCATTTTAGAATGGAGTGGTATCGATGTATGGAAGGCGAAGTGTTGTAAATTTGTATGGAAGATGGAGGGAGAAAGGCAGTCTCGTAACCAAACTGTGGGAGAAAGGTATCTTTGCTCGGCTGTTCTAGTTTCGAGACTGGAAAGGTATAAAGAGAATGGAGTAAAAGAAACTTAGCTTACACGAGGGTTCAATGGGAATATTGTCTGTGATCTGCTACTTTCAAATCTCGTATGCGAGAGTCGAGAGAATCGGTGCTTCGAGGGTCGAAGAGAATGAGAGCGAGCCTAGTGTCACATGAGAGGATAAGCCCGATCCATTGAGTTTGGTAGTCGGTGATGGAAGACTTTCGAGATCGATGACAGGTATGTATTAAGGAAGAGAAGAAGAAATGAAGAGGAGGTGAATGAAAGTAGTAGGAATGATAAGGCGGGAGGAGAAGGGAGGTGAGGTAGAGAGTTGAAGAAGAGATGGGGAACACGAACAAGATGAAGAAGAGAGATGAAGAACATAGGTAAGATGAAGAAAAGAGACGAAAAGAAGGAAGGAAGGGGAAGAAGACAACGAGCAAGCTGAAGCAAGAGGTGGGTGAAGTACGAGGGTGGTGGGGTGGGATGGTGAAGATGAACAAGAAGAAGATGAATGAGAAGGTGAAGCAGAATCATGAAACTGAACAGGCTGAAGATGAATAGGATGAAGGACGTGAGTAGGGTGAAGACTTGAGATTGTACCTACTTCAATATTTAAATCCAGATGCTGGATCCAGAAGAAGACAGAGGGAGGAAGACGAAGGGGAAAATGAAGATGTCGAATATAAAAAAGATAATTGGGGAGAAAGAGTAAGAAGATAAGGGATATGACGAAGATGGAGAAGGTAGAAAAGATAGAGATGATGGAGATGATGGAGATGATGGGAGAGGTTGGTGGTTAGTGGTTGGTGGCTGGTGGTTAGTGGGTTTGGAAGAGGATGATGGGAAAAGAAAGAGAAGGAGCAGGAACAGGAGGAGATTAAATAGGTTGTCCCAGTCACGAGACCAAGGGAAAAGAAGAGGAGGACTGACCTGTGTTGATAGACACTCCGTTGTGGCCTGTAGTCTGTTGCTCCCTTGGATCGAGGTTTCTGCTGTTTGTCTTTCTGCCATTGTTCCTACTCTTTTTATTCGAACGAAAGCTATGATCGAGCTTAATATAGAATAATGGAGTTAGAGAAGAGAGGAGGAGGAGGAGGAGAGGAAAGGCGTATGATAATAAACAAACTATAGTACGGAAGTTTCTCTCTCTCCAGTTTTCTAACCGGTTGATCCATTGCTCCCTTGCGGGCCTCCATATCTTTGACATTGTCTGGCCAAATTCAAAATTGTCGATATCCTTATATAATGTATATGCCGTCTACACTTCAACTTCGTGATCTGAGTACTTGGATTATCAATGGATTGCTCCTTACGAAACTAAAAACCTGGTATTTGGACCGAACATTCGTATTACGTACTATATAATTCTAGTGACGAGATTGAAAAACTGTGTAGCTGCCTAGTATACTTAACGGCCTAAGTGCTCTCTATTGCGCCTCGGGAACGGACTCTTTCGATAGTAATTTATAGATCTATAGACTGGTCAATTCAAGTTGCCAGGAGACCTCTTCTCATATACCATTATCACACAGACTTCAGACATAACATATATACATAGGAATATCGATATATCGTATTGTAGTAGAAGTTCGTATTACAAAAGTAACATCGTATCAATAGCACAAGACTAGCGCCTATTGGTCACCATGTATTATATGCGTACTCTGTGAACGCCAGGAAGTGACCCCCAGACTAGTATGAGTGGTCCAGTCTGGATCCCAGAAGGTTTTGATTTCATCACTGTTCTGTGTTGTCGACCTCCCTCACGACCACCACCGACAACCATCATTTTTCATCCTCACTCCACCTCATCACCTCACCATCGCCATCATCATCATTATCATTATTACCATCACCATCACCATTATCACAATGCCGCCGACGCGTACAGAGAGGAGCAGCCGTCGAACCCCTCCTGTTGGTGCCAGTGGGGCAAGCAGGCGACGGGACGGATCGAAGTCGAAGTCGCCGGAGGGGGCCGGTCGACAGACGAGGAGTTCGGGCTCCCAGCATGGAGCAAATTTGCAGGTGCCGGACGCTGCACCCAGGGATCCTTCCGCCGAACCCTCCCGTTCGGGAGTGGCGACGCGTTCGAAGGATCCCAGGCATTCTGCCGGTAAGTTACACAGCATTTCCCCTCCTAGTCTTTCTTACTGGTTTCGTTTAGCCATTCCAGGGCTAGTTTCGTGATGCTGGGCCTCGTGGTTTGCTCTGTTTGTTTCTTACTTATCGCCCAATTTGTTTGTCCCTGAACCCTGTGTTGCCTTCCCGATTGAGTATTTTCGGACCTCCACAACACATTATCATCCTGTTGCAGATTTCCAAAAACAACACAAATATACGTTGCTGACACAGGGCTACTTTTACAGGGTGTGAGCAGGGGCCGGGCCTGCAGGTGGTATACGGTGGCCTGATAATCCAGGCCGAGCATGAGAACACCGGCTACCCAGCCGATGTTTTCACGGCCTCGGGGCATCAGGCCGACCGTTTGTTTGTGTGTGACAGGTGTTTTAAGTACACCTGTAACCCGGCAGAGCTCTATCAGCATGAGGTGAGTGTACCCTTTTTTTTCTTTTTTCTTTTTGGCTCTTTGTTCCCCGACAACGAAACCCCGGAAGCTGACATTTTTCCTTTAGCGTCTGTCTGGGGATGAAGAGCGGCCGCGGGGCACCCTCGTTCACGAGTTCGAGGGCGGCCGCTACCAGATTTACGAGGTGGACGGGGCGGACGAGAGTGAGCATTTGTTCCTCCAGTCCATGTGCCTTTTTGGAAAGTTCTTTATACAGAACAAGTTCATCTGGTACGAGTTCGACAATTACATGTTCTATGTCCTTGTCGAGAAGCGGGAGGGCTCGCAAGGCAAAGAGCACGAGTTCTCGGTTGCGGGATTCTTCTCGAAAGAGAAGGTCTCTTGGGACCAGAACAACCTGTCTTGCATTATACTGTTTCCGCAGTATAGGAGTGGGGGGCTAGGAGGCGCGTTGATCGACTTCTCCTATTACATCTCCCAGGCAACTGGGAGGATCGGTGGTCCCGAAAAGCCAATTTCGAAACTTGGCCAGAGGGGCTACGATCGGTATTGGAGAAAGTCGGTCGCGGCGGCCATTTTGGGGAAGACGGCCCCCCGCAAGACAGACGCTCGCTCGAGTAAACGAGCGGCGTCGAGAACTCGCAAGGACTCGACCAAGGCACAGCCCCCGAACAGCCGGGTCCGACCCGGCGACATCTCGATCGGGGTAACCGACACTCGTGGCACTCAGACCATCAGCTTGGGGGATCTCTCCAAGACAACTGGGATATTGTCGGACGATATTCTTACTTGTCTTGGGGATGAAGGATTGATTACGAGATGGGATGGCGGAAGGCCAGTTCTGAGTCGCAGTCGGTTGAAGCAGTGGGCTTCGTAGGGGATGAATTTTTGTCACAGCAGGCAGTGACGTTAAACAGATGTCTGAGGTTGGAGTTGGGCTCGGGGAGATGGAAAACTCCCCTTTTACCGACAAAAAAACCCGTCGCAGCAGGTAGTGACGTTAAAATATTGTCTGAGGTTGGAGGTGGGCTAAGGGAGAAGGATCACTCCCTTCATGTTTACAAAAAAACCACGTCACAGCAGACAGTGACGCTAAGCGGATGTCTGAGGTTGGAGTTGGGCACGGGGAGAAGGAAAACTCCCTTTCGTTAATAAACCACAGGTTAGGAGTGTTTGGAAGGCAGTAGATGGCGGGTGAGGAAGAGGAGGAACTTGTGGTGTGATGGCGGGAGGAAGGGGCGTGGGGAGAGCATAGGGGAGAGCAGGAAACTCCTCTCTATCAAAAAACCTCTTTGAGAGAAGGAAAACTCTCGATGGCGCATTAAACCGGTCACACCATGATAGTGATGCTTAACGGGGGTGCATATCTGGCGGGGAGAGAGGAAAAACTCCCCGAAAACAAAAAAGCCCTTTTTGTCACGGTTGAAGTTGTCCAGTGCCCCGGAAAACTTTGGTCCTCTGACACAGGGGAGAGTAGGAAACTCCCCTTCATCAAAAAACCTTTATTTATCTCGGTGAGGTGCGGGTGCGGTGTGGTGTAGGGGAGAGGTGGAAAACTCCCCTGTGTGAAAAAAAAACCTCCCTGAGAGAAGGAAAACTCTCGTTGGCGCATCAAACCGGTCACACCAAGATAGTGATGCTCACAGGGGGTGCCTATCTGGCGGGGAGAAGTGGAAAACTCCTCGATAATAAAAAACCTCTTTTGAGAGAAGGAAAACTCTCGTTGGCGCGTCAAACCGGTCACACCATGATAGTGATGCTTAATGGGGATGCATATCTGGCGGGGAGAGTAGGATAAACTCCCTGAAGACAAAAAACCTTCGCTCTGGTCCCAAACAGAACTTCTTGAGAGAAGGATACTCTCGTTGGCGCGTTAAACCGGTCACACCAGGATAGTGATGCTTAAGGGGGTGCATATCTGGCGGGGAGAGAGGAAAAACTCCTCGAAAATAAAAAAGCCCTGGTTTCGTTTGTTGGTTGGTGGATGTCGTTTGGATGGTGGTATAAGGGAGAGTTGGAAAACTCCCTTGGGTAAAAAACCTTTTGAGAGAAGGATACTCTCGTTGGCGCAGGAAACCGGTCACACCACGATAGTGATGCTTAACGGGGGTGCATATCTGGCGGGGAGAGAGGAAAACTCCTCGAAAACAAAAAAGCTCGTCATGTTTACCCTTAGCTTAGGTACTTGTTATCTATTCAGGGAGAAGGAAAACTCCCGTCACCAAAAACCTGTCACCTGAGATAGTGACATCTGAAGAGATCCTCTCCGAATGTCTGTGATTGATGATGGCAGGCTCGTTCTAAGTCTAGTAACCGGTGCATGTAAAAGCTCAAGCGCTCTGATAGAAACTTCTACCCGTGATGTACAACAAATGATATCTTGCTAAGGCCACGGTTCCGTCTCGACTAGGAGCCATACATGATCTAGAGGTAAATTTATACGATGGGACCTGAACAGCGCCTTCTTCTTCTATAGGGCTAGTACAGGTTACCGAGTTTCACAGATCGTGTAGAAACAAGTAGGGTATACTGCTACATCTAAGTACCCTTGATCCGTACTCATGAGCATATCTCTACAGAGGCCCCATCATGAGAACTAAGACGCGAAAAATATATGCATACATGTTGTGAATATAAAGTTATCAAATTCGTAATAGTATACTGATAGCATAAATAATATTATTGACATGTAAACCTGATCCAAAGTTACTGGTATACTGGTCTCGTTCCCAGACGTCACAAAGGGCAGCGGTATACTATACATATCGATATATCCAAGAATCGACGAATAAGAACTTGATAACGTTATATATATTAGACAGAAGTCAAGCTTCATAATTGAGCTCGAAATGTAACTTTATAAATTTATATAGCTATAGTGCAATTAGTTATACGTTTTATTGTTGTCGATATCTTTATGCCGTCTAATCGTGAAATTGCTACATAATATTAATTCGCAAAGAATACTCCAGATGTCCGAGACTACTCCAGATGCACAATTCTACAGATCAGTTACTTTGAGAAGTACAAAACGATATGAGCGAGAGTTAATCAATATGGTATCAAAAGGTTTCTAATATATCTCAGATTATCTTAGGTCCAACTCATGCCCTGTCACCGTATTCAAGATCGATATCATTTGTCGAAGATTGGGGACCGTATTTATATTCTGGAGATGCGAGTAATATATGGATACGTAGTGGTACATATTATAGAATTCGACGAGACGGCATCTAGCGAGAGAGTCGTCCTCATATTAAACTTACCTCGCCAGGCACAACCACAAGCAAAAAGTGCAAATGGGACTCAGCATGATGTACCCAAGTTCATAAATTGGGGTTGGCCAAAAACAGAATCACCATCTTACGATTTTAGATCCTACGATTTTAGGGAACGGTCATATGCTGGGTAGTAAATTTATTCCCTCTACTTGGAATGAATTTTCTGGCTGGAGGCAAAAAAAATTGCGGCCCCCGACAAAATTAACCCCGGTTGTGCCGTTATATAAATGTACAAAGACCATGCATTAGGACGATAGAGAAAACACCGAATGTAGCGTAACCCCGTGAGACATAAAATGGAAAGGGCGTAGTAGTCGGAAGAGAGGTTGGGTGGGTGTATGTAGAATTTTGATCGGAAAAACGTGGAGAGAGGGTGCGTAAAGAGGTATCTCGATCAAATATTGTAAAGTAGGAAACAGAAAACGGAAAAAGACGAAAGATCTGGATTTGCTTAGGCTACTAATTCGACAGCACCGCCTATGATTTGATCATGTTAGTATTCTGAATGTAGACTTTTCGTGGGAGTTTTGTGTGAACATACCAGCCTCCTTGATCTTCTTCTCAGCTAGCTTAGAGACGAATCTAGCCTTGACAATGACCGGGACCTCCGGTAGTCTTCCCTTGCCCAAAAGCTTGGAGTATCCGTTTGCCAGTAGATCAATAACTGGAGCGGTGTCGGTCTTTCCAGCGCTCAAGTACTTCTCCCTCGATTCGGCGGGGATCAATGTCCACAGCTATAGATTAAAGTACCTTGATTAGCCCGGCTGTTCATCTTCAGATATTTCTATATTCAATTCCTAAAATATCTAGCCCGGATGCTACTTTTGACTTTGCTCCTGCTATCTTCTTTCCTGCTCTTCAAGTTTTCCAACGGATCGGGTGGGTAGATTTTCAACTCACTTTGTCGAGATTCAGAACCGGTCTCCAGAACTGGTTCTGTAGCTTGTGGAAGTATCGCATACCGACTTTACCGAAGTAACCGGGATGGTACTTGTCCATGTTGGTTCGGTGGTGATGTTGACCACCAGCAAGACCACGACCACCGGGATGCTTCTATAAATCTCCCAAAAATATGCTATCAATAATCTGTTCGCCCAAAGAGTTTATCGGCTGGGAATTGTCGAGGATTGTTCTGTCGTACCCTGTGCTTTCCTACACGACCGTGACCGGCACTGACATGGCCTCTGTGCTTTCTTGTCTTTGTAAGTCTGGTCTGGAAGTCGAAAAATGGTGATTCGTTAGCTAGGTCTGCCTCTCTTTCCTCTCTCATATCCTTCAACTGCAACTTCCTCCATTTCCGCCAAAAACACAATTGTCGAAATAATCAATACTCGGGGAAGGACGGTTGACATACGGGCATGGTTGCTGTTGAATGACGATAACCTCGATACTTCGAATTGCAGGAGGTAAAAAACTGTGGACGATGATGAGGGATGTCACTAGGTTTTGAGGTGGTGGTTTCTTCAATTTGCTGGTCTAGGCGCGGTCGTTTGCCCACAAGCGCACTCCGATTGGGCTTTTTTGATTGGATGGGGTTCAACACATTGAAATTTTGGGCCAGGGCAAGCCAGCCCTTATCTGATTATCTATCTATCATCATGTGATCTAATGCCAAGAGATAAGAACAATGCAACAAAAACAACAAGAAAACACAAATAGAGGGTATCCAGGCTTCAAAACGCACGCTCCTTTGTGCTCCAAGAACAATGCAATGAAATAAAAGCAACATCTATGTCAAGCTGCCAAAAACACCTTATTTGTCGTATAAAGGTACCTAGAACGGCCATGGGGTTCAAGAAAACAAGGCAAAGGTAAAGACTTCCTGTAAATGCGATGAAAAGCAAAACTACCATGAATGCAGAAATGATAAGATGCCGTTGACGGGAAAGAATCTGCTAGATCGTTTCGACTTCGTCGTCGGAAATATCGGCTCCGATATTTGTGAGAAACGGGTCTTCAAGTGCTTCTGCAGCTGATAGGCGTTTGCGATGATCCAAGTCCAGTGTCTTTTCTAAGAAAACCAGTGCTCTTTTCTCCTCTAGGCTCAGAGGATCGTTCTTGCTCCTGGATGTCGCCCATTCAACAATCCGAGACAAACTGTGACCTTTCTCTGAAATTGTTGGGATGGCGGTTTCGAATACGGCGCCTTCAGAAAAAATATATTAGTATCGCCCAATTTTACCTAGTGATTGGATGGCATACCATGCAACGCGGCGCAGGCCCTCATCTTCGCCCGTCCAAAGACCGTAGCCATTTCAATTATGGCGTCGATGTCGTCCGGGGAGTTAAAGAAGGGGAATCGTTTTGATAAGAAAGTTAAGAGGATGACACCTGCAGACCATATGTCGATTTCTGAAAGGAATTAGCCCTTGTAAGAGATGATATCTAAAAAGCAGGCGAGATACATACTAGTGGTTTGTCTGTTGCACTTGAATAGGACCTCGGGGGCGCGAAAGCCTCTCGTCCCAGCTCTGTTAGCTCGCTTGGACGGCCTAAGTTTACATAGCTCGTTAGTTTATAGTCTAGGGTAGACTTAATATCTTTGATTACCTTTGATCGTTTTTAGGATACCCCCCAACTGGCGCTACAGGTTTCGGGGGGGGCCCTCTAGCCCTGGTGCAAGGACAAACTCCGTCATATTCCTCTCTCTACAAGCATGTATTAGCACGATCTGTAACCACCAATCAAACTAGGTATAACAACAAACCTCAGCCAGACCAAAATCAACCAATACGCCTCTACCTTTTGCGCAATCGTAAAGAAAGTTTCTATGGAGCGGGTCATTAGAATTAAGGAATTCAACTACAAGGAGGACCTCTAGCATACGTTGGTTTAATATCTCGATGAAGGATATTCTTGGCGTGGACGAACTTCAAAGCCGTAAAGAGTGATCGCATGTAACGTTGGATTTCGATGATACTGAGTTTCCTAAAATACTCCTGTAGAAATGTGATGATTAGCATCACGTTTGAGAACCAAAGGATCGTGTCGAATAGCTCACTCTGAAATCGACATGGCGAAAATAAGGCATGACGGCAATGACTTGGTCGAGGTGGCGGAAAGCCGTAATGAGTGATACCACATTCTTTGATCCAGTAAGATCTTTTAGGAGTTCCAATTCGTTGTGGATTCTCTGTGGGCTGCTTGTGACGTATATTTTTTTAATAGCGACATATTTGACCCTCTTCTCCTTAGCTTGATTTAAGCGGTGTCGTTTCGATCGAGGCGAGTAGTATTCGGCGGTTCGTTCGTCGAGATCCCATTCGTTTACGTAACTGTTATACTGCAAGTCTATTGCTTTATAGACAGAAGAGAAAGTGCCCTCTCCAGTCTTGCTAACAATCTTGTAGTGCAGATCAAGTTCTTGAAACGAGGCCATGAACTCATCGATCTCCTCCTGCACCTCAGGGCAAATCTCATCCACGGTTCCGTCAGATTCTTCTGAGAATTGGTCTTCTGAGAGAGCATATGGTTCCATCTCGCTGTCATTTTCGCTGATTCCTGCGACATCTTCATCTTCGTCCATTTCATCGCCCTGAGCAGGGTATTGAACGCCTTTGCCGTTTACATAGTCGTCTGAAGAAAATCCTTGCTTAGCTACTTCATTTCGTGGAGGTGGTATATTCTCGGTCCGTGAAGGTTTGCGTTGAATGATCTTGGAAGCAGCGTGCAGGGCAGCTGAGCGATGGCTTTGCGAATTCATTGCGAATAGAAGTCCGTGAGTCTGTTGAACGCAGGGGTTAGCTCAAGCCTCGAAGATACCAATGCCAATGGCTATCCATTGCCGAATTTCTGACCTTGCCCCTATAGAAGACTTAGTCCAGTTCTCGTCGTTGGTGAATTGCGAGACAAGGGAGCAATATGCTGTTGTACGATGGTGTATATCCCGAATTATACACGATGAGGCATGAAATCGATCGCAAGCTGCATGTTATTAAATTCCGATTCGCGAGTTTTAATGCGCGAGACACCAACATTGGTAACAACGGCAACAACAAAACACTTCTCTCTCGTAGGCGACGGTAAAAAGTAAACAACAACGGCATAGACACCGCAACGGACCCCGACGTCGAATACCGAACGTCGAAACGACTCGCCGAACACAGAACGAGCTTCAGAGGACCTACTGGAAGGCCTTACGGTCCATTCGAAACCGCGCTAGAACGAAGACCAACGGAAACCCACATCCTCTGACCCGACTAGGCGCAGCCCAGGTGGCATGCCTATCTAGCTCCCCGTTCGATATCTAAGTTATTTACGACTCTCAAAACATACCCTTACGACAGAATGGAGGAATCAAAATACACATTCGAGCTTACGGATTCGCTAAGAGCTTATCTCGACGACCCTTTGACCATTTCCTGTCCAGATGCAGACCCTGGTCTCATCAGCGAAAATGGAGAGCCCCTCACCGCGGGGCAGGTCAATCCTGTGCTGGACCCTATCGTTGAAGCTGTCACCATAAGCCCAGATGCCATTCTAAAAGACGATAACTTTGACAACCTACAATGCTTGCTGAAGTAGGCACCCTCAGACCACCCTTATAAAGCTTCATATGCTGACGGAGCTATCTACTGGCGCGCAGGTCGTTTTCTTTAATCCCAGGAGTATCCGCGAGCAAAGTTCTAGACTTGGTTGCCTCAGGCTTGGCCGCTGAGGCCGCTATCGTAAACAGCGAATTAGAATCGGACGACCCTGGCGATCTTGAGTTGCACAAAGAACTACTGGAGGCATATGGATTCCTGCTGCTATGGGCTATCGGCGCGACGGAAACTCGAATGCAAGAGAAGAGCAACCAAACTGCTCCAGCCGCCAGAGGCAGGGGTGTTAAGTCAAAGGTTTCGAAGGCTAGCGCAGGGGTTTGGGACCCATCTTCACAGCTCCTTCAGACGTTAGACATCATGGCGAGAGTAATGAAGCTCAAACTATCTAGGATGTTCCTGACAACTTCTGAAAGAGATACATTCGTCAGCCTCTTTACAAGGCCAGTGTATTTGATGCTAGAGAATGAACAGCGAGTAAAGAGCGTTCCAATGAAGATGCACTGCTTCAAAATACTCTGTCTTGCTGTAAAACATCATGGTCACGCATACGGTAATTTTTACTGCTCCAAAAGGCCTCTCTTTAAGTACTAAGTTGACATATAACTTAGGCGCTCAAATCTCGATTGTGCAAAACTTGTCATATTTCGAACATCTTTCGGAGCCGATGGCCGAGTTCTTGCAAATCTTAGATGAACAATTCGATTATCCCCAGCTTGCCGACGAAGTTCTCCGGGAAGTTAGTAACAAGGAGTTCAACAGCAATGATACCAAGGGACCTAAATCGATATCAACTTTCTTGGCCAAGCTCGCAGAGGTCGCGCCTCGCCTCGTTCTCAAACAAATGACACTGTTGATCAAACTACTGGATAGCGAAGTGGGTACCAGAACTTTGAATAATGCCAGGATCACACTAACCAAATGTTAGTCGTATACTTTGCGATGCGGTATCATAGAAGTTTGCGGCAATCTCATCGCAGATTTGACGAAAGAAGACGAACGGACGGATTCACATAAGTCACAAATTGAGTCCTTCTACGATGTTCTAGAAGAGAGGTTTCTAGATATCAACCCTTATTGCCGCTCACGTTTGATGCAGGTTCTCAGCAGACTTTGCGAGTACGGATTCCTCCCATTCTTCAAGCGTATATAGACTAACATTTTCATGCAAACACTAGCTTGGAAATAAAGAACCCAGGGCGCAGACAAAAAATCACAGAACATGCCACTCGCAGCCTCGAGGACAAGAGTAGCAATGTTCGCAGGAATGCCATTAAACTGATCGGGCGCCTTGTTGCCACACACCCTTTCAGCGTGCTGCACGGTGGACAACTTGCCCTAAAGGAGTGGACTGAGCGTTTAACCAAAGTAAATGAAGAAATAGATGCGCTGGGCCCACCACCAGGGGCCCCAGGCCTCGGAGAGGGTGGGGCAGACGAAACTTCGGTTGATGAAAGTCTATTACAAGATGTTACCATGCATGAAGCGGATGGAGAAGAGGGCCATCAACCGCCCGCAGGTCCAACACCAGAGGAGATGGCAACATCAGAGGCAATTACAAAACTGCAATTAACGAGGCGATACTATATGGATGCTATCCGGTTTATAAATTCCCTCCATACCGCTGCTACTCTCGTCACGCAGTTACTTGGATCTCGAAATAAAAGCGAGGTTATTGAAGCTATGGATTTCTTTGTGGTGTTAGATGCATATCGAGTTGAGCCTTCTAAGGTATGTTATATCTCGTAAGGGCGTTAAAATGCGGTTTCGACATTTAACTAACAAAGAAATAGGTTGGAATTCGCAAAATGTTGCGGTTGATCTGGACCAAAGGAAACAGCGATGAAGGCCGAAGCGTTCAAACTCATCTGATCGACTGTTACAAGATGCTATACTTCGAAGCGCCGAATAACTTCAACCCCAATGATGCTGCGAATTATGTGGCCCGGAATATTATCAGTCTAACGTTTGGTGCAACTTCTGGCGAGCTTACGTCTCTTGAAGCTCTTCTGAGCACAATGATGAAAGCAGGTCAGATCCCTGAAGCAGTTGTTGAAAAGCTGTGGAAGGTGTATGGTGTGCAAAAGAAGGAAATCTCGAGGACTCAGAGGAGAGGCGCTATAATATGCATCGGAATGCTTGCTGTCGCAGATCCAGAGATCGTGATCAAGCATCTCGAGACACTTCTCCGCATTGGGTTGGGTGCCCTTGGAAGAGCTGACCTCGCACTTGCCAAGTACACCTGCATTGCTTTGAAGCATATTTGCCCAACCGGTAGACGGGACAGCCCGAGTACAATGGCAAGACTCCCAAACAACCATGCCGTACTCATCAAGTTAGCTGCAATCCTCGAGGTTCCTACTTCTAGCCAAGACTGGCTTGGTCTTGCTGAGCAGGCAGTGAATGCTATCTACGCATTATCACAGCACCCAGATGTATTGGTGACGGAAATTATCCAAAGAAAGACTAGGAGCGTGTTTTGCGCCCCTCGTGCAATGGAGATCGAGGACGGTGAACCAGCCCCGCAAAAGCCGGAGGATAGCATTGACGCAAATATCAAGCTTTCTCAGCTCTTGTTCCTTGTAGGTCACGTTGCTATCAAACAAATTGTCCACCTTGAGCTCCACGAATTAGACTTCAAGAGAAGGAAGGCTGCGTCAGAGAAACTGAAAGCAACCGCTCAGACTCCAGAGAAAGGAGCAGCTGCTCAGACTGCCCAAAGTGAGTTGGATCTTATTGGCGGTACCAATGAAGACGACTTTACGGATGCCATGCAACATATTCGCGAAAGAGAGTTGCTTTATGGAAACAAATCGCTTCTAGCTCGATTTGGGCCGATGCTTATGGAGATATGCTCCAGTAATACCAACTACAAGGACGCCAACCTCCAGGCTACTGCAACTCTTTGCCTTGCGAAGTTTATGTGTGTGTCATCGGAATTTTGCGAGAATAACTTACCACTATTGATCACCATTATGGAAAAATCTACAGATCCTATTATCAGGAGTAATGTAGTAATCGGGTTAGGAGACATGGCAGTGTGTTTTAATCATCTAATCGATGAAAACACGGACTTCTTATACCGCCGTTTGAACGATAAGGAGGCATCGGTGAAAAGAACATGTCTGATGACCCTAACATTCTTGATATTGGCCGGTCAAGTAAAAGTTAAGGGGCAACTCGGGGAGATGGCGAAATGCTTGGAGGATCAGGATAAAGGAATTGCTGATTTGGCGAAGATGTTCTTTACCGAGTTGGCTACGAAGGATAATGCGGTGTATAATCACTTCATTGATGTGTTTTCACTCCTTACTACGGATCAGAACATCGATGAGGAGTCTCTGAAGAGGATTGTGAAGTTCTTGACTTCATTCATTGAAAAGGTATGTCTACGCCCGGCTCGTCTAACAAAGCTCTCAGGCTGACAGCGCATATAGGATAAACATGCTAGACAGCTCTCGGACAAGTTGGCTGCCCGTTTAGGACGCTGTGATACTGAAAGACAATGGAATGATGTTGCATATGCGCTCTCACTCTTGCCGCACAAGAACGAGGAGATCCAAAAGGTGGTCGCCGCAGGGTTCAGGGTTGTACAAGGCACAGCTTGATATTACGATATATGATCATTTCTTGTTTCCTTTTTCACGTTGGAGGCGGGCGTCTTCGTTGTTCTAAGGATATCGATTAATTGTTCTTTTGAAAAAGTCAGTGGCAATCTCGATTCGCCCATTTTGAAATCAATTGGTATTCCATAAACGCATAACGCATAGTATCTTCTAGGGTATATTAACGGAGAATTGGAGTATCAGTCCCAGTGCCTTTGTTTCATTTCATTTTTCTTCTCGCCCGTGAATCCACTAATCATTTGTGATTTCCGTGTCCCCATCCGCATCTAGATCTATGTGCTCATGACCATGGTCTGCTGATGCAAGCGCCTCGGCATTGCTCTTGAGGTATAATACCAATCGAAATGCCGAGTTGCCGTTGAGGTAATATCTATGAAGTCTCTTGCTCCTTAGAAATCCAAGGTGTTCATAGAGTTTTATAGCGCCAGTATTAGTTACTTCTGTTTCCAGAACGACCTAGATATCGTGAGAGTTCGTTAGCTTTGGTGTACTGAAAAAAAAAAAAAAAAAAAGACAGAAGATACATCGGTGGAAACAAACCTCATCCGCATTTCTAAGAATCATAGCGTCTATAGCCATCTTGACGAGTTTTGTAGCTAGACCTCTACCCCTATATTCTTCCTTCACGACAAGCATGGCGATGTACCCTCTATTTGCGCCATGTTCTCGATGTTTTTCGAGCTTGCAGATGACGACGCCGATGAGGTTTTCGCCGTCCAATGCCTATTTTTAAGAATATAATCACGATATTAATATATCAATTTCTCTTTATTTTTTAAAAAAAAAACATGGATAAAAAAGCATTTTTACAAAAGCATTTTTTCCCCAAGAAAGTAATAATATCGAAATCGTGGTGTTACAATATAGATATAAACTGTATGATACGCTCACGTGGAAGGGGGGGGCATATTTACAAGATAACACAAATCCCCCCACTGATGCAAAAAGTAACGATAGACGTAGATACTGTAAGGTTCTGAGAGGCCGTCGGATATCAGAGACCGTAAGGATTCGAGATGAGGGGTTTCCTTTTCGTTTTCGAAGGCTTTGAAAGTAATGTTATCGGCTTCCATGGCCTCTCAAAAGTTGTGCAAATTCGCGATAGCCTTTTAGCTTTTTTTCTTTCTTTCTTTCTACATGTGCTGGCTGGCGCCCTGAGCAGCTTTTGGGAGTGGGTTTTTGTTCGGGGTGACGGGGATACGTAATTTGGGGGAGCTTTGAGCTGGGAACTGGATGGGATGGAGGGATGGTGTGTGGGAGACAACGCAGATATTCAGAGAGTTCGAGTTCGGTTGGTCGATGTATCGATGCGAGCACGGTTGAGGAGTCTGGCGACAAGATAAGATGTAAATTCATAATCAATCACTAGTCTCGTACTGATCAATCACATGGATATACTATGGAATGGAGTCTTGTAAACGTCATATCAATTATTATCGATGCATTAGGCCATTACAAGTCTAATCATAAATAATAGCAATTGAAATCGACAAGGAGCATCTAGACTCTGTACAGCATTGACAGTGGAACTATAACCTGACTAAAAATCCAGTAAGCCCAGAACTTGGGCATTCAAAGTAGATTGAATCATAGTACTAACTAGTACTACCTAGGTACCTATACTCCCCAGAAATACTGGTAATGCAATTGCGAAAGATATCGAATAAAAAAACCAAAAAAAGGAAAGCATTTGTTCATTAAAAAGGAAATAAACCTGATCATAACTTCATCCCTTCCAAATATCCTGTTGATCACAAAACCCAAAATATTTACTGACTGTGAATTCTCATCTACTAATAGATATGAACTCAAAATCGACAATTCTTCTACTGGAAAAAGATTGACTGAAGAGAAATTTAAACCGTCAAACCAGCAACAGCCTTCTCAACTTCACCAACAACAGCGGCAGCAGAAGCATCGCCACCAGTGCTTGGGGTTCCGGACTTAGCGAATGCTTGCTATAGTTTTTAAAAGAGGGATTATTAGTAAAAAGGCACATCTCTCGAGGTGGGTTTAGGTTTAAGATTGGAGTGACATACCTCGAAATCGTGGATGATATCATCAATATGCTCGATACCGACGCTGACTCTGATGAGATCAGGAGTGACACCGGAGGCAATTTGCTCTTCCTTGGTCAACTGGGTATGTGTAGTAGCGGTAGGGCTGATGACGAGGGTCCTATTATTCGCGGTAATGTTAGTTCTTAAATTCCCAGCGTTTTGCTCCTAAGCAGGCCATAATTCGGTGTATAAGTGCTTACTTAGCGTCTCCAACACTATAAGATTTAATGTTAGTAAAAGGAAGGACCACGAGATACTAGATCGGGGAATGAACAAGAACGTACTTGGCAAGGTTTGATGCGAGCTTAAGGTTATCGACGAGAATACGACCAGCGTCTTCTCCTCCCTTGATACCGAACGAAAGGACACCACCGTATCCTCGGGATGGGTCGAGGTATTTCTTGGCCAATGCGTGGGATGGGTGGCTTTCGAGACCGACATACGAAACCCAGGCACTAAAGTATTCCGAAAAGGATATTATCAGTTTATTGGATCATCTTTAAGGCGGAGCAGTTAAAAAACTTACACAGATTCGTGCTTCTCGAGCCACTTAGCAAGCGCAAGCGCATTGCTGCAGTGTCTTTCGACACGGAGAGAAAGGGTCTCAAGACCAGTGATCAACAAGAAGGCACCGAATGGGTTCAATGCGGATCCAAGATCACGGAGAACATCGACTCTGACTCTGATGGCATAAGAGATTGGGCCGAAGGTCTTCCAGAAGTTAAGGCCGTGGTAACCAGGTGCGGGGTCGGTGAATTGTGGGAATCGGTCGTAGTTCTTGCCCCAGTCGAACTTTCCGGAGTCAACGATGACACCAGCGATTGCTAAATGTTAAAAACAACGTTAGTCCCAGCCGGCCAGGCAACATGTGTGGAGAATGTTGTAAATGCTTACTGTTTCCGTGTCCGCCAATCCATTTTGTGGCAGAGTGAACAACGATATCGGCACCGTGCTCAATTGGCCTGATCAAGTAACCACCAGCACCGAAGGTATTGTCGACGACTTTATTAAGGACCCTATTAGCAAATTTACATCTACACCTAACAGAGTAGATACATACCGAGTGGGATTCCAGCAGCATGGGCGATATCAGCAATGGCCTGGATATCCGGAATATTGTATTTCGGGTTTCCGATGGACTCGATGTATACGGCCTTGGTCTTGCTATCAATGGCGGCCTTGATGTCCTCTGGCTTATCTCCGTCGACAAACTTGACGTTGATTCCTGCGCGCCAGAAAAGTTGCAAGGGTTAGCATGCCCAGGGTGGGGATTTTGGGTTTTGTGTTTGCGGCTCACCTAATCTTGGGAAGAGGACCTTGAATTGATTGTAGGTTCCTGCGATGGTATGTATGTTAGGAGATGGAATCTACAGTTGATTTTTTTTTGGATCGCTGTCTCATACCGCCGTAGAGGAAGGATGTGGCGACAATGTTGTCACCGGCGTGGGCCTAGGCGGGGATGTTAGTCCACTCCTCTATGTCTCTCTAACAAGAAAAAGGACTTACCAAGGCAAAGATAGCCATAGCCTGGGCGGATTGACCGCTGGATGCCGCCTATTCCGAATTTGTTAACCCCCAAAACCAGGTCCCAGGTCCCAGGCGAACCAAAGGTCGAGGATATACATACAACAGCAGCAACACCACCCTCAAGAGCAGCGATTCTCTTCTCGAAAACATCAACTGTGGGGTTCATGATTCTAGAATAGATGTTTCCAAACTCCTGGAGGGCGAACAGACGTGCGCCATGGGCAGAATCATTGAAGACGTATGACTATATTTTTTTCGAAATCAGTATTTTCCCAATCGTAGAGTGTAAGCAGGGAAAAACATACTGTCGTGGCGTAGATTGGGACGGCTTTGGAGATTTAGATTCGAGATTAGTTTTTTGTAAACAAGCAGACTATCGATCGGGGTTATGTATCGGTAATACCTCGAGCATTGGTGGCTGGGTCCGGCTCCTGACTATATTGAACGGTATATCATTAGTATTTACACATCTCAACTGAGACAAGAAGTGGATCTTGAGAAGGGAAAGCCTTACCCAGCGTGGAGCTGCAAAGTCTCAAACTTTGGCTTGTATTCTTCTGCCATTGTGAATGATTGATTGGGTATATTCTCGAATAACAATCTGTATGGAAGATTTGGTCAGGATTCTGCGTTGACGCACCAAAAAATGCAACAAAGCGTAGTATCGTTCAACGTTGAAGCGCAGTACCGTAGAAGGAAGGAAAAGAAATTGAATATCGTGTGGAACGTATTTTCATAGATATAAGACCCGTGTAGATAGACATGGATGTAGTCTGTACCCCTCATCTATATCTGATAGATGTTTCGGGCGCTAAGTCATTCACATGGCCCGAGGGGTCCGGCTGCAGGCAGCATGCTATAAAGTATCAAAATTGCGCGATACCTGAGCGAAGGTTTCGCGAAACTAGATATAAATGACGTAGCCCGATGCGCCCATATCGGAAAAACTTCTGATAAGAGATGAGGCACCGGGCAGCTATAGGAGAACGTTTTCCCTAATAAACTGGAATGTTTTTTTCTTTTCAAAGGTTGGATCGAGAAATAAGGCTTGTACGACTGTAGTACAGCGCCGGAACCAGGAAGAAAACTTCGACCGGCGAGTTTCACTCACATTAAGAAAAATTAAACTCGAGTCGCACTAGTATGAGGAAAAACGGCGCAAAAATGAGATTTTAGTTTGGAAACTGCTGGCAATCGTCGAGAGGATGAGGGGCAAGTATTGCGAAATGAAAGTCGACAGAGGAAGGAGGGGCGCCGGACTTATATAATAACATCTTTGAACCCATCGGTGTGCCCCCAAAGGGCCGACCGACTTTGAAAGCTTTAATTTTTAGCTCTTAGGAATCCTTTCACGAGAGACAATCTCAAGAAGGAATTGGCATAGTATCATGTCATGTTCAGGGTACAGAGACATATTCGACATCCGATGCGGAGACCTGGGCCGCAGTTTAGGACTGAAGTCGTCTCATCGTGGAGGTCCGCAGAGCATCTTTTTTCGAAGATTTCCAATTGCAGATGCTTTTGTGGACGCCGAGTCAATCACGCCATCGATATAGCCTTTTTCGCCTTGGTTAAAGGTGCTGGTTCGGCAAGAAAAACCAACCAACAGGGCTGGCCAGTCCCGGGGTGATTATGTAAAGGGTCCATCCCGTATGCCGTGGAGAGTAACTATTTAAAATAGGAATTGCACTGTGGGACACCCGTGGTATTTGGCCCCGCACTGTACATGTACATATCTGGTAAAGGAAGTACATGTACTTGAAACTGTAGACCCCCGCATGGAAGCCTGACACTGTCGAATGTTGTGGTGGTGGTGGTGGTGGTGGTGTTTGGATGTTTGATATTAAATTTGAGATTGCATTGTCAGGAATATGCAAGATGCACAGTGGTGGTACACAGTGGTGGTACACAGTAGTACACGAGATCCTCAGGGTGGTAGCAGTGCTGGTAGCAGCGGCAGCAGTATCGAGTGTGTTGGTACTTACCAAACCAGCTCGACCCGAATTCCCCACACCGCAACTAACTCTCGATCTCCAACCAACCTTTCTACCATCCAACCAGATCCATTGGAACCTCCCAGCTCTCTATCCTGCTCGAATACAAGCTTCAAAGGTACGCCCCTGAGCTCCATCCACCCCTTCCAAGTCCCGATCACGCGTCTTTTTGCTTGCATCTTCTGTTTCTCCAGCTGTTATTTCCGGGTTTCCATTTCTCGTACCCCTCATTTTTTCCCTCTTTCAATTTTGTCCCGCGTCGCTAGCTGTTACCCTACCGAAGTACCTAGCCAGACACGCGAACTCAAAAACGAGGGAGACACGAGAAGGAAGAAAAAAAAAAAAAAAGAACGTGGAAGAAAAAAGTATACTAATATCATTGTTGATTGAACAGCACGTGTTTAATACCTCCTCAAATACAAATCCATAAAAATGTCTACATACGACGACGCCATGGACACCACTCCTGATAAGGGCAAAGGCAAGCTCCAGGAGGATACCGTTGCCAACCCCGCCGTTGAAGAAGAATCTTCGGAAGAAGAGGAAGAAGAAACGTTCGATGAACATGTAAGTCCATTATATTCACAATTAGTTGATCATAGGTCGTTCTGGAAAAGTCACATTGGTTTGCTAACATGTCTATCGTAAAACAGGCTTTGCCCGAAGGTACTTGAAAGCTACATACCATCCTTAGCCCTTATACCTCGAATTGACATATTTCTTTTTCTGAATCTCACAGACGAGGTTGAACACGACGCTCTCGAGGAAATCACATCCTCCAACATCGTTCCCGGTGGTCGTACCCGTGGCAAGGCCATCAACTACGCCGAGGTCGACCAAACCGGCCTTGACGATGATGATGACGATGATGAGGACTTCCAGGAGAAGCCCGCCCCACAGGATGAAGATGTTGATAGGATGGAAGACTGAGATACTTTGGTATCCTCTTACCTCTTAGTCGAATAGGCTGCGTCTCTGGCTTGCTGTTTTTTGTCTTCTTGCCATAATAACAATACTTTCCAAATACTTTCATCCCATCCCACCGCTTTTCTAGAATTACATTATCTTCAAAAGGGCGCAGACTGGGTACAACTGGTGACCTTTTTCTAAAGCGCGAGCATTTCTCCTTCTCTTCTATGTCTTTTCTTTTCTTTTCTTTTTCGATTTATGTTATTCCGAAGTATTTCTATCCTAGAAGGAAATGAAGAGAGAGGAGTGGCGGTAAGGATCAATACGACGGGGAAATGATTCAAGCTTCTACATGCTCATATGTGCGTCTCACATATGTGCATGCACAGCGACCAACTTTTTTTTTGACTAAAAAAAGAACCTAAACGTCTTCTCTTTGTTCCTATTACTGATATTAAGAGCAAAAGAAGTCAAGAATGTACTTTATTCCTCTACACTTTAATAAAAAGGGAAACCAAATGGCAATCATCCTACATTTCGAATTCCTCGATCTCATAGACAGCATGCATATATGCGGCTGTGTTGGCCTTACATAATCGCGCGGCTCCGAACCAAACCAAGCCGAACCCCAACCGACGTGACAAGCCTTCTTCCAAGCCAACCAGCTGCCAGCTTTAACCTTTAACTCCAGGCCAGCTTGCAACGCGCCGCCTTCTCCAGGCCCCCGAATAATATAATCTACAGAACCTCAAATCTCCATATCGAAATTTATTAAAAACCCCCCACCACAAACGAAAACACCATATGCATAGATGACTTCCAGGTACAATATACTCCCATCTATATCCATCCTTTTGCCATTCGACTTACAGCATCCCCTACCACTTTGTTCAAATAATTCCAAATCAAACAAAAAAAAAAGAAGTCTCTAACATAAACCACCCTTTTTTGGGCACGTGTGGAAACTAGGTACGGAGGTCTCCATCAGCGCGATGGCCGACCTGCAGGTCACGACAGTTACGAATCCGGGTCAGGACTAGGGGCTCCTCCAGGTGGATATCGCCCGGCGACACCTAACAGCAGGTCCGTTTTCTCCCCTACCTCTATCGATACGGAACGTCCGGGGAGGCTAATATTTCGGCCGGGAGAATAGGGGACAATACAGCCATGCGGTACTCGATGAATTAGAATCGCAGAATGATGCAGCGATTGAGGCTATGAGTGCCAAAGTGCGGATGTTGAAGGATGTATGCGCTTTCCCCCGCTCTCTCTTTCTCTCTCTCTCTCTCTTCTTGTTATGATACGAATTGCTGCTAGCAGAGCTGCAGAGAGGGGTTCACCTTTGTCAGCTGCAGAATCGGGATCGATGTGTCTCTCTATATCTAAATATATGTACAACCAACTAACAGCTGCCATTTTGTCCCCGACTAGATAACAACTGCTATTGGTGTCGACGTCAGAGATTCTACTACAATGATCAATTCAATGGTAACGAAAACTCCACCCTTCCTCATCCCTACCTATCTTTAACCCACATCCGGAGTCAGCTTAATAAATTTGGAATTTCCTTGCAACTAACCTCTTTTTAATCATTTCGCTTTTGGCTTTTTTTCTTTGGTTTCGATGTTCTAGAACGATACATTTGAAAACACACGCTTCAAACTTCGCGGAACAATGAATAGAATGTTACGAATGGCCGAAAAGACGGGAATAGGCTGGAAGACATGGCTTGCGTTTTTTGGAGCCGTATCTCTGCTATTTTGGTACGTTTGGTTGTTTTAAGGAGAATATCGAGATGTACCCTCCTCGCGGAGAAAAAAAAAAGTTGGTGTTTCTTTCCTCTTCTTCTTCACCACTTTTGTTATCATCAGTATTATTATTGTTATTCTTTCTATTTTAGCACCTCCCATAGGATGGGTGGGTTTGGTTTGGGTAATAATGGCGTCCCTGAATTATGGGCTAGGGAGCGTGTCTGCGTGTATCGGTTGTAATATTAGAGATGATATATACGTATTCACATTGATGGGATTCTTTTGCCTTCGACGGCTTCAATGACCGGTAGTATTGGATCGTAGTAAACCTCCAGAGGGCCGAGGTCGTAGTCCTCGTAAATAGATATCTAGATACCCTTGGGTCACTTAAGTATGCCGGTACTACACTGCACTCAAGTCACTTATGAAGTGCGACTTAATTAAGAAAAGTACATACTGCACTAAGCTACTCATACCTGATACCACAGGAATTAGGTGTATACAAGTACTATAGTAAATTAATGACCCTCTGGACCTCGAGGTCACCTCAGCTTGCTGAAGCGTTTTCATACAAGACTAGATCTATAGGTGCATCGATGGACGCATCTATGGAGTTTAAACCCTTTTAATACAGAATAAGGGGTATATAAGTACCTATGGTATTTATGTGTTTGGCTTACATGAATTCGATATACCTATCAGAAATCAATATCCTATATAACATCCACCAAAAGATACTGAGGCAAAATAAAGGGACTAGGGAACAAAGGGTGAGAAACAGACGTCCGGAAACTTAGACAGTATTGTGAAAATATCTCAAAAAGAAGAAGATAAGATAAATATATAGATCCCGCCAGAGCACCATTGCAATTGCAATTGAAATTGAAAATCGGAAAGGGGAATAAACAAAAAAAAAAAAAAAGAGCGGAACCTAGAATACAAATATCGGGAGTATTTCTTCTCTGGGGAGAAAAAGAAATAAAGGGTTGGAAATTCGCTTGCATCCATCGATTCTCTCCTTTCCTCCGTCTCTTTTATCATTTCATTTTTTTTCCAAACAAAAAAAAAAAATAATAATAAAAACGAGGCCATCTAAGTGTTATCTCCAAGAAAAAGAACTCCAGTAACTCTCAAAGGGCTGGGAATAAAAACGAAGATATGAAGTGTGCGGATTTTACGGTCAACAATCGATTCGAAGGATGATGCTTTAATCTGCCTCCCCCTTCTCGCTCCCTTCTTCGCATAAAGTACATAGAAAGGCCCTTCTTCTCTTCTTCCTCTTTCTTCTTCCTTCTCTTTTATTTATTTCCTTCTTCAGCAGCACTTGCCACCACCTTGGTCATTCTTCGGCTGGTCGGACAGAGGAATGCCGCGGTCCGGGATGGAGCCGCCGTGTTCGTTCTCCGGCAGCACTTTACTAGAGACGATTCGGTAGATTTCTAGAATAAAAGTAAGAAATTTGTTCATCAGCAATCGGGATCATCTCATAGGAATGGCTTCAATAACTTTTACGAGGTCTTACCTGTCAGGATATTCTGGAATGCAAGCTCGACGTTCGAAGCGTCGAGAGCAGATGTTTCGATGAACGATAAGTGATTTTCAGCTACAAAGAGGTTAGAATGACATCACACTATAAAGGCTCCTCAGGACCTCGAATAAAGTGGAGACTGACCAGCAAATGCCTTGGCTTCATCAGTAGTAACAGCTCGAAGGTGTCTCAAATCGCTCTTGTTCCCGACAAGCATGATGACAATGTTTGAATCGGCATGATCTCTGAGCTCCTTCAACCATCTGGTGACATTCTCATAGGTGATATGTTTGGAGATGTCGTAGACTAGAAGGGCGCCTACAGCGCCACGGTAGTAAGCCGAGGTAATAGCACGGTAGCGTTCCTGACCAGCTGTATCCCAGATCTGTGCCTTAATGGTTTTCGAGTCGACTTGAATGGATCGTGTGGCGAATTCGACACCGATGGTGGACTTGGAGTCCATGTTGAACTCATTTCGAGTGAAACGGCTGAGAAGGTTAGATTTACCGACTCCCGAATCACCGATGAGGACAACTGTAGGGGTAATATGGTTAGCATTTACAGTAGCTAAGAAATCGGTTCATGACATAAAAGATGGAGATGTGGCCACGAAGGGACTCGGGCGGTCGCCACGGGGCGCAAAGGCAGCAGGAGTAGAGGAACAGGGGAAGCTTATGACGGGTGGCTTAAGGCGAAGAAGGAGGGGTTTGTGGTCGAGTAAAGTACCTTTGAACAAGAACTAAAACCCATAAGGAGCAAGCGTTAGTCACATGGCAGCTGTATTGGTCTGGATTTTTTTTTGTGAAGCGGAGTGGGGCGACATCATGGTCTCCTTTGAAGTAGTCCTACTATCGCTAGTATCTCTCGCGAGTAGCGAAGGCACGAGGGAGAAAATGGAAGAGTTACGTACATCATATTCGTCGCTCGCCATTGTTTCAAAGTAGCTGTAGTTCGAGCCTTAGAAAATTATTCGAGTGGGAGTGGCGTTTCAAAGAGAAAACTAGAGGCACGCGAACGAGATGAGAGATATGTAAGTAGTGATTAACTAAAATCTGGCAGCAAGCAAGCAGGTGTGTAGGTGTGAGTGTAAGTATAGGTGTAGGTGTAGTGTCAGTGCAGCAGCAGAAGGGAAGGTAGGCAAGTATGGAATGGAGCTATGCCTGCCTGCAGTGCAGCAAGGACAAGACCGGACTGGACTGGACTGGACTGGCCAGGACTGCACAAACAGATGGCAAATGCAAAAATATCTGTCGGGGGTGCAAGGCAAGCCAGGCGAGCTTCCGATAAGCTTGATCGAATCAATCCCGGACTCGAAACAAAAACAGCTGCAGGCATTAATTACGGGACTAAAGATTAGGGATGGCGGGTTACCTGAGACGGCAGGAGCGCAGCTGTACGGGTTAAAAACGATGAAACCGACGAAGATGGCGAGATCCGGAGTTTGAACTGAAGCTTGGGCTTTGTGGTGATAGAGAAAAACCGGTTAGCCAGTCAGTTAATAGGTCAACCAGTCAGAACAGCGAGGCAGGTGAGCTGAGTTGATGATGGTGATGATGATGATGATTGTGGTTGTGGTGGCGGTGGTCGGTGGTTGGTTTGGTAGTGATGGAGATGTGTTTTAAACAGACGAACAGACGAACAGACGAACAGACAAGACTGTGCAGTACATACCTCTGACTTTACAATAATGCGCTACAGCTGGCAGCAAAGGTAAAAGAAAGAGAGCTCGAAGGAGTCGGAGAGGGGAAGCTTAATCAACCACACCCACACCTTCACTATTAATTTCGCTTTCGCTTTTAGATAAACGGGACTTTGAATTCCTGCGGTGGCCGAGGTATGTTACATGTAAGTACTTGGGTACTTGCTGTGGTGTACTCCGTATATCATGTATCATACCATACACGTAAGTACATAGTATACTACTTCACTTCGGTATGAATACCATACGGTGTATTAGCCTCGAGTATAGGTATCTCGCATGCACATGTCAACCGCAGTTGTTTTCTTCTTCCTTTCACTTCCAAAACTTACAGCCAAAGAGCATTTCTCTCGCAGACCTCGCAGCTCGAAGGGAAAGAACAGCCTCGAAGGGACCTCTCCCAGGTTAGCGCCCTTTTTCCTACTTGAGAAAATCCTCCAATTGGGTTAAATACTTCCTCTCTGGAACATCCAACAATCAACATAATGGCGGTGGTATGCACTGTACTTTAAAGTAGATGCCGGCTCTTCGAACATACCGTTCCGATTCGATTGTATTCGAAGAGCCCTAGGGACATATACTTGCATCTAGTTATCTCAGACATGCATGCACCTACATTGTCTTGAACTCTTTGTCGTGAACATTCCACGATCGGATCGCCCAGATTACTGGAAATTCCGCTCGCTGGCGGCCATGATCAAAATTAGCCACATCGAACTTCATAAAGGTATTTTCTTAATTATATTTAATAGTCGGTATATACCTGATTTAGATATTTATGTATCCCGATATTGTACTGGCACCATCCATTATGTACACGTATTGCTCTACTATAGCTATGAACCTATCGAAAAATGAATGTCACGTGCTAGGCAAGTCTAGTTCACGAAAACCTTAAGTTGCGTTCGAAGAGATATAGAAGATATCTTGCCTCAAGCGTCGTTTCAAGTGGGAGTTTATTATCATGAGCAAACTTGATCCCGCTAAAAGGTTTTCTTCCCGGGCCCATGGATCGATCTCTACGTCCATATATCATAACTCGAGGAGAAGCGAATGCAAGACTTAACGTTACGAAGGGTTCAAAACATATTTATTATATAAATTTACTCGTATAACTATAAAAGTTATTTCCACGTTTACAAAGTTTTTTCCGTTTTTACGGTAGGCCTGCGGGTCATGAGTACTAGAGTGTCTGAACGGCTGGTTATATAATTTATAACGTAGATATCCATTGAGCTCACCTGTTAGCCACGATTGTACGACCCCTAGACCAGGGCCCTGGGACATGAAGTGTAATGATGCTGGTGAATCCAGTCTCGGTACTCGACTAGGCCTGGAATATATTAATATGGGGTAGGTACCATGTCCCTCAGAATGTCTCGCTTTAGTTGCTTTTCATGTTATCCTTGAAAAAAAGCTACAGATACATTTGAAACGAAGACTCCTATCTGCAATATTTGACAATTCCGCTGCTACCATAGAAGAAAAAGGAAGGTTACGAAAAAAAAAAACTCAAGGAACGCCAGCGATGGTATTGATGATAAACCTTCTCAGAAAAAGATCATGAACTCCCTTGTCTCGTTAGCAATGTTGGTCGTGGGGTACTACTCGATCAGTATCGAGAGCTAGGCGCTCCCTGCAGCTGCAATCTTGTGATTCTCTTCACTTTCACTCCTAATATCCAAGCCATTATTTTCATTTTCTTCCGCAGCGAAAGCAGCTTGGAATGCCCCTTGCTGCCCTCTAGCAAAATATACGGGTGGTTGTTCGAATTTAGCGGCTGCGGCGTTTACCAAAATATGTTTAATCGATGAGCCTTTAAAAGCATCTAGTTAGCCAAACCATTGCCTTCCCGGGTACCGACAATATCGGAAGTTGATTTTACCTGGAGCCTCAAACATGGCGTCTGATAACAACCTTTCAAGCACAGTCCTCAATGCCCTTGCACCTGTACACCCTCTACGTTAGTAAAAACTGTCATATACGACGCTGCAGCATGGAAAGCCCACCAGTATCCATCGTCAAAGCCGCCCTTGCAATTTGCCTCAACGCCGACGACGTGAACTTCAACTCCACTCCGCTCATATTAAACAATTCCTCATACTGCCTGAGTAGACTGTTCCTAGGCTCAGACAGCACCCTCACCAAAGTTTCCTCATCGAAAACATCCAATGCGGCGAGAACTGGAACTCTCCCAATGAATTCGGGAAGGAATCCGAATGATATCAAATCCCTTGGTTCCGCAAACTCGAGCACATTGATCTTTCGTTGTTTGATAACTGAGGCGCGGTTTTTTGAGCCGGCGTCGGAGTCCGCAGGCGTGAAGTAGGTGCTAAAATGCTTTTGTAGCTCCTTTGCCGTTTCTGGTGGGATAGTATTCGCATCAGTCTGTTGGGCCCGGACAGGGGCGTTGAATCCCATAGAGTGCTTCGATATTCTGTCCAGAACATTCTTGTTGAGGCCTGCGTGGAAGTCAGTATGGATGGTTGACTATGTACTGTGACTTCACGACGCACCATTGAATGCTCCACACAATATAAACAGAATGTTACTGGTATCTATCGTATGCACCTCGCCTTTACCACCAGGGCTCCCACCGGAAGCTCCTGATCCAAACCCTCCGAAATTTTGAAAGGGTGAGGTAGGTACTCCTCCAGGGAATCCTGACGGTGTACCTGCCGAATGATGCGGCGGTGCCTGCTTCGGTCTCGAGTTCGTGATTTGCAATGTCGTCCCCTCCAGTATCTTCAGCAGGGCTTGTTGAACACCTTCTCCGGATACATCTCTACCGTGCGACATAGCTTTCGTCGATGCTATTTTATCAACTTCGTCCAAACATATAATTCCAGTTTCTGCCCTTCTTACATCCCAATTACAGGAAGCTAGAAGACGTTGGACGCAGACGTCAACGTCTTCGCCGACATAGCCTGCTTGTGTGAATGCTGTGCAGTCGCTTCTATATTTATTCAAAGATATATGTATTAGTTATTATTCCAGTATGATATCGAAGCTAGAAAGCAGGTGTTCTTACATTGAAAATGGAACATCGAGGACCTTGGCCAATGTTTTTGCAATGAGCGTCTTCCCCGTCCCAGAAGGTCCTATTATCAGACAATTACTTTTCTGTAGCTCTACAGTGGATTCAAGGTTCTCCTTCGATGGCATCTGAGGCTCCACATGAATCGGCTGTGGATAAGGTGCCGTAGCCTGCTGACCGGGATATTCATCTACCCGCTCTCGATCTCCCCGTCAGTAATCGGTTCAATTCGTAATATCCATATTACCATATCAATTGGCCTCATTTCAAGATGCTAAGATAGGTAAAAAAACTTAAAGAATCCAAAAAAAAATCACCTTCAACAGGATGCCCCTCCATCCCCGCCAACGAACTCCTCAAACTCTCCGCATTCTCATCTTCCCTCCGTCTAATACTCTGAACCCTCAAGTAATGATTATAAACCGCCGCACTAACAACCCTCTTGGCTCGACTCTGCGATATCACATAGCTATCCAAATACCTCTTCAACGATCTCGGCGTAATTCCCTTCCCCAGGACCCCGGCTTTACCAAGGGGTCCCTGAACCGGTCCATTAACGGTTACAGTGCTGGTAAATCCGCTGCTGAAGTCAGAGGAGGTACTATACGCGCAACGAAGATGATGGCATTGGGATAATTGAGTATTTATGCGTGTGATGATGGGTGATAACAGGGATTGTGGTCGTAGGCGCGAGCTCAAGATGCTCCTATTGCTGCTGGTAGTGGTGGTTAAATGCCGGGTTGTGCGCGGCGAATGCAGCTGGGTCAAGGTAAGTAGGCTATGACGACGGGAAAGAGCGTCCCATCTCCGCTTCATGATGGAAGGTTCGATTGGTGAATTATAATTATCACAGCATCAAATGGTAAAAGCGATCGGATACCAATATTATGAAAGGAAAGACGATGATGGTGAGGATGATAATAGATGAAAATGATTAATTACAAAGGAAGTACTCTATGACATTGTTCAGTCGTATGTTGTCCGGCACCGGCTGCTTGGTTACGGATTGGGGTGCTCTGGCCTCGAGCGCGTTGTTAATGTGGTGTGAATCATTCCGGGGACGAGCTGCTTTAGCCTTATTTGTCGATACTAATCTTCCTATAGCTAAGCTAGGCTGATAATTATCGATAACTGGTAGATAAGAAATGTTTCATTGCTTGCTTAGTACTTAGTACCTACCTATATACTGGGACTGGGACAAGAGTAGTATACCCAAATATGGTGCTGGAATAGATTACTAGAACAACCATGAATAATAGTAAAATCTAATTATTTCCCAAAAACGCCTGCGAAACCTCCCATGAAGCAACCCTAGAAAAAAGGATATAAGACAAGACCAATTTGCTGTGATCGAAGCCATGCATGTGCATCATCATCGTAAAAATCCACAAAACCGAGAGAGAGAAAAAGATAGAGAAAGAAAGAAGAAAGATAGAATATAGTAGACCGAGGGCGTGGGGAATCTAAATGAGAAAAAAGACAACCTTCACCGTCCTGAAACCAGGGATACACTTAAAACCCATCAAACGCCATTTGCGCCTCCTGACAGTACCTGCCATTTGAATTATCACTGGCCGCGCATATCAAGCAAGCATCAACGATGTTTGCCAAAGACCTTTCCGCTGTTCCCAAAATCGTCCACCCGATCGTTCCAGCCAATAACCCAACGACATACCCGTAAAGACTCCCCCCATTTGTAATATGGGCCGTCCGAACCCATGCACCAAGACCCAATGCTAACGAAGTCATCCACCTAGCGGCATGAAGTAACATCTTTGCAAGGCGGTAAGCGTTCCTTGTGTGGTTATCTTTTGCTCCAGCACCTGCCGCGATGCTAACGAGTTTCATCTGGTTGATTTGCCTCGATGCATGAACGAGAGGTAATGAATGAATAGATCCATACGTCACCGCTAGTGGGTCCGAAAGTGCGGCAATTGGCGATGCGACAATGTTGAAGCACAAAAGGTGCGCGAACGAGGCTATGCGGCTCGGCAAAACGAGCAACGGGAGCCGGATCATTAATGTCACAAACGATGAAAAGCAAACCGTTCCAAACATAGTAGTCAATGCGTGGTTCGTAGCGGCGGAGAAGGTCGCTGCTGGCGAAAATGTGCCTGTAGACTTGCGGTAGAAGTACCAATGCGATACTGTCGCTGATATTGTAATCCTGCCAGAAATTGTTAGTTCTATACACCAGTAGAGACCCTCCACGTTTTTCAAACCCACCTCTGAAGATTAGACAAAATATTGAGTGTCCACAGGTACACAACCACAAAGAAACTACCCAAAACCCATGCAGATCCATCCATCTGCCACACCGGAACACCCCCAATCATAGTACTCCTCCCATTCAAGAACACCCTTATTACCAAAAACAACCAAATCCAACTGAAAGCAATTGTCGTAATTAAAACAAAAATTCCGCAAATTAACAGAGCAGGGTTGTCGACAAAAATGGTAAGAGCAAGTTGCAGGATAGATGTTGCCTTGTGGAGGGCCTGCCGACCGCGGTAGAGTAAATATACCCAAAATATTGCCAGGCAAAGAGGTAGAAGGCTGGTGAGCCTCATAACGTGATCCTGGAAAGAGTTGCCTTTCCATGGCCCCTTCAGCGAAGTTACGAGCGGGTATATCGTCAAAGCGATCATGACAGCCGGGACCGAAACGACTAGCAAGTATAGAAGCGGCTTGATGAAATACTTTAGGCAAAGCATCCACACAAAAGCTACACATATAGTAACTAGTGTATCTACCGCTAGAAGTGGCATGGCTCGTCTTAAGACAGTGTATATCGAATCACCTATCGGTAAGCCACTCGGTTCTTCATTGTGGAGCCAGACGACAAATGCCGTAGCAAACATGCAGGCCATTGACATCCCGTAAAACTTGGTCCATATCCGATCATGAAGGGGAGGAGCTAGTGGATTTTGGTCTACCGGTTGCGGTATCTGTTTGGCTTAATTAGCATTTTGACTCTATTCAAAGGGATAGGTCTGCGCCCAGCTTACGGTGTCCGAAGGGGCCGCCTCCTGAGCATCCCTTTCACCGAAGGGATTAGACGGGTTGAGCGGCTCATGGGGGTTGTTTTGAGCTTCCTCATCGTTTTGGTCTGAATATGGCTTCCCTGTCGAATCGAAGAAAGGTCCCGTCTGCTTCACGTTCTGCGGTCGAAACTTTTGTATAGGTGGATGTATAGGGTCTTCAACCTCTCTCGATGCCTCTGAATATGAATCCACCCGACCGGCCTAGGAAAACCAAGTTAGACCACTTATTACCATGTATCAAGAGCTCCGCCCACAACATACAGAGTTTAAGAGCGTGCCCTCGTGCCCTTCTCGCCTTAGCTCCTCTTCTCCCAAGCTTACGTCAACTAGGTGATTACCACCTGTCTCTGTAGCATCGCTCGAACTAGAATGTGTAGAACGGCCCGGATTCCAACTACTTCTTATACCGTCGTTCACCGATCCTGTGTCACTGTCATTCCGTTCCTCTTCTTCGTCCGGATCCGTAGAATAATAGAGGTTTCTTCGGCTCTTTTGTAGGGCGTATATTGCTGAGACTTCCTGATCGTGCTCCCGGTCGTCCGTAGGGTAATCTGCTGCAGAGAAGAAAAGAGGCGCATTGCTGGTTGGGTATAGGCTTTGTCGTCCTCCGTCTTTTAGAGTGGACCGAGCTAGGAAGCGTGACGCATCTACACCAAACGGGTTGCCATTACGTGAGCGTTGAAACAACGAGCGATGATGGGACGAAAGCTGAAGCCGAACTTACACTCCGAAAACATTCTGAACGGTATAATGTAAAGGGGCGGATTAGGGACAGCCGGAGCCCTTGGAGCTGAGATGGATCACTACTGATGCTGCTGAGTTGTGAGTGTTTAACTCGGAGGAGTGGGTTTTGGGAGAGTGATGAAATGGGAGGTATGTTTGTTCGGCATTCGTGACTACCAGCTCGCCAGACCTTACTAAGACAAGAGCGGGTGTGATGCTATCATGCAAAACGGGCTTGGAACCGAGCAGGATCCTGGCCAGTCACGTCTGGCGCATGTTCTTGCTGCTGGGTCACCAGACAAAGCGGGACTAGTTATATTAACACCCCGAACTAACAAAACTACTTATGTATGGCTTCAGCTGGACATCCGGATAGGGTACAGGTTCAATAAGAATTAGTATGTAACTATGCTGCAATTATTAAGTATAGGATATTGTATAGTATATCTAAGAACAGCACTGCGAGTCTGCCTGCCTATGCACCGTCCTGCGGCTATCAGTTCCCAGCTTCACTTTTAGCCCCGTATTCTTCCCTCTGGGATCATAGACACCGTCTCTGATATTCCGATATATCTCCTGTGCTACCTCCACAAAGGCCCGTTCCACTGACTCCCCGGTCTTCGCACTTGTCTCTACATGGAAGTTAATTCCGTTTTCTTTAGCCCATGCTGCCGCTTCTTCGGTGGAGACCTGTCGTCTATCTGCCAGATCGCACTTGTTCCCAACTAGGACGATGGAGATGTGGGGTTCTCCGAGGTTTCGTAAGTCGGAAAGCCAGCGTTGAACGTGGGAGAGTGTGTCCTTGCGAGTGATGTCGTAGACCAGAAGTGCCCCTGTAGCATTTCGAATATACGAGTTTGTTACTGATCGGTATTGCTTGTAATATATCGTTAGCATTGTCCGCTGCTATGCATCATTTAGGAGGTCTACCTCTTGCCCAGCGGTATCCCAGATCTGAAGCTTTATCTTTTTCCCATCATCGACATCCACTAGTAACAGAAAAACATTTAGCAAAAGCCCATTCAAGCGAGGAAACAATATATATATAGACAAATAAGAATTCATACCAACTCTAGAATCGAGCTCGACTCCAATCGTGACATCGGTTTTATTAAAGCGACCTTCGCAGAGTCGCACTGTTAGCTGCGACAGTGTGTGGAAAAGCGTTAGTGTGAGTGTTTGTGCCGCTGGAAGACGAATGACGAACCGAGCTCTTCCCGGTCCCGGAATCCCCAAGACAGATAACTTTCTGCAGGAATTTAAACAGGAATGTTAGTGTATTCATAGGTATAGAGTCGGGTATATACATGTATACGAGGCCCTTACAGCGATGTAATCCCATGGTGCGCTCATTGCGACGTCTTAGGATGAAAGAAGATAGATTCGAAGTCTAGAAGAGTGAGGTCGACGTATCGCTTAGAGCTGGCTGTCCAACCTCTTATAAGCAGACCATCAGGCCAGGCACAAAAACGGCAGCCGTGACACAGCGAATGGAAAACGAGCATACGTAATGGCTACACAAGCCGAACAATGCAAAGTTAAGAAAATAGAAACATCATTCGTTTCTGTAAATTCGTAAAAGTTGTTACTATTCTATTTCATACGCATACCAGCCTATCGTTGGTGGTGGTGTTTGTGCCACAGATCAAAGGGCTTCGTTGGGGCTTAAGCCTTGCTATTCAAAAATCGTGAATACATTCTTCATATGCCAGAACATTATAATTCTGCTGCGGTGGCTGGTTTCCCAAACCAATACCTAACATCACTCCCAGCCGACGAAGCCGACATAAATGCGCCAATATCGCCATTCCCTTCATCGTCATTATCGGGCCAATCTACAACTTCAGCATCCTTTTTGAGCAATTCCGCCGCGGTAGACCACGAAAACCGAGTTTCGGATCCCCACCCAAACAAGCTATCCATTGACCCTTTGAGATATGCAATTGACTTTGGATCGCTTGGGTAGCCGGATCCAGTATTTGGTACTTCACCACCACCAGATGCCAAACTGAAGGATTCTTTGAGGGCGAAATCTCTTGTGACTTTTGCGCAGACTGAAGCTACTGAGACGGACGGGTATAAAGAGTCGGCTTTTTTGGAAACTGTGACTTTGGTTGTTGGGAACCTCCTCTGTAGTTTCGCCTGGTACGTAACGGCTGGTCCGACGGTATCGACGAAGATCTAGCAGGATGTTAGAACCTCATTTTGTAAACACCGGTGCACATAAAAGCAGGATATACCTCTTTAACATTGACACCCTTCTTTAAAACCTCATCGATGAGGTTCATGGTAGTGTCATGTGCCTGCGCATTGATATTGTATGTGCCGACCCCAGCAGGCCTCAACATGCCAGAGGTGATATCTCTCGCAGACATAACCCGTACTGCCCATCCGACATTGGCGTGGAGTTCAGTGTCCGAAGTACATATCTCTTGTAGAAGATCACTTCTCACTTCTGCTGTGAGTTTTTTGGAGTCTGTTTAAAATTAAAAAAAAAGTCTGTTAGTAAGCTTCCTTTGAAATATTGAACCACTATCTTGATAAAGACCTTACCATCGAATCCTTTCTTTGACAAAGATTTCTCGTAATCGGATACACAGTACGCTATTCCATAAACCATCGGACCTAATACAAAAATCCGCCTCAATGAAGCGAGAGGTATTAGCGATTCATTCGCACTAGCCACTCGTTGTCTGTTATGCACTTTAACAAGATGTTTATATACCAAGAACTGGGCCACGGCCGGCCTCATCCACGCCGAGTGTTATCGAAGCTGTTGGATCATTCCGAACAACGCTAGGAATCTCAGAGTGGAACGTATACGATTGACCCTGGAATAGGTCGATAGCCGATATCGAGGGCAGATCGAATGTTTCTTCTGCAGCTGCGTCTCCTACTCTTTCATTGTTGGCAGTATCATCAACAGCAGATGGTTCGGAAACAACAGATGGCTCAGCAGTACCGACAGCGGCGGGTTTACGAGGAGGCCGGCCTCTTCGTTTGGTGGTCGACATGGTGTTTGGAGTTAAGGCAGGAACGGACTCAAAGCGACAAGGGAGCTACCACTGCTACATACAAGCCGTTACTGTTTGGCGCGGCAACACGCGTGCCCTGTTGGACGTCAACACAAAACAATGATGGTCGTCGCGTTTTCTCATTCGACTTCAATTCAACCTCACCTTCCAATTAACCAGCATCTTCGGTCACCCCCACCGAATATCGCTCCCTAGTCCGATACTGATACCTATACTGACGTCAGGCTAGACCAGCCCTGACCGCGAACCATAATATTCATCATTGGAACTGCTCATCTTCTAACATCAAATACTTTTGCTCACCATCCGCTCACCGTCGATATGGCGGCCATCGCTGGAAACAAGAAGCGGGAGAACATCCATACTGACATCGGTTTTGTGGGAAGGTAATTATCGCCTCTTATCTATAGATAAAACGCTCTAAGCTGATCTTCCTATGTGAATCGCAGAAAAACTGGCTTCATGGTCCAAGCCGATCTCGCTCGAGACGACAATGGGATGGAAGATATGAGCGCCTTCTTTTCACCGACATCTAATGTAGGAACATTGCCTCATATTGCCGACGACGACGACGACGACGACGATTCAATAGTTGGGGATTTCGAGGAAGATCTTGAGGAACCTGGGCACGAAAGCGACATAGACATGCCATCAGATGATGCCCCACGTGCTCAAAACGTGTCAGGAAATGATGGTAGTGCCTCCATGGAAATGGAAGAGAGTCAGTCTTTTGGTTCCCATAGTCATAATCACGCTCTCGAGTTGTTTGCTTATTTGATTCCCTACTAGGCACTGCTAGAAGCGTAACAGCCGTCCTAGAGACAAGAAAGGGCATAAACACACCAGCGAGACGAAAGTCAATGCATAGCACGCACGCAACCCCGAACCTTCCCTTGTCAAGCGTCACACCACAATCGAATATATCCACTCCGGCAATACGACGCCCAAAGATAAAGACAACACTGAAACCGCCCAGCTCCCAGTTATCGAAACCCTTGGCACGGGACGAGGAAACTCGGGGCTCATTTGGCTCTCACAAGGAAAATGTACCTAATTCTTTCGATTCTAGACAGTCAGATGAAGCTCCTGTTGAAGCTCCTGTTCCTCGATCAATCCCGCTTGGCGCGAGAGCTAGTGGTCTCCGTGCCACTGGCGGGCGTGGTAGCAGCATGCTCGTTGCGAGGGGCCTGAGAACCGCGAGACCAGCTATTACCCCCCCGCCACTTTCAGATGATGACGATGACGATGATGACGAGCCGCCAAAATTTAACGAGGAGTCAACTTTGGATGATACGGAGATGGATGTTATCCCAGCCCCACAACCTAAATCCAAGACAACCCAACGCCCTGCAGCGCGGAAAGAAAACTTAGCGGAATCAGACGTTCCAGAGACATCCAGCCAGAAACCGAAGCCAGGGAAGAAAGGGAAGGCCAGTTTGTCAAAAACTACCGAAGAGGTGGCTGCCCCGATTGCATCTAAACCCGATAAACCCGCGACGCAAAAAAGGGGACGGAAACCCAAGGTTACTGAAATTATTGAGGATACTCTCGAGGCAGGAGCTTCACATGTTGGTGAGGAAGGGCTGGATACACCGGACGCAGGAATTCCAGATATGGAACCCGAAGAATTGGAAGAAGCTGTGGAGGCAGAACCTTCACCCCCAAAGAAAGGAAAGGGTGGTAGGAAAAAGAAGCAGGCTGCGACTGACACAGAAGTAGAGACAGAACCGCAGCCTTCTACCGCCAATAATGCGAGCCAAAAAAGAAAAGGTGGACGACCAAAGAAGATAGCTGAACCAGAACCCGAATTGGAGGAGGAGCCTACACAAGTAGATGAGCCGGAGCCGGAGCCGGAGCCGGAACCTGTGACGCAAAAGGCTAAAGGTAGACCTAAAAAATCGAAGAAAGGAGATACATTAGTTCCAAGCCGGGACGTCGAGACGCAGGAAGGGCCAAGTGAAGAGCTAACAGAGCAATCGCAACCGGAAAATCCCACGGAGCGAAGGAAGGGAAGGAAGCGCAAGGCCGAGACACTTGTTCCCGACACAGAACCCGAGACTCAAGGATCTTCTGCTATCGCGGAACCTGCGGAATCCAATGCTGCTAAGAAACGGAAAGGCTCCAAACAAACAGTCGTTAAACCAGTTGTTGAAAAATCGAGGGTTCCTGCTGTTGATCCTAGCGGAGAAGCGGAGGGAAGGAGATCAGCAAGAACCCGCACAGCACCTTTGCAGTTTTGGAAAAACGAGAAGGTTATTTACAAAGCTAAGGAAAGAGACGAATCCGGCCGAGTTGTAGCTATGTCTACGGACTTCCTCAGAGTCGACGAGGAACCTGTCGCACCAAAGAGGAAGGCTCGCCCTTGGCGTCCCGTCGTCGTACCCGTCACTGAAAGGGTCACCAAGCGTACAACGAAGAAGAAGGCGAAGGAAGCCCGAAAAGCTGTTGAAGAGAGTAGTAGTGAATCGGAGGGTGGTGAAAGTGAGGACGACTGGGAGCAGGTTGGGAAATTGGTCGGGATGGTCAGACAATGGGCCCCGGACAATGAGGATGAAGATAGGGAAGATGATGAAATTGAGGATGGTGAGTCTAACAATGCTGCTTTCTCGTATAGCTAGCTTTGCTAACAATTTCTAGAAATTGCAACTTCGCGCCACGGAATCGAATTCAAACCGATATTTGGATCTGACTACCTCTTTGCTAAAACACTAGGGAAGCCCTTCATGGGATGTGGAATCCTTGAGCTACAGACGGGGGCGTCTAAGAAACTCAAGAGCAGCGGGAAAATGCAACTTGTGTTCTTCATCCTCAAGGGTAAAGTCGAGGCAGAAGTCAACGAGCTTGGATTCAGGATATCTCATGGCGGGCAGTTCCAGGTCCCACGTGGTAAGTAAACGGATTATTCTTTAAGTGGTGTCGAGCCAGCGCTAATAAATACACAGGTAATATGTACAAAATATCGAACCCTTTCAAGAAAACAGCCAAGATATTCTTTGCGCAAGCATGTATTCCTGACCCAGATGCCGAGGCGGAATGATTTTATTCTTCAATTTTTGGGAAATAACGTGTAGGTGTTTGAGGTGAACGTCTTCATATTTGACTCTGTGGTTTTTCTTCTTTGTTTCACATACTACCTAATCATGCCGGTTCTTTCGACTTAGTATTATGGTATGTGGGGGCTTTGTTTACGGCGTTCTCGGGAGGCACATTCAATTCACGAAACACTCATGGCGATTCATGTGTATTTTTATCATTAGTATTAAGAGAACATGGGATTTAAATCGCCTTGTATAATATATTTTATATCATCCCGCTTGCTTACATCTCCTCCAAAAGGTCCTCGTCGTCCAAAGATTTGGGAGGGAAATCCCCCACCGTGACTCTATTAGGCCTCACGAACGTTCCGCGATTGCTACCAGCCTCGAAGAACCTGACACCGTCGATACTTCCATCATTCTTCCCCGTAGGTTCGTCCAATTTAACACCGACCCAAATACCACCCTGGGGGATCTTCTCCACCAAACCGACGTAAGCGACCTCACCTCTCCTACCAGTCTCAACCTCGCCAACGATACACCTCGCTCCGACCTTAATTCCCCTTTCTTCCACCTCCTTTTCATCTTCTGTTTGTTTCTGTTCAGCGGTGGTAGCTTGAGTAGGATCGAAGCGACCGAGTTGATTACGTTTCTTCCAGGCGAGAACTGAGTCTGAGAGTTTTGCGTAGTCTTCCTCTGGCATTTCATATTTTTCTACTTGGGAGGTATCGGTGTAGTTTTCACGTAAGCCTGGGGGGCGGGTGTCTGATACCTATTTGTTGTAACAATATATATATATATATTAGTCTCAATTCTTAGACTAAGCAGGTATATATAAATGAAAGAAATGGGAACTTACGATAAGTTTAGCACCAGCAGCCCATCCCAAATCCGAAACATGGATTCCATCTTCGTTATCGGTGCTAATGGGTTGAACAGGGGAAGCATCGTGTAATTGGTATGATAGTTGTTGAGCGAAAGGTGGGATTCCGGTTATGGGCTCGAGTCTAGATTTTAGAGTGGAGAGGGTCCAGGATGGAGAGATGCGACGTTCGGTTATGGCATTTTCGGAGGAGACGAGGATTACGATATCTTTTGGGAGGGAGGAAAGCATCTTGGTGGTTTGTATTGAGGTTTATGTTTTCGTATTGGTGGTATGGGTATATAGTAGTGTATAGGGCGGTGGTGTAGGAAAGGTATTGTCTGTGGCTTGGTGGGGTTGAAGCTTGAAGGTTGTTGGAATATGGTACGTATTCTGGCGGCGCGCGTTTGTGGTAGGACAGCACGGGATTGTGCTACGACAGGATCCAGGGCAGGGATTGGCTGTTTCCCGGCTCCACAGAGCCCGGGGTATACATACATTGCATTCGGGATATATAAAAATTCTCGTTTCTGGATTGTAATGACCGTTAAGATCTTGAATTTAGCTACTACAGGGGTATAAGGTATCGGTTTCAAAGCTAAATCGATGAAAATATCGATATGGGATATTCATATATTTATATCATATTGCATATGCATCGTGTATATTACTATGTGGTTCGTTCGACGATAGCCCACCAGTTGTCCTTCTCATATCCTGAATTTAGAACATTTCCTCCTGCTGATTTTACGTTATCTTCGAGTTCTCCCTGTTTGTAGAGGTGATAGTATCTCAGAAACGGTTTTGATTCCTCGTTGTCCGCTGAAGTTTCTGTATTCTCCGTCGATGGCCCGGAGGTGGACTCAGATTCAGTACTATCGCCAATTTTCTTCTTCTTCGACGGTTCTTTAAACTGCTTCGTAAGAACCCAGGGTACTAAAACATCCTGCTCGGAGTTTTCATCCCATCCTCGCCGGGAATTCTTCTGTTCGAGTGCCCATACATACAATAGGGCTTTCCCTTCACCAGCAGGCTTCAGAAGCTCCAGGATAGAGGCGATGGCCTCCACCCTTCTCTCCGGCGATGAGAGGTGATGAATAACAGCTATACTCAAGGCGAAGTCGAATGAAGACGGCCTGTGAGGTTGTGATAGAATATCAGCGGTAGCAACGTCCTGCGTGGGAGCTTGGTCTTTGGCTATTTTGACAAGGTTTTCGCATCTGTTGGATTTTGACGAAAAAAGTCAGCTTAGCCCCGTCATATGCATCTCGAATTTGAAGACATCTTAAAATATCCGTATGAATCAAGATGGAGAAGAACAGAGGGACCGAACCTATCGGAGCCAACGATGAAAACATTGGGATTGATGTTTAGGTATTTCCCATTACCACAGCCGACGTCGATGCCGACGGAGCCCGGTGGGAGGGTGGTGAGAAATTCATGGACTATCGGCCACGGCTAGATGTCATCCTGGAGATGTTAGTTTTAGCTTGTTCGCATTTCCATAGGATACGATATAGTATTAGATGGGAGATGTACGGTACCTTGTATCTTGTGGCCGAGAAGTGGGAAGCTATTTTATCATAGACCTGGTGGACGTGCTGGTCTTCGTAGGCCGCCATTGTATGAGTATAAGTTATATATGAGCTACCTAGGACAGGACCTAGCTTAGGTACTTAAGTAGCTACTATATATATAGTATTATATCAATACGCGCGAGACTACGTCGACAGCTCGAAGAGCCAAGGATGTAATATAATCGATTGAGAAGTAAGTTCCTATATCGACATCTACAAGACGTAGGTTGTATCCACAGTTGGGCACACGCAGTTGCAGTTTTGTAAAGCTTCTATAGAGATCCATGAAAATCTTAAAGTGCTGCAAAGCCGAGCGTTAGGTTCCAAGAGCAGCACCGGCAAAATTTGACTGTACGGACTCAACCCTCTGAATTAATATTCCATGGTTTCTTCCAGCCTTGAGGCCGTAAAGCTATAGTTGTAATTCTGTGAATCCAAGTGAAGCCTGAAAGAAGCGTGAAATATACGAGATCTTGCCTACAACATCAACTTCCTCCCAGCTCTTGAAATATTTTTCTCTCTTTTCCTCCTCACCCTCACTCACCTCCCATTCACTGCTGCCAGCTTCACAACACAACAACGCATTCCCAGTCTTCGCTGCGTGTTAACTTTTTTAGTTAACACCAGCAACAAAAAAAAAAAGCTTCCGTCTTCTAAAGACATCCTCTCTCCCTCGACTGCTTCGGAGTGTTCCCCTCCAAGCGTCGATTCCGCTTCCCGTTTCCCCATTCCCCTCTTGTCACCGTCAACAGGTTTCCTGTTGAATCTCTTGTTTCTCCCCCTTCTTTTTGTCGCTGGCCGGTCCCTTTTCAACGATGTCGTTGAAAGTGCTGCTTTCGCAGCCAATCGTGTTCGTTCCAGAAACGACCACACGAACAACACACGCCTCCGGGCGTGTGTCTGTCGTTCCAGAGTCGGTTTCGACTCTGATTTCTGCCATCCCGGTAAGCCGGAGCTCGGCCATTGCGCTGTCGAGCCCGCAGGGTGGCACCGCAGCTTCTGCGGTTAAGGCTTCGGGGCTTTCGTCCTCCTTAGCCCCGTCGACTTCGGCATTTTTGCCGAAGTCGACTGGTGGTGAAAGGTGGTACGGCGCCCAGTCGTCTGTATCAAAGAAGCGGGGTTACGAGGCCATTGCGCTGCCTCGGCCCCAAGATGGCTCACCGAGCGTCAAGAGACGTAAAGTCTCTTCTGATGCCGAGGTGGCCATCAGGACATTTCCTGTCGTAAGTAATCAACTGCCTCTTGATCTACTGTATTGTTTGCTATTGCCAGTGTCACTTGTATGTAAAGAACTTTACTGATGTTCGTTCTATCATTTATAGCCAATGGCGCGAGCCAGAGGGCTCAGGAATAGTAGTGGCGTGCATTGCTACCGCAATGCAAGTCTTCAGGCCCTCGGGCATGTCCCAGCCTTCCGGGACAAGATCAGGAGGCATTTCTGTAAGTTTAATGATAATAACTACTTCACCCGTTATCTACCGAGTCAAAATAATATAACTGACATCAAATATTAGGCCGCAAGGCGGATTGTCCGGCGTGTGCCCTGCGGGGGGCATTCTGCGACCACTTCTCACGAAGTGGTAGCAAGTTGCCCGCCCACGAGCCCAAGGAGCTAAAGACCATTGGGCGGTCTGTAGGCCTTGAGCGGAAGAGGCCGCTGCAGCAGGAGGATTGCCAGGAGTACATTTCGTTACTCCTGTCTCGGCTTGCAGACGAGAGCGAGCCTGGGTAAGTGAAATATCACGTATTGTTGCATATTACAAAAGCTGAATACTGGTGCTAATTTTCCCCCTCTTGGTTTAGGTGTGCTCTCGAGAGAGCATTCGAAAAGATCTTCGGGGCATCGAAGGTCTCAGAGACCGAGTGTGTTAACTGTGGGCACGTTAGCGCATCTCCGCTCTCTATCGATAAGCTCTCGATGCTCAGTCTGTTCCACCTCAGGAGGGGGAGGAGCACTTCCCTCGAGGAGTTGCTCGAGGAATTCACGAAGGAGGAGCACATCGAGGACTACCGGTGTGAGGCTTGCCGCAGTCTCGGCTGCAACAGGAGTGAGAAATTCGTGACCCCTCCCAGGGTTGCGATTTTCTGCCTCAAGAGGTTCTCCCCTACCGGGGGGAAAGACAATAGGGCGGTGTCTTTCCCGGAAAGGTTGAGCTGGCGAGACTACACCAACGGTGAGTATGGGGCGAGCGAGTTGACGGCAGTTATCTGCCATGTTTCTGCGAGTTTGTCGTCTGGGCACTATGTGTGCTATCTAAAGACGGACGGTGGCGACTGGCTCGAGTACAACGACAGTAAGGTTACGAAGTGTAGGGATCCACCAACTAGCGAGAAAAAGGGAGCTTATGTTCTCATGTACTCCAAGTTGTAGGGCCCTGAAGCCGAGAAATCTTTGTCGCTCTGCTCCCGGTTGCCCGGTTCCCGTAAGTCGGAGTCCGGCCATTGTGCAGTCGGAACCGCTGGGCTTTCTTGCCTCCCCGTAAGCCGGAGCTTGGTCATTGCGCTATCAAGCCCGCAGGGTAAGTCTCGTCCCCACCCGGTTGGAGTCTGGTCATTGTGCTATCAGTACCCACCGGGGAATGATTCCCGTTTGTCCTCGGTTGTTTCTTCCCTGTAAGTCGAAGCTCGGCCATTGCGCTGTCGAGATCGCAGGGTTCCTAAGTCGACGTACGTATGTACTCGCAGATTTCGTGGCTTTATATTCAACTGTAAGACGGAGTCTGGTCATTGCGCTATCAGTACCCGCATGGTGTTTATAAAAAAATTCCTCCTCGGTAAGACGAAGCTCGGCCATTGTGCAGTCGAGATCGCAGTGCTCCATTAACCCACCCCTAAGTCAGAGTCTGGTCATTGCGCTATCAGTACCTGCCGGGTGCCTTCTTGTGGTGTCTAGTTGCCTGTAAGCCGAAGTTCGGCCATTGCGCTGTCGAAATCGCATGGTAACTATCTGTCTCGGAACAACCATCTATCATGTTTCCCCCCGTAAGTCGGAGTCTGGCCATTGTGCAGTCAGAACCGCTGGGGTTTTCCGACTTTCTTTCCTGGATTTCTCTAGCCTATAAGTCGACGGCTGGCCATTGTGCTGTCAGCCTCGCTGGGTATAGCCTGTTTACCGTAAATCGGCGTCTGGTCATTGCGCTATCAGAACCGTTGGTTTGGCTTTCGTCTGGTATTGATTGTCCCTTCCGTAAGCCGGAGTCTGGCCATTGCGCTGTCAGAACCGCCGGGTTCTCTATATTCTCTCCCATCTTAAGTCGATGTTCGGCCATTGTGCAGTCGTTCTCGCAGATGTTCTTCCCGTAAGGCGTTCCGGCCATTGTGCAGTCGGTCTCGCAGGGTTATTCTTCTCGATACTTTCAAGACATTGTGGATGCCCCTGCAATGTTTTTGTCCCGGTCTCTCTCTCACGACGTTTCCGTAAGACGCTCCGGCCATTGTGCAGTCGGGTACGCAGGATCCCCCTACACGTCGTCGCTGTAAGTCGCTCCGGCCATTGTGCAGTCGGTCACGCAAGCTTTGTTCTCTCCCTCCGTAAGCCGGAGCCTGGCCATTGCGCTGTCAGTGCCCGCAGGATCCTTCACGACGTTCCGTAAGACGCTCCGGCCATTGTGCAGTCGGGTACGCAGGATTTGATCTACACGTCGTTGCTGTAAGGCGCTCCGGCCATTGTGCAGTCGGTCACGCAGGCATTCTCTATCTCCATCAAACCATCAAACCATCAAACCATCGATCTATCTATCTCCCCCCATAAGCCGGAGTCTGGCCATTGCGCTGTCAGTACCCGCTGGGGTTCCCCACGACGGTTCCGTAAGGCGCTCCAGCCATTGTGCAGTTGGAAACGCAGGATCGCCCAACGTCGTGTCTCTGCTGTCAGTCGGAGTCTGGCCATTGTGCAGTCAGAACCGCAGGCATTCTTTATCTCTATCTATCTCTCTCTCCCCCCATAAGTCGGAGTCTGGCCATTGTGCAGTCAGTACCCGCTGGGGTTCCCCACGACGGTTCCGTAAGGCGCTCCAGCCATTGTGCAGTTGGAAACGCAGGATTGCCCAACGTCGTGTCTCTGCCGTAAGTCGACGGCCAGCCATTGCGCTGTTGGTCTCGCAAGCACCTTGTCTTCCCGTAAGCCGGAGCCTGGCCATTGTGCAGTCAGTGCCCGCTGGATTCTTTACGACGTTCCGTAAGACGCTCCGGCCATTGTGCAGTCGGTCACGCAGGAATTCCCACGTCGTCGCTGTAAGCCGGAGTCTGGCCATTGTGCAGTCAGAACCGCAGGCATTATCTCGATTCCATCATCCAGTTTTCAGCAACCCCAGCGCCTGGCCATTGTGCTGTCAGTCCCCGTTGAGTTGTTAGTACAGAATACCGTTCTTCCCGTAAGCCGGAGTCTGGACATTGCGCTGTCAGTACCCGCTGGGTTATTTACTGGTGGTTACCATAAGTCGACGTCCGGCCATTGCGCTGTCGGTCTCGCTAGTATCCTCCCTTATCGGAGTCTGGCCATCGTGCTGTCAGAACCGATAGAATTTTTTGTTTACCCTTGTAGATATTTATCGACTTTTTCTGTACGTTGGGTCGGTCATCGCGCAGTCGCGCATGTCAGTCCCGTAAGGCTTTGCCTTCTAGATACCTCTTGGTTCCCGTGTGTCGATTCTGGTCGTTTTTTACTGCCAGTCCCTCGGAATCAATTCTTACTCGAGATCATTTCCCGTTTCCCGTTAAGCCGGTGTCTGATCATTACTCTACCAGTCCCGCAGGGTCTTTATTCTCGGCTCTTCATGTCTGCAGTTGCAACAAATCCTTTCGCAACTTCCATCGGAGTTCTAGCTATCTCTGCTGTCGAACGCCATTGGTTTTTTCTCCTCGTCGCCTCTTTTCGGCCGCCTTCCAAACCAAACAAACCCCAACGATGTCACAAAATTTCGAAGTCTCGCTGTTCTGGTGATGGTTATAGCATGCGTAGCACGTAACCCCCCAGGTTCTTACAGAGAAACCCGAAAGTTACACGGAAAAAAAAGTACCTGTAATCATGTACACCCCCCGTCTCACCAACGTGATTCTCCACAGTTTCGTTTTTTTGGATAATTGGTTATAGCATGCGTAGCACTTAACTTCATCCAGAAAAGGATCCTAAGAGAAATATCGAAAGTTTGATGGAAACAATACTTGTACTTTGCGCACAAACTCCGTCCCGGGACATCTTTGCCTAACCGTTCACGAAAGGCACCATATTGGACCTCGTCAGGTTCATATCCGATTCGATTCATGACGTTCTTTTTGAGAGAGAAAGAACAGAACCATCTATTCATTTATCCGTCTACTGAATCGTATCCTGGGGTTATTAAGAGGAAGAATTTAAAAAAGCAGACTATCGAAACGAGAATTTATTTTTTATCGGTGGGTGTATCTCTGGTAAAGAGTCTTTTTTATCAAAGGACCCTTTGCATTATCGTTTTGATTTTGCGTAACCAGAAGCAACTGTTGTTCTCAGCAGGTGTTCACACCAAAGTCCTATAGGATACTTAACTACTCAATCCTTACAAAGGGCCATCACCGATACTGTCCAAACCATCCTTTACGATCCGTTTCCAGGATCGATCCCTTGTCTTTTTTTCGTCGCCGGGGCACTTTCACAAACTTACCAGACCATTAAAACCCCCCACGTCCTCCTGCATTAATGTAGCGAGATGTCCCAAGGTCTAAGGCATAGATGAAATGACAAAAACGAGGAACAACCGTCATACGCAAACTTTCCAAGTGTAAGACAAACCTCGAAAGGGAATAAGGTATGTGCATAAGACAAATAAGAATGAGGAATAACCTAACGGTTTTCTCTCCATTCTTTTGGGGGTTTTTTTCACTTCTTCTTCTCATTGTTTTATTATCATTATCATTATCACTTTTTTATTAATTTGTTTCTGTTATTGTCATTTGCTAAGTTTATTAGCGCTCTACATTGCCTGCATGCCTGCATATGGTTTTTTCTTTCTTTTCTGTTTTATCATTCCTGTTGCTTTTCATGTTATTCCTCGTATAGCAGTACGAGATGATACCCTGTACATTTATTGTGGTCTGTTGACGACCTTGTGATTTCGTTTACTGTTCTTTTTATTTTCTGCATTTCATGCGTATGTATTATTAGGGGCGGTGGATATTGATGTCCTCAAAAAGCATGGCAGAGATTGATTGCATGGCATGGCGGAAGTTGTACAGATGGCGCATTAATTTGGGTCGACGGATAGCGTCCCCAAAATGACTAGACCCGAGGGTAGATGTATAGCATCCCCACGAGGCTAGAATCAAAATCAAAAGGTATTTTTAATAAAAGCTCCAAGGCATTATTTGTTTCTTCCTCTCCATCTCTCTCTCGCTCTCGCACACAGACATAATTTTTTTTTCTCTAAGCCGCCCTTAATTGACAAAGAAAAAAACGGAGGTTGTTATGAACAAGTAATTTGTGGGGGAAGGCGGGTAGTTTTTATACACAAAAAAAAATTTAGAAAGCTATCAACATGGTAGTAAGTTATTTTTATAAGAAGAATCTTTACTCCTTAGATTCGGCAATGATCTTCTCGGCCTTGACACGGACCTCCTGTAGATAATTTGTTAGTAACTGTTCAAATACTTCATACTTTGAAAGAGAAAAAAGGAATATAACTTACGTCAATGTTTCCAACCATGTAGAAGGCAGCTTCTGGGCAGTCATCCATCTTTCCGTCCAAGATATCCTTGAATGATCGCAGAGTATCCTTAAGGTCGACAAGCTTACCCTCCATACCAGTGAAAGCCTCAGCGACAGCGAAGGGCTGGGAGAGGAAACGCTGGATGCAACGGGCTCTTGTGACAGTCAACTTGTCTTCAGCAGAAAGTTCGTCCATACCCAAAATGGCAATGATATCCTGGAGGGATCGGTAGGCCTGGAGTGTCTGCTGGACCTTGCTGGCGATGTTGTAGTGGTCTTCACCAATGACACGTGGGTCCATGAGACGGGACTTGGAGTCGAGAGGGTCGACAGCTGGGTAGATACCCAATTCGGAGATACCTCGGGACAAGACAGTGGTGGCGTCCAAATGGGCGAAGGTGGTGGCTGGGGCAGGATCAGTCAAATCGTCAGCTGGGACGTAGACGGCCTGGACGGAGGTAATGGATCCCTTCTTTGTTGTGGTAATACGTTCCTGAAGGAGACCCATGTCGGTGGCAAGAGTGGGCTGGTAACCGACGGCAGATGGGATACGACCAAGAAGAGCAGACACTTCGGAACCGGCCTGGGTGAAACGGAAAATGTTGTCGACCTAATAACAATTAGCAAAGAACCCTTGAGGTATAGTAGATGTAATCCGGATTATATCACTTACGAACAACAAGACGTCCTGTCCTTCGTCATCACGGAAGTACTCGGCGACGGTAAGACCAGTAAGAGCGACACGGGCACGAGCTCCTGGGGGCTCGTTCATCTGACCGAAGACCAGTGCGACCTTGGATTCACCGTCGAGCTGAATGACCTCTATAAATGGAAATTAGACTCCATCCGAAATTATGAATTTAGGAAGCTGGCAAAAAGGGTCACTTACGGGTTTCCTGCATTTCGTGGTACAAATCGTTACCCTCACGAGTACGCTCACCGACACCGGTGAAGACGGAGTAACCACCGTGAGCCTTGGCGATGTTGTTCTGGAATAACAGGTCATATTAGCAATTTATTTCAGAGACCTGAAAATAAAAAGGAATGGAAGAGGGCCTTACGATAAGTTCCTGAATGAACACAGTCTTACCGACACCGGCACCACCGAAGAGACCGATCTTTCCACCACGAGCATAGGGGGCGAGAAGGTCAACGACTAATTTTTAAATGCAAGTGTGAGTGATATATTCCTTCCAAGATATATAAAAATTAGTTCCGAATTTTGATCACTAACCCTTGATACCAGTGACCAAAATTTCGGCAGAGGTACTCTGCTCAACGAAAGATGGAGCCTCGGCGTGGATAGGGAGGTACTTGGTGGCCTTGATGGGACCCCTCTCGTCGATTGGGTCACCAGTGACGTTCATGATACGGCCCAAGGTTCCGGGTCCGACGGGAATCATGATAGGATTGCCGGAATCCTTGCATTCAGCACCACGGACGAGACCTTCGGTACCGTCCATAGCAATTGTTCGGACAACGTTCTCTCCAAGATGTTGCTATAATTAGGTCAGCGGGGAAATTCCTCGGAAGACGAAGCGGACAAAAAAAAACTCGTCATTCCGCAAGAACGATAGATGGGAGCCATACAGCAACTTCCAAGACCAAACGCTGACCATTGTTATCAGTGTGAATGGCATTAAGAATAGGAGGTAATCGGTCAGAGTCGAATTTAACTATTTAAAAGAAGCCGGTGGACATATATATTAGTAAAAAGTCGCGCGCAATTGTAATATAGTGGGGCCGGATTCGGATCCGAAAAAATGAAAATACAACACCAGAGGACACATACCATCGACGACGGCACCAATGACCTGATGGATCTTTCCGGTGAGAGGAGCATCGGAACTCTGGAATCGTGCGGATATCAGAGGAGCCGCAGACGATCGGATGGTCGGGCGGAGGGACGACCTCAGCGTCGCCCGCGAGGCAAGACGTGTGAATCCGCTAATCGGACAAAGATACCGGTTAGCAAACATGAAGAGTTATTGATATCCAAGACCGTGGTTGAAAGCCAATGGGCCAATTGATTGATCTCGGTCTACACTGGCAAAAAGACATATCGTCGAATATCGCTCAGTGCATTCCCGAGATTCGGAGGTGAGGAAAGAGACGGAACCATAACGGATTCACGACGACGGAACGACGGGAAGACATACTTCTTCAACATTGTGCCTATGCTTCGAAAGGATGGACTGAGAAGGAAAAGAGGAAGCCCTCAGTAAAGGACTCCAATGGTTATGTTGGTGGTGCGGTGATGAGGTAGATAGATGTGGGAGGGGTGCAGCAACGTGGAATAAAAATCGAAAGCCTGTCCGCCAACCTCGGGAAAATTTTGCTGAGAGGCCTTGACGACAGACAACACAAACACGATAACGGCAGCTGGGGTTCCTATTTCACACAGTATTCAGATCCTAACTTCGGACTTGACGGGTTCATGCTTAAAAGAAAATATCTCAAGCGTGCATATAGCAGTATCGTAGGTGGAACGAAGTATCTCAATGATCAATGCGTGGTACTTTTATTCACATTAATACAAAAAAAACAGCAACTGGCTGATAGGATGAGGTCATAATATCTACTACACAATAGCTAAAGTCAAAGCAAAAAACAGGTACTACCAATCCGTCCCGAACCAAATTCACAGAATGCAGACATTCCCACCGTTCAAAAACAAACATGTACAGGTTTTCGTGCTTCCAAATTACCTTCCAAAATTGAGAAACGATGATTTAATCCACCTTAGCAAGCACAATGGCTGTGCGTGTGGGAACTAGATTGTGGCGGTTCTGTTAGCCCGAAAAACTCGCTCTTCCATTTCCCCGGCTGGGGTGAGGAGGGGTCAACTTACTGTAAACCTGCAAGAAATTCGATCGGTCATTCCACCTAAAATCAGTGGTAAAGAACTCTCCGCTCTCATCCACTCTCTCAAATCCTCCAAATAGTTTGTTATCGCTGCTCAAAATGACTTTGTACTTGCCAGCAACTTCCACACCAATTCTGTAGTCTGGGAAGCTGTTTGTGGGGTGGAAATTGAAAACGAAGATCAAGTTGGCTCGCTCGAAAACAATGATCTTGTCTCCTTCGTGCTTCAAGCTAATGTATGCCTGGGGCGCACTGAGCCAATGGTACTTCTCCTCAAGGTTCTGCATAGCAGAATCGAACTCGTTCAAGTACTTGTAGCGGAGCAAGGGATCATCTAAGATGTTCCATTGTCGCCTGGCATACCAGAACGAATTTCCATTTCCTTCTCTTGGGAAGTCAAGCCATTCAGGATGACCAAATTCATTACCTTGGGATACGAATTAGAACTCATAAGCTACAAAACGCTTCTTCTTTGGGAACATACCTTCGAAGTTCAAGTATCCCTCGCCACCTAATGTGTGGGAGATCAATCGAATCATCTTGTGAAGCTCGAGACCTCTTTGGATCTTCGGTGTCAATTCTGTCAAGTCGGACATGTGGGTGTACATTTGCTCATTGCAAAGCCACATCATGAGTGTCTTGTCTCCAACCAAACTGCCAGGCCGGTGTTAGCCATGCGTCGCGCAGGACGTCAGGAAATGTATTGACTTACGCTTGGTCGTGACTTTCAGCATACGCAATGGTCTTCTCTCCGTGTCTCCTGTTGGTCAATGTGAAGCAAACATTGCCCATATCCCAATCATCATCCTGCTGCTCCTTCAACATTTTGATCCACATGTCAGGTACAGCCATGGCGAGTCTGTAATCAAACCCAACTCCACCAAGGGAAAGTGGGAGACAGAGACCGGGCATGCCGGAAACATCCTCAGCAATGGAAATAACCTGATCTTTGTACACTTGGTGTAACATCTCATTTGCCTATATCATGGGATAGTCAGAAATCAATTGAACCCGGAAAGCAAAGAGTAGTGTAAATTTTACTCACCAACATCAAGTATACAACACCTTCATCGTCAACGGTATTTCCAAAATATTCATGGTATCCACCGGAGAATCCGCTAAAGGCCAGGTCAGTCTCTGTGTGCGTTCTATATGAGAAGGAAGAAAAACTTACGTTCCTATACCGTGGTGGAGATAAAGCATACTGGTAACGCCGTCAAATCTGAAACCGTCAAACTGGTACTCTTCCATGTAGAATCGTAGATTCGACAACAAGAAACGCAAAACCTCATGGCTTCCATAGTTGAACAGCCTAGAGTCCCACAGGTCGTGCCTACCTTTACCCCCACTATGGAAGTAAAGGTGGTCTGTCCCGTCGAACATGTTCAGGCCGTCAAGAACATTGTTTGAGGCATGCGAGTGTACAACGTCAAGAAGAACGGTGATACCCATGCCATGGGCAGTATCAATGAGCTCCTTGAGCTCATCTGGGGTACCATAACGGCTAGAAGCAGCGAAGAAGGAGTTGATCTGATAACCGAAAGAAGCATAGTAGGCATGTTCCATGATAGCCATCAATTGGATGACATTGTAGCCGAGCTTCTTGATTCTCGGTAGCACGTCTCTTGTAAACTCGATGTAGGTACCGACTTTTGGATCTTTAGTACTGATACCGACGTGAGCTTCATAGATACGAACCGAGGCTGGCTTTGGAGGGCGTGCGTTCTTGAATTGATACGGGGTTGGGGGATTCCAGAATCGTGCGTCATACTCGGATTTGACGGACAGCTCCTGGGTCACTCTTGTGGCCCAGGCCGGAACTCTGTGAATCCATTCGTGTTGGCCATCTTTTGTGATTCTCATCACAAGCTATATGTTCACAGGCTAGTATCAGAATAGGTTCGGAACGGACTGGATAAATTTACGCGAGGTTTCGAAGATAGCGATACGGACCTTGACTTTAGCATCATGGGCAATGACGGGTTTCCCAGCTTTGGCGGGAAGGGTCAATTCCCAGACACCGTACGGATCCCTTGTCATGGGATAGTCACCCTGATCCCAATTGTGGTCCCATCCATTACCAACGATTAGATGTGCGGTTTCGGCATTAGGAGCCCATTCTCTGTATGTGATATCTCCGTTTTTCAACACGTTGAAGCCAAAGCGTTCATATCCCTAAAACGCGCGATTTACGATAGCAAGTTAGCTCGGAACTCTTATCTCTCAACATTTTACAAATCAATTTTTTTTTTTCAAAGAGAAAATAAAGAAAAAGATAGCCCAGCAGGGGAAAACAATGAGACAAGAATTTTAATTACCCTCGAGAATTTCTCAAGACCACCTTCTGTGTCATTGATTTTTTGAATCCAATGTTGAGCAGTATCATAACGGTGTTTGATACTACCCTTGAACGGTGTTAGCCAGGGATCCAAGCCAACTATGCCAGTCCCAGGCTCTAGTTCCTCAACTGGTGGAGGAGGTGGAGGGGGTTCCGTGACGGTTTTGGTCACGTTCTTTTTAGCAGCAGCAGGAACGGTCTGAGCAGCTGGAGCTACTGAGGTAGCCATTGTAGGTGATTTTTTAATAGTGATTTTTCTGTGATAACTTTTGAAATTGGAAGGATAAAAAAATACTGAGAATGATGAAGAGGGAGGACAGTGGCAATGGATTGGATCAGAGCTGGAGAGAGAAGAAGAGAAGAGGGGTTGTGGCCAGGCGACTTGAGAGATATACTTATAGGTATACCTAGCAGGGTCCAAAAGCAGAGGCCTGTAAATGCTGCGTTGTCGCGGGAATATTCAGAGGAATGACGAGCGTCGAGAGGAGGGGCAACTTGCATGCAGAGAGGGGTAGTTTATCTGTGATATGAATGCAATGGAATAACCTCGAAAGAAAATTGTGCATATGCGAAGCAGGAGGACGTGTTCTTATTGATTTTGATTCCGAAGGACCAGCTGCAGAACCCTCATTGCATGCAATTGAAGATAATTAATTCTCGCAATCTCAAAAATGGAGTTGAAGGCGTCCCAACGAAGCCCTTTCGCCTCCCTCGCTCGTAAACTCGGGGCTTGGCGGTGTTTGTTGAAATCCGATACGTCATGGTGCCATTTACACTCCTACGGCCCGTTTTTTTTTTTTTTTTTTTTCCGTTTCTCTCTTATCGGGTTATAACTCAGCTGTTAAGGTCGCCAAGGCCTGTGTAAATGTTCTGCATATGCGCGAGCTCTTGTCTCGTCCCATTCCTACATTGCAATATGCAGTATGCTCCAATAACCTTTTGGCTTTTATTATCACCGCTTCTATTAAAAAATATTTAAAAAATCTATTCTGTAGTCGTGTGCGTGCTTGCACTTATGTATGTAGACGACGACAAATATTCTCGACTGTTCTCTTCATGCGAGGGCTGCATTAAATTCTTTACGACCTTTTTTTTCTTATCCTAGAAGAATCTCCATCTCCTGCGTCGTTCTCGGGAATGACTCCCTCGCAAACACCGTGGGGGGTAGGTCTTCCAGCGCTGCTTCGACCCGAGCGAAATCGCTGACAAACCTATCCAAAGATGCCCGAATAATACTTTTCTTGAGCGAAGGCCGCGACAGGTAGATGAGACGAGACTCGGCATCGATCATCGCACTAGGAAGAAATTCATCTAGCTGCTGTGAACATTCCAACAAAATAGCTTCCGTTACTGCGCCACTGTCAAAGGGTTCCTCATCATTTCCGGTATCCAACAAAATTGCAAGACCCGATGCAGTCAGGAGGTAATCATGCAGCTGGTCTACAATTGCTGCTACATGCTGGTCAACATCTCTGTCAAGGTGATGAATATAGTTTTCCGTGCCATAAGTTGATAACCTCATGGTATTCTAAGAAACAAGTTAGTTTCTACAGTGTCTATAAACATAAGTATCTTAATCATTATAGAGGACGATACGAACCTTCGACACTTCTAAGCAATTTACCATGAAAATATGTGATTCCAAAGTCGGCAAGTCTTTTGAAAGAGTCTGGCAACCTTGGATATATGGGTGCAACGCTTCAGAATATATCATGTCGAATGCCTGGGGTTTATAATCATCAGATATTAAAGATGCCTCAAAGCTTTTAATGAGATCTTTGAATCTGGCTAAAGCATCGATTAAAAATATAGGAGGCGATAGGTCCTGTGTCGCCGAGGGTAAGTCGTGCTGAACGGATCTAACCAAGTCCCGTAGACAACTCTGGAGTTGACGTGTTGCTGTTGATATAAGGCTATAGCGGATAGGTTAGAAAATGCTCCCACATGCAAGAAGAACCGAACAATTACCCATCGATAGCAGCAACGAGAGCAGCATCAGGACCCAGAAGTTTCTTGAACGTTTCACGATAAAACATCAAAATATTTAGAATTCCATATAACAGTGTGGGCTCCTCGTGGCTGGATATAACTTGCTCTGTCCGATACTGGTCTATAGTTAGCGTTAAGGAATCTTGAAAATAACCTGAGCCTACTGACCCTGAACGTCGAAAGAACAGCCTCGAGCGATTTGTCGGCTAGCGGGCGCACATGATCTTTGAGTCGAGTCTCGGTCTCAAGTAAAGATTCCAAGCCTTCTTCTGCCAGACCGCCCCGAGACTCGTCACCGGGAGCGAGCTCAAATATGGCCTGTAGCGCTTCGACTTCGCTAACGAGAGCTGAGTGAAGCCAGGCGAGCATATCTCCAATGTAGCGTATGGGGTCGTGGGCCATCAAGTCAATTGGTTTATCTATTGATCTACCATTGCCTCCTGTTAAAGCGACATTGAATGACTCAGTAAGAGTTCGTTGTCGGGACTCTGCTAGAGTGTCAATACAGCTCCTAGGAAAGTATTAATATAAAATGCCGTGCTCTTTAAGATGGCAGATAACATACTGTAGAAGTGCTGGGCGGCTTGTGAGAACGTCAAGAGCCTTTCGTACCCGGTGATTTCCTGTGGGTGTCTCAAAGGATAAGAACTTGAGCTCCCTTTGCAGCCACAGGTAAACCCTTTGGTATGCTGAATTGAGGTTCCTGGTCATCTGGTCCATGATCTCGACCCTATATTCAACAATTAATAACCACTATACAGGCCAATCTGGGAGTTTCTCCATACCCTGCACGAGTACTCTCGGAACCTAATAGCACTTGACAATCCGAATGTATGCCCTTGACCCTGATTAATGTATCGAAGAAGTCATCGTCAAGCGATTGGGGCGAGGAAGTAATATTGGCCAGATCCGCTACGGGTAGAGTAAACTTCTGTAGGAAAGCCTGAAGTAAAGCTTCCTTCCTGTGAACCCGCTCTCTGTCACTTAGCATCACTTCACCCTCTTGTACGACAGAACCGATCTCCACGGCACCATTTTCAACTCTAGTTGTAACGTCGTTGAAGGTTTCATGTATTCCTTGCAAAGCATCCCCGATAAACCGTACTTGCTAAGGTAGGAGACATTAGCACTGGACAAAGTGGTATGCCCAAACAAAACAGAAGCATTACCTCAGCTATGAGCCCAAAGTCCTGGATGACCTGTGTATTGCTACTAGCAAGCTCATGGAGGGTCTGGGCACGCAGTCGACGACGGGTGTCGGCATTGTTATTTTCCACAATTGAATTGAACGCGGTCAGGACCTCTCTGATATCCGGGTCCGTCGCAGATGTTGACAATATGTGAGCCGCTTTGAGAGGAAGGTGATTTGACTTTAGACCCGGAGTTTCGGGTAGACCACCGGCTTCGGCAAGATATCGGTCATCTCGGTCGTCAAGATGGAGCAGGATCTCTGGGGTGGTCATGTTCCAGGGCGAAGAAGATGGTGGGGTTTGGCGGCGCTTTGGGCTTTGGGCTGGCTTGCTGGTTTATTGGTACCTGCATAACCCATAGCTCCTTAGTACAACTAGCACTGGGAAATGCCTATTTTTAGCAGCAACAGCAGTAGTACCGACCTGCCTCTTGATGAGAACTACCTTTTAAATATAATCAGGCATTATCTAACTCCACCAGGCATTGTGATATAATTATGATGAAGATGAAGATGAAGATGGTGGTGGTGATAATATCTTAAAATGAGAATAACGTAGTACTGCACCGCCTCCGTGATATCGATCTCGCATATTGGCATGGCATGGCCATGGCATAGACCTCTTCCATAGTAACATTGCTGGCTCCGTGGCCTTGCCGAGACACTTCTTCTGGCAATTCCAATTTCTGGTTGTGTGGACCCGACTGCCCCGACCGACCTGGAGAACTCAACTTCCGGTCAAACACCAAACCACTCCGCCTTCCAGCTGACGACCTTCCCATTCCCATCATCTCCTCTTCCTCTTCCTCTTCCAGCTCCCTAACCAGCCGGTCTGACGCCCTTTTTTTTAAATTATTGTTTACGACCCGCCGCTGCTGGAAGTCTCTAACTTTACCCGTTATAATCCCACTTGGTCGATTTCCGCCCCTTCGCGACAATACTCCTGCATTCGTCTGTCCATCTGAATCGAAGGGCTGTCACAAACATCAAACATCACCCTAAACTCATCGCAAACATAGCAACACCACTCACCCTCATCTCGAGATGAGTAGGACTTCCGAAGACGAAGGCGTCGACCCTCGAGACAAGAAGAAGAAGGAAAAGACCAGAAGACCCGGGAGTATGTTACATCATCGACAATCTTTCTTGATATCTGTCGTTGTGCTGACCGGTGGCCCCTGATCATGATGAATAGATACCGCCTTCAAGCAACAGCGTTTAAAAGCATGGCAGTAAGATACTCTCTCACAGACCGACAGTACCAATAATATCGGTTTATCAAATTTATCTTTATCGTGCTATTTGTCTAATCCGTTCCTTCCGATAGACCTATCTTGACTCCTAAGACCGTCCTGCCTCTCTTCTTCGCAGTTGGTATAATATTTGCGCCAATTGGTGGCTTGCTGCTATGGGCTTCTGAACAGGTACAACGGCCATTACTACTAGATGTCTGTCCACCATATTAATCATACTATATAACAGGTTCAAGAATTGGTTATCGACTATACTGAGTGCGCATCTGGTATCGGCTCCAACAGAGATTTTGTTCGCATCCCAGCTGAGAAGATACAACGAAACTTCTACAAGCCGACAGTTGAAACAAAGCAAGATCCGCAATGGAAGTTTGTGAGCAATGTTACTAGGATCGGCAATCGTCAAGTCAATAACACTGTTTGCACGCTGAAATTTCAACTGGAGGCCGACATGACTGCACCAGTGTTACTCTATTACCGACTCACAAACTTCTACCAGAACCATCGTCGATACGTCAAGTCTGTCAACGAGGAGCAACTGCGAGGCAACGCCGTAGGAGCTGGAACTTTGGATACTAGTGAATCTTGTGCGCCCTTGGCCGTCGATTCAGCTGGGAAGATCATCTATCCTTGCGGTCTTATGGCAAACTCAGTCTTTAACGACACTTTTGGATCTCCAGTACTTGTCCAGAAGCGTGGAGGAACCGGTTCAGAGGAAGAAATCTACGAAATGACAAATAAGGGTATCGCGTGGCCTAGCGATCGCGACCGTTATGGTGTATCCAAGTATAACATCAGCCAAATCGTCCCACCACCCAATTGGATTAACAAGTTCCCGAATGGATACAATTCAACCAACTTGCCGGACCTTCGTGATTGGGAAGAATTGCAAGTCTGGATGCGTACGGCTGGTCTCCCGACTTTCAGTAAATTGGCACGACGTAACGATACCAAAACCATGCAGAGCGGTGTTTATACCCTTGATATCAAAATGAGTACGCTCAAACTCCAGCCCGACAGATACCATTTGAACGAGCTAACGAAAATCTGCGACAGATTTCCCTGTTACTTTGTATGGAGGCACTAAGTCCATTGTTTTGTCCACCAGGACCGTTATGGGAGGAAAGAACCCATTCTTGGGTATTGCATACATTGTTGTCGGTGGTCTATGCGTGCTCCTCGGTGTCATTTTCACCGCTCGCCACCTATTCAAGCCTAGGTTCGTCCAACTTTCTCACAAGCTCAAACCCAGGAAGGCTTTAACTAATTATCTTGCGACAGAAAACTTGGTGATCACACATACCTCAGCTGGGAAAACGGGCCAGCTGTCGGTACTGCTACAGGACGTGATTTAGCTTAGACATACTCAAAACGAAAAAAAAATTTATGGCTGGGAAAAAGACTTTTGTGGCTACGTTATTTTATGACATGGGCGTATACGCATTGTGCCGCCGTTAGGGAACTGTTTTTCTTTAGGGTTGTTTCATTATATTCTGCTTTGTTTCCCTCTTTTTCTATTTCTCTCCTTCTTCCCGTCCCTGATCGCTCACTCGGTGGTCAGCATGGCCCTTTCTTTTCTTGTAAGATTGGTTATTCAGAGGTTCTAGCATGTTGTGACTTATATTTCTTTTGCCTTGATATCTCAGCAATGGAAGGTATCTTCTACTAAAAGTTCTCCGATTTGAATGCAATGATCTCCTCGGTGAAATCTCCGTAAGTTTTTATGGACTTATGCCCTGTCCTTTTCGAATGCTTGAACGCCTATGCAATCCCACACCTTCCTTAGTTTGTAATTGATATCATGATTCTCCCCTCCCGGATCCCCCTCCCCCCTCTTCGACCCATGCAATCATAAAAACAAAAAGCATATATGCCAGGTAGTCTCGGAGCCAGAACTGCCCCTATGCTAGGTAAGTCAACAAAACTCCTAATAATGCAACGCCAACTCCAATGCAAGTAATTCTAAGATGACATGTAAAAAGGTAATATGTAAATAAGGGAAAATAAAGAAAAAATAAAATAAAAAGACAAAAAAAAACAGGTTCTTAACTCATCAATACATTTCATAAACATTAACATGATGTACCGGAGTCGGCGGCCTACGGTTGTACCTCGAAGCACTGTAAGCACGCGCGTATAACTCCATTTGGCCAGCAGTAGGCCATTCGTAACGGGTATCACTGGATCCGATTTCAACAGCAGTCGGACTAGGCGGTTTCGTGTCAGGTAAGGTTATATCTATATCTTCAGTTCTGTTATTATCGGCATATTGCGCATGATTACGTCTTCTTCGTCGGTCCCAGAGGAGAAGGCCGGTTATTATGAGAGATATTGAAACGACTGGGACAGATATTGCGATTGCGATTGTTACTGTGTCTGGGAGTAGTGGTCCCTTTTGTGAAGAGGTTGAGGTTGAAGATGGTCCTGAGGATGATGTTGATGATGTTGTAGGTGTAGTGTATGTGGCGTCATTGGTCATGGTGGTATCTGAAATGGGTGTATTGGTACTTTTGGCTCGTATATCATTGGTATCTGTGAAATATGTGGAAGCTGGTGGTGATGTAGATGTTGATACTTCTTGTTCGAGCTTGACGGTTACGGTTTCTACTATTCGTGACAGGCCGATAGTGGGAAGTTGGAATCCTCGTCCTTTTTTACAGCAGCTATTGACAGATGTGGCTTACACCGTTAGTGGGATGTTCGATACTTTCACAGTGCCATTGTATTCACAGTGTAAATAGGTAACTTACGCTTCACCGGCTGCTTCGCTGCCACAGCATACACTTCCATCATCACAAAAATGTACAGGCGAATTCTTTGACGAATAGTCTAAATCAAAGCCCATGAAAATTGCATTAGCATATATACTTTAAACAATTTATAAATTCGTGATTACAATCTATAAATAATAACATAATAAAGAGAGAAAAGGAAGGAAAAAAGATAGAAAGATAGAGAACGCCGATGCAGCGGGATCCGGGACCATGGCATACCTTCGAGTTCACCATTCGGGCCTATGGCACCCATACAAATCCTCAAACAAGCCTCACTCTCCCACGTCTCATCCGTACAGCTTGCTCTATAATACGTCCCATTACTATCCATGCAAAGCCCATTCGAAACGCATAAGTCGATATTATCTGTTAATGTTCGGTCCCCCAAAGCACAGCACATAGAATCCTTCACTGCTGCACCTACATTGCACGGCGAAGAACCCGAGTAGCTGGGTGAAATAGAACCATCTGGAAGGTAACATATGGCTTCTGTTTGTATTCTTATTTGTGCTAGGATGGTGTTGAATGATAGAGACATCGCTATGAGGTATGTGTAAAGCGGCGGCATGACGAGGTTGCATGAATATATAGCTGATGATCACGAAATAAAAAAACGAAAGTATAGTGAAAGGAATATATAAAAGAACGTTAGATGTATCACTGATACCAGAAATTAGAGAAAAACAGCCAAGGAAATTCTCAAGAAAAAAAATGAAGGTAAAAATCCGTCGAAAGGGCGCCCAGCTGGCCAGGACCCGAGTGTCAAATCGGTGTATGTCGATATATTGCGAACAAGCTGCAATATCAGGCACTTGCACAGCAGGCGCGGATTCGAGTAACTCGAGGAATCGAAATGAACGCAAAAACGACAAAAATCTAAAGAGAAGGGCGCTTCACATTTATGATATACTAGGCAAATATACCACGAGCAAAGGCTCATGGAAACGAGTTCGTGAGCCACATGCATTATGGGGCTCTCGAGCTACTGACTTAGTAACAAGCGCCGCCTGTCCTACTTCACGCTTTGTTTATCCTGGCGGCGCTCTCGAACTCGAAAAGTGGGTCCTTTATGAAACGAGTGAATTCCTGTGTACATCCATAGGACGAAAGCCACGATAGAGTATTTTTACAGTATCTCTTTGTAGTCGTTTCGTCCCATGTATACATGTAGTTCCTGTACTCTTCAAGATCTGGCTATGGCATGAATGTGAAGTGTACCGTCAAAATCGATCGACCCAATCGATAGAGTCGGATATCCTAATTCGAGTATGCACCATGCGACCCCTTGAAAGCTTCTGTACATACAAGCCTTGGCGGGGTATATTAATAGTCAGCCTTATAGTACTTAACGGAATTTACAAAGTGCAAGTTTTGCCTGCCAGTGCTGCAGCGCTAGATACTGCAGCGACGAGACGAGGCTGCATGGGGTGTATATATTGCATGGAGGTTAACCAACACAAAAAATTGTTGTAGAATGTCATGTCTACAAAGATATATGTAAGATCATGGTACCAACAGGATCTCAGAATTCTAGAAGACGAGATTAAATCGATGACTTGCGATACTATTGACCTCAAAAGCTAAGATCCGACTTTATGACTATTCGCATACATTGTAGCTAAATTTAGAACTTCCCAGTCGTCCATCCAACTTCCTTCTGGTGGATTTACCATTCTACGGCGAGGCTGTATATACGTATATGTAATTGGTTAGAATTTCCCAGAGAGGTGCATCTACGCGGCACAGTCTGTTGGGACAGACAGGGGACCTGGGCGGCTCTTGTGTATACATATCTATATATTGACTGACAAGTCCCAATTCTAGGTCTGTTTTTGCGACCACCACGTGGCTGCGATTCAAGATATTCTTCTTCGAAGGGGGGTTGGTAAAAACCAAAGAACTCACGGTCGAACTACTGTAATAGAAACTGCGGTACTGCCAATTGGGGAGAATATATCGTCATATATATACTTGGTTAGCTCTGCGCACGGCGTGTGTATCGTTTAATTATAAGCCGGGCACCTGTTTAAATACTTTAGTTGACTAATGTTATCTAATAATATATATATACTATAATAACGTAGAATCGATCTATTCTAAGTTAGACTTATCTTGAAAGCTTGAGGGGAAGAATCAGAGGAAGTTGGAGTCCATTTACCAGATATCAGGTACCTCAAGAATTTATACATGTACGGATATCCAGATCAAGCATTCCAACTTCACAACACTTTGACACTGGCTACAGCACTGCGGCTATCTCCAAAAGTATGTTTCCCAATTTGATAGCTTATATTATATATCGCAATGCTAGTTTCGAGAGCAATGAAGGCACATCAATAAGTATGCAATGCTGTATTTGTCGGTTTGTGGTATCTGCTATGCAATGTCGCTACAAATGAAATAAAATCTCCTATATATCGTACAGGTCGGGAAAATTAACTAGGTATCTAGCGAACCGCACAGCATAGTTCCGTAGTAACTACTTAGGTATATGATGTAAAAATGAAAGGTAATGAAATCCCAGAATTAAAGAAAATAACACCGGTCGTAAAAAACATAAAAGGGTATTATATACAGTACTTTGGTAAATATATTAAATATGATTAGCTGAGAAGGAGGTACTATGAGTGCAATTCGTGGACATTGACATGGTGTTCAGGAATCGGTGGTGGCTTTGGAGCGCTATAGATTTCATAAGGTCCAGCGCCCCTGTAACCGCCGCCATAATAGGAATTGTCGCTGGTCCCAATCTCGACTGGGCCTTTGGAATTTTTCTCGTAAACTGGTGGTGATTGGTGTCTTGTACGCCGACGCCATACGAAGAATGCTACGAGCGCAACCCCGATAACGAGGACGGGTGTTCCAACGCCAATTGCGATTTTGGCGGCATCTGGCATTCCTGGCGATGTGGTTTCAATCGGATTCCCGGATTCTGTAATTTGTGGGCTAGAGTCTGTGCCACTTGGGAATCCGGGCCCCGTCGAAGAGGCTCCACTTCTTGGACTTGAAGTTCTGACCGATGAACTGCTAGTTGATACGGTCGCCTCGCTCCTCTCTGTGGTAGGTATGGAGGACGGTTGAACGGCGGAAACAATGGTACTGATTACTGTCGCAGTTGACCGTAAAAAGTTCGTGGGAAGTTGAACGCCTTCACCAGCTTCGCAGCATCTGTGCCGTCACAGAACATATCGTTAGTAGGGAATTCATTTTATAATATTAACCGCGCCGCATCCGCACAACCATTTCAGGAAACTCCCACGAGAATTTAACTGTCGGATAGTACAAGATAACATACGATGGGAAATGAAGAAGACTTACTTGCCGCCAGTGACTTTGCCACCGCAACAGACGGTTCCGTCTTGACATAGGGTGATAGGTGCGTCCGAGCTGAACCAATCTATATAATTATATAACACTCTCATCAGCAACCGGAATTCCTGCGAATACCTCTTACTAGATAAACATATTCTCTTCTTACCATACTTAGAGCCTTTCTTGAGACAAATCTTCAGGCATGCAGGATCTTCCCACGTAGGGTCTGTACAACCTTCCCTCCAAAGAGCCCTTGATACACCATCTGCCGTGGCCCCGGAACACAATCCATTCGATAAACAGATATCTGCACTCGATCCTCGGTTTGCTATCGCACAGCACATCGAATGTTGCCCTCTGACATTGTTGCAAGGCTGGTAATCCGTCGAATTTCGTAGAGACCCATCTGGAAAATAACACCGCGGTGTATTTGGAACTTCGATCTGTCCCACCGTCAAACGAACGAGAAATAATAGAGCCGTCAATAAACTGACCCCGAAGCCGAGAGGTGCCATGGTAAGTGTATTAAAATATTAAGAGCAAACCCCAAATTCTATGAAAATCTCAAAAATAAAATAAAATAAAATCAAGATAAAAACTAAAAGAATGTACAAATAGGAAGTCGAAAGTATGAGAGCGGTCCGGGAACCGAATTCTCGGAAAACCTCTGCTCGCACAGCAAGCACAAAATGGTGTTTGTGGGTGTAACAGAGTAACGTATGTTTACATACGTTCTATACTTCAAAAGGAGGGCGCTTCTTCATATATAAGAAGACTTAGGATTAAAAACCACGTCCTGGGTATATTTAGGTTGTTTCCTTCGCTGGCAGGAAAGAAGACCTTTTGCCAGCAGCGCCAATAACAAGCGGGATTTTGGGGTCCAGGCGCGCAGTGTTCAGAACACTCGGTCTCCCTTGCTAGTTTGCCAATTGGCTTCTTAACCTTCCTCCTTTGCAATTACACGATGTGGTTTGATGTGGGCCATCCTCGTACATGTAAGTTGCACATGCATGAGATCTAACTCATCGGATGTCAAACCCCAGAATCGATTCGACTAGGACCTGCGGGTAAATTGACCTCAGAAAGCAAAAATAGGCTTACAATTCCGTTATCTCAAATGTTTCGACAATTGGAGGAACAGGTGCTGCAATGCTTACCCTCCCTTGGTTTCTTCACTTTTTTTGATACAGGATATACGAGAAATACTTGACAAGACGAGCTAGAAACAGCGATTCAGCCAGTACTGATACGACATACAAATGTACAGGAAACCGAGAACCCTTTCCATGGGATCCCAGGAGCTATCACTTGGCGCCTCAATTATAGCCTACCACCAAACAGTTCGGATTTCGAAATGTCAGAGACCCACATGACTATGCACGAACATCGAAGCCTTTACTCGGAATGGTTCCGAAATTTCCTCATCTGGCTAATAACTCACCAAGTTTGCCTTGATTGGTCGAAAAGCGCAGGGATTCTCAGGAGAAGTACGCGGGTGCGCGGCACAGCACTTGAACGAAATTTCATGACAGGGGCTGGCGCTTACTTACCTTCTTGCCTCCATTTTCCAGCTTCCTATTTTTAGGGTCTGCCTCGACAGCTATCCGGACACGGACATATGGTGGTGGACGACGCTTGCTTGCAGCGAGATGTATGCCCACCAATCACGTGTTTGTAGTTAAGACTCTAGACTCCTGGAAAGAATGCGACTGCAAAATGCTTGGGTGACGTTCTGTTTTTAGGAGCTTTGATTCCTTTTCCTGATATCGATCGAAGTACTGGATTGTATTGCGACTTAACTTTCATTTAATTCCAATATATCGCTTTCGAATTTCCCGCTGTCATAGTTATAACCTGTCATGCAAAGCAGCTAACTCCATCCCAAAATTCACCACCATCCTTCCAAGCCTTCTCGGCACGCGCACTCCACAGGGAAGAGATTCCAAATGTCGTCCCTCGTCCCAAATCCACGCACGATACGATTAATAGCACCAGTTGCGGTCTTCCTAACAGTAGCCTTTCTGGTTATTCATACATATAAGTCGCCAGGCGCCATAATACCTAATATAGGGACACCTGATGTTCCAAATCCACCACCTATCCATGGGGGCTATGATAATCAAGATGGCGCCAACGACAAGGGTTCATTTAGATTCCAACCTCCGGAGGCGTCAGTACAACATAGCGTCGTCCGCGGCGATAAGATAGTCTGGACGAACGATAATGGGACGGTATGGCAATCAGTCGGGCGGGATCCGAATCGGCCAGAGTGCTGGACATACGAGGATCGCTTTGGAATCTACAAGCAGCTATCGCCTGAAATTTCGAAAATAATATCCAACAATAACAAGAACAGCAAGAATAGGAGGGCTGTAGTTTTAAGGCTGGGCGGGAACCAGGCTTGGAAATCCCACTTTATCTGGCACGTTAGGTCACTTGTTATGGAGGCTGGACATCTGGCGGGGTACGATGTCATTATATCTGTACATCTCGACATGAGTCAAGAGAAGAAGGAGGCCTGGTTGAAAAAGGTGCCAGAAGAATTACGACCGCTTGTCCAGACTTTCTCGACCCAGGACCTAAAGAACTGGATTCCAAAACCGGCCGAATTCAAGAACGTATACGAACAGAATCACACACCGGTTCAGATGTTTATGGCCCAGAACCCGAAATACGATTTCGTTTATACCGTAGAAAACGACGTCCGACTAATAGGGAGGTGGGATACATTCCTAGCGGACGTGGATGCCGAATACGCTTTCCATAGGAAACATCAAGAGAAGGACCAAAACATGTCGGATATTCCCGATTTGGTGACCTTCCAGTCGGTACGACGTCCAAGAGGTGACTGGCCATGGCTCAAGGCCGACTCCGAGAAAGAGTGTATCAAGAAGTTTGGCGGTATGGAGAACATCAGGTCTTCCCTCGGTGTAGTGTGGGGTTGGTCACGGAAATTGACGGATTCCATAACCCAATTCAACAAGGATGGTCTGAACTGTTACTTCGAGTATTTCGCACCATCGGTCGCATATCACCAAGATCTAACTACCTTCTTTTACCAACATCCACTATACTGTCCTAACAGGCCTAGTCCATCGGAGAGGCACTCGATGGCACCCAAAGATCTTGGGAAGAACGACCCAAGGCTTGTCCAATATGATAAAGTTGCTGTAGGGTGTACTGTAAGTTAATATCCACTTGAAGCGGAAACCGTTTTCTCTTGCTAACTGTAGATTCCATGATCAGTATTACTTTGTCAACATCCACGCTCAACCCTTCTGGGATACGTGGTACCGAAACCCTGAGGCCTGTCGTCCGCCTGCCTTAGTCCATCCCATCAAGGGCGATTTCTTCAACTAGATTCATATATAAAGTACACAACTTTGATTTCAAAAGCATGTCGATTACGTTAAATTTGGTTTGGTATTTGGAGGTTAGCATTTAGCAGGCGAACTTGTTCTTCGGTTACGGTTATAGTCTAGTACAGAATTTCTAATGATGATCGTATTTCATGAGAGGTCAACCTGGTCTTTTCGTGGATGTTTCAAGGATATTGCAAATTCCTTCTGTATATATTAGGATGCTAAAAAAAAAGGATATTATTAATAATAAGTCGAATGATATAAATTTCTAAATTCTAATGATGTTCAATATATAAGGTGGTGGTTTTAGGTCTATAAAGACCAACTGGTAAGATTGTCTCTCAAATCTTCTTCTGCAACTTCCAAGGAATGCCATCCATGATGCTGAGAAACGTTTGAGGCCCGATCTTGAGATATGTTGATTGTCTGCGAGCTCCCAGAATCATTAGGAGAAACCGCCCTAGATACTGCATGCGGCCTTAAAGAACTCGTCGACCTAAACGAATCCGCTTTTAACGGTATACGAGGACTGGGTCTCGAACTCGCCGAAGAGTCTTGTCTTTCAAATTGGAAACTTCGTGCTCGCTTCCATGAGTCGTTATGGTGCCAACCACTGGTGAGTTTATGACTTGAGCCCCGATGAGCCGAAGGGTGAAGATCCTGATGCGAAGATCTCGTTTCACTGTCATCTGGGTTAGAGTTACAGTTTACGATATCATCCGTTGCGGTCTGACGACCCGGATCTTGTGCCCATCCTGTACCACCCGCGAAAATATCCTCAATGCAATCCACGGCGTTTAATTCACCCGTCTGGAGTTGCCATGAAGCTGCCAGGGATTTTCGGTATATGTCGTGTGCTCGATCCCGTTCCCGTGAATGAGCGGGCATATTCGTCATCTCGGCGCCATAGGGGTTTTCGGCTGCTGACGTAGAGTTCGGATCCACGGGTTCGGATATCGTGGGTTCGCTCATGACCACGCCGGCTATGCCAGAGAACACCTGCGCAGGACGTAGTTCAGGTCTATTACCATTGTCAGCTCGCCTACTCAAACCAATCAGATGGAAAGGGGGTAGACAGTAATCATACACTTTAAAGCTCATATCACCCGAAATCTGCTTAATTTCTGTCGATATCTGCACCGTCGAATTGATCTTACTAGCCTGCATCAAATACCTCCTACTCTCCCGCTCTCGTCCAACGTATTCAGCAAGATTCAACTCCAAGGTCCCGAGTATTATTCGTTCCCTCCCGCTGTATTCCTGGATGATTTCGAGGTCGAGATAAACGGGTGACAGCATACCACCCCTGTCGACGGTCATTTTGATGACCAGCTCCTTTGTGTATCTCCATGTTACTCGATGTTCTTTTATCGGTATCTTGCTCGTCCGTCCTCTGGATTCGGCGAGGGGTGAGTCGCGAATATGCCATTTGACGTAGGCGAGGCCGCTAACCAGGGGGACATTGTTAAGGTCGTGGACTTGGAGTTTAAGGTTAAATCGAGGCTAATAAAGCGTTAAAAAAAGTCCAAATCTATTTTATCGGAATTAAGTATGTGCTTACTCGACGGGATTTAGGAACTAAGAAATATATGTTAGTCGGTTGTAGATAGGCGAGGAAAAGGACAGAACGGTTAAACGCTTACCTACGAAAGAATGCATGGTGCGAGGAGTTACAGGATTAGCCCACAGGAATAGGTGTAATTGGCGTCTTCCCACCCGAGAAAAGGCAGGCGTTCATAGTGATGGCCCTGGTACGGGGTGTGTGAGTGGTGTTAGCCAAACCTGGCTGTGATGTATCCCGGTAGTAGTTGGCGGTGGAGTGGAATGGAATGCATGGGATGGAATTGGGGACGGCCGATGTGGGTTTCTTAACTCGAAAGCAGCCCAGCTCAACATAAGGCCGCCTGCACGCTGACACATCCCAACTTGATTCGGTCAACGACCTTGGCCGACCACCGATAACTTGCGACCTTCGCAACTTGCGAGAGTTTAAAACAGATATACTGATATTCCATAGATAAGAATAAGATATACTATACTATATTGCGGTAAGAAGCCTTTCCCTATCCCCAAAGATACTCGCTGTCCCTTTCGAGCTTTCTCGTTCCGTAACCAAATGGCGGGTCCGGAAACTCCAGTTTGGTATCGATGAGCATTCGAAATACCACAAATATCAACACGCGCGCGACGGACTCGAGCCCGCAGTCTGCCTGCCAAGCTCATCAAATAGCCGACTATCACGAGCTTGGGCTGATTACGTATATGGAATCGTACACATTTTAATTTAATCGAGTTACATACCTCGGTAGCTTACGTATCTGTGCAAACATATTAGGAGTTACTTTCGTTCGTTCGTTATCAATTCTTTCTTTATACATATATCTATAAAGCTAGGACTGCAAGTCGAATACTTTCAACTGTTTGGCAGTTGTACAACAAAGTACACTTCTAGTCTGCGAATTCGCGAAGGAAAAGTAAAAAACCGAAATGGCGGAGATGCTTAGTATATCGGAGCTACTAGCCCACCCGGGTATGCAAGAAATCGTAATACCGTTTACTCCTAGTAAAACTGGGCTTGCAGAAGTTGCAATTGGAAGAGGTGGTCCAATCAAGGTATGCCCAGCCTTCGTTTGTTCAAAGAAGGGGGACGAAAAACCACTAACAGGGATTCCATCGGGAAGATCAATTATGAAATCCACGGAACTGGGCCGATAAAATTGGTGTTTATCATGGGCCTCCGTGCCCCTCTGATCGCTTGGCAGAGACAGATTAGATACTTTGGTCACGAGCATGGCGAAAGATATTCCATGCTGGTATTTGATAATCGGGGTGTCGGCGGATCAGATAAGCCTCTTATGAGGTATACAACTAGTGAAATGGCGCTTGATACTAGGGTATAAATAAACTCATCATTTGCTACAGGTTTGCATTCTGTTGCTAATATAACCTATCATAGGATCTTATGGACCACCTTGGCTGGATCGAACCGGTCCATATGGTCGGTGTTAGTATGGGAGGAATGATTCTTCAAGAATTTGCCTACCGGTTCCCGGATAGATTGGCTTCTGTAGTATTCCAATCTACTGCGGCTGTGATAAAAGCCGAAGTGGTATGATCTCGCAGACGTCCAACCATAGCCAAATGCACTATAGCTAATTTTCAAACCTCAATAGCCATTCTTCGAAAACTTGAGGCGCAGAGCAGCCCTTATCAAACCCAAGACACTGGAAGAAAGACTCCAGGCTGCGCGTGAGAATCTATTTGGACACAAATTCCTCAACACACCCGACGAAATGGGCACCTTCCCGACAAATGCGGACCGATTCAATGCCGAAGAAATCTGGAAGACGGAAAACGTTAACCAGCCGCCGTTCCTTGGCTTCATGTCACAATTAGTGGCTGCAGGGTGGCATTCGTGTAGTCCCGAGAGGCTGAGGTACATTGGAGATCATGTCAAATATGTCTTGGTTGCTTATGGCGGGCAAGACAAGATGATTGAACCGTAGGAATATCCCTTATTTTGTTGAGATATCATGTCCTAGACTAACAATCAGCTGCCTTGAATAGTCCGCACTCGGAACATATGATCAAGTGTCTCGGTCCTCGGGTAAGATCGCATCTATTCCCAGATGCCGGTCATGTCATTAGCACGGAGCATGTACACGAATACAATGATATGGTGAGGGAGCTCATTGAAGAGGCTGCTGCTTCGGTAAATAATGTACAGTGAAGGAAATGCCGTCTATCATGTTCCAGCCGCGAACTGCAATAATTATGTACAAGTAGATATGGAGGGTTATGGGTCTCAGAGATATCCCAATCTTAGACTATTGTTAATTAGTCGTATGTACCCGCTGGAAAGTTTCTGGCTCTCCGGATTTGGGGTTCTTGGTGCGCATTGTTTTGTATTCTATCCTTTTTGAATGAATGAATGGGTCGAGTTTCCAAGATACCAGTTATTCGACGTATATCATAGCTCTGAAGTAGGGTTTATCGGGTTCACGATGCATTCTTATCGAGGAACTCCTTCGCTTCGTTGATCTTACTAGCGAGGTAGGGGCTGCCGCCACGATCCGGATGGTTTAACAACATAAGCTGTCGATGATGTTTTCGGACATTCGCTTTTGTAAGGTTTCTCTCACTGTATAGCAGAGTCTATTAGCACAGACAAGAAGGAACAAAGTCCTAGCCAGGTAATCTCTTACCTCAGAGATAAGATGAGGGATGCTTCTCGTCGGTTCATTCTGGCATCGAATCCACCTTTGTAGAACTGTTTTCCAAACCCTGCACCTCCAGGAATAGCTTTGTACTTTCGTAAGGCCTGTAGGCTACATATAGCGAGAAAATTGTGTAAGAATCGAACTTTCGGACAGATGGCGGGATAGAAATCATCAAGAAGTAGCTTACCCTACTCGCCCCTGCAGTTTCAAGCTCTTATTAGCAAGTATTCTTTTGAATGATAGTTATAATTATAAAGACTTACCATAAAAGCCGCCGCAGCGACGCCGACGCCAACCCAGACTACATTCATTGAAACGCCTGTTATGAAAAGAAAACGATGGTGGAGTTACTGACAAAAAAAAAAAGAGGTAGATCGAATGAATGAATCTATCTGTCTGGGATGTCGGAGGTTTTTCTTCAATTTTTTCGCTTATTGGTCTGGTCGGGATGCCAAGACCTGTCGCGCATTGCCATCAAGCCGGCTGCAAGTCGCATGGCCTAAGTTTGGTGCCGCAGCTCCTCCACAACATACTCTCGCCAGACCCAGAACTTGTCTGTACGGACCTTCTTTCCATCATGCAAACCCTCCGTCACCGTCATCCCATTCTGCGTACATACACCTTACACGAAAGTCATAGCCCGGTTGTCAGATAGTACCGTTCCTTAAGGAGAGACTGAGGCCACCCATTCCAACATCATACACCAAACCGTCGCGATGAAGAGCCGACCAGTACACCCTGCTAATGGAACTCTAAAGGGTTCCGGGGAGACACTTTATTGCATCTGTAAGAAACCGGATACGGGCAAATGGATGATAGGTTGCGATGGATGCGACGACTGGTTTCACGGGGAATGTGTGAATGTTCGACCCATCGAAGAAGACTTGGTGGATCAATATTTCTGTAAGCACCTCCATTACATCGGCCGCTATTACAAATCCTCCCTAATCGTACGATTTTTATTTTAGGTCCCGGATGCCAGGAGAAGAACCTCGGTATTACAACCTGGAAACGCAAATGTAGACTACCATCTTGTCCACGCCCAGCTGCCACAGCAGCTGAACCGCCATCTAAGTACTGTACCCCGGAGCACGGAGTCGAGTTCTTTAAATCAAAGATTCCTCTAGCCGACTATAATCCCTCTGAAGTCGCAGCTCTCGCAAATGCAGTCAATGATGCTGCCGGTTTCCGAAAGCTAGGCGACAGCGTTCCCGCACCGAGTAGCCCGGCCGCTCGTGCAAAGATTGAAAACCTACTACTTTCGGATTTTGAAAAACTACGTCCACAAAAGGAAGCGATTAATCTTCAGCAAAGCCGCCTTACGGCTCGCTCAAAGTTCATTAACATGGCTAAGGATCGCCAGAAGCGGGTTGCCGACGAACTGCGTGCCGAAGAAAACCAATCTTCGAAGGGAAGTAAGGAAATATGCGGGTTTGACATGCGCCTGGCGCTAGATGATGAAGAATTTGCAGAATGGTGCGAGAGCGAGGAAGGGAAAGCAATATTTGAAAGTGGCGTCATCAGCGGCCGCGAGGACCTCTGCATCAAGAAGAAATGCGAGAAGCATAAGTATTGGTTGAGGATAGCTGTGGAAGATATGGAATTAGAAGAGAGGCTGGTCGCTGAGGGATCAACTGTCCTTACGAATGAAGAAAATGGTCTCCGACAGCGACAGAATATGAAGTCGCTTATGGAGGAGAACCAGCGATTGAGATAGACAATCTGTATACATAGTAAATAAGAGGCGTCAGGGGTGTACTGGAAGGTATTATACTAGTAGCTATATCGAAATTTAGTAGTACTTTTCTAAGATATTGAATCACAAGATACCTTCATAGCCATTATACGGCTCCTACTAAGTTAAGAACAGATCCAGGGTAGCTCTTCGTCTGCGTTGCGTTGCAGTCAGAAGTCTTGGCGCTGATCAAAAAAGTTGGGAAAGCGATTTCTTTCAAATCTTCAAATCTTCAAATTTCTAAAAAACCTCTTCCTTTCCTTCACGACCCCGGTAACTTTGTGTGAAAATGAGGTACCTCCCTAAAATTATACCCTACAATGCATCGCCATCTTATACTAAGTATTCTACTCTAGGATCGAAACCTGTTACTTCTGTTCGCACCCGGTTTACCCTTCCAAGGGTATCACCTTTGTTCGTAACGATGCGAAAGCTTTCCGCTTCTGCAGGTCCAAGTGCCATAAGAACTTCAAGATGAAGCGAAATCCAAGAAAGGTACATTTTATACACAAATATTTCCCATTATATCCTTGAAATAAAGATCTTAAAACTAATATCTCTGCTCCTTCTCCAGCTTAAATGGACAAAAGCCTTCCGTAAATCTGCCAATAAGGAAATGGTCGTCGATTCGACACTGTCATTCGCCGCCCGTCGCAACGTTCCTACAAGATACTCTCGCGACTTGGTCGCCACAACTCTCAAAGCGATGCAAAGAGTTACCGAGATCCAGACAAAGAGAGAGAGGGCGTTTTACAAGCAAAGAATGACAGGAAACACAGCCAATCGCCGCGCTGCCGACAGGAAACTGGTGGAGGAGAACCAACATATGCTCCCAGAGGTTCGGGCCAGGTTACAACAAACGGAAGCCGAGCTATCAGATGCCGAGGAGACAATGCAGGAAGAGGCTATCGCTGTCGCTATCCCCGCGAGACAAAGGCAGGCGAAACGACAGGTTCAGGCTGGAGATGCGATGGATATCGAATGAGCTGCTTACTCGAAAAACTGTCGCATCTAACGGTGTTATGGACTTGTATGATACACTTGCTGTTCACGCGATCTGTATGATAGGAGGAAATGGCGTAGAGGAGTTTGGGTCTCTGAGATTTTTTGTTTTATACATCTGCATCGACATGCATCGAATTGGTCTCGTGGGCAGTCTCCCCCTCAGAAACATACCATATTATCAATTATCAAATAAAAGTTTTTTTCTCCAAGATCGTACAAGCCTTTACAAAAGCAGGCGCTTGGTAAAGTAGCATCATGCTAAGTAGTAATTCAATATAGCTCTAAAATAAAAGAACATCAAAGACAATACCCTTTAGTGCATGCATCCAGCTGACTCGCCACAGTCGGTTTTTTTTTTCAAGAACGGAGGAAAAAAAGTAAAATCCGAGTGGTAGCGCCGAAAAAGCAAAGCCAAACGAGACGACGACACCGATGTGATTTATTTGCAACCCACATTTAACGCCGGCCAGTTCCGCGGTCCCCTCCAAAGTTCAACCTCATCGATGACATCTACAACCTAAAGCGACCCGGCAGATAGAAGAAAGAAAAGAAACGGGTGCGTGTGTATATGAAGAAGAAGATTGAAGACGGGACTTTTCTCCAAACCGACAGAGGCGCCCTTAGTTGGCCACCTACCATAACGCGATCATGATTCCCTCGATACGAGCACTCAAGCCGGCTCTCAGATTACAAAGCCCCTCTACCCGACTGATATATCGAGACCGATTCCCATTACACTCCCAGAGCCTGTTATACCGAAATACCCGTATCTCGAGCGCACCTTTCAGTTCTTCTCAAATCCGAAAGCTCTCCAACCAGACCCCACCATCCGATAAGAAGCCGGAATCAGAAAACAACTCCACTGAGGGGCGTCCCAACGAAAAAAGCCAGGAAACCCAACAGGAGAAGGAAAGCAAAGAGGAGAAGAATCAACAGAGCGGCAATAAAGGACAAGATGGACCGAAATCAGATCGACAAGGCCAAAGCCAGGACAACTTCAATGGTTTCCCAGGTGGTCCTTTCCAAGGTCAAGGTGGCAAGGGTGCCAAAGCCGAGTTCAAAATGGATTTACCGTCGCTAGTCACATCCGCTGTCGTCTCATATATCCTATACCGAACCGTCGTCCCTGGAGAGAATTCACGAGAAATCACTTGGCAAGAGTTCCGGACAACTTTCTTTGACAAAGGCCTCGTCGACAAACTGACCGTTGTAAACCGTCAACGGGTCAAAGTCAGTCTTCATAGGGATGCAGTCTCTCGAGTCTACCCCGATTCGAACCCTGCTGCAGGAAACAGCGTTTATTACTTTAGCATAGGGTCAGTCGAGGCGTTTGAGCGAAGATTGGATGACGCGCAACGGGAGCTTGGAATTCCTAGCTCGGAACGTATACCGGTGGCCTACAAAGATGAGATATCATGGTTCGGAACGTTTTTATCATTCGGCCCTACATTGCTACTTCTGGGTAGTATCTACTGGTTTTCTAGACGGGCTGGAAGCAGCGGTTCGCAGAGTGGTATCTTCGGTATCGGAAAGAGCAGAGCAAAACTCTTCAATCACGAAACGGAAATCAAGACAAAGTTCAAGGATGTGGCTGGTATGGATGAAGCAAAGGAAGAAATCATGGAATTCGTGAAGTTCCTCCAAGAGCCCGGAATCTACAAAAAATTAGGTGCCAAAATCCCACGCGGAGCTATTCTTTCCGGCCCACCCGGTACCGGTAAAACATTGCTCGCCAAAGCCACCGCGGGAGAAGCAAAGGTACCATTTTTCAGCGTCAGCGGTTCAGAATTCGTGGAGATGTTCGTGGGTGTGGGTCCATCTCGTGTTCGAGATCTCTTTGCAAAGGCTAGGAAGAACGCACCTTGCATCATCTTCGTGGACGAAATCGATGCAATCGGCAAGTCCAGAGCTAAATCCAACTTCAGCGGTGGAAATGACGAACGGGAGAGCACGTTGAACCAGCTTCTCACGGAGATGGATGGATTTAATACTTCTGAACAGGTCGTAGTGCTGGCTGGTACAAATAGACCTGATGTCCTTGACAAGGCTCTCATGCGTCCTGGCAGATTCGATCGTCACATCGCTATCGACCGTCCTACAATGGAGGGAAGGAGGCAAATCTTCTTGGTACATCTGAAGCGTATTGTCACAAATGAAAACTTGGATGATCTATCTGGTAAACTATCGGCCCTTACTCCTGGTTTCTCTGGTGCGGATATCGCAAACTGTGTCAACGAAGCCGCCCTTATTGGTAAGACCACCTATGATATAACCACCCTTCCGAGTCTACCTTGTACTAACAAAGCCAAATAGCTGCCCGAAAACAAGCCGATTCCGTAGCCTTGATTTACTTTGAACAGGCTATTGAGCGTGTCATTGGCGGTCTGGAAAAGAAATCGTTGGTCTTGTCTCCTGAAGAAAAGAAAACTGTTGCATATCACGAGGTATGTCCCCGAATATCCCATTGTATAACTTGACACATTCTAATCATTATATCATACAGGCTGGCCATGCTGTCTGCGGATGGTACCTCAAGCACGCCGACCCTCTTCTGAAAGTATCCATCATCCCTCGAGGACAAGGTGCCCTCGGATACGCCCAATACTTGCCACCCGGTGACTCGGTATGCAAAGCCCCCACCCCCAAATATACATCATCACCCCAAAACTAACCAATCAAATAAAAACAGTACCTCATGAATGTCTCCCAACTAATGGACCGTATGGCCATGACCCTCGGCGGTCGTGTCTCCGAAGAACTACACTTCGAAACCGTCACCAGCGGAGCCAGCGACGACTTCAACAAAGTTACAAGAATGGCCACTGCCATGGTCACCAAATGGGGCATGTCGAAGGATATCGGATACCTCTACTTCGAGGAAGATCCAAACCAACTGCATAAACCATTCTCGGAGGAAACAGCACGCAAAATAGATCTGGAGGTCAGAAGGCTAGTCGATCAAGCCTACGAACAGTGCAGAAGTCTGTTGGTCGAGAAGAAGCATGAAGTTGGATTGATTGCTGAGGAGCTGTTATCGAAGGTTCGTCGTCTTCCCCCATTATCTACTTCTCGATTTAGAAACCATTTACTCGAATGCTTTTACTAATATTACAATCAACAGGAGGTCCTCGGCCGCGATGACATGATCCGTATCCTCGGTAAACGTCCATGGGAAGAACGAGACAAGCAATTTGAAAAGTACTTCCATCCAAAGGAATCCAGCGCTCCACCACCACCCGCCACCGAAATGCCACCTGAACCTGAACCTCGACCGCTATCTACTTAATCCCCCCCCTCCTTCTTTCTTCCTCATCTTCCTCCTACTCCTCGCCACCATGATTATCCATCCCACCCCATGATATAACAGATATCCTCCACTCCGGTTATTGAGTTACTTTTTTATTTATTATATTATTACATCTTTCTTTTAGTTCTTGATCACACAGACACACATAAACAACCGGATTGCATCTTTATATTATTGTTTTTTTTCTCTCCCCATATCTCTACCTTTCCGAATTCGTTTCGCTGTATATACTAATTCCGACTACATCGTAAGAGCCCAAAAAAAAAGGGGGGGAGAGAGAAAATGAGAGCGAGCGAGAGAGAGGGAAAGAAGAATATGGTAAGGTGAAAGTGAAGTATTAAAAAATTTTTAAAAAAATAACCTTAATTAGTATGTAAAAAAGATAACTACTTTGTATATAACAAGAAGGAAAAAGAACGAGAGAGAGGTAGCAGATGATTTTTTTTTTGTTCCCTTTGTTATTAGTCGGATGAAGTTGGAATAGTGTACATAAACCACCCACTCCGAGAAGAACGGATGCAATGCATTTGTAAAACAGAATAAACCCTCAACTTAAGTCCAAAAAATCCCAAAACAAAAAAAAAAAAACAATGCAATGCAATGCAATGCAATAGTCGACCTCGTCTCGTCGATATAATTAATGTCTTTAGAAATCCATAAGAACGAAGGGACCCTTTTCTGTTCCTTTTTCTATTATTTATTCTTATTCTCCTCCGCCTCTTCTTCTGGGAAGTAAAAGCCACCTTCCTTGACTGCTGAAACCCTAGGTAGGAACATACTGACGTGCTTCTGGTAGACTTTATAGTCCTTGTACTTGCTAGATGTGATAACTTCCGTCAACCATGTTGAACCCTGGAATAGGAGCAAGTAACCAAGTGCGCCAACTCCAGTCCAGTTATAGACGCTATCAGTGACTATAAAGTGAATTTAATCGTCAGCATTCGAAAGAGACAAAGTTGGATTAATAGCTTGGGCTTCAAGATCAAAAAAAATACTTACTAAATGCAGACCACTGGTACAAAAGAGCCCAGAACAACTGTTCACCCACAAAGTTTGGATGCTGTGGAATTTAATAGTTAGCTTTGGGATGCAAAAAATCAACTATATGAAAAGAAGGGTATTCCAAAACATACTCTAGAAAAGGCCCAAAGTCCACTATACAAGAACCCACGTTCAAGTTCTTTCTTATCCCACCCAAGCGGGACAGCTCCAGTTTTCTTGAACTTCTCCTTATTTTGATGATAAGCTATAAAAGTTACACACCGGTTAGCCCGTTACACACATATAAATGTATTTAAAAAAAAATTTAAAAAAAGATCAATTACGTCATACCCCACTGTTGCTGGTCCGCAAAGAATTCAAGGATAACAGCCAAAGCCATAAGCCGAGAAAACACAACATCCGCCGTAGTATTCACATCGGTTTGCGGGAAGTTCTTAGTAAGAATCAAGAATAGATAAACTGGTGTCGTGATAGCAACGAGCAGGATGTTTTGCCCGAAGCTAATAAATGTGAGATTCAAAAGAAAGAAGGCGGGTCCGCCAATTGCTTTGCGAACGATTTCCCATCTGTAGTCTTCGGATGACCACTGGTATCCGCCTTTTCTCCAGTAATTGTAAGTGAGACGGATGCTCCAGATTACCGCGACTACAGCAGCCGTGTCAATGCGGTCAGTTCGCAAGTTGTTGATGTTGGCCCAGACCGAGTAGTGAACAATGTAGGCAGCAGGAAGGATACTCCATAGACGGTCAACTTGACTGAAGTTCCTAGTGATTTCTGAAAGGATAAAGACAAAAGTTGATAGAACTAAAGAAAACAGTACAGTAGTTGCAAGGGGGTCTGTCTGCTTATAAAATGAAAAGATATCTAGCTCGCCAGCGGCAACCAGTTGGACGTCATTGACTGCATGTTGGAGGAGTTGAAGGATACTAGGCGAAGAATGTGGTATTTCAAGAATATTCGAAAATGAAGGAAGGGCAGCCATCTTGAAGGTGCCGTAGGTTGAACTGTACGAAGATACAGTTTAGGTCCTACTGGGGGGAGGCTTTTCTATTTAATATCGTCCGATACAGTGGGTCGTGTGTCCGATGTTAAAGGATAGTCCTCCGTGCATGCTCTAGAACGAGACCTTTTAGCTGTGTTGGGTCTCCCGCAGGAGCTTTGAGCACCCAACAACCGGATCTCAGTCGACAACACACGGGTGCCTTGCCTTGGCCTCAGTCTAACCACCATTGGCAGTTAAATCATGTACTTTGCACATATCTTGCAATCATATCATGCAATGTTAGCATCCTTAGTTTCATAGGTTTCATATTGAACTGATACAGGCCTGACTTACCTCCCTGTAGGTGCTGAGGTGCTGACTAACTCTCGCGTATACCCCTCGATACTGCTCAAGGCATTGGTGGACCACATCTTCCCTTGCCAACTCTCCTTTGCAAATTCGCTTCATGTTAACTTCCATCTATTTCCATACCCAAATCAACATATTAGCAAAATTCTCGAATATCATATGAATCTGGATATCTAAGTAGATATCGAAATAAGAAGAAAGAATACTTACCTCTTTGCGAAGAAACGGCCTGCTCAAACTCATCTCGGCAGCAATCGTATCATACGCCTCAACCAGCGCCACACCAAGATTGCTCGGAACGAACACATTCTTACCCCCTCCCCCTTCAGCTCTCCCACTCCCACCAGCATCTCTACCGCCCCTTCCTCTTCCTCGCCCTCGTCCTCTACTAGTACCTGTGCTTTTACCCCCACCACTTATGCAAAACACATACTCTCTCTGCTGAATCTTCTCAATATGTTCTGCCATCGTAGCATCCGTTCCAATCCCATTGGCATCCATAAGAGCAATAAGCTCAGGTTCAGTAAGGTACCCTGGTGCCGAAGTCTTCCCATCCGTCATGGTCACTTCATTAGGCACAAATCGTTCTCCTTCTTGATATCTCGGTAACATCTGAGAAGACTCCCATCTGTCCCAGGGATATACGTCAAGATAGTTCCGTTCTAGAACCGTCAATCCAGATGCATGAAAACCCTCACCACCGTAATCAATATTAACAGTAGTTGTCTCGCCAATCGCATCTTCTGAACAGCATGCTAGAAAGTGCCTGACGACGAATTCATAGACCTTTCTTTGATCGGCATCAGCCAGAGCTGCTGAGGCAGCATAAGCTACTGGGTGGATTGGAGGATGAGCTTTATCATTGTTCTTTCCGCGCCTGGGTTGCTCAAATGCACCATCCAATAGCCTGTGTTTTTCATGTTAAAGCCTGGTAAAACCTTCAATGGAATCTACACCACTCACCCAGTAGCATAATCACCCCAGCCCCAACCGCCAGTATCATTAGTTTGCTTCCCAATCAGGGCTTGAAGGTTGACAGCTTGATCATACTGATCGGTTTCCGTACGAGGGTAACTAATAAACCCAGATGTATACAAACCTTCAGCAGCCTGCAGTATGAAATAAATTAATACTGATCTTCTCATACCTCCAAAATCATTTCACCATACCTTCATAACCCTCTGAGAATTCATGCCCAAGAATCTACTACCCTGTTTCTGCAACTCCACCGTCGTCAAAGGTAGAGGTTTGCTATATAATAAATTAGTAACATGCCTCCTTTGGAAATATATAAACCGGCGACGTACTATTTCCTCGTCGGCTTCCTCGCTACGCTTTTAACAAGCGCATCAGGGCTTGACATGCAGCTCTCAAAAAGTAAAACAACCGCCATTCGATCAAACAATCGTGACCGGTCCCAATTATATGTCGTCGAGGTCCCATCCCGAGTATGCATCAACTTCAACGACCAGAACGGCTCTGGCACGAAGTTCTTGACTCTCATATACCTCTCAACCACAAAGCCAAGAGTAGGGAACTGACATGACCCTATAGAAAGAAAAATAGATGGTTAACAAATTGTACTTATTGATTAATTACTATCGTCGCACCCTTCTTACCATAGCTTATCAGAGCATCCCCAGCAAGCCCCCAGCGTCCCTGGAGCTTCAAGCTCTGGAACCTCGTTAAAGCAGCTCCAATTCTAAGATCTAGTTCCATACGTGCAGAAACAGCCAACGCCTGTCTTTCATCTAGATCCTTCGGATTATGTGCAGCCCGAATGACATGGCTATAATCCTCCCAATGATACATTAAGTCAGCCAAAGTATACCTTACATTGATAGCGAGACTTGAGGAAAACAGAATCAAAGAAAAAGAAGAAATCTCACCTCTTCTCAATATTACTAAACTGCGCTCTCTTAACTTGAATGTTTGGATTCCCCCTTTTCGCGAAAGTCCGAACCTCGGTCCCAATATACTCCCCTTCTCTATCACAATCCGTCCAAATAAACAGAATCGTAGCATTTCTAGCTTCTTTCTGAATATTATCCGCAATACTTCGTTTATCCTATAAAAAAAGGGATTTCGCTACGCATTAGTCTCTCCCACTCTTTCGGATCATTCAGACATCGAAAAAAATCAAAAAGTGGAGGAAGAATCAATTCCCAAAAAAAAGAGAAATAAAGAAATAAAGAACCTACCTTCTCAATATTCTTCGTAATAGGCGCATCAAACAATTCAACAGGATCGCAATCAGACCATTTACGAAACCGATCCACAAAATCAATCTCCTCCGTATGCCCCTGAACAGCAGTCATAGTAACTTCGCAATGATCCCATTGATTGAACTTATAATCAAAATCATAGTTCCTAATATATTTATTCCCCGTTTGTCTCTGATATATATATAATATTAGCTTTTATCAACATACCTACAAGCTTAAAACGCCAAAGCTCCAAAGCTAAGACCCTAGCTCTTATAACTCACCAAACAAACGCAAAAGAGAGAGAGAAAAAGAGGATGACTTATTATTGCATGAACATACCGTTTGAAACCTTCCTCCGCTGAGATGCCCAGCAACTGCTTTAGCTACCGATGACTTTTCTGCTACACAGAGTACCTTCACCATTTTTGTACGCTGAAGTTTTAAAAAACTGATGATGATGACGATGAAGGAGAAGAAGAAATAGGAAATTAAGCTAGGTGGGTGAGGTGTGCGTCCGATGGTGTTCATGCCAGTACTTATATCTCGCGTGTTGCCGTTAAAAACAGGCACGTATTTTGGGAGCTTCAAAAAATGCAACAGGGGAGCAAGGCATTGGATCCTGACCAACTTGCAACAGGCAAACTTAAAACTTCTGGATCAATGTTTCGAGTCCTCAGTTAAGCTAACTAAACGAACTTATAGAGATGGGCAAGGTTTGAACTCCCTAGTACTAGTGCTCCGAGTACATAATGCAAATGCTTCCTATATGAATTTATGATAAGAGCCCCGTGTATACTACCACTACAACAGCTAGCTACTATAAAATGCCTACTAACCGCTTTCTCTCCCAAAAGAAAAGCTACCAAGTTTCGAAAAAGACGTATTACCACAAACCAAACTAGAGGTTAGGCACAAAGAAGTATACATACAAAGAAAGCTTTAGCTAAATAAATTTGATTTCGATAAAAAAAGAAAAGAAGGAGGAGAAGAAAAAGAAAGAGAGCCTTGATTATAGGGGAAATGGTCAAGACAAGAAAAACCAACCACTGCTTTGCTTTGCCTTTCACTTTTGAATAGACCCAGTTTATTTCTTTCACCACAACGTCCCTTCTCCGTTTCTACCACCAACGATCCAAGACCTAAAGCATATAACAAACCCCGAAATTAAGCTGGCTCAGACCAGTCGACTTGGTCCGTGGAGTTCTCCGCCCCAGTTGCGTGTGCTACCCTTAATCTAAGCCTCAGTGGCGGCTGCAAAGCAATTATCCATTAGTAAATGTCATTAAAAAATCACAAGTTAACATAACATTGCTTCTCACCTTAAGACTACCCTGAACCTTCATCTGCTGTGTCGCTTCTCCTTGTGGCTGCAACTCCGTGCTGCTAATAGGCATCAACTGCAGCTTCTGACTCTTCGGTACAGCAGCCTGCAAGGAGATACCGTGCATGGCATCTGAAAAACTATTGTTCTTAAAGCGAGCAAGGATGGCAACCAGTCCATCGGCATTTCGTTGTAAGCTCAAAGTTATGAGAAGTCCCTTCTTGTTATACACGGTATGAGCGTTGGCTGCGGGTGCTTGTTGTGGTTGAGGAGCAGGGCTCGAAATTCCAGATCCAAGATCCCCTAACAGACTGCTCGCTGGTGGAGCTGCAGCCGGTGCTGATGGTCCACTGCTGAATAGATCCAGGATATTATTCACAGATGCAGCGGCAGGTGGCGCCTGTGCGATTGGAGAAGTTCCACCAAACAAATTCATGATGTCGGCGTGTCCATTGGCTTGTGTCGGAGGCGCAACAGGGGCAGCAGCTCCATCATCGCTGAAAAGATCCAGCAAGTCATCAGCGCCTGACTTCGGTTTCGCAGCCGGTACCTTGGTCTTCGCCTTTCTACTACCAGGTCCTGTATCACTAAGGACTCTATCCTCGGTCCGAGCTTCTGGCGGAGGCATTCTCTCCAAAACACCCCGTCGGACGCCATCGTGTCCAAAGAGATTGCCGTATTCCACACTTCGCTGCTGAATCTCAACATCAAGACTGTCCGAGCTGGCTATTAATACGCGGCGCACTCTCTCGATTTGGCTTGGGTCGTTTATTCTTGTCGTAAGCTTCATCAAGCTGGTCATGATGTACTCGTGAATGACACTGTTGACATATGCGGAATCGACAATGCCCGTCAGGAGATCAACAATATCCGATTCCTTAACATCCTGAACCAATTCTTCTTCTTCGTAGGCACCGCCCTTGAGCAAAAGATCGCCGTATTCGCCAATAACCCAAGCTCCCGCCAAAGTCAATGCCTCCTGTGTGATATCCGTCCGAAGAGCAGAATACAATTTTTGAACGGAATAGGTTTGCAATTCTGGCTTGCTTGTCGCTATCAGGCGGATAAAGCTAGAAAGAATCTGCTCCTTGACGAAATTTCCGGCCTATAATTCACAATAATTGGTTAGTTCGTTACTAGTTTTACCATCAAAAATCATCGAATCCATAGCTAACCAGTTTCAGAACCCTCAAAACAGTATCAATATGCCAACGTTCATTCGGCGCAAACTTCTCTGCAGCAATACAGATCTGAGTCGTCATCGCGGGTTTGAATTCATTATTAGCAACCTCAAGGAAAGCGAGGAGCTCGCGAACCAGCACCCGGATGTTACTATCGTTGATCAACGTAAACGATAAATCCAAAGCCCTCCTCCTGATCGAAATATCCGGATCTCTCAAACAATCCAATATAGTATTCCTGTGCCGCTGAACAGCGTTCGGCTCGAGATTGACAACCTTGATCAAAGTATTTAAAGCAACATAACGGATATTGTTATCCTTATTGCTAAGAAATTTGCCAAGAATATTGATACCAAGAACTCGCAACCCGCTATCGGCGTCAATATCCAAGATTGTAAGAACAGCTTCGTATAGAATCGAATTGCCAACATTCTTCGAAGAGTCGGTGTTTGTAGCAACTTGTGCTAGGATATCGTTGATCTGTTCGCTCACTCCGGAATCACCTTTGCCCATTACTCTTAACAGCTGAAGTATCTTAACCTGAAGGAACGGATCGGTAACACCAGTAACATCATGCTCCGGCGCATACCCTGCTGTCGTCAATGCCTTCAGTTGTTTCACTAGGACCGGTGTGTACGTCTTGAACTGCTCAACAAGGTCGGGATCGTGAATGCAAAGATCGATGATTAACGTAAGACTGCACAACAAGACCCCGTGATTTCTATCCTGCAAAAGTAACTTCGTCTTCTCGATAAAGTGTTCCTGGAGATCTGGAACCTTGCGTATTATCCTCATGGCGCAAAGAGCCGCCTTTTTCCGTATATATGGATTCGCTGTCGATAGCAAGCCTTCGATCTCCTGGAACAAATCTCGTGCCATTTCTGTCGATGCGATGTTTCCCAAAGTACATAGCGCCAATCCGACAACGTACTGATTGCTGTGGTTTAAGTCACTATATCCCAACCGATTAGCTTCAAAAGGCACGAGCTATCCAAATAAAGGAACCTCCTATATACTTCTTGAGAGAATTCGTGACCAATGTCAAAACCTCCTGATTCTCATCTAGCAACAACATAGTCCCAAGGTACCCCAGTCGTTTATCGGCAAACCGTGGCGAGGCTAGGAGCTTGAGACACTCGATCTGGCCGAAGTGTGTCCTCTCACCGAGCGTGAATAGATAAAGAAGCTTCGCAACATTATTGCGACTTTTTTTTTGCTCAGAAGTATATTAGTATTTGAACGACTTCCTCGAGTACAATCGGACCGGATAAGGGATCAAAAATACCGGATTGAAGAATCCGCAGACTCTTCTCGAAATGAAGCTCGTATCGCTGCACTCTCCTTTTGAATGACAGCTCTCTCGTCGGCGATAGTCTTCGATGCGCGCACAGCTCTAATGAATTGCTTCACTATCAAACAAGTTAGAACGCACGTATGCACCCCAGTAATAGATATACTTAAAAAGGGGGAGAAAAAAGGGTTAACCCACATGAGCTTTGTGAGAAATTGAATGCCATGATGCTACTGTCTTTTTAAAAACTAACAACCTCACCTAGAGGTGTTCACGGTATTCTCCCAATGTTATCGCCAAAACGTACCACCTCAACGAAGCTTCCAATTCGAGCCCAACAGGTCGTAAGTTCCGTTGCGTGTGCCTCGGCGTATAATATTCGGTGCTTTTGGGGAGGAGTGGGGTTTTTTTGCGTAAACGTGTCTATGGTGCAAGTTCAGCCGACGTACGGGATTATATGTATGGTGTCCGTTTGGCGAGCTATTTGCTAGGTCTTGAGGGAGCCTCCGGGGAGCTACGTAAAGGGTCACAAAGCCGGTCTGAGGCCGAGTCCGTAGGGAATGGAGTGCGAGGCGAAGGAAGGTATATCGGTTTGGTCGCGATAAGTTGTGGACGACGAGGACGTACGTAGCCAGGTAGTGGGAGAGGTCAGGTTGCGGTTTGGAGCTCCCAGGGTTCTCCCGAATTGGGCAAAGGAAATACCACATCTACTCAACCTCAAAACCGCGTTGTCAGCGATGCGTGATGCAGTCCTTGTCAGACATCGAATTTTCACCACATCTAACGGATGCGCGTTTATGGACTACGGTATTCGCAGTTGAAAATGATACATAGTGGATGAATTCAGTGCCTCGATCTATATATCTTACATAGATATTGATCGGAATATAATTATAAGACCAATGCTGCATTAGTAAAGTCTCAAGACCAGCCGCCCTAACTAATAGAAGCAACCAACTAATGATATAAATATTATATTCTATCATAGTATAGCCACACAGAACTCATTTCTACCTCTAGCCACCCATCAATCTTACCTTATTCCCCAAGAGCACACTTGTTAATTTGACATTTGTTATTCCATTCGTTCTGATTGATTTCGTCATATCGCCCGACGGACAAATCCAGCTAGGCGCTCAACATATGTTATACTATTAATTTTGGATCATAAAGCGAGAGTAGAGGAAAAAAAGATAAAAAAGCAGGGAAAACGGCCAACGCTAGCTATCAAAAAACGCCTTGTTCTGTCTGAGTAAGGAAATATCTCGTATCAAAGAAGAAAATGGGGGTGATAGTGGAGTAATGGGAGTAAGCAGTAGAAGAGGGGGGAAAGATAAATAAAAGGGTGAGGTAGTGGGTGGGGGCGTTCGTAAAGTCAGTACACAAGGTTTATGTCTCGCTGTACCGCTGGAGAAAATAAAAGAATAGAAAGGAAAAAAGTTAAAACTAAGTAAAAGGAAGGAAGGCCAGATAATTTTTGAGGAGAAGATCGCCATTCATCGCAAAAACCATCGCTGAAAGCAGGATTACTCTTCCTGTATCTCTTCCTCTTCGTCCTCATCATCTTCTTCATCAACAAGAGGGGTGTCTTGTTCTTCTCTATCATCGTAATAAGCTTGATCCGGTGCCAGATTACCGTTAGTGTGTGAAAGGTGGTTGAGGTGGTTGCGGAGCTTAGCCACACCGGGCCCACTAAAAACACAGAAAACTGCCCTCTGGTGCTCGTTGAACTCTATAAAAGCGAGATTAATTAGTCAATGAGCATCGAAAATCTGGTCTGCGAGATTCTCTTACCGTTTGGCGGGGGGCGGCAGAAACGAGTCAGATCCTTGCGGAGAAAACAAACAACCCCGGTCAAACTGAGATGAGTGAGTTTGGTGCACGAGTTGATTAATTCGTGAATGCCCTAAGTTGCTTGTTAGTCGAATTCAAAGCAAAAAAAAAAAAAAAAGGTAATATGTAAAAAAGAAGGTAAAGGGAGAAGGTAGAAACACATACATCAACAGTGAGGTTCGTGCAATAGGAGAGATGAACTCTCTCTAGTGCACAGGGATGGGACCTGGACGAATGTACAAGTGCCATCAACGACCTATCGGTGATATTACTGCACTTGACCAAGCCAATCCTTCGAAGTTTCGGGAGGGTGGCAAGTTGAGTAATACTTCGGTCCGTCAATCTCTGACAACAAGCAAGGTCGATATATCTAATTCTATTGCAAGATCGGATCAATTGTGCGATGGCTTGGTCGGTCAGCTGCGTGCAGTGTCCCAGATGCAGATAATGTAGATTTTTAGTCAACTTTGTAATCGCAGTAACTGCACGATCTGTGATAAGCCTGCACTTTGCCAAAACCAGATTGCGTAACCTGGGTGCAATTTCGACAATGTGCTCGACGCTGTCATCCGTCAATTTATCGCAATTGGTGAGATCGAGGATCCGCAAGCTTTCGTATGGTCGGTTAGGGATCCCAGTAAAGGCAGCATCTGTCAACAGATCGCAATGGCCGAGACGTAATTCTCGAAGGTGTGAGAGTTTCCAGAAGATATCGAGGACGGCTTGGTTGGTGATCTTGTTGACTTTGTGGAGGTCGAGTTCGAGAAGGTTGGGACAGTATTTCGTGAAAGCCATGACACTTTCGTTTGTGATTTGGTCGCACTCGTTCAATTTGAGCTAAAATAGTCAAGAAATCCGTTAGCTTAGCTCTCGTCGAAAGGATAAATTAGGATTCGGATTTAGGATTGTTCCCTCTCACCCGCTTGAGATGAGTGCAATGAGCTGCAACAGCAACCATAGAAGCATCCGTCGTCTTCTTGCACTCAGTAATGTTGAGTCCCTGGAGTCTCTTGCAGTTGTGAGCAATAACATTCATCGAGAGATCTGTAACATCGATGAGACCCGATAAATCCAATGCTAGCAACTTGGGATTGTTCTCCAGAACACGCATGATGCTAGTATCGGTGACCTGAGCGCAGTTCGTCAACGTCAATCGCTCGAGCCTGTTACAAGCAGCCAGAGCCAAAACAGTTCCATCGTTGAGAGTTTCTGTCAAAGTCGTAAGATTTAGGCGTTTAATGAGCGAAGCGTAGGGAAAACTCGGCTGTTCCATCTGTATCGTCTTGGCCAAGCTTTCGAGGCTCTTGAATTTCGAAATGTAGGGTCGGATCCATAGCAATTCCACAGCACATCTTGCCCACGACTTGCAGACGAAGACACACGATTGAAGGTCTTGGGGTGAAGCAAGTCGTCCGAAGATAGCGAAGAGAAGCTCTGGAGGCAAGTAGGCTGTAGGCGATACCTTCATATCTTCAAACTGTTTTAGGTCTTCGTCCTCGGTTTCCTTGCCATCGTCGACGATCGAGGTCGAACTATCATTTGCAGACTGTTGGAAGAAGTCATTTTCGAGTTCATCTTGTACATTCCTTTCTGGGCTTCCGGTACTGCTCGAATAGTCGTAACGAGTCGGATCTCGTGCTGTTGGTATGGTTGTAGAAGCCATGGTGTGAGAGGGTTGTCGATTGACGAAGAAGCAGATTGGGTGGTGGATGCCTGCCTGCCTGTGTTAGGCTGCTGTTATGAGCGGATTTGTCTCAAAACCCTCAGATGGACAAATACCAAAGCCAACGTCGATGAGGTGACTTGTATGTGTGTGAAGGATTCGGTGTGGAAGTCGGGTAGAACAAGCGAAGGAATTAGGGCCGTGCTCGTGGTGGTTCCGTGGTGGTGGGTGGTGGCGGACTATCTTTGGAACCTTTGAGGAGGGAAGATCGGGTCAACGAGGCTCGGTAGTTGACTAGGAGAGGAGAGAACAACCGACAGGAAGATGGGAGAGAGATAAAGTGAGCCGGTTTGATGGAGATAGCTAGTGACAGTTTGATGAAGCAGGTTCCTAGCAGGATGGGATCGGGTTGAAGAGAAATTTTGAAGTTGAGGAATTTTCGATGTTCTGTTTTGGGGATGTCGGATATTTTTGGTAAGCGGGGGGGTTTACATAGGACGTTTAATAGTTGCATCTGTTTGGTGAGGGAAGAAGGCTGTGTGGGACCGCTGGCTGGCTGGCTGGCTGGCTGGCTGGCTGGTTGGTGAGGTAAGCCAGCCAGCCCTGCTTTCCCACCAAGTTTATACATCCGCCCCGCCCTACAATTATTAATATCCTTTACTTAATTACTTCTTAAGATCTTCAATATCATATAGTATTCAATCTCGTTCATCGCATTGCATTTAGATTCAAAAAACATCCAGCAGGTCAATATATATATACTTGCGAGATTAATCCTACCTCAGGTATGTCTGTCAAAAAAGTAAAATAGCTTATCCACCAATCCAATCCAATCTGTTATATTTTGTTTTTTGTTAAAACCATATTGCTCTCGTTTGTCTTCTTTCTTTCTTTCTTCCTTTCTTCCATTGTGTCCATAACAAAAAGGGCTCTTTTCTTTCTTTCTTTCGTTTAAATTTTTTTCTTTTTTTTCTTTCTTTCTTTTCTCCTCCTTTTGTTTTACTTAAACTTCTGTGCTTCGCTTTGTATAAGGTATATATACCTATATATATATATGAAGAGTTTGTATATACCTCGAGGCCGATAGTTAAGTTAGCTAAGAACGTACCCCCTCGCTGCCTTTGGAACACGAAGAAGAAACGTAACAAGACCACGACATTCCCATTGACCGATTGATGCTTACAAAAAAGCAGGGAATAATATAATATAAAATAAAAAGAAGGGCACAGAATAGGGACACATCGAATAAACCGAGCATAGAGAGCAGACACAGTGGAAACGAGAATCAGAAGGAGGGGAAAAAAGGACTTGAGCTTTTAGTTTGGAAGGGGGGGAGGGGGAGGTTTTTTGTAACATGACACAGTGAAATGGACACGTTCGAGCCATCTAGGATCAGGTACGTCGAGGGATTAGAGGGTTAAATCCGTGCATGCAGACAGTCGTGCAAAGTGAATGAGGAAAACCCGTCGACAGGAAGAGATAGTTAGAGTAGTAATAACAGTAGTATGAAAGGAAGTTAAGACACGTCAAAAGGAAAAAAAGAGATAAGGAAATAATAAAAAAAGGAAAAGAGGTTCTTCCCAAGTTATTCAGATAAGTTGGTAGTAGTAGAGTAATAGTAGCAAGCCTCAATTGGCGATAATTACACTCGCGAGTGTCCAATTTATTTTCCCAAGCTTGGGAAGGCAGACTCGTCAGAGACGTTCAGGCCGCCTCTTTGGCCGCCGCGACCGCCACGGAACTCGCCACGACTTGGACCACCACGGTGTGGGCGGTCTCCACCGCGGTCTCCACCGCGAGCACCTCCGCGACCTCCACGGCCACCCCTGTCAGCGCTTCCGCGTCTTATCGATCTAGGATCAACGAATCCGTGGTCGATTTCGACAACAGACCTCTCATTCCTGCTCTTAAGCTTCTTCTGCTTCGACTTTCCACCAACGAAATATTCCTCGCCATCCTCCTTGACGAGCTCCTTAGCACCAAGCCACTTCTTGTTATCACGGGCACCCTCGTTGGCACGACGAGCCTCTGGAAGCTCCTCGATTGGGGCACGGGATTCAAGCTCGGCCTGGTACTGAGCGAAGGACTTGGTGTTGTCCTCTGGTTCTGGCTCAGCGACTGGCTCCGCAGCTTCGGTAGCCTCTGGCTGTTCACCCTCAGCGGCGGCGGCAGTGGCAACAGGAGCATCACCGGCGGCTTCGGTTTGAGCGATGCTTTCACCAGCTTGCTCTTCGTTCCATTCGTTCTTGTTGTTACCCCAGCCTTGAGAGACTTGCTTGTCGGTGTCACTATATTACAAGTTAGTAAAACTCATCGAAAGGGCTAAGCCCTCGCTAATATGAAAAGCAAAAGAAATAACTTACAGTCTGCCAGTGCCGCTGTGACGCTCGAATTCACGGCCTCCACGGCCTCCACGACCGCCACGACCGCCGCGACCGCCGCGATCACCGCGCTCTCTTAGACCACCTTGTTGGTCAGTTGGCTTGGATCGGTTGTTCTCACGGCCGGCTCCACGGTCTCGGAAAGCTAAAGGCGATGGTTAGTCCCGGATGACAACGAAAGAAAGCGCAGCGACATCATAATGATGATAGAGGCCATTCAAAAATAGAAGGGCCGAGTATCAGAAGAAAAAAGAATACCCGAGGGTAGAAGAAGAAGGGAGGGGTACATACCGCCTTCGTTTCCTTCACCGCGGGGACGACGAGGGCCACGGGAGTCAGCAGCAGCGGGGGCAGCAGCCTTTGGAGGAGCGACATCAGCTTTCTTAGAAGTGGTAGTCTTCTTGACAATCTCCTTCATTGGTGGCTTTGGAGTATCGTTCTCATCTTCGATGTCGTTGCCTGCACCAGTTTAAATCGAGTTAGACGCTTTTGATTCATCGGGGGCAGGTTTCTCTCTCTCTCTCTCCATGCAAAAAAACCATGGGTTTTTTTTATGTTTAAATTTTGATATTTTTTTTGGAATATTTTATTCTCCGGGAACGAGAAGGGAACATGAAAGGAATGGCTCTGTACCAAGGAGGTCGAAGGGATTCTATGACGATGATTTCATTGATGTTAGCTCTGCCGATATCAGATAACTTCCTCCTCCACCTCCACCTCCATCAAACAAGACGAATAGCATAAATTAATATCCAAAATCCCCATATTTTATTCTACCTTCTTCCTCCAATTATCTCGAGTTCTGCATCTCCATCCCACAAACTCCCCATCTCTTCCTCCTTTCGCCGACCTTTTTTTTTTTTTTTTCGCTGCCCGGAAAAAAAAAAACCTCACACAAACTAGGGCTTAAACCATCCTTGGAGGGGAAAAACCAGAGGGAGAGAAAAGCGAAGACTTACTTTAGAAGCGACGGCTGCCATTGCGAAATGATTGCTTGCTCACGCTGTGGTGAGACTTTATGGGACAGAATACCACAAAATACGAAGGGTAAAGTAGACCGTCGACGGACTGGATGAGGGTGGGGAGAAGAAGCGTGAACGGTCGAAAGTGGGTTGGTGGTGATGTGGAATGCAAAGGCAAAATGTGGGTGGGATTTTTGGAAGGGATGTGTGTGTGTTTGTGTGTGTGTGTTTTTTGTGGGTGGCCGAAGCTTAGTCTTTTGCAGTCTTTTGTTGCAGGCTAATGTCCAATGCGGCAACACGCCCGCTTTCGAGACTACGTATTTTCCCTCTGCCGACTTCAGATACTCTAACGACTAGCGAGCGATGGAATTGATTTGGTTTGATTATGATATGATGCCTGAATGCTTGGTTATACTACTAAGTATATATAAAAAAAGAGAAACAGGAAGGGTTAATGGTGACATGCATTCTGATCGAGAACTACTGCAAGCAAGTATTCTGCAGATATAAAAACCCATGTCTACTACCGCTACCACCACTCCCACGACTGCTGCTGCTACTACTACCACTAATAAATAGTATAATAATATCCTACTCAATCAAGAACAGCTAATTAAAAATGAAAAGATGCAATACCGTATACCGATGATGAATGCAACAGCATCAATGCAAATCGACGGGACACCGGATGAAAGCTAGTAAATTCCCGAGTGACCCTCTCACTAATATCCCTGATCCCAAGAGAACCGCTGTGCCAGAAACAAAAAGGAAATAAGTTAAGTCAAATAAGAAAGCAGGATGAAGCGGAAGCGGGGAAAGGCGAAATAAAATAAGTAGTACGATACGAAGACCGGGAAATGGATGTGTAGAAGCAAGGCGTTTGACCACTGCAGTTTAAAAAAAAAAAAAAGAGAAAAAGAAACGGATATGCCGCAGTCGAGACCAAAAAAAATAAAATATGAAAGGCGAGGACACCACGTGCCGGTGGCCTATGGGGGAACGCCTGCAAAAAAGATTGGAGGCCGTATCGTCGTCAATTAAAAGATAAAACGAGCAAAAAAAAAAAGCTACCAGACACGAAGCAGAAGAGAGAGAAAAAAGTAAAGTAACAACATGCCATCCGCAAAATATATCATCCTTACGACATCTTAGACACCTCTTACGAACCATCTCGCTTCTTCCCCTTCGACAAGCTCTTCACTCTCTTCAGAAGTCCACTGCCTTGCTCAGGCATACCTGAGTTGTTGACTCTATCACCCGACATAGTTCTCCCCATACCGGGGTGCGATGGAGCTCTATCTCTGTATCTTCTCTCATCTTCGGCTATCTGGATCCTCTCGCCCTTCCTGTCCCATGCTGAGTCGTAATCATCCCCGTAGTTCTCTCGGGGTTGCGAAACGCTTCCTTTGGTAGCTCTGTTAATTGGGGGTGGCCCGCGGGGAGGTGATGTTGGGGTAAATGGTCGCACCGGATAGTCTTCATTTGTTGGGGAATTCGACTTGCTCGGCTTGTGCCGTCGGTCGAATCCAGGTGCAATTCTAGCTTCTCCCTCTGGGCCCGATGGCTTCTGTGAACTCTTACCACGGAACTTTTGGGCCAACGATTTCTTTCGCTGTAGCCCACTAGAATCTTTATCTTTAGTTGCTGATGTCGTTGGTCGTAGCTCTTCTTCGGCTTGTGCTTTCTCAATTGCCTTCTTTGTAGCTGGTGTACCTTCCAAGAAGGTCGATGTTCCTAGGCCGAGAGATTCGTCGCCGTGGATGACTGCGCGGCTGACAGGATCGAATGATGCTGCTCGCTTCCCGATCGGCCTCGAAGGGTCGGCCAAATCGTCGGCTGCAGAACCTCTTCTCCCTGCGGAGAACTCAGAGTAGGCTTCGGGGTCTCTGTTTCCAAAGAGGTTGCTGTGATTACCCGGCTTTAGGTCGAAATCAAAGCCACCGAGCGCATTGTTCTTAGAGCCTTCTGGGAAAGCATGCATAGGAGCACGGCTCTTGTTCTTGTTGCGGTGCGGATTGCAAGCATCGAACGGACCATCGTGATGGAATACTAGAACCCCAAACATTAGTTGCCGCTTCAATTATCTAAAATAGTGATGAAGGATCTATTCAGAATACTTACGTCCGCCTCCATAGATACCAGTGACATCAAGCTTATCAATAAGATCAACTCCGGCAGCACCCTTCTTCCGCTTGTCGGACGAGGCCTTCTTCGATTTATCGTCTTTCTTCGATTTGTCATCTTTACTCTTGCTCTTCTCTTCGTCTCTCTTGGACTTCTCCCTTCTTCTTTCCCTCTCACGTTCCCTTTCTCGGTCCAAAACATCTACAGCGGAGGATTCAGAGTTGCTTCTCTGTCTGCCGGGCCCCTTTCCGTCTTCTCGTACTCTAGGTCGGCCATTCGCAGCTCCGGTTAAACCATTATGGGCATGATGTGGTGGTGGTGGAGCTCCGCGAGCTGGCGGCCTGGGAGGTCCATTCATCGGTCTTGGCTGCGGCCCGCGCGATCTATTTTCGGTATTCATTGAAGGACTCGGTCTACGAGGGGGTTGTGCAGGTTGGGTATCTGTATCGTCGATTGAAAAACTGATCTGTAAAAAAAAGTATACAAGAAAGGCAAAGGAAACGGCCGGCGTTCTTAGTTAGTCTCAAAACTGCTCTCGATGTGTTTGAACAAAAAAACAATAGCAATATAGCTCGGTAGATACTGTCAAGCTTTATATAAATATCACTCTAACAGCAACCCTTTTCTTCTTCTTTTCTTTCTTTTCTTTTCTATTCAAAACGTACCAGTAAATCATCAGGTTCATTTCTAGGCACCTGCGGCTGGGGTGGCCTCGGTGAGGTTGCCTGAACGGTATTGGCTGAGCGGTTGTCGGTTTCAGAAGAGAAGATGTCATGATCATCGTCGGCAAATACATCGAGAAACGGGTTCCTGGATTGACGAATGGATGGAGAAGGAAGATCTGGCGATGATGCAGAGACTCTGTTTCGGAATGGATTGTTTGAAGCAAAGGGGTTGGTTGGGGCGAAGGCGCCAGGCGACGGTCTTCGGTCTAGAGAAGGCAATTGCGAAAGCTACAGATTAGCGCTGACAGGAATTTGCAAAACACAAAAAGCGAATGAAAAACGAAAGCCCGAATACCAAGCACGGCTTGTGGATCCTGTTTAGCTTTGTTGCTAACGGAGGTTTGGTAGATAATTCTCCGATGGGAATCGTGATATAGATTGGCATATACATTAAGGCATCTGTGTCGCAAGGCTGGATCGGGGTCTCATTGCGAAACGCTTTTTTTCTTCCCTTTCTTTCTTTCGTCTCCCCTTTCCCTTGGTACTGACATATAGGCTACGTTTCAAATAGAGGGAACGAAAGAAAGAAAGGGAGTGAAAGGAAAAGAAACATCGTCGTCGACGACGACAACGATAGGTGTGTGCGTGCGTGGGACAGGAAAGGGAACAGTGAGAAAATAATATCAAAGAGAAGGAGTAAAGCGTACCTATTTGGGGTTGAGCGATAGACATTCTGAAGTTATTCGGCGATGATCCAGCCGGTGGTAAAGGAGGAGAAAGAGCAAAGATGAGGTGTATGGACGTATGGATGGATAGACTGATGGATAGATTGACGGATGAATGTATGTGCGTCTGTCTCTGGGGGGGTTCAACGAGAGAAAGGCTGAGTGTCCGACTGGCCGACTGGGTGATTGGAGGGGGGAAGAAGCCGACAAGAAGAAGGACGGTTGTGTTGGAATGAAATGTCTGGTTTCGAGGAGAAGATGGGAATTCAGTTCAGGGAAGGTATCGATAGAGCGATCGATTGATTAGAAAGAACGAACGAGCAGTCCGAGGTATAGTACGTTTAGTTTAACTTTCTTTTTGGCGAGGATGAGATTGATGGGATGGATGGTGATGGAATGGATGGTGGAATGGTGGAGATGTTACAGATTGATTGTTCTCTGATTCAGATTTCGGATTTCAGACTCCAGACTCCAAGCTTAAGGAAGAAGAATGGGGGAATATCACGAAAGCGTGATGAATGAACGAACGAGTGAATGAATGAATGAATGAATAGCTAGTAACAAACATACGAATGAATGAATCGAATCGAATTGAACGAATGAATATTGACAGACCGGATCAGAATATGGGGACGGTTATTGTTGCTGGACTGGCCAGGGCTGGAAAAGGAGGTGTGAGCGAGATGCAACCCAACTGGAACCCCCCCCCCCCTCAATACTATACCGTACTAGTAGCCTCTATACTACCACCACTTCAACAGGACAGAATATACATTTGTACATACATACATACACCTTGATAATCTTCTATCTCCAATTCAAATTCAACATTTACAAAAAAAAAAAAGTCGCATTGGCACTGACCCTAACAAAGCTTTCATTTTGGGGTAATTAATTGCCCCCCCGCCAATGAATCAGGGGACCAGGGATGCATGTTCACAAAGGACCCTTCTCCTCCTCTCTCTCTCTCCCTTCTCTCTCTTTGCCCTCGCCCTCATATATCTTTATATTGTCCCCTCCATGGCCTAAGCAAGCATCAACCCCAATTGTCAAATATCAAATATCAATCAATTATCGAAAGGGTCCTCCGGTCTAAAATGTTAAAATATTCAGCCTGTGCTGCCAATTTCACCCAAAGTGGTTTCCTTGACTTCTGAAGCAAGCTAGCTGCTTGGCCCTGCATGCGCTTTCCACGCCAAAAGAAGGGGGATGGCCAAAAGGAACCGCCAAATATTCGATACGCGACCACTAGTCAGTCACACGTTTCGGGATTTTCCTTTTAGTCAGGGGGGAGCACGCAGAGTATGGGTACAAAGGACACTTCGGCTTTGGGGAAGGTTCCTTCCTTTCCCTGCCCTGCCTCCTTAGTTAGACCTCTCCCTCTCTTTCCCCATCCCCCCAGGTCAGCCCCTCTGACATCACGGTACATATGATACGCATCCATCCACTTGATTCTTCCAGTATAGCGTACATGTACATGTACATGGACATCTCATCTCTCTTTCCCCGGAAACACTCCAGCACCCCCAATCCGTCTATATCTAATATCGAAAGAGAGGGAGACAAAACAGAGAGAAGAGAAGAGAAGAGAAGAGAGGGAAAACGGAAATAGCATCAAGCAATAAAATTGAAATAAAAAAACAAATAAGAAAAGTAGAAAAATAAAAAAGGAAAGGAAATAAATAAGAAATCATTTACCTTCCAATCAGAACAAAACATAAAGCGCACAGTTCTAAAAGAGTCGTTAGTGCCAGTGGTCAACGTCAAAGCAAAAGAAATCTCTCGGAACTGGATCCGGAAAACACCATCTCAACAGAAATGAGCTGGTACTGGAAAGTAAAAAAGGGAAAAAGACGTACCGTGCTCAATCCAAGGATCATGCTGATCCAGAAGAAGCAGTTCAACAGCGTTCTCTGCCTGCTCAACCAAGGTAGACTCTGGAACATCACGATCGGTAATTGCAGCATCTGACAGACAAATCCATACCCCCTAACCTTCTTCACCAAGCAGAATAACACCAGCTCGTGCAGTATCGATGATATCAAAAATGTTATAAACGTCGCAACCGTGCGCGACACATGCTCGCGGGATGCCCCATAGACGTGTCGCTTGAACCAGTGATGGACAGGGATATTCCACTCCCGGGAGAACTCTAACCAATTGCACGAGTTCCACCAGTCACTAAGATAAGCATCACGTCAGAAGAGGTCAAGACAAATAAGAAGAAGAAGAAAAAACTCTGGGCAAGGGAACATCGTGGGTTACATACGAATAAAACCGTCGGTCGGCAAAGCGAGTAATCTCGGCGAATGCGCCTAAAACGTACTCGAATATCACCAAGAAAACCAGCAGGAATGAAACCATAAACGGAAAGAGAAGGCTATTGATGCTCTCCCCCAATACTAACAAGGCATCCAATATCGTATGCTGTTCCTGTAATCGGGCAGTCGCATCTCTCATCTAATATAATCAAATCAAACACCTATCAACCACCTGCACCGCGCGCATAACCTCATGTGAAGATCTGCAATATAAGATAACGGGGATGAAACCTACCACTGGAGCAATGAACTCTTCAGATGTCAAAGTGAGCAAGAAAACGCACCCGAACACAGCCGCTGCCTTTTCAGCCACGATATTCCACCTCACTCTCGGTGTCCTTGGGTACTCGATCTCGTAACACAGTGTGGGACATAACAGATAGTCCAGATAGTTCGACCATGTGAGGTTTCTCGGATACTGTGTTAGCCCTGTCGGCGACGTAAGTTCGTAGGCAAGCACCTCGCGAAGAGCAGTATCCGACTTCGATTCCGTGCTTAGTGTGTTCTTATCCAATTGGTGAAGCTTCTTTTCCGTTTCACATAGATGCCCATTATAGAATGCATACGAATGCATCTTCATCAAAAGCACAAGAGTATGTAGCGTGAAAAACACCTGATGCGTCCTGTTCTCAACATTAGCTCTTGCCCCCCGCTCATCTTCGTCAACCAAGCTTTCCTCTCCCTAATTAAAGGAACTAAGCCTCAGTATAAAGAACGTAGACCACCTACCAAACCCATCCTCGTGCAAAAGGCCAATAAATCCACATCGTCAACCAAACGAACTGCAAAATGTATTGACAAATATACCCTCCATTTCCCCAGCCCACTCCAAAGCTCCTCGCCCGCCACATCTTATGCAGCGGTAACGTGAGCGAAGTACTAGCCACCATCAACAAATCCGAAACCGCAAGACCCTGGATATCGTCCGTAAACAACGAAAAGATCGAAGTCCTAAACACCCTCCCGGTCTCCTTAATATTCCTTGCCCCAGTCGTCAAAACCATAATGAACAACCCAACCCAGAATAACGCAAAGAAGCCACGAAAATCATGATGTTTGGATTGTGGGTCGAAATGGCTGACACGTTCTTCGTAGTCAACAGTTGGGAATAACTTTCGTCGTTTCTGCTTCTTTGCCTGGTGGATCGATTTCATGGACGGCGGGGCATCTTGTGGTAGCGGCGTGGATCGACCACTCGAGAGGGCGTCTTCGTCGATGTGGTGTGGAAACTCGGGTTTCAGATGCGAATCCCCCCGACGGGAACGGAGGCCTTCATCCGAGAGACCCGGGTGGCCGTTGAGGCTACTGAAGTTGGTATAGGTGCTTCCGTTTGTATGTGCCATGATGTCAGTCGAGATGAACGAACCATCACCGTGCAGCTTCAAGTTAAAACGTTAACGTTAATGTAGTAGTAGGTTTCTAACGAAAAGTAAGGAGTCAAAGGTATGAATAAGGGGGGAGGAGTAGAAGCTTGAGGATGAAGAAATCATGAGGTCCAGGAATATTGTCCTTATCTATTCGCGACTAGAGTTACCTAGGTAAGGTTAGGTGGGAAGCATAATAATAGTTTAATATGCATAACGGCATACGGAATAAACGGGGGGTTTTTCTGAGTGTTAGGGACAGCCTGTGCTTATTGGGATACTATAATAATAATAATAATCACCAGACGTAAGGGGATGATTAGGTATCATATTATAATACGAGGTACGAGATACGTTTTAGCTGAGCTGAGAGGTTCAGGCTTTCGGGTTTCGGAACTCTCCAGAGATGTTGCTTGAACGGAGCTTAAACGGGCCCGGTGGCCTTACGTCATTTCACACACGCGAAAAGGGTCTTGCCAAGACTTTCATTGTGCAGATGTATCGGGTTCGGTCGACCCAGTCAGCCGTATACTATATTGATATTGTATAATCCCCAGCGGCGCTCGGAAAACGTATTACAACCAGCCTTGGTAGAAACAAATAAAAAGTATGTGAAAGAAAAGAAAGGGAGAAAAGAGTATTAACAAGAAGCACCGCCGTGTCATAACATATCATAGCTGCCAGTATTATCATTATCCGTTCCCGTAGACACTATTATTACCGTCTGTGCCCAATACCTAAGCACTAGAGCTAAGATTTCATAGTTGCGATGAAGCTATCCAAGTTCAGCTCGTCGTATTGGTTCTCATCCCAAAGTTCGCCAATGTCGTCCAAGATACCCTTCGTACCCTTCTTGATCGGGTTTCCATCAATATCCATAACCTCGTCTCCGTCCCTATTATCCTTCTTCTCGCCAACATCAGCGTCACCAAAGTTGAACAGATCAAGTAATTGGTCGGTTTCCATGGTCGCAAGGCCGGCGTTTTGTTGATTGACGACCGTTGAAGCAACATCTAGTTTGAATCGTTGGAGACTGTTTCGTATATGGTCATTAGACAAGTGTGCTTTTATGATTGATTGCGGGGAGCCGGGTTCTACTTACTTCATGATCTTCTCCTCCAACGTTCCACGCGTGATCAGCCTGTAGACGTTTACAACTTTCTTCTGACCGATACGGTGGGCGCGATCCATGGCTTGCATATCCTTTTGAGGATTCCAATCGTGTTCCACAAAAATAACAGTATCGGCACCCGTTAAGTTCAGACCAAGACCTCCAACATGGGTTGTAAGCAAAAGAACATCAATCGAAGGATCACTATTGAACTTCGTAACCATGTCTTGCCGATATCTCGGGTCGGTAGCTCCGTCCATTCTCAAGTATGACACTGTCGGAAGCAGTTTCTTCAAAACATCACTTTCAACAATATCTAACATTTCTTTCAGCTGACAGAAAATAAGAGCTCGATGTTGGCTGATAGCGTTAGAAGCCACTGCGAAGTCATCATCCTTGGCAGAAACCGTTGCGCCTATTCCACAATCTAATAGTAGATCCTTGAGAGCAGAAAGTTTAGGGGCGTGTAGAGGATCGCGTATAGAAGTGTTATCCTGCGCGAGTTGTTTTTGAACAGCGGCGTATTTAGGGTGTTTCTCGTTCAAAACTAGAGCAGGCGAATTGCAAAGTTTTCGCATGTACTGGAGAGCCTGGAAGATATGTTGTTTCTGTTCCTTGCTACTGTCGCCTGTACCGGGAAGATCTTTACTCTGCTTCTTTGAGAATTCTTGATATAGCTGCTTTTGCAGTTCGCTGAGCTCGCAATAGTAGTTCTGGATGATCTTTGGAGGCAGGTCATCAAGAACTTCTTCCTTCAAACGTCGAAGAACGAAAGGGAGAACTTGTTTGTGAAGAGCCTCGATAGCGAGGGCACCAGCTTCCTGTTCTTTCGAGGAACTCTTGCTATTACGGCTGTTTGCGATTGGTTTCGCGAAACGATCCATAAAGACCTTTTCAGTCCCCAAAAACCCAGGCATCAGAAAATCGAACAGGGACCAGAGTTCTAGAACACTGTTTTGGATAGGTGTACCAGAGAGGATCAAACGGTGGTTCGCACGTATTTTCTTAACAGCCTGGCTGAGTTTTGCCTTTGAATTCTTGATGATATGTCCTTCATCGAGGACGCAATAATTCCAGTCATGTTTTGAAATATGTTCGAGGTCGTTTCGGCAGATATCGTATGAAGTGATGACAATATCCGTTGAGCCGAGCTGGTTTCTCAACTCTGAACGCTCTGAAGGGTTGCCAACATAAACCAAGGTGGTGAGGAAGGGGGCATATTGTTTTATCTCTTGCTGCCAGTGTCCTGAAAGCGTGGAGGGGCAGACGATTAAAGAAGGGATTTGCCTTGACTCGGGATTCTGGGTTTTGCTAAAATCTTCAGCACGCAAGTGATGGTCGCTTGAAACAATACAGATTGTTTGGAGTGTCTTTCCAAGACCCATATCTAAAAACTCCATTGTTAGCTCTAAAAAAATGAGAGGCAATATACTGTATTAGTTTGAAACCTACCATCGCAGAGAATACCATGTAGATGGTAACGATTCAAAAAGGCCAGCCAGTTGACACCTTCCTGTTGGTAAGACCGAAGCTCGGCCTGAATGGCAACCGGAAGATGAAAAGGTTCAACTTTGTGAACATCAAGCATCTGGGCGATAAATTTTCGTTCCTTATCACGCCCTTTCAGGAGCTCTTCGGGAAATCCTGGGGGATCCGGAATGCCTGCCTCTAAGGGGACAAGCTTAATTAGAGTAGCAAACGCAGTGGTGGCGAGACGTCGGATATCATTATCCGAGTCGCTCATTCGCCCAAGAACGGGAACGATAAGGAAAATGACGAATGGGAGAATATCTGTTTCCATCGCGGATATAAGGTGGTATATTAGTTCGATAATACCCTGTCTTGTTCTTATTTCAAGGCCATTTGATATCGAGGGTAGGATATCAGTAACCATGGTTTTCATCCCGTCAATAGTTATAATGCTACAAATAGTGGCGAAACACTTCGCAGCTGCATATCGGAGAACGGAAAACCTTGAACGGAGAGCCTTTATGATGTAAGGGAAAAGAGATATGATATGAGAATGCAAGTCTCGATGGAATTTGGGAAGCAGGGCTCGGATAGTGGAGAGGCCATCAATAATCTCTTGTCCAAGAAGGTTATCTTTGTCGAGGATCGATTCTGGTAGTTGATCCTCCTTGAAGCCGGCAACGAGAGATTGTTCCATAGATTCGAGTAAGCGTGGGACCTTGACGAACAAATCCTTGCCAAAAGCCTGCGCAAAATGATCGAGAGCTTCTTTAGCCCCCCGTCTTTTGATACGAGCAAGTTTCGATTCTCGTTCAAATTTCGTGGGGTCGGCATGGTCTTTCCTGTCTTCCTCCTTCTTGAGGGACAGTATTGAAAGCTCAAGGCTCTCATTGATATGGAACTCAGGGGTTTCGGATGTATCGACAACGAGGAATGAGCATAGGTTCTTTGTGAGCTTATCAGCAACAGCAGCACGCCCCCGTTGTGAACAAAGGTCCACGAGTACAGCAACCGCATGGGCCGACCTCCTCTGCAGGTCGATGTTTCCTTCCGATTTGACGCTATCCATGACACCCCTGATGACCGGATTCAATTTCTTCGGGAGGATCTGGGCTGCAATCATGGCACCGGCGCCTGCGGCAATTATGCGGATATCTCTAACTTCCTTCGCACTCCTTGCTTCCTCAATTGCTGAAAGCGCCTGGGTCTTGGCATCTGTCAGGGCATCTGTAGCGAGGATGCGCTGACCGGAAGGTAGAGCCTTCTTGAGTCGATTGTAGTCTTCTTCAACGACTCTTTCGGCATGTAGAAGACTAAATGACTCGGGTCCTGCGTCTGCCTCACCTTGAACAACGACAGCAAGGGTAGGAGCCTTGCTAGGATTCATCTTGCCGACGTTGATAAAGGTATTGAGGAGGTTATGGCACTGCGATCGTACGATTTTCATGTACGGAACCAAATCTCTATACACCGGAGGCCTCTCTCCATTGAGAAGATCTTCAACTTCGCGCATGAATATCTCTTTGAGGGGGTTGTCTGACGTGGTATGCTTGCAATACTCTTCGATCATCATGGCAGCTACCAGTTGAGTTGACGAGTACGGTGATCGAAGGTAATTTGTCATAGTAGTAGAGAACACTTCTACCATTGTCTCGGCTGGCCAGACGCTCATCGCTTTGCCGAGAGCCTTTGCTCCGGATATCTTTGTTTTCATGATAATATCATGCCCAACTAAATCGACATCTCCTTGCATGATGTGACCATCAAGATTGTGTGAGGGGACCTGAGTTGGAGGTATATCCTCAAACTTTGTACTCTTCTTACGACCGCGGCCTCTTCCGGGACCTGGTTTCTCCTCAACGACGGAAGATTCCCTTACAGGCGGCCGCATTGTTTGAAGGAACGTCTGGCCCGATGGCTTAATGAAGAGAGACATATCCATAGGATAGGGGTTGCGAGAGATACCAATTGGGGTCATAAGGAGTGTGAGCAATGGGTCGACATGGGGACGGAATTGAGAGCTAAACGCATACGCGTCCTCTTTTGCATACTCTTGAACTACTGTAATCCATAGGTTTAATGATAACTCAAGTACTGCTTCGTTTCGTTCAACAAGCAGGTTCTGGAAGATGAGCCTCAAAGCTCTGCCGTCAGCCCATCCCCGGCTACCGGACCCCTGGATGCCTAGAAAAGTGAGCAAAGCTCGAAGGACGGCACTTCTAACGCTTGTGATTGTGTGTCGTAAAAAGGGGAAGAGACGTGGAACGAGGAGGGAAAACGATTGTCTAGGCACCTCGTGTTAGCAATACCATCGGATTGACTCCGTAGGGTGAAATAGAACGACTTACGAAGGATCTGTTTCTGCTTTCATTCTCATAGTTTCGAGCACTTCGGGGAATGAGCAAAGCTTAGCTAGCAAGTCCATAACGTGCCCAGTCGAGGCCGTCAGATCGTCTTTCAGATGCGAGAGACACTCCCAAACAACACTTGTAAGGTCGTCAACGGCATGAGGACGCAATGATACGAATTCTGCAGCAATAGGGAGCATGGTAGCTGCGCTCTCGGCTCTGACGTCGTCGTCATGATCCCGAAGACCTTTCATGACGGCTGAAACGACGCCATCTAGGATGTCCGGCTCTTCGACAAACAAATCACTTCGAACTACGACGAGATATTTGAGGCCCAACATGCCGCCATGGCAAATTTCCCATATCGTTTGTGATATATCCAGATCATCTTGCATCACCATCCGACGCAGTATTTTGTAAACTTCGTAAACTGAGCCCTGAGGAATATGTTTCAGCAGAGCACCAAGCGCTTGGGACGCAGCTTCTCGCACTGGGGCCACAACCTAAAAACAGAGCGGTTAGGACCAACAGATGAGCAATATCAGCCATGGCGATAAAGTCAGTGCGTTCGAATACTTACATTGTCCGCAGCATAGTCACTAAATCGGTCGAGAACAAATATACAGCACATACGACAAGCAATATTATCAAGCCATCGTTTGTTTGCATTATCGTTAAACTTCTGTGATCTTCCTTGGATACGGCCAGCACCATGACCATGAAATCGGACTAAATCCCGAAGCGCCATAGCGGCACCATGACGGACTATCCACGAAGGATCGAAGAGGTCAACAAGCAAGATATCAGCCAGACGCTCGAACGGCCAGACAGTATCATCAGCTTCGACCTGAACCGTGGAAGACGGAGGTAAGGCTGGACCTTTATGCTGAACGACAATCTTTCCATCATCCTGGGGAGTCTGTGTATCTAGACTAAAATAGTCTGCGGCTCCTTGTGTGCCCTCAGTACCCTGTTCCTGTTTTACCGGGTGTGGGGTAGACGTAGGATCATCTAGCATTTGAGGATCAGAGCTGGGACGTCGGTAGGCCGGCGTAGAAAGATCAACGACCCTGACCTTATTTGCGTGACTCTTAGCATTCTGCTTTGCCTTTCGCTTCATCATATTCTGCTGGCGCTTGCTTAATGCTAATTCGTCGCTATTGCTGTTATGGGGTCCAGCTGAAAGAGGAGGTTCACGAGGGGACATAGCGGAATGAACCACAGGAGAGAACACAGCGTTAGATTTGGGGAAGTTGCTGACATTGGTGTCGATCCGAGGGGTCTGAGGTAGACCGTGAGCTCCAGAAGTTGCGAAGTCTTTCTCCTCGACAAGATCATCATCGAGATACTCACTCGCCATTCCTAGAGTGTTCCGTACATTCTGTTTTTGACGCTGTAGACGCTCCGCAGGGTCTAAATCGGCTAAGGAATAGTCGTATTCTTTCCCCAGACTACCGAGTAACTTGGTACCGTTTTTTATCACGGATTTGATATCAAAGGTTTCAAAATCAAGTTGATCTTTGTCGGCGACAGAAGAGGAGGTACCATTCTCGGCTTTTATGGTGGACGCGTAGTCATCCTCTTCTTTCTTGACGACATCATCAACTGAATCAAAGACAGGATGTGTCTTGTCCGGATTCCATACATCAGCGTGTTCTAGAATACCACCAACGGCCTTAGAGGCCGCCATACGAGTATCCCATTTTTTAGAACGCAGATAAGGTATTACCCGACCCAAAAGATTAAAAACTTCTTCAGGGTGGGCCTTTTGAACGTCAGCTAGCTGAGAGGCTGCTGTGTTTCTGACGAGGGGAGTTGACCCCGTCTCAAGCAAACTGCCAGAATATTAGATATATCAGCTCAAGGTTTATATCTTAAAGTTGTTTAAGGAGACACCTACGTGACAAGCCTGTCTAATCTAGACATGATGAAGCTGCAAAGCCATCAACAGGGGATGTGTCGGGACTCCTTGAGCTTAATACCCTAGCAGATGCAGCGCGACAGGCTGAGAAGAATTTGGAGATTTATATGTGTTGATGTGTTGTTGCGCGTGTCATTGGTGGTTTTGGCAGTGGCGAGAGGAACGTCGTTAGCAAATTGCTCGGGGGGATGGCCGGGCTTTAACTATCAAACATGCTTTTATACGCTCTGTCCAGGGGAGCCTCCAATCACCCCACCCCAGCCAATCACCCGCCTCTGCCACCCAATTTATAGATATAGATCCTGCGACACCACCAGCATGCACCATATATATTAGCAACTACGCCACCATCCGGCTGGCTATCTGGCGGTCGGTCGGTCGGTCGCTATCTCCAAACCCGCATCGTATTCGATCCCGAATTACTCACTACCACGGACTATATTTGTAAAGGATTTAGGGACATTGCTAATACCTCGCATAACATAGTACTTTGTTTACACCTACTTAGGTACTTATATAGAGCACGGTGCAAACGTAACGTAACCACCTAAGTATCTATCAAAACGGCGCCAATAAGGCATAACGAACGCGTTTTTGTGTGTTTTATCAGATCATCTAATCTGATCTGATCTGATCTGATTTGATGTGTTGTCGGTCGGTCAGAGCAACCCAGGCTAATCCTGCGCGTCCCCAACAACAACGTCAGCTTGCAATTACTGTGGTTACCACACGTCCAAGGCCATGCCTGCTTCAGTCCACCCTGACAGGCTGCCTCGTCAGATCATCCATAAACCTCAAACTTCTAGAACAACTAGGCTACTTACCTCTTAGACATGACCATACCAGATCATAAACCATCTCAATCTTCATCGTGAATATACCTATATATATATCCCTTACTATTATATTATCATACTCCATCATCGCCTGTAAGGTACATGTGCATGTGTGTACAGCCAGCGTGTACTTACTTACTCGGGCGGTCCACCACCCACCTCAGCTCTTGTATAACCCCCCAAAACTTGCCCCGAACCGCCCAGAAAACTAGTATATACTAGCAGCCATCTCCTTCCAACCGAGTTCCGTACTTGCCGCTTCACGTTTATCCTCCGAAAGTATTCTTTAATCCAACGACTTCATTGCCGTTGGCCGTTGGACGTTACACTAAGCTCTATCTTTCCGCATCACATGATTGGTCGTCGCCCGTAGCTTAGGGAGCTCGAGTCTCGATCTTCGAGTGCCACACCGTCCGACTATACTTAGCTTGCTCACCTCCTGTCAACGACGGCTCATCCTGATTTCTACCCCCCTACAATGGCTTCCAGCTACAACCACATCTCCCAACCGCAATCTGCTCAGTATGATCCGGCCTATCACCATCATCAACGACAGCATCAGCAGCATGCTTCACCCCCGGCTCAACAGGGAGCTCCACCACCATCGCAGCAGCAGCCTCGCCATTATCAACCCCATTCTTACCCTCCGAAACAGAATAATGCTCCTCCTGGTACCTTTCAACCGGGTACGAAGATTAGGGTCGGCTCCCATAATTGCGTGGTTGAAAGATACCTTTCCGAAGGTTAGATTCCACAGACCCGGTAACCTATCCGGATGTGCTAAATAACGGGCTAAATAGGTGGATTCGCCCATGTATACGTTGTTAAGATCGATCAAATTGTCGAAGGCACGGATATTGCCGTTCTGAAGCGTGTCGCCGTTCCTGATAAGGAGGCATTGGCGAATATGCGCACAGAAGTAGATACCATGGTAGATACCATATCCACATTCTAGGATCATTTAGGGTTTTTGTTCTTCTTCTTTGGTCGCTAATAGGGGTTGTGTCTACTGATGGACTAGAAAAGGCTTAAAGGGCATAGACATATCGTGAAGTACATTGACTCTCACGCGTCGCATTTGAAATCAGGCGGCTATGAGGTTTTCCTCTTGATGGAATACTGTGCAGGTTTGTGCTGCCGCTCACCGGATGGTGCATTCAGCGCAAACTAACATATTTGTTCATTATAGGTGGAGGCTTAATCGACTTCATGAACACACGTTTGCAGCATCGGTTGACAGAACCGGAGATTTTAAAGATCTTCAGTGATGCCGCAGAAGGGGTCGCTTGCATGCATTACCTCCAACCCCCTTTGCTCCATCGAGATCTGAAGATTGAAAATATCCTGATCACTCCGGAGCCACGGACATACAAGCTTTGTGATTTCGGCTCTTCTGCAGAACCGCGCCCTGCTGGCAAGAATGTTACTGAATGCCGCCTTATCGAAGAGGATATTCAGAAACACACTACACTACAATATCGTTCCCCCGAGATGATTGACGTGTTCCGTGGCCAGCCGATAGACGAGAAGTCGGATATCTGGGCTCTGGGCGTCTTGTTGTATAAGTTATGCTACTATACCACGCCGTTCGAAGACCAAGGCCAGCTTGCAATCCTCAACGCTTCATTCAAATACCCCCCTTATCCGCAGTTTTCGTCGCAAGTCAAGGGTTTGATCGGTTTGTATCCTCATTTCAATCTTATCAGGAAGCTAGGTTGCGAATGCTAACCTAACAACAGGCTCCATGCTCCAAGAAGACCCTCGAAAGCGACCTAATATTTACGAGATTGTTTGCGCCGTGTGTAGGTTGCGGGGAAAAAGCGTACCTATTAAGAATGTATGTAAATTCTTACCTCAATCGCATATCTCCAACCATTCACACATGCTGATATCAATGATAGATCTACGATAAAGCCACCGACCGAAGCAATACAGCACTCCCGGCAGCTCCGCCAGTTGCGACAACCTACCAACCTGCTCTGGTTAAAGAAGCACCGAGACCCCCACCGAAAGATGAACTCCCCCAGATTCAGCAGATGAGACGTGGCCGCCCACCGAGACCCAATGCTGAACCCAGTCAACGCCCTAGCACCTCAACGTCCCGAGGCCCTGGGCCAAAAAATCCCAAGGATCCCTTCGCTGCTCTCGATCCTTCCAACACCGAAGATGAGCTCTCCGCAAGATTTCCTAGTGTAGAAAGCTTCTCGATCCTTCACGACCAAGGTGCGAGATTCGACTTTGGTGGATCGCCGCCGGAGAGTCCTTCGATTAACAAGGGAGAGTCGTCGGGCACATTAAGTGAAAGGGTAATGAAAAAGTTGGCAGACCAAGCGTTCGATGAGATGCCTCCGATTGCCGCGACTAAATCGCAACCACTATTAACTGGATCGAACGATATGGCCTCTGGTTTTGCCCCACCGGAGGCTAGGAAGATATCAACGGGGGTGACAGAAACGCCTTCGAGCAAACCTGTGATGATTTCTCAGGGAACCATGACTAGCCCTGCTTCAACCCCTTCACCCCACCCCAGTCGGAATAGTGAGAGATTTCAATCGAAGTTCGGCGAGCAGCATAGCGGGAGCATCTCCGCCACACCAACATCAAATAGCGGGTATATGAGGCCTTCTCTAGGGGAACCCAGCAGATCCGTATCGACATCTCCATATAGTCCCGCCAATCTTGCTAGGAGATCGTTCGAGCCTCCTCGTCCGGTCTCTACAATCGGTTCACGGCCGACCCCAACTGGAAAGGCTCGGCCTAAGAGCACACACATCGAATCTAATCTTGATTTCCTTCGTGACTTGGGCTCTTCGTCTCGATCCAAACACGCTACCCCTTCTCAACCACCCAAACTGGAAAATAATACCACAGGCCGATCCACCTCATCCGCTGTATCTGAGCATATCGAGTCTAGTGTAGACTTTTTAAGAATGCTTCAACAAGAATCCGATGCCTCTAAAGGTGGCAAACCTGACAAGCGCCTCCCAACCTCGACGCCATCGTCCCACAAGCACAAAAAGACACCATCCATTACACTTGTCGGAACCAAAAACATGCTGGCAGGTCGTTTTGGTGAAGCTTTTAGGAGATTTGAAGCCGGCCCAGACACTAAGAAGAGTGGAAAAACTAGCCCGCATACAAGTGATTTTCCTTCGGACGAATATATTGGACAACAATCCTCGGATTTGCAAGTGAGCAGCTCTGAAATTCCTGCAGAGATTAGAAGGGAGATGGAGAAACGCCAACTTCAGGAAGAAGAGCGCAGGGTAGAGGCAGCTGCAGCGGCTTATAAGCAATCGATAGCAGAAAAGGGTGCAGGGGGGAGACCCCCACGACCTAGGGCTGGATCCATACAGCGCAAAGTGCACGCTTTACTCAGTGAAGAAGAAAAGACACCTGCTCCCCGCACCGCCGAAGGGTATGGCCGTTACACCGAAGCCACATCTCCAAAGCCCCACGAAGCCCTAGAAAAGGAACTCCAGGGCCTGTCTATGACCGAATCAATGCAACCTGGCACTGATTCCGATGCGCCCTCCGTGAAATCCCTTGTTAATCGGTATGCTCGACCTGGGACGGAGCCGCAGTCAGGCCTGAATACAGTAACCCCGGCAGCTCAGGGTAACCCAGGACTCCGCCCAAGTGCTCCCCGACAACTCCCACCCCGCCCTGGCCCCAAGCCTGATAAGTTTAGAAAACTGCCGCCTTCCGAGCCACGACCACAAATACCCACCGACTATGGATATGGACTTGGACTTACGAGGTCTGAGGTTAACGAATCGCCAATACAAGATGTTTCTTCTTCCAGCCTCAGCGGACGAGACGATGAGCTCCTTGAGTTTAGAAAACGATACCCAAGTCTCTCCGGGATGGAGTTCGAAGCTGCAAACTCTTATTCTAGAAGGTGATTTAAGGCGCAACAATACTAGGGTGTACCTTCGGAACATCTTTATACTACCCTCACGGTCCCTTATCTAGTTTTCGTTTCAATGTTTTACCCTCCTTCCTATTTCTTTCTTACATGTCTGTCATAGCCGATATCCATGAATTTTAGCCTTGAAGCCAGCCAATTACATTCAATGATAGAGCCTTCACATTGCGATTTGGATCTAGCCACCAGCCAAAAAAAAAACAGCGATTTGTCTCTGGAATTCTTGATATTTTTTTTCCTTCAGATCTCTTCCTTTTTTTAATTAGGAAAGCGCAAGCTTTGAAGCCATCGTCAAATAGAAATTTTACCTTTTCACTCCACTTTCTAGAACCTTTAACGCCTTATAAGCATATTGGCATTATATGTATGCACATACCTACATACATGCACTAACTTCTGACGTGACAATGCATGCGCATCAATCTCTGGGGCTTCCGCCTCCCGGCGGTTTTCTTTCCCAACCGGGGACCGTCGTAAAGTCATGTATTTGATATTGGCCCACACCACAGGATCAATCACAGGCTCCCAATAGAATGGGTCTTGTAAGCTGTGGGTGCATATCAAGATTCGAAGGACCCAAGGTACCAAGCTAAAAATCGAAAATCTTTCGGATTTTCCCCAAGAAATTCGAAAAAAAATACCACATAAACAACACCTCTAAAGTCCAACAAATTACAAAAAAAAAAAAACCTCGAGTCTAGCCTCATTTACACACCCTCACCTGTGGCAGGTGTACGTACTAACTAATATGCAACGCTAAGAAAGGTCACCCGAAATGTTTCATACCCCGGATTTTTTTGTTTATTTTTTTTTTCTTTCCTTTTACTTATTTCCCCAGATTTTCCCCGGTCCCCTATCAGGTGGTCATGTACATTGGTATAAAAATAAATAACATTAAGGGAACGGGGGGGGAGGGAGAATACCAATACGATCCCATGGTGTATTTCTCGGATACATCCCTCATTCAGATTCAGGATAGGCAGGAACATGACCTTTTTTTTTTTTTTTGGCGACACACGAGACCTGCATCAGAGATACGTAGGTCATCCAGGTTGTCTATATTGCGGGGAAAGTATCGACCAGGTACCCACCATTTCCTTTTTTACATTTCCAACAAAAAAGCTTGTACGAGCTAATACACCTCCCTAGTACTAGTAGCTATTTGGGGTTTTTAAGAGAGCAATGCTTGCTTCAGTTGATTAGTCCCTTTTAAGCCTCACGAGCTCTTGAGATTCTCGTTTCTTTCTCGTGGTCAGCTGGTTTTGTTTCTTTCTTTTGTTTCTTTCTTTTTTTTCTTTTATATTTTTTTTTGCTGTACCCCGGATTCTCTCCGTTCGCGTATGGGGAAAGCTTTTCAGCTCTACGTTTTCTTTTTTGTTTACTTGCTGACATTGAGTGAGGGAAAAATGCTCGCGTGACAGTTTTCCGGTCCGTGAATGATAAGTTACAGAATGCTATTCTTCTTCGTCTTGTTCTACTGGCTTATACGCTTAAGTTACTTCTGATTTGATTATACACACCTGCCAAGGCAAGAATAGGGTTGTATATGTAAAGGCCAGTTTCTTTAGAAGAATGATCATGATAAGGTAAGTACATGTACCTTTTCGTCTATTCACTTTCATGGTATCATTCATTACAAACAAAAAACTCTTGGAAGCCGGTTAGGCAAAAAAAAAAAAAAAAAAAAAAAAAAAAAAAAAAGATACTGCAGACGATAATCACGCGGAGAGAGAGAGAGAGAGCTCACAGACTTCTGTCGACTGGCCTCATTATTCCATTAGCTTTTGAAGGACAAGAAAACAACAAAAAAGATAGAGGAAAAGGAATGTTCATATTATTTATGACCAGCGAAGCTAAAACATTCCACGTTGCTCTCTGTGTATGTCGTATGGATATTGTCTGTTATGTATGATACAGAGAAAACCCCATTGCATATTCCCGTCATGCACCCCGGATTTTTGATTTTCTTTTTCTTCCCCAAAGAGTCGGGTTCAACGGTTTTTAGTGGGAAACGAAGTACTCCGCACAGTGTGCGAAACCGGACCCGAAGAAAGGAAATAAATTAAAAAAAATAAAAAAAATAAGGAAAATAAAAGGACTAGGGAAAGGAGAGTGAGAACATGCATTTTGTGGGGAAAAAAAGTGAGGCCCCGAGGGCTGGGTGACAAGAAGAAGAAAAAGTGCTTAGCAGAGTGCCTTCCGGCTTTCTCTTTTGCATGAGGCATTTCCCATCCGGATTGCTTTTACTGCCACTGCGCTCCACACTTCTTTTTCTTTTTCTTTTTTGTTTTCCTTGTTTCCAAATACGAAATGGCCGGCCGGAGAGACAGGACGGATAGGTTGACGCATGTATGTATGTATACTGTTCTGATGCAAAGAAAAGCCTGTGATTTGTGATAGCTATGCAGTGCGGTGGGAAGGAAAGCATCTGCAGACGGTCCCCAAAAGGCTGGCCACGTATCAACACATTGCGGGGAAGTAGGGAAGAGTCCAAAAAAAAAAAAAAAAGGGTGCCAACATGCCTTGAGCTTGACATTTAAGTCACGGGGCCCAATAGTTAGGTAGTTTAGATGGACATTCTCACACACCCTTTTTTTTTTTTTTCCTTTCTTTCGGTAAGACGTCTGGAACGTGGTTGGAAGAAAAAGAAATATGTGATAGACATACTTAGTATACCTAAGTACATGTATGCATATGTTCTATGCATGTTTAGAATGAAAAGGATTTTTTTCTTCCTTTCTTTCCAAGTCAATGGATACTTTTTTTTTTTTTTTTTTTTTTTTTGGAGAAGTAGACGAGCTCAGCTCCAATCTCTTTTTTTCCTCTTCACTCTCTCGCACCCAGGAAACTCGGGTATCTAGGTTTCATGATCAAGGCTAGTCCCGTTTACCAATGAAGGTGCATTTTATATCCCCTTCGACTTGGTCTGTGGGTTCAAAAAAAAATTAAAAAAATTAAAAAACCAATCAGATCCCATCTTGTTTCGAAAACTACAAGCCCGGCCTTGGACTTATGCACAATAGTTTAAAAGAAAGAGAGCGAGAGCGAGAGAATGAGAGAAAAAGGAAAGGGAGCAACTTCCAAGCGGTTCCTTGGAAAACGGCACGCGGAACTGCACAGCCTGCAGCCGAGCAGGAAAAAAAATAAGATGGAGCTACGAGGTTTATTGATGCATGGCTAGATTGAAGAGCTCTGGAACTGATGATAATAAGTGGTAGTAGTAGTAGCTATAGCTAAGCTATGGAACATAAAGAATAAACGCCTCAACGGTGGTAGTAGTAGTGGTAGTAGTAGTAGTCATAGCAAGCAGCAGTAATAGTAATAGTAATAGATCCAAAAACAACGTATCGCCTCTCACAGGAAAAAGTATGATTTTTAGTATGCTAGGAAGTAAACGGGCTCTGAGGGGAAAAACGAGAATAAGAACAATCAGACCGGTGTAGGTGAATCCATAACTTCAATGAGCTCAAGTTCGGCGTTGGTGATTGCGTAGACGAGTATTAAGAAGGAAAGGAATAGAATATCCGTAAGAAATTTGGGGGATCGGAAAAAGAGGAGAATAAATGAAGGAAAGTAAAGAAGCTCCCAAGTTCGCCTGAAATGTGGGTTTGATGCAAATGCTGTACCGAAGAGCATACTCCTTGGAGCTCTGGAAGAGAAAAAGAGAAAAAAAGACAGAGGCATCTACCAATCCAGGCTCCTGCAAATATGAAAGAGAAAAAAAGAAACATAATGATTCCCCGCCGTAACTATGCATTGGTCGTAAAAAGATAATAGTAATGTACACCAAACAAATATGATCAAATCGCATCGTGACGAGTTCCAAAAAGAAAAAAAGAGAAGAACAGGAGAACAGAAAACCGAATAACTTTTTGGTATTGTGATTTTTGGTAAATAATATGCCCGAATAGCCGTAGCTGAATATATAGTTATGTTGAATAGGTGCTGATGATCTGTACAATGACGACGTTGGATATTGATAGAGAGAAGATGGTCGATGTTATGGTTCCAGTCAAGCCCCCTTATTTTTGGGGGGTCGTTTATCTCATGCTGCTGGTTGGGAAGCTGGTGAATGGATTTGGGAATTGAAGCGGGCCCATCATGTAAGGGTCGGAGAACAAATCCACAGTCCACGATCCAGTGCTGTAGTACTGCTGGAGCATGTTCTCGCTCGCGGATCCGTTCGGCTCCTTGCTGTTACCAGATGTCGACTGAGATCCAGTTCCACCTTCTGCGGAAGCCAGCGCTGGAAGTTGCTGGCTTCGTTGGCCGCTTGTCATCGGAGTGTTCCCTGCCTGTCCTCGTTGGCCCATGGCGAATTCCGAGTGTGGACCTGGAACTTCATGGCCTTCGATTGGGTGGTCGTCATCTTCCTCTCCGTCGTTTTCATCGTACATTTCGGCATCGTATTCTTGTTCTGTAAACTTTGTGAGCACGGGTGATCCGTTTTATTTCATTGAAAGAGCATCTTACCTAGTTTATCCATATGGGCTTGATATTGCTGGGGGTAGAGCGTCGCCAGGGATGCTAGGTCCGGGGCGTGTGAGAAGCGTCTAGGACCAGCTATTGGAGATGGTCTGGCAAGGAAGGTGTGGTTAGACCCTCCCACAGCAGACGAGGGCTCAGATGTCACTGGGGACGTCATTTCTACGGAGACTGCCGGTGATGTTACTTTTCTGGTTGGGGAACCAGCCATCGTGGTAGGCTTCTGGAAGAAAGAGGACTCGGACAGTCTTCTCATCTTCTTGAAACCACCGCTGCTACTCAATTGCCCCATATGCTGATTATGGAACTGATGTTGTTGTGGCCGCCCTAACAGCCTCTGGTGCAATGCTCTTTGCACATGTGGAGGATGTGGAGGAAGAGAAGGAACGGGACCAGCGGGAACAGCATCATTGTCAGTAAAGGCCTTGAGTTCGGCATGAACATCGATGCGCTTTTCAAGAAGAATTCGTTCCAACAGGGAATTCTTGTAGCGCAACATGAGAACCTCGTCTGCCGCGCTGCGAGATGATTGCTGAAGGGTCGCAAGCGTTTCCTCTTGTTGTTTGATGGTTGCTTCGAGGTGTTTGATGTATTCAGTCCGTCGTTCTCGGAAAGCTAGCACAAAGTCGCACTGGTTAGTCTTAACTTTGTGTTCAATAAAATAGGGTGATGATCCAAAAGGCCTTTCCAAAGGTTGTCGACAGCACAGTCATAGGGAAGACCAAAGGACATCTAATCAGGGTATGGAGCCTTACCAGCTTGAGCTGCTCTGTTTCTCATCTTCCTCTCTTCCTGCGTAGCATAAACAGGCTTACGCCCGCCTTTCCGCTTCTGAGCAGCGGCGGCATCTGGGACGGCGTTTCCTTCCGGGGAAGACATTGAGGAAGATGGAGAACCTGGAGACTCCTTGACAGCAGCTGCCATGTCTACACAGTGTAGTGGACGAAGATAACCTCCTCTTTTGTTAGGAACGGAGGCTGTTTGGTATGAACAGAACCCTCAACCTCGTGAAACCACGGGGCCTACAGCCTCTGGCAGCGTTCACAGCAACAAACCGAAAGATAGCTCAGCGACCAAGAAGCCGCTGGAGTGATCAGAATACACAAAGTGCCTAGATAAAAGTTGGAGGTAAATTGTTAATACTGACTTCGAAGTTTGTTAAGAGGCAAAACGGGTTCGAGAATTCGCTGTCTTCTTAAAACGAAGAGCAGGGCACAGGTGAATATAACTTGTAAGATGAAGGCTGAAAAGGGAGTGAGAGTCCAACATGGAGGCAGATTTCAGGCGTAGTACCGGGGGGTTAAAACGGCTTGCTTCTTTGGGAATCCTTCTTTTCCATATTTGAATCATATGGATGCCATGGACCAGGTGTGAAATGTAAGATGTATGTGTATAGTCCAAGATATGGTCATAGAGTTCGCGGAGCCGATGCCATTTGATAGAGAGGACAGAGATGGATACATGAGAGAATGAATGAACGTAAGGGATCAAAATAAAAAGAACGATAAAATAAAAATAGAAAAAACAGTAACAAAATAAGAGAAGTATTAAAATTTGATAGAGATGTGAACAGAAGGGGAAGGAAATGATGAGGCGGTCGAATAACAGGATCGAAAACGCAGGACCGGCGCAGGCCCCAATGGCAAAGAACAGAGAGCATTCGCCGTGCAAAACATACATGCATTGGAGACAGGAAGGGAAGGGAAAAAGAAGAAAGAAAGAAGATAGTTTGGATGTATGTCAGACCTACGTACTTTTTTCTGATCAAGTCTTTTGGATTTATTTTCCTCTTTTCTTATTTTACGTTATTTTTATTTCGTAGTGTTCTTGAAGCTTGGTTTTGGATTGGATATCGCCAAAAGGACTTAACCTCTTGAAGGGAAAAAAAAGAACCTTCCCACCAAGACGAATGAAGTATTTCCAGAGCAGAAGTCCCCCGGAAAACAATGGCGACAAGCGATTTAGACGATTTCCCGCGCGGTTGATTTGAGATACAATAGATGCAGGTACCAGAAATCTAGGCTGGGGAGGCTCAAGAGCGACAGACGACGGGTCCACGCAAAAGATAGGCGAGGATAGAGCAGTAGGGTGGAAAAAAAATAAAATAAGAGAATTGTATAATCAACGAGAACGATATGATAGCAGGTTCGAATCAGTTTTGGAGTGTAATGGAAACGGCGATGTGGGATAAAAAGCTGGGGAAGTGCGTGAAGATAAGGAAAGCCTGTTAGCAAACCATTTGTAATTAGCAGCTGGAAAAGGTATGTTCGGAGCATGTACACACCAGGTTTAAGCCTTGAACTGGAACTCGAAAAGGGTCAGTTTCATTCAGGAAGAAGTAATATAATCTTTTAGAGTCAAGTCAAGTCAAGTCCAAGTCAAGTCACTCGCACTTGCATTGGCAGCAGCTTAGCTGGCAGCTGTGCTCGTGGTAAGGCCGCCTACTGGTCGAATGATTGAAGGGGAATGGGTGGATGTCCTGTTAGCTAATTCTCTCTCCTCTAGCCAGCCAGCCAGCCAGCCAGCCATGCCCAGGCTATACTCTGTGCTGTAAGTACTCTCTCTGAGTAGTCCAAAGGGAATACCATACCATACCATGCCATGCCATGGCCATCCATGGGCTAGGCTGGCTGGGCTTGGGTTTCTTGTTCCCCGGCCCACTGTCAGTCAGTCAGTTTTGGTCCGGAGAGCTCTCGATCGAATTAGTCGAGGCACACACACACACACTTAACACTTAACACAGGCACAAGCACATATCGTCAACAGACAAATCTTTTCTCTACATACAAGGTATATTGACACTTAGAGTGCATATACAATACATACGTACATACGTACATACATAAAATAAAATAAAATACGTGCTTGCTATACTTGCTTGCTTTCTTGGAAGTTGGAAGGGGGGCATACGCAAGAGGCAAGAAAAATCTCGTCAAGTGATTTCTTCTTTATGCCCCAACTTAACTGGGAGTACCCGAGAAAGAAACAAAAAAAAAAAAAAAAAAAAAAAAAAAAAAAAAAAAAAAAAAGGGTTAGGAGGATTTTCTGTTATATGGAAGCTAGCTCATAATTCCCTTCCCACCCATCCATCCCCAGGTGACTTTTTTTTTATTTTTTTTATTTTTATTTTATTTTTATTTTTTTATTTTACAGAGTTTTTTTACTCCATCGAATACAATACAAAAATACTACGTCCCGGAATGTGTCCTCCGGGCCCGGTGCGTTGTCTCGGCCACTTTTCGCCCACCCGAAGAATACCACATTCTTTCTCTCTTTCTCTCTCTCACCCACTTCGAGCTGCCCATTCGAATCATCCATCTCCATCTATATACACCGCAGAGTACATGCACATGTATCATACAGTACATACACATATTGGTATCAAAGAATATCAAATCGCTCCAAATAGCTCTCCCATTGGTCCCTTTTCCCTCGAAATTAAATGTGACCTCAGGAATCTCGCCCTGGAATCCTGTCCTGCGTTTGATGATTGTCTGGAGTTTGCATCTCGTCATTGATGAACGCCGTTCAATAACTCCCAAGACTTTTAAGACGCCGTCCAAACAGTGTCGGACGGGAAATTTTTGCCGTTACTGGCAAAGTGCCAGCTGGGGCGACCCACTACGGGAAGACCAACCTGGTCCCAAGACTTTTGCTTTTTCGCAAGGTCCCGTTGGAAATGGATCGATGCACCGTTCGGTTTGACCTCTTCAGGCATAAACCGCGTCGTCTTTGGCCTTTGAAGTCGACAACGACGACACCAATGACACCAGCTCTTGACCAGAGACGAAGAAGATCCAGCTGATCGATTCCGTAGCACAGGGCTGGACATCTCCTCGGATCAGGTCGCTTTCCTGGGACACCCATGTCTTCTCCCTCCCCGGGGCCGGAATGCCTATCAAGTCTTAATCTTTGGATAGTAGGTATTCCGAAGAGCTATTGTCTCGTCTTCTACATGACATCTACTGCCTATCTCAATGAAAAAGCATTCCAAGGTCTTTCTGGGCGCCTTCTGGATGAATCCGCCCCTCGCATTAGCCATTGATTCAGACCGAATGCATCAGATGGGGCCGTTGCCCCTTATAATTGATTCATTGATTCGAAAGCGAAGGCTGCACAGAATTGTGCTCGGACATAGCCGACGTTCTACTGTGTATGTAGTAAACCACCCTTCTGCCCTGTCGCATCATCCCCGCAAAAAGAAAAGTCTAGGTGAGAAGGCCTGGAAATTGTACAGGAGAAGCCGGAGCAATGAAAGCGAGGGAGAGAGGGCAAACTATCCGGGGACTTGCGGTGCCCGTCCCTCGAATCGATGATATCGATCGATCACATGGCTTGGACCATTGGCTGCACTGCATATTTCTTCTTTTCCCCGCAAAAAAGCCAAGCGTAATGCAGAAAAAGAAAAGATGCTGCCCCGAGCACGCTCCAGCACTACCTATTGCATTCTAAGACTTCAAATATTAACTGTTTAATACCTTCGTGTAATGACAGTTTAAGTTAAGTTAACATCGCATGGATTGAGCACTACAGCTGTCACCGGCAGATGTGTATAAATTTACAACCACGGACAAAGACAGGGCTTTAGGCATGTCACAAAGTCTATTCTTCAGTGCACAATTTTTTTATTTTATTTTATTTCTTATTCTTCTCGTTTAGATGGCCTTTGTTTGCCTTGGCCGAAACCTCTCCCTTTCCTCCGCTTCTTCCAGTTATACAATCACCAGAGACGTATATAAGGATTCTCCCCGATTATCCTCACCAGAAGAACTTAAGTAACGGCACACAAATTGAAGACAAGTAATACGACGTCAGGGCGGTCATGGCCATCGGTTGTCGAAACAGCCATATTGCGCAATAAATGGGAAAATTTCGTGGCAAGGAAGAGCAATGACCCAGCATCAGGCCGGAGATCCGGAGATGCAATATGCTCAAATTTTCATAGCGTCACACTAGCAAGCAAGCCCGGCGGCAAGGCAGCCGACCGACTTTGCTTCCTTCGACCCAAAAAATTTCTTGGAGGACTTCCTCCTTTCCTTTCCTGACAGAAAACGCCTCATCACAAATCACCACTCCAGTCAAACCCCGATCCCGGTGTCGCAAGCGATTGGCTCCCAAGCATTCTTGAACCTAAGCTGCTTTGCTTGCTCTCACTTTCGCTCCAATATGGACCACACTGATATTAACCTAAAAACCGAAACCCAACAGGTACGTTTTTGCTGCCATCCTCGATCCGATGTGTCCTAATGGCCGTGGGTCCGCCGCAAATTGGCCGGCCCGTCATCGGTTGTGGACTCTCCGTAGCATTCTATGGGCGTACGCATTCGTACATACTACGTACATACATACAGACGTGCATCGTGCATTCATTGCATCTTAGTACATATCGTTATTGACTTTTATTGTGATGCAATCTGCGCTCGCAAGCGACAGGAGAACGAATCAAGCCACCATGCGCCTAGCGATCAGGCATCACAAAGCTCTTCCTTTCGAGATCGTGCTGAGCTGCACACTCGTCTAGCTAGACCACGAACCTTCGTTCGGCCCAGCTTACCAGTTGACTTACTCGTTTCACCTGTCATCAATTCCCGTGATCCTTGCTACATGAAAGCAGACATCTTCATCACCTCCCCGTTCCACATTGCTGGTGGGTCGGTTGCAGGGAAATTGAACATATCCACTTTTCAAAATGCCGACCTTCAGTTAGGCCGGGTGGCCATCGATCTCGTTGGAATCGAAGGTACTACCATCCACAGTTCTGCCGTCTATAAAAGTTTTTTCCCTCCCAATGTGACTTACAAATTCCTGACCGGAATATTTGTTTCCGTAGAATATGGCTTTGGACACCAAAAAATGTTCATTGCCTTGGCCGCTGAATTCATTGACGACGACCACCCTCCGCCCTCCACTATTCTGCGCCAAGGTGAAAATTCTGGCCCCTTTTGGAGTATCAGGAAGGGCGAAGGAGCCTTTCCTTTCGATGTTAACCTTCCTCTCGATGTCGGCCCTGGGACTTTCGACTCGGGGACTGCCCGCATTCGATATGTCATATACGGGTACGCTAATTCTGTCTCATTGACATAAGCCTAAGTGGCATGACACCCTTGCTTACCACCAATACTCGACAGAACCATTTTGTTTAAAATTGGAGACAAGAAATTCTTGGTTCGATGTTGCCGAGATGTTGCGGTGGCCCCCTCTCTCGGCGAATTTCGCAAAACCGTGACGGACTTCGATCGTGAGGTCAAAGTTTTCGAGGAGAGAAATTTTGTCCCGGAGGGGTCTCTGAAGCTTACAGCTAACCTAAGCCGCCCTTACTGGTTCAGTGGCGGATCTGCTTTTGTTGATGTTCTGGTTGAGAATGAAACACAGTTCCGCATTAAAACTATCCGGGTTAGATTGGTAAGGCCCTTCCTGAGCAGGACTCTATTACGCAATATTTGCATGGTTGTCGGCACATTTGCTCTCTCGCGGTTGCATTGACAAAATCCTAGGTTCGACGCATAGATGTTTACCCTAAAGACCCAAAGGACCATCCGACACCCGCGACGCTGACAAAAACAATGGCAAGATCAGAGCTCAATGCCGGCAGTCGTTGGACTGGCCTAACTTTCAACAAGCAAGATGCAGTGACATGTGAAATCGATATCCCCAAAGGACAGCTAACGATCCCCTTAGGCAAGTTGAAGTTGGCATCCGTAAAACGTGGCCATGCGAAAAAGTTCTAACATGCACCAAAGGAAGATATTTCGAGGTCCAATATTTCATTGTCGTGACGACCTGCCCAAAGCTAGAGTTAGATCGCATATTGCACTTCCTTGTCCTGAACAGCTTTACTAACCACTGGGATAGCCCTCATCGTCGCAAAGTCAAGGCGGTCCTTCCAATTCGAGTATTGCATAAAGTACGAAGAACTGGAGACATAACAGCCGACCTCTTACTAACAAGTTCAACATCAACTTCTAGGATTCTATCCATGAAGCATTAATGTCCGGTATCGGGAATAAACCAAGCTTTGCAAGCTTTTCCGCCATGCGACGTTCGCTTCCATTTGCACCTCAACGTCTTTCGACATCAACATCAACAAATGGCACCGTAGTCCGCCGCCGTTACACAGATTCCGACTTGTCACAGGTTGAACCCATCCCGATTACCGAGGCTGGTCATCAACCGACAAATCATGTGACCTCTGGAACAGCGACTCCTCCAAAGGTGGATAAACATAAGAAGAGGGAGGATGTTGAAGGGGCAAATCCGGATGACTCGCAAGCTTCCAGTAGCCGACACTTTTACTCGTTCACCTCGCATATTCCATCGGTCCGGAGCTACTTTTCGAAGGCATAGGTGTGGAGCATTATTGGTTTCTAACAAACTGAGTTTGCCTGCATTGCATTGATTTTGATTTGCGTTACCGGCTTTAGTTGAATATGACACATAAGGCTTGCGGTTGGGAAAGGCGGCTACCAACTAGGCGCTTTTGCTGGCCTTGTTCGTTTCCTTTTGTTTATTCTATTCAGAGCACCATTACTCGGATAATGGTGTATCGGCTAACAGGTTAGCATTGGAGATTAAATTGAAGAACTCTCGTTTTTATTCTTGTCTATCATTGAAAGCTACCCCGCCGGGAATCCGAATGCGAAAGTACCATCCCCAATTCCTAAATAGCCGGCAGAATTATAAAAAAAAACTATAATTTTTTATGCGCCAAGAGAGCCCACCAGATTATATTTTCCAACAATTCTTTCGGGCATGCTCCGAAAAATAAATTTAGGCCTTAGCTCTTAGTCATCTCGAACATCTGTCCTCGAAAGCCTCCCCACTAGGCATCCACGGGCTCCGAGGACATGTTTCGTGTGATCCCGTCCGAGGTCTCTACAAGGTTCTAATCATAAATCTTCGAAATGATCTTGATATTGTGTCGTTATGATGATAGTCGAGTGATTCGGGAGATTTACCCGACACAGCAAACTCTCAACACGAGAGCTGCAGGTGATCGTGGCTCCATCGATTTGCTCTAAGGCGACAGTGGCGGTGCATCGCCGATGTATGTGTTTGGTCCCTTGGCTCAAAGACCTTCTGACGTGATATGTTCACTATCTCCCGTCCAAAAAAGAATCCAATCTTGACCTCGAATTCTTCAGGCGGTGGGCGTTGGCTCGTCCCTTCCGCTCCCGCTGATGCTCATCTTCATTACTCCATTGACAGGCACCGAAGAAGCTGCCGAGGCGGGGGCACCAGCACTATCACCAGCCGGAGATTTCCCAGATTCCCCCGTGGAAGCAATAGCGGGTAACCTAGCTACGTTCCTTCTTCCTCCAGTGTTTTCTAGAACTTCATCGACGTCACCCCTGAGCTCTGGAAACGCGGTATTGATGTGTTCCGCCAGAACGTCGCGGAAGTCCTGGAAGGCATGTTGTTTGCCGTTGAGGTATTGGTTTTGTTTTATTGCCAATTCGACGAATTCACGGGTATAGATATCAGGGTTACGACCGTGTTCGACATATCTACATTTCAGGGTTGTATCATATTATTTATTAGAAAAATTGTTCTTTCTGTTTTTATTTTTACTACAAGTAATAGTAATAAACAATAACAACGGAGATAACAACGGTAAATGGGGGGGCATACCCGATGACTTCTCGAGGGATCCACAGATCGTTTACACCTTGAGCTGCGGTTTGTAGATGATCAAACTTGGTGACGAGGTCTTTAACCTGATTGATAACAATCTCGGCGGGGTTCGGAGCATCATTACGGTATGTTGAGACCGCGATTTCGTAGAGAGATTGGATGACATTACGGAGCTCTGTATCGACCTTCTCAGCGGACTGGGAGGCGGTAGAAGAACCCGCAGCCGGGGTTGCAGATGACATGGCTGAGGAGGTGGGTGATATATATGGACGCGGGAGATGGTTTTGTTTTTATTATGTATCCGGAGAGGTATATGGGATAGAGTAGTATCCGTCCGATATCAAGAATAGAAAATGGAGAACGGTGTGTGTGTGGCGTGCTGGGGATTGGGCGACGAGGGCGCGGCCGCGTTGTCGATGAGGTCGAAGGTCGGCAAGGTTACACGCCTGCCGAGCAGGACCTATTTGGGAATTACCACGACTTCAACATCGTTTTGGAAATTAATATTTATAATTTAGTCTTTGCGATCCAATTGATATTTTAATATATATTATCTTGCACTGACTGTATATTACTTGCTATAATTACTAGCTATCTATCTAGTACCCGAGTAGCTAGTTACATAATCACTTCCTATATTCCCCCAATTTTAAGTACGACACGATCTCGAACATCTTCGGGAATCGGGAAAAAAAAAAATTTAAAAAAGTAAAAGAAGGAAAAGGGCGCAGCTGTTCGTTTCAAGGATTCCAAAACAACTTTGGAGCTGGGCCACACAACCCACATTTTGCCCGTTGGTAAAACCTCCAAACGCCTGTCAGACTGCGCAGCTTTGCTGCTGCAAATATGGAAATTTCAAGGGCTGGGCCTAATTATAGCCTCAGCCACGCTTCTTCACCTTCCCCCCGCCTAATCGTGGATATTCCGGACGACGACAACCTCTCGTTGATCATCGATGGGTCTTGAACCAATTAACTAACATAAAGGATGGGATTGGGTGGTACAAAACCAAAGGGATTCCAGTTTTATTAATCTATATACTTACATAAACAGATCTTTTTTTTGCAATCAATCTGTGCCGCTGTTATACACCTTATAAACTTAGGTCATAATTACTTACCTTATACTAGAAAGAGAGGGACCAACTACCACCACTCACCGCCATACGTACCCCCTTTGAATACGCGGACAAAATCCAGCCCCTAAAGTACGGATTCTTTCTAATCCCGTCCCGTTGCTTACCAAAGCGACTGACATATACTTTAAAGAAAATCCCCCATCAAAATCTTGTCGCGCGCGCGCCCTGATCTACATATACACCTACCAAAAATATACAAAAAAGGAGCTAGCTATCCCCAAGAGAGGGGGGGGAGCAACCGCAGAAGGAAAAGCATAGAAATACCCAACATTCCATTGACATTCCTCTCAAAGTACTTTTTTTTTTGTTACGCGATAAACAACTTTCGGGCCCTTCATTTCTCGGGGGGAATTTTTTTCTTTCTTTGTCACTATCAGCAAATTTATATCTATTTTTTTGTTTGAGGGGGGAGGAATTCGATGGCAATGATCAACTCGGGGAACGGGGGTACTACTGGTACCACTAATGGCGGGAGAGGTCGCAAGCTATCATCGGGCTGGTCCCTGGCGATAGCGAGATCTCGCTTTGCCCAGCGTTATCGTTCAAGGTATGTATTACGTCTACTTCCCTTGCTATTACCATATAAAAACTCATATCACGCAATTGAAATTTAATCAATTGTAATCGATCACTTAATCAAAATATCAAACTTAAAACTATCCCCCAAGAAAGAAAGAAACAAGATCTAGAATATTTAGTAAAAATAAACTTCAAAAATGCTAACATGATAATAAAAAATAATTCCAGAAGCTCCCGCACTCAAGATACCTCCCAAACCGCCACCTTCTTCGACCGTCTCCCCGTCGAACTCCTCGCCCAAATCTTCTCCCAAGTCCATGTCACAGACCTCATCTCCCTCCAATGCACCTCCCGCTCCTTCCACGAAATCGTAGACATAAACTCCAGCCTAATCACCCGCCAATATATCCGCACAAACTCCCTAACCACCCTCTCAAAACTCTTCCCACCGCCCACCTTACCCTGTAACAAACCCAAATACGACGTCCGATACCTCATCTCCCTCACCAAACGCGAACAAACCTGTCGTGAACTCTCAAGCTACTTAACAGAACGCATCATCGAACGATGTCTAAACACTCCAATCCAGCGTGTAAAACCCAAGAAACGCTCCGTCATGGAATCATGTCTCACAGACGAACTCACGGAACGCATGATTTACGTTTTATACTTCCTCACAGAGTACTCCCGTAAACGCGAGGAATCCCTCGATTTACTCGCCACCCACCGCATCTTAGTCTCTTCCCACCCTACAAGCAGTACCACAAACACCCCGCACCAAATCCGTACCCGCGCAGAGATATTTCACGCCTTTCAAACCTCCATAATCTCCACCCTCCCGGATTCGATCCTAATCCAAACCCACCATACAATGCACCTACTCATAAAACTCGTCCGTCTATCCATCTGTCCAACCCCACCGCACCAAAAGAACGACCCGTGGATTTCGATGATGTTGCATAAATCCGGATTAACCCGAATCACCGAATTCTTTGCCGCAGATATGCCGTATGCCAGTCATTCCACTCGAAAGGGGTTTGCGAAGGCGATGCAGAAGGATTGGGATGATTTGGATATTGCGAGCGGTCAGGTCCCCGGTCAGGTGGGGAATAGGGATGTATACGAAAGAGATGTTCCGCCGCCTATCAGGGAGATTTGGTTCGATGCTGCTCAGGAGGTTATGAGGAATAAAAAGTTGGAACCGCATGCGAGGGAAGGGTTGGCGGTGGGGATGTTTGGAGGTTATGTGGTGGATGATTTGAGCTGTACGGGATGTGTAGCTGGGAGACCGTAGAATGGTCCCTTTTTATTATTCTTCTTTCTCTTCATTTTAGGGAGAGGGTTGGGATGGTTGTGTATTTCATGATCTTGATGAATTGGTTTCAGCTCTTTTCTTTTCTTTTCTTTTCTTTTCTTTTCTTTTTTCTTTTCGGATTTGATGGGCTTTGGGGTCTTATTCTTTATCATTTTTGGGATGCCCAGCGGGATGGTCAAGGGTTAGCGATTTTTGGCGTTTTGATATCAAAATGGAGGACAGCGATTTCTGGGAAATTTGGTATGGACGGTACATGTATACATGCAAGGCATTAAGGGATGGATATTATTATTATTATTCCAATTCATACATAGAAAACTTCGGTTCCATTATATTGATATGATGGTAAAAGTAACCTCTATGACCCCCCGACAAAAGTAACCGTAAAACTACACCAAAAGCTAAACAGGTATACATACAAGCAAAATACTGTGAAGTAAATAATGCAAAGGATAAACCATCGCTGGCATCGATTATATCGCTATACCCCCCAAACCAAATGATATCGTGCATATTATATAAAAAAAAGAAATCCCAAAATTCCAAACTAACATTCCCAATCTGTTCTTGATATGATATCTGACTGTATTCGTCTGCTATGTTGTTACATGTACAATTCGCATATCTTACATGTGCTCAATTGGTTCTTCCGGAAGAAGCTCTTCTCTTGCCTCGTTTTCTGGTCGATTTGGCAGGCAAACCTTCATTGGTGGGTTGATAATTTCGTTGAACAAGAAGGTTCCATAGACAAGAAGACCGAAGCCAAGGAGCTGGAGTGGGATAAATTTCTCCCATCCGAGACCCAGGGATACGATCCAGATAAAGAGAGTTCTGCAGGTGTCGATTGTCGAACGAGAAGTAGCGCTGACAGATCTTGTGACTGAAATACCAAAAAAGTTGAAGGCACTATATTACCAACATTAGCTTTTGTACCAAGGTTAATGTGGTCTCGCGTGGCTGCTAGGTGACACAAAGCTAACGACACGAGGTTCAAGTCAAAACTGTAAATAGCAACATACCCAATAGAAATCATAATCAAGACACTGCTGACGAAGACGTTCTTGATTCCCATCTCCTTCAATCCCTCAGCAGCATCAAAGTATCCTCTTCGTCCAGCCTCGGTAACACCGATAGAGAAGTGGAGGACGACCATGCCGATAGCGGTAACAACGAAGCCGAAGATACCTTCCCAGCCGACAACATGAAGCGGCTCCATCGCATACTTTTCAAGAATATGCTCTTCCAAGACGAACTGGGTGGCTGTGAAGATTTGGGCTCCAGCAATCAATAGAACACCGATCAAGGATCGCAAAACATTAGCATCAGCCTCATCGGAGACGATTTCATGTGGCTGTGGCGTTTTAAACAGTGCACCGGCGAGACCAACAACGGCGACACCAGTGACGACGACGAACAAAGCCAACCAATGGAAGATGTAGAGATGTCGCTTGAGGAAGATCACACTGAAAAGACCGACGAAGAGGACTAGTGCGCCTCGGGTCATTTGATAGACTAAACCTCATGTTAGGCTTTACTCGGCATGAACAAGCAAGGGGGTTTGGGGGAATAACCACTTACTACTGGCAGCCACGAATAAGAGACCCACATTCATCAATGTAGTTCCACAAATATCACAGACTATCACACCTATTAGCCAACATTCTTCCAGGAATCCCCACAGGACAGCACATCATCACATACTAGCCGGCAAACTCAACAACAATATCTTCGATCCGCTCAGCGCCGGACGTTCCCTCGAATTCGGTGTTAGAGCCTTTAATATAGGACTACTGGGTTCGGCTGGATCCTCCAACGGTTCGGTATCGGCGATAGGCTGATATCCTTCTGTGTCATTGCGCTTCTGTTGGAATCTAGTGTACAACTTGAACAAGCCGATAACGAGCCAACATCCCATTTCACCGATGAACATCTGAAGAGTTTGAATGACGGGCTGTTCGAAGTGTTCGCGCTTTCGGGGATCTGGGTCGTCGCAGTTCCGGACACACTGCTGGTCTTGCCATTTTGTGAGAAGAGTGTTGGAGCAGCCAGTTAGAAGCATTCCAGCCCTAGATAGAAATAGAGATAGTATAAGTATACAGTTATTTCCAGAGTTGGTTCATTCAAAATCAAAAAGGAACGTACACAAGGGCCAGAATGAGAGGTTTGGAGTTCGACATGTTCCCCGGAGTTGAAGTCGATGACGACGAGTGCGAAGAATGCGATGATGACTCCCGATATGCCTCAGTTCGTAGTACAAACTAATGCCTAAAGAACTCCGAGGGATTTAAAGAATAACAGATGTTGACTTTATGATGATGCTATATTATGAGCGACGGACTGGCGAAAAATCTTCTCTTCATCTAGAGCCTACCAGAGGAAATTCGACGAAGAAAAGAGAAGGGAAAGAAGAACAAGGGAAAGAAGGTCAGAGAGGTTGGTTTCGAGCTGATGTGGATCTGCTGGTTCAGTGGATGTGGATGGGATGGGTGACCAGTGACCAGACTGAGGAATGCGCATGGATTACACGGCCACGTGACCGTCCCAGAACAGACCAACTTGCCGGTTCTGGCCAACCACACAATTCCAACACGCCAAAACACGGCACACCGCTCTCAGCATCTCCTGACTGCTGTCTACTGATTGCTAACCGCCCATCTGCTGACCAATCGGGGATTTACCGACTTCACAAATTCGAGCTAAAACGGATTGACTGTTGGGGGAAAATTCAAGTCATTCTTTTTTTAAAAAATCTTTTCTTTCATTGAATTGGACTGCTATATAGCTCGAACGTAGTTGGGTCAGGCCCTAATTATATATTCAACTATTTCATATTTCAGCTGATTCGAGGCTTAGTACCCTCGTTTATATATTCAAATCTGATAATTCCCCAACCAGGTACATATAGTGTAAGCTGTTGTCCATACCTTTAACGGTAAGTCTAGAAAGCTTTAAAGTAATAATCGAAAATGTCGGCACGAATTCGTCAAAAAAGGGCTGTAAAAAAGCTATTAACTGAATGAATAAGCTCTTATAAACGGATACAGAACATACCACGTGATGAGATTCAACATTTTCCTGTTAGCTTAAGTAGCTATTTAGAGGGTATCTCTATGTCTCTTTAAATACCCAGGGAATCCTAGATCATAGTGCGTCACTATCGAGAGGCCCCTGTCCGCAAATAGATAAGTAAGTACTTCTATACTATAATATTACTTGAGTACCTCGATATAGCCCCTACACAGTGAGTGCATCATTAGTGTTTTCGCTTAGCTTTCCTTAAAAATCAAGTATCGAAATCTTCCCGCATATGCAAGATGTACTAGCTTGGCGATCCCATCAGAATACACATTCTGATAACTTCATAAATTTATACTGAACATACAATAGCGGGGACTTCTAGAATTATTTAAATTTAAGACCTAGTCGATACGTAATAATTCAAGCTACTTGTGCTATTTAACTAGACTTTATGGTGTCCTACTGATTCAACTGGTTGGGCAATATTGTAAAATACATACTACACCATGCGATATACCTACATATAACGCAGTACAGCTGTCGATTTTGATGGCAGAGATTCTAGCACTAATATGATAGATACATATAATTCACCCTCTCTACTCGGGTCATATCAAATTAATATATATAGTATTGCATATTTTGGGGATTGATCTCAGACACTTCTATTTACTGCAAAAAAAGAAAGTATAGTCTTATGGATTCAGCTAATGTTACAACTAAGCTGGCCAAGGTCTGAACGTCCTATTATATACATAAGTACTTTAGAGCTAGGGTACAATATCAACAGTCTATTCTTATAAATCTTACACAGCGTTATATATAACTGGCTTGTTCGATCGAGATTTTATTGCATCGATGTCACTACCGAAATGAACACTCCCACATTACGTTGTAGTCGACAGTAAAGGATATGGTGTAAATCGGGTATATAACATACACTTATAAGTAGCCTTAAAAATCCACTTTAGTATTCAGTATATAGAACAACAGGATCCTAGGAACATCTCTGTTATCAGGACCATTTGGAAAAAAATAAAATTAACATGCTAAAAAGGCAGGTAGAAAACATAATACTCCCTTGATATCTATCAAAGCTCGCACAAGAGGTATACAGATAAGACTTACGCATTCAAAATCGTGGCTTCTACATGCAAAAGCCATTCTCGCGGTTGGCTGATATACCCTCCTAAGGATCCTAGGAAAAAATAAATAAATAAAACCATCTGTATATAATATCCATTGAGAAGTTGAATAGACAATCTAGGTCATACAAAATGCAAATAGGTCAAAATCGCATAATAGCACCACCGGCTGGCTAAAGACATATACATCGAAACCCTATGGCCCGTTTAACCCCCCCTCGTCCTCCTCGGAAATATACTCGTAGGCTTCTGATAATGAAAACGCCTGACATAAAAACTCTCCATGATTAAAAAAAAAAACAATATGACACTTTCAAACTCCGTGAAAACACCAGGGATATCAATCTTCTACCCAAAGAAGTTGTTGTGCAAATGGGAACCGCGGACCGTACCAATTCAAGCCCCTAATACTCCAGCGGGAACCAAAAAAAGGACCAAGAAAAAGGAAGAAGAAAAAGGATCAATCGAGCCCGGTCTCCAACTTATTCCTGCTAGTAAATAAATCATTTCACAAAGTTATGCTCAAACGAAAGAATCCTGACCCAGAGTTTGAAAGGGGAGTGGGGAAAAAAAAAGAAATTCGTAAAGTAGAACGCCTCGCATTCACATAATAGAGCACCCACCAGTCCTCCTTCGCCTCCTCCCGTCAAGGTTATCATCAAAATCTAACATAGCGGCTTCCCGAGCCCTTCGTCTCCGACGACGACTGCTCTGCGTCGTATCTTCATTCGATGTCATATGGTCCGCCCATCGATCCTCCAGCCATTTCGCGCTCGCCATATCTCCTCTGAGTACGAGCTTCAAATGCTGATCGGCGGTTTGTTGCCACCCGTAATAGCACTTCAAGTGGATCACCTCGCGGCATGGCGCCAGGTTTGTGGAGTTCTTATTGGATTTACCGATCTTCAAGTCGGTTGTATGTGTGCTGTTCGCAGACAGCACGGATTGGATTCCAGTCCAGTTTACGTTAACGCAATCGAAGCACACCAAGCGGAGTCCGACCCGTGGCTTTCTTGATGTAGAGTTGCTGCTGACTCGGCTGCGGACTGCGGTTGATGCTTCAGTGAGGAAAGCGTCGGTTATGCGAGCTACGAATTGTTAGCAACTCACATGTTGCGAACTGAATTACTTCAATAACTTACTATTATCAAGCTCGAGATTTCTAAGGGCGGTGCAGCTTTTAATAACCGGGATCATACCCTCATCCGAGATATTTTCGCAAAAAGACAGCTGTAAATGACGCAATGACTTTGCACATTGTGCCTTAGACAACTCTACCAACATATCATTTGTGATATTCGAGCACTCCTCAAGATCTAAATGACTGAGCTTTGGGATAGTGCGAAGTAAGTCGGATACCCCTTCATCTGTAAGTTCCACCACATGGGATAACTCCAGTCCCTCGAGGTTAGGAACGTTGTACGCAAGATGCTTGAGAGCGATGTCTGTGAGTCCCCTGCATTTGCTGAGATTCAGATGCTTCAATCTCCTAGCTGGTGCTGTCGTTCGATCAGTCAATGGGTCAATGTCGGCTTCGATCCCTTCCACTAAAATACGAATAGATTCATCCGTCAAACCGTCACATCCACCAAGTAATAGTCTCTCCAGCGTATTGGTTTTGAAAATCGATTCTAGTGTCGATTCATCATCAATTCCCAAACATTCCGCCGCCCTTAAATCCGTCAAGAATGTACAAGATTCCACAATCCTACGAATGCCTCTAGCATCCATATTAGCACAAAACGAAATATCCAGTGTCGTAAGCTGTCGACATGATTCGGCAATGTGTTTGCAAGTGACGTTGGTAACGGCTTCCAAGCCGGAAACGTTCAAATGGATCAAATGGTTATTGTTGGTAATGAGTCGGTGAACGGTGGGTCTAGAAAGGGAACAGCCTTCAAGGGATGCTGATACAAGATTGTTGCAAGTTGCAGTAATAGCGTAAAACTCGTTTTGCAGTTGAACACATCCTCTGCAGAGAAGTGAGCACTTTCGTCCAACATTTTCTTGGTGGGAATTCAACCTAGATTCTGAATACTAACCTAAGATTGAGATAGCGGATAAAAGAGCCACTCAGGCTGATTAATTTTGTCAATTGGTATGCTGGTATCTTTTTATAGAATGTCCCGGTATCTAAGACACTCCATAACTGACCATCGAAACACAAATGCCCAAGAGCTTTATTAACCTGTTGGTTCGGGTGTATCAGCTTCGGAGTTTGGTTTATATTGCATAGGGTGGAAAGGTGAAGAAACATACCATCGAGCAGCGTATCAATTCCTTCGGTTCCAGATAACCAAGTACCTGTAGGCATATTTCGCCTGGGAGGATCTCCAAAAAGTTCCTCGGGATATTTCTGTGTTGCAGCAGGGGAGCAGTTCTCGGAACAGCTGCCGTGGGAGCATTTGAGCTCATACCATTTCTTATGACGGCATCCTTTTCTGCAATTCGAGCAGCATGCCGTTCGGTATTAGCATGACGAGAGCCTGTCGCCAAAGAAATACAAGAAACGGAGTTTCTAGCGGAGTATTGACCATCGGAACCTAATTCGGTAAGGTGTGGAGATGATGACGCCCTGCCCATACGATTGAGCAACCTTCGTCGGGTTCGCCTTTTGACGACTGGAGCGTCATGAAGCATTGCAGTAGACGTAGACATTGTTCAAAAAGGCTCTAATAAAGGTATTATTTTTTGAGAGAATCGAAGTTGCGGAGATAGTTCAATCCAGCCCCCTTCGAGGGATTCCTTTGTAGTCTGGAGACTAGCGGTAGTTGGAGCTAGCTAGGCGTTGTGGAGCATGAACATGGCCGCGGTGCCGTTTATAACTGTATCCAAAAAAAAGGTTCCGTTCCTGAGAATCCGGAATCGACGGAAGAACAAAAACAGGGAGAAACCGAAGGAAGAAATGAGGGAAGAGGGAATTTTATTATTGAATACTGCGATCAATGGGAAACCATGCAAGTCGGAGAGTGTTTTTTTTCAATGTACTGTTTGGCGGCTGCGGACTATTCCGGGATGTCGCAGATTTGGAAGAGGCAGTTAGCTAATTGTGATGTGATGGTTCAGCGACAAACCGAAGCGGGGCACACGACAGGTCCTGTAACTGCGACGGCTATCGATAGATATCGTCAAAGAACAGAAAATAAAGAGAATAAGAAGAATAAGAAGAAGCTGTTAATGATGATGATGACGATGATAAAGGAGAGGTGGGGGTAAAATAGTAGAAGTAGTAGTAGTAGTAAGACAGGAAGAAGAATAAGAAGAAGAAAAGGGAGGTTCCTGTTCACGCCACTGGCCGGCGACTGCAACCGCAACTGCAAATGCAACTGCAACTGGAACTGCAACTGGCTGGATCCACAGTTGGAAACCCAGCTAGCTCAACCGAATGACCTGCACAGCAGCGCGAGGGGTAAAAGTTGAGGTGCTTTCGACGTCGGTTGAAGTGGCCGGACGCCTTGCTTCGATCAAACCCACGCCCTGGAATGTATTCTGTAAGTATAAAGTAGGTAGTGATTGATGGATTTGGAATGTGGTCGACCCGGGTTAATTCTCTCGGACTATCTTGCCTTCAGCCGACCCGGTTTAATATTCACGTCGACCCAGTTCCGATGCAACAGTGTGCTTCTGGAAGAACGATAGAACAGATACCTAGGTATGTATGTATATTATCCAGACTGCCTGTATCCACATCACATACACAATAAATACGGGATTCGGAGGTGGCGGCGATGGTGGATTCTCTGGATGTTATATAAATAAGTAACATCGACATCGACATCGACAGACAGACAGACAGCAGCGCAGATATGTGCATCATTTGTTTACATATAAACTTCCTCCGGTCTGATCACCGACATTTACATTTCATGTATATGTAGTAGATGCATGCATGCACGCAGATGTCACAAACTTGTAGATTGCGCACTTCCGATAACACAATCGGGAGCTCGCAGCTACTAGCTACTACTTAGTAGCTACGTTAGTTTGGTCTTACGGTTTACGAGGCCGATAAGGTGTATATTCCAGGCAGAATGAATGACTTGGCTGCATGACCCGGTAGAATCTAGAAATGACCACGCGCCCAGCTTGCTCAGCTTGCTCGCGCTTGGCTGGACCGATGTCTCTGGATCTGTCTCTGCTCTCCTTTCGGTTGTCTTATCCCTCCATACCATACCATACCATACCATACCGTATAGTATAGTATATCCCTTTGCTTTCCTTCCTCCCTCCTATGCCGCTTGTCGTATATCGACTTTTTAACCTTCCTCCGGTGCTTAAGTATAAATTCCTATCCCCATAGTCTAGGTCTTCAAAGCTTGTTAAGAATTGTAGAAGTCGAGAGAGTATGTGAGTACTTGGGTGTCTAGTCTTATCGCAACCACCCCACGCGAGGTCCTTGAAAGATCAGACGAAATTTGCTTGTGATCCCCCCTAAACTTAACTTCCTGTTACTCTTATCTAATCCACCCCTCCAACTAGCACCAATAAAAAGGACTATATAATTAAGTACTTATGAAGCACTATATTGATTACTAGCTCGCAGCTGTCATGCAAGGGTGAGCTCTGCAGGAAGCTGTCGCGATGTCGTGCGATCCGGTATTATCTGAGATGCCCCTCATCGGAGCGGGGCAGCCCGATTCATTTAATTCACTCAACGAACCACATATGTACAGTACTTACCGAGACTCCTATGGACACCCGAAGATAAAATTTAAACAGGTCCTTTTGAGTAGCGATAATTAATCAAATTAAAAAATTAATTTGATCTATGAAGAAAATTAGAAAAATAGAAAATTAGAAAATTCTTGCGGCTATCGGGTAGTGTATTGTATAAGTACGGTCCAACCAACATTCAACAACCCTGGTATAGTACTACTGGTTACCACCAGAAAAAACTTCCGTTTTGATAACTATCGGAGGTCAAAAGCTACCAGCACCCTGGCCAGCCTAGTTCTTCAAAAGAACCAGGCCTTACTCGAGCTAGTCGGCCTCTTAAGAAGCACTAATGTATAATGTGTATTGGATTGGATGCAGGTTAGATTAATATAATTAAATGGATGGATCTTTGTGTCACACGAGTCCCAGCCCGGCCGCCTCGCTTGTGATGTCCAACGTCATGTCATGCGCCAAAACACCACATCTGCTGCTGAAGCTTAAAACATCCACCCCTTCCGCTAGCACTGCACTACACTACACTACACTTCACCAACTCTACATTAGAAGACTACTCACATGCGACGTGCATACCTGTTGATCGTAAACTTGTAGAATACTCATTCTCAGATTGCCCAATCACTTCTGTGTCCTGTTCACCAGATGACTGTCAAATTCCCGACATAAATAACCTCCGTATGCTTGCCCTCCCTTTGATGGATCTCGACACACATATGAAAGAGAAAGGAAAAATAAATAAAATAAATGCAATAAGTCTAATACTCGAATCATGAATAGTGTGCGCCCAAGACCTCACAAGATGCCACCTTCTACCCGTCGGCCGGGTGTCCCTCTCGCCGATTCGGAGGAGAGGAACCTGGCCGCTCTCACGAAACGCGTTCTCTGTGCCCACGCGCCTGTCGGGAAGACCATCGAAGAGGTTCTACCTGCTCTTACCAGCTTGCCCAAGGTTGATCTCCAGCTATATGGCTTCATATCTATTATCTTAAGGTACCTATACATACAAGTTTGTACCTAAAGCTACAAAAGCTATGCATATTTTTGGTTCGAATAAGTAGCACGCTAACCATTGCCACTCTCTTCCCAGGGATTTTGTCCAATCGTGGTACCAGAAAATCACACCGGACCACGAGTTTATCGACGAGATTGTTCTTATCATTGCCCATTGTACATTATCATTGGAGCAGCGTATTCGCCAGGTATATATATAAAGCTTCGTGGTAACATCATGCATCCTGCACGCCACGCATGCTGATAGATCCGTCGTTCGTATAGGTGGACCTGGAGACCCTTCTCCTAGAGGAAGCCCCTGTTCTACTGGAAACCCACGTTAAAGGTACGTCCGTCTAGCCGGAATCCCAGGACGGTTGCAGCTGCATAAGTGGGGGGGAAACTAACCGACGCCATAGACTACCGAGTCGCTTTAGAGCGGCAGTCTACCGCACTATTTCCACATGCAACTGTCAATGAAATCTTCCACAGCATGCAGCCACACCCCGCCCTTCTCTCCTCCCCCGAGAGCGAAAGGCTCTACCTCAAGATGCTGGGGTCTGGGGTGCTCACGGCCCTCCTGCCGCCGGCGGACCTGCAGTCGGATTGCGAACGACTTTTGGTTCGAGAGATTCTATCCAATATGGTGCTATGGAATGTCGTTGATAGACTGAGTGAACCATTCATGCTGTTCGAGATGATCACAAAGGTATATATCGCCATTATCTTACGATAGGAAGGGAGGGGAAGAGGGAATTTAAAACTTCTGGCGGGCCGTACATAACTGACCGTCTACGTAGGTGGTCACGGTCCTAACGGCCCCGAACAAAGTCAAACCCAAAACCGTTTCCCACGCCAAAAGCACCGAATTAATGTCACTGCTCCAAACCGAACCCCCAGAGCCAATCAAAAAGGCCGATGATCCGGACCAATCCATTTTTCAGGCCCTCTCTACGGCCGCCCTAACCTACCTCGAACACGCCTACACGTTCATATCCACCACCGCGGTTGTCGCACGACACGCATCTGCATCTCTGATGTCATTGTGGAAAGAACCCCCGCAGGAGCCACCCCGCCGGAGAAAACAAATCTTAAAATTATCGGTGTGGAAAACTTTGGTCACGTTATTTTCACTCGATAGACGACAACCCTGGTTGCTCGGGTCGATACAGTTGGCCGCAAAGCCGCTAACCGAGCAGCCGCCGGGGTCTCTAATCGATAAGTATGACGTTCCCGCCCTCCCGTTGGCACTAACTAGCATAGTCTAAACACAAATGTTTAAACGTATAAACTAATGATATGTTACTTTTTTGACAACAACAAAAAACAACAGTTATCTTTCTCATGTCTTCACTCAATCACTTCTGAATGAAGAAATTCTCATCAAAATCCTTTCTATCGCCCGGAACACCCTGTTCCCAAACGGCTCGCTCGCTCCTCCCCGTACTTATCCAACAGAAGACGAAAAGGTGCTAATTCAGAAGCAAGCCGAGCTGGCAATCTGGAACGCCATCCCGGATGTACTTAAGTCCATGTACTTGCCAGCGAACAAGGACGACCAACTGCGGGAGATCGGAGAGAGTCTGGCCTTCTTGCGGTCTAGGAGCTGTAATAAGCATTTGGTATATCGGCTTTTGGACCTATTGGTCGCGCGGCTAGTACCAGGGATGGTTGAGGGTTAATGCATGAATGTTTCATTATTAGATTTTTCCTCCAAGTCTCTTTTGTCAGTCACAGGATAGTTTAGAGTTTTTTTTCTTCCCTCTTAGCATATTTGAACAGCGTGTTACGGGAGGGGCGTTCCGGTTTTGCATGTTTGTGACTTTTTTTTCCTTTTCTTCTTGATGATTCCTATATGGCTCCCCTTGTTCGGAAGTTTTTCCTTGATTACCTGTCACGATAAACCATAAACCCCAGAATGCATCGTCACTTCACGGATAAATACCATGAATTACAGACTAGGCATCAAAAGAATTCCTATAACTCGAGCTCAAGACAAATCACTACAAATTAAGTACCTAAAACAGACCCCGTGATAGCACTAAATCGCCTAATACCTAGTTGTTACGAAGAAGTATATCCTACAAAAGAAAAGAAAAAATGAAGTATACTAGTACCACACCCTCGTCTCGATAAACAAGCAACCCCCCCCCTAGCTCCCCTCCACCTCATCAGTCCGATCTCGAATCAAAAGTTAACCCGGGTCGTGCAGGTGCCAACACATCAAACGTGTTAAGAAATGCACGTCTAATCACTATCACACTTTAAAAAGTAAAAATCCCTCCCCCATGGCTAACTCTCCACACGCCTTGATCCATTGGCGAAAGGGAGTATTCTGAAAAAAGGACCCACTGAGGCTTCCATGCGACTGCGACCCCATGTTGAATCTCTCTCTCACTTTTTTTGCCTGCTAACAAGTTCCATTTTTTCTTTTTCTTTTTCTTTTTCTTCCTCTTTTTCTGTTTTCTTGAGGTTAGTATTCCACATCATTGTATAACAGGTCCGCCTATTAGTTCCCTTATGGGATCTAAAAGTTTTCCGGGGAACGGGGACGAGAGTGGATTTCATCGAGTTTCATCCGGCATTCTCGTCTTTCCTTTTCCTTTTCATGCAAGCTTATCGTTTTTCTTTTCTTTTCCTTCCTTCTTCTCCCTGTCTTTTCTCTCTTTTGACCGTGGCCGTGGGTACATACATGCTACATACGTGGGTCCTGGCGCTTGAAGGAGGGAGGGAGGAAGGGAGGAAGGGAGGCGAATTCAAGATCACGAGGTATGTACATCTGAGGTTTTATCCAAGATAGCTAGTTAGCTTGCTAGCTAATTAGCTTAAGCTTACTAGCTTTAGCTTAGTTTAGCTTAGCTATAATATAGCTAAAGCTAAGTAAGTAAGTAGCTAGCTAACTAACCAGATCACGAAAGAAAAGGAAAACTCAGGCTTGCCGGTATGTATGGAGTATGGTTTATAGGAAACATGATAGGAAGTGAGAAGTCATCCGATGGCTTGCTTGCTTGCTATGTGGCGACCTGAAAGTAGTAGTACCTCCAGGGCTGTTACATACCTTCGGAGCTCGAGTCGCCGTATATTCTTACATACTCCATTCGTAGTTTAGGTAGTATAGTACTCAGCATGATCCGATCCTCGTAAGATACAGATACAGATACTCAGATACTCAGATACAAAACCCTTGATCACAAAAAAAAAAAACAAAAAAAAAGAAACACGCATCAGAAGCCCTTTCACCCCGGTGGCCGCGCTCTCACACGCGCGCACACACATGTATCTTCTCCCAAGTATGTATGTATCATCCGGTCAAATCCCCCATATCCGGTTATCCATATACCTATACGCATAGTACTAGCGTCACGGAATAACCCAAATATTAAATATTCTATGAAGTGGCGAAATTAATTAATGAAAAACATGGGGAAGATACCCTTCCCCCCTGGTGTATGTACAAGCTGTACCATAGTATACCCCGGTGAATATGTGTGTGTGTGTGTGTATGTATCTATTGCGCGCGAAAGGCCTGCCGCCCAGGGCTGCTGTCAATAAACTCAGATCACATTAATTATATATTATAAGAGAACGTTAATACATGTTCTACTATAGGGATGTATACGTTGTCAAAAAGTGTACACCTCCTCCTCCTCCTGCCCCCCCGGCCCGGCCGAGGATTATATGATACTAGCTAACTATAAGCTAGCTAGCTAGCTAGGCCTTCCAGATAACTAAACCATTTGACATATTGTTATTTATGATATTATCTTTTAATGCGTGTTACGAAAAAAAAAAATATCGACAACTGGTTAATTAAGCTTAAAGGCAAAAATGATTCTCTTCTAGTTGCCTATTATACTATTGCGCATTATCCCTATCAAGTTAATCATAAACAGGCGCTTGCAATATAATAAAAATAATAAAAAAAAGTAAATCCACAAACTGCATACATGTATTGCTAGATCTAAAATATGACAACGGGTAAACCAGGTTATGGCATCAACAGCGCTGCTAGCTAGCACCATCGTCAAGAAAGGAAAAAAAGAACAAGGGCCCTGCATCATGTACCATCTGACAATTCCAGCCCTTCCACCCCCCCCAGCCTTGCTAATTTTTCCGTCTCTCCGTCTCCATTTTAGTGATTAACATCAAAAGGGACCCTGTATTTTGTACAACTACATACCTACTTACCTATCACTCATTAGGGCTTTTTTCCTTTTTTTTCCCTTTCGAAACGGGCCGACTTTTGCGCCCCTAATTATAATTATGTATGTACACGTCTGTACAGCTGTTGTCACCGCTTCGTCTATGTGATGCCATGTAATGCCATGTACTAAACAGCTAAAGTTACCTAGTTAGGGTTTATTTTATACAAGGGGGGGAGGGGGGGATGCTGGTGGCGGTGGGGAACGGTGCTGGCGCGCGCGCGGGTTAAGAGTATTGGTGACATGTGAAATTTTGATGGTTTCATGTATCTTTAGATAGATACTATTCTTATTATTATTGAAAAAAAAAGGGAGTCTGGAACAGGATCGATCCGGATCCCATATCATAAATTTCCGGGGTGAGAGTAAGCTAGTAGGTAAGCTAGGTAGCTAGTAAGGGGGGAGGGGGGTGTGAACTTGACATTCGCGAGAAAATCCGCGAGAAATAGAAAAAAAAATAAAATAAAAAATAGATTCGTCATATATCGATCTGAGCATGAGTGTGTCGGTGACATATCGTGGCCGCTCTTGCGTTTTACTTACATGTCGGTACGAGCGCGGGAGTGATCCTTGAGATACATGGGATATCGATGTAGACGCATACATGTACGATATCGATTCGATATCTCTATCCGTCGTATATCCATACATGTTTACACACACACACACACACACACACATATATACATATGTCGTCTTTTAAATGTCTCAGAAGAGTGCAGCTGCTTGCTCAAGATTACACAAAAAGGGAAATAAAGAGAAAAAAAAGCGGCAAGATAAGGTGTATGCTAGATATCGATACTGAGAAAGGTGGGAGATTTCATTCTTTTTTTTGGGATTGTTTATTACATACACATGGGCAGTATATGCCTTTTTTTCTTTTCTTCTTCTGCTTCTTCTTCTTCTTCTTCTTCTTCCGTCGTTTACTCTCTAATAAAACATATACATTATACACGAGGGAAAAGCAAGGATAGGTCAAGCTGTGTAATGCAAGCCTTTTGATATATGGGAATGCTGGGGGGAAAAAATGACGAAAGGTTGCTGGTGATGATTATTACAATACAAATACAGTCTGGCAAAAAAGATGTAGATAAGAAACAAAGGAAATTAGAAACAAATCAGAGATTAAAGGACGAAAAAAAAAAGCATTAACAAAGACGATACAGACCAATCTATGCAACGAGGAAGGCCGTTAAATAACAACAATCGATATATAGCAAAAATCAAGACGAGGAAAAAACAAGGATGATAACCGACAGATTTTTTGCGATAAATCTGAACTTCGAGATGACGCCAGGAAAATGACTTTGGGGGCAAAGAAAAGAAAAACAAACAAACAAACAGAGAAAAGAGATACCGAAGGGGAGTTGGAAGGAGGTTTAATTATAAGGGATAGGAAAAGAAGATAGGAAAGATAAAGAAACCCCAGATGTTGTTTTTTTGGTGTTCGGCCGTACATGAAAATGCTGTATATAGGAAAACTCCAACCATCCGCTCATCGCTAACGCCATGATGCCACCTTCTAAGAAAAGAGAGGGAAAAAAAAAAAGGAATACAATAGGATATATGGGAATAGTGTATGAGAAAAGGAAAAGGACTAAAAATAGGCGAGAAAATAAGAATGGCAATCTGGAACAAACCAAGTGCGACCAAAGGTGTAACACTTGAACAATAAAAAGAAGATAACAACTAAAAGATCCAGATCGAGTTAACGTTCGGAATTAGTTTTGTTGGTTTTTGAGATTAAAAGGTTGTATAATTTCGGTTGGATAGGAAGGAAAGGGGAGTGACGAATAGAAACCCGAGAATCGCACAGCTGTACCGCTGGCAGAGAGGGAAAAATGCAAATGGGATTCGTAAACGTCGTTAGAGAAATGCGTGCGTGGGTTATACATTTTTAGTTGCATGAGGCAGCAGCCGTTGGCTCTCGGAGCATGCTGGAGCTGGTTGAATTGAACGAATCGGTTTGCATTGGTGCGTCTGAGCTATTACCAATCCGGTCCATGAGCTTTTCGACGGTCACGAAATCGTTGGGTTCAGCTGTTGGATTTTGTTTGAGGAAGGTCATGACCACCTCTAGCGCTCTGGTAGCTTCTTCCTGTGAGGGCACGGTTAGACTTCTAGATCGGGCTATCTGGTACGCGGCTGCTGCCATATGGCCGGGAGGTGGAAGTGGACCGCTGTGTTCGTGGAGAGCATCTGCCGTTTCTTCTGGGATTGTTGTGTTTGCTAGATTAGTGGGCATGAGATGGATTGGGTGGTGCATTTGCTTTGGTGAGAGGGACTCTGAGGCTGATGGTGGTGGCGATATATACACATTCTCTAATACTCCTGTCGGTATTGTGTGGGATCGGGGTCGGCTTTGCTGTTGGATGGGTGGAAGCTGTCCGGATGAAAACAGCATTGGATCTGTCGGTGGAAAGAATGGTGAGATTGGTGTCGTTAGGCCAGGGGAAATTACAACAGGAGTGTCGAATCCAGAAGCCATACTCGCGTGTCTATACTCCCCCTCTCGGGCATGAGATTCCTGCGAAGAGTTCAAGCTCCCCTCCCTCGAGAACGAACTATGTCTCGAATGAAGTGGGGTAGTGAGCTGTGACCTGATCCTATCCATATCTTGGACAATATCACCATCCGAGTAGGTGGCGAGATCGTTCTTGAGCTTGAACTTGTCCAAATTCAATTTGAATTGGCTGTCCGTAACGCCGCAGCTCTGGGCAAAGAAGTTGGCCTTTTCTCGAATCATTTCATCGGTTAGAATTCGGCCTTTCTTCTTTTCGTTCTTGGCCCAATTCGATAACGCTCTGTCGAAATCAGGGCACTTTCCCTTTGGTCTTTTGATCGCCTGCTTTGGCCCGTCATCGGGATACAGATACTTTTCTCTTTGACGTAAAACTTTTGAAACGGTACTAGATAGCTACGTTTTAGTTCAAGCTCATTTCTAGTAAAAAAATTTTACTGTGTACTAAGTAATTAATGAGATTCTCACCTTCTTTCAACACCAAACATAGCTAGATGTTTAAGACCCACCCGTTAGCTTCCGTGATGACCATGAAAAGGAGAAAGAAAGAAAAAGGTGTCTAAGACAGGGGAAAGTGAATAAGTTGCTTACCTCCAATCTCGGTTTGCTTTACATGTGGGTGCTGTTCATGATACAGACACATTCTCCTTCGGTCAGCATCTGTCAAGGTTCTTCGAGAGCTACCAGTCCCTGTCGAGGAGGTCCTCCTATGCGGTATCGGTGCCGTCGATGTGGCAGAAGGAATTGTAACAGCAGGAATAGGCTCCATGGCTTGTGGCGCCGAAGCAGCTACAGGCCACTGCTGAAAGGAAGAGTAAAAGCTGTGAGAACCCGGGCCTCCGGCTGGAAGCCTAAACGGCACCGGCTGGTCGTGAGGCATCTGATGGCTGGGATCAACGAAGCCGTACATTCCATATTCGTTTGCTGGAGCTGCGGTTTGACTGCAGTCAGCCTGCCCTAGTCCGACCCATTGCCCGCCCATAGCTGCTGTATATTCACCTTCACCACCTGCTGTCTGTTGATCATTGCGCTCTTCCATAATGATGAATCTGCTTTCTTTTGCTTTGCCTTGGTTCGTTCTTTTGTTTTTTTTCTCTTTCTTTCCCCTGCGTGGTATTTCGTGCAAGTGGATGAGGATGATGAGGATGATATGAATATGTGATTTTTAAAATAATATAATATGAACGACCGTTTCAAAGATGTAATTCCAAACGATAGCTTAAACGTGACAATATGTATGTATGTAATGTAATGTAATGTAGCTGAACGCGTGGGCTAAGTTTCAGACAAGTCTTCTTTGCGAATGTTAGGTGTCTTGCGGGAAGGTATAGTTTTAGTTGAAGGTGGTGGGAAAGGGAGAGAAAGTTGGGGAGAGAACGAAAGTCTGGAATTTTCTCAAAGGAAAGATAAAATAAAATACTAAAAAAAGTAAAATAAAAATGAGAAGACAAGAACGACGTTCAAAGGATGAGGAACAACGGATAACAAGGAAGAAAATTGGACCAAAGAGATTTACAAAAAAGAAGATCGGACCAAAGAAGTAAACGAATGCAAAGAAGTTGGGGGGGTCCTTTAGCTTGAAAGCCTCGCAACAAGGGAGCCATTCCCAAACCCTTCATATTAGGCTTGGTCCCAAATCCCAGAGCATATCAAAAAGGTCCAGAGCTTTAACAGCTTTTTGTCTGGATGCTCAGTTCTCACTTTAACGTGTTCGGTAACGGATAGCTTGCAGGGATTGGGGGGGTTGATGGTGGAAAGGACCGTTCCCCTTTCCATACCGCACCGTGTCATCCCTTGGACAAAGCAGCCCGGAATACGTCTATCCCAAAGCTGTTATTTCTCAGCCGGATGGATCGAGTTGATAATCTTGAATCAAGCACGTATGTATTGTAAGTACATGCTGATGTACTGTACGTGTGCGCGCGTATGTACTTGTTGAGAAGTACGTATTTGCCATGTACTCCCGTACATAGCAGAGGTATCAACAGCTTACAGCAGATGTATCCCGTATATCAAGGTAAGGCAGGCAGTTCTGCGACCCGAGAAACCTCGATTCCATCTGTGCAACCGCGAGATCGCGTCGAACCGAGGGTAGAGGCGAGGTACCTTTTGGCTAAACAGCTCTCTGGGACCATCTCGACCGACTCACCGGCGCGGTGAAACTTTTTTTTTCTTTATTTCTTTCTTTTCCCTATCTGAATCATCAATTTCATTTTCCTCTCATTCTCGTCTCTTTTTCCTGTGGAAAAAACAAAAAGCGAATAGGCACAGGCACTCACAGCCTTGGGGAGAGTTGGGTAACCCAACTAAGGACCGTGGCCATACCGTCTGAACCACCCCAGTTCGGTGAAGAACAGGGATACAGTTCCGCGTCCAAATTTTGACCAGCTCCCCTGGCGATTTTTTTTATTTTTTTTTTATTTGGGGGAAACAGTTGGCTATTCATACTTTAGGACGTACCTACGTATCGTATTCCGTTGATGTGCTGGTAATTGTACATACCTGGACGTATGTATGTACTTTGTACTGTGTATGTAGCTTGTAGGCGTTATGTCCAGGTTCTTTTTTTTTTTTTTTTTTTTTTTTTTTTTCCAAACTGATCTGGACTGGACATATGTATGCTTTGTGCCGCTGCTGCGATCGAATCGATCAAAGAACGGAGAACTCCAACCGTCGTCACATTTTCTTTTCCTTCTTCCTTTCTTTCCTTCTTTCTTTCTTTTTTATTCTTCTAATCTGATACGTACGGCATAACACTAAACGCTTCCGTTATGAATGCCATTGTCGTCGGCGGCTTGCCCTCACACACACGCCCTCGGACACAGACACACACACACACACACACACACACAATCATAGTGGGGTCATCCTATCCTTCAGCTTGGGTCATCTAATTTTCGGTGAGGGAGAGGTTGTATCACCTCCACCCCAAATTTCTGGATACCGGCTGCCTTCCCGATACCCTGACGGTGGTGCCCTTTAAGATTACTCGGAGATCAGACCCAAATTTCCTTTCTACTGGGTTCATTGGGGCGCAAGCAAAAAAAAAACGAAGAAGAAGGTTCTCCACTGGGGTAAAGAGGGAGAGCCCCCAAGGCTTTCTTCTGGGTCAAAACCATGGTGATTATGATGATGATATCAGTTTATTTCAACAAGCGGATACGATTTGACGGTCGAGATGTATTAGTGGTTGGTGGTGGTGGTGGTGGTGGTGGTTCAAACAATTAACCCCCATCCATCCACCCATCCATCCATGATAGTACATAGTCACGAAAATAAGACCTCACCAGATCATTGCCCGTTTAGATCGCGGTTTGAGAAAGATTATGATCGCGATATGCAACCGGGAAACGGGTTAGTTCCCTTCCATGCAGTTCAAAGCGGTCCAAATCGGCTGGCCCTGCTGGCATGCTGTCTCCGCTGGTGGTAGCGAGAGAACAGTGCAGTGCAGCAGACTACCAGCCGAGCATCGGGACCATATCTAAGCATCAGAAGGAAGGAAGGAAAAGCAATCGAAAGAAGAAAAAGCCCGGCAGCTAAATTAGCACGGGGTACCTTTTCTCAGAAAATAAACCATGGCAATTGAAGGTTCGTCGGAAATTTGATAATCCAATGAGAACCGATCGATTGGGTGAGCCCAGTTCTTAATGCGAAGTCCCTATCGGCAATCTAGCGTTGGCGAACCTTGCACCAGACTCCGAACCTTGGAATTTTTTATCCCGGTTCCCTTTTGGGCAGTTTTCTGGGATGCGAGATGCTGAACAATGCATGGAGGGAAAGGATTTGGTGGGTGGAACAAGCCATCTGCCAGCTGCCGTCTGGGAACCAACGACATGCAAACATGCGAATCGAAACCTGAGAAATAAAATTTAAAATTTAAAATAACTAAAATCCCCAAAAAAATAACCGGCCCGGAAAAAGTTGGGGCCCGTTTCTTTTGCATTTCTTGGGGAAAGGGCAAGATTAAGAAAACCCAGCTGTGTGGGAGAGATAATATAAAACACGACCTTTTCGATATCCCGTGGCAGTGGTATCGGTTTTTCTCGCCCCTCCTTAGTGGCTTCCCTCTCACGTCTCAAACCCATCCCCCGAAAATAAATAAAAAATAAAAATAAAAATCTAATATCGAGGCCAATCGAGGGGAAGAGAGCCGAACCAGTTGGTTGGCGTTCCACAACATTCAGTTCAATCGACTAGGTATTATGTCAGTAGTTACATGATAGGTAAGTATTCCAGCAGAAGCTTTTTTTGAGGAGAAACTTGGTCCCTGCTCAACCTGCCTCCTCAATTTCATTCGACAGGGCCACTATTTTTAGTCCAATCAACTCGATGTAATTATTTAGGACCCTTCGATTTCGCCCTTCTCGAGCTCACCTGACTCGTGAGAGGACGCGAGAAGGTGGGATGAAAGCGAAACAGCCCACCTAACCCCAATTTCTCCTGATACCTTGGAGCTCGTCTGGGCAGAAGTCAAATTTAACACACGGACGAAACCCTCCCACGCACACAAACGCACATACATACGTATTTGGTATACCTGACTTACACATACAGTTTTGGTTGACAATCCCAATTGCCTTTTTGGTTTTTTGGTTTTCGGATTTTTTGTCTAAAAGGTCCAAAAAAGTCTCTTTGGGGGTCCAGTTCCAAGTCAATTGGCAAACCCTTCGAGGGGGGTGAAAAACCCCGAACAGAGGACAGAAACTGTTCGTCGGCAACATCTCGTTGCAAGAAGACCCCGATAATGACCCGACCAAGGCCCTCTCTTCTCAACCGTCTCAAACGGTCTCTGACAGCGAATTCATTCTTTTAAAAAGAGCCTCCTTTAGACGAGAAGGCTCCGAGTAAGCTCCTTTTAGTAGCAAATCCAATGCAAACTGCGTCACTTGACATATTAAATGTGAACAAAAAATAAAGTGATCCGTCGCGGTTTGACCGGTTTACGTGTGTGTGTCTGTCCTTCCTTAGAAAAACAATAATGATCGCGGAGTCTTCGGATTGTTTTCGCTGAAACTTCGTTGGAGAGATAATTATGTGTCCGACGATGATAGATAATGGAAGGAGAAGAGCCCTCCCTTTGATTTTGAGGCCGTTCTTTCTTCTTTCCTTTCTTCCATTCGAGAATCATCTTATCTATCCGCCATAATCAATCCTCTTTCTTACTTTTTTTACCATCTCGATCGATCGATCTAATCAATAGGACTAAGAGATCAGTGTTTATATAATCGTGATCACGCAATATCTGTCAAAAAGTACCAAACAGACAAAAAAAAAGAACCTCACAAAAAGTCCCACTTAGCTTGAGAGATAGAACACCTGTCGAAAGAAAATTAAAAAAAAAAAGAGGTGATAGAAGAAATGGCTCCAATCGCCCTCCAATCCCCTCAGGCAGTGGCCGAGTTCCAATCACATCAGCATCAAGACCTAAGCCTCGTCCAACGGCGTTCGAATTTCGAGATCCTGATATCCTCAATCCGGGACACTCTTGGCACAAACCCAGAGCTTAAGTTCGACGACGTAGATGTCGATAAACTGGAGATGCTCCTGAGAGCCTACCAATCCTCAAGATCGGAATGGGAACGCTTCTCGTTTATTGATTTTAGTCGGAACTACACTCGGAATCTGGTAGACAACTTGCATGGAAATGCCAACCTGGTATGTGTTATAATTATAACTTTCTCCTTCTTCTCCTTCTCCTCCTCCTCTTTCTCCTCCTTCTCCTTCTCCTTCTCCTTCTTCAGCTTTAGCCTTTCCCTTAGTGAAGTTCTTTTGTTTTTGTTTTTTGTGTGTGTTCGAAGTTCGATCGATGCCTGAAAAAGGGATTTGCCCAATTGGATAAGTCTGGAGAAATGTGTTGCGGATGAGGTTGACAGTTGACGTTCCAGACCTCAGTCTGCAACACAATTTCGACCACACAGTCCACTCGACCTCCACTCAAAACGAAAAAAGGGCTGCATATGCCCAGCCGCATTCCATTCATCGTGCATAAGTAAAGTATATATAACGAAAACTACATCCATCAGCATTAATTAGCCGCAATATGCGCAATATCTACCAAAGTAGCCTATACATACCTCAAGTACACCGGAGGTATAAAAGGGAAAAAAAAGGCTGTTCGTTTTTCTTATTGTATTTTTTTATTCTTATCCTTTAAAGAAAGGAGACACGAAAAAAAAAAAAGTTAGTAACTAAAGTAAACTAACAACCTTTTTTGGTCCGAATCGGATAGATATTGATGACATGGACACCCAACAAGGCCTCCTTGATTCACGATCATACCAGCGCTCACTGCGTCATGAGAATCCTACAAGGCCATATCATCGAAACTCGTTACGAGTGGCCTACCCCAGGGGTCGAAGAACCACTAAAGGTTAAACAAGTGAGGCATTACTACGCTGGCGATGTTGCCTACATGAGTGATGATGTAAGTTCTTTTTTCACACATTCCATCTATACCTCTCTTTCCTTCTTCCTCTCCCTCTCCCTCCTTCTATCACAAAATACATCCATTGATCACAAAAATCACAAAATATATCCATTGAAAGTCAAAAATAAAATATGAGAAAGAGAGAAAGAAAGAAAGAAAGAAAGAAAGAAAGAAAATACTAATTACTCCCTTCAACCACAGCTCGGAATCCACAAAGTCGAGAACGGTGACCCAGACTCAGTTGCCGTTAGCCTCCATCTCTACACCCCTCCTTACATCGAAAAAAGTGAGTAAAACCAAATAAATAATTACATACCTCAACGGTCCCCCCCTCCTTCCCACCCATCCACCCGGGAACAAAAGTCCCGAAAAGGTGTTCCTTGCATGGAAAAGCCTACAAACACCGGGAAATCCGGTCCAATCCTTTCTTCCCTTCTTTCCTTTCTTCCTTTTCTATCAATCTGTCTCAATTTAGTCTTTTTTAACAGAATAGAATAACTAACCAATCGATCTTTTTTTTAAAAAAAAAACAGAGGGCTGCAACACCTTCAATGCAAAGACAGGAAAGTCCTGTCATATCAAGTTATCGGAATACTACAGCAGAGAAGGGGAAAGGATCTCCAAACCTTCCAGCCATTAAAGATATCGATATGCATACGAAACGAGGCTGTTTAAAAAAAAAAACCGGCTTTTAAACGCCCTTCCCTTTTTTTTTCCCCCTTCCCCTTCGCCTATCAGATTTTGTATTTTTTTGAAATTCTGGTTGGCTGCTGAGCTTTCTCATTGTTTTTTCAATACCCTGCCTTTTTTTTCTAGTTCTCACAGTACTTTTAGCGTTTAGAGAAAGCTTGTATTTGCCTTTCTTGTCCTTGTTCTTTTTATTTTATTTAAGGTACTGGCCTAGCCTTGAGAAAGTACCTACCTTTCTTCTGCATCTTGCATTTTACGAAGTTTATGAGAGAATTCAAATGTTTTTTTTTTTTTAATTCGCCACCTCATCGATCAGATCAGATCTAACCACCCGCTTCATGTCACCCAATAACATCTTCACAATTAAAGCAATATAAAGTTAACCCAAAAGAAAGATTAAAACTAAACCTACCCCAGCATCTACCAAAAAAAGACCCCCTACCGTAAATAATTTAGGAAATCTCCTTCGGCATCATAAAAGAAAGTAATACAAAAAAAAAGTGATAGGTATAATTACAACAAAAACACATCCCAAGATTTGTCAAAAGAATCAAACCGACCAATCATTCGCTATCAGTGACAATACATATGCAAGTATAAAATAATATGATAGATAGATAGATATATCTAGGCTCCCCTTATGTATTATATGTTAAAAAAAAAACAACAACCATGTATCTATTTACTTCGGAAAACTCCACAAAGACCTATATCGAAAAAAAAGAAAAGAGTAAGAATGTCAGCCAACAATCCCTATTCTCCCGGAAAACCCCATCTGCAAGCTCGCCCCCCTCCTTCAGAGAAAAAACTATGCCCAAACACAGTAGAGATCGGACGGAGCATCTCGAAGCGATTCGAACCACCAACGAAGAGGGAGGGGGGGAAAAATAAAGGATAAAGGATATAAGAAATAATAGGGAAGAGAAGAAGAAAAAGAAAGAAAAGAAAAAAAGGGTAAAAAACTCACATTCACATTCCGGCACCGGACAAAGCGTATGCTTTGAAAACCATTCCTTCGCATGTCCAGCATGACTCCCATGATTACAGATCAAGCAAAAATTAAACCACTTGTCATACATCTCATCTACCTTCTCGCCGCCGCCGCCACTACCGCCCTTACCAGCCCCGCGGATCACCCGCGTATTCGGGGTCCCAAGGTATAACAGACAAATCGCACACCTGGGCAACGGTTTCCTACAATTCGGGCAGACAATCGCCTTCGACTGCGGGAAGTTGGCTTGAGTAGATTGACTAACGGGGATTGTAACCTGTTGGCCATCCTTGAAGCGTGTCGTTGGGATTTCAAAACGATGTGCCACTTTCTAAAAGATGGGTTTCCCGGGAGGGACCTTGGATGTTAGATAGCTCTCTCTATACATGCATGTGAGGTTTCAAGGAGGAGGGGGAATGGAGTTTTGTATCATGCCGGGGTTGAAATCGTACCCTATCACAAAAGTTACATCTCACGTATATTTGCCGCGGAAGCGGTTCGATCAGGGAAGTTCCTTTCTTGCTAGTCGATATTTCTCGCCGCTTGATATCAAAGTTGGCCCGTATCTGCCAGAACTTCCATCGATCCAACAGTTCACGATAACTGTTTCAAGTCAGAAAAGAAGAAATTAAAATAAATAAAAGTTTAGGGAGATCTCCAGCTCCAGCAAGGCTTAGAACAGAGGAGTGAGGGGCCGAAACGGAAGAGAGAAAGATAACATAACATACCTATCCACCCACAAATCAACCCTGTGATCTGTAAAATACTTTGGCACAGCAAACGATGCCACTAATGCCGCCGTCTGCACATCTCCCGTTTTGTTCACATAAACCTGCAACAGATCGATGGCTTTCTCCGTAACTCCTGTGAGCAGTATTCCCTCAGGTTCTCCGTCCCGTATCACCATGGCCGTAAAATCATCGATGTACGTGCTTAACTAATGTATGCTCAATGCATTTTTGTTTCGCACTATCCGTTAGCCGCCCGCCCGCCACTCATACATTACGTCTCTTATGCCTAAGCTAACCCCGAGTTGTACGTAAAGTTACATACCTCATCGTCCTCCAAGAACCGTAACGCAATCCCCAGCCTCTCTCTGATCGGTAACCCTGTCGATCCGTCCAAAACATCCTGCCAATCGCCATTACTGACATACGCAAAAATCGCCCTACTATACGGATCATCCATATGTGTGGCCATCTCCCTGCATAGATCCTTCCAGGTAGTATTTTCCGCGATCCCATTTTTTTCTACCGACATCCTATGGGAATTGTACCCTGCCACGGCCGTAGACATAAGTTTCATCTCCGTTTTACCCATCGAAAGGGCTTTTATGCATCTTTCAATGTTGCCGTGGAATAAAGCCCACCCGGCCGCTTTTTCGAACTGTTGTTTCTTTTCGAATTTTTCCAATGCCTCTTCGAGATCTTTGTCACTGTTGAAGTCCCATCCACACATCGCTAGTCCCAATATTCTTTGTTCCGGGTACTTCGTCTCTCCGGCGAATTTGAAGCGTCCCTTTCGTCCATTGCAGTCATTGATCTTTTTCAAAGCTGCAGAAAATGATTTTTCGTCTAGTTTTGCACCAGGGTCGAGGCGGGATGCGGGGAGGTTAGGACGCCAGATCCCCAAAACCCCGAGGTACGACAAGTCGAGACCACCAGAGTACATCCCGTCTCCCTCTGTGCACTCCATCGCACCATCTAACCATCTCCACATTTCCGCCAGTTCATTCTCTTTCTTCGCCTTAGTGACTAGCTTTTCGTTTTTTGCGCACTACCTAGGATATTAGCCATCGTGAAGTTTCTCTCGAGACCAGATCTAGATGTATATATAGATAAAAAAAATAAAAATAAAAAAAAAGACTTACATCAAATTGATACCCCCACTCCGCCCTCCTCCTCATCGTAACCGAAATATCAATCCTCAAAGTATCCCTCGGATCAAACATATAATCCTCCGGATTAACCACACTGTCCCTCCTCACATTCACCTCCCCTCTTCCCCCAACACCATTCCCATTAGCCGTCAACGGATGTTCAGGTGTACTACTCGAATCCGATTCATCATCATCCTCATCTTCATCGTTATACCCCGTATGATCATCCCCCATCATCAACGTATGATTCGGTTCCGCAACATGAATACGCTTTGTAGATGGTGCGTTTAGAACTGTTGCATTTTCGTTATCGGTCATTACGAAGTTATTACGTGCGCCGAAGGCCGTGGAGATGGGATTTGTGGGGACGGTAAATGCTGTTATGCCCCCATTACGGGCGAGGGAGATTACTCGAAGATCTGGGTCCGAACTACCATCCGAGATCCAATCGAATGAAGTCATGGTGTTTTCGTATCTTAAGGGTCGTTTAAACGGTGCTTTTTTTGTCAATCCAATCATGGATTCCGTTAGTTCAAACCAATCCCACACATATACATATATATAAAGATAAAAGTAAGAAGCAAGAAAGAAAAAAAAAGGGGAACTTACTCTCCGAAACCTTCGTCACAAACAAACTCTCCCTATTCAACCTATCCGCCTCCAACTTCGACGGATCCTTAAACCTAGCAACAGCAGCCACCCCTCCAATCCCCTCCGTAGACACAGGAGTAGCAACCTGCGTCCCCATCTGATAAAGATTCAAAACCCCATTCGTCCCCAACACCCCAAAACTCGCCGAATTCTCCCTAGCATACCTCAAACTATGTATCGTAAGCACCGAATGCGATCTCCCTCCCATCCCATGATAATCGTCGAATATCTTCGGAAAACTCAACGCGGGGTCTTGAATTCCTCTACCCGCAAACCTTCGATCCCAAATAGCCATGTACCCATCCTCCGAGCAAGACGAGAAGTAATTTTGATGCCTATCGATCGTGATACCGTGTACCAACCTCGTTGGGAAATTTAGTGCCGGAGAACCCGTGTTATCTCTTATATCAAATGCTCTCAAAAACCTCTGTCCCACACCGGCAACGAGTACATGCGGTTGATCTGTAAAAAACTGAATAGCAGAAATCATCTCACTAGGCGCCAACTGTTTCTGCGGTTGTCGTATCGCCGCCGCATTTGTCGTCGTCGAAACCCCTCGTAAAGAACTAGGCGTACTGGGCATAACCGACGAAGAAGGGGTAGTAGTAGTAGTAGTAGCAGTTGCAGTAGTAGTAGTAGTAGTAGACTGCCCCCCCGAATGCCATTGGGAATTCACGTCCCAGATATTCAAACAAAAGTCATTCCGTACTTTATCCAATCCGATAGCGAGGAATCCCGCGCGAGAGAAGGCGACGGAGTTACAACCACGCTGGTGTTTTACGGGCAAGGAAATGGAGTTTTCGGCGTTTTCGGAGCTTTTCATGCGGAGGATTAGAGCTTCTCCACCGGATTTGCCAACGGCGACGAGGTCTTTGTTATATATATTGCATTAGCCGTAGGTATTGAAATATATAGAGTCTGTGTATGGAGAGCATACCGGGTCCCAGAGGCGACCAATCGAAACACTACCCCCCTCATAGTTAGCTTCATCCATGCTATACAGACCACCTATGAAAAGAGGGGAAATAGATACCTTAATATGCGGAATCTTCTCCTTCTTAAACACCAATTCACTACGAATCGACTCCGGCTTCTTGTTCTACACCGCCGTTCATACAAAAACCCCATTAGCCTATCACCCAAAACCGCTGGGAATTTTTATTTTAAGAAAGGGAAGAAAGAGACCTACATTAAAATCCTTCACATTATACAAACTAACATGCGTCTCCTTCGCACTAATCGTCATAAACTGCTGCGCTCCAGTATCCGAATGTGGAGACCACCGTATAAAATCCGACACCGTATTCATCGTGTCCTAGAAAACCCCCTTCCCAGCTCGTATGATGTTTTTGGATAGAAAATGTATGATGTTCTTTTTTTTTCAAAAGAAGTAAGCTGTCCAGGCGACGGAAGCGATGAGGAGTGGGGTGGGGTGGTGGCGGGTTTCGAGTAACAGCAGCTGGTGATCAGAGGTGGTGGTGGTAGTTTGAGGTTACTTTTTTCAATCAGGAGCCAAAGGCATGATTGATAAAAAGCTGGAGGTTATAGAAATGGAGCCATTTAATCCGACGAATGCGTAGTGAAGTTTCTAACAAATCATTTATATCCCGTAACAAGAACTAGAAATCCAGCGCGTCGGTTGCAGCGCCGAGGACAAAAACAGGTCTGAGCCTTTCAAGCAAGCTATCTAGGTAGCTAGCTGCTAATCCAATGAGATGCATTAGTACTTAAACCCACAAATTGAAAATTCCCGATTAAAAACAGCTATCAAACGATACCAAGCATATACATACCTCCTATCTTCTACAAGAACTCAATGGACCCGAACTAACTAACCTTCCCAGACCGGTTCTGTTGAACACACGCACACACGCACGATAGTTGTTGAAAAAGAGATTAGGAATAGGTTGAGGATCGATTTAGTTAGCTAAGACGATTCGAACCAGTCCCGCTAAACTTTAGTTTTCCAAGTTTTATCTAAGCTAATTTACCCTGTGCTGGTTCGTTTAAATCAA